GTGCCTATTAGGGGTTCCCCCTAATAGGCAAAGCCTGTGCGCTACGCGCACGCGCTTTCGATTCACCCTGTAATCGACTCGTTGGGTGCCGGGTACATCTCTAGCCTTGCATGAATGGTACATTACGCCTCTACGGCCATCCTTTGAATTCTTCCGAAGACGCCCGTTTCAACTTTTTGCACCCTTTGGATCACCGCTTTTGTGATTGTAAAAGTTATCGGGTAAAGAAATAGGGTCCATAAGAATCACTTCTTCCAATTGATTCTCTCATACCCGCAACCACCACCACCACCTTTATACCTCTTTTCCTTACAAAGATGTTGCGTGTTCAACGCCCTCTTCATCTTTCTTCGATCAAATCATTGCGATCGCAAGTGAATGGCAAGAGCATCGTTCGTCATGCCAGTTCAGGTCCTGCTCCTAAAGCAAGTGGCACTTCTCGTAATGTATTCATCTTTGGTACAGCTGCTGCCGTTCTTGTAGCAGGTGGTTATACACTGACAAGATCACAATTGCAAGCAGAAAATGTGGAAACAGTCTTGGGTGATGTTCGTCCACATCCATTATGGTCACCACCTACTCGAGCACAAATGATTGCAGCTCTTAAAGAATCAAGCGGAAAAAGTTTACGTCCTCAAGCCAGTAGAATTTATGAAGACAACACAAGTTTGGAAAAGTTACAAGTTGATGCAAAGTCCAGTACACCTTCTCCTTCTGCAAGAGCAAATGCAGAAGGCGAAATCGTAATGCGTGATGGGGATGAAGAAGGTGAAGGCTTTGATCTCTTGATCGTTGGTGGTGGTGCAACCGGAACGGGTGTGGCTGTTGACGCCGCCACTCGTGGATTATCGGTTGCAATGGTGGAGAGAGATGACTTTGGTGCCGGAACTTCTTCAAAATCAACAAAATTGATCCATGGTGGTGTTCGTTATTTGCAAAAAGCCGTTTTCGAGCTCGATTATGATCAATACAAAATGGTCAGAGAAGCACTTCATGAACGTAAAACATTCTTGCACATCGCACCTTACCTAAGTGAACATTTGCCCATCATGTTGCCCGTCTACCGTTATTGGCAAATTCCTTACTACTTTGCCGGTACAAAGATGTATGACATGTTGGCAGGATCCGAAAATATGGAATCTTCTTACTTCTTAGGGCGTGGTAAAGCAATCGAAGCCTTCCCAATGCTCAAAGCAAGTGGTTTGACCGGTGCAGTGGTATACTACGATGGTCAGCATAACGACACCAGAATGAACATCGCTTTGGCTTTGACTGCTGTGCACCATGGTGCAGTTGTTGCGAATCACACGTCCGTCGTCTCTCTACACAAGAAGGCTGTTCCTGGCAAGGTTGATCAGATTTGTGGTGCACGTCTAAAGGATGAACTTACAGGAGAAGAATGGGACGTTCGTTGCAAGGGTGTGATCAATGCAACAGGTCCATTCAGCGATGCTATCCGAAAGATGGACGTTCCTACCGCACAAGAAATCGTTGCTCCTTCCTCTGGTGTTCACATCACTTTACCCGGCTATTACTCTCCAAGAGATATGGGCTTAATCGATCCTCAAACTTCTGATGGTCGTGTGATCTTCTTCTTGCCTTGGCAAGGAAACACAATCGCTGGTACAACCGATACAGCTGCCCCAGTTGAAGCTCACCCCAAGCCCAAGGAAGAAGAAATTCAATGGATCTTGGATGAAGTTCGCAATTATTTGAGTCCTGATATCAAGGTTCGTCGCGGAGATGTGTTGAGTGCTTGGAGTGGATTGCGTCCTCTGGTGAAGGACCCCGCAGCGAAGGATACGCAAAGCTTGGTCCGTAATCATATGATCAACGTGAGCGAATCCGGTTTGCTAACGATCGCAGGTGGAAAGTGGACAACATATCGTGAAATGGCAGAACAAACGGTCGACAAAGCAATTGAATCATTTGATTTGAAACCTATGCGTGGATGTGTGACCAAACAAACACGTTTGTTGGGAAGTCATGGATGGAGTAAAACAATGTACGTCAAGCTTTTGCAACGTTTCGGTTTGGATACAGATGTGGCTAAGCATCTTTCGCACACGTATGGTGATCGTGCTTGGAGTGTTTGTTCGATCGCTGAATCTACTGGCGCTCGTTGGCCAGTACACGGTAAACGTATCGATCCCCTTTATCCATACATCGAAGCAGAAATCCGTTATGCTTGCCGTGCCGAATACGCTGCCAGCGTCCCAGACTTCATCGCTCGCCGTACTCGTTTGAGTTTCTTGAACGTGGAAGCAACGGTTGAAGCATTACCAAGAGTGATTGAACTCATGTCAGAAGAGTTGGGTTGGGATAAGGCACGCAGAGATTCAGAATTCACGAATGCAATTGACTTCTTAGGAAGTATGGGTTTGCAACCTGCAAGATTACAACAATTAAGTCAAACAACACTTGATGAAACCATTGAAACACTTAAAGAGAAAGGAACAGTGACTGCTGGAATACCATACATGGGCAAAGCAGCCGTCTCAGGACAAGATATCAATGCAACGATTGTCTCACGAGCTCAATTCACAAGTGATGAGATGATTCAACTACGTAAGAGATTTGATCAAATGGACACAAACGCAGACGGAAAAGTTGACACGAAAGATTTACAAGAAGTCTTGCAAAGATTAGGATATCACAATGTTGACGAAAGAACGGTTAACGGAATCATTTCGGAAGTGGATGTGAATAAATCAAACGCATTGCATTTCGAAGATTTCCTAGACGTTTGTGCAACATTGAAAGATGTCAGATTGGAAAATGCTTTCACAGATATCGTTCGTGAAGTTGAAGAAGCAACTGGCTCAAAGACTATCCTTGGCGATTCTATTGGACCTGCAGCTCGCGAACAATCTGCCCGTCGTGATGAACGTCGTAAAGTTCCTGCCGAACGTTCAGGCGGTGGCTGGTAATCTCTCAGCAGAAACAATTTCTCCATACATACCCTAATCATAGACTTACTCCATTCTCTCCTTCCGCCCTACTGTACAAAAGTATTCCTCTTTGCAATCTCTCCATCGTGCTTATTTTGCTGGATCTATATATTACGATATTTTAAACCTTTTTAATCTTCGATCGGCAGAAGAAATGCAATATTATGAAACAATAATTGAGGCTTTGTGATTGTATTGAATAGAGTACAGACGTGATTTGCGTAATAATACAAGATTGATGCAAAGTGCTCTTTACTCTTCTTCCCATGTCCCTCTGGCTTTCTCTTCGCTCATTGCTTGCCATGCTTGTGCGAACAGATCATCTTCTTCGTCACGTTTCTTCTTTCGTTCTTCTGTTTGTTGACGCTTATGTGCTCTTGTGAGTACGTCCTCCTCATTGTCCGCATGATCATCTTCGCTTGTCGTATCATCACTCATGCTCACATCCCCTTCACTGTCAAATTGAAGATGACTTTGTGTTTTACGTGAAGCAGATTTGATCAATCCGGCAAGATTGGTAGATGTTCCACTTCCAAGTTCATCCGTCAAATCATCTTGATCGATAGGCAAGTCTATCTGAATTCGTTGAGGTAAATTTGCAATAGAATTTGTTGGAGTTGTATCAGCATCAGTTGCACGTTCACGAATTTGTAAAGAATCAATCAAATCCAAGAATCCTTCTGCCGTTCCTTTTGTATCCGCACGACGTTTTGCATGATCGCGTGCAACGATTGTGGCTTGACCGGATAAGACGTCATTACAATTCTCCGATTGAGAGAGTGCAGGCGAAGTTGGTGTGGGCAGGACTGGCGACATGATCTTATCGGGTTTGGGAGAATTGGTCTGCTTTGCGGCGTCTTCATCGTCCGACAATCGATCCACTTCTCCTTTGTCCTCTAAATCTTCCAACAATTCAATTTCCGTCCAATGTTCTTCGTCCATCACACGTTCCCATTTTCCTCCTTCTTCTACTTCATTTCCCAATCCATGATGATCTTTTAATCCACTTCCAAACATTTCATCACTGATTTCTTTTTGTATTTTCCGAGTTGATTCTCCATTGTTCAATACCCAACGTGAAACCCATTCTCCTCTTCGCCAACATGCATTACTGCAAAATGAATTTTGACCGCCTGCGTCGTCCCTTTCATCACGTTCCATCGTTCGTCTGCTTAATGAGATTCGATAACGTGGTGCATCGAGCGGTAAAGCTGAATTGCGTTGTGAGAGATGCGGCTTTTTTGGCTTTTTATCACAGGTCGGATAAGCACATTTGTGTGCCAGATGACGTTCTTGTAAGATTTGTAACCAATCCGGTAAAGAGACTTGAGTGAGTGCTCTTTTCAGCATATTTCTTTCCAATTGCGATCCGGAAGCTATTAACATGTGTTGCCACATGAACACTTTTGCTTCTTTTTGTCTTCTTTCTTGAAAGCTTTCCGCTAGTAATTTTACATCGGACATTTGAACGGAAGAAGATGGTAAATATTGATTTCGATCTTGTTCATTCATTGCCCATTTTGATGGACCTGCTTGATTTGAAGCATGAATTGCAGCTCTTGGATTTGCTGCCATTTGTTTAAGTTCATCGGGAGGTAATTGAACCAATAAATTTGCGTGTGCTTGTGGCATTCTACCTCTTGATGTCATTGTTGTTATTGTGCCATTGGCTTTTGGCCTTTCGTATGAATGTTGTCCTGTGTTCATTTTGAATATACATATGTGTGAAAGTATGAATGCGTGTATGTAATGAAAGGTTTAGTTGATGGAAGAGAAGCAAAAGTGTGTGTGTGTGTAAGAGTTGTTCAAAACAATAAAACCCTTGCTCGGATCATCATTCCAGGGCGGCAATGATAATTTATGAATATTTAAAGTAAGTGTGGAGTACACGCAGGCAAAAGAGCAACAAAAAGCTTAAAAGTGACAGACTAAGCTCACCCGCACGTGGAATGAGTGGGTGACCTTTCTCACTACCCGTCCTTGGCATTTCTCTTGGGCTGTGCATTTATCAATATATGCTCCACACTTACAGCATACGACACTTTCATTCATCTTCACAGCCATCACCGCATTGCATCAAGGTATATTCTCAAGATGGCTCCATACAATCCTATGAAGAAGCACATGGACAAATTGGATGAATGGGGTTCGGATCATATGAAAAAGTTTAATACTCAACGTGATGCTGGAAGTGGCGCTTCTTTTTCGGATAAATTAAAGATTGCTAGGGGAAAAGATGATAGGTGGGAACGTACTAGAAAGCCAACCGAAACAGCAGATGGAGAAAGAATTGTTCCAGAGAGAGCTGCTCGGCTACCACCAGCTCCAACAAACACTTTTGCTGCAGCTCGTTCTTCAGCCGTTCCACCTCCGCCTCCTCAAAGAAGTGGCAGTGGTGCACCTCCTGCTCCGCCTAGTCGTACGGCTAACAGCACAAGCGCCGCACCACCACCAACGCTACCAAGACGGATGGACAACGAAGCTGGAACGAGTAATCCTCCACCTCCCTATCCTGCTGCTCCACCTGCTGCGCCTTCAAGAGGTTTGAATCAAAGTAACATGGTAACGGGATCAGATCATATTGAATTCTCTAAATTCGGACCGGAAGACAAAGAGGCATTCTTTGATTTGCTAGATGAGTACTTTGCCCAACGATTGAATGTTTCTTCCGGTAAATTATCATCATCTGCTGCTCGTGTCAAATCAATTGCTTCGGCTGACGTCGTCACTACCTCTCCTTCTGCTGCTGCCACACAAAAGGCTATTAGACGAGATCCACCAAAACCTTCCGGATCTGGAGCGAAGTCTACTTTGGGAAAAACAACAGCAACTCCACCTGCGATACCAAAAAATGCAACCAATACCTGGTCATACCCCAAATTGACTGCGTCCAACCATCCTTATTCTGAAACGTGCAAAGCACTTAGCTGTGCTTCATTTATGGTTTATAGAGATTCTTATCCGGAATGGTCAGGAAGTAAGCCTTGGTTCGCACAACCTAATCCTATGCCAACATCCTTGAAAGGAAGACGAGATATCGCATGGTCTTCTTCAAGTATGTACAGAGGACAAGATCATACATTGATGGGTGCTTCTTTGTTTGAAGATCTGAGCTGCCTTTGGTGGAGGATACAATGGAAAGGCAATGCACCTGCTGCTACTGCTCAAGTAGATTGTGCATATCGTGAACCACCAAAAGCCTTTGATGATGAAGGCAGATTGGTTGAGGCAAGTCGTGGATTTGGAGATTGGATCGCAGGATTCGCAGAACAGAGTGAAGCCAATAGACAGCCTGTCGGAGATGGAGAATGCTGGACGTTGGCTGCAGAAGCGATCAAGTATACCAACAATACAGCCCAATTGACACCTGATAATCGTTTGGTGACCTCAATTGGACGTACACATGGTCATTTGATCTATGCGGCAAAAGCGGAAAAGGGCAAAGGTCAATGTGGAAGGTGGAGAGGAGGTGATCGGATAAGGAACAATTGGGGCGGTATTCGACGTGGAGATATCATTGAATGGAAGACGGCTCGATGCAGCGAAGCAGGTGCACCAAAAGGAAGTTATATGACCTTGGGTGCACCAGAACATACTGCTGTCATCATCTCCAACTCACCTGTTCCGGATCGTTTAAGTCAAAAGCAAGGAGGAAGTAGCGCAAACAAAGAAGATACCCATTACAGCATCCTAGGTGTAAAGCCGACAGCGACACAAGCTGAAATTCGTTCCGCTTATCTAGCTGGTGCACGCAAACATCATCCTGATCGACACGCCGGAGCAGGAAGTCAAGATGACGAACATATTCAAAGACTGAATGAAGCCCATGCGACCTTGACTGATGCCCGCTTACGGGAAGCATACGATAGAGATCTACAAAATGGAAGGGCAAACAAAGCCACTCGATCGAATCAAAGTAGAATATCTGCAACTGTTGATTTAGATTCGATGGAAACGGTTGAAGAGAGTGAAATCTTGACATTCTTTCATCCTTGTAGATGTGGTAATGGATTTTATGTAGATGAAAATCAACTTCAACAATCTTCTGCTCCTATTATTGGATGTTCAGGTTGTAGTGAACAAATCAAGATTGTTGCTGATCCTTCATCAGTGACACAAGAAACAGAAGAGGACGCGGAAGAGGATGAAGATCAACCGGAGTTGGCGCCCTGGGAGCTAGGAACGATTACGACCATCGAACAAAGTGCAGGTAAAAATCCAACAAGGCGAACGTACAATTTAGCAGCCGACAGTTTTACAGAAGGCGAAATTTGGATCTATAGACCGATATGGGAAAAGGAGTATTTAGGCGGTGCTGTTCAACCTGGATGGCCACCTGCTTTGCCTAATTGGCAATCATTGACGTAATTGCTGTGTGACATGCTCATATATATTGTTTGTATCTTGTATTCGTATCATGATGAGATAAATTGAAGATTGATTCCAAGCTTGAGCGCGGCAGATAAGAAGTGTCGGACCGGTGTACATACAAGGCTTAGCTAGCGTGTAAAGAATGGAAAAAGATCTTGATCCGAACAACGAAGATGTCAAGAATACGAAATGGTGTGGGACTGTTGAGTCGGCATAGATGGGGCTTACTTCAACCGTACGGCTGCTCTACATTGACGCTCCAGCCAAGAAATTCATTCTCCACCGGTAGAATAACAAAGTCAGCCAATTCAATTCCTCAATTGACCTTGTATACCGGTACAGATTGTCAATTATGCGATGTAGCCAAGGAAGTCTTAGACAAGATTGCAAAAGAGGTAAGCGCTTTACCTAGAGATTGCATGCTAAAAGAAATCTAACATTGCTCCAATTGTCGCTGTCAGACACCATTTGATCTGCATCTCTATAATATTCGTGATAATTCTTTGCCTGACATCCAAAAGTGGAGAAGGGCATATCAATACGGTAAGTGAGACTAAGCTTAACTTCTGATAATATTCGACTGCTTAGGCTTTTGCTGCATCCTTAGATATACCGGTCCTACACTTGAATGGCAAAGGTGAGGATGACTAGACTATTAAGAAGTATGCTTGTTCTAACATCTTCACACCATATCACAGAGATTGCACGACATAGACTTAATAAGGAAAGTGTTTTAGATCAAATAAAGCAAGCTACCAATCAAAGCTCAAACGAAAAATAGTTCTGGATCTCATAAGTCCAGAGTGATGTATTTATATTAGATCTTGAATTTATCATACAGTATGGTGTACAACCCTTGAAACCTCGCATTATTCAAACAGCACCTGCCGGTGTAACATGACGTACCTTTCTTGCTATCCAAAATTCAGGTGCATAATCATATGTCAACATCGAATATGGATTACCCGTATACGGTTGAGGTTTCATCGTACGTTGTTCCTCAATCACGAATCCCATCAATTCGATCAATCCAATCGCTTCCTCCAAGGTTAATTCGATACTAATTTCTCCATTTGTTGCACCTTCGAAATGCCACAATAGCGGTCCGATATTAACCCAAACGCCATCAATTGGTAAAACATGATTGATCACTTCCAAATAACGTGCAAAATTACGTGCAGTATCGATGAAGAAACATGTTGCAATCGAATGCCATGCACCACGTTCTTGTTCTTTTGAATACACTTCAACAAACTCTCCTGCAACCATTGAAAAGTCAATATGGGAGGGCAAATCAGTCGGGTTGATATCGGGAATCTTGATCGCACGTAACATATCCGTTGCCGTTCTCCAATTGGAAGAAGAATGAATGAACGGATAAAGAACGTGTTGATTTGTCGAAATAGTCTTATTGAGAATAAAGTGTGATGCCAATAACATGAAAAAGCTAAATTCGTTCCCTTGACAGCTAAAACCTTGCCATGCAATCTCAAAAGCAAGTCTACCCAAACCTGCACCAGGAACCAAGACCCGTATCTGTGCACGTTGGGCAGACGGAATGTGTGCAAATCGCTTTTCCAATGCTTCCAAAATGGGATCATAGGCCGCTTCACGTTCTGAAGCACCTTCTTCACTCCAATCACGAACGAATTGTTTTAACGTGCTTCGAACTTTGTCAACGTCATGACTCGACACCGGCTTCTCCTTCCCTGCTTCTTTGGAGGATGATGTTGTACTTTTCGATCCAGACGTTCCACGGCGATCTTTACCACTACTTCCACTGCCGCTCGACTCGTTTTGATCTGCTTCTACTGTTGTCTTTTGAGTTGTTGCTCCTGCTGTGCTGTCTGTTCTGGCCTCGCCCTTGCTCAACTCTTCTGCTTCGCCCAAGAATCCTTTTGAATCGGAAACGATTTGCGATAAAAAGTCTGCATTTCTACGTATCCGATCATCGATTTCGTCCAATCTGGCTTTGAATCCTCTGCCACCTGCGATGATAGAATGTTCTTCATTTGCAGATCCTTCGCTTTCCAGTAGCGGCCCCGGAAGTGTTGGTCCCAAAGACGAGAACAATAATCGATGTGATCGAGGTAGAGCATAGAGTGATTTCCTTCTCGCACTGTTTGCTGCTAAGGAATAAACGAGATAAGTATCAAACGCTCTTAACACACCTTCAAAATGTGCACGTTCTTTATCCTGATCTTCTTCTGAGCTTGAAGTATTTGAGTTTGTATGCGTTTCTTCCTCCTCCCGCTTCTCAGATTGAGCCGGTAACTTTTGCTGTTCGTCTGTCATCTTTGCATCATTTATCCTTCCACGTACCGGTCTTCCTCGAGAGATTGCTTTACTCCACTCTTCCGGTTCAGCACTCAATGCACGTCTATATCGATGCGAATTCAAATCACCCGAATCATACGAAGATGCAGAAGATGTAGAAGCAGTCGAGGAGTTTGAGGTCCTCCTATCAGAACGAGAAGTTGATCGATATGCAGTAGCACTTGTCGTTGCAGCAGCAGAATCTTCTTTTGCGTTTCTCGGATATGGAAACCAAGGCCTTTTCTCGTATACAGATGATGAAGGCACACCTGTTGGCACAGCAGTTGTCTGGGATACCGCTCTCCAGCTGCTTGTCGGATTAGGATCGTTTGGCGTTGGAGTTTTCGATCGTGCCGGACGTCTTGATGTTCCTAATGGTCTAATCGGTCTTGCTTCCCTCGTTCTTGCTTCTTCTGATTGATTCCTCCCCGCACCTTCTCCTCTTTCCCTATGGTCATCATTACGATCATCAGATGAAGATGGTCGAGAATTCATAGTACGCAAGGGCGGCGGATAGTGAAAGAATTGGAGGAATGAGTTGCATTAGCATACAATGACCATTTTGTTTGGTTGTTGTGTGAAAGCAGTAACATCTCCATGGTAATACGGATGAAACGGATTATTGTCCATTTGCAACAGCATTAAAATACTCACCTTTTTGAGTCGGGAATAGGGCAAATGCCGTTATCAATTGGAAAAAGACAAAAGTCAAGTGAGAAGGAATCATGTGTAAAATGCAGGGAAAGCTTTAATTGCCGCTAATTGTTAAAGAATTTACACTGAAATTACGCCCCACTACGATTCAAAGATAAGAGATTGCAGCCGCTCACGTAAGCAAAAGTCCATTGCCAAGAAGGGGTTCAAACACACAAATTGTCAATATTCTTTAATGATGATGATTATATTCCGATTTAATTACATTTATCATTCATGAAACGATGGGATTCCTAGAAACATCGAAAGTGATTCCTTTTTGCACCTTTCCTCCAATTTCTTTAGCTGTGATTGTTCCATCTTCATTTCCAAAATAAGCTGCTTGACACATGTTCGTAAATAATCCAACTTCGATCACACCTGTCAAAAGTTTGATCGTCTTGAGTAATTCATCAGGTTGCTTCATAAACTTTTCATCAAATTGTGCATCGATCACAAAGTTACCGTTATCCGTTACCACTGGTCCAGCTTTGGCTTTTCCCATTCGAAGAGCGGCATTTGTGCTTCCCAATTTAACCAATTGTCTTTGTACTTTACTCCATGCAAATTCTGCTACTTCGATTGGAACACCTTGTTTCCATCCTTGACCGAGGATTTCACCATTTTTACGGAAATCTGCTACGATGATGAAAGTCTTTGCTGCTTCTGCTAATACTTTTTCACGTAATTGACATGCACCGCCTCCTTTGATTGCGTTCAAGTTGGAATCCACATCATCGGCTCCGTCAATTGTTACATCAATTTCAGGAAATGAATCCACATCACCCAATTTTAAACCATTTTTAACAATAAGTTCTTTTGATTGAAAGCCAGTTGGAACGAACCATCGATTTGTGTTAACTTTTGGACCTTGCTGTACAATCCTTTCTACTACATAAGGAACAGTAGATCCCGATCCGATTCCGATGATTTGATGTTCAGGTTTAACATGATTATCCACTGCAGCATAAGCAGCCGCTCTTTTTGCAGCTTCAACACCTTGTAAAGCGTTCAATTGTAGTGGTGCAGCAGCCATTGCGGTTGTATGTGATCTGAATTGTAAAGCGGGAATGAATGTTTTGTTTGATGTCTTTATTGCTGATCTAGAAGTGTGAATAAGTGATCGAAGCATATGTTGCTCGTGTTGGAAGTTCTTGATGATCAAAATCAGCATGTGACTTCAATTGTGTGGAGCTTAAGGGCGGCATGTGTCTGTGTGGGCCCGTGCCTGTTCTTGGTTCGTCTTAATTCCGAAGAGTGTGATCGAGAAAAGTGGAGATTGAATGATACTGTTAAAGTGCCTTAGCAGCCATCGGGAATTGAGTTTAAAGCGTGAAACTTCTAGCGGCGCACGGTTGCGACAAGTAAGCACAAGCACAAGCAAAGCACCACACACACGCACGCAATTCATAAGTAGATGCACCACTTCATTGTTTGGATATTAAAAGACTTCAAGACTGAATTACACGCCACATCATTCTTGCTTCCTAACTATCATCTTACTGCTAGATAATAATCAATCATAATGGCCGCCGCAAACGAACACACTCTTCCTCAATTGCCATATGCATACAATGCATTGGAGCCTGCCATCAGTGCTCAAATTATGGAAATCCATCATTCAAAGCATCATCAAGCTTACGTCAACGGTTTAAATGCCGCCGAAAAGGCATACGCTCAAGCAGCTCAATCAGCTGACGTTCGTAAACAAATCGAATTGCAATCAGCCATCAAATTCAACGGTGGTGGTCATTTGAACCACTCCTTGTTCTGGAAAAATTTGGCACCTCAAAAAGAAGGTGGAGGTCAATTGAAAGACGGACCTTTGAAACAAGCAATCGATAAAGATTTTGGCGGATTGGACAAACTCAAAGAACACTTTAACAAAACTACAGCTGCCATCCAAGGATCCGGTTGGGGCTGGGTCGGTTATAACTCTTTCAACCAACGTTTGGAAGTCGTCACCGCAAAGGATCAAGACCCACTCACATCCCATTACCCAATCATTGGTGTAGATGTTTGGGAACATGCATACTACTTGCAATACCAAAACTTGCGCCCTAAATACCTTGAGGCTATCTGGTCCGTTGTCAACTTCCAAGAAGCCGAAAAACGTTTCCAAGAAGCTCAAAAGAAAGCTCAACTTTGACTCGTTGAGAATCAGAAAGCTAAAATTTGAACACATGTAGGGTTAAAAGAATGAAATGAGATTGAATTGCGAAATAATAGTATGTCTACATTTCTTCAACCAAATCATCGTCGATCTTACCGAAAATTCACTTGCCAGTTGTTGAATCGGATGAGAAGTCGTTGAATCGGATAAAGATTTTTCGACGTTTTAGGGTGTTCTGTCCCATCATATTCTCGATTAAAGTCTTAGCAATATTCCTCATTTGTTTTGCATCATGATCGGGTGTCACTTTGAACGATTTAGGAGAATACGGTTCCAGAATCACTTTGTTTTTGTACATCTCCACCAACGTTTTCAGTAATTCTTCACGTTCCTTTAATCCGTTTTGTGCATACCACTTATTCATCATAAATCCACGAATTGCCATATTTTGAAAGATTATCAAACCTGCTGGAACAGTAAGTGGTTGTCTAGACATTGCTCCGTAGGTGATCAAAGTTGAATTTGTGCTCATAAGCTTGGCCATATCTGCATTTGCTTGGCCACATACTGCGTTTAAACCCAATTTGATCTGTCTATCACCCAAGATTGTCTTTATCCTTTCTTTCAACCCGCTATTGCGATCCGCCAAGTGCTCATAAGAGAACAAATAAGCTTTGCAACTTTCATCCCCTTTGCTGTAAGAATCAAAGGCTTTTTGTAGTTCTTCGGAATAGGCGTTACTTCTTATGAAGTTAATGGAAGCCACTTTTAGTTTGCGAGACGCAATCTGAGCAACTGCTTGTCCAACGGCTGAATTGGCAGCGTTTTGAACGATTACATCTTTTTTCGGATCCAATTGATGAAAATCATGTAACATTCTGTATGCCGTTGCAGGATTAACTTGTAAGGTAGAAGCCATATAAGGTGTAATTTGACTTTCTTTTCTATTTGGAATTTTGATTACATCATTTGCATTGCAAATTAAACCACTTCTCCAAGTTCCAATTTGTGGTTTTGAAAAGATTACCCAATCACCTCTTTTTAATCCGTTCAAATCGCCATTTTCTGATAATTTTTCAACAACACCAAAACCTTCATTTCCTCCTATCCAAACTTCTTCTTCTATTCCGGGAAGTTTTTGTTTTTCCGGTTTAGCAGGATAAACGCCTTGGATCACATTGAAATCTGCCGGATTTACTGATGCATGACCAATTTTGACAAATATTTCACCTTCTTTGAGATTTTTTGTGTCTATATCCCATACGTGACCTTCTAACTTTCCTCTTGGATCTCCATTTTCTTTATAGATCAAACCTTGGATACGTTCACCATTGATGGCGGTATTGTGAAATGTTCTTTGTTGTCGACATAGTTGGACAGTGGACCATCTCTGTAATTGACTAATTGCAGACCGTCTAATGGTTGTTCTACTTGCATTTATACATGTTAACATTTTGACATTCTAATGATGAAGGAAGCATGTCAATGAGCGGGGTATTAACTGGCTTGTGCATTTTTAGGAAAGCAAAAGATCTTCTCTCTAGCGCGAGTTCAACTGAGTTTCAATTCTCATCAGTGGCTGAATACGATTGCAACAAAAGTGTGCTTCCTGATATAGAAAGACGTATTAATATTCCATACGCCCATAGAGTCATGCCTTACTCTTCCCTCTTAAAGCGGCGGCAACTCATTTGGCAGATCCGAACGGGCCTTTATCAATAATAAATCACACCAGTCACACACAATCCTGCGCCTGCGCATCAATTGACGGCTCAAGCAGCCGATCGAATCAATTTGCACACAAAAAAAGAAAAAAAAAAGAAAAGGATGCTGTGCGCTGAGCATTTAAAATACATACACGCGAACGAATAGACTGATAAAATGGGCAGGGTTATGTCATGTGTTCATCCAAATCGATGAGGGGTGAGCTGCTGCTGCTGCTGCTTCTGCAGGCACAAATTGTAAAGTAAGGCGTTTTTGCCCTTTTTTGAGCCACAGCAGCAAGACAGCAGGGTGTGTGTGTATGTGTGCGGATTGTTAAAGCCGTGATTGAATTGATCGTTCGATATGCATCATCTTCAAACTATAGAATCATCCTCCATCATTCTTATCCTGAACTCACCAGGAACGATCTTGAGAAGGATTGACACCCACCAATAAGGACATCTGTGAAGGAACATCTTTGGGTTGCGATTAGAACATCTCAAACTTCGACTTCAACCGGTGGAAAACGATCCCAGATCTCTTACAGCATTCCCTCTGATTTGCCATCTCTACTTTCTCACCTATAGAGCAGCTTCACCTACTCTTACTCTCTCGATATGGTCAACACTGTTGCACCCGGCCAACTGAGCCGTAAGATTCGAATCACCGTCGTCGCCGCTGATGGATTGTCCAAACGTGATGTCTTTCGTCTTCCAGATCCATTTGCCATCGTCACAGTTGACGGCGAACAAACTCATACGACTTCTGTCATCAAAAAGACGTTAAACCCTTATTGGAGCGATAGTTTCGATGTCTCAGTCAAAGATTCATCCGTTTTAGCAGTTCAAATCTTTGATCAAAAGAAGTTCAAGAAGCGCGATCAAGGCTTCTTGGGTGTAATTAATGTTTCAGTCGCCGAGGTGATCGATCTGGAATTAGGCGGGAAAGTTCTCTTGACCCGTGACCTCAAACGCTCCAATGACAACCTCGTCGTACATGGAAAGATCATCATCGAATTAAATACAGACATCACAAAGCCGATCAACAATCACAGCGGTGCAGGACCAACAAGCGCATTATCCGTTCCAAATGCGTCCACCAATGCATCTTCCACATCTTTGGCATCCAGTGCCAGACCCGATGGTCACCAAGCGGCAGGCTCAAACGGCGACTCATCAAGCGCAAGAGCAGAACAAAGCACAAATGGAAATGCCACAGCTCATACGACCGGCACAATCTCATCAGCAAGGCCATCATCAAGCTCCATTGCTGCAAATCCAAGCGGTGCCTCTTCTTCGGCTGTGCCAACTTCTAGCCCTGCTCCTGGATCAAGCGGTGCAAACGCAACGACAGCATCCGGAGCTCGTCAAGACGCAGGGCGCGATGATGCCGGCCTTCCACCAGGATGGGAACGTAGAACGGATCATTTAGGTCGTACCTACTATGTTGACCACAACACCCGCAGCACAACTTGGACACGGCCAACAATGTCGAGCAATGGTAGTCAACAAGCTGCTCAAGCAACTGCTGCTGATCGTCAACGTCACAGCAACCGAGCTTTGGCTGATGAAATGCTGGGAGTAGGTAATGATGGCGATACAAGCAGCAGAGCAGGCTCTTCAATCGCTCCTGCTGCTGGTAGCAACTCTGCTCTGGCAACTGGTTCCGCGACATTGGCCGGTTCAGGACCACTTCCTCCAGGATGGGAACAAAGAAACACTCCCGAAAATCGTCCATACTTTGTCGATCACAATACCCGTACTACGACTTGGGTCGATCCTCGTCGTCAACAAATCTTGCGTGTGATGGGTCCCAACGGAAACAATCTCACTGTTCAGCCACAAAGTGTTTCACAATTGGGCCCTTTGCCAAGTGGATGGGAGATGCGTTTGACGTCAACTGCCCGGGTCTACTTCGTGGATCACAACACCAAAACTACAACTTGGGACGATCCTCGCTTGCCATCTAGCTTGGATCAAAATGTACCGCAATACAAGCGTGACTTCCGTCGCAAGTTGATCTACTTCCGTTCTCAACCTGCTTTACGTCCTATTCCAGGACAATGTCACATCAAAGTCCGTCGTACGCATATTTTCGAGGATTCATACGCAGAGATTATGCGTCAACAACCTAATGATCTTAAGAAGCGTTTGATGATCAAATTCGACGGTGAAGATGGATTGGATTATGGTGGTCTTTCTCGTGAATTCTTCTTCTTGTTGAGTCACGAAATGTTCAATCCTTTCTACTGTCTATTCGAATATTCTGCCCACGACAATTACACTCTACAAATCAACCCTCACAGTGGTGTCAATCCTGAACATTTGAACTACTTCAAGTTTATCGGTCGCGTTCTTGGTTTGGCAATCTTCCATCGTAGATTCTTGGATGCATACTTTATCGTTTCGTTCTACAAGATGATTCTCAAAAAGAAGATTCAACTTGCCGATTTGGAAGGAGTGGACGCAGACTATTACCGTTCCTTACAATGGATGCTCGACAATTCAATCGTGGATGTTGTTGATGAGACATTCACTGCAGTCGAAGACAAGTTTGGTGAAATCGTCACTGTTCCTTTGAAAGCAGGAGGTGAAGACATTGAGGTGACGGATGAAAACAAGAAAGAGTACATCGAATTGATGACTGAATGGCGTATCGTTCGTCGTGTTGAAGAGCAATTCAAAGCTTTCATTAGCGGTTTCACAGAATTGATTCCACAAGATTTGATCAATGTGTTTGATGAACGTGAATTAGAACTATTGATTGGTGGTATGTCAGAAATTGATGTCGATGACTGGAAACGATTCACAGATTACCGTGGATTTACAGAACAAGATGATGTCGTTCAATGGTTCTGGCAATGCGTTCGTTCATGGCCACCAGAGCGTAAATCACGTTTGTTACAATTTGCAACGGGTACTTCACGTATTCCTGTCAATGGATTCAAAGATTTACAAGGAAGTGATGGACCACGTAGATTCACGATTGAAAAGTCTGGAGAAGTTACGCAATTGCCAAAGAGTCACACGTGCTTTAACCGTATCGATTTGCCACCTTATTCATCAAAAGAGATTCTGGAAGAAAAGTTGGTTTGGGCTGTTGAAGAAACTGTCGGATTTGGACAAGAATAAATGGTATTATCTCCGCTTTCTTTCTCTGTATCACATCTATTCATATTCATTCTTTCTTTAAAAGTGTTTTGTATATACTTCTTTCGGGTTAAACCTTTTATTTTCATACATTTATTCATCTGCATACACACTCTGATTTCGAATAATAGGACAGTCTTTTTTTTCCCATATGAATATGTACAAGATGAAAGTCAGCGATGCAGGGTTTACATAGTGGAGAAATGGCTTGCTTCTACAAGCCGAAGAGAATGAAAAGAAGATCTTATCATCTGAGCCGGATATAGACTTTTTTCGCATGCATGGTGATCTTATCTGAGTACATGTGCATAAACAGCAAGGAGACAAGACGCATAGCATAGACCTTATGTAGAAGCATATATTTGCATGGGAATATTATGTAGATCATTTCCAGAGCAGGAAGATCTTTGGTCTGATTCTTCTTAATCACAAAAGCCGAACAGAAAAGATCTTCAACGATTATCCCGATGTGACGTTCGGACGAGATTGTGGCGTGAAAGTATATGCATAGTATATGCAACCAATGCGAAAGAAACAATTCCGAGTATGTATAAATTATGCTTTCATAAGCAGCTGACTTTAAGCAACTTTTATATAAGTGATCATGACGCTGCTGCTGCTTGCTACTCCTATCTTTTCTCTTTATTGGGCAATTGTGTCTCTCGATCGTGCTGTCAATTGAATCAAATTAGAACGATCTTCAAATCTCCTTTTTTGGATTAGAACAAAAGGGGAGTGAACGGGAGTTTGACGCCTCTTTTTTTTTTATGCATGAGAACAACACTTGAAATGCTTGTTGTGTGTGTGTGTGTGTGTTGTTCTTTTGTTTCGCTGCCGCGCACGAATCTTGGTTTGAAATCCCGCTATAAAGCAGAGATGTGATCTTACACGGGTACAGAATATGTTTACAGCCCATCTACACACACTTTGGCTAGACTTTGCATTGTGTGCACACACACACGCATGCAGCCCGTATTCGGGCCTAATTGTTCCCTTTTGTGCCGATATGAAGAAAGAACAAGGTGAGAAATCACGAGGTGAAACACCTAAAACGCGTAAAACAACACACCAACACTACCACCCCCCAAATAAGGCAGTCTCGGGCTATCAAGGCAATTGTCCCGTCTTTCTGTTTTTTTGAAGTTTTTTTCCCTTTTTCCTTTCTTGCTTTTAGTCATTCGCACAATTACGTATTAATGCAGATTGACAGTCTTTTAGCACCAGTCCAACACAATCGACACTTTACGCTTAAAACCGATCGGACACAAAAAGGGTTTGTGTGTGTGTGTAATGCAGGGTAGAGTGAACAAATGATGGAAAGAACAGATGTACTTCTGGTGAGCAAGCATTACAACACAACTCAAATTAACAAAGACGATCAAATACAACAAAGGAACAACACTAATGATTTATTGACCGATATTGGGCATTCAATCGAACATCTTGAATCAAATCACCGAATTCGATCAAACATACAATCTGAATCAATAAACTCCCTTTCTCCTTTATCATCCGATGAACAATTAAGTGCGGGATCATCTATGTCTTTAGGATCTTCAACAGGACAACCAACATCATCAACAATGGCAGCAGCAACACAACAAAATGCGTTCTTTCAACATCATCAAGTTGCTTATTATACTTCAACGGCATCCACTTCAACAGCAGCAAACACAATGAGCAAGCCAATGAAGAAAAGATCCCCAAGAAGAGCAAATCAAGAAGGTCTAGGTGCTGCAATGGGTACAATGTTAAACAGCAAGAGTCCAGGTTTAGCAGCAAAGATGACCACAACACAATATATGGATATGTCACCTATACCAGCCTCAAGGATATCTTATGGAGAAATGACAAATGCTGCATTACTTCAACAAACACCTTCAAAAACATCACAATCTTGTCAAGAAGATGAAGATGAAAACCTTCCACCCGGAAGTGCAATGAAGATTGACAGTCCCCTCTCCACACAAGAAAACTCAACGCTCAAAGTAGCAAATGACAAAAATGCAAGAAGGAAGGCTGGCTCATTGGGACGCTTGTTTGGTACAGAATTATCACAACACTGCAGTACAGCAGACCATGAAGGTTACAAAACAATGCCTTTGGGAGGTCCATCTAATACAACGAAACATACAAGCTTGGGATGCGTTTTTGGTGGAGGTATGAATGATACTTCTTCAATGACATCCAGAGCAACTCAAAATTTGATCACACCACAGGATATGTCGGTCAGCATGGATAGCAGTAGCTTGCTTGCTATGGGAGATTATTCAATCGAAGATGCTTCTCCTAGCGTTCAATGTCGCATCCGTCAACAAAACAACTCCTCCAAACAACCTTCGCCGAAAGGGCAAAAAGCCAAATTACCCAAAATACACCTCCCTCCAGGCTTCGATGAACAAGGATCACCAGTCGTCCCTACTGCACGACCAAATCTGTTCAGAAGGCCCAGTAAGGATGATAGTAGTCCTTTGGGATACGGCAAAAAGTTCGCAAGCTTCACTGCACGAAGCGGAACGAGCGCTGCATTAGCGATGGGATACAATCTTGACACCACACAAGGATCACCAAGAAGTCCTGCTTCTACTACGAGACATTCTACAGGTCTTGTGGGTGTCGGATCAAACGATCAACTTAACATGCCAGGCTTTGGTGCTTCGGAACTTCAAGGCAAAATATTGCCTTGTTTCAGCGTGAAGGATGATGGTCTCATGCGAATCACTGCTGAGACACTCTTGAAAGTTTTGAACGGTGACTATGATCAACAAATGGATGGATTCCAGGTTATCGATTGCCGATTCGGATACGAATTTGAAGGTGGCCATATTGAAGGTGCAATCAACCTAAGCACGATGGACAAAGTCAAGAAACATTTCTTGCAACCAGAATTGGGATCTTCCACAGATGAAAATTGTCCATCTTCATCGAAGAGATGCCTTCCTCCTCGTAGTCAGAGTGGAAAAGCTGATGTTCATGGCAATAAGCGGAAAAAGGTGCTGATCTTCCATTGCGAATTCAGTCTGAAGCGTGGACCTTCTTCTGCACTTGCATTACGTCAAGCTGATCGTGCTTTGGCTCATGATTATCCCAATTGCCACTTCCCTGAAGTTTACGTATTGCAAGGTGGCTATTCTGGTTTCTTTACGAGATATAGTGGAAAGGCATGTAAGCCAAATGCCTATATCCCGATGGACGATCCTCAATTCCAGCAACATCGCTCCATCGAATTGAATGGCTTCCGGAAGCAATTTTCCAGACATCGCAGTTTCACTTATGGAGATGCACGACAAGTGAACAGTGACTCAAACTTGGTGATGCCACCACCTCAACAACCGAACCAGAGAGGAGCACATCAAAAAGTCATGACGAGCAATATGATCAAAGAAGAAGACTCCTCCTTTGATCAATCGGGAGGCAGCCCTTCTGCACTACAGGCAAGCGCCTTGATGGCAAGGAGAAAAGGACTAATGCGACATGCAACTGCATCATGTGCATTAGGATCAGCACCAAATATGATCACCACTTCAAGGATTGAGAGTTCTTCGACAACCTCTTCATCGTCTTTGGGCGTTAAGCCCGTCTTGACAAATCGAATGCGGAGCGTGCAAGAAGGAGGCAAAGAAAAGCCTGCGCCTACTTGCGTTGGAGATTTGAGTTTCGATGACAGTTGCTCAATCGGTGATGATTCTACCACATCTTTTGACGGTGAAAATGGAATCAATGATAGTCCATGTGCAGCAGCAACTGCAAGTAGTCATTCACGCAGACTACCTGCTCTTGCTCCCGGTCCACGTCCACCGATGATGTCTTCCTTCTCAACATCTGCAGCAAGAATGCCTCAATTCCGTGCACCCAGAAGAACTGCTTCTTCCAACTCTTTCGTCCCTGCCATGTCTCCAATGGAAAGGTAATATCATCTTTCCTCTCTATTTTATTGTAATGCATCTCTCAACAGCACATTTTTCGTCTTCTTTCTACATTTTTATCATACCAGTTGAAACACATTTGGACATTTTATCGCTTGCACTATTGCAACACTACAATTTATACCAAAAGGACAATCAATTCATTTTTTAAAAACTATTTTACATCAATAAGCATCAGGTTCAGGTTGTGATTGTGACTCAGGTTTATTAAGTTCGGCTTGTGCGTCTGCTGAACCAGGGAAAGGTCTACGTTCTCTTCCTGCACGTAATTCTGCACGAATCCAATCTGCCTGCATTTCCATATCACGCTTGACTTCTATACTGGTTGCTAAACCTTCTTTGCTTTGATCGATTTCAGATTGACTTCTTGGTCCTTTGTATTCTTTACCACGTTTTGCTGCCAGCACCTTTGCTTTTTCGATCAATCTTTCGATTAGAGAATGATCCGTTTCACGTTTCTTTTTGGGTGATGGCTCTACTTCGCTCTCGGATTGTTCTTCCCCATTCTCTTTTTTGGGCGATCGTCTTGCCGGATTAGGATGCGTTGCGCCACCTTGACCGTCCAATTTCGATCTCCTGCCAGCGGTTGACATTGTCAAGTCATTTGCCGGAGGACGTAAGACATCATGTTGAACATCGTGTAAACCGTAAATACGAAACATTTCCAAAACGCCTTGTTCTTTATCTTTGCATTCTAACATCAAATCTGCATCTGCCGGTAAATCAGGCGGAAGTTCTGCACAACGATCAGAATGTGCCCTTCGATCACGAGAATTTGCCGCTCCTGGCCTTGGTTCGGAAAGATGATATTTTGGCGGAACACCTCGTTTAGCAAAAATCGCTTCTGCACGTTCAATAATCTCAGCAGGCGAAAGGGAAGATGGCCTTAGCATATCATGATGGAAATCGAACACCAAAGGAACCGGTGGATCGAGTGATTCACATAACGGTAAAAGTTCTTCAGCACTATAGCCCAATTCATCATTTTCCAAAACGAGTCTACTTCGTACCGAAGGCGAAAGACGATTGTTGATCGTATCCCGAATACGCTCTAATGTTGCTTCTCGATCTCCAAACGTACCGCCACCGTGTAAGATCATAACACCTTCACTTCCAACGCCCATCAAATCCAAGACTTTTGCATGAACGTCCAATTCTCTCAAACTGGCTTCCAGTACACTCTGCTTTGGCGTTCCAAGTTGACAAAATTGACCGGGATGCATGGTTAACCGTTGATCGAGTCTTTTTGCTGCTGCACCGGCTTCTGCAAGTTCCTTTGCAGCAAATGAGATATCATATCCGTACACATCATGTGATGCGAAAGGAAAGATTTCTGATGATAAACGCATCATACGAATATTATTAGCCGCATTCCATTCTAGTAATGGGATAATGTCCAACACATTTTGTCTTGCTAAGTCTTTGACATAATCCAAGCCTTTTTCTTGAATTGTTTTGATTCGGACGTTCCGTGAGCAGAACTTCGGCGGGTCTTCGTTTCGCAAAACTGTATTCAAACAGGCAAATCCTAATCTTCCGCTATAGCCATTACTACGCTCTGCTCGTTTCTCTGGAGGTCCTTCCAATCGAAAGTCTCTTCTTGGCACATCGGGTATAATGTATACGATTGGCTCTTTTGGCTTTTTGGCCCTTTTGCCCCCTCCACCTCCGCCTCTTTTCTTCTTTGCTGCTGGTTTTTCAGTGGCTGATTCGTCACTGCTATCCTGTTTGTATGTCTCTCCCTCCTCTTTGTCCTCTTGTTCTTCTTCTTTATAGCTATTTACCTTATTTGATGCTTTTCTCCGTCTTTTCGGAGCTGGTTTTGCGTCTTCATTTTGTTCTTCTTCTACCTCTTGTTTGACTGCTTTTGCTGTTTTCTGTGATGATTTTCTGCCTCTCTTAGGTGGTGGCAATGGTGGTGACTGTGCCTCTTCTACAGGTTCAGGCTTCACCGTATGAATAGCCCTTACCATTCTACCACTCCTTCTATGCTGTAATCCCTCTATTGCAGGCACACCTTCTTGTATTGATGTTGGATCATTATTGGGTATACCTTGTTCAATCTTTATACGAATAGCAGTTGGCATTCCGATAAATGATCGTGAAAAGAGTGTATGTATTGGATGTATGATTCGAATTTGTCTTGCACTTAGAATTGAAAACCTTTGCATGGAAAATGGAGCGATTCAAGATGGGATGGAAGTATAAAAAGTACCGTATAAAATGATTCCCTCATCTAGAATATATCCATCCATCTTTTTGTTCTTTTCTTCATAATCAAAATTCTCATACCATACCCTTCATGCATGCATACACTCAAGTGGAGAAGACTGACGGGGTAAATCATAATTGGCGCGCTTGTTTTAATGATGACGATCTTCAAGGGCAAAAAGGCTTAGTAAGGCAGAAGCTTCAACACGCGAATTAGCATTAGCACGCGTCTTGTAAGCACACACGCGTAAAAGATATGACTACGCGTTTATAGGACCAACACTTTTGGGAGGGATATGCAGTCATTCTCATGAATGCATACAGGGTACAACTCTCCTTCTTTCTCATCAACATCCAGTCAAAATGGTCAGGCCAACAAGACTAGCCGCGATTCAAAGAACTCATGATGCTGCTGGAAAGATGACTGTTCGTAAACGTCCACCAGCCGATTCACAGCCTAAATCAGGTTCACTGGCAAGACCAACACGAAAGAAGGCCTTGCCTGCACAAAGTAGAATGGATGAAGTTGATACATCTTCAGTAGTATCAGAAGATGAATACGAAAGCGAATTGACCGATGATGATCAGGAAGATGACATATCGGACACTTATCAACCAACGAAAAAGCGAAAGACAGATACCGGAGCAAAAGCAACGAAAAGCAAATCAAAGCCCACAGAGAAGAACAAGACAGCACAACCAAAAAAGAAACAAGCATCTACAGCCATTGGATCTAGTCGCACTCGTAAAGGTGGAAGTAAGGAGGACCTCGCCATCAATACAGACAATGTACTCTTCAATGCGATCCTCGAGTCCGACTTACGTTCAACCGCACAAGAATGGATGGCTCTCTACGTACAGGATGAACCAAAAGCCATGTCTCAATTTTTGACTTTTGTTATACGAGCATGCGGAAGTAACGAGACTATAGACGAAGTACAAGCGACGGATGCTGATAGTGCTGACGAAAGACTAGAGGAAATCCAAAGCACATTCAAAAAGCAAAGCAATCCATCCTATCCACTCATCTCAAAAGCGCCTGCATACCGTAAATTTCGTCGATCGACAAGTCAATTGATGGAACACATTTTCACTGCAGCATCAGAAGCTGATGTCTTGGACGATGAAACATTGATCGATACAATTGTTGCCTGGCTCGGAGCCATGACATCAAGCAAATACCGAGCAATTCGACATACGTCAACGGCCATTGTATTGATGATGATAGGACAAATTGCAAGATTGAACAAAGAGGCACGAGAAAAGTTTGAACAACTTTCAAAGCAAAAAGACGCCGAAGGTGTAAAAAAGAATCCTGCTCGTCATAAAGCATTTATGGACCAAATCAATTCCGTCAATAAAAAGCGCAAAAAGCTCGACACATACCATCAAGAATTGGATGAAGCCGTTTTCATTCATCGTTATCGAGACTCGGATCCAACTATTCGTGCTGACTGCATGGAAGAATTGGGTCGATGGATGTTGATGTGTCCAGAACAATTTCTTAAACATAATTACCTGAATTACTATTGGTGGGAAATGTCCGACGAAAATGCATCGGTGCGCATGGTGGTCGTACAAGGATTGAGAGCAATTTATTTGCGACATCCTTCTTCCAATGCTTTGGACCTTTTTACTGAAAAATCTTTGACTCGAATGATCGAGATTGCGACTGGCGATGTTGATTTGAACGTTCGCATCGCAATGATTAATACCCTTTTACATGTCGATCAATCTATGGATCTAGACGATGACGAAGCCCGTGAAACACTTGCTCGTCATATTTTTGATACCGAAGCCAAAGTTCGTGCCGTGGTGGCCCGCTTCTTTGCACACATTGTCGAAGAACGAATTACGGATGCAAGCGATGAGAACAGAATGCGCTTCAAACAGATGGCATCTTTCTTGGTTCAATTGCTGGGAGAAGAGGATGATGAGAATGATGTAGCACCAGGCGTGACAAAGGTTTCTCGCGCATTGGAATCCATCTTGGCCGTACCAGATTGTCAATACGAATGGAAATCGTTGATCGAGCTTCTTCAGTTGGATCACTCTGCAGCAACAGGACGTAAGAGAGGCGGCAACTCTGCAAATGCTGCTGAGGAAGAATATCGCCTCGAAGCAAGAGAAGAAGATGTTCTATTAGAATGTATGGAAGTCATGTTACGCAAAGCAAAGGCAGCAAGTGATGCACAAGCTACGACAAAAAAGGGCGCAGACGATGAACAGGAAGAAGAGCAGCATGCAGCGATGACCCAACAATTGATGACTGCACTACCAAAGTTATTTGGCAAGTACAAGACAGAATCAGAACGAGTCACGAAATTGCTTGCGCTGTTGCCACACATGAACTTGGCTTCTTATCTCGAATATCAACAGATGGCAGCCTATGAGACACTGTGGGACACTGTGATTGATCAATTTGAGCGTCACACGGAAACACATGTGGTCAACAGTGCTGCAGAAGCGATTGCAAGCATGGCAAACACTAAAGCGCTCAATGCAGTGAATGATGAAAAGCTGCTATTGTTACGTCAAAGTGTCATTTCCGCTTTGCAAGAGGCTGTTCCGTCTTTTGAACAATTGCTTGGGAATGGAAATCTTCAGCATGACGAAATCCATCGTCTTTCAGCTTGCACGAACCGACTGAAATTGCTGTTCCGTCATGTGGATTTGTCTCAAGATATCGACGAAAGTGGTGAAGAGAATGCTAATGGGGGCATTTGGGATATCTTACTTGCATGTACGCAAAGAATATCTTTGGAGAAAGAAGGAGAGGGCGAGTTGATAGAAAACGCAATCGTAATCTTGGGCGTTTACATCATTTGGAAGACCAATGCGATCGTCAATATGGATGAAGGACCAGAAAGAGCCGCACAAGCTGAAGCATTGCTAACAAAACGTCAAGCATTCTTGTCCTCTTGCGAACGGGTTCTAGAAGTTCAAACTTATGACGATAATCTTGCTGCTCAACGTCAAGCTTTCCGACACATGCTGGACGTTTACATCATTTATGCCAATTTGGCAGCCATTGACGAAGAGAGAAAGAGAGCAAATGCAGAAATTGCGCTCAACTTGCCACAATCGTTGCAACTGTCATGTACAGCAAGTGCTCAAGATCATTTGGCAAACTTTGTCACGAAGGAGTGTGAAAGATGTGCGCCTAGAGAAGAGGAAGAGGATGAGTTTGCATCGCTACAAAGGGAAGAAGAATTGTCATTCATTGTCTCACATTACGTAGGCGCGATTCGATTGGGTATTGTTGACATTCGCAAGAGTGCAGATATTCTCGCACGATATGGTCAAATGGGCGAATTATATGATGCATGCTTACGTATCCTCATCGAAGCGATTCGTGAAGTCGGCATCCAAGATCAAAAGCCAAGAACTGCTTGTGCAATCTTGTCTGATACTTTGACGAAAGCACAAACGTTCAACAATGCCGATGAGGAATCAAATTTCATCAATTTGGCGAAACTTTTATCCAGCTGTCTGGTCGTCCGAGGCCCGCATCTTACAATCTTGCAGAGTATTGATTCAAAAGAGGTGATCAAAATGCACGACGATCTAGTCTATCAAACGCTCAAAATAGAAGGACGATGGACCACATTAAAAGCCTTGGCTCAACTTGTGATCAGTCTTAAACCAAACGAAGCATTAAAGATTCAAGTCAGTCTGAACAAAATCTTAGAACAAATTGATCAAAATTCCGCAAGCGAAAGTGATCAAGATGCTTTGCGAACGTATGAGAAACGTCTTGTGACACTAGCCAGCAAAACTTTGTAAGAACTTTCCTTTTCTTTTTCTCATCTGTAAAATTTGTAACATAATAGCATTCATCGTTCCTCTACTTGTCTGATCTACATGATATGAGATAAATGCAGTCTCTAATTCTTCTTTTTGTCGTGAGTGATTTCGCCATTTGATTTGGCCTTTGAAGCTTCTAAGAAGCCTGGTGCGTCGGGTGGGTTGACGTAATTTCTTGTGATAAATTTGCAAATTTCATCAATGAAGATAACCGGTAAGGAGAATGCTAAAACACCTTTCCATTCTTCCCAATTGAGAGGCACAACGACGAAAAGGTCTCGCAAGAATGGAACGTAAAGGATCATGAAGTGTAATCCGATACTCAAGATGATGGCAAAGACTAAGAATGGGTTCTTTGTTGGGGGCTGAATTAGCAAAGAATCCACTTCAGATAGAGCATTCAATGCGTTTAGCATTTCAATCACCACCAAGATACTCAAAGAGATACTCGTTGCTGCCTTTGAACGATCATCGATAAACATGTTGCAGTCCAAAGTGAAAGGCGAAATTTTTTCAAAGGTTGTAGTACCGCATTGATGGAAGTGGGTGAGTTGATCGAATGTGATTTTAGGTCCACCGGCGTAATACATGAACCACCATGCATAACCTCCAACGGTTGCTGCTCCAACGTAGATACCAACAATCATATAACGGAAGAATAGCCATTTGCCGACCAAAGGTTCATCACGGTTGCGTGGTTTGTGTCGCATAATTTCATGATCGGGTGGGTTGAATCCCAAAGCAGTTGCAGGAAGACCATCGGTAACCAAATTGACCCATAACAATTGCACAGGAATCAATGCTTCGGGCATACCCAAAAGAACGGTTAAGAAGATACTAACCACTTCTCCGATATTGGAACTGATCAAATAACGAATAAAACTTTGGGTGTTGTTAAAGATACTTCTACCTTCTTCAACAGCCGTTTCAATTGTTGCAAAGTTATCATCGGCCAAAACCATATCAGCAGCCAATTTGGCAACATCCGTTCCACTAATACCCATTGCGATACCGATATCCGCTTTCTTCAAAGCTGGAGCATCATTGACACCGTCACCAGTCATAGCTACGACAAGCTTTTGCTTTTGCAATAATTCAACCAATTCGTACTTGTGCGAAGGTTCTGTGCGGCTGAAAAGACTTGCTCGCAAAGCTGCTTGTTGCTTTTGCTCCAGTGAAAGGTCGTCGAATTCACGTCCGGTGTATGATTTTCCAGTAAGATCTTCATCCTCTTCAAAGATACCAATTCTACGGCAAATAGTCTCGGCAGTCTTTTTGTTGTCTCCAGTAATGACGATAACTCTGATTCCGGCACTTCGGCATTTAGCAATGGCTTCCTTTACTTCTGGTCTTGGTGGATCAATTGTACCGCACATACCAACAAATGTCATCTTTTGTTCAAATCTAACGTAATCAGCACTGGAATCAGATCGGTAGGCTTTCGGGTCCACTGGCACGTTTTCGATCACAGCCATTGCCAAACAACGTAAACCATCGGCACCCCATTCCAACACTTTGTCTTCCAAAGCACTTCGCATGGAATCGGAGAGTGCAATCACTTTGCCATCACGTAACATGATGTTAGAGCAACGTTCAATGATTGCATCAGGTGCACCCTTTACCAGTAAAGCTCCTTGACCGTTGGGTCGACGGACCAAAGTTGACATTGATTTACGATCACGGGTGAATTCCAAAGTCAGGAGACGTTCGTATTGATTCTCATAAGCAACAGAGACAGCAGTTGCACGTTCTGAGACTGCCAAATTTGCCAATGAATTGTTTACGGAAGAATCATGATGTTCCAACTTTTCTACCAAGACCTTCAAAGCGGCTTCAGTTGGTGTACCGAGAGCAGCATGCAAGCCATTAGCATCAACGCTAATCTTTGCGTCATTGCACAAGGCACAAATTTCGGCCAAAGCATGCACATTGCCACCTTGCGAGTTAATCTTACCTGCAGGCTTTCCGTCTAAAGTGGTGATTTCGCCTCGAGGTTCAAAAGAAGATCCTGCAACGTGGAATTCGTCAATCTTGTTATCGGTAGTGCCAGCAGTCATGAAACTGGTAACACTCATCTTGTTTGTTGTCAAAGTTCCCGTCTTGTCGGAGCAAATCACATTTGTAGAGCCAAGGGTTTCAACAGAGGGTAAATGACGAACGATTGCATTCTTTTTAGCCATCTTTTTCGTACCCAATGCTAAACAAGCAGTAATGACAGCTGCCAAACCTTCGGGGATAGCGGCAACGGCCAAGGCGACGGCAATCTTGAAATAGTAAATTGCACCTTGAACCAAGCCACCATGCGATGGATCATTGAAATGGCGTACATTAATCAACCATACTAAGATGCAAATAACAGTAATCACTTTCGCCAACATATCTCCGAAATCATCCAACTTTTGTTTCAACGGTGTCTTCTCATCTTCTTCGTTTGAAATTGATTTGTGAATATCTCCAATGGCCGTTTTACTACCCGTTAGAACGACAACAGCAACTCCCGAACCGGAAGCGATTGTTGTTCCGCTGAAAAGCATGTTGGTCATATCTTGCTTTACAGCTTTAGTATCTTTGACAACGTCCAAATTTTTGTTCACACTCAACGATTCACCAGTCAAAATTGCTTGATCTACGCGGAAGCTACTCGATTTGATAGCGATCAAACGACAATCGGCAGGAACTTTATCACCAACGGTCAAGCTAACGATATCGCCCGGGATAACGTCAACAGATCGTATTCTTGCATCTTTTCCATTACGAATCACGTGTGTGAAATCAGGCGAATATTCACGAAGGGCGTCAATTGCTTGATCAGCATTACGTTCTTGAACCACACCAACGGTTGCATTTGCGATCAAGATGAGAAAGATGACAGCTGGCTCAACCAGTGCTGTACCTAAGCTCTCATTTTCTTCCAACAAAGCCAAGACGAAAGAGATTACCGCAGATGCCAACAAGATCAACACCAATTGATCTTTGAATTGATCCAAGATCAATTGCCATAAAGGCGTTGGATCTGGTTCTTCTAGTTCGTTTAAACCATATTGTTGTTGACGTTGTTTTACTTCATCTTCAGTTAAACCTTTTTTAGGGTCAACTTTTAGCTTTTGCAGAACCTGCTCTGCAGAAAGCGTCCAAGCGGCGTCCATTTGCAATCTACTTCAATTGAAGTGTCTGTATTAAACTACTTTTTTGTCACAACCAACTTGATCAAAAGATTTTGATCACGATCGATAATGTGCAATAGTCGAGAATATGTTGTGGTGAATGGTTAACAACTTTAAAACTCTTTCCTTCACTCTTGGCGTAAAACTTAAGCCCACCCTCATTCCACGTATGTGTGTATGCATGTTCCTTAGGCCAAGAAAAGGGCACATTCGCAGTCACTCTACTCTAATTTCCAATTTCCGAAACTCTCATTCCTTCTCGGTGCGCACAGATGCCCTGAAACAAACAGCGTGGTCACATTTAAACGCGTGGTTCCATTTTGAGGTTTGATTATGTAATCCTCTTGAGGTCACGTTTCTAATCATTGCCATGTCATCTTGGGTCCTTGTTAGTACTTTTTCGTCCGTACCATCTCCTTCGAACAAAACGTATGATCAAAGTATCTATCATATATTCCATATGATTGATTTGAACCAGTCTATTTCTGACTTTGAAATTGGCACGCGTACCCGTGCGAGAATTTAGACACCAAACGCATACTTCCCGCTTAGACATGCTATAAATGCAGTCCGATAGCCGTCATCTTTGTGTAATAAGTGTTGATGAGAAAATGTTGGCAAGACAGAATACAATCGCCAAATTGGCAAGGCCATGTTGCATGATCAGCAGACTGTTTAGCACCACAAGGCAACAGCTGCAACAATCAGAGAGCGAAGGCAGACCGGCACTAGGTCATCAAGAAGAGAATGAATTGTTGAACAATATTCGACAAGGTAAAGAAGAAATGATCAAGATGGGATTTCATGGACCTAGCCTTTGGATACAAAATATATGTTGGGGAGATCATGATCAATTTCAGCATGTTAACAACGTTCATTACGTTCGCTTTTTGGAGTCTAATAGAATGTTGTTCGCTGATAAATTGGCGGAAAAGCTGGAACCTGCGAGAAGGAAGGATATCGTTACAGGAAAAGGAGAAAGCTTTATCTTACAATCGATCGCAGTGCGGTACAGGAGACCGGTCGTATATCCTGATACGGTAAGTTGACATTCAAAACAATCGATTTGTATCCACTAAACGCTGATCATCTCCACAACCATTTAGCTATTGATCGGCAAAAAGCCTGTCCTACCTTTAGGAACTGATAGGTTCACACTACAAGCAAGTATTTATTCTCTTGCACAAAAAGCAGTCGTGGCAACAGCAGAAGAGGTGAGTGTGATGATGCATATATGTAAGATAAAAAGTTTACATCTTTCCATTCTTAGGTCTGCGTCAGTTACGATTACCGCTCATTAAGCAAAGCACCAATCGCAGACGATTTCAGGAAAGTATTGGAAGAAGCAGGACAAAAGCCAGAAGAGTAAATAGCAAGAGTCACACAAAAGCACTGAAGATCAAAATGAATGCATTGTGTAATTACAACGTCAAATTGAAATTTGTTTTTGACTTTTTCTAGCTATGCTTAGATGGTTGGGTCTTGAACGGGTTGGTTACCTTTTGAACCAGGTCCGCCGGTGGTGTTGTCAAATTCTGTGCAAGGTTAAGAATAAAGTTAGTATATGTGGAATGATTCTTAATAAATGCTGGAATACATACCAGATGGATCTTTGCTTCCGACTTGTTGACGGCCTGCTTCTCCACCGACTTGTTCTTCTCCCTTTTCGGCACGAACGGCGTTATCAAGACGACGTTGATCGTCTTGGGATGGTGGGACTTGTTTGTCGTTGAATGTAGCTTCCATTTTGATTATGTTTCTGATAGAAGATGATGGTGGAAGAGACCGATCTAACAATTAAACTTTTCTCAGATGTCAGATAGCAGAATAAGATGTGAATAGAATACAGTGGAACCAATCTTTTCCTTCGCTTAGTTTTTTTACCAGGCATGTGACATGATCACTCCACCTCCATTGAATGCAGAAAGGGTTCATCGAAAGCAACTTCTTGCATATACGCGCTGTGATGTTAGGATGATGTCATCATTGCTTTAGCACTAAGACAATCTCTAACAGCAAATGCAATTTACTACTTCCCGCACCACTTCATTCTATCTGGGTGACGGGCCAGACTTATTGATTGTTTTTGTGAAACCCAGGATTTAACCTGTACGTGCATACGTGTTTATTGGGGCGCCAGTGCCTTAATGCGTCTTAAGATTTTTAAAGGAAATTCATCAAACTTTCAAGTGCAAATAGAGTGATGTAGTGCCAAACACGGGAACGGGAGATATAAGACACAGAATTCTTTTATCTGTTTCTATACCATCAAACTTGTTCATCTTGTTCCTTAATTGCAATCATGATCACAACTACGATATAATCACCTTTCACCTCACAATTGCTATTCATTTTGCCCCACTTGCTCCCATTTTACGCCAAGAATTTGCGCAATTGACAATTTCATCACAGCCACTCATTGCATAATTGGCGTACGTATACCAACATCAACTACAGCCACACACACAAAATAGTCGACATACCCATGCTGGATCGTACAATATAGCAACCTCTTTCATCACCCTCGATTGATCGTTTATCAATCATCTCCTCTAATCGCGGCTGGAACCGCGATTGATTGAATGGATAAAATGTTACCATTACCTTCAACCACCGCACAACGGTCACGACCACAACCTATTCAAGTTTTATCAGATGCTCGCTCTTCTTTGGGACAGGCCTTTCAAGTGGACGAAAAGGATGTAGAAGAAGGTCTTGTTGGATTTGTGAGACGGTTTATGCCTTCTCCCAAAACGGCTGCTTTCGTTTTGAGTTGTTTGATGTGGTATTTTGCTTCAGCTTTATCTTCAAATACCTCGAAAGCACTTCTTTCCTCGCAGAAAAAGGTTAGCCCGCCCACGCCAGCTCCTTTTCCATACCCAGTCACATTGACGTTGATTCAATTCATCTTCATTCACGCTTTGAGTGCATCCGTTGCATCTGCTACGATCATGCGTCATGTACCTGGAATGCGTAAACCAGTCACTCGAATCGTGTCCAACCCGGGATGGAAGAGAATTTCAGATATGGCAAAATTGAGCGTCTTCAATGTGGTAGGACATGCTCTGAGCACGGTTGCAATCAGTCGTGTTCCCGTTAGTACAGTTCATACGATCAAAGCTTTAACTCCGCTCTTTACCGTTTTGAGCTTTCGATTCGTATTTGGCGTTCAATATTCGTTTATGGCATACTTTTCTTTGGTACCTCTCACTTTGGGTGTGATGATGGCTTGTACTTCTCTATCATTCAGTGCGAATGATTTAGTCGGTCTAATCACTGCTTTAGCCAGTACTTTGATCTTTGTCGCTCAAAGCATTTATAGCAAAAATCTCGTTGGAAGAGGATCGGATAAAAACGTGCCTGCCGATAGCAAGGATGCCAAATTGGACAAGATCAACATCTTATACTACACAAGTGCATGTTCGATAGGGATAATGATTCCTATGGCATTGTATTATGATGGTGCAAAGATGTTCTTTGGGGAGGAATCGATTGGCATCAAAGCTTCTTCTTTATACGTTTTCTCCATGGTATCGGCCAATGGAATCGTTCAATTTGCGCAAAATTTCCTTGCTTTCAGTGTTTTGGCACTTGTTTCACCGGTAACCTATTCGATCGCATCTTTATTCAAACGTGTCTTCGTCATTTGCTTTGCAATTATTTGGTTTGGTCAATCGGTTAGCATTCTTCAATGGTTCGGAATCGTTTTAACATTTGTAGGTTTATACATCTATAATGATGCCAAATCAAGCAAGAGTATTGCTAAAGCGGAAGAAAAGATGGAATTGGATCAACGTAAAAAAGAAATGGTTCTTCCCTTTACTGCAAGAGGAGCTGCTTGGCTTTCTACAGCCAATGAAGCAAAGCATACACAATCAACTTCTATCAGCTTACATGGACCTTCGAATTCGATTCATTCTGCACCTTCCCATCATGTTTCATTCTTGCATGATCCTAGACGTACAATTCCTTCACCACCGCCTTCACGTGGACCTAGTTCAGATGATGAAAGTGGAATGATTACGGGAAAATTGAAAGATACCAGTAGATAGATTGTATTATTATTATATTATTCTTCAATAGATTCCTTTGATTATGGTGTTCTTGAGTGAGTGTTTAAATTGCAACCGGGTCCACTAAATTTATCATCCTACGCGCACGGACAAAAATCATTCAGAAGAAAAATGAACTGGATAACATCTTACCTTCTTCTACCATTCACTCAGCAAAGATGGGACATCCGGTCACGCTTGCTACATGTTCGTTGAACCAATGGGCATTAGACTTTAACGGGAATCGCGATCGGATTCTAGAATCGATCAAACAAGCAAAAGAGGCAGGAGCAAAATTACGTGTTGGACCTGAATTGGAAATCCCGGGATATGGATGTTTCGATCATTTCTTGGAAGGCGATACAGTCTTACATTCCTGGCAAGTGTTATGTGAGATACTATCAAACAAAGATACATTTGGACTTTTGATCGACGTTGGAATGCCAATCTTACATCGTTCAACTTTGTACAATTGCAGAGTGATCATATTAGATGGAAAGATTGTTTTAATTCGTCCAAAAATGTGGTTAGCGAATGATGGGAATTATAGAGAATTACGTTATTTTTCACCTTGGACAAGAAGAGGACAGTGGGATGATTTCGCCCTTCCAAGAATGGTCAGAGAAATTTCAGGTCAACAATCTGTTCCTTTTGGCGATGCTGTCGTTTCAACAAAGGATACAGTGATCGGAGTGGAATTGTGTGAGGAGTTGTTCACGCCAAACAGTCCTCATATCGCAATGGGCTTGGATGGAGTGGAGATCTTTATCAATCCTAGTGGAAGTCATCATGAATTACGAAAGCTTCATCGCAGAGTCGATCTGATTCGAGAGGCAACATTGAAGGCAGGCGGAGTGTATTTGTATGCTAACCAACAAGGATGTGATGGAGACCGATTGTACTACGACGGCTGTCCTTTAATTGCTTCAAATGGTGATGTTGTAGCACAAGGAACACAATTCTCTCTGGATGATGTGCAAGTGATCACTGCAACAATTGATTTGGATGACGTCAGAGCAGCAAGAAGCAGCAAAAGTCGTGGTATGCAAGCTGTTCAATCCGATCTGATCAATAACGGAAAAGGATTCCATAGAGTTTCAGTTGATTTTGAGCTTGGACGACGAGAAGAATGGGGAGGTGAACTCGGTGGGTTGATCAATGGAGTGAAGGATGTTCTTGGGTCAAAGACTACCGTCACAGACGTACAGAATTTGTCTCATCCCTTACCGGCATCCAGACCGCTAGAAGTACAATACAATACACCAGAGGAAGAGATCGCTTTAGGACCTGCTTGTTGGTTGTGGGATTATCTTCGTCGTTCGCGTACACAGGGATACTTTATCCCACTTTCAGGGGGGATTGATAGTTGTGCAACAAGTGTGATTGTGCATAGCATGTGCAGATTGGTCGTCAAAGCATGTAAGCAAGGAAATCAGCAAGTATTGGAAGATGTTCGAAGAATATGTGCGAAACCTTCTGAATGGATTCCTGAATCACCGCAAGAAGTTGCAAGTCATTTGTTCGTGACGTGCTATATGGGAACAGAAAACAGCAGCACAGAAACTCGTCAGAGGGCTAAAGATTTAGCGGAAGCAATTGGTGCCTATCATATCGATCTCAATATGGATATCATTATCCGAGCAATTGTGACTTTGTTCTCGATGGTGACCAATAAACAACCAAGATTCAAGGTCCATGGAGGTTCAGCGGCCGAGAACTTGGCATTGCAAAACATTCAAGCTCGATTGCGGATGTTACTGGCCTATATGTTTGCCCAATTGGTGCCCTGGGTTAGAGGAATGGTAGGAGGTCTGTTGGTGCTTGGAAGTGCAAACGTAGATGAAAGCTTGCGAGGCTACTTGACAAAATACGATTGTAGTTCGGCAGATATCAATCCTATAGGTGGAATCAGTAAAACGGATTTAAAGCGTTTCATTGCCTATGCAGAAGATGCATTCGAATTGCCAATCTTACACGATTTCTTAACGGCAACTCCAACAGCTGAATTGGAACCGATCACAAAAGAATACGTTCAATCGGACGAAGTAGATATGGGAATGACGTATGATGAATTATCAATTTTTGGACGATTACGCAAGGTGGAAAAGTGTGGACCATATAGTATGTTTTGCAAATTGGTTCATGAATGGGGAGATAGATTGAGCCCTGAACAAATTGCAGAAAAAGTGAAAAAGTTCTTTTTCGAATATGCCCGTAATCGACACAAGATGACAACATTAACACCTTCTTATCATGCCGAGTCTTATAGTCCTGACGATAATAGGTTTGATTTAAGGCCGTTTTTGTATCCTTCTAGATTTCCATATCAATTCGCAAAGATTGATGAATTGGTAGCAAGGATACCGGACAGAAGCGGAGGAAACAAGAAGGGTTGAACGAAGCTGTAAACTATTTGCATAAATGTCATTTAATTTACCGTGCCGAGAAAAATACTTTTATACATCTGATCAACGTTGTATCCAATTTCATTTATGTACGAATGGATCTTATGGCATTTGATCACCGTTATATCCATATTCATTTATGTACGAGTTGATCTTATGACATCTTTCTCAAGGATCAGCCCATTTATTAGTCTATAATACGGACAAATTCGGAAGCTAATTTTAATTTGTATTCAAAGACAGATAGAATGAATACAAGTATGAGGTGCATGCTAGTAATTTATATTTAATTAAATATTATAGCACGCGTCTTGTTCGACTTCTCCGGCGCCTTTTCGGCAAAAGCCACACAGTCAGTCTGTCAGTGTCAGTAACAGAACACTCACTGTGCAGCTCTATGGGAAGAATGATTGGCTACACTTTTTTCCTCTTCAGCATTCCTTGTGACCTATGAGGTTGTTATGGCCTATTGTACCCCTTTCCTCCTCATTTTGATATAAAAAGTGGACAAGCAGGTGCCAAGCGAACATTCTTTACTCCGCAACAAGTCTTGACTACTTTCATCACACCTGATAACATCATCTTGGACGGTACCGATCTTGACAAATTTACTCCAATTGATGTGCAGTCACTTGTGAGGTTTACTTAAAAACGTTGCAACAAGCGAAGTAACGCAATCATTCGGGCGGGGCATCGTAAGATCCGATTTTTCGTCATTTATCCTTGGCATTTCTTAAACAAAAACGCCAAATTCGGTCCAGTTGGGGCGTATATAATTCGGCGTTCTGCTCTGTTTGCAATAAGGAAATTGACGTCCCTTTGCCAGCAGGACACGTTGAGTTTCTCGATTGTGGTATTGATTAGAAACGCCGACGAGCACCGCCTCATAAAAGCCAATTTTATGGAAGGAAGAAAGACATAAAAGCAAACCATTCTTTCACCACCAAATCCAGCATTCATCTAACTAACAACCCCTTTTTCCTGCAAAGATGAATTTACCTTCACACCTCACCAATTCTGCTCGAGGCTCATCAGAGATTGATATCTACAATTTGCCAGTCGTGAACCGCACTGCTTCCGGTTTTGAAACTGTTGCAAAGGAAGCAAAAGCACCAAACGAAAGTCATAACAATGAAGAAGCAATTATACACACAGACGATCGTGGTGGAATAGATAATGCTCCGCCCGATGATGAAGGACCAAGACAGCGATGGTACAACAAAGCATTAACAATCGCAAAGCGTCATGGAGCATTTGTTGGTCCAGGTATTATTGCAAGTGTCGGATATACTGATCCGGGAAATTGGGTGACAGATTTGGCAGCCGGTTCGCAATTCGGATACAAATTAAATTTCGTCATTTTAATGTCTGGTCTTTTTGGTATCTTTTTGCAAATTTTGGCTGTTCGAATGGGTGTTGTGACCGGTGATGATCTGGCACGCAATACTCGTTTACTCCTCTTACCTGATGATGACGGTCGCTTACGTTTTGGCTCCAAAGGAGTTCACAACAATACACCAGACAAGCTCAAATATCGTACTTTGCGTATCTTTACTCTGTGGGCGCTCTATTTCGTATCTGAAGGTGCTCTCATCGCAACGGAATTTGCCGAATTGCTTGGATCCGCTATTGCACTCAACCTGCTATTCCCTGGTCTACCTTTATATGGCGGTGTCTTGATCACTTGTGCCGATGTGATGCTCTTCTTGTTCATCTACAAACCACAAGGTAATTTCCGAATCTTTGAGCTTTTGATAGCTACATTGGTGATGATCGTATTGGCATGCTATATCGCCTTATTGGTCCGTACTAAACCTAATTGGGCATTAGTTTTTGACGGATACGTTCCATCTTCTACTTTAGTCCAACCAGAAGCTCTCTATACGGGTATCGGTATCATTGGTGCTGTGATTATGCCACATGCGATGTATCTTGGAAGTCACTTTTCCACCATCAATAGAATTGACAGAAGCAAGAACTCGTTACGATTTGATATGGAACCCGAAGTGACCGAATCAAATACAAGTAATAATCCTACGTCGTGGGCTCAACGTTCTTTTGGCGTTTTACGAACATACATTGCCAACCACTTCCCCTCCTTTGATGCACATTTGCGAAACAGAGGACATCGTCATACCAGAAGAGCTGAAGAACAAGCAACCGTCCCAGCTTTACGATCTGATCAGGTCCAAGATCAAACAAAGGGACTATGGCCTGTGCGAATGACGATTGCCGAAATGAAGACGCATTTGCCTCATGCAGCCTGGGATATCGCTCTTTCACTGTTCTTCTTTGCGATCACTATCAATTCTGCAATCTTGGTTGTAGCAGGCGCAGCATTTTATTACGGCAACAACCGCTCGGCGCAATTGAGTGATTTGTACGACGCATTCGAATTATTAAAGAGAACTCTTGGAGGAGCTTATGCGATCTTATTTGCCATTGCTCTTTTGGCTGCTGGTCAATCTGCTTCAATCACTTGCACTCTTGCAGGACAAATTGTTTCAGAAGGTTTTATCAAATGGCGTACGAATCCATTCTTGAGAAGGTTGGTTACGAGAATTATCACTATGATCCCTTCATTGGCAATCGCAATTGGAGTTGGAAGGCAAGGATTGGATGAGGCATTGATTGCTTCCCAAGTAACTCTTTCGTTTGCATTGCCTTTTGTTCTGGTACCATTGATTGCCGTTACTTCGATGAACAAAAAGATGACAGTAGAAGATGATATCGACGAAGAATTGGTCGATGGTGCAAGATTGAGAGAGGACGAGAATGTTTCAAAAGAAGATGTTGTTACCGGAGTGCCATTGACCGTTATCACTCCATCTTCATCTAACGCCTTGAATCAGACGAGCTGCGAAACGCCTGCTGCTGCTCCAGAAGATCCCTTACAAGGACCAATTTCCACCTCTGCCGATGCACAAGGTCGTAATTCTGCTTCTAATGCACCTTCATCAATTGCCTCAAAAATTATGCACAATTTTGCTAATAGATGGTATAATATCGTCATCGCGATCGTGATTTATTTGATCATTTTGGTTGCTGATATATATACGCTCGTTACTCTGTTTAATGGTCAATCATAAATAAAGTCTCAAACTTTACTTCATCGTTTCCGAAATGATCATACTTCATTGTTTTATACTCAGTCCTCATTTCAATATGAAAATTAATGTATATAACGATATTTTTTATCACACTGTGTGTCTTGTGGCTTTTGCAGCGGAGGAAGAAATAAACGGTTAACCGTCTTGCCCCACAGAATTAGAACATAAGACTTCGTCCGTATTGTAGTTTCCTTCTCTATCCGTGGTCACATTGAAGAATTGTTGTGGCTATCTTGTAGTAGATTTCACGCCCCGCTCAAATGGCGCATGCAGTTATTGAATTATGCATTGACCATTCGCCTCGTAAGTACATTATAACAATTTGTGTACATATGCATACTTTCTGTTCTTTACCCTCACCCTCGATGAATGTAGTTTGATCCTTTTTATGGCATCGATGTCGCTATCGCGGCTATTGCGCCCTAACTTGTCATGTACATCGTGCGCTCATTCGGCGATTTTGCCTTAAACTCTTACTCGGCACCGAAAAGACAAGCCGGAAGAACCAATTTGATACGCTCGATGTCCGGAGGAGAGGAGGAGGTGATGATTGCCATATAAATTGCGTCAAATACGACAAAGAGCATGGATGATATCCCGGCATACATTCGGCATTTAATCCCCTCGACAACAGAAAAATGCTCGATCGTCCTCTGCCCCGCGGTAATGGAACATGGAAAGAAGGCGGAATCGACAAGTCGATTCGACAGCGTAACGCTATCTCATCATCCTTACAAAGAGTATAAAGATGGCCTTTTCTTTTGCTTTTCTCTTCAAATTTCCTACACCGTCAAATCAGAATGACTTTCTTAACTACAAGTGTTGCTCTTATCATTTTGCTTTGGTCGTGTGCTGTGGCCGAGCATGTTATCTTGTATTGGAATGTAGGCTGGGTTGAGAACGTCAACTTGGACGGATTATTCACCAGACGAGCTATTGGCATCAATGGGTTCTACCCTCCTCCAATCATTATGATCAATCAGACAGATTCCCTCACAATCAATTTCAAAAATGCTTTCAGTGATGGCAGAGGAACCGCTTTGCACTCTCACGGCATGTTTTTCAACAACACGGGCTATTTCGATGGAGCTGCTTCCATTACTCAATGTCCGATCCCAGACGGAGAGTCAATTGCTTACCAACCGCACAACTCCCCTCACAGTCCAGCCATTCGTCAAGAACAATGGGGCACCTATTGGACTCACGGTCACTACGACGGTCAATACGTGGATGGATTACGAACGCCCGCGATCATTCATGCGACCAACGAGCTGTACAAGTATGATGATGATTACACTATCATATTAGCAGATTGGTATCACCGTGAGCATCATGATTTGGTGGTTAACGAGCTTATCAATGTCAAGAATCCACTTGGCAATGACCCAGTCCCTCAGTCAGGTCTGGTTTACTTTGCCCATACAGCAAAGGGTGCAACTGCTGAGTACTTGCCAGGCTACAATGAGAACGCCACGTTGTTTTTTGAGCCAGGTAAAACATATCGTCTACGCCTAATCAATATGGCCGCTATATCCAAATTTCAATTTTGGATTGAAGGTCACGAAATGAGCATCATCGAAGCCGATGGTGTGGACGTGGAAGAAGTTCCGGTAGACAAAATTGACCTTGCAGTTGCTCAAAGGTATTCGGTTTTGGTACATGCAAGAAATGATACGAGTCGTAATTGGCCAGTTCACGTAAATTTGGATCCCGTGATGTTTAGCAAAGTACCGAAAAGTTTGCAATTGAACATCACCTCAGCGATTGCCTACAAAGAAGGAAATCCAATGGGATCTGATCGACCAACAATTTATTACGACTATTTTGATGATACAGCTTTGGTGCCTGTCATCAGTCAGCCTCAATTGCCTGCTGATGTTAGCTTCGTCAGATCATTTGATTGGAATACGTTTAGTAATGGAAAAGATTATGCTTTTGTGAACGATACGATTTTTATTCCTCCGCTCACGCCTTCCCTCTTTACTGCACTCAGTATGCCAACAAATGAATCAAAGTTGCCCATCGCATACGGACCAAATGGTAATGCGATAGTCGTGGAACACATGAAGTCATTCGAGATTGTTTTGCTCAACCTTGGCAAATTAGGTCATCCATTCCATTTGCATGGACATCAATTTCAAGTAGTACACAGAAGTCAAAATTTCAAATCAGATGATCCTGCGATCAATCCGGTCAAGAAAGAAGGCCAAGTCAATCCATTACGCCGTGATACTGTTCAGGTTCCTGCGGGTGGTAGCGTTTCTATACGTATGGTCGCCGATAATCCCGGTGCCTGGATCTTGCACTGTCATATCGATTGGCATTTAGCCGCTGGATTAGCAATGGTCGTTATCGAAGCACCAGAAAAGATCCAAGAAAATCTTCAAGTACCGTTTTACCTGTTTCAACAGTGTCAGCAACAAGGTTTACCTGTTTCTGGTAATGCAGGAGGATTCCAATCTTTAAAGGACTTTGGTGCCTTGCCTCTTGCTCCTACACCGTTGAAGTCCGGCTGTACTATCTATACAGTTGTTACGATTCTCGCCTGTGCCTTTGCTGCCTTATTGGGGAACGGAACAGTAATTTTGTACAGTTCACGTTATTCAAACGATGCAAATGAAGATGAAGAATGATTAATTTCGTTCTCTTTCTAGTCTTGTTCCCGGTAGGGATGTGAAAGATTACGTCATGAGATAAGAGCAACTTACGCCTTTAGCGCTACCTTCCTTCTCCGCTCGTTGTCACATTTCAATATTCATACGAAATACTATGTCACTGCACGCTTATCCGGCGAATGCATCTTAAAAATTTTACTCGGCAGCGAAAAAATAAGGAAATTATTGAAATCTCGATAGGATTATAATGCTAATACGTAAAAGATAATTCGGCAAGATAAATGTTGCCATCTTGTGATAGTGTCTTGACATGATAAACATTGCCATCTTGTGTTAGGAATTTTTATCATGCAATCTTTTGTCGAATGAAAGATAAGGCGAAGAAAGGACGACTGGGCATTCGATCAGTAAAGAAAAGGTGCATTAACAAAGAGCATTGATTCTGCTCTTTGTCATTTCTCCGCATTGCATTAACGCTCGACCACTGAATGCCACGGAGACAACTAAAGGAAGGGTATTATGATAAGCCGTCTTCTCAAGCTCGTTATCATTTGTTTTAAAGGATAAATACAGCAACTTCAACCTCATACTTTTCTCCACAAAATCCTCAGATCGAAATGATGTTCTCTACTGCAATTTTTGCTCTTCTCGCATTGCCATTTGCTTTGGCCGAAAATGTCACGTTGGATTGGAATGTAGGCTGGGTCGAGAATGTCAATTTAGACGGTCTCTTCCCCAGACGTGCCATTGGTATCAACGGTGCTTATCCTCCTCCGATTATTATGATCAATCAAACAGACTCACTCACGATTCACTTCAAGAATGCATTTGGCGATGGCAGAGGAACAGCGTTGCACTCTCACGGCATGTTTTTCAACAACACAGGCTATTTCGATGGTGCTGCTTCCGTTACTCAATGTCCGATCCCAGACGGAGAGTCAATTGCTTACCAACCGCATAACTCCCCTCTGAGTCCCGCTGCTCGTCAAGATCAATGGGGTACATATTGGACTCACGGTCACTATGACGGTCAATACGTGGATGGATTACGAACGCCTGCAATCATTCACGCCGATAAGGAACCGTACAAGTATGATGAGGATTACACTATCATCTTAGCGGACTGGTATCACCGTGAGCATCATGATTTGCTGGTCAATGAGCTTATCAATGTCAAGAATCCACTTGGAACTGAACCATTCCCTCAATCAGGTTTAGTCTATTTTGCCCATACTGCAAAAGGTAAAAATGCTGAGTACTTACCCGGTTACAATGAAAATGCAACATTGTCATTTGAGCCAGGTAAAACATACCGACTACGATTGATCAATATGGCCGCGTTATCCAAATTTCAATTTTGGATCGAAGGACATGAAATGAGCATCATCGAGGCCGATGGCGTGGATATGAAAGAGTTTCCTGTGGAGAAGATTCCACTTGCCGTTGCTCAAAGATACTCTGTCTTGGTACGTGCAAGAAATGATACTGGTAAAAATTGGCCGATTCATTTGAACTTAGATCCGATCATGTATAGCATATTGCCGAAGACGTTACCACTCAATATCACCTCAACAATCGTCTATAAAGAAGGAAACCCCATGGGATCGGATCGACCAACGATTCAGTACGAGTATTTTGATGACACAGCATTGGAGCCTGTCATCAGTCAGCCACAGTTGCCTGCTGACGTACGTTTTGTCAAAACGTTTGATTGGAATGTGTATGGGGATGGAATCAGTTACGCATTTTTCAATGGATCAACCTTTATCAATCCGCTAACACCTTCCCTTTTCACGGCACTCAGTATGCCTACAAACGAATCAAAGTTGCCCATCGTGTATGGACCAAATGGGAACGCAATAGTCGTAGACCATATGAAGTCATTTGAAATCGAAATACTCAATCCTGGTCCCACAAGTCATCCTTTCCATTTACATGGGCATCAGTTCCAAGTGGTTCATATCAGTCAAGATGTAAACTCCGATGATCCTGCAATCAATCCACCCAAGAAAGAAGGTCAAGCCAACCCTCTACGCCGTGATACTGTCTTGGTTCCTGCTACCGGAAGTGCAACTATACGTTTGGTAGCCGACAATCCCGGTGCTTGGATTTTGCATTGCCATATCGATTGGCACTTAGCCGTTGGATTGGCAATGGTCGTTATCGAAGCACCGGAAAAGATCCAAGAAAATCTTCAAGTACCGGCTTACATGTTTCAACAATGCCACCAACAAGGTTTACCATCTAGCGGAAATGCAGGTGGACTTGAATCTTCAACAGATTTTGGTGCTTTGCGTCTTGCTCCTGCACCGTTGGAGTCTGGCTGGACTGTTTCTGCAAGTGTAACACTTTTCGCTTGTATCTTTACTGTTCTTTTGGGCAACAGCACGATATTTTGGTATAGCTCACGCCACCGAGATGAAGAAGATGAAGATAAATAAATTTTCATTTTCTGCTTCGCTATCTTTTATTGTCTGTACTAGCTCTCGATCATGTAAAAAAGAGATCAATTAAATCGATTGAAGACGTACATATTCTGAGGAATGGTATCATTAGTGAATTTGAATATAATAAATAAGGAGAAGCATAATCCATTGCTGAAACGTGAACTTAAGCCATAATCTTCTTCTTCAAGGAGCCAAACATGCCCAATTTTTCATTTGCTGGCTCAGCAGGAGCATCAACGGTATTGGTTTGGACTTTTTGTTGTCTGGGTGATTTGACGACTTCATCCTTGTTTGCAGCAGCTGTACCGTTTGGCTTTGTTTGATCGATACTGTTTCCGTTCACCGCCGTGTCGTTTGTTGTTTGAGGTGTAGGTGCAGCCTTTTGTGGAACAGGCTTAGTTCCATTTGCTTTTGCAATCTGTAATGTTTCTGGACCGTTTAAGCCAATCACATCAAGTGCAGCTGCAAGACCACCATCATCTTCATAGGTTAAAGCACCATTTTGGAAACCGGTTGGAGGAGCAGGCAAATCATCACATGAGTTCCAGTCACCCCATTTACCTTCTTTGATTAATTGTTGCGTACGTGCTTCGGCGAAATCAACTGGAGCACCAACGCCGATCTCTTGTAGTTCACGTACGAGTGTTTTTCTGCAAGTATCATGACCAAGAATTTCACGGGTTTTTGATCCATCGACCATTGGGTATTGCCAACGGATCATACCAGGATTCTTTTGTGATAAATCTCCGTTACGGTCATGAACCCATCTTCCACGCCAGAAAGGATCGTAATCCATATGTGAAACACGCAAACGTTTGATCAATGCCCTTCTTTCTTGGTCATATTCTTGTCCCTTCGATTCGGCCCATTTACGTGTGACCTTTTCGAATTGATCACACAACCTTCGATGGTTTTCCCATCTGCGATCAACTTCTTCTTTGTTTTTGTGAAGATCGTTCTCTCCTTCTTCTGGTGGAACCCAATCGAATTCGACATCAACGTCTCCTCCAATATAACGAAGCATGTGTTTACGTGGAATTTCTTCCATCAATTCTTCGGGTTTGTTTGTAAAGCGTACTTTTGCACGTACCACAGGATCCAAAAGCCATTTGACCAAATGCCATGCTTGTGATAGAATCCAAGGTGCTTTATGAAGAATCAAGACTGCTAATTGTTCAGGGAAATAAGATTGAAGACATTGAAGGATATAAAGGAAATTGATCACGTCCAAATTTGAAGGTCCAAAGCCGGTACAATCGAACAATAAAACGATCTTATCGTTTGGCGGAACGACTAATAAACGTACAAGTTCAAAATGTGCAATGATGAACTTCTTTGTTGTTGCTTGTGGTTGTGCCCAAATTACATGTTTACCGAATTGAACGTACATGACGGGTTGATTGCGTAAATTTGTACCGAGAGAAAACACCTTTCCGTTTGCTTCAAAGTTTTCGACGTATTTAGGGATCTCTTTACCATTACCCAAATCACCTTTTTGAACGAGAATGTCTAGATTGGTATCCAAACGCCATTTCAACGTAGATGCCAACATGGCCGTTGTTGCATCGATGCTCCATTTACGTGCACGCAAGAAGCGTAACATCAAGATGTCTGGATTATCACGTTTGACCATTACCCAGAATGAATTACGAAGGGCGGCAGAACCATAAGTAGAAAGTAAGCGTTCCATATTTGCTTCTTCAGTACGAGCTTGAGCAGCAGCTTTCTTATCATCTTCTTTATCAATTCCACTTCCTTTAACGAGTTTTGAAACTCCACTAACCGCACCCAAACCACCGCCGCTCATTTTACTTTTTGTTGCTTCTGTATCAACACCCCAATCTTCCGCAAAACCGTCTTCTTTTTGTTCAGATTTTGTTCCTTGTGCTTTATCACAAATATCAAAGAAAGCTATCCACATTTGATAAAGATCATCTTGATGTTCTTCTGATAAATTACCAGCATAACCTTCTGGCATTTCATACTTTTCCGGAACGATGTCCGTAAATTCGTCTTTTGCATTATGTTGCGACATGATGATTTGGTGATGGGGAGGGAATATTAAACAATACAAAGTGGAGATTGATTGGCTTTTTAAAGCTTTTTTCAAGGCTCGGGGATATGATCAAATCTCATAAAGCAATGCTCTGAGCTTTAGTGCCATAAAATGAAGTTTTGATCGAGAACAAAATCGTGCCCGAGCCCGTTGATCTTTTGATCGAGCTCTGGGGCCGAGGAGAACAATAAACAGAAAAAGAGGACATACGCTAATGCAACTAAACTAAATTGTGTGGGAACATTCAATTGATCACGATGCCACTTTGACAGACAAAGCAGCTGATTGCCGTAAAGAGAAAAGAAAGAGCTTTTAAGTGATTCAACGGAAAACACGCATCCGTGTAATGAGAATCAAGCCGAAGTAAGCAAAAGAGCTGTCAAAATGCATTGATGACCTTTTTCTGGGATTAATATAGCACAGACCTACAGTGGGATTGTATTAGCGTATGTTCAATTCAAATTGCGGGGTAATTAACTATCTTTTATGCCATATGACACTGTCAACTGTGCCGATCGCACAAACAGAACAAAAGGGCTCTTTAAAAAGCGGTTGAACGATATAAGCGGTTCTCAATGTTGTAATCACAAAAGGGTTTAGAAGGCGTACTAAATAAGCATTTGATTCTATTTTACACCAACACATTCAACTCTTTTAACACTCGTGAATGATTACGTAACCTCTTACCATCAATCAATGATCTTCAACAACTTCTTTTTATAGGAAATGTTTATTGCTGAGCTTATAACACATTCTTCCACCACTACAAACGTCAAAGGGGCCTCGGCGAGAGCAGGCAAATGACTAACCCAGGCAGGCACATACTCACAACGCGTCAAAGATGTCCCTCTGCCTAAGGGGGGGGTATCAAAAGGCCTATCGAAGCTTGAGCCTAGAACCAAAAAAAGGAACACGGCTTTGGATTTATATATTTTGGCTTCAAAATTTTAAAGTTTTGACACAAACGCACGAGCAATACAATCTTCTCTCACCATTGCCACCTCTCTTACGTCTTCAAGGATCCATCAAATGTCAGGAGCAGTCAATTCGCCACAAACGGCAGCTCCTTTGGTGCCAAGTAATGTGAACACAGAAGGACAGCAGACTGAAGAAGGGGAACCAAAGCCAGATTTATTACCCGGTGGCTTTCACCGATTTCGTCCGGTATCCGATGCAGATGATTTCCCAAACGAAGAAACCAATCTAGCTAGACCATTAACAGATTCAGTAATCACTATTCGAATCATTAAAAGTTTTGCTTATCGATCAATGAAAGCTTTGGTATTGCAACATGTTGATATTACCAAAATGACAGTAGATCAATTACGCTCTCATTGTCAACAAGAAGTTCGTACGAATTCCGTCTTTAAAGCTTTTAGATCGTTTGCCGATAAGCTTGACACTCTCAAGATTTACACTCGTGCACATGGAGCCAAAACGACAAACTTGATCATCAACCTGGATCGTCCTGATTGGATATTGGAAGATGGTACAAAGACTTTGCTTGAATTAGGCTTGGAAAATGAAGCAGAATTAAGTTTGTTCAATAGAGCCGATTATGAAGAATTCATTCAAAATCCAGAAACGAAATGGTAATCAACATGAAATGGGTCAAAAACATATCATTGTACTTATATATATATGGCATAATTTGTAATAACATCAATTTTCGGTCATTCCTAGGGTTGCAAGTTTACTAGTTGTTCTTCTTACTTCACTTTGGCAATTTGTCCAAAGCGTCATTTCCACCTGCGTGCAATCTTCAAACGTAGATACCGCATTCGTCATTGTCTTCACGCATGTCAACTCCAGTCATGCCTCATCGGAAGTGTAGAATACTGTACATTTATGCGAATGAGATTTATCTGATCTGTGAAAATACAAAGAGATGGTATATTGTACAAACTTTGCAAGAAGTCATCTGCTCTTAATACCTTCCTCCTGATTGGTATCCTCTTCCATAATTCTGATTATTGTTGTTATATTCTCTCCGACCATCGCTTGCGGGTGTTTGATTGTATTGTTGAGAAGCATCCTGACCATAACCGTATTGCTGATATCCTTGCGAGTTGTTGTGGCTTGGGTAATATTGATTTTGATTGCTTCCGTATTGGTATTGGCTGTTTCCTTGATAGCCTGATGCATTTTGTGAATAGGCGGTATTTGAGCCATATCCTTGTTGACCATACGGTGGTGTTCCACCGTATCCAGCCATAGGAGGTCTCGCTGGTGGAGGACCAGGTGGTCCTGCAGGTGCTGTAGATGCTGTCTTGCCCAAAGTACGTAAAAGATCTTCTACCAAATTCGGATTCTTTGTTAGAACATCTTCTAGTTGTGGCTTTGGTAATTCGCTCAATGCTTGAACGGATGATGGAGGAACAATGCCAGACTGGGTAACAGATGCTGGCTGTGGGAAAGAGGTCGGCGTTCCTCCTCCTCCGAGATTTGGTGGTGTATTGTTTGAGCGTGTATTGCCACCTACAGCTCTTAGTAAGTCTTGCAATGTTGACGATCCGCCTCCTAAGCCGGTACTGTTGCTCTGATCTGGTGTATATCCACCACCTTCTCGAGGTGTAAGACTCGAGGTTGGTTGTCCAGGTCGATATGCGCCCTGAGAGGGTATATCTTGTCTGAACAAGACACCGACTAACAGGAACAAATCCTTTCCACGTCTCTGCGCTTTCTCATCAGACAGACATTGTGGTGAAAGTAGAGCAAGCCACTCAGGTATTGGTTGATCTTTGGGTAATGCAGCCATATAGAAATCCTTCACCGCACGTCCTCTAGCCGAGCGTAGAGGTTGAAGGACACCATATCGATCCTTGCCTTTGAAGTACTTGACAAGATGATCGAAAGAAGTTTCATTTCCATCTTCATCCGTAATCTTGTTGGCTTCAGGCATACTTTCGGGAATGAATTCAGGCTCTGCCATGAGTGCTACCAGCTCAGTACGAGGAGCAATCCTGCTCTCGAGCAAATACGGAATCGCACTTCCACTCGGCAATCTTCCTTCGATGAGTGAGAATGGAGATGGAAACAAATTTGTCCAATCTTGTGTTGTAAGATCTCTGCCCGCAATCTGTCTTACAGCACAGGTAAAGAAGCCTTCGTCTGGCATGTGAATCGATCCTTTCCATCCAATCGCAGGAAGGTTGTCTTGACTGGTTGTCTCTTGTCCCGATTGTTGTACATCGTTGCCCTTTCCGTCCTCCTCCATACCCAGGAAGTCATCAATGAAATCGTCTGCTATTTCGTCTTGCTTGCTGTCATCATCAACTTCTTCTGTATGCCTGATGGCGATTGAAATATCACCATCTTGATTATCTTCATGTTCTTGATCTGAGTGAGCCTGCACATCCTCATCGTTCTCATCAGGAGCTTTGTCACCTTGCCAAACATTTGAGAAATCAAACGGTAGTGTGGGTGATTGGACCGACTGTGACGTTCGACGGGGCAAATCTGATGATGAAGATGATTTAGCAGCAGGTAGCTTATCATCTTGACTGTCTTTCTCTGTAGATTGGCCGGTAGGGTTCTTTCCAGACACTTCGTCGCCTTGCACTCTATTTGATACAGAGATTGAAGAATGAACTTGATCTTCCGTAAGTCGATTTTCGTATTCGATATCAATTTCTCCTTTGTGAGTCAACTTTCGCAAAGGTGCGTTATCCTTCTTGAGAATACTTTGTTCCAAACTTTCCTTCTTTCGTCTTTCCACTTCTTCTCGTCTTGCATCGTTTGCCAATTCTTCACTTGACATATTCGAAAGTTCAACAGCAGAAATAATGCCATCAGCAATCTTTGCACGCAAGGTGATATTGGTTTTGTCTTTTAAATTGAACATGAAACTTCGTAATTTATCACGATATGCTTTTCCTGCAATGCGGAAATTGGCATTAATGGCACTCTCATTCGTCATTTCATAAAGGGCTCCTTCGAAACTATGTGCATATTCCTGACTCTGTTCTTCTCCTTCTTGCTTGTTCTCGCTTGCCTCCGTCATAATTTCAGAAAAGATTGCTGCAAATTGTTCTTCTGCATGTTTTCGAAGCGCATCGCTGCGAGATCGCTGAACTGCGCTTGCAGAGCTGGTGTTTGACTTCGAGCCGCTAGATGCAGAGGTGGAAAGCTTGCGACTCGTTTGTACATTCGCAGACGAAGATTCTTTCGTTACATTTGACGAATTGGCATGTTGCGCTCGTGAAGGTGAAAGTGTTGGCGCTTGTGACCGGGCCTTTTTACTGACAACGTCAGCCTCTTGTAATTTACGCTTAGGTGATGCTGATGGTACATTACTGGACTGTTCTGGGTCTTGTGCCGATGCAACTTCTGACGGCTGCTTATCATCGACACAAGAAGGACAAGTGAATTCTGTCAAAGACTCTGCAGCTTTTTTCGTCAATCCTATGCACTTGAAGTGATACCTGTGGAGAAAGAAGGGCAGTGTCAGTTTTACAATTCTACAACCACTATACGAAACCGCTCGATCAACTTACCATTCATTGCAATTTGCGCATAGCACCATTGGCTTTCCATCATCTCCTTTGCGACAAATGCAAAATTCTTCAGCAGCATTCCTTATCGATTTTTCGCCGGATTTTTCAGAGTCCGCTTTCTCTTCATTTACGCCGTCCTGCGCCTGACCCATTTCCTCGACCGCCTTTCTGCTTGGCTTGCGAAGACGACTGCTATATCGTGAGCCCCTTGTTGTCTCTTCGCTTGTTTCTGTAACGTCTGCCTCCTTTCCCATATTAGATGATTCCACTGCACTTGCTGACATGACGAATAACTCCGGTACAACAAGTCAGATTATATGGCTGAGTAGAAATGTGTGATCACCTGTTACGATAGCAGTACGACTTCTGCTTGCTTTCAAAAGCTTTCAATGTATGAATATAAAATCAATAAAGTAGTACAACAAATACGACACTTCAAAGTATCATCAAAAGGAGCAACAAGAGACTATGGTTCAGCGGTCCAAAGATATTGCCTTGCCCTAGAATCCTAAGCCGTCCAAAAGATCTTACAGTGAATAATTCTTTCACCTGAATCGGAAATCGTCCTTAGAAGGGAATCCAGTCCAAAAGCAGATGTCAAAGCGTCACAAAAGATGCCTAGACACAGCGATATCACAATTCTTGATCGTAAACTCGATGTATAAGCCACGCACAGCGATGCGCACACTCAAATGTAACGAATCCTTTTGCCCTGAACCTTGGTGATGGTAGTAGAGAAGTAGAAATTTGCAGTGGGATTGTGTTGGAATTAAGTTTAATTTTCTTTTCTCTTACGTGGGGCTATTGGCGCGTATGTGTGTAAGAGAGACTGCTCTTACAAGGGGCGTCAGTCGTGCAGCCAAAGTAAGCTATGAGAATCAAAAAGTGAACAGATTGTTACACCGCTTATCAATTTTGCTGAGAAGATTGTCAATTCCGCTCTCCACTTCCCTTACCTTTCCCCTTCACCACCACGCAAAAGATGTTCATCAATGGTGGTGATGATGTTGTGGGAACGATGACTTCAGGCCGTAACAGTTTGATTGGAGTGGCAATCTCTTTGGCCGGAAATGTGTTAATCTCTTTGGCGCTCAATTGTCAAAAATTGGCGCATACAAGGATGCAAAGGGAAGCACAAGGATTGGACCCAAACTTTTTATCAGATGAAGAAGAAGAAAGCGAATCACAGCCTCTTCAGAAGAGTTCTCGCTCTCCATCTTCATCAGGAAGAGGACAAGATGTTGGTTATGGCAGTACATCCTCCCTTCCAAAGCCAACAAATGCAAACAATTCACCGCCAAAAAGTCGACAAATGTCACGATCATCCTCTGTATCAGCGGGCAGCGGAAAAAGGAAAAGCACATCTGAATCAGACGGGGAAAACAACGAACCAAACAGAAAGGAGGTAAATACTGAATTTTTACGCAGCAGACTTTGGTGGTTAGGACTTGGGTTGATGAGTTTAGGTGAATTTGGCAACTTTTTATCGTATGCTTATGCGCCTGCTTCATTGGTCGCTCCTTTGGGAGCTGTTGCTTTGTTGTCAAATGTGATCATCGCTCCAATCCTTCTTAAGGAACGTTTTCGACCTAGCGATCTTGGAGGAATTCTTTTGGCAATCATTGGTGCGGTAACGGTCGTTTTCAGTTCAAAACAAAGTGATGCAACTTTGAATCCCGATGAATTACTAAAAGCAGTCTTGCGACCCGAATTCTTGGCTTATACTGGAATTGTCATCGTCTTTGTGATAGCACTCGCTTACGTCAGTTCGACATCACTTGGGGATCGGTATATCCTCTTGGATCTTGGTGTTTGTGCACTTTTGGGCGGATTCACCGTTTTGTCCACCAAAGGTCTTTCTTCGTTACTCTCTTTGGGTAAGCCATGGCAACTTGTTAAAGTTCCAATTACATACGGTCTCTTGATCGTTTTGATCGGTACAGCACTTGCTCAGATCACATACCTCAATCGAGCTTTGCAAAGGTTCGATTCAAGGGAAGTTATTCCAACACAATTTGTTATGTTTACAATTTCCGCTATCGTTGGATCGGCAATCTTGTATCGAGAATTCGACAACATGGAAGCACATCGACTTATCAATTTCTTCTTTGGTTGTCTGACCACTTTTGCAGGGGTCTACATTCTTACAAGGGCGAAGAATGAGGAAGGAAATGGACATGAATCAGATGAAGAAGCCTTGGAAGACGAAGAGGAAGGAGAAGTCGATGTACGAGAAGACAGTGCATCTCGTCGTACAAGCTCTGACGCATTTACAAAACCTGTTGCCGTTCCAAGAACACATCCAGCTGCAGCGAACAATGCTAGACGTGGAAAGAGGCGATTACGCTCCAAACGTTCCATCGTTGGCTTTTCAGCAGGTTCTGTTCCCACTGTTGCCATTCATCGTGCACCCAATGCTTTCCTTTCTACAAGTTTACAAGAAACAGGTAGCGTTCCTGTCGCTATTGCACGCCGATCAATCTTCAACCCTGCTTTCACGATCGCATATCTGGATCAAAGTTTGCCTTCAACTCCTAGAAGGATAAGACCATCTGGACCAGCAAGCGAAAGACCAACTTAAGTTATTCACGAGTGACTTACTCTTCTTGTACTATAGTCTTTATTTGCGGACAATTACATTTATGCAATGCGTTGAAATATGGATAGTATACATGTATTGTTACAACAATTTGTCAAGCTTCTTCAAGTGAGGCCTGCTTACGTTTTTGAGCTCTTTCTTTGTTGAGCTGTTTACGTTTTTCGTTTTCCTTCTCTCGTTCCAATGTGGGATCGGGCTGACGTTCAACGATACGTGGCAACAGGGTAGCGAATGTCAAATAAGAAGTGTGACCACGCATGTCCGTGAACGGTCGTGAGAGAACATTAGCCCGCTGCAAGCTTTTGCCGTCTTCTTTTGCCTGGGGTGTGGATGGATCAGTTGCACCTTCCTTGCCGTTGGTCTCTGCATCCTCTTCAGTTTCTGCGTTTTCTTCCTCTGGTCGGACCTTCTCGACTTTGAGCTCAGATGTCGTCTCCGCTTTACCCGCATCATTTTCGTCCCCTTCCTTCTGTATTCTCTCCTGTCTTTCTTTTCTTGCTCTTTGAATTTGCATATCCCGTCTTTTGCCTTTCTTCACTTCTACTTCCCTAATCCGTTCAACAGCTTCATCGATAGATGGCGTATAATTTTGCGCTCCAGGTCCGCACCAAATACTGAGATGGGTCCTGTTCAAGCATTCATACGTTTCGATATCCGTCCACTTTGCTTCATCGACAATATTTCCATTCTCATCATGAGAGGTAGAACCTTTTCGCAAGGCAGCCACCGTCTTTAAAACTTGTTCAACGCATGGCGAGAAACAACAAATGCGCGTGGGAACATCTTTACGCATTGCTTCTGCTGCATGAGGAATTGCATCCCAAGGAGCAGGTAAGTCCAGGAAAACTGCGTCTGCCACTCCTTCCAATCCGAATCCATTCTTGACCACATTACGATGTCGTAAAGAAAGAGTAGGAAACAGGCCATGCTGTTCAAACTCATGCCAAGCTTTCACAGCCCTGCCTGCATGGAATTCAAATGACCATACTCTTCCTTCTCGTGGAGCGACATACGCATTTGGAGGAGCAGAAAGACGTTCTAGAATATCAGCTTCTTGTGCATCAGAGGGTTGCATGATTGTTTCTTCCTCTTCTTCATCTTCTTCAGCACCTTCCTGTCTTTCATCGTCAAATTCATCTTCCGTCTTTTTCCTCTTCTTACGATTGCTTCGATCTTTTTCAGTCTTTGCTACTCCTTTCCATCCATACCCGCTACTCTGTATATGCTTTCTTGCAACGCATCGGGTAGCATAATGTGAGAATGATCCTGATCCCGTTCCTGATTCGATCATCCGAGCTCCGGGAGACAGACCAAGATGGGCAGAGATGAAAGACATATCGGGCGTATACAAAATTTGCGTACGATGCGGTAAAGCTAACGTCCAAAGTTCAGGTGTCGGTCGCAAAATGTGAATGAATCCTCTTTTATTCTTGGAGGCTAATCTGGCACCAAAAGGTTTACCAATCATTTCATCGTGTGGGAATGACCCGTAGGTGTTTGTCAATTCTTGTCCTGATGTTACTGTAAGTGGAATAGGCGGTCGATCCCTTGACAGGAAGATAATGACGAGATCGCCTTCAGAAATGACATTTGTTTTTGTGTAAGGTGGTTTTGATATTACCTGATCATGCGAATGTCCATTCTGTCCTGTTCCTTTTTCGGCAGTCTGAGTTGATGGTGCAATCTGGTCATTCTGAAGTGTTTCCTGACCAGCTGCCTGCATGGCTACGTCTGAAGCCATTGCCTACCAGAAAGTTGTCAGTGACGCTATGATGGAGGAAGAAAGTACTTGGAATCTACCGAACTTCTTAGCCTACCCTTTCTTCTCTTTTTTTGTTTTACAAAAAAAATAGAATTATATAATCAACTTAAGCTTTTTACGCGTCTAGTACACGGTGCCCCTCTGAACGTGGAGAACAACACGCCATTAGAGGCTCAGGGGTTATTTTTTATTTTGGAACGAATGCATGCATGATGGCTTGAACTTTCAAGGTACCAATCTTGGAAGTATGAATGCATAGAATGAGATTGATTAACATCTTTCTCACATCCTCATCAAATTGGTAACATCAAGAGAGGCCGAGAGGACGCCCTGTGGATGACCTACTCATATACCCACGTTCACGAGTAGATCATCACGACAACACAATGAAACAACCATAAACTGAATTGACGAATTTAACGACATATTTAACGACACCTCCCCTAACGAATGCAAACGGAATAACGACAAACAGTATAACATCAACATTACATCATCGCCAAAATGGGCAACTCCACCTGTCCATCCGCATACGTACCAGTCGATCCCGTACCCTTCTATACCAATGGCAACCTCAATTTTAAAGCACATGATGTTGGCTGGATTATATGCGGATTCTTCACTCTGATCGCCTCAGTCACATCATTTTGGCTTATATGGAAACATTTAACATACTACACGTGTCCACAACAACAAAGACATATCGTTCGAATGTTATTCATGGTTCCAATTTATGCAATCGTTAGCTTGCTATCCTACATCTTTTATCATCAAGCGATTTATTATGAAACGATTCGAGATTGTTACGAAGCTGTGGTAATTACGTCTTTCTTCTATCTTTTGCTTCAGTACGTTGGTGATACACCTGCCGAACAACATGAAGTCTTTCGAATGGTCAAGCTCAAAAAATGGTTTTGGCCTTTGGGTTTTTGGAAGTATAGGCCAGATGGATTACACTTTTTATGGTTAATGAAGATCTGTATTTTACAGTACGCCATCATTCAACCTATCTGTACGTTGGCTGCTGTTGGATTGCAGTACTTTGGCTTGTATTGTTTGGAATCTTGGGAACCATATTTCGGACATATTTACATCACGCTCGCCATCAGTATCAGTGTTTCAGTCGCGATGTACTGTCTCATTCAATTCTATTTGCCCATTCAGGGAGAACTCAAGCCTTACGCTCCCGTACTCAAATTTCTGGCTGTCAAGAGTGTGGTCTTTCTGACTTTCTGGCAAGATAGCTTTCTATCGATTTTGGTTTATTTTGGTGCCATTAAGCAATCACAGTACATGACTGCTGCTGACATTCAAGTAGGCATCAATGCATTATTGGAAACGTTTGAGATGTGCATCTTTGCTTTTCTTCATATAAAAGCATTTACCTATGTCGTGTACCGTCCAAAAGATCGAAAGCGAACAACACGAAAGTTTAAAGCTTTATTGGACGTTTTCGATTATCGGGATTGGTATTATCAAATGCGTCAAACTTCACGGTATATGGCAGCAAAATCAAAAGGTCGTGATTATTCGATCGTGGAAGACATTCGAAGGGAAAAATATACACATCTGGAAAAAGCGCTTGGCCGTGATCGATTGTCCCACTTGCAAAGCGAATGGAGTGCAGGGAAAGAAAATATACCCACCTTTTGGAAACCAGGCTGCGAGCCAGGAGAGGATGATACGAGCTCCAATCTCGATTCTGATACAGAAAAAACGGCTTCTACCAGAGTGGATGCAGTGGTGAAGCCAAGATCACGAGCTGCCTCGTCGATGAGAGCCGTAGGTGATACTGAAGAGCGGAAGCCACGCGGTAATTTGGCAATGAGACCGGATTATGATCCTGAAAATGATGATGAAGACGGACCGATAGATGAAATGTCAGATCATCAATCGCTTTTACAATCAAATAAATTGTCCAGACTTCTACCAACTCTTCCGAGGGTAGAAGTTGCTTCAATCCGAGCACCTTCGTCACGCATGGAAAGGCATCCAGAACTGTCGCAATATCATAGAACAGCGCTGGAAGAAGATTTTGAGGAGAAAGACGACGATCAGAACCGATCAGTGGATGTGCCCGATGACATTTTCATTCCGCGAAAAGGTGGAAGAGCAAGAAAAGAAGCATCTTTGGGGTTGGGCGCATTTTGGAGACAGTTCCGTCAAAGAATTTCTGGAAGTCAAACGGAGCCCGTAGAACAGCACGAAGAAGATGAAATAGAAGAGGATGATGCATTCTTGCCCCCTGTGTCTTCACAGGAGTCAAAATCTGATGCCTCACAAAGCGCGATCCGGAGCCGGGATTCCCCCTTAACGAAAATCATCAGAGATCACGGGCAAGAAATTTCTGTGCCGGTAGACGCAATCTCTGCAAAGATTGGTCAGACAACAATTGGACGTACAGACGCAATTGCTACCGCCATCCAAAGACAAAAGTCTGATCGTGCTTATATCACTTCGATACCGTCTACTCAAGAGCCAAGATCGATTGCAGAGGCGTATTTATCAGAACCCCAAAGCCCTGATCCACCCGTACAGAACGTGCCATTGCGAGCCCCTGTCCCCAGAAAAGCTGTCGGTGACATCGAAAGCGTGGCACCAAGTATAAGTATGTGGAGCTCATCAGCACAAGATCATAAGCGGTCAAAGTCCATCACTAAATCACCAGAGCCTGTGAAGCTGACGGAGAACGCACTCAAAGCTGCAGGTCTTGCACCCACGAGTGCTGATGTTCCGTCCAATTTAGGCGTTGAAAAGTCTGCTGTCTCATTAAGCACAGCCGAATTGCAAAGACAATTGACGGCGAAGGAACAAAAGCGAACCTCTTTGATGGCGAAAGGTCCAAAAGGCAAGCGAATTGCGGTCGTGTTACCAGGTGCTCTTTCACCAGAAGGGTTGCCAGCCGTTGAACCTGTGCAAGCACAAGCAAAATCAATCGTGTCCGATGTTCCTGCTTCTTTGCGACCTGCTTCACAACCACCCACGCCCAACACGAACCGAGATTCTCGTATTCGATTCTCTGAAATAAGGCAACCGATGCCGGATCCCAAAGATAATCCGGAAGCAGATATCCCTGTAGTGAACGGTTGGGTTGTTGCTGGCGGCAAGAGCTTGAAGCAGATACGAGAGATGGAAGAAGAGGCAAAGAGGAAACGTGAAGAAGAAGAAAGACGTCAAAAAGAAGAACGAAGAAGACTAGCCTTTGAACAACAGCAAAGGAAACGCGAAGAAGAAGAGAGACGTCAAGAAGAAGAACGAAGGAGACTCGCCTTTGAACATCAGCAAAGACAACGACAGCAGCATCCTCAGGCGGTCATGAATGCTACAGGTCGTCCAAGAGCCTATTCGCGTGATAGCAATACTTATCAAAGCCAAAATGACAATACACCATCCTCCAGCAGTAGGACAAGACGCATCAGTGCACCGCCTGTGCCTGAAGCAAGTAACAATGCCAAACGATTTTCACTTTCAAAATCGAACAAAAAGGAGAACGCAAGTGTTCCACCTCCTTTGCCAGCACCATCGCAATTATCAGGTATGGACGTTCATAATGTCTTATTTGCTGGTGCAGATGCATCGATCGGTCAACGTCAAAGGGATACTCGATCACACACACGACCAGATTATTCCAGCAGACAAAGACATCAATCGCAACCTTCGCAAACGCTAAGTCAAATTCAAGTTGGTTCTATTGTGAGCAGACGAGAAGTATTCAATGCAATGGCACCTGCTCCTGCACCGATGCCGCAATACTATCCTCATGCCGTGGGACAGGTTCCTCCTTCTAATTTTGTACGACCTCCAATGATGCAGCCTATCAGACAACAATCTTACTCTACAAATCGAGCTCCTCCTGCTTGGCCAGTCCCGCCTCCTTCTAATGCCGTTGGATCTAGAAATATGTCATGGCAACAGCAAAGCAGAGGTTATGCGCCGCAACCTCATCCTGCTCAGCCTCCACGGTCATTCTCTGGCACACACACATCGTATGATCCATACACAGGAGAACCTCGATCAAGCGCTCATCAAGGGCACTCGGTGCAACGACCACATCCTAGGCATTCTCTTCCACAGCAACCTCAAAGACAATCTTACAATCACAACGGAAGAGACACAAGAGGAGAAACTCGAGAAGGCTTTCAGTTTGATTATATAGATTAAAGAAGACAAAAAATGTGTATTGAGAATATAAATACATAATGATGATGATGATGTTGACAAAATGCTCACTTTTGCTGATTTAAGCGTTTTTGTTGTTCTTCATGTAATCTTTGAAGTTCCAAAGAAAATTTTGATTTTGCACGAATTTTATGACCATAAAAGAATAAAATGAAAGGAACTACGCCCAAAACTGCTCCGATCAAAGCTACCAAAGTACTTGCCCACGTATAACCAAGATTATGATACATTGGCGTAACAAAAAGCGGAAAAGCGAAACCAAACATATTTCTTGCAAACGATTGAGCGGCTAAAGCAGAACTTGCATAAACGAGATAAGCATCTGCAAGGTAATTGAAAACGGCCAAATAGATGGTATACACTGCCGTCATGAGTGCAGTAATGCCGACTACCGGTCCGGCTATACTAACATCAGGGTATGATGTCCAAGCATAAATGAAACAACCGATCGGGAAAAGGATGGCAGCAGCACAGGCAGCATACAAGCGTGCCTCTGGACCTCGTTTTTCAAAGTTTTTCAAATAGAGACGATCCTGATAAAAGTTGCAAGCGAATCCGATGAGTGCACCTGCACAAATTGTCAAGAAGACCAAACCTGTTTGATCGGGTGTGTAGTTGTGCAGTTCCGTGATGAAACCAATCGACTCCAATAGACAGTACATCATTCCCCAACAGAATGAGATCCATAACGAGAATACAAACACGATTGGTTCAGAGAATAACATCCATGCAGGTCTTGTTAGACTATTTTTGATCAAGATTGGAATGGATGCCCTTTCTTCTTCAGCTTTGGCTCTAAATCGTTTATCGCCCGTTTCTTTTCGAAGTCGGATTGCTCTTCTTGTCAAGATGACACTACCACGAGTTTCCTTCAAGAAGATCAAGAGGATGATAAATATTGCACCAGTATAAATTGCTTGAATATATTGAATCCATCTCCATTCAAGTTTGGGATTCCCAGCGACGAAGCCAGCCCAAAAAGGACCAAAACCAGTTCCAAAGATTGCACCGACGCTGAACAAGCTCATGGGCAATCCACGTTCGCTCGTTGCCCAAATATCAGCAATCGTTCCTCCCACCATCGTACTTCCTGTACTTCCGAACCCACCTTGCAAGAAACGCAAGATGAGCATTCCAGTCATGTTGTTCACCAGCCCGGTTCCAACAAAAAAGACTGTGTATAAGAAATGCGTTGCAAGATAAATCAAATTACGACCAAAAACTTCTGAGAATGGAGCCAAGATAAGTGGAGTGATTCCGAATCCTAAAGCATAAATTGAAACGCCAAGAAGGGAAACTGTATGATTTGTTTCATGTAAATCTCTTTCCATACTTGTTATTCCTGGAACATAAGCACCTGCAGTTGCAGCCACTTCTGCGGTAAAAATCACACTTAAAATTGTCGTTAACCATTTACGATGTTTTGAAAAATTGAATGGATTTTCCGGATCATCTTTTTGAAATTCTACCCAAATAACTTCTTCTCCTTCTTTTGTTTTTTGAATTTCTAATTTTGATCCATTACCTTTTTCTGCGTCACCGTATGTAGGTGCAGTGTGATGCTGTGTAGTTTCTTCTCTTTCGCCACTATCTCTGGAAGATGAATTGGTTGGTGTTACGGCTGCTGTACTTTGACCTGTTTCAGGTACAGGTATATCATTTGCCATTCTTTTTTCATCTTGATCCGTGTGGGAAGTAGCTTCGATCATATTGAACGAAGCATTCGTTACGGTTGATGGTGTTGGTAGAGCATGAATAAAGGTAAGAAGGTTGGTTATCTATTAATATATGTTCATTTTTACTCTTTTTTATCCGAATCGATTCGCACGAATGACTCTTATGCTGCATGTTTATTTTTATTTTTTTCGGGTATAAACTAAGGTTTAAAGCCTCAAAAGTGAAGATCGGAATAACCGCATGCTTCTAGGCGCCGTGTCCCCCACTTATCCGCACCGCTTCGCACGCAATCCAGTAACACGCCCGCCCTTTTCATTTCATCATGCAGTGAATTAAAAAAGACATTTTTCTTTTTTACGTGAGAGAATGTACGTCAGAACAAAAGTAGGAACGCCAATTTAGCGTCAACTCAGAAAAAAGATCTTGGCCGAAAGAGACACGGATGGATCCACAAAAGCATGCGGAGATAAGAGATGCACTGCACACCCTTCTTACAACTTATGACGTCCACCTTTGGCCAATCTTTCAAACTTTTCTTGTGGTCTTCCTGCTCGAAAAACAGCTTCTGCTCCAAGTAATTCCTCCATTCCGGCTTCATAAATATTTTTGTTCATATAGGCCGTTTCACGTATGATTCTCTTCGTGTTCAAAACTGCATACATGTCCACGTTTGGAGGTAATAATCGATCGCCTATATGATGTAAAACGTCTTGTAAGATCGGTGCTGTGTATGTTTTCTTATCCGCATCAGAAGGCGTTGGACGGGAGGGGAAAATTCGGCTATATTGAATCATTGTCAGCACAGATGCGTCTTTTCTTATCTTTTGTATAATGACTCACCTGATGAAACCTGCTTCTTCCAATTCTTTTGCAGACATCTTTTTTCCTTCGATTAAAGCTTGTTGTGCTTTTCCCAAACCCATCTTTTTGGGGAAACTGACACTCGAACCAGCTTCTGCAACTAATGCAATTTGACTAAAAGGTGTCAAAAGGTAAAAGTTATCATATGTATAAATCAAATCACATAAAGCCACAACGGCTGCCATTATTCCTACCACCGGACCATTCATCGCTGCAACGAGTAATTTTGAATGATTATACATCATTCTCATCGCCATTCCGTTACTTGAATATACTCTTCCTTGCGTCCATGTTCGCGTACCAATGATGTGTTTGATATGGTCTTTGGGTAACGTCTTTATTTCTTCCGGTATTCCTTTTGCCCTTGCTGGATCAGCAACATCAGCACCAGCAGAAAAGAATCTTCCTTTACCTGTCAAAACGGTAATAGATATTTGAGGTTGTTCATCAATCCATTCCATATATGTCCACAGGCTTTGCATGTCTTCCATAGTGACAGCATTCAACTTTTGCGGCGAACACAATGTCAAAACGGCCACCGGTCCACAATGTTCAACAGATCCATCATCTGATTTGATAAGAGGGAATGAGATTTGAACTGATGTACTATCATCACTGATCGGTAGAGGTCGTGTTGGTGTGAATGGTAATGTCATCTTCGCTAAAGTGATTGTGTTGATGGCCAGAAGGAGAAGTGGTTGTTGGAATTCCCCGCAAAAAGAAAAAGAAATCAAGCACCAGCCAGCGCGTTGTACCTACCGGCTATTAAATCAATCCTCTTATCCGGCTAAAACACTTTTCGCATAAGCGCCATCACAATTTTGGAACAGTAGAGATGATGTGTCTATATGGCTTATTTATTAGGTGAAATAGTATACAAATTGCCATCTAATTCCCACTTTCCTCTATTACGCAACACTTTTGACCAAAATATCATTATCGTTCTCCATTCTTGTTCACTTTGCGGCATTCGAGGTTGTGAATTGGAAGAGGGAAAAGTGATCGATTGAACATTGCTAAATGCTTTCTTGAATGTTGCTTGGGGCTGATTGATCGATATTGCCAACGTTGGAATGCTCAACGCAGGTGAAAATGTCGGGTGTGATAAGAAGTCTCCGCAAACACTGACTAAACTGCCAAGCTCGATAGGGTATGATCCTGTAGGCTGTGTGGTTGTATTCTCTTCATTTGAGATTTCTTTAATTTTTGCTGTTTGATCCGATGCATGTTTCCTTGTGAATGCAATCACGCCTTCTATAGCAGCCGTAGCACCATGTGTATATCCAAGGATATGAATCGATGAAGAAGGCCAACCACACCCTCCTTGTTCGACAGGTCTGATGAGATACTCTATCAATCGTTGAAATGCATCTAGAAATACAGTTGGATTTGGATTAGAGATATCTTTACAGTAAAAAGTCAGCATGAATGCTCACATATAATTGACTCTGTATCCTACTCACCCTCTCCTAGATTATCCCATACATCCCAGTAACCCCATGCAGACTGCTCCATAAACGGAATAGCATGACCACCACGAAGACTTAGAATTGCCGTTTGTGGTAGATCGCCTTGCAATTTCTTTCCAAGTGTGAGGAATGGTTTGTGTGTATCCCCTAATCCATGTAATAAGATCAACAAATTCGAATCAATACCACCAGGACTTGCTTGATATTCAAATGTGAGGGGATCACATTTGCTTTCTTTGATAGATGGTATTGGCTTCTTGATGCTATCTGATACAACTTCTTTTGCTTCCATTATCTCATCTTCCCACGTCCTTTATATGATGATGGCTTTTTAGAGGATCGTGCTCCACTGAATGTCATGTCAAAAAATTATAAAACAAGGCTAATTTTTTATCGGCATTGTGGGTTTAAACACACAACAAATAAACACACTGACGATTGGCCTACAATACGCGTGCATGGGTACGTGCGTGCATCTTACCAGTCAACATGACCCCACCCTGCACAGTAATATAGTTTTATCATGCATAATCTCTCTCTCTCTCTTTCGGCTGAGTGTTGCTTGTTCGTTGCCATCATCCGCTTTCCTTTCTCATCAGCCAGACAAGATGCCATCATTGGCAGATTTGGAACAATGGATCGAAGAACAAATACCGCAAGATTTACATGATTTACCCGGAAAAGTTCAATCACACATTCAAGCCTATTCAACGCATTTATACCATCAAATTGTGGATCTAACGCCTTCTTTGGCGGAAATTGAATCGTCCTTGCCATCCAATCCTTTCTCTGCTCCAGCTCAAGCACCTCCTCCTCCACCCTCTTTGATTGATAAACAAGTCACTTTTATTGACTCAATCGCGCGTAATATCGACGCTTATACTGGCAATCGGAGAAGGACATCCGTCATAACTGGCATTGCATTTGCTGGTATAACATACTCTGTCTATAAGCGGTCACAATCCATAATCGAGAGAAGGAGGATCGCATTTGAAAACGATCCAAACATTCCACCCAGAACGCGAAATGGGAATCGATGTGACGCGGTGGTCATACTTGGAGTAGAAAGTCAATTCGGTCAATCCCTCGCGCATACGTTTGCTTCAAGAGGTTTCATCGTTCTTGCAAGTGTGCCAAGTGAACATGAAAAGCAATCTTTTGATTCGCTGGTTCCACCTTCGATGAGAGGATACATCAAAACGATTGTTTTGCCAGATATCGAAACGCAATCCGGGCATATTACCAATTTCGCCCGAACAGTTTCCACTGCACAACAATTGCGATGGCCATTAACAGCAGCCGGCGATCCTTATGCTAAGCCAGGGACAGAGATTAATATCACGGCTGTCATAAATGCCTCGAGCTATAATTCTTTAACAACGTCAGAAAGTCAATCACAATTCGAAGTACACACTTTCTCCAACGAAGTTCAAAAGCGTGTCGTTACACCTCTGGCAGTCATGAAGGCACTGTTGAGTACAATCAATCAGAGGTCCTCTTCTGCCACCAAGGTGACGCTTCTGTCTCTAATACGATCAAGAGGCGAGAGCGATATTATTACACAATCGGTGAAAGCAGGAATGAGAGCTTTGGAAGCAGATCACGAAAAGGTTCCTGCTTCTTACCTTGTTCTAGAAGCTCGCGAACCGTCTATCCGCAACCTTTTCCTTTCCTTGTGGCCCACGTTCCTCGGAGGGAACGCGATTGCAATTCGAGAAGAAGATAGTCGAACAAAGCAACATTCTTCACGCATCGCTCGTCGAAGCCGGAAAAATTCAAGCGATTCTACGGGTCTCTGGATGATGGGCGACGCAGCCATTTCCTTACTTCGTCAAACATACTCAAACAAGAGCTCGAGTGGGTATTCAGCCTACTTTGTTCGCTTGGGCGCTGTGACAGATGCACAGCCCTCACGCAACATAACGTCAGATTGGGGATCAGCACTGGAGTCCACAACGATCTTGCGGATTCTACAAAATGTATGGACACCAATTACCTCTTTCATTAGCGCCCTAAGTCGAATTTCTCGCCGTGGTGTTTGCTATTCAGGCACTTCAAATCCGTCCAATAGCCGACCTGCATTTGGACCTGGACCCGGGCCTGCTTCTAATACACATTCACGTTCTTGCATCCGTCCAAGCAATGAAAATAGCAATTCTTCCAAAGCAAAACGGACGAGACCGGTTTCGACCATGTCAAATGGATCTTCTGACCATGCAAGAACTAGTGAATCAGAAACAGGAAGTGGTAGCAGCGGTACGGGTGTTCAAAGAGACAGTCCTGCAACTGGTTCTGCACCTGTTTCAGCTCCACCCTCAACACACGATATGAGTAGTTCAGGCTTGCTGAGTAGTGTTCCTAGTAGCGCTTTTGGTGATAATTCGGAAGAAGAACGATATGCTGATTCAGATTATCAAGAAGGAACCGAGAGCCCGATCGTGGGTGCCAATCATGCGGGCTTTGATGCAAGTCATTTACGTGCGCCCAGCAGTGATAGCTGGCAAAATGCTTCGCAATCTTCTGTTCTTGAACAATCTGCTTCTTCTGATGCTGACGATTCTGGGACGGCTTTAGGTACAAGGAACACTTCAACGGATGAAAGTCAAACGTTGGATCAACATGTTTCTTCCTCTTCCGCAAGAACGCCAAGTGCTAGCGAGCATATTGACATGCGAATACCTAGTGCTAGTGAATATCAAGGATCAAACCAGTCCCCAATGCAACATGGGGAGAGTGGCAACTATGTGCCGGGCACCAATAGCCCCTTAGGTCAATCATGGGTCGCTTTGGGTCAATCGTCTACCGAAGATCAAGGCCACTAAGTGAGAGAGTTTGTTTTCTCACAATCAACTGTATATTTTTTGCTCATTTGTTCTCAAATATTGTACGTACGTATCTATGCCTCGGAAGAAATTACATGATATAAGATTAAACTATTGTGGTGGTAATTGAAAATCTTGCAATTCTTCTGCTTCCCAATTGATATAAGCACCTTTTGCACCTGCACCTTCATTCTCGTTTGGAAGAGCTGGATGAGATCGTGTACCACGGACTGCTAAAGCGGCAAATACATGACCTGGCTTTTCGGGTGGTAAGAGCTTGCCATCCCTATGCAATTCTTCAAATCTGACGTATTCGTTCGGATCCATGGATTCTTTTGCTTTTTCACGAATACTCTTTTGCATCTGTGTGTAGGGGAGGACGATTAGAATATATTCATCAAAGATGCACGATAGCAAGACTTACTTCTGTATCCACAACACCTGGACGTACTGCCCAAACGGCTAGAGACTTCTCTTCGTTTGCCAATGTTCTTGCGATTGCGTTCATGGCTGCTTTACTTGCATTATAAGCACCCCAAGCGGACGTTTGACCAGTTGAGGCGCCACTCGAAACAAAGACAGCTTTTCCACAACCTGTTGGAGAAGAACGAAGATGAGGGATCGAATGATGCAAAGGTTGAAGAATCATAGCAACATTTGAACTAATTTGATCCACCAATTCAGCAGGTTTTCCATTGGCCAAACGTGCATATTCTATTGTTCCGGCATTCAAGATGATAGCATCTAATCGGCCCCATTTTTGTATAGCTTGATCGATTGCTTTCTTGCAGTCAGATTCTTTAGAAGCATCTCCTTGTACAGCAATCAATGATGATTTGGAAGATCTTTGTTCTGAACTGAGTTTATTGATTGCATCTGTTTGTGAACGCGAAAGTGCAACCACGTTGGCCGGCTCTAAAGTCTTGGATCCGTTTAGCAAGATTTCCACTATACTCAAACCCAATCCTCTTGAAGCTCCAACGACAAATACAACGGGTAGATTTGATTTAGACGACATTGCTGAAAGTGATCGTTTAGAAGGTAGCAGTTAGGAAAGAAGCTTCTCCACAATAAGAAAACACGAAAATTGCACCGTGCGCGTAGTGATCGATCCAACGTGAAGCTTAATCTGGCTGAGAGGATGTTGTTCACTTCCTTGTTCACTACTATCAATCACTCTAATTGTACAGCACTTATACCCACAATACCCAGCAAAACATGTCACATTCAAACACAGGTAGCCTTACCCGTAAGACAAAAAAGGATGATGTTGAAGCACTTTTATCCGATTTCGATAATCTAGAAACAAAGAGAACAACAGGCGGCGCAGCATCCAACGAAAAGGCAACGCCTAGAGGACTTACAGGTAAAAAGACCAACACTTCAGCATCGACAAAAGATGATGCTCAACTGTTACTTGATGATTTGGATGATCTTGTTAAACAGAGAAGAGCGCCAACACCAAAACGAACACTTTCTACAAAAACACCTTCAACAAGTGTTTCAAGGACAGCATCTACCGATAACTTTCACACATCCAATACAGCCGCAAATGATGCAAGCAAAACAAGTAATGTCAGCGATCAAATACCTCCATCATCCGATGCAAGTAGCAATATCACATTAGGGGAAACAGGCATAAGCACAAGCTCGGACCATGCTGCCAGCGCAAGTGGTTCTTGGGGCGGATGGTGGTCCAGTGCCACCAAATTCGCTGATCAAGCTCGAGCAGAGTTGGAGAAACGTGCTGCACAAGTACAATCGCAGGTTGTCGAAACAACTTCTGCGGCTGCGGCTGCAGCAGCAGCTGCCGCCGCTGCACCGAACAATACGACAGAAATCGATATGGATGGTAAACCGATCGAAAAAGGAAGACCGTTGAGTGGAGAGATTAATCTTCCCTGGCAATCGGCTGCACAAAATATAAATGCTTTCCTTAAATCGCACGGAGGAGATTTGAATAAGATTCGATCGGATATTGGAAAAGTTGGAATGAAGAGATGGAATGAGATCCTAAACGTTGTTGTTCCGCCAATCGAAAGTCATGAAGTTCTTTCGATTACTTTGAGCCATGATATGCTTGGATTTGAAGGTGTTCCTGATGTCGTCTTTCAGATTCTACAAAGAGTCATGGAGACACATGCAGCTTCACAACATGCAGAACAACAATTAGTAGTAAACAAAGCACCAGAAAGAAGGACAGAATCTGCAACTAAATCCGATGACAATGAAGAGGAGGATATTAAGCCAGACATGCGGCCTGTGGTCGGCTTCTCTGAGGCATGGAAACTGGCCGAGTCACGTTTGGAAGAACTGGTGAACAACCACAAAGCCAATCAAAGAGAAGATTCAACGCCTACCAACGATCAATCGGCCACACTACCCATCACAACATGTCCGCTTTTTATTCGTATTCAACCTGTTTTGGATGTTTTGCCCGGTCTCAAAACAAATACCCTCTCTGCCGATTCTAGCACGCATTTGTATATCTGCATCATCTTGCGTGATCCAACGAACAACCTATCACACAGAACTGTTTCTCAGCCGCTACCGAAGCCGTACGCTTTGCTGCCTTTTGATCAACATCCTTGGGCAGAGGAATTGTTGAGCGAAAGCTTACAAAACGCTTTGGGTAGCGTAGGATTGGAATATGTTCGAAGTAGAATGCAAGCACAAAGCGAAGCTTTATCAAAAGCAGCTGAAGCAGACGAAACAGACGGACAACAAAATTCTAATGATGTTTGATCGCGATTGATAATGAAATTGTAACAATTCATAGGTATACAAATGTGAGAGCATATAAAAAAAATGTGTAAAAGTACAAAGTATGTGAGTTTTCTTTAAGCATGAATTTGTTCGATTTCCCTTGAAAGTAATCCTCCTTCTTCTGTTTCCTCTTCTGTTTCTTCTTCGTTTCTTTTGATCCATCTTTGAATAAGCATAGGTGCTAAACTGACCAAACTCATCAAAACAAGTTTGAACATCATTTCTTTATTCCAAATCTTTTCAGAGATTGCACGCATTCCTGATTGAGCAACAGGAGATTGTGTTGAACCACCAATAGAGAAACCATCGGAATCCATTTGATCGGCAACACTTGCAGTAACGACGGGTAAAACTGAAGCCACTTCTGCCAACAAATCTCCAACTTGCACCGTACATGCGTTCCACGGAATTGATCCTAAACCTAAAGTGATCGTATAGGGTAAAAGAGGAACACGTAAAACCGAACAAGCAATATTCATCAATCCATACGGAACAACGGGTAACAATCGCAAAACCAACAAATAAGACCAAAGGCTACCGCTGTTTTTACTCTTCGCTCCTTTTCCTTGTTTGTCGGCTTTGATCATCGTCGATGACTTTCGTTCTGGTCTTGCATCCAACCAGAACGAACGTGCATTTTGACGTGTTCTTGTTGAAGTTGATTCTCCGTTGGTATCCAAAGTAGAAGTAGATGCGATCGGTTGTGTGGTGTTGTTATCCATTGGCATACTTCCTTGTAATGCCTTTCGCATCTTTTGTAATCCTTTGTTCAATCCTGGCATAGCGCTAATGAAAGGACCGATTGGAGCCATCAAGATATAACACAACATACCACCAACAGCAGTAAGGACAGAAGTGTACAAAGTACCCATCAAAGTGCCATACATAGCTCCAAAGACGACGTTCATAATGATACTTCCAGGAACGGTGAATGCTTGTTTCCATGTAAAGAATGTGCCCAGAACGATCAATGTATGAGCAAATGCTTTGTTGCTTGATCTGCTATACTCTCGTAAACTGAGAGACATTTCTCGGATTTCGTTCAAGGTCAAATCCGTGATGTGATTTGGTAATTTCAACGGTAAAGTTGAAAGTGCCAATAAAATGCAAATCGTCGATCCAACAAAAGCCGTTAACAAAAAGAACAAGGCAGGTACGTGTGGTCGCAAAGGCGGCATTTGTGCCGAGAAGAAGAAGTTGTGCATCCTTGACATTGCCATAGAAGAGAGTGAAGACAGGCCTTGTAAAACATTAAGGTCGAACAATTTAGGTTGCAAATCCGTTTCTGCTGTAATGCTGTTATTTCGATGCTTTCTGCCGTTTGGGGTATAATGAGAATCGGGACTTGATGGTGGACTGATCATATGACTGGGTAAAATACCAGATCCATGTGTAACTTTTGCTGTTTTCATATAAGGTGCACCTGTAACGATACGCATAGAAGATGAACGTGCATGTGCTGCACCATTCGCAGGTGATGTTCTCCCTGAACTAGACCCGGAAAATGGAGTCCAAATCGATGATCCATCACTCAATTCATTTTGATTATTTGATCTTCCAGCAAAGTTCATCATTTCGTATTGATAACTTTCGGAATCCCTTTCTTCACTTGTTGCTGGTGTCAAAGGCGGACTATCATCGTTTAAGCCATACAATCCATCTGGTCCTGCTTGTCTTGCCGAGGGCATTGCCAAAGGTTTAAGTTGTGATTGTTTACCCTGTGCTCTTTCAACGTCATCTTGTAATGCTTGTGCGGATGCAGATAATCCTTGGAACATATGAGCAGAAGAAGTACCTCCTATTTGGTGACTGGAGCGAGCTTTTGGAACGACGATAGCATTGTTGCTGGATTCCGATGTGAAAGAAGTAAAGAATGATCGAATTTGGCTGGATAACCTTGGACGTGGAGGGAAGGGACCTGAATGGGTTGAGGAGGAGAAAAAGTCAGTATTGTGGAGGGAATGCATACACCATCTATGGGGCGTTCATGGCGCAGAAAAGAATGGTCTACGCCATCTTGTTCCTTTTGAGAGTCACTCGCCTTTCTTCTTTTCACCTTCTTCATCATTTGCCTGATAATCTTCATCATCTGTTACATTGCGTAAGGAGCTCTTTCCAACAGCTTTGTTCTCTTTCTTGTTTCCAAATCGATCGATAGTGAAATCTGGTGTTCCTGGTCCACGATCGGGATCATGTAAATCGATATGTTGATCTGTTGGATTCCTTTCGGTGATTATACTACCAGCACGCGATCGCTTCAGAGTGGATGAAGTGAACATTCTGTCGTCGAGGTGATGATCACAACCTTTACACCCAGTAATGAAGTATGGTGGTGGAGGTGATTGTTGATGAAGATGAAAGTGTCAAGATGAGAATGTAATATAGTTTGACATCTGTTTCCCCAACCCCAAATTTCGGTTTGTGTTCTATGGATCCGCTTTTCCACCTGAGAGAGAAACACCCTTTACCTGAAACTTAAAGAGAAGCGCGAAAGAAAAAAGGATCGTTTGTGAATCCGGATTGATTTGGGCCGCGGATTTGGTAGTGATTGTGTGCCTTGCCCTACACTGCCCGTGTGAGTCGTGTTGTACATTCACTAAACATTATATCATACTCTAAAAGCCACCTACGGCAAAACAGCGCCGAAAGAGAAAAATAATAAGCCGCGGTGATATTCAGGCTCTTCGCACTGTACGCAACAAAAGTTTTCTTTTTGCTTATTGCATGCATAAAATACATAAAATACCCGATTGTGTGACGCAGTGCAGTGCAGTGCAGTGCACTACAAACAATAACAGCACTTCTAGAACGCAAACCTCTTTCGGCGTTTAGACGGGCTAAGCATGAGTGTAAAAATGCCAAGGCTCTTCTTACGTCAACCCTGAAAAGGCCCCTTTTACACACCCTGTTTTTTACGCGCTTGCGATTGGTAAGCCCGTGTACTAATGCCTAACTCCGTTGGAAAATATGCAGGAAAAGGTACACGAATGCGTTACAGAAAAACGCTAGAAATTCGTTTTCAGTCTTTTACGCGCCAGACTTACACACGCGACTGACATGCATCGAAAAGTTTGTCTGGATCGGATGGGCCGCGGATTTGCAGGATGAGAGTTACATAATCCACAAAACGGAGATTGCTTTCTGAGAAGGACACGTGCTGCGCTTAAATCCGAGGAAGCAGCGCTTATCGTGATAAGATGAGAGTCAATTTGGGGAAGCATATACTGGAGAATACATTCTTCCTGTTAATCGCTCATCTGGCATTCACAATGAGGAATTTTCTACGGATAGAGTCAGCTATCTCTAGATCGATACGGCAGTCCATCGCTCAACAATTCAAACCACCGGCTTCCTTCGCCCAGAAGAGATGGTATGCCGCTCCACCTGCGTTTCCATGCGTAGATGCAAATGAAGCCAGGACAGCAAGATTGATGGCCAATCATCAAGGTCCAGCGATCGATCAAACAAATTTGGAAAGTGAACAAGCAAAAGATCCTGAAGGACCTGAACCTGCCTATACAAAAGTAGTCTCAGGCTACAAGAAATTTCATCATCCTAATCCACTCTTGTTGGATTATGGAGGTGAATTACCTTCTTTTGATATCGCTTATGAGACATGGGGAACGCTCAATTCCGATAAATCCAATGCGATTCTCATTCATACCGGCTTAAGCGCATCTTCACATGCCGCCTCTCATCCCGACAACACAGCAAAAGGATGGTGGGAAGATTTTATTGGTCCGGGTAAACCCCTGGATACAAACAAATTCTTTGTCATGTGCACAAATGTCATTGGAGGATGTTATGGAAGTACAGGTCCATCTTCCGTTGATCCAATGGATCCAGAAGGAAAGGCTTATGCAACTCGTTTTCCGATCGTATCCATCTTTGATATGGTTCGAGCGCAATTTTTGCTATTGGACAGCTTAGGAATCGATAAATTGTATGCAAGTATTGGATCGAGTATGGGAGGAATGCAATCTGTCGCTGCTGTTCATCTGTTCCCCCAACGTGTCGCAAGATTGGTGAGCATTAGCGGAGCAGCAAGAAGTGCACCTGCAAGTATCGCATTAAGATTCGCACAAAGAAGTGTGTTAATGTCGGATCCCAATTGGAACAGAGGTTTCTATTATGATCAAATGCCGCCGCATACAGGAATGAAATTAGCCAGACAAATCGCAACAATCACCTATAGAAGTGGACCGGAATGGGAACAAAGATTTGGAAGGGCACGAAGAGCACAAGATCCCGCTTTGTGTCCTGACTTTTTGATCGAAACTTATCTTGATCATCAGGGAGAACAATTTTGTCTGAAATATGACGCAAATAGCTTGATCTATGTCAGCAAGGCGATGGATCTCTTTGATATGGGATATGAGGCGTTAGAAGATCTTGAAAGGAGAAGGAAAGGCAGAATTGAAGGTACCGATATCGGCAATACACAAACGTCCGAAAGAGTGACTGCAAACGCAGACAATGAACGACAAAAAAGACGACAATATATCCAAACACTCGCTTCTCCCAGTGCACATACCTACCTTCCTGATCTAGCCCGTGGATTGGAGAGGTTATCCAATCATCCAACATTAATCTTAGGAGCACAATCTGACATTTTGTTCCCGATTGATCAACAACGTGAATTAGCCGAATGTTTGCGTAGGAATGGTAATTCACAAGTGCGTTACTATGAAATTGATGCACCACATGGACATGATAGCTTTTTGATCGATGTTGCCAATGTTGGAGGAGCAATTAAAGGATTTTTGGTATAGAGTATGTAAAGATTTGATTTGTATTATAGAAAACGTTGAATGGTATAATCACCTTCCCATTTGTGAAGCTATGTTTGCGTGTGGGGAAAGATTGGAGAGTCAGTGTTTAGCAGCCCTTCTCTTACGCGCAGAGACAAAGAGAGACGCAAGCGGGACAAAGAAGCGAACGCGTCTTACCACACACGGATTGGCACTCTCATATAAATATACAGAGGCTGTGTGGTTGTGTGTGTGTAGTAATCCAGTATACATTACATAGGTAGACCGAGCTAAAAATTAAGAAGTTGTTTTTGGAGAGTGAGAGAGAACAAGGTAAACTTCTCCACCATCATATAAAAACATCGGAAAGGAGTCAAAGCCGCCGGAGAAACGTTTGGTTTCAATTTGGCAGAACGACAGTTAGTCAAATATCCAGCTTTGAATCGTTTGGATCAATAGCAGTAATCCACCCACAATCTACACCTTATCAACATGGCCCGATCCTCCAGGGTATCCAAAGCTGCCGGTCAAATTTCACCTTCCGATGTAGAATCTGAAAAAGGAACGATCACACGTAATGCCAATTCAAGAACATCTTCTACAAATTCGGTAACACGTAGAACGGTACATGCAAACGGAGAAGAAGAGGAAATCTTAGATAGCGAAGAAGCAGTTCGATTGGCAAACGCTGCGCAAGAGAATGTGTTCTTATTCGTTCCTAATTTGATCGGATATGCAAGAGTGATCTTGGCTGCATTGTCATTGTATTACATGAAGAGTAATCCGAAAACATGCACTTTGCTATATGGTTTCTCATCCCTTTTGGACGCAGCGGATGGTGTTGCAGCTCGTAGATTAGGACAAGCTACCAAATTTGGAGCTGTATTGGATATGGTCACAGATCGATGCGCGACAGCATGTCTACTTTGCTTCTTGACCACAGCATACCCAAGATGTGCAATCATCTTTCAAGGCTTGATCACGTTGGACTTTTCAAGTCACTATATTCACATGTATAGTTCGCTTATCACCGGATCTTCATCACATAAATTGGTCACTTCGGATGTCTCGTGGATTTTGTGGTATTATTACAACGATAGCAGGACTTTATTCTTTTATTGCGCAGGAAACGAATTATTCTTCGTTTGTCTTTATTTGATGGACTTTTATCCTACTCCATTGGGTCTTAAACCAGAATGGTTTTTGTGGCCTTTGGGTAAAGGAGTGGCTTCTTCTTTGGTGCTTGAAGCGGCAAGAAATCCAAAATCCATACAAGCTTACTTTTTCAAAATGATTGCCGAGCTCACGTGGCCACAAATTGTTGCGGTCATCACTTTCCCAATCTTTTTCGTTAAGCAAATTATCAATGCTGTTCAATTCTGGAAAGCGGCAAAAGTTTTGGTCGGAATCGATTTGGCAGAGCGCGCAAAGAATCGTCAAAAGAAGTGATGATAAATGCAACGTCTCATATCCGCCCTATAAGGAGCCCATAACGAATGCAACTGAGCGAAAAAGTTGCCATTCATTCAAATCTGTTCAGGTGAAAATACGGAACAAGATTAAATATTTGTACTTATATTGCAAAAAAACAGAATCAAAAACCCCACACTTTTTCCCATTCAAATCGCTTTCTTAATCCCTTTTCCCTCGCGCAAATATCTCTTTCGATGCTCTGTCTATCAATGAAAATTCCTCCTGCCGCCTTTCTTTTGGAATAATACTTGTCTTACCTCTTCATCGTGTTTTCTTTGCACCGATTTCTTAACACGTACTGATGCAATAATACATGGAATTGATAGAGAATGAAGAAGGTGTATCTGAATTGTGTATTGTACAAAGTGCTAAACAACGAGAATGGAAAAGTGTTAAACGTGTACGTTAGGCTTCTGACCTACGTCTTGAACGACTTTCAACACAAATTCCATCTGGTCCTGGTAAATATACCGTTCGAGTTTTTTGTGGTTTTTGTACGGGAGAAGAAGGCATACTCGGAGCAGGCGTAGAATCTGTGCTTGTCGAAATGGCTGATTCTTGCAAGCCAGGCAAGGTTCCAAAGCTTGACTTTGATTTAAGGCCCACAGAATTGACAGAATCTGTACTGGTATTACTCGGTTGTGAAGTCCTGTTTGGATTATTGCCTTGATTCGCTCCTGATCCCATTCCTAAAGCTGTAAATGCAGTTAATCGATTACCGCCCAATACCGTTCCAAATGAAGTCCTCCTAGGTAAACCCATAAATCCATGTTGTTGCATCGGTGATCCACTACTGTGCTGATGGGTTTCACCTGAATGTGAATTGGATTGTTGAAGTTTATTACCGGATGTTAATGTAGCGCTAGAAGTAGAGGCACGCTGTAGGAACGGCGTTTGTTGTGGTGTTGGTGGAGATGCTGTCGTTTGTTCATTTTGTGAAGATGCATTTTGTGTATATCCAGCTGCTTGCCAAAATCTTGGAGGAATAAAAGAAGCAGCCGGTGTTGAACTTCTACGAGAAGGGAATGAAGCTCCAAAAGGTGTAAATGTTTGTCTGTTTATGTCTTTTTGTCCATCTTCTGATATTGAAGTTGTATGATTTGATGCTGTTGATCCTTTACGTTGTGATGATGATGTAGTTGAAGTCATGTTTTATGATGATGGTTTGTGGGAAACGGTGACTAATTAACACACTCTTGCTTTGTCTGCATAGCCCAAGAAAAGGGGAAGGGCCAAATTAATCAACAAGTGCCCCGCGTACAGTGTGTGTGTGTGCACGGACTATAGCATAGCAGAGATAGGGAAATACCCACAGGGCGCAATTTGTGGCAAATCCAATTAAAGCGGGGAGAACAAATAAAAATAGACGCCGTGACTATATAAAGATACTTTCCGTGAGAACCAAAAATGTATAATGTATTTTGCAATAAATAATAACATACAGTAGAAGAGAAAAGTGATTGTTCCTATTTATAAAAGTGAATATTTTATATACTATTTAAATAAGCAACAATGCAGCACCACACAAAAGCAAGGTAATTAGACTCCCAGCTTGAACCGGAACGGACATCAAACTTGCCGCTGAGAGACTAGTAAAAACTTCTTTGTGAGTGTTGGGTGATGTTTGTGCGTTATCTGTTCCACCTCCTGTTGCAAAGACTCGTAATCCTCCCAAAGACCAATAAGACTGGTTAAAGGATGAGCCATTGTAACCAACTTGATAAGAGCATGCGGGGTATTGCAAGTTGCAACCCGATGTATTGTACTAAGTAGAAGAAAAAGATCAGTCAGTCAATCATTCACTATTTTGAATTCTCGCCTCTATCATACTCACTGTACGTGATCCAGCATCTCCACAAAGGGTGATGTCAAAGATAATTCTATGAGGACCAAATTCAGTATGGCAATTGTTTGCAACATTGAAATCGGCATTTGGCGTTCCCCATGTACTTGGATCGACTGAATTGCTAGAAGATTGCAAATCGCTTGGCTCTTGTCCTTGTGGCCAAATCCAAACACGAATACCACTTCCTGTTGAACCTAAAGCACGTTCCATTGCCACAATACCGCCTCCTTGTTGGTTGAACGCTGTACCCCATGTTGGCTTGGAAGTACCGTTCATAACGACAGAACAACCGTCATTGTTAGGCGTATATGCTGAACAATTGTTTGAGAGTAGCATACCCGATTCAGATGCTTTTGGTACGATACAGCTATCTTGTGTATGTAAAGTAGCAGCAGGTCCATTGTATAAATCGTTAAAGTTTTCCAAAATATCAATTTCACCGCCTTGTGGCCAAGCAGATTCATTTTCGGTCAAAGTCCAAAAAGCAGGCCAAGCAGCACATCCAATTGGAACGTGAGAAACATTCAAAACATAAACACCATCTTGATATGTTTGTTTTGATTCTAAACGAATACTTCTTCTACCTGCTAATTGCACTTCAGTTGTATCAACACGCATAAAATAATTTCCATGTGCGATTCCGGTTAAATTGTTTGCTTTTGCGTCTTGATAATCTTGATATAAAACGAGACCGTGTGTTGGATCTGTTTGATTGTAATAATTAAATTGATTATCAAAATCAGTTGGATTAATTGTAGTTGATAAACTCCAAGTAGCCGCGTTGACTTTTGTTTGAAGGAGTGCGAATCCTAGCGACAAAGCGCCGAAAAGTGATGATGAAGGGAGCATCATAGATAACAGAAATAGGGAAGATGATGGTTGAGATGTTAGAATGGGGAAAGTTTGAATTCTACTTACCTTAAGCACGTTCTAATTTCTCTCATTGAATTATATGCAGGAACTTGAATTGATCTATGTATTGCATCTCTCTGCCATTGCGACAAATAGAAATGATACGATTTTTTGGCAGCCAAGCATTCCTTAGATGCAGTACATAAAGTGTATATTATTATTTTTAAAAGTTAAAATTAGTATCGGCTATAAGATCAATAGAAGCATCTATATAGAAAAAGCGGGATTTGTTTCGCGTTTCATTAAATGCAAAGTACGGCAAACAAGCCGAGAGCCGGCGCGCAGAGTTGATTGTTCACCCTTGCTTTGAGAATTGAATCGGCACCGCCATAAAACGCGTGTATTGAGAGCGTGTCGTGAGTATGCCGAACAGAGTGAACGCTCAAATGCTTTCGTAAGCAATCAGAACAAAAGACGAGCCACTCATTAACACGTGAATAAACGTAATTAACGCGATGAACGCGTAAAGAAAGTGGCAAATAAGAATTGCAATCAAAGTGTTACTTTCCTGGGGAGAAGGAATGCAGCTTTCTGAACACATTTCTTGATTACACTTCTTCCTTTACCACCAAGTCATCATCACCATCGCCCTCTTCATACTTCAATCTTGGACAACTCCAGAAAAGGTATTGAAACAGCTGTGGCAGTCTGCTAGTTGCAGTTGATCCATTTCCTGCTCGTACATAGCGCATACACTCAGCCATCATGCTGCGCACTGCACTTGCTTCGATCAGAAATGGCGTCAAAAATGGGGGCGGTGATGATAGCAGTGATATAAAGGTGGCAAGAGGAGGGGGTTTCGGTATTCCAAAAATGAAAGAATTCAAGCTCACACTTCGAAGAGACTCAGACACAAGCAAGGGTGGCAGAAAACGCAAACGTGTAGATTATGCTGGCATGGGAGGGGGTCAGGAGGATGACGCTGATGGAGATGCCGGATCTGGTTCTGATTCAGATGGCGGTCCATCAAAGAAAAAGAAGACAACGAAAGGGAAGAAAGTAAAAGGTATCAACCTTGAAGGAATGGGAAAGGGTATTGGCCCAGATGGCGCTTCACTCATCAAAATTGATCGCAGGCGATACGAGGTGGCAATCAAAGAAGGTGGTTTGAAACGTCAATTTCATTTTCCAACAATGCGAAGAGATGGCCAAAAGATTGAATTCACTGCCACAAGGCAAGCATTGGGAACTCGATTAGGAATGGAAATTCCTCCTCGTCCATTGCATGATCCTATGGGTGCAAGCGCGATTGTGCTTTTCGATCCTACTGTTGATGACATTGAGCTGACTCGAGAGCAAGATCGCTTGCAAAAGATTCAAGCTGACGCCGAAGCAAAACTTACACAAGATGATAAATCTTCGAGCGGTTCCAGCTCAAAGAAAGAGGAGCCTTCTCAAAAGCTGCAGCCCGATCAGACTGTTCACAAGAATTTGGCTGATATATTAGGCATTCGCCGAAGAGATGCAAATGCCAAACCTCCAAAAGTACCAGTCGTCATTGATCCCAGATTAACAGCCATTCTTCGTCCCCATCAAGTCGAAGGTGTCAAGGTGAGTAAATGCATGCATGTATGCGGTCCAATTGAACATGATGACTAACCTACCTCTCCATCCTACTATACAGTTCTTGTACCGATGTGCTACCGGACTTATCCAAGAAGGTGCTTTCGGATCCATCATGGCAGATGGGATGGGTTTGGGTAAAACACTACAATGCATCTCTCTTATGTGGACCTTGCTCAAGCAATCGCCCACTCCGGGCAAGCCAACGATTGAAAAATGCATCATTGCTTGTCCTTCGACGCTTGTACGCAATTGGGCGAACGAGATGACGAAATGGTTGAAAGAAAAGGCGCCCGGTCTGTTAGTCATCGATGGTTCACAGACAAAAGAGCAAATGATCATGTCCGTACATCGTTGGTGTAATGTACGTGGCAAATCGGTCACGCAACCCGTTATGATCGTATCCTACGAAACGCTGCGAAATCTTGTGGAAGTGCTCGGTGAAGCAGAAGTTGGTTTGTTGCTGTGTGATGAAGGACATCGATTGAAGAACTCGGACTCGTTGACATACAAGGCTCTCGATCAGATCAAAGTGAAACGCAGATGCATTCTTTCAGGAACACCGATTCAGAATGATTTGACCGAATATTTTGCTCTGATTTCGTTTGCAAATCCGGATCTCCTTGGTGGCAGATTGGAGTTTCACAAAAAGTTCGAAAAACCAATTCTAGAAGGAAGAGATTCTGAAGCCTCAAAGGCAAAACAAGAGCTCGGCGATCAAAAGCTTAAAGAATTGAGCGAATTGGTCAGCAAGTTCATCATTCGTCGCTCCAACGAATTGAATACAAAGTACTTACCCGTCAAGTATGAACATGTCGTCTTTTGTCGAATGTCTGGGTTCCAGCAGGAGTTATACCGGTACATGGCCGAAAAGGCAGCAAAAGGAGCTAAAGCAAACGGAGGAAAGACGGCGGGATCTCTAAAAGCTATTAATGAGTTGAAGAAGTTGTGCAACCACCCCGACTTGTTGGAGGCTGATAATATGGCTGGTGCGGAAAAGCTCTTTCCTCCAGGCTACAAGACAGGTGTTGGACGCTTTGTAGATTTCAGCTTGTCAGGAAAAACAGAAGTTCTTCAACGCTTTTTGCAAACGATTCGTCGAACTACGAAAGATAAAGTTGTTCTCATTAGCAATTATACTCAAACATTGGACATCTTTGAACGTATGTGCCGACAAAATTCATGGAAAAGTTTCCGATTGGACGGTACGATGACCATCAACAAACGTCAAAAGTACGTCGATGATTTCAACAATCCTGACCGCGATGAGTTCATCTTCTTGTTGAGCAGCAAAGCTGGAGGATGCGGTATCAATCTGATCGGAGCCAATCGTTTGGTCTTGTTCGATCCTGATTGGAACCCGGCATCTGATCAACAAGCATTGGCACGTGTTTGGCGTGAAGGCCAAACGAAAGAATGTTTCGTTTATCGATTCATTGGTACAGGATCGATTGAAGAAAAGATCTTACAACGTCAATTAAATAAGCAAGCATTATCGAAATGTGTGGTGGATCAAGCAGAGAATCAAGAAAGACAATTCACCGGAGATGATTTGCGCAGATTGTTCAAGTACAAAGACAAGACGGAATGCGAAACACATGACACGATCAAATGCGGGCGCTGCAAAGATGGCAAACAGACAACCAAAGCAATGGCAATGTTGAATGAAGACGCAAGTACATGGAATCATTACGGTCGTAACGAGTTCAAGAATCTTCACGATGACTTATTACGAAACGAGCTGGCATATGATATTGTTTCTTTTGTGTTTCAATTTTGCAGTGTGTAATATTTACATGTTTTTCACGATCCCTTTCATACCCCTCTATTCCTTTTCATTTTCTGACCAATCAACTTGTACAGTATAGTCTATAATTAAACCCAACCAGATGATAGCACCTAAAATTGTATTACTCCTGAATTTACTCCAACAATCTGTGCGACTGTTTAGATCAACTGTTGATATTTGCCAAAAGAGATGAGCCATGCTTGTTATCAATGCAGCGGTAAAGAATGGATGTCCTGTTGTCAAGAATTCTTGCAGTGTGTTTGCTGACATATTCAACAGAACTGGGTTCGACAAATCTAACCGACTGACTCCCAGACCTATCGAAGAAAGCATTGCAGTTGAGAAAGCCGTCAAGACGAGTTTCGTATTTTGACCAAACAGAAGCGCTGTACTCTTGATTCCCGCTGTGATATCGTCTACTTTGTCTTGATGTGCATATATCGTATCATAAACCAATGTCCAGCAAATGCTGCCAAGGTATAATGGTAAAAGTACTTGAGATGCACCTTGCAATGAACCTGTCATGGCTGACCAACCCAAAAGAGCTCCCCAATTAAATGCTAAGCCCAAAACGAATTGAGGCCAATAAGTAATTCTTTTCATGAACGGATAAATTACCACCAAGGCCAGCGAAGAAGCGCCAAGGGCGATACTATACATGTTTAGCTGTAAAAGGATTGCCAAACCAGCCGAAAGTTGAACACCGGTAAAACATAAAGCTTGAAAAGGACTGATTACACCTGAAGCCAAAGGTCTATCTTTTGTTCTTGTAACGTTTGCGTCTAATTTACGATCCCACATATCATTGATCGTGCATCCTGCTCCACGCATTATGAATGCTCCTGATCCGAACAAGAATACGTTCCATGCCAATTGACCGGGCGGAAGGTGATGAGCATGAGCGGCTAGCGTTAAGGACCATGTACAAGGTAGGAATAGCAGCAATGTTCCCGTTGGTTTGTCTATTCTTGCCAGAGCTGCATAAGGTCGTAATTGGTCTACGAGAGATCTTTTGGGTGGTATTCTTTGTGATTCCGGCTGATCAAGAGCTTTTGTCTCCGTTGTAGTGTTGTGCCTTAGCTGCTGAAGCCTAGAATGGACCGATGCATCTTTGCCGATTACCAAAGACGATCTTCCAAATGATGTGAACAAAGGAGAAGCTCGTCGGTTTGCAATTGTGTGTAAGTGTCTACAGCTCCCTGAAGATCCTAGCCATTGTGTTATGCCAGATCTTCTCAAGGCAAAATTTGATCTTTGCACTGCATTCATCGGGTGTGATTTCGTTCCATGGTGAGCAAGAGTTCTTGGCCAGAAGAAATGCATCTCTTCTTCTTTTTTTTATCAGTAAGCTACATTAGAATCGCGTATCTCTTAGGCCAACTCTGTGCTCATCAGGCTCAGGCTCACTTACTGGTGACACCTTTGGTAACGCGTTTAACCTTTTCACGCCTATTTCCAATAACCCGGGTCACACTGTGTGTGTGGGTGTATTAGCGCCGCATAGAGCGTATGTATGCAAAGCATAATCGGCTGTTCTAACGCCTGAAAAAGCAATACAATAGTGGAGGTGAGCCAATCGGTGTTTGTCAGTGTAAAGATAGGATTCCCACTCTTCATTTCGGATCTCAATAATAGTATTTCTTCATCATTACCATCAAAAATAAATTGCTGCCATGCAATCCAATCCAATGGCAAATCAAGATAGAGGGCAGGATTTCGTACTCTTTGATGATACAGCAGGTATTCCTTCTGGTTCTACTCAAAGTATTCCTTTCGGTAGTGCAGGCAATTCCAATACCGATGCAAGTGCATTTACTCAATACAGAAATGCTGGTGGTTTATCAAATTCAGCTGGCATTCCAGGTATAAATGAATCACCTTTTAGCAGTCCAGCTTCAAAACCAGAAGATGATTTCATGACAAATCCAATGGCAGCCAACAATGGTGCACAACCTATACCCAACACCACTCCTCCTTCAGGAACATTGGCTCAAGGAACGCCAAAATCAAAACGAGCAAGAGGGCATGGATATAGTAGCTCTTGGACAGGTGGAAGTATAGAACAGCATTTACATCAATTACAACAAGCACAAGCACCAAATATGGCACCAAATAGCTCTTTCGGTGGCTTTTCAGCAGGAGGTGATTGGAGTGGTTCAGATACCTCTCCACAAAATCCTCCTAGCGGTAGTTTTGGACCACCAATCCACAGTCTTTCGTTAGGCGATGGATCACCCGACTCAGCTTTAGCGAATGCCGGTCAATTTGCCAGCTTGTTCCCTTCAACCACTTTAGCAGGAGATAATCGTGCGATACAGCCTGATCAAACAGCAATTCAGAACGCTTTGATCGCTGCAAGAACAATGGCGCAACAAAACGTCAACCTTAATGCACAGCAGCAGGAAACCATTGCTCGCCAACAGATTCAGAATGATCTCAAAGGTGTTGATAGCAGGGCATTGAAAGGTCAATTGCGTGATATCAAGCAGGGTGCTCTTCCTAACGTCAATCCATCGCAAGGAAATGTTCTATTTCCCAACGTACCTCTCACACCTTTGGCTGGTGATCCATCTGCACCGGGAGAATTCTCAAACGCAAAGACGGATGCGATAACAGAAGCACTTTCTTCAGGAGGGTTCGGTAATGATCAAAGCCTATCCAACGGAATCCCAACAATGACATCAGCACCCTATGCAGCAGGGGGAAGCGATGTTGCTATGAGTGGCTTCGGAGCTGCGCTACCAGCCTCGATTGCCGATTCCATTTCGTCATCATACACGCATCCTTCTCTTCCTGCACAGCCTACAAGACAATTCTCAGAAAGAACGCAAAATGCAGTCAATCGCGCAATGGCACAGAAACCGACGAGAAAGAGAATGACGAGAGAGGGAAGCGGATTAACAGTTAGTCCACAAGAAGCATTTCTTGATTATCAGAATATCGATTCTGTTTTGCAAGCAGCCAGTCAGACGAATTCTACTTTGGGTGGAAATGCACCAAATGTCTTTTCTTCAGCACCAGGGATCTCGGGTACTTCGATGGGAATGACAATGCCTGGCTTAGTGACGGATACACAGAATCCTGCTTTTGGAAGCTCTGAATCGATGGGCACCCCACGCAATTTGACAGACGTTCCACTTTCCTCATCATCTGCTTTCACGTTGGAAGGTACGCCAAGCCTAATTGATGGCGGTAGTAGCAATGGAACAGATAGTCGAGCAACTAGTGCGCTACCAAGCCCTCCTCAACGATTACCTTTGAACAGGGAAGATACCGTTAGACCATCAAAAGCACAAATGGGATCTTCATCTTCTCAATCTTCCGCTTTGAACGCTCCTCAACAAACGCCTTCCGATCAACAATCTTCACAAGGCAGCTTGTTTTCCAAAAGTGGAGGCATGCTCAGTCCTTCTGAGAGCGCAAACAGCAGTACAGACGACGAAGATGAGAAGCCATATTTCTCAAAAGGACAGAGTAACGCCAAAAGAAGTTCGGGAAATGGTGCTACAACAAGCTATGCTCAGAATAATACTCCAGGCTTCCAAAATGGACCGCGGTTCTCAGTCGTATCGTCCAGCTCGAGCGAGTCTGAGGATGATTTGCCAAACAGGAGGCGGTATGGTAATGCAATGTCGAATAATGGGAACAGAAGTATGGAAGGCCAAAGTAATCAAGGTGGGGTCGGTGCGGGTCAGTACAATGCTCGACCTAGGACGATGGGTGGATATGGATATATGGGCAGCAGTGAAGAGAGTGGATTGTTTGCAACGCCTTCTTCATTGCCTTTCCAACAGCAGCAGCAGCAGCAGCAGCAGCAAAATCAGATGCTGCCGCCGAACTACAATGATTGGCTTGCTGGTGCTGCCCAGGGCATGATTGGTCAAATGCCACCTCCTCTGGATACTGCTGCAGCTCAGGCTACGGCTGCACAACAGAGACAACAACATAGTCAGCAACAGTCCTCTTCCGGTGACGCACCTAGCGAAACAGGCTCGCAAAGTCAAGATGAAAGTTCTCGACAAAGTCCTTCTATTCGAAGTTCGGCTCAAGCAATTTATCCTTTCCAAAATAATGACATGAACAGGAATATGATGATGGGAGCGAACAATTTCCATATTCCAGGGACTATGCCATTTGCACAACCTGGAATGGACGTACAAGGAGCAGGATTGGCCACGCCTAAACCACGTAATCGGTCTAGAACGAGAGCTACAGAAGTCAACAAAGCTGAACAAAGTAGAGGTTCAAGTAAGCAAGAATCGTCGGAAGAAGAGGAGGAAGACGACGAAGATGAAGAGGAAGACAGTGAAGATTGGGAGGGCACAGAAGACGATGAGGATGAAGTGGACGAATCCGAAGGCTCGCCTTACGGTGGCACTAAAACCAAAACAAATTCTACGTCAAAGAAAAGCACAAAAACAAGGAAAAACAATAATGGCGCAACAGTTAGACGGAAGAAACGTAATTCACACGATGGGGATTCTCAAGCAAAGAACAGGCATTCAGGCAGTCATGCTGGTGTCACTGTATGCGATTATGTTTCTCCGATGACCGGTGAAGAATGCGGTACTGAATTCCATAGACCGTACGATTTGGCAAGACATCGTGAAACAATTCATGCAAGAGAAGAAGCAACACTGTTGAAACAAGGAAAGATCACAAAAGAACAATGTGTGGTTTTATACAAAGAAGTTGATCCTGCAAAATCTTTGGCAACAGTGGAATGGAGATGTGATGGTCCAAACGGTTGTGGAGCTTTATTCTCACGCAAAGATGCTCTTCTGAGACACAGAAGAATTCGCAATCACTAAAGATGCAATATTTATATAACTGTATACCATTGCATGCATTACGCTTGATGTACTGTACTGCAAAGCTGATAAAAATTGCATAATTGACAGAGATGAAGATGTGAAAGTATGAACTCGTATTGAGACTTTCAAAAGAATCCCTTCTTCTTATTTGGAGAAGGAGAAGGTGCACAAATAGGATCTACACATGAATCTTGTGATGACCATTCCCCTTGCGAATATTTGCTCTCGTCGGGGAGGGTTGGCGAAAGATCGTCAGGAAGATGGTTGTTTATTGGCAGTTGTACGCGGTCTTTGGTGCTGACTTGAAGAAGAACTTCACTGGTTATCTTTGATGGTTGGGCTGCTATAGTTGGGATTCCGCTAGATTGCTGCAAGCTGGACACTCTTGGACGTGGAACGATCAAATGCTCGGCGGAGAAGTTTGGAAGATTACCTGATACTTGACTTCCGCTACGACTTTTGGCTATAATGGATGACCCATTATCACTAAGAGAGCTTTTATGCGATATGGATGAACTGCAACGACGAAGACCTTTTTTACCGAAGAAATCATTCTCCCTTTCACCATTTGCCGTTTTAGTTCTTTTATTGATCTTTATATTGAAAAAGCTTGGCCTTCTGATCGTATTGAGGTTTGATTTCGTATCAGTTTCGGATTGCTTTCCTTCTTCACCCACCACTTCAATTTCATCATCTTCTTTGTACGATTCTTTCCGATTTTTCTCCACTACGTCGTTCAAATTTTCTGCATGTAAGAGCGCCATATGTGAGTTGGAAACGGCAAATCGACAGCTTCGGCCGTCATTTGAAGACGTTGTACTTTCACAAATGCTCTTTTCATCGTCGTCATCATCATACCCATATTCATCTTCCTCAAACGACAATCTGCTCGTAAGGGTAGCAGTTTGGCTTCTATCGCCATCCGCAATCGAAGAGCTGATTGTGCTGGGAGGATACAAAGATCGGTTGGACTGATTGGAATCTTTGCGTTTTAAAAAGAAATCTTGCATTGCTCGGCTACTAGCAACCACTTCTCCACCGATGCGCAAAGCTGTTTGAAAGAATTCATCAATTGCTTTTTTGCGTGATTTTGAAAGACGATCTTGTTGGGTTTCTAGGTGATCTTTGGCATCCCAAACTATGCTTGATTTGCTATTTGACCTTTCTCGATTGGCAATAGCATCGTTTGAGGGGGTTTGTCTGGATAAAATTGTATCCAAAAATTGACGGGCAAATGAAGGATTATTTGTGTTGTTTGATTTTGAAGAACTCTTGCGACTTGACCGTGGAAGGGAAACTGACTTTCTAGTCAATGGTAAAGGACCACCTCTCGATCGACTCAGAAGGACATCAAACGTCGTCATGAGTCGATTTGATAAAACTAAGACGTCATCCAAAGATCGAGTAATAAAATGAGTGGAGAAATCTTCAGAGTTTTTGCCGCTGTCTGGACCACTTTTTGGATCCATTCTCATGTGAGAACGAGGATCGAGAACAGAAGTATTGACCAAAAAGCGACAGAAGATTTCAACACCTGCATTCTCGCCTTCCTCTTTTCTTTCATCAATTGCTAGGCATTGGATTGACTCGACAGTTAAAGTTCTCTTGCAAGGCACCATGATCGATATGACTAAGGTATGATGTGTCGTAAAAACTGATCGATGTGATGGTGAGAGGTGAGAATAGCTTGCACCATTCTCATGCTGGCTTATAGCATCAGCAAAAAAAGTACTTTTATTGATGGCGGAGTTCATAGGCGGCCGCGCCCATGATGCAATGGTTCGCCGCCATTTCATGTATCCCCGCCGCTGCCCGCACCTCGCCCACGGCGACCGCGAGATATTGGAGGCTGCTTGAGATTCTGTTCCACGTCCATCGTTTGTGTAGAGGTGGTAGAAGTCTGTTTTTGTCCTTCTGAATCTTTCATTTCACGTTTCAAGATTGCAATTTTTGCCGGAGGAGATGATGGTATTTTGGGCGTTACGTTTTTGTTAGAGGCTATTTTACCAACTCCGCTATTTTCTCCTTCTGCCTTATTTGTCCGGTTTTGTTCTTTTTTCGGTTGCTTTTTGGTTTGCGTGACGTTATTCTCGGCGTGATCAGAAATGCTATTCTTATCCAGCCGGGCTGAATTGGCTGACTTTTCGCTCTTCTTACTCTTCTTGTTTCCGGATTCCGTTTTCTGACTATCTTTTTGCTTTTGAACCATTGCTTTCGGACCGGTGGGAATTGATGGATCCGAGATGGCTTTTGCCTTGCTTTTTGAGCCGGAAGTGCCTTTTGCTGACTTTGTCTTACCTGTGCGTGATTGCTTTTGCGCCGATGTTCCAGATTTGGCCAATCGTTGTGCACGAAGGTGTTCAAGCAAAGGAGTGCTTTTCGCTTGCTTTTGTGCGTTTTGTGAATCAGCTGATAATGATGTCAAATGCGCCATCAATTGTGCATCCGTTTTCTCTAATTGACCTTGCCCTTTCTCTTGCGCAAGTTCTGCCTCTGTTTGTGTTAAGATACTAACGAATTGTTTATAATGTTCGTCCTCTTCAATTGTGCCAGCCAACGTGTCTGGTTTCTTCCTTCTGACCCCATCTTCTGGCATTCTTTGGAAAGGCGCAAATTCCACCACTGCGAAATACTCGTTCCCTTTTGAGTCCCTGAACAGATGACCATCAAAACCGCGATGAAAGTTGACCAGGTCATCTGTCTTGTGGAATCGAATATATGCACGAGAAAATGTGTGGGGTGAGGCATTACTATCTGCTTGTACACCTCTTCTTGAGCCATCCTTCAGCTTGCCTGGAACAAAGTATGCTTGATCTGCAAATGGTACTTTTGAGGAGGATGATTCAGCCAGGCTACCAGATTTATCCTCTGTAGGTGCGACACCTTTTTGCGATTCTGAACGCAGAACCCAAGGAGAAATAGCTTGCCAGAATATATGCTCGGGTAGATTGGGTGGTAAACGTCTGATGATAACCTTGAGCTTGATCTTTGGGTTGAAATCGCCACTCTCTTTTGCTTCTTTTGCCTCTTTTTTCGTCTTCTTCTTCTTGTTTCTGCGTTGTTTACGCTTTTTTGGTGCTGCTTCCCCTGTATTCTGCTTTTGATCTTCAGCCTTTTCGGCTGGTTCTCCTTTTGCTTCCGCTTCCTTCTTGGCGTTCTTTGAACGATTAGGCCGATTTCGAACCCTCTTTTGACCTGTAGAATCTTTCTTCTCTCCAGTCCGTTTTTCACTCCCCTTTTTCTCATCACCTTTTGGCGACATTCCCGTCTCGCCTTCCATAATGATGACTTTAGATGAGATTTTGACTCATTGGTGTATCCTGATGACAATATATGCGAATTCAATCGACCATAAATGAAGAGAAAAGATGGTGTTCGTGTGAATCAGATGTGAATGAGAAAAAGGCGCGTTCGGACAATCGGATAGAAAAAGTGTTGGTTGTTCCTTAGCACGCCAAAAGCTCCACCACAGTTTAAAAAAAAGCGCCGCCTCCTTTGCTTACAGCCAAAATTATCATTCTCCTTTCCTAACCTCCATCACTGTCATTGGCGTACAAACAAAGAGATGAGGAATACACGGGCATCTGCTGCAGCGAAAGAAGGTGGAGAGGAAGAGACTATACCCGAAGAAGCTGTTGCATCCACTTCACAAATACCCACTGATGATGAACAGCAAGAATCAAATTCAAAAGAGGAAGCGATGGAAAGACGAAAAGAAAAGATGCGTGAATTACGTAAAAAGATGGCAGATTCAACAAAGGCAAACAGAAAAGCAGTTGCAGGTGAAACCAATCAACACAAAAAATCAAATCGAACCAAACCTACAACTGCACGTAAATTGGAACGTGCTGAAAGAATTTTGGATGAGCGTGATGCTGTTGAAAGAGGTGAAGATTTTGAGAGGACGAGATCGTGGCAATATACGATAGAAGAGAATGATAAATGGGAGGAAAAGTTACAGGAAAAAGAAGCCAAGAAAGACCAGGGATATTTGGACGCACAGTCTGCTTCTGAACGGACTTATAATCGTCTAATAGGTCAGATAAAGCCAGAAAGGAATAAGAATAGCACAAATGCTGAAGGATCATCCTCTGAATTAACACAAGAAAAAGGCTTGCAGTACGGAACACATAAACCCGATGATGCTGCGTTGGACAGAGTGGCCGCTCATTTGAATGCTGAAGCGGATGTGCGTTGGAAGAGAAGTCGTCAACGTGCAGACGATCCGGATGCAGGTGTTGATTATATCAATAGCAAGAACAAGCATTATAATAAGAAGATCAAACGCTTCTTTGATCAACATGTGGGAGAGATTAAAGATAGCTTTGAACGTGGAACAGCATTGTGAGATCGCTGAAGTTGTACAAAATGTATAATATATTAATTCATGACATCTATCCGAAATACAGTCATCTTTTTACATGTGTAACTCTGCGCGTTTGGTTCTGATCACATAAAGTCGAGATCATCACCATCATCCAAAGCTTCATCGCCATAAGCACGCATGTCAATAGTGTTCTTTGCGCTTGCTGTTCCGACAGTTTTGGGCTTGGCAGCTTTTGTTGCTTTCGTCACACCACCACCAGATTTCTTTTCTTTCTCTGCACGGGTTTTCTCGTCAGCTATATTCTTCCATGTCGTGCTTTGTTTGCGACAATCAACATCGCGTAAGTTTTCTGATAATAATTTTGCGAAATGAGGGATAAAGTGTTTGTCATAACCAGGTTTGGTTGAGTGTTGTTTGATGAGAGATTTGTATAGATTATCCGAAAATTCTTCCCATTCCTCTTTTGTTGACAGCTTTGTCGGTTTTAGAGAAGCATCTACGGAAGCTGTATTGCTAATCTTTGAAGTACCCAACAAGTTTGCCGCATTTTCAACATCAGCCTTTATTTGCGCTTCTCGTTCTCGCCTTCTACGTTCTAGTGGATCTTCTTCCTCTTCATCTTCTTCATCACTATCAAGTCCTAATTCGGCTTGCCGTCTTTCACGTTCTTCACGTTCTTTAATCTTTTGCTTTACCGTACTCTTCTTTTTAATCGGTGCCAAATTACTCACATCTGGCTTTTCGGGTTCTTCATCTTCTGCATCCCAATCATCCTTTACGTCATCTTCAACATCTTCATCATCGAAGCGTTTACGGCCATAAGCTGGTACATTTGCTTTTGTGGTTGAATTAGGAGCGGCGGCCTTGCTGACTGGAGCAGCTCCGTCATCAGATGATGCGTCTGAATGAAGGCAAAGACTGAAATCAGTAAGGGTTATTCATTTGATCGATTTGTTGCACACTCACCCCAATCGCTCGATGCCATTCTCTCTTTATATCAGATCTGCGGTATGTGGAAGATGAGAAGAATGAAAAATTTAAGTGCAGTTGCAGGCGTAATAATAATGTTAATGCAAGTTACTCTACAGTGTGCCTCTTACAACAAAGGGAAGGCGGTCTGACGCTAGGCGTAGGCTACAGTAATATACGCCTTGCGTGTGCATCAAGACGCGTTCGAGATGCTCTTTTTTAGAAAAATTGTTCATGAATGTTGCTTATGTAACCATCAACAATAAATCACTACTCTAATTTGTGATTTATACTTTTACTCTATGGTATAATACACATCTCAACAGAATAGAAGATTCTCTGTTGTAGATCGTTATTGCCTAGCTAGACTTCTCCCATCGTTGTAAAGCCGACTTGAAGGTCTTCAAAGTAGTACTTATATTATGAATCCTGATAGATAAACTTCACGTTAAATTATTCATTCGTCATTTTTTTCAAGTTGAAAACAAATGAGCGGCAGTGTCTGGCAGACATGTATATGGACTTTATGCTATGAGAGATACACAAGCTTTATTGCAGCATGTATTCAGCTTATACGGAAAATCAATATAGAAAACTGCAATTTCTTGATCTGATCATTTATTCTGCATATTTGTCAAGAAAAGAAAAATAAAACCAATAGAGCGTAGTATGTCCCAGATTTTGTAGCAGAAGTGAAGGCTATCACGGGCTGAGTAATCTCACAGGCAAGCTTCACAAAGAGGTTGACTTTCTTTCTTGTTTATGCTGTCTCAATTTATCTTTATTTCAAGTTTGCCTCAACTTTCAAATTAATCGTGCAGCCGGATTCACTAAACATCATCCTCTCGTTGGCATCTGAGACATCAAGTGAGCATCAAAAGCTGTTCCTACCGTGATTCTGAGGCACAACGGTTCCATTCGGGCACTGCGATGGATGCTGTCCAGTTGAATCAAAGATCTGCTAATCGGGATCACGTGTTCTACGAGTGAATGATGCCCCCGCACCACTGTGAAAAGGAGATTTTGACTGCAGGGGTACTAGCGTGCGATGAATTGAACGCGTTTGCCTCAGCTTAAGTCCGAAAGCCTTGATTGTGTGAGATCCTTTAGATTAAGCTATATCATTAAATGTTTTGCATGAAGGGTATGTTACGTGCATGAAGTACTTGAAGCGTCGATCACATTCATCTCAGGCGTGAATGGAAATTTAAAGTTTTAAACTCCTCTCCTCCAACAGCATCACAACAATGTGGCACTTCAGGCTCGTACACTGCAGCACAATGAACGATCAAATCACCGTACAACATTCTTACCCTTGATTTCCATGATGATCAGCATTGCAGCCAATATGCACTTGTTTCCATTAAAAAGGAAAAAATGGCTGAATCAATAAATCGGTTCCTGTTTAGGTGATTGTAATTGAATCAAAATTGACCGTGGCATGCATATGAACAGCACATCAATGTGTTATTGATCAAAAAGATGGCGTAAGAGAGCATGCATACATGAATGGATGTATTGACACAATGCAAGTATCCTTTTTGATGACATCTTTTTTACAATGCACGTTTCTCGCCTTACAGTAGAGATATTTCTACTTGTTCCTTATGGCTCGGTCTATTGTCCGTCGTATTATCAATCAAATCCGTACACGGCAGAGCAACAGCGTTCGAAAGAATTTCCATTAAGATCTGTATGTGCGTTAGACGTATGTTTACATGTCTTGCGGTATTGTTCCCTCTAAAGCAACAAGAGAGCAACACGGTGATCTATCTCGCCTTGTTTCCAATAAACAATTCAGTGGTGTGTTTTTCTTTTTGTTGCTTACGCCTTTCCCTGCTACAACTCCGGCTTTGCTTACACCTCCTGATCCTATCAATCCCTCTCGCTTATCCTTCCTCGCCACCTCCTTCAACCTCTCCCTTCCTTTGCAACCTAGTCCCCCCTTTTTGCCTTTGCCGTCTTCTCTTTGACCTTTTCATTGCAATTGCTAGCGATTAATATATCGCCTTTTACGCTCGTTTCTAATCCGCCTTGCTTCAACTATTGCGACAATCCAAACCACCTTGCAATCAAGCATTCAATCGAGTTTAAACACCAATCGACTCGATCTTTCATCGCCCAAACAACCATCTTTAAGCTCCCAACACGATTCTCTAGACTCACAGTCTTTCCTCAACCTCTTCCGTAGAGGTTTGAGTCGCCCTTTATCGATCTGGAACACCTCAGCCTCAGTCATACTCGTACAAGATGTCAACACATAGACGTGCACCAGGTGTACCCGATGTACCACCCTTTCGAGGTGCTGGCCCTTTACAGGCCAGAGGTGTGCCAAATCAGACCATGAACCCTACAGATCCAAAATTCATCGCCTCAAAAGCGGCACCAGCACCACCTTCAAAAGCAATGCCACCGCCAAAAGCCGTATCGGCGCATACATCCTCACAACAAAAGAGGCCTCAACCTTCCGCAACATCGTCACGCGAAGGTAAAGCATCTTCTTCATCACAGCAAAGTAGAACGCAAACGTCTGCCCGTGGTGGTGCAAGTGAAGGTGAGCCAAGACCTAGCTCAAGACTTGCTAATGAGAAAAAGAAGGATTACAAAGATCCTCCTTTCATCGGTCCTTGGAAATTGGGCAAATTGATCGGTCAAGGTGCCAGCGGTCGCGTTCGTCATGCTGTTAACACATCAACCGGATTGCAAGCAGCAATCAAAATTGTACCAAAACAAATTTTAGCCCACAGTAGGATGAGCATCGGAGATGTGACTGCAAAACAAGATAAGATGACACTTGGAATAGAGAGGGAAATCGTCATTATGAAATTGATCGAACATCCAAATGTGCTCGGTTTGATGGATGTATACGAAACCAGCAAAGAGCTTTACCTCATCCTCGAATACGTTGCTGGTGGTGAATTGTTCGATTACCTCGTTTCAAAAGGTCGTTTACGTGCGCCCGAAGCTCGCGCATACTTCCGTCAAATCATCTTCGGTCTTCACTATTGTCATAGCTTCAACATCTGCCATAGAGATTTGAAGCCCGAGAATCTTCTTCTAGACGGTAGCAAGAGAATGGTCAAAGTTGCCGATTTCGGTATGGCAGCCTTGCAACCTAACGAAAAGATGCTAGAAACCAGTTGCGGTTCTCCCCATTACGCTTCTCCGGAGATTGTAAGCGGAAAAAGTTACAAAGGAACTGCAAGCGATATTTGGAGTTGCGGTATCATCCTCTTTGCCCTTCTTTGTGGTCGTTTGCCTTTTGATGATCCAAACATTCAGACTCTTCTCGGAAAGGTCCGCTTGGGCAAGTTCGACATGCCCGATTATCTTGAAAGAGATGCAAAGGATTTGATCTCGAAAATGCTAACAGTCGACCCAGAAAAGCGCTTGAAAATGCGCGATATCATGAGACATCCTTGGTTCACCGACAATGGTCAACTTTCCAGTACTAATCCTGTTTCGACTGATCTAGACAAATTGGCCGAAGAAGAGCTTGACATGAACAATTTGGATATGGATATCTTGAGCAACTTGAAGACCTTATGGCCAGAATTTTCACAACAAGATATTATCGAACAATTGATGAGCAAAGGTCCAAATTGGCAAAAGACCTTTTACTCCCTCTTGGTTCAACATCGTGAGAACTATTCCGGAGATGATGATGAAGACGATGACGAACCAGAGAGCGTTCAGCCCGTGGCAAGCTCAAGCCCGGCAAAGGGAAATACTTTGGGTCTATCGCTGGGTATCAACGCAAGCAGACCTGTTTCGCCTGCTGTTGCTGCTCCGATCGCTGTGCCTCCTCCGCAGACTGCTCGTGTGAATGTCAGTCAATCACCAAGACCAGCAAGTATGGTTCAGCAATCACCCGTGATCAGCTCTGTTGCGGCTGGTTCTCCTAGAATACACGTCACCAACAATGACGAGAACAGAAGGCCTGTTTCTATGGTGGCTTCTCCTCCAAGTTCTCCACGAAGACCTCTTCCTTCTCCTACAATGCAGTCTCCCACACATTCACCAGTCAAAACCATGCAATCACCTGCTTCTGGCTTCGGAAGTGCAAAGCATGCTCAACAAATGTTGCAACAGAATGATCACTTAAGCTCACCTGTTAGACCTGCTCATGACCGTGCAAGAAGTGATAATGTGGTTCCAGGTCGTTCAGCATCCCCTACTACACCCAATCGCAACCGCCTTCGCTCAAGCTCTGTTGCAGATGACTCTACGCCAAAGCAAAATGTGCCACCACGTCCTAGTTCAAGAGCCAATACTGTACGCCCTCAAAGCGCACAAGGCCAAAGAGGCGATGATGGACGATCACCAACTGTACAGTTGCCAGGACAAGCAATGGGAAATGCTTCTATGCAACAATTCTTCCGTGAAATTGCTGATGAATTGGCCAGTATTAGGGTCAATGGAGAAAGACCGGTAAGCTTGCAACGTAAGCTTGAACAATTGGAAAGAATGGCAGCAGATGTACGCAGTGAAGCACGCAGAAGTCAATCTCCTGTCGGACGTACACGCTCACCACGTCGTGATGATGATCCGATGGCGCAATTCGATGATGCAGAAGATGATGTGGAAGATGCCTACAGTGTTCGCAGTGGAACGGCTTCAGAAGCAAGTAGCAATCCTTATTCGCCTGCCACTCCTATGACTGAACCATACTCACCTGCTCTACGAACTAAACCATTGGCCGTTGCTGACAAGGACTTGTACAACGGTGGAAGACTACCCGGCTCTGTTGCAATGTCAACAGCAAGCGGTAGTGGTTCGGGCGCCCGTACAACAAGTAGTGCAACCACACAATCTAGTTCAAGTACCAGTAGCAATGGCTCATTGGGAAGACGCAGAAGTCTATTGCTACGTATGAAGAGTCAAAAGAGCAAGAATCAAGCTGCTCAAGTGACTCAAGAGAATGCGAATTCAACTTTGGCCTATGAGCGTTTGCAAGAAGCAGGCGCAATGGCTCAAAAAGGCTCAAAACTTCAAACTCGTAACCCTGGACTTGGTTTGGATATCGGATCACCTGCTTTGGGTAATGTTGGAATCAAGAGTCCCACCTTAAGTACTTATAGCGCTGCAAGTAGTGCTCCTCCTACCCCGTCTACTCCTAGTTCAGCCTTGATGACGCCTGGCTCACGGTCATCATCAGGAGCAAGTCCTAAGCAAAGCTGGTTCGCAGGCTTGTTCAACTGGAAGCCCGCAACGTGCACATTGATGAGCGTAGAAAACTTCTCAACGACACATGCTGAAGCAAAGAGACTATTGCAAAGTTGCGGTGCACGAGTATTTGTTGAAGATAGTGAAAATACAGGAACATTAAAATGCAGTCTTGCAGAAGTACGTACTGGCGTTCAAGGAGTTCAATCAACCGAATCTCATCAATCTGCCAAACCGTTACGATTCCGAGTTGAATTTCAAATCTTGCCAATGTCATCAACAGCTTCACCTGCTTTGGGTAGCTCAACACCACGCAGTATCGGTTCTGCAGCTTCTCCTAATCTTTCTGCAAATGGTGTGGCATATGCAACCAGTGTGACATTGGTACAAGAAAAGGGAAGTTTGAGTACATTTAAACAAATTTATCATGCTATGCGTGATGTTTGGGTATTGGATGTTCCAACTTCAAGTCCTGCAATGAGCAATGTAAATTCACCCAATCCTGGAATCGCTCAAGTTGGCTTGGGTGTTTCGATGAGAGGCGCTTCTGCTGATCATGGCGCAAACGGTGGAGGTGGTTTGCTAAGCCCTCGTTTCAGGTGATTTGGAGGATTTCAGTTGTCACCTTGTCTTGTAGCATCACCATGACCGCTTCTTTTTTTCTCTACTCTTTACACATTTTTTCCAAAGGTCACATTCATTTTTTTATTTATCTGTCACGCATCAAAAGTCACTCACGCTCATTCCTTAACCCTATCGTCTTTTGTTTATTTTCAAGATATTCAAATTTTTTCTTTCTAACCTTTTGGAAGATGTATGTATATTCTTCCTTCTCTCATTTCTCTCGTACTTTTATTGCATATAACATCATTCAATTTTTACAATATTCTCATTATGAAACAGTCTGTGTGATGATCTGCACATAATTTTCTTCAAGCCTGCATTGTGTACAATTAAATAGAAACAGTGAATAAGTCAACATCATACAAAATTCATTCCCTTCCCTTTTTGGTTTTCTTTTTTCAGCTTCAGGCTGCTTTGACATCAATCATTGGATCGAATTGCCAAAAGCGTTTTTGTGTTTCTAATGCACTTTCTGCATTACCGTTCTTTGTGATTTCATTCTCGCTTGAGATTAATTTCGCTGCAGCCAAGATATCCAACAAGCCACCTGCTAATAATTGATTCTTGGTGGATTCAGTATCGTTTTGAGCATTTGTGGGTAATGCTGACGATACTTGCTCTTCCACACTTTCCTTTATAGCTCCTGCATCTCCAGCAATGGTTGCCAACATCTTCAATCGTGCTAATTGATCGATTCTTTGCTTCATTCGTTTCAGCCCACGTTCACCAGAAGCATAGCCTGGTGGTTGTAGTTGAACAGATTCGATCACAAGACTTACGCCATCATGAGTGTTACCCCAACTTCTCGTCTTCACTCCGCCTCTTTGACTACCTTTATAAGCAATCAATTGAGGCGCAACACGTAAAACAACGGAAATGTCCATCGTCTTGTCTAATCGTTCATTTCTTCCTTTGATCGATTCAGGAGAAAGATTGATAACTTGATCAACATCTTGTCCCGGCACTGTCGCAGAAAGGATGGCATTGTCATTCTCTTCCAATTCACCATTTCTTGCACGTGCAGCCAAATCATCCGTCATTCGTTTCCATGCATTCACCGCCTTTCCTGGAGGAACCCAAGCAGGTACACTTTCAAGATTTGGTCCTAGCAGGTAACCGGAATGCAAGCACATCATCACAACATCGCTGTCATCCGTGTAAACATCCGTGCCCCATGCTTTGCGTTTCAAAAAAACATCATTGTTCCAAAATGCAAACGCATCAATATCAGCATCAGCTTCCGAAACATTTGTAGCATCGCCATTTGCATTTCCATTTGTAGGCGCGTTTGGATTCGATTGTGCTTTGTCGGAATCATTATTCGATTCCGAATTCACAGCCCATCGACCATGCATGATACCTTCTAAATCCTTTTCGCTTTGTGGCCCGACACCTAAAGCTCTACCCGGAATGCGCACTTCCAAAGTTGCTCCAACGTTTCTACGTAAAAGATCTCCAGGCAAAAGAGGTATCTTGCGTGCATCATAGATGAAACTGCCAAGATGTTTTCCGAACGGAATACTGTACTCCGAATCAGCATTGATCAAATGTTCTTCTTGTACACTTTGTGCTGTATTCGCTCCACTGATCAATCCTCTTGGCGCTTCGATTGCTTCTTTCAATGCAACTCGAACAGCATCACTGTCAACTTTGGGTCCAACATTAAAATCTTTCGAAGGTACCAAAGGTCTGCCAGTCGTTGTTGGTCTTTGCTTCTCCAGTCTAGGCGGCAGCAAGCCACGAGCGGGACCTGGCATGACCGGACTTACAGATCGATGAACTTGCTTTGGCGGTTGAGAGCCAGGTGGTGGGCCTTGTTGCTGATTGATTGATCTTTGTGAAACGTTTCCTTTGTTCTCTAGATGCATCGAAGATTTCTTTGCATGTCCTTGTGACGGAGGACCGGGCTCACGACGAGATTGTGGGTTTTGCATCTGTGGTGGACGTTGCTGCATCATCATTGGCGGTTCTTCATATGGTCCCATTGCATGTCTATAGCCAGCCTCTGTCATATGAGGAGGCGGAGGAGGATGTCCATGACCTGCAAATCCTCCTCCACGTACTTCATCAACATCCATTTCCATCGGACGACCTTGATTGTCATAGGCATGATAGCCTGGCTGATTATACATCTGCTGTTGATGTTGTGGAGGAGGGCCTGGACCGAAATGTTGCTGTTGCATCCCACTTCCTGGAGGCGGTCCGAGATTTGCTCCTGGTGGAGGAGGCGTTGTACCACGATAGTAGCCTGGAGGTGGTGCTCCACCGAATCCACCTGGACCAGCTTGATGTTGTTGAGAATGTGGTGGAAGAGGCGGCGGTTGCTGTTGCATTTGTGGTTGTGGTTTTGGAGGCTTGGATTGAGCCCTACCTCCCTGCTGCGATGTGGATGGTGGAGGCGGAGAAGATGGACGCAAAGGCATAGTACGTGCTAAAGGACTAGGCTGACCACCAGGTCCAGGAGGAGCTTGCAATCCATCGCTGCGCTGGCGTCTGTGACCTTCTTGACCAATCGGACTTGCACCTCTACCGCTCAAGTTGGAGCGTTGCCCAAACGGTGAATTTTGACGCTCTCCAGCCCCTCCTAATGGCATCATACCCACTTTTGGACTTCTAGTATTTCCACCTGCACCCCATCTTTGCTCTTGCGCTCGCCAGGCGGCTGCTTGTTGTGCAGCTTCTTCAGCGATAGGTCCACTCCATTTCCTTCTTGCCAAATTGGCAGCTGCAGCTTCCGAAATTGAGATTGCATTGACATTGTTTGGATTAACAGAATTACTTCCATTCGCACTTCCGTTGGAAGTACGACCTTGCAATGGTGGACCATTGTCTCCTTTTGGTGGTGAACTTTGCCCTGCTTCCAACCGTCTACGTTTCTCAGCAGAATTCATCACTGAATCTGATTCTGGTGCAAAATCGTGCGCAACACTAGAAGCACGTCCTCCGCTTGGACCCAAGATCGAGCTCATACTCATCACATCAGCTCTTTGCGTAGGCGATGCTTGTTGAGGCGGTAAAGGCGCATGTCCCATTGACGTTGGCGGTGATTCACTTGCTGGACGCTTTCTGCTATCCATGGATCTGGGAGGCGGGTTGATCATTTCGGCATTGCGACCATATGGACCCATACTTTCACCACGATATGGCCCAGGGCCAGGACCGCCCATACGACTGGCATTCGAACCTGGCGCAGATCCCATGCTTCGTGGTGGAGATCTAATCGCCATTCCTTCTTTGGCTGATTGTGCTCCCCAGCTCGGTATTCTATGATGTCCACTGCTGGATTGACTATTCATCTGATTAGGATTGCCTGGATGATTGCCTAAACCTTCGCTGCTACTTCTGCCTGATTCGTGCGAAAGCGCCGGCAAGCGTGGTGAAGTATGATGAGAAGAAGCATTTGGATGATGCATGCCATGTGAGCTTGATTGATTTGGATGCATTCTAGGAACCATAGAAGGCGGTGCTGACATTGGTCCTGCAGCAACTGGATCCCAAGGCGATGCTCTACTTCCAACATCACCACTTCCTACATTTCTCGAACTTGGTGGAGGCGGCGTTCTCGGCCTTTGAGAAGGTGAAGACGGATGTGAGAAATGCGGTGGAGGATTTTGACCGAAATTTCGTCCGCGATCATCGATCGATCGAGAAGGCGGAGGTTGGTGTGATTGTTGTTGACGCGAAGAAGGAGGCGGAGGTCCATACTTTCTATCATCCATCCAATGACCCACACGATTCCCATATTCATCGCCCCGATCTCTGGCCGAGCCAGGATAACGTGATTGAGGGTGAGAAGGTGGATAATTTACTTCTCGCATCTCTAAGCCTGCACTGCCAGTATTGCCTCTATGCCAATTATCTTCATGATGTGAATGGTTACTCATCCCGCCAGGCGAATGTGGAACGGATCGTGCAATAGATGCTCTTGTCTGCTCTGGACTTCTGCTCGGGCCGCGATTGCTAAAGCCAGAGGAACCAGGTGGAGGAGGTGGTGGTGGCTGTTGCGAAGAGCCACGACCTTGATATGCTGTAAGAGATGAATGGGGAGAAAGTGTCAGTACAGGGTAAAATTAGATTATCTGCGCCCAAGTAGTGAGAATGAAAATAAAGGCAGCGGACGATCGGAGCGAAAGGTTCCTTTACGCCACGCAAAAAAGAGCCGTTATGAGAATTGGCAAAAATGTCAAATGAAGTCCCACAATTGCCGATTGACTTTATTTTTACTTCAACCAATAGATATGCTCCGCATCGATCTGGTTCAAATTGCGGTTCCGGCGCCGGCGCCGTTTAATGACGACTTTTGTGGTGGACTTGCATTTTGTTTTTGGCAAAAGATGTGTGGATCATGTACAGCAATAGCAATCATTCTGACATTCCTTCTCCGTTTTCTTCGTTCCGTTCTAATTTCCCCAGATAGGTACCGCCCTTTGTTCATAATACTCCCCGAGCGCTGTGTGATGTGCAAAGTGAAATCGAATGATACTTACGATACATATTTGGAATAGTATTATTAGCTAATGAATAATCGGAACGTGTTGTTGAGCAGGATGATTTACAGTGTTGTTAATGTTGCAAACGATGACTTGAATCTGTTTTGCTGTACACCTGACCCTCCCTCTGACAAAGGCTGCCTTACAAGCCGAGAATTGATTGTGGATGAATCTCTGCAGTGTCACCTCTGTTCCAATCTATTATGTCGAGCGGATGATGCTGTTCGAGAGGAAGCTTAAGATCCGAAGAAAGATGATAGATGAGGGTGAGAAATGATAATCCAACTCTCGCAATCGGTTCCGGTGAAATGGATGAAAAACAAAGACACATTAAAAGATGAAAGAGAGGGCCGGCCATCTTCTTCCTTCGTTAGACGTGCAGATGCATTCAATCATTCATTTTACCTGTGCACACATTCACTGTTCTCCTTACTTTTTTCTGTCCTTTTTTTTCATTCTTCTGCTTTGCGCACAGCGCGCTGTCATCAATCCACATACATACTGTATCCCTTCCACTTGCATAGACTAGTTATTGTGCGTGTAATTTATTTTAGCCGCCGCCCGTTTTGCTCTCTCCTGTCTTGTGGCGTATGGAAACCCTACCGTAAGCGGATGAAGAGAAACAAGAAAGCAAGCCTTGCGCATCATTGAATGAATATATGCAAGTCAATTTAGATTTACGCGCTAAGAAAAGGTACCACATTTCGGTGTTTGAATTGCCAATTGATGCAATGACATATGAATAAAAGGCGTAAAGCATGAGAGCATGAGCCAATTCAAATTAAAAGGGCGTTCATTCTCAGCGAATGAGCCTAAAAAGGAACAGGCTTGATCATCTTCAAAGAAAGAGAGTGTAATCGTATTGGAATAAGAAGTACAATGCATAAAGAAAGGAATGGTATAGAAAACGAAATAGTCCATAAGATTAAAAAACACCACTTTAAAGGAACAAAGCAAAGCCAATAGCCACAGCAAGTGTACCTTTGATCAAATTACCACCATTCATGCCAATCAATTGAGAAGCTGCGTTCGTGTTCTTTTGTACTTCGGATGCTGCTTGTCTGCTGGCAGTAGTTGTTGAGCCATACATAGGTGCACTGGTTGATGTCACAGTCACCACGGTTGCCAAGGAAGATGAAGAAGTGGATGTGGAAGTTGTGGTCGATGATGAACTGCTTGAGCTTGAAGATGAAGAAGACGATGATGATGAAGTTGAGGCAACAGCGTATCCGACCGAACTTTGAGTGATACCGCTAAAGTATTGACAATTGGAAGAAGCAGGTGCAGGATGAGGAGAGGGTACTTGAACTCCATTGGTGGTATCAGCTTGTTGGAATGTTGATAAGCCAGGGTAACCGTACATGATATCTTGTGCATCATTACCTTGACAAGATTCAAATTGGTTTGGAGCATAATTACCTGGTGCATTGAAATCACAACCTAGTTCATCATACGTATGTCTGCACAAACTTGTTGCACGATTACCGTCAAAGCAAGCACGAGTGCAAAATTGGGTTGCAGACATGAACGAAAACCATTCGTGCATTTGTTGACCGTTATGGAACATCAAACCACCAACCGGGTTTCCATTTCCATCTGCTCCGTGTGGATCCAATTCACCTCCTTCATCACCTGCCGTGATACCAATCTTTGTGAAATCTCCAACACCCGTGATTTGAACGTAATGCGGAGTTTTGAGAAAATGTGCTCCTTGAATTGTACCTTCAGGAATGACCCGTGTTCCACGTCCAGGTTGTGTACAATAAGAAACTTCAACTTGTTCAAAAGTTGCCACTTCTCCTCCATTTGGCGGTGCCCAAACACAGAAATCCTCAACACTGTTCAAATAAAAATTTTGACATTGCGATGTTTGACTACTGCCTGTTCCGCAATCGTTTGTACCTGATTGTCCACTTTCACTTGTCTTGGGTAATCCGGAAGGTGAGGGTACATATGTTGCAGTATATTGACCGTGTACCGATCCTATAAGCGCAAGAGCAGCAGATGCTGTCAATGCTATCCGAGCAACGTTGGACTGTTTTTGACCGTACATCTTGTATGGTAGAAGCAAAAGAATAAAGAGGACGAAAGATGAAACGGGTCTTACAGATCGCATATATATATATGTGTGTGTTTGTTTTCTACGATCTCGGCAAAGAAGCCTACGGTATTCAATGATCACTCCTGTTGTGGCGTGAATGAGTTGCATTACAAGATACATTTGTGGGATAAACACAGCATGTACTGTGCCCGTGAGGGATGATACATGTACGTATAGAAGGCCAATGTACTCCATTAAAACCGCCGGTCTTCCGACAATTTCCTTCTTTTTTCCTTGTCTTCTTGGTTAAGAGAACTACATAGGTGTTTCAAAACATCACAAGCAGGAACAGTGACAGAATAAATCCAATAAAGAAGTAAAGAATGCATAAACAATTGTAGTATGCAGCAATTTCTCCTAAACAAAAAAACTTCGGGAATAGATGTACATTCATTGCATAAATGCATAAGATGCAAAAGATGCTGTAAGATAAGCATATTCTTAAGGGAACGCAATTTGATAAAGTGTTTCTTACGTTTCTTTCGCCCGAAAAGAATTCAAGAAAATTCACCTTGTCTTCGCTTTTCCGTGTACGTATGCTTGCATGTAAAACATCTATCAAGACACTCTTCCAACGGGCCTTTCCCTTGTTCTGCCGATCATTGTTGCAGTTTAGAATCGGGGCAGGGCGTATGCCGGGTGAATGTTACTGCATACATTACGCGTTAATGACTGTGCTAAAGTGCTTCCCTGTGTGTTTATTCGTGCAAGGAACGCGACCATAGAATTTTCCGGGAAAAGCCAAAAATTGTTCTTTTGCAGCAAATAATCAAAAAGATATTCATCAAGGCATCCTATCTCTTCAGTTAAACGACTGGGATCACCAACTTCAATGAGATTATCTAATCGCTCGAATCTAAAATGTCCTCGGACTAGTGTTTGGATTTGCGGGGTCAACGAAAGAATATTGCATGAAATTAATTGTGAAAATACATGTGATTCTATAGGTATATGATGATAATGATGCTATTCCTAAATTTCAAGATTGACTAAACCTCTTCTTCTCCGGCGAAACACTTCTTGCATGTGCTCTACGTACAGCCGGAGAAGGTCCCATCAATGCTTTTAGTGGTGAAGATGGTTGAACATAATAAGATGATTCCTGTTCTTCCGGAGTGCTTTTCAATGTACTGAAAGGCTTGCTTTGGCTTGTATCCGTTCGTCCGTTGGGCGGAGGAATCTTAGACAGTGCTTCTCGCTCAACACTTCTTCCACGACTTTTGCGGCCAGGCGAAGGTGGAAATGTGGGCGAAGGTGTAGAAAATGCATCCACTGCCAAGGATTTGGGAAGAAATTTTGCACTTTGCAAGAATGGCGTATTACGTGCACTTCGTACGGGTGATATCCCTCTATTTCCACTTGGAGGTGGGAAAGATTTCATTGGCGAGCCATAAGGAGGTGTGGGTGCTGCTTCGGATTGTGTGATAGCAGAAGCCGCTCTGTTTGAAGGAACAGAACGACGAACTCTGGCAGGAACGCCTTCCTCACTAATTCGTGCACCCTCTCCACTTCGCTTGGGATGAACGGGGCTTCGAAGACGTCTGTCAGAGTTTACTTTTGTAGGCGATGCAGATCGTGCACGTCTACTTCGCTGGATCACATCCTCCTCCTCACGTCTTTGCACTGATTGTCTCTTTGAGTTAATGCTCTGTAAACCAGACATGCTTCCCGATGAGTCACTTCGGTTTTCTGCAGGTGCAAACATCGATGTCCGATCGGCCAATAAATCCATCGTTTTGTTGCATTCGTCATCTCTTTGACTTGCGAACAAGAGCAAAAATTCTGCGCATTTGATTGCGACTGGACCATCCTGTAGCTCGTCGGAAGCGTTATCCTTAGACTCTTGGCTCTCCTTCTTAGGCGTATAGCGATGTCGTACCATCAACTTGCGTACAACATCTTCGCCTCCTAATTCGTCAAAAAGAGCACATGCAGATCTTGAAGCCATGATAATGCAAATCAGCAGATCAATCGCATGCACTGATGCTTGTCTTTCGTCCGTTTCGTCCGACTTCCAGTACGAAGCATCGACAATGGCTAAGAATAATTCCAAAGTGCTCCTATTTGAACAAATCTTGCCACTTCCAGAGTCCTTCAAACACAAGCCTTGTAACATAGTGAAACAGGCAGTCATCTCTGCACTTGGGTCGAGAGTTGCATCATCAGGAGAAATGGTGCACTCTAGGTGTAAGCGATGTAAATGTGATATTAATGCCAATGCAACACAAGATCTTGGACTCGATTGTGCAAGCCACCATTCTGCCTGTAAGTCTTGTACTTTGGAAGAGGATCCCGCTTGACCTTCTCCTAAAATTGCCATTCCAAAACATCTTTCAAGGCTGGACAAGATATCGATTCTTCTCTCGGTCGTAGCATGTACTGATGCTAGGCCATCCAAAAGATTTTCAATAGTTTTGGCTATGCCGTTGTTGGCATACATGCCAGGCAACATCGTTAATCAGAAGCCGATCTGGCTAGCAGGTTGAAGATGTGTTTCGTCAGTCTAGCTCTATTGCATCATGGTGGTGATTTTGAATGTTGCTTCTTGCAATTTAAATGGTTGCAATTGATCGAGATGATCACAGTCAAGAGGACAACTTTTTTATCCAATCAAGAAAAGTGTTATTCTTTGCCGCGTTTACTTTATAAGATGAGAACAACACTTTTATAGGGACAGGCACAAAAGCACTATTCTCGGCACAAATCAAACACGCGTAATAGACATGTACCCGGCACCCAACGAGTCGATTACAGGGTGAATCGAAAGCGCGTGCGCGTAGCGCACAGGCTTTGCCTATTAGGGGGAACCCCTAATAGGCACTGACAGAGTAATGCAACAATGGACAGAGTAATGCAACAAAAATTTGTGAGTGGAAAAAATCATGATTTCATTAACATTGTATGCCAATATGACGGTGATGAGATGGACCTGCTGCTAACCTTCTCTCTCTGTCTTCTAGTCTTTGCTGCATTAGTAAATTTGCCATGTTTTGTGAGTCATCTAGAGCTTGAACAGCCCGAATAGCAACTGCGCCTGACACTTTTTGATACTCAATAAATTGATCAAATGTACCAGTGAATTTTCTGCTTTTCAGAAGCTCCTTATAGGCAGTTTGTGCTGTAGACATTACTTTAGCTTTGTAAGCCTTATTTCGCTCAGTTGAGATCATACGAAGTTGGCTTGGGTTTAAAACACCACCAAGCTTACACTGGGTTTTGCCCTCGCTTGCTTGTTCATCTTGCATTGAGCGTATTTGTGCTTGTACATCTAGGCGTTGGTGCATCAGCTCACTTGTAACACATACAGCAATTGAGCCACGCAGGTACTTGCTTAGGATTGCCTGATCAAAGGGCTGATCATTTTGTAGGCATGTGTCGATGTATACCTGGTATTTGCGTAACTTAGGAGATGTTCCCGGTGTGCCAACATGCTCAAGGAGGTATTTGCCACGCCTTATAGGCGTAAATAAGGTTTATAGGTCGATTTCTAGGCTTACATCAGGTGTAGGTGTACTTTCACGGTTTGTTTGCTGCGGTAAAAGCTTACAAAGCACAATTTATAGGTTATAGGGCCAAATCCCAGTTTGCCGAAAGCCTGATTTCACGTTTTACAGGGTATAGGCTTAATTACATATACCGGTAAGTGTTACTAAGAAGTTTTCCTTATTTATGCCTTTTATAGAAAGTGAGTTTATATGATTGATTATATTATGGTAATATATCTTGAACGGCTAAAACAAAGTAATATCTAAGGGCTGGTAAATATATATGGTATATAGTAGTATCGTAAATAGGTATATATTTACTTATTAGGCCTGAAACCAGAACGGAAATATAGTGTAGCTACTATAACTATCTAAAATCAGTAAAGTAGGCTGCCTAGTACGTAAATCTGTTATATATATAATAAAGTACTTAAGCTACTCTATTATAAGATAGTCATTTATATACCCGGTCGGTGTAGCCTGTATTTCCTACCCTGTATCAGGCCTAGCTCGTACCTATCTATTCATGATAGTCGATCCTTTTCCGATAATAAATAGTAGGATAAACTCGCTGTTAGTATTAATCGCCTTAATAAGTATGATACCGTCTCGATTAATATTATTTCAGCAGTTTACCTATATATTTTTTTAAGAAACAACGACTTTTTCCTTACGACCAAAGCCGATCATAATGTTTATCTCATCCATGTTCCAGATATAAGTTGAGGTGATTTCATACTTATGTATTTACTCTTCTAGGCGTTCATACCAGTCAGCTAGTTTTATGACTTTTTGCTGTGCATCGAACCGAACCGCCTCAAGTGGTTTTGCGATACCTGTAAATAGGTTTTGCCTATGTAAAAACCTATCTACCCATCTCAGCGAAACCATCGGATCGTCAGGCGGATTTTCCCGTTTTGCCCTGATTTGCGTTGCATAGGATTGCACACTGCGCTTGTTTGGGCTTATTCCCCACACTTCCGCCTCTAGGATATACTGCTTTAAGCCATTTTCTTCATCCTTAGTCAATGCGGTATTTGTGTACTTATGACCATCGACTATGTTTTGCTGATTTTTCTTTAGGCGCCTATATAAGGTAGAAGGGCTTATATTCAACTCTTTTGCAAGACCCCGGTAATTCTGTTTCTTTGCATTTGGGTCAAGCTCCTTAACCACAGCTTGAATTTGTGCTTCTTTGCCTGCCGCAGCAGCAGCCTGTACAATTTTCAGCTCTTTTGCAGCTGCTGTGGCAGCTGCTGCGGCAGCTGCCTTTGCCTTTTCCGACGTTCTTGTCTTCCTCGGCATGATCGGATGGTGGCTATTTTCAAAAAAAATTTGTTGCATTACTCTGTCCATTGTTGCATTACTCTGTCAGTGCCTATTAGGGGTTCCCCCTAATAGGCAAAGCCTGTGCGCTACGCGCACGCGCTTTCGATTCACCCTGTAATCGACTCGTTGGGTGCCGGGTAAGAGGTTGGTTGGTTGGGCACGCGTTGTAATGTATGCAGGGGTGCAAATCCAAGAAAACCTTACTTCCTTCAATTTAAAGTTCTGCAAAGATTGCATTTCATACTCCTGAACAAGAACGTTTAAAACTTCCTTCTATACTTCGACTGCACCGGCTGCGAATCAATCATGTCATGACATCGAGACCGGAAGCTGCCACGCTAATGCCGATAGGCGATGCAAGTACAGCATTTGATGGATATAAAGTTCGTACGGCCGGCATGATTGCTGAGTATGATCAGCAAACTGCTACAATCACGCTTCAATCTGGTAGAGATTCGATCAAAGTTGACGTTTCACTTGTTCTGGATGACGTTTCAAGTGCCGATCTATTAAGGGTAGGTCAAGACGTTTTCGTGATTGGATTGATTGAATGCCTCCTGGAAGAAAATGAGCACGTCAAATTAAACTGTGTTCAAATCTTCGATTGCACCGGATTAGACCTTCTTCAGTGGGAGCAAGCAGGAAGAAAGATGTCTCAATTGATCCATCAAAGAGCAGAAGGCAAACATTGATAGTTCTAGAAGAATAGAGATGTCATTAAGCAAGAGAGAATAGATAGAGGAAATGCTACAAAAGGAAAGATACGATAAAGTAATTGTTCGTGTATGGTCAAGTTTGACTTCAAAAAGCACCGGGGACAGTCTGAGTCGATCCAGCGAGAGGCTCATTGATGGCATTCGAGCTTTTGGCACTACGCAGCTTATTGATCTCATCTGCTGGGGTCTTTGGTCCACTAGGTGCATCGAAGAAGCCCAAGTCGTCGTCATCGTCCACGAGCTGCTTGAAAGGATTTCCGGGCGATGCCGACCCATTACCCCATGGACTAGAAGGGCTCAAAGGAGGAGTTTTGAGAGCATTAGGAATGCTCTTCATGAAATCGCGATTCAAGAATGGATTCGTATTACGACGTGAACGGGTGGTAATGGGTGAAGCGTTACCTGAACTTGACGGTTCTTCTGATTTGTGATCTGAGAATGAAGTCATACCTGTCTTGACGGGTTCCAATTCCTTGAATGGTGACTCAGATTTCTTTTCGCGTGCTGGGGATCCAGGCAAAGCTTCCATCAGACTGCCCCATTGTCGACCATTCGTGGAGGCTGTACGAGAACGGGATCGTGAAGTTGGCACTGGAACATCTTCTTCACCTGCCAAAGGAGCCCACGTATTGGAACGCTTATGCTCAAAAGTTGACATTGCTTGTGTTGGCAAGACAGCCGGTGATCCGTCATCTGCGCCAGTGGCTGCAATAGCACGAACGATGCCATTGAATGAATTCGGGAAAGGTGCTGGACCTTGTCTAGCCACTGCTGTATTGATTGAAAGAGCATCGCTTTCACTTGCTCCACGATGGGGTAGATAACGAGCATTATCGTTGACGGCATTTTGATATTTAGCATCAATGCGTCGCGCTGATCTGACACCCGCTTCACGATTTCGATCAGCCATAAAGTCGGATTTGCTTGGATCGGGACGATGGACTTGCTTGGCTTTAGATGGTTCTGGAATTCCTTCCCGTGGGATACGTGTAAACTTGTTTTCAAAATCGAATTCCGGCAACATAGCTGCAGCATGCGGATTTGTACCGGTCGTCTTGTCTGGGATCGTTGGTGCTGAAGCCATTGCGTTTGGTACTGTATAAGGTGTACTTGTGTATACGCCCAAATCAAACAATGGAGAATTGATATTTTGAGATGATGCATAGAAATCGCTGGCCAAACGTGAAGATGTTTGAGAAGATAATGGAGAAGACGGAGCTATGTAAGATGATGATAGAGGCGGTGATTGAGGAACGTTGGCTGGGATGGGAGATCGACTAGGAGACGGTCTTGAGCTAGGGACGAAATTTGCATGTATATCTGGCTGGGATCGTGCTTTAGAGCGTTGCAAGGATGCTTGTCGATTCAAAGGTCCGACTGCAAATGTATCATTGATGGTAGAAGTTGACCTTGAATTGGAATTGCTCATTCTAGGAACGGTATCATGTCTTGGAAGAGAAGGTTGAACAGGTGGACTTTGTATGGTGGATGATGTAGTTTTTCTTTCTGGCTTTTTACGTTCTTCTCGTAAATGTGCCGGAAAGAGATCGTAATGTTTTGATAATCCACGTTGATCGGCAAAACAAAGTCTACAAAATCTACATGTCGATTCACGTTTTCGTTCTTTTTCTCTTCTTACTTCTTCTTCTATTTCTGTTGGTATTGTTCCTCCTGTTATTTGATCTAATAGGTTTTCCGTCTTTCTACGTAAAGATGAGAATGGTTTATTGAAGATTGCATGACGAACTGGAGATTCTGAGATTACTGTTGCATAATCACGTTGAGCAGAGCGAGGAGCCATGATACCAAATTAAGGACGATGAAGCGAAAGACAATGAATGATGATGATGATGACCAACTTCTCATACGAGCATCCCATCAGAAGAAAAAAGGGCCAATTCTGCCAAAGGGTCTTAGGCGGATCTCGCAATCTCCATTTTGTCTAAAACAATTGTCAAATTCTATCAAAATTGTGCATTTTATCTGCGTTTTGTCTTTTCTCGATCTAAATTCGATCATGCATGAAAAAGTACCTGACCTTCTGCCGCTCCTCACACGATTAGAAATTGATTGGTACTGCACTGCGCTAGTGTGCAATAGGCTTGGGAAAAAAGAGACCCCGCACGTAAGAAGCCACTCTAACGGTTCCGATACTTGCCTTTCTTCTAGACCTTCTCATCATCGACTATAAATAGCCCCACACGTGTTCAGCCGTCATCATTCAAACAAGATGAAATGTTGATTATACAAATGAGACTATCTACACAATGAAGTAAATATAATTTATGATCTTCTCTTCTTATCCTTGCCCAAGAAACGGATATCACTCTTACCCGCTTTGCCAGGTTTCTTTCCACCAACTTTCTGTAGAGGAACATAAGCAAACGGACTCGTTTCACCACGTTTGATATCACCTCCCGCTTTCTTTGCACGGAACTCTTGTCCGATCTGTTTGCGTTCTTGTTTACGTTTCTTGTTATTAGTAGCAGAGGTACCATTTGTTTCTGAAGCCGCTTCTCTTTGACGTTGCAAAGCTGCCAATTGTTCTTCCAATTCCATTTGTTCTGCTTCCATTTCTTCGTCTGCTGCTCGATTACGTTTGTTGTTCTTGTTCAAACGAACTTTACCATTTTTATCTGTAGACATTCCGTGAACACCTCTTTCTCTATCAAGATAAGCGCGACCTGCTCCTTCAACATCAATTTGATTTTCTTCTTCATCCGTTTGAGGTTCATCAGGATCTTCAATCACCATCCTTCCAGTCTCTTCATCCAAGGTGAATCGGGAAGCTTCTTGTCCTGGTTGACGTTTGCGACTCGCAGAAGGCTGCTTGCCGCCAGAAGCAGTCACCTTACCGCCTGATGCCAAAGCACCTCGGTCTAACAGATCCATCGGAGCATCATCATCTTGTAACAGATATTCTTGTTCGATTGCGCTGATGTTCTTGTCACGCTTTTGGCCTTTGGATGGCGCAGAAGATCTTTGACCATTACGTTCACCGTGATCATCTTCTTCATCATCATCTGAATCAGAGATTTCAGATTCTGATCCATAGATTGCTTCCTCGAACGCATCTGCTCCGACTGTTTTTTGGGCACGTTGTCCCATTTGCGGCTTATCAACTTCATCATCATCTTGCTCCATTGCAGCATCGTCTTGACCTGCCTTCTTGCGCTTAGAACGTTCTTTACGTTTACGAATGTTGACCAACAATTTCCGATTATCTTCATCGGTAAGTTGCTCGATGCGCTTATAGCCAAAGCGACGCAAAAGTCTTTCGAAGATATGACGAATCTTTGCTTTGAAATGAACTCGATGATACTTGGAAGAAGAGAACAATGCTCCAACTAAGCCAGGTAGATTGACATCGATGATCTCAGCTGGCAATGAGACAATCACAACCTTGACGAATCCGAGAGCACTCTTCGCAACTTCTCTGTTCGGGCTTGCCAAGAAAATGTCCATCGTGCCCACCATTTCTTCTAATGTCTGTGAGGGTACTTTTTCATGGAACTCATACACCAATCGTGCCAGTGCAGTGATTGAAGCACTGATCATATGCGGCGAAGTTCCTGCCAATCCAGCGGCTACCATTGTGATATATTCATTAATGTTGGCCGAGACTGTCTTGCTGTCCATATCAGCATCCTCATCGTCATTTCCGACATTCTCTTCACCTTCCATCAATCCACGCTTGATCATTCCTCCTGCGTCCATCTTGTTACCCATTTCGACCAAAAGACGATAAGCCAGTTCACGTGCGCCTTGGTTCACTTCTTTGGTTGCCAAAACGGCTTCAGGAATGATTGAAGGCAGAACATGAAGTTCTGTTGCGGGAATCAAGGGCATGATAGATGCCAGCAATGCTGTACGATCACGCTTAGCGCCAACGACGACCGATCCTGTAGTTGCTTGAAGTTTCTCCAACAATTCTGGCAATTTACCAGATTCATTCTCCCCAACGCCCAATACCTTTGCTCCTCTTGAACCTTCCATCAATCTGGCAAGGACACGATAGGACTTCTTTTGAACGGCTGCATCACGATGAGCAAAGAGGGCATCACTTGTTCCCAACGAGAACAAAGCGTCTGCCTCTGCTTGGGTCAAGAACGGCACCATTAAAATCAACAAGTCCATCATTGTATGAGGAATAGGCGGAATGGCTTTAGGTCCGTTATCTTTGTTACCCGTTTGCAAAGTTGGTAATGATTGTTCTAGCGTATTGACGATCTTTTGATATGTTTTACCAATCTCGTCTGCAGTCATGATGCTCATATAAGCTGTCATACAATCTGCCACATATCCACGACTTTCTCCGGGTGACTGAGAAAAGATGTTGAAGAATACTGCCAATAGATTGGGTGCAATTTCGGCTAGTCGGGCAACATACTTCTTTCCGTCTGCGTTTGAAACACCAAAGCTCTCTAGTAACATTTCGCTTGGCGCAGCCGATCTGGCCAAGGATTGACTACGTTCCACGAGAACTTGCAAAGCTCTACAGATGGATGGACGTAAGGATGGTTGTGAATATAGCACGTTTGCCAATAGTTCAACGAATTGCTGTGTTAGAGCATCCAGCATATCCACAGGCAGGTCACAATAACCTGGAAGCAAAGCCCAGATCTGTTCTGTCAGGGCTTCGTACACCTTGGCTTGCACTGGAGCAACTGGCTTTCCGTTTGCATCCAACTCTTCTGCTTCTGCTTGTTTGTTGAATAATGCCTCTGACATTGGTACCATAGTTTGCACAAAGTGGGCAAGAGTTGTGTTCGTGATGTTAGAACGCATCAAAGGCAACAGCCATGCTCGTCCATTTTGTGCTCCATTCTCTCCCAGAAGACCAAGAGGTAAGATTTCCAAAACTGCCTGTGGCCCACAGACTTGGACAAGCGCACCAATCACTCCGTCTACTTGCTCCCGATGATCAAACTTGGGTTGACTGCGCAATTGTCCGATAACAGATAGCAAAGGTAATACAAGAGTTGTTGCTGCTGCTGGCGTGGATTGGTGGGATTTACCCTTTGAGCTTTTGACAGATCCCGCCTTGGGCTTATAGCGTAATCGTAAAACGACAGCTGTAAGCACACCGAAGATCTCTGGCCAAGAGTGTGAATAGCGCAATGCATTCTTGCTGAATGCTTCGTCGAAAAAGCTGATGATGTTTAAAAGCTCATCTTTCTCCTTTCCTGAAGCTTTGGAAGCGGTTAATGCTTGTTCGATGGCCAAATCTGGGATACAGTATCGTACAATTGCAGACAAGCAATCACGTCCAGCCATTCGCACAGATATGGCATCTCTACTTGCTTTGGATTGGGAGGAGAATGCCATCTCTTTCACAGTTGTCCAAACGATCGGCACACGTTCCCAAGCTGGCTGACCATCTTGTACGCGAGAGTAAGCAACCATTGCATTCTCTAGGGCACGTAAGTAAGGACTAATCAATTGGATATCCGTCACCTTTGGTTTGACATTAGCTGACAAAAGGGCATCGAGAGTGGAAACAAGAGCATCTGCATGAACGCTTCGAGTATTGGCTGAATTCAGTGACAGAGAACTTGAGCCTAGTGTTTGCGTAGACAAACCATTCTGGATTGCCATTGGCCTGCTGATCTTGAAGAGGCTCTCGAACACCTCGAATGCAGCAGCTGACAAGAAAGGATTGTTTTGGCCAATCACTCGTAATAGATTGGCTGTCAAAGAAGGGATTGACTTCGAGGGCAACGTAGGCGCCAACATTCTAAGGAAGCCGCAAATCCAAATACCACTATTAGCACTTCCTCCATCGATATTCTTCTGTCTTGCTGCAGCGGCCACTTCGGGTTGCTTTGCCCTTCCTGCTTTGACGTCGTATTTTGGAGCTTGTTGTTTTTTCACACTTCCAGAAGCACCAACTTCAGCTAAAGCAGCTGTTGCCCATTCGGCAGTTTTGACAGCAAAAGGATGTGCTTTTGCATTCCCAACTGAATCTTGTGTTGTATCACTGTATTGCAATACTTGACCAACTAAATCTTGAGCACGTCTGCGTACTTTTGGTCTAGCATCCAAGCATAATCGTAAAGTGGCATTCCAACATCCTCGTAAGCGCAAATCGCTACTTAGCATCGCACGATCGGACGCCAATGCCAAGAGAAGCGGTTCGAATATTCCTAAAGCCGATCGTAAAAGAGCTGCTTGACTTTCTGCAGCATCTGTGGCGACCGTATGTTGTGTATTAGATAAGACTACCGATAATGGCTCGATCAAAGCATGTACTTGAGCGTGCAAGACGGCAGGTGAGACAAAAGGCGTTACAAGTGTTAGTAGATAAAGAGTTGATGATAACAATGAAGAAGATGAATCTGAACCAGACTGTGAGGAGGCTTTGTCTAGCATTGCAACCAATGCCATCAGATATGCCGTTGGCGAAAATGTTTTTGATCCGCTTGATTCTTGCAATGTGGATTCTACGGCTACCAAGAGTTGTGCTGGTGCTCTTTGATTGGGTAGTTTAGAGGCTGTATGATGTCGAATCTTAGCCAATGAATCGGCCAAGCCTTGTCGGCGTGCCACATCAGAGGCATCTGTCATTGAAGACATGTTTGATCGCCTTTGAAGTTGTGATGGTCAAGCTTGAAAAGATCTTACACTCGCTCTGCTTTCTGTTGGATTTTAGAATTTAACTTTTTTTAGAAAAATTGACTTGAGCTGATTTCCGATTTCCACAATTAAGACTCTCACAACACGTGAGCTCTGAAGCGTTCGCGTTCCCGCTGCACTGAGACAGACAGCAGATTAAGAGTCAGTGTGCACCGGTGAATCACATTTATTTTTTCAAAACTGATTGAACGCTTCACTATGGTTCCAGGAACAAGTACGTGTATCACAGTGTCATCGCATCTTTATTGACCCGCGAATCTCGGAGATACCGTAAAATAAGATTCGTGGGGAAGTGAAGAGTGTTCAAATTTTGATAGCATTCATTCTTGCTTTCTCATTATAGCAAAGGCTGTCAAGATGGCCCTCAATGATAGATCGCGGATACCTTCGGATGCTATGGAAGAGGAAGAAGTTGCAGCTGAGCAAGTATCAAAACTACAAGATGCAATAAGCAAAAAAGATGCAAAAGCAATCGAACAGATACAACCTCATATCGGCTTAACATTCTTGTCAGCCGGTTTGGCAAATGCAATGTCAGCAGCATCGACGAATTGGGCAGATGTAACAAAAGTACGTCAACAATTGGAGATGCAAAGGAAACGAAGATCATTCTTGGCTGTAGGATCGAGTATGATTCGTGAAGAAGGGTTGAGGAGTATGGCAAATGGAGTGACTGCAAGTTGTTTACGTGAAATGACATACAGTACGATCAGAATGGGAGCATATGAAAATTTTAAAGAATTATACTCGTCAATAGTGGAACCTAGTTCTTTCGCCAATAAACTCTTGGCGGGAGCCACATCGGGAGCACTTGGCGCTGCCATTTCTACGCCGACCGATCTTGTGAAAGTGCGTATGCAAGCTCCTCGCAAGGCACCGGATTTCAGGCCTCCGTATAAGAATTCATGTGCTGCTTTTGCTGAAATTTACAAGCAAGGTGCAGTATCTGAAGGATTCAAAGGTGGTTTGAATAATTTGTATCGAGGAACCACTCCGAACATCATCCGAGCGTGTATCTTGACGAGTACGCAAATCGGAAGTTATGATGAAATCAAGGGATTTTTCAAAAGGAACTTGCAAATGCAAGAAGGGACAGGATTACACTTTTCTAGTAGTATGGTTGCTGGTCTGTTTTGCAGTTTGGCATCACAGCCAGTAGATGTGATCAAAGTTCGAGTAATGCAAGATCGTTCTGCTAATGCAGTTTCATTAGTAACTTCTTTACTCAAAAATGAAGGTCCAATGGCCTTATACAAGGGATTTGGGATGTGTTGGGCCCGTTTAGGTACGCATACGGTCATTTCGTTGGTTCTCTTTGAACGTTTACGCTCTTTGTTCGGTATTAAACCTCTCTAAAGATGGACTTTGCATAATAATACAGGACATTCGCATATGTACAGTATCATAACAATTGCTCTTTATGCAGATCAGGCAGTGTACAAAGTTTGTGGATAGTCGTGGCTGCGTTTCTCGTTATACGCATTGGACGCCTTCATGTAAAAGTGGCTGTTCGTAGGCGTACTCTTGAAAATTTGTTCCACCTAATTTCAAATATTGTCCACACATCTCACAGAATTTTTACATCCACTCTTTGATCTCACTCCAATCTGTGTATCCCTCTCGATCAGTTGATCTGAAATTTGAGAGCATCATGAAATTGTATTTCTCCAACACGCTTGGACATATCGTCTTTTTTCTCATTTGCGTTCACACAATCATTGCCGGTCCAATCCATCAACATCCACTCAAGGTAGGAAATGATACCAGGAACTCAAAGCATACAGGGACAGGAGCTTCTGATCATATGAAAGGAGCAGTGTCAAATCTTTGGTCACAATTGGAAGCTTATCGACCGGTAAAGGTACTAAATATGACAACCGTTCCTGATGCGCCACTTTATATTCCTTTAGGACCTGATCCACAACGACAAACGCTCTTTACTTCACATACCACCGTTTCGGCAAAAAGTGATTATCTTAAATTTCCAAAAGATTTTCTGTATGGAGTTGCAACTTCGGCTCCTCAGTCTGAAGGTGCGGTAATGGCAGACGGAAGAGGTCCGAGTATTTGGGATAGTTATGCGCATTTGACAAATATGTTACCCAAACAAGATCGTGATGCGTTTGATATCGGTACAAATTTTCGTTATTTGTATACGTTGGATATCGCACGTGTAAAAGCGATGGGTATGAAAGCGTTCTCATTTAGTATCAGTTGGTCAAGGGTTATGCCAATGGGATATGGTGAAGTGAACATGAAAGGGTTGCAATTTTACATTGATTTAGTGCAAGAAATCCGTCGTCAAGGTTTAGAGCCGATTGCAACTTTGTTTCACTGGGATCTTCCGTTACAGCTCGAATTGCATTATGGTGGCTTTCGTGATGAACAAATCATAGAAGATTTCACGGTGTATGCTGAAACGATGTTCAAAGCTCTTGGTAAACATGTTAACAAGTGGATCACGTTTAACGAACCACAATCATTCTGCATTGCACGTTATCCGATCATCAGTCCACACGTTCATGGAAATGAAACTTCAACGGGTGCTTTACCATGGCAATGTGCGGGACACATTCTGAAGGCTCATGGAAGGACATATGAAATGTTTACAACATTGAAAGAAAAAGGAGCTTATCTCAATAAACAATCTGCTATGCTGTCATACAAGAGTGCAGGAGGTCATAGTGTCTTATATCGTGATGGCAATAAAGATGATCAAAAAGCTCGTGAACGTGTTCAAGATTTTTATTTCGGCTTATTTGCTGAACCAATTTATCTTACCGGTCAATATCCCGGCACTGTACGAGATGAAATTCCAAAAGGATGGTTACCTGAAATTGAAGATGAAGATCGAAAAAGGATTAAAGGTTCAGCAGATTTCATGGCAACAGATTTCTTTTCTTCACGTATAACAAAATCAACGGAACGTGAAGGTGGTTTTGAGAAATGTGTCGGTAATATAAAACATGTTGCTTGGCCTGATTGTACAGATTTTACCGATACACTTTCTGATGGAACATTGATCGGAGAAAGGTCAGACCCTTCAACAGAGAATTGGTTGATGAATACTGCCGGACAATTACGTGAGCATCTCCGCTGGTTAGCCGAACGTTATCCAACAAAAGGTGGAATTTATATCACGGAAATCGGATGGGCAGAACGCGGAGAACATGACAAGAAAACGCTTGCAGATATTCGACATGACGATGGCCGTCAACGATATTTACGTGATCATTTAGCAGAAATGCTGTGGGCAATCTATAAAGATGGAACCGCAGTTAAAGGTGTTTTGTTCTGGTCAGCAACAAGTGCTGTCGAATGGGAACAAGGTAGAACACCAAAGTTTGGCTTGCAATCTATTGATTATTCCACTCCTGAGTTGACTAGAACATATTTAGGCAGCTTTTTCTTCCTCAAACACTTTTTCGAGCATCATGTCCGATAGTATTTATCTATAATGATGTATGGTTCTTCCTCTCTTCACAAGATCTCTTTAACCGATATTATTATCCGAGTATTAGATCATGTCACTCGGGGAAATTTGAATTATTTCTCCGCTTTTATTAGTTGGAACTACTCGTGCAGCAACATATGCACGACTACATGCATACCGTTCAACCAAAAGCGTTTCTCGTCAGGTTCAATCACCGGTCTTGATATGGCAGGGAGAGCATAGAGGAAAGATGAGAGTCTGAATGGTGATTTATCTGATGTATGATCACCTCACCATCCTTTCAATGTTATCTTTCAAATCAATATACAACGAGGAACAAATGGATCCCGAGAAGAGTTTATTTATATTTTGGGTTGAGCTAGTATGCAATCAAATGTTGCCACCAAGGCTGTTATAGTGCTTATATGCTGCATCTCGGCATCTTGTTGCTCTTCGCGCTATAAAACACCGATCCCAAATTAACAGCTGGCAATACAGGCTTGCGTGCGCGTTTATCCCTCAAAGGAACGGCGATATATTTTTGGAATTGAAGTTGGACTGTTTCCAGTGGAAGGTAGAACAGCGGTCCGCACTGCACTTTGGCTCATTTGCCGATTCAATGGAGCAGAGAAGTCTAGACTAACTTGCACCGCGGCGCATATGCACAGTAAAAGCAGTTAGTTGGTCTTTGCGTTTGCCTAATTTTAACTTGGCAAATTCTCACTTTTTTTTCTTACTTCACTCCGCGTCGGGAGGTTCTTCCTCTCTTTATTTTAAGAGAGACATGGAGAGCGGAGGGATTAAGTTACTTCGCACGCGTTAATCTTTCTCCATGTGTGCGCACGCAAATATCAATGCGCACTAAAACTGGAGAAGCGGAATGTGCCTTCCTTCTTTTAATGTACATGTGCATTCAATTATGAAGCAGGCCAGCTGGACAACTTTATTTGGGAGAATACAAGCGAACGTATTAGGAGTCAAATAATAATTCTTATCCCTTCCTTCTTGAAAAGTTTTCTTTCCCCTCTCCATCATACATCGATCTTTTGTAGCCTCGTGCATTCAAAGTAGATCTTCCCTTTTAACTCAATCCCTCTTATAATCACAATGGCTTCTATGTTCAACATCGCACGATCGGCCATTCCACGTAATGGTTTGCGTGCAAGCTCAATGGCACGTTCAGCTGCTATTCGTCCTGCTCCTTTAGCAAGTGCAGCTCGTAGCAACAACTTTGTCACTTGGGCTCCTACCTCAGAACCAAAATTGAGCGCAGTACAACAAAACCCAGGTCCTCCTCCTCCAGTAGAGAACATTGGTGTTGATGCAGTGTAAGTTGAACAAGTGATGAATATTGCATTCTACTTTTCGTTTACTTAACTTCTCTTCTTTCCACTACAGCTTGCGTCAAAATGTCAATGACCCCGAGTCACACACAACAACCATTTTCCAAGAATTCTCCTTGGAAGGCCAGACTGCCGTGGTAACAGGTGGAAATGGTGGTTTGGGTTTGGAAATGGCTTTGGCTTTCGTTGAAGCAGGAGCACATGTCTACGCAATCGACGTTCCCGAACAACCTTCAGAAGAATTCAAAATTGTCGCAGAGCACTGCCGTATCATGAACAGAGATTTGAAGTACATCTCTGCTTCCGTCACAGATGACAAAGAAATGAACGATGTTATGGCATTCGTCGTCAAAGACTCAGGAACAGATTCTATGGACATTTGTGTTGCTGCTGCAGGTATTTTGGGCACAGCTGATGCTCTAGATTACCCAGTTGATGACTTCAAGAGAATCTTTGATGTCAACACAACCGGTGTTTTCATCACTGCCCGTTCCGCTGCTATTCAAATGCACAAGCAAAAGAACGTTTCAGGATCGATCATTTTGATCGCTTCCATGTCTGGTTCCATTGTCAATCGTGATCACCACTGGGTCGCATACAATGCTTCCAAATCTGCAGTCTTGCAAATGGGAAGAAACTTGGCCGCTGAATGGGGACCAAAGGGTATCCGTGTCAACTGTATCTCTCCAGGTCACATTCGTACACGTATGACATCTGTCTACTTGGACGCAAACCCACACTTGTTGGTTAAATGGAGTACATCTAACCCATTGGGTCGTTTGGGTCGTTCATCTGAAATGCGTGGTGTTGCTGTTTGGCTTGCAAGTTCAGCTTCTTCTTTCTGCAACGGATCTGATATCGTTGTTTCAGGAGGTCATCAAATCTGGTAAACGAATGACGGAGTGGCAATTTTATCAGTCTCTTTACCTCTCTAACCTTTATCGGAACATGGATCAAGCTCACTCTTCTATCAAGCAAGTGCAACCTTTTTCTTTCCTTTTTTCTCTCCTGGCTTACCTCAATCAACCTAGATATATGAAGACGGATGATTTCCACGTTTTCCTCGCAATCACAACATACAATCTCGTACGCTTTTATTGGTTATTACTTCCAATTTTGTCGTACAGGTTCAGCACTTTTCTGTAAATAGCATATTTGTGCGAACTATAATTTTACAATTGGCAATCCATCGTTCGAGAATGATTTGACATAAGTGGCAATTCATGTACGTTTTCATCATTGTGTACATTGTAAGACCTCATCGTACGTACGTCCAAGATTCGTTTTGATTGTTCCGCAGGTAAGAAGAGCTTATCTATAAAATTGCACGCGCTAATGAAGATCCTGGGCAGGTGGAGGCATTAAAAGCGTGCTTTCGCATTTCGGGTTACATTGCAAAAATATGATGCTTATGTAATTGTCTTCTCCGCCTTTTTCGTTAAGTGCGCCGCGAAATTAGCCCCTGAGCATTGATTGGTGTTGGTTGATCTTTACCTATGCAACTCATCTCTGTGCCCCTATTGTGTTGGACTCCTGGAAGAGATCGACAAAGCATAGACTGATTGACTGACCCCCTAAGAAGAACGAGAAGACGGAGAGGAGTTGTACCGATTGTACATGCATTCAACATAGCACACCAGACCAGTGTTGTAACATTTACGCATATATTCCTGTATCTATAGTGTTGTTCTGTTTCATTTTGTTGTTGTTCGTTTTCTAACTCTGGAAATCATGGATCAAGCGACCACCACTTCAACTTCATCCTCGATTGGAAATCCAACTTCGGCCATTCATTTAGGCGGTCATCCATTACCACCCTTGATCGAACTTGAATCAACAAGCGGAGGATATATCGATTTATTCTTATTATCGTTACAGCGACCTGTTCTGTTATTCATCTATCCACGAACGGCATCAGAAGGTGAACAAGTTTCTGATTCTTGGAAAAATATTCCAGGCGCTTTTGGTTGTACTTCACATTTACGATCGGTACAAGAATCTGTCAAAACACTTCAAGCAAAAGAAAAAGATTTAGTTGTCTTTGGCTTAAGTGGTCAATCAGCAAAAGAACAAAAATCATTCTCTGATCGATTCAAACTTGGTTTTCCTCTTTTGAGCGATAAAGATTTATTATTACAAAAAGCTTTGGATCTTCCAACGTTCACCTGGAATCAAAACACTTACCTTCAACGGATCACCTTACTCTTACGTGAAGGACAAGTGACCCAATACCAATTCCCAATTCCTCAACCGACAAAAGCGGCAGAAGAAGCATTAAAAATGCTTGATGCCGGTAAGCCAACAACCGAACAGCAACCATCTACAATGTCGATGAGTAACGCATATACCGAGAGAAAGAGTGAATTGAGTGTACATGATGATGTGTATAGAGATGGCCTTCCTGCATCCCAAAACAGGCCGAGAGACTTGACAGGTAGCATTCGAAGCTTCAAAGGTTTGCAGAGAGCCATGCGACAGACCTCATCCGTTGGCAAATCTGAACATCCTTTAGCTTCGTCTGATACAGCAAGTTGGCGAAACAGTTTAGTGGCAGTCGATAATGAAAGTGGAGAGATTGTAGGTATTCTGGCACACAATGTCACTTTGACAGGGACAGGGTTGCCTCCCAACGAAAGCTCTGCTTTGAGCAGCGAAGAGGAAGAAGATGAGATTCCAACTCCCTCACAAATACTTCAAAAGCCGGCTCATACGTATTTTGACAACAAATCACAAAACCCAACGCTACTCAAAGCTGCTACTGCTTATCATGATCCTGACGTACGACCGCGCAGTCGTGAAGGAAGTGTATTGGGTGAAGATACGTTTGCTCCTCCTCCGCTTCCGGATAAGCCAGACTTCCTGCGGGATGAACAAGAGGTGAATGACGATGAAAGTGACAGCGATGCAGGATTCAGTGATGGAGAAGCAATCGAAAATCAAGTACGTACACGTGCAAAGCATGTTGAAGCTCATAGACCGGATCTATTACGTGATGGCGATCTTCATGAGAGAGAAGGTGATATGGCAAGCGATGTCAGCGGTTCTACCGTTGGAGGACCTGCAGTACAACTTTGGAAAAAGGCGAGAGGAGGTAAACAAGGTGAACAGAAAAGGAAACAGAAAAAGATACAAAAGCTGGCTGATAAGCAAAGAGCAATCGATGAGCGGGCAGCAGCCAAGACAAAACCACCAATCATAGCACCTAAGCCCGAGAAGTTTGAACAAATCTCCACAAAAGCAGAGAGTAGCAAAGCAGCCGAGCCTATCAAGGAAGTAGCCAATCTATCTCCACCTCCTGCACCTGCTGCACAAACACCACCTTCAATCGAAACCGTGAATGCAGCCCGTGCCAATCGCGGTGGAAGACGACGTGATCAAATGGCCACATCTCAAGTTCGAAGTATCGAAGATCGTGTTTGGCAATCAGCTCTTGAAAATGAAAGTTTACCGATCGATGCACCTTATACACACTTGCCATTCCAACCAACCAAACCCAAACCTGAAACGATTAACGAAACGAGCGAAGAAGGCGGACCGGAGATGAAACATCACCGACAAAAACAGCAACGATCAATATACCCACTTGCGAATCAGATCATGCAAGGAAATTCAGTCTTGATTGAATTTTTGGCAGGGTCAAGAATTGCAGCAAGTATCATCCATGAGACTGCTACCCATCTCTTGAGCCCAGAAGCAACAGCAGGCGCAGTACCTTCTCAACATGCTGCCAAAGTTCGTTCAGGACCTGACGCTTTTTCACCCACAAGTGTTGAGCCTTTGGCCAGAACAGGGGCTTTACGGTACATTCCCGTCTTGCCAAGTCATCTTTTATGGTTCTTTGGCATGAATGGCGCTGATGAGCAGCAAGAAGCAAACACTCAAAGCGAGCCAGTAGATTATATGGCTTTGACGAATGCAACGGCCAACAATATCGTTTCGATGGGAAGTGATATGGCAAACGTGTTGTCCTCTATGGCACTTTCTGCACCGAATCAAGTTTTAGATATTGCAAGTCGCAGTGCATCTTCTGCTTGGAGTGGAATGTCTTATTGGGGAGCAGAAGCGAGTAATTGGATCGGATCAACATTAACATCGTATCTTTCAGCAACAACTTCTTCGATAGACGGAAATGGTGCACAACCGTCCATCAAATGGTTACAAGATGAATCGGATGATCTGCATACCACTCAACCTGGTGATGAAGATGCTTCGGAATGGGAATGGAAAGCACCAGAGAGCTTTGGTCCGGCAGCAGAAGAAGATTGGACAAGTACACCTAGACCGGTTTATAGAAGAAAGAGACCGGTTCCTTCCCTTTATGGTGGCTTCCAAGTTCGTCAACAAGGAGATTCAGTCATTCATCAGAGCAGCGGCACGACAGATAGAATACCTCATGGAGAATTGACGATTGAGGGACCTCAGTCAAGTCGTTATTCAATCGTTCATTTTGACAATGAAGGTGTAGGAAGACATGCTCTTCTCAGTGCTGGAATGTCAAAATGAAAGCTTAATAGCACGCAGACAGATTATTTGTATATATTCATTTATCTTATCATAATATCCATTAAATGATGATTAGTGAGGCATAATATCCATTAAATGATGATTAGTGAGGTATCCAAGAGAGTTATAAGTCTATAAATGTGGGGGTGATGAGATTATTTGTTTTTCTTGCTTGATCCGTTCTGTTGAAGATGTTGAGATCCAGTAAAAGCGTTCAAAAGCGTTGGATGCAAATGAGGCTCCCAAGCAACACGAATACGTCGAAGTTCGTTACGAATGGTGCATCTTTGATTTGCTCCTTTGCTCATATACACCAACGAATTTGCGATAAATTCAAGTAAGATCGCAAACAAGATTGCAAAAGGTGCGACTACGAGCAGCAAAGAAGAAGAAATCACTGCACGCAAGCTTTCCAATCGTTGAATAGATGCATTTGTAACCCGGAACGTATGTCGAACGGCAGTTTGACGTTCTGCATCTTTGATCTCAAACGGTGGCGTGGCACCCAAAGCATAAGCAGCACGTAAGCCACTCGAGAAACCATCTTCATGAAAACCATAGTTCGTCCATGCACCTGCAAAATGAGCTCCATTCCATATTCCTTGCCAATCACGTAATTGCTTTTGTGCTTCAACACTTTTTGCCGTGTATACTGGATGTTCGTATGAGATTCGTTTGAGCGTCTTTGCTGGATCACAAACGTTTTCAGGTGCATTCAATGTAACCAAAATTGGACCATACTTTTTCTCATCCAAAGATTGTAGCAAATTCATCCAATATGTCAACACCACTCCATCTTCGTCCTTTTTGCCATCTTGTGATTCTGTAATGAAGTTCCATGCGGACCATGCAGACCTTCTGACGGGCATCAACTTTTCATCCGTATGCAATAGAACCGTATTCTTGTTGAATTCGAATTGTTGCAAGATGGATTGCAATTCTTTGCCTTTATTATCATTTGATGCAAATTGACCAGAAAGGATGCGTGCTGTTGTATCTGCATGACTTGCAAAAATTACACGATCGAATGATGAAACATGTCCGTTTGCCGTACTGATGAGCCATTGCGATTTCTCTTTATCGAAAGATGCTTCGACAACCCTTCCAGCTTTTGAACCTTTGTGTAAGTGGGATTCGGGTAATTTTGATAAGACTCTTTCGACGTAGGTTCTTGAACCTCCATTCAAGGTAAGCCATTGCGGTCTATCTAGAATTTGCAAGAGGTGATGATTATGCATAAACCGTAGCAAAGTCAAAGCTGGAAATTCAGAAACCGTTCGATCTGCTGGAGTTGACCAAATACAAGCTGTCATTGGAACCAAATAATTCCGAACGAAAGATTGACTATAACCACGCTCTTTTAGCCATTCGCCAATACTCTGCTTTGCAAATTTGCTTGCTTTTACATCACTTTTGTTTTTGGCATGTTTATCAAAATGAGCGAGCGATTCGACTGATTGATGATTAAATCGAATGATATCCCAAACCATTCTCCAATGTGTTGGACTGAACAAATTACTCCATTGACAAAACAGGCTGACGGGTGTAGCACCTGCCCATTCAAATTCTCCTCGTTCTTTTGTTGATCCTTTAGTGGCGGACAGGGTTGGGAATGCACCACTTGCCGTAAAAGGTGTTTGTGTTTTAGGTTGAGGTAAAGGTGCCGTCCTACTAACAGAGAATGACATATCCGAAGCGATAATTTTGATATTCAAATGATTCAAAAATGCCAAAAAGTTCGGATAAGTAACTTTATTAAAAACGATAAAACCTGTATCTGTCATTACACTTTTTGATTTTTCGTTTGGTTTTTCGAATAAGACTGTATTTGTATGACCGCCAACGTAATCGTTCGCTTCGAATAAATGAACATCATGATTTGAATGTTCATTCAATGCCCATACGGCCGATACACCGGCCACACCACCTCCGATCACAGCAACCTTCATGGCGAGAATAAATGGAAAGATGGATGATCACTAAGAAGATGTTGTTAAAGTCTGTGCACGATGAGAAGCTTTGATGTTGCATTTCTCCGGACCCTAACGCTGCTGCTTGTGCGTATGCAAGATTACCTGAAAGTCGGGCAGGCAGGCAACAATGGCTTAGCATGCATTAAGCAGGCATACACTCACGCGTATAAAGAAAGGTAGGCTTTAATTCTTTCATTTTTGAAAAAGTCACGGGACTTGGAGAATCATGAAAGCGCTAAACAGGAACATTCTCTAAATTTTAAAGATATCTTGCATTACCATCACTTTCAACATAAAATCAATCGTGACAAGATGGCAGCAAAGTCAAAAGCAAGGTAAGCAGATGGAGTAATGCATATTATCTACTGGCTCCGAGCTAATTCACCCTCTTTCCCCTGCCTCAGAGTCGTGATCGCACGTCTATTCTCAACTGCAGGAACAGGATATATCTACACAATGCGAAGACTACGATTGGCTGATAAGCTATCCATGATGAAATACGATCCTAGAGGTATGTAGCACGATTACTTTTTCGAGACAAACAGAATTCCCTCTGACGCCATCTTTCATCCCATCTATACAGTCCGGAGGCACGTCTTATTCGAAGAAAAGAAGAAATGACATCGTTTAGGGGATAAATTTATCTGTACAATAGGAACAATATACACCATTTTTTACAACATATATTATACAGTCACAACATCAGCTATGAAGGCTGATACGCTCTATTCACAATCATGCACCTCTTCTCGTCCTACGACTTAATCCACTCGGTCCTCCTCCAGCAGATGCGTTTGTCGGTCTTTGCCCTTGTCCAAGCATCACACTTGCTTGTGCCCCGCTCAACAATTCACTTCCACTCGGAACGCTCACGACTGATCGTCCACCTGCTCCTAATCCGCTCAAGCCTGCACCACCAGGCTGAAATGTTGCGGAAGTTTGAGGTTGTGGAAGAAAACCTGCCATACTTTCTTGATAAGGATTGCCTGTTTGAATTTCACCTGAGGTAGAAGCCATGGTACTTGCCATGTGTTGTACATTGCTCGGTGAGATGTATGCGCCGCCCATTGGAGAATTGACTTGGTAGGGTGAATCCTGTCGAGTGTTCGTGCGTTCTCTTCTTTGATTCGAACTGGGTTTAGGACTCTTTGGTCGCAGATCGTCAATCTTTTCGTCATACGGTACCAGATTTGCACGTTCTGCCAACGTACAGCCAGCCCTGTCGACGTAAAATGCAGAATCATACTGGTCCTTGTGATAAGGAACAGGAACTTGTCGCGAGACGTTGTTGCTGGAGTGACCATCAATTGGCGAGGCAGCACATGCATTCGTGCCCTGCACTGCTCTCTCCCATCCAGGCTTGTCCGGTCCAACTTCCAGTCCAACTGTCAACCATCCTCTTCTCAAATTGCGATTCCTACCAAACAGCTCTAATCTTCTTGTACCCAGACAGAAATTTTCAATCAAATCCATCATCTCTGGCGGCTTGCTTCGCATATCGATGACAGTTTGAGCACCAGGCCCGCTTTTGTCATCTGCAGCTTCTCCTGGCCACAAAATCACATCTGTATCGATATTACAGTGTACAAATCGTGTATCCGTACTTCTTCTAACCGTACCACGAATGCCCATCAAACAATGTTCTGCCGTTCTATGAAATGCAGAAGAGCTAGGTTCTTGTAAGATTGTTTCTGAATTTTCGCCGCCGTTTGCATTTGTTCGAATCCAAACGATATCCTCACATCTTCTGAAGCCCCATTTGTTCAATACTTCTCTTCCACGTTCCAAACCATCACTTCCACCGCTGCCAACCCAAAAGAATACAAAACTCTCTTTTGCCATAATTTGTGGAATTGGTAAAGCAGCAATCTGTTCCCAACTCCAAACTTGTTTTGATCTTTCTCCATTTGTTGGTACGCTTTCCCATTCATACGCTTCCAGAGGAGGATCGATGATTACAACATCGTATTTGATAGGCAACAAGCTTGATAAATGGAATTGAGCCCCTGGTTGCTCTGAGGGATCGTTCGTCGTGTGAGCGTAAGGCTTGATAGATTGCAACAGATCTGCCTGTAGATATGTTGGAGGTATGGAAATCTCATCCAGTAATTTCGCTTTTGCATCAATTAGATTTCGTAGCTTTGGATATTCTTCAAATCTAGATGACTTTAGCGGATTTTTGACCGCATTCCCCGGCAATTCGCTTGCTTTTGTATCGATAAACCTTTGCGAGTAGTCATTCCTGATCGTTGATTCAGATGGAATAAATGCAGGCCCAAATATATGGTCTTTCTCGCCCATTTCGCTATTGATCACTTCGTTTTGAGATGTGTTATTGGTACCTTTCTTCTTTTCCATCAACTCCTTCCATCTTGGGTGCTGTCGAATGGATTGTAATGGTGCTTCTTTGACTTTCTCCTTTTGAATCGTGTTCAACACTTTTGCATGCCTTTCTCTGATGGATTGCCGCTGCAATCTGAACTGTTCCAGATTCATCATCATCTTCCCTTCGTCTTCAGAACATACTGACTTGGATAGCAGTGGACGTCGTGAGTGTAGTATCGTTTCCTTCAATCATCAGAAGGAATTCATGCAACCTGTGTTCGCGCTTGGGCCATGAGCTTAAATTCTGTTCAGCCCAACCTCTCTCCCCTCACAAATCACTAAATGAAATCATTTAATTGAATGCTATAAACAAATGCTAGAATGATAGTGCTGAATGGATCCTTGAGTGTGCTTGAAAAATGTGATGAATGAAAATAAAGGGAAAAAAGAGGGGAAACGTATTGATTGTTCATTGTATGAAAGAATCGGAACCTGCCCAACTCAAGCTCCACCACCGCCTTCACCGCCTTGTTGTGCCAAACCTTTACGACGTGCTTTACGTTTACGCAATGCACTACCTTCAATCTCATCGGTCGGTGGAGCAAAGCCCAACAAAGTACGTGGTTTATGAGCACCAGAAGTGGTCAAAGTAGGCTTACGTTCCAATTTGGCAAAGTCATCGTTGATCACTGCATCTTGATCAAACGTCTCAACTGTTTCACCTCCATCCGTTTCGCCTGAATCAGTGAAAACGCTTGGTCTGCGTGCGCCTGTGCCTACATTACTACCGGATGGAATACCATAATCTTTATTTTGAACACCTTCTTGTGCTACTGCACCAGAAGAGGATGTTGGTAAACCTTTTTGTGCTTCTGATGTTTCGTATGATGGAGGATCCCAATAAATGATTGGTTGTGTAGAGTTCATATACTTCACTCCATGCTTGCGCATATAATAACAAACGGCAGCAAAGAAGCAATTTCTCTTATACCAACGTGCGCCCCAATCTTGATAATTGGCTCTATGTGTCATACCAATCGTAACCGAAATACAACGCATAAAATCAATCGATTGCGGTACGATGGCCGTCGAAGGCTCAAACATACGGTCCGGTTCAGTTTGAAGCCAATGAGTGACGTCTGCTTGAACGGCATCCAAAGTACTCCAAGGAGTATCGAAGGCCACTTGCATTTTAACGCATTCCCATTGATAGCCAGATCGACGATAATTCATGATAAACATTTGACTGAGAAGGGCGTTGTTGATAAAGATTTGCGTATTGTCCCACAACAAGAATTGACACGATAATAAACTCATCTTTTGAACAACCATTACCGACTCGTTTACGCAAATTCGGTCTCCTGTATCGAATGGATGAGTGACGAACAAGAAAATGATCGAATCAAATACTTCTTGTGCCGATTCCTTGAAAACGAAACTTGCACCGATGGCCAAAGTATAGAATGTTGTTAGAGTTTTACTGACATCAACGTTGAAAATTGCAAATGCTTCAAAAGCGACAATGATCATCGCAACGAACAAGAAGATCAAATCCAATTGTGACAAAGCACTACTTGTATCCTCCAAACTTTTGGCAACGAATCTACGATCTTTGTAGATTTCTACAATCGTATTTTTCATTTCGGTCATTGAAATATCTCCGTTTCGATCACTGTCAAATACCTCGAATGCATCTTTTGCATCTTCAGGATTCTTGTAGGCAACCTCGAAATCGGACGGGACTAAATAAGTTCGACGATGACGTCCACGATAAGCACGGAAGAGGGTTCTGGCTAAACGTCTTGCTTCAGCAGGTGAATTAACGTCCAATCCAACACCGACAGTATCATCCGTTAAAAGATGTGTTGGATCAACCATGGCTTTTTTTGCAAGGTTTGTCGCTTGTGACGCTTTCTGTTTAGCAGCATTCATCGTTTGCTTTGATTTGGTTGAACGGGCAGAGGCAGCTCCAGGTGTGTTCGGCTCTGAATAATTTCGCATAGGAACAGCCGTTGGGGCATCACCAGGGCGCTTTTCTGCATGTGTTTTGCGTGAAAAGAATCCTGCTTTGGGTGTTGCTTGACCGCTTGGAACAGGCTCGCCCAGAACGTCAGCTGGCGCATTCAATGGCGTTCCGTGATGAGGCATATTGAACGAGACAGGAGTTCTCAAACCTTTCGGCGTTTTGAAGCCAAAAGGCGAGTTCGTACCCTTATCTTTGGGCCTATGATCTTTCAACCAATCAAAAGTCTTTAATGCCTTGGTAATCTTACTGATACGTTCTGCATAAGCAGTCTTGTGGAAACGGATCGAAATAATCTTGATCAAAATCTTCTCAGCCGCGATTGTCAACGTAAAGAAGAAAAAGAATTCGACCACTTCGTAAATTCGATACAAGTAAGGCGCACGACTTTCAGTTTCGGGATTTGTACGAGTGTACAAATGGTAGATGGAATTGAAAATGATTGCCCAAGAACCCCACGAAAGGGCTGCATATCCGATCAGCTTGACGTATCCTTTGATTGCGTTGAAAACCTCAACAAAAGAGAGAACACGCTGACTGACGCTACCCCATACACCGCTGACGATAGCAATTGCAGCTCGTGGGAACAATTCAACAATCAAATGAATCCACCATTCAACGTGCAAATTGAATGCGGCCCAGATCAACCAAGCTTGAACATTGTCTGTGACGTAGTTGCGCTTTGCTCGTTCTGAATCGGGCCCTTCATTTCGATATGTATATTGCAAGACGATTGCTGGCGCAACAAGCGTTGCACTTAAGATAAAATTTCCCAGGAATGTAGTAGCGAGCCATTTTATAATCTTGAAAGGACTGATTTTACGGCGACGCAAAGCGATTGCCTGCAACTGTTTCTCTTCCTCTTTTGCGGCTTGTTGCTCTTGTTCATCTTCGCTCCAGTCGAATTCGTCGAAAAAGTCATCAGCAGCATCATCAAAGCTGGAAGCGGCACTCGTTTGTCGGGAGAAAGGAGGACGTCCAGGAGAACCACCACCGGGCGTGTTTACCTTGAAAGTTGGATGAACGAAACCGCCCTTGCCATCATTCTTGGTAGATTCAAACATGTCTGCTCGGATTGTAGCCAAAGGGTCCGTGACTGCAACCCTGGGACCTTGTGATGTCATTGTGACTTTAGGTTCATGACTGGCGGGTTCAGCCGGATTCTCTTCGATGGGAGGCGAACGCCTTTTCCCTTTATCTTGGCTGTTCATACTGTCATCGTTTAGATTTGACCGGCTTTGATAAGGGGGAAGGTATTGCGAAGCAGCGTTATATGGTGGCGATGCTGGTCCCCTCTCTCTGCTTGAAAAACTACCGCTGGATTTTTGATCATCCAAGTTCATGATCTATTTAAGCGGAGATGGAAAACATACGTCAGTACCGAAAATTCACCATCGGTGTTGCGCATATATGCTTTGAGCGATGACCAATTTCAGGACAATAACGCATAATTTTTCGGCCCAGCACCTTTCGGTGTAGTCGCCTTTCTCTCGAGATTCTTTTGAACACTCGCTGTTTTTATCAAATTCATCCTTTCGATCCCACCATACAGACCCTCTCATTTTGTGATCAGATCGTCGCATTTGAAAGTCATACTCACTTATTTTTGCAAGACAAGGTTCACTGAAAGGACGTATTTGTCAGTGAGAGGGATGAAAGAAAGGGTAAGTATATGTACTTGCGACTATTCCATTTTGCGCCCATCTCTTTTGCCCCTCAATGTCAAATTGACACCTTTTTATCTCTTCAGTGCATTTTGTCGTGCGTAATCGTCAATAAAGCATACTTAATATGCCTCTCAGAGGATTGACAGATTGATTGATAGATAAAGCACATTTCATCCCTAGAGTTTCCCTTTGAATTTGCCATTACGATCGCCGTTATTTCAACACTCACCCATTCACACGACGTGTATCTTTGTCTCGAGAAATGAAGCAATCAATGCTTGTTCTGTCGACTATGATAGATGATGGATGGGAAAGATGTGTTTGATGAAATCGTGTACGTATACATCCATCTTCCTCCATCTGCATCCATTCAAGGTTAAAAATTTATCTTCCAATGCTAAAGTGCACCAGACTTGCCGCTAAGGTGTTGGTTTGATTGTCTGTCTGCCTTCCCAGCAAAAGAGAAAGGGAATTTCCAAACTAGCTGACGATACCGTGCAGAAAGAAGAGGTTTTCATCCCCCCCCTTTCAAGGCTAAACTGCCACTGAACTGGTCCCCTTTTGAGCCCCACGCGTACTGTATATATAATCTTTTCAAAACTTTGCGTTCTCCCCCTTTTACGCCGGCGCGTGTGTTTTTAAGAGAGAGTATTCTAGTTTATGCCCGTGCACATTTTGCGCCTTTTTGCCTGCCTGTCCGCCCGCCAAAATGAGGTGCCCAAATTGCTGGCGAAATCACCATTCAGGGCGTACACAATCGGGCGATGCGGCTGTGCGTCACAATATCTCTGCTTCATATAATGGATAAACGATTAGCTTTAAATTTGGACTTGTAACGATTGTTATCAACTCTCTTACAACCAACAACAAATAATTACAACAATGGCTGATCAATTGGTACGTTGTGAATGACATGATGATGGTGATGCAAACGTGCTGGAACTGACACTTTCTCATCTTTCTTCCTCTTTCATTAGACTGAAGGTACGCATATATCCAGGTCTGGCAAAGGATTCGCAACCTTGAACGACTACTAATAACCTTTCTCTTTAATCCTTGTAGAGCAAATCTCCGAGTTCAAGGAGGCTTTCTCCCTTTTCGACAAAGGTGAGTGATAAGCAGAAGATGCAACCACACAAACTCTAACGCTCTATGTCCTTCCTCTCTCCCTCTTCAGACGGCGATGGAACAATCACCACAAAAGAGCTCGGTACAGTGATGCGATCTCTAGGACAAAATCCTACCGAAGCTGAATTGCAGGACATGGTGAACGAAGTGGATGCAGATGGAAATGGAACGATAGACTTTCCCGAATTCTTGACAATGATGGCAAGAAAGATGAAAGATACCGATAGCGAAGAAGAGATTAAAGAAGCATTCAAGGTGTTTGACAAAGATGGTAACGGGTTTATCAGTGCTGCCGAATTACGTCATGTCATGACCAATTTGGGTGAAAAGTTGTCTGATAATGAAGTTGAAGAAATGATTCGTGAAGCTGATGTTGATGGAGATGGTCAAATCAACTATTCTGAATTCGTCAATGTGAGTCTTTACGGTGTGCTCATCACCTTTAATGCATCTCTTCTGACTCCTTTTGCCTTTTCCCACAGATGATGATGAGCAAGTAAAAATGTTGACTATTGTAACAAATGGCCGGTAAAAGCAGTTGCTGAAGATTCATTTTCCCATCTACTCGCTTTCGAAGATGAGTGTATATCATTAACAATCACACCCGCTCATCAAGTATAAATATCGTAATGTACCATTTCATGACATTCACAATGTGATCAGCCGACTGAGCGAGGCGAATGTGAAACAGAGGTGATGAAAGGGAATGACATCTCTTTTGAGAAAAAGGGAAGGGGACAAATGTTCACATGAAGCCCATGATGTGCGTTTTGAACGAGGACTTTTGATTTGAAAGATCGCCTCGATCCGATACCTTTGATTAATCGGTGAACATGAAGTAACACTTGTAAAGGCATTGATCGGTATCAACGATTGAATATGTATTTGCCGGGCACTCGCTTGCTTTATTGAAGCATTGATTGCTGACGCTAAATGGAAGAGAAGATCTGTGATTGAAAGTAGAACTGAAAGAGAACAGACTCAACTTACGCAACACAACGGTATCGACTGTAGAGACAGTTTGAATCACCTTGAGCTGAGATCGTATAGCCTTGTTGGGTGATTGTCAAACATTTGTCTTTGTCTACACATGCCGCTTTAGGTGTCACTGGATAAATGACTGAAATAGCACAGTGAAATTCGAGAAAAATGATGAGGACAAAGATTAAGAGATTCATGATGTTCAATTTTTGGCTCAAACAAGAAGAATGAAAAAAGATGATCGTTTGTCTGTTGTATGGAAATTATTCAAGTCTCACAAGGCGTGAGAATGTTGTGCGATTCCCTTCTCATCACCGCCCGGGATTACGGTACCATCCTGTTAATGGAAATTACGCCCACATACTCTATTAATTTATGCTATTATTGTCACCTCTACAACGATCATTGCCTGCATTATCCGCTTCGCAATGAAAGAAGAATGTGAAAATGAAGCGTTACTCTGTGTGGCATTATTTTCCCTAAATAGGGCTTTGCTTCATTTGATGCTGCTGATGTAAGTTTGATTTGCTAGAATGAGGTACATACATACTAATCACTTTACCATGCATTGATCTTTGTTGGGCGTATTGTCCCTGATCAAAGAAAGGATGAATGAACTCGTTCCCCCTTCCTTTGGCTCGTACGGTACAAGATGGTAGCGCAAAGCACACATGTTTGCCCTTTCTGCCGAAATGACCTGCTTGCTTTGCCTTGGTAACTGTTTCTCCACCTTTTTTTATTTTAATGACAGCGATTCCCTTCCGCCTGTCTGATGCCAAATATAAATAGTAATCTAAACGCGCTTGTCCTGCTGCTGTTGCTGCTGGGTGAGAATGATCTGATGATTATTTGTGTGTGTGTGTGTGTTTAGCAGCAGCACAGAGTTAGTTCCCCCTTTCTGCTTTCACTTAAGTGCCTGACTGAAAAAGGATGCATGTTGTTTGTGTAAGACAAAGTGCAAGGCACATATTCACTCTTTTTTTATATGAATATCAATTGATTGATTGCAATAACTTTCTTGATCACCATCATAATAGACAAGTACTTTTTAAAAGAAACCGTATCAATAATTCAACATGACATCAATCCTGTTCCTTTAAATTAACAAAAAACGATCATCACGATCACAAAAGCACAAATTACACTCAATCACCTTTTGTTGATTTGTACAAACAATCATATAAACAATGTCTGCGCATACGGCAGGTGGTGGTTCAGCATCACATGATGCCGCCTATTATCAACGCGGTTCACAAGGCGGACATTATGCTAGACCCGATTCTCAACAACAATATTACGCCTCACCAGCTTATCCGACTAGACAACAAACGTATCCTTCTCCCGGTTATAGTCCTGATCCTGCTTTCGTTCAACAAGCAAATATGGCCTCTTTCACTTCTCCAATGATGGCACCTCAACGTGTCAGAACAAATACAGCAGATGCAACTTCATTTCAAAACTTAACACATGACAGACGCGATAGCGAAAATAGCGATAGATATTGGGAAAATCCACCACCACCACCACCTCTCAATGGAGGCGGAGGAGGAGGAATGTATCAACAATCCAACGTTTCAGCTCCTCATGTTGATGGTCCAGGTGCAATGAATAGTAGAGGTCCACCCTTGGCCGACGATTTTGGATTCGACAAGCTATCTATTGCTGGTCGCTCTAAGTCTCCTACTCCTTCAATCGGAGCAGCTTCAGCCAGAGTTGGCGCATTTGGTCAACGAGCAGCAGTTGAAAGAGCAAATGCAGCCTACGCAAATCAAGAGATCTATCAAAGTGCAGCCGAAGTACATCCAGACAATAGCTTACGTGCAATCGCTGATGAAGTTGATCAAACGGCAGCAGATATCAAGCAAGGAACTCTTCAAGGTCCACCACAGCAACAACAACAAAGTGGCGCAGACGGATCTTCGATGGGCTACAACGATGGAAGCATATCAGCAATGGCACATGCTACAAATTTTGATCCAAACTTACATGCTTACAACGCAGGCGGTCAACAGATGGGTGGATATGATCCGAATTTGTATTCTCAAGGCTCTTCGCATGGAGGATGGTATGGCAATGAAGGAGGTCAGCAGCAATACTATGACGAAGGTCAAGGGCAGTACAGCAATTTCGGATCCGCTTATCATCAACAACAGCCATCCTATTTTGGCAATCAGATGGCCGGACCCTCGTCGCAAATGTCTGGATATGATGCGGCGGGTAATCCGTACATGGCAGCTGCTCAAGGCTTTGGCCTTGATTATCCCGGTGCGCCATCACCCTACTCACCGTATGGAAGTGGAGAGCCAGCAGGTCGAGCACCCAGCATCAGCGGTAACAGTATGATGCCTTCGCTGGCAAGACAAGGTACGCAGTTGAGCATGGCAAGTGCACATTCAAGCACTTCCAATATCAATGGAAGACGGAGATCCAAAGATACTACCTCAAAAGCACCTCAACAAACACTACCGTTCAACAAAGCATTTGTGGATGAATACCGTCAACGAATGAAGGGAGATCCCGATCCAGAAGCGCAATTTGCTTATTGTAGATATTTGATCGAAGCAGCAAAGAAGGTTCAAGATCCCAAAGACGGTCCAAAGCAGGCACGAAAGTACAGAGATGCTTTGCTCAGTGAAAGTCTCAAGCTTGTCAAGAGGTTGGCTACAACCGGAACTGGCCTGGGCAAACCACCCTATGCAGAAGCGCAATTCTTCTTGGCAAATTGCTTCGGTAATGGTAGCCTAGGATTGCAAGTCGATCATGAGAAAGCATACAATTTGTATGTTCAAGCTTCCAAGCAAAATCATCCTGCTGCCACATACCGCACAGCTGTGTGCAATGAAGTCGGAGCAGGTACAAGACGTGATCACCATCGTGCCGTTTTATTCTACCGCAAAGCGAGCGCCTTGGGTGATACAGCGGGAATGTATAAATTAGGAATGATTTTGCTCAACGGTTTGCTAGGACAGCCACGTAATATTCGAGAAGCAATCGTTTGGCTTAAAAGAGCTGCCGGTCAAGCGGATGAAGATAATCCACATGCATTGCACGAGCTTGGTCTGTTGTACGAGAAATCGACCAATAGCGTTGTACCTCATGATGAAGCCCATGCAAGAGAATTGTTCACCCAAGCAGCTCAATTGGGATATGCACCAAGTCAATTCAAGCTTGGAAGTGCGTACGAATATGGTACGTTGACATGTCCTGTCGATCCACGCAGATCGATTGCATGGTATACGAAAGCAGCAGGCAAGAATGATGGTGAGAGTGAATTAGCTCTGAGCGGTTGGTATCTGACCGGAAGCGAAGGTGTTTTGAAGCAGAGCGATAGTGAAGCATATCTATGGGCACGCAGGGCAGCAACAAAAGGTATCCCGAAAGCTGAATATGCCGTTGGATACTACTCTGAAGTGGGAATCGGTGTTGACGCGAATATCGAAGAAGCAAAACGATGGTATATGCGAGCTGCTGCTCAAGGCAATAAACGTGCAATGATGCGTTTGACCGAACTTAAACAACAAAAAGATGGAAGAGGAGGAAGGAAAGGAGCAAGACCGACACGAAAAGATGCTGAAAAAGAATGTGTGGTTATGTGAAAAAAGCCTCGTCTCTCTCCCTAAAAAGGTTGCACAAATTGCTGTGAGCGGCAATCATGTCTGATCTCGTGCTACTTTTGGTGCTTAGCTGCAGTATGTATATCCAATATCTCTCATCTTCGTATCCTTCAATACAAAAATTTTCAACACTGAAGAAGATGATAGGTATGTTTTGTGCATCCCTGTTAATTTGCATCCAGATCTGGAGGTGGTGACTTATTCAGATCCGGCACGATGGTCTTCTTTCGCCTCTTCATTGAAGGTTTTCCAGGTTTTGTTGCTATCATGCTGGCTTTCTCGATCTTTTTTCTTTCCCTATGTCGAACGACTGAGGCATAATTCGTTTGTAAACTTTTTCGATAACTTTCAATTGCTTTCGGATCATTTTGTGAAACTAAAAATTTGATCTTTTTACGATAAAGTTTTCTTCCTTTCCTTTCCCGTGCATGATGTTTAATCAATTGTTCGTTATACACCTTTCTTGCTTCTTCGTTCAATCCTTTTGCTTGCTCTTGTCCTACAAGACTGAATTTATCTCTATATTTCTTCTTTTCCCCGCCGCAATGACTCTATTCTTTTCAATTTTTTGCTCGTCTGTTTGGATGCATGTGTTACTGACTGTCAATTTCATTATCATTTTCAGTTCATCACTTACCACTGCCTGCTCATCCCTTGTGAAGGGCTGCTGTGCAGGAGCCTGCGTGTTCATTTGCTGATCATTCCCATTGCCTTGTATTTCTCCACGTTTCATAAATGTTCCTGGCTGTGGCAAGTTGTCTGATGATGCATTGCCTTGCTTGCATTTTTTCGCTCTCTTTTTCTGGCTATATTTGCGGTATGCTCTTCGAGCGCTTTCTCTGTATAGCTGATTACGTCTCAACCCAATCGGATCATTTTGTTCGACTAAAGTTTTCATCTTTTTTAAATTTCTACTTTTGTAAAATCTGCGTTTTTGACGTATTCTCTCTAAATGCTCATCATATTTGACCTTTTCTTCAGGCGGTAAATCTTTTGCTAGTTCTTGTCCCTTAAGTGAAAATTTAAATTGAAACCGTTTTAATGAAAGTTTTCTACTCTCATATTGCTTTTTGACTGGCTTCTTGGTCGGAGAAGAATAGCTTTCTGTGTCTTTTCGATGACACTGTCTGCCATTGGATTGCACATCTTCATACTGACCGCCTTGGCTTCTTCCATTTGGCGATTCAGGGCGATGTGGACTACTTTGTTCTGATGAAGCTGTTGGAGTTACATTGAGGTCTATCTCTCTACGACGTAATTCTCCAAACGATCCAGGACTCTTGTGCTGCGCGATTTGCTTTACTTCAGACCCTTGAAGATGAAGTAACTTTGGCAATATGATCAACATGAAAGCAGAAGCAAACACGATAAGTATCTTTCTCTTTTTCAATAAAGTTACCATTGTCTGGACCAATTGAAAAAAAAAGAATCATGATCGATAGCAGGAAGGTACTTCATCCAATTCACATAAATAATTCGAAAGAAGGACAATTGAACATCTTCACCCTCTCGGGGCGCAAAACAGCAAGCTGCTTTCTCATCTGTACACAAAACTTTAATTTGGAACTCAATATGCAAAGGAGTCATCTAATCCGTTTTGGCAGCCGAGGAACCGCTTTGCTTAGATTGCTTTCTTACTGCGTTATACTTTGCCATGGCAATACGAGAAGCTTCCTTCTTTTTCTCGTACCATTCCTTGCCCTTTGGATCGCCGCTTCTATACAGCTTCATATTTTCCGTATATGTTACTCGTTTTTTCTGTCGATCAAAAAGTTTTCGTTCAACATATTTCTTTGATGAATGATCTAAAGGTTGCTTTAACAAGGTATGTAGATCAGCATCGGATAATTTTGCATTTTGGTGATCATGTTGAGGTAAGGAATCAGTAGCGAGAAAGGCTCCCAAAGCACCTTGATGATAACGCTTCTTTTTGCGTTCTAAGCGTTTGGTATAAACTTCGGTCGATTTTTTATCACCAGTCTGTCTTGCGATTCTTATACGAGCACTTCTTGCCATACCGTACCCTGAGCGTTTTTGGCGATAGTCCTGAAGTCGTTTTTGATAATTTTCAAATTCTTCTTTGGAGAACTTATTTCGTGCCTCCTCTTCCGCCTTTTTGGTGAATTGCTCGTAATGACGTTTCCGCCTTTTCTTGGGTTGTATCTCTGCAGAAACTGCAGAACTGCTCGGAACACTTTCTACAGCTGGAGAGGCTTCTAATGGAATGTTTAAGTTTATGTCCGTTCTTTTCAGCAATGATGGCTCTCTCTCGAAGTAAAAGCTCGTCTCGGGTGGCGAGTGTAGTGTTTCTCCCTCTCCTCGACGAAATAGACGTAATTCTGTATCCACAAAATCTTCTGCAGCTCCATAAGACCGCACTTTTGATGTCTCTTGTGAAGTTTCTGTCTTGCTCTTCTTACTCTGACTTCTACCATCTGCAAGAAATTTACCTACAGACAATTTTGCCTGTCTATCCCTCTTACGTTGCAATTTGAGAGCATAAGCCTGTATAGCTACTTCATCCCCTGCGAGTCTTTTCGCTTTTCTACGCTGATAATTCTCTTTTGAAGCAATTAGTCTTTTCGTTCTGAAGTCTTTGATCTTGCCTTGCAATTCTTTGAATTCTTCTGGTGGCAATACTTTTTCCGCTTCCTTTTCCGCTTTCTTAGACATACTGCTACGATGTAATTTTTGACATACAGCCTTTCTCTTCTTTAATTGAATCATCTTTTGTATTTGTTCACGGTCTTTTGGTCTAGCATCCTGCTCAGCAGTGAAAGATTCGCCCTGCAAGGCCCTTTTGGAGAACAGAGGCGGTTTACCTTGATCGTCTTTGCGCTTCTCTGCCGATCTTGCAGCTATCTTTTGCTTTCCACCTTTATGATACCAAGCTAGGAAATTGGTTAACTTTTTGGCATGAGTCGCGATAGCGGCTGGATCCCCTTGTTCTCGTAATCGTTTTTGTCTTTCAACATAACTTCTATCACGATTCATATTTCTTTTTTTGATCTTTTTATACAGATTAATATACTTTTCGTATTCGGTTGAGTTCATCGTTTCTTTTGCTTTTTTTTGACCTTCTGCAGTAAACTTTTTATTATACTTTCGTACTGCTTTATTAACTTGGGCACGCCTTCTCTTCACTTTTTCAGCGGCAGATGAAGCGTTCTCTGGATCATTTGTGCTGCTTGGATTTGCCTTATACGTTGAGGATACTTCTCCGGTATCTATGCCTTCCAATGGTGGAGAAGGCGATTTTGGTGGAGAGCGATTCAAATCTATACTGTCTCTCTTCCATAATGACACCGTGTTGAGCGACGCATCAAGTCCAGTAGATGATAATTTGCGAGCCTGCGTGTTAATAACAAGATTTGCTGATGACTTCTCAAAACTCCCATTGCACTCTTCCGCTTTCATGTCTTGGATGCAATTGTCACATTCTTCATCATTGCAACGAAATAAGAGCGATGTAGAAAGCATTGATGCTATCGAAATCATAAAAAGAATCTGCTTAAACATTTGAGGTATGTATGATACCATTATAGTAAATAAAGGCTAGATGAGGTAAGGTGAGGAAGCCACACTATATTCAACGTACCTGTTTGTTGAGTATTTCAAGGCTGTGAACATACTGGGGCTAAGATACAAAACATCATACGCAATTTGCGCCTCTGTCTTCTTTCATATGAATGGCAATGTCAGGATGAGAGGCTTGTATTACTCTTTGTGTACAGGATTTTTCACGTTTACGCAATTATTTACTGCGCTTTCATTATTTGTTTGCATCTGATGTTGAGCTCATACAGGTGGAAGCTGTTCAGGAGGAGGTAGCTCACTCAGATCAGGTATTTCTGCTTTGTCAAGCTTCGAAGATGTTGATACACCCTGATTCCCAGCGGACGAGTGTGATTCCTATATTTTCAATTTCTTGCTGGGAGATTCCTTGGATGAAGCGCCCTCTTGACTTTAGCTCTTTGTAACCTTCGCCTCAATTTGTACGTTGCATTTCTCATAAATTGGTTTTGACTATAATTTGCAAGCCGTTCAACTGATTCTGGATCACTTTGGGTAGCCAGTGCAAGCATTCTGTCTTGCTTTCATTTCGATTGAATTTGTGTTCGAACCCTATATCGGGTAAATTGTTCATCGTATTCTGTTTTTGCTTCTTGATCGAGTAATTTGGCCTGTTCTCGCCCTTCTTTATTGAACTTTGATCTGTATTTTGCTGCAGCTGCACTATGTTTGGACTGTTCGATTCCCGTTCTTTTATACTTGTATGGGTGAGGATTTGTTAAGCTCGCAAAGTTGAACTAACATCTCTTTGACTCACCCTTTCAGCCTTCTTTACACGTTTAGCCTTGTCTTGTGTGACGTTTGATTCTTGGGGATCCATACGTCGCACAAACGGCTGAGATACATCTGTCTGCTCTTAATCATGCAAGGCTTGCTGAGCCCTTTTCTTCCTCATCCATCTTCTCGAAGCTTGGCGATTATGGATCCGGTTCATCAAGTTTCGTGCTACAGCTTTTGGATCGTTTTTTTCAAGTCCAACTTTGATATCATGAAAGTATTTCGCTTTATATTGTTTCCTCTTTTTCTGAATTTCTTCCAATTTCTTATCGTATCTAGCTTTTTCAATCGGGTCTAAAGTTTTGGCAGCTATTTCTTGTCCTTCTTTAGAGTACTTGAATCGATATCTTTGAACACAAAGTCTATTGCACTCATATTTCTTCTTTTTCCTCTCTTCCTCTGAAAGCTTAGGACCTTTAGAAGAGACACCAGCATTCCCTTTTCTTTGTACCGTAGCATGGTCCCATCGAGTTTGTACCTCTTCATTGTTCGAGTGATGGGAAGCAGCTACAGCCCTCGGGTATCCTTCATCCATAGATGATGTTGGAGTTGCATTAAGATCAAGTTCCCTTCGAACAAAATGATGAATTGTGCTGGCTTGCAGATCACCTCGTAGTTGAGAGGCTGAAGAGCTCCACACGGCGAACATCAATGACAAGAAGACAATAAAACAATCCATTTTTGCAGTGACAACGGAAGCTGTAATGATAGCTTTACTGCAGAACAAAAGATCGATGAAACGCTGTTGAAATGAGAAGCAAGAACGCTTTCACAGGTGAGCTGTTAGTTTTCACCTATTTGCATCCGGTCTACACAGCTCATGCAATTTGAGCACGGGGCTTCAAGACATAAAGCTTCTTATAAACAGGACACCAGCAAGACTTCTTGGCAGATACGCATAGTTCTATGACATGATCTATATCTGACAATGATTCTGTTCAATCGGTGGAGGAGGCAGAAGGGCTCTTACTATCCAAGTTAGTCTTCGCTTTCTCCGCCCTGTACCTGTGCATGTATTCCCTGTTCTTTTTCTTGCGTTTTTCAAGCCATTCTACGCTTTTCGGATCTCCTTCTTTGGCACGAATGACGCTTTTTCTGAAATCTATTCGTCCTCTTTCACGGCGCTTAAGGCGTCTTTCGATATCCTGCCTAGTAGTGGAATCCAATGGCTGTTCTAAAAGAGCTTTAAGAGTATCATCATCACCTCCTTTTCTGTTTCCCGGTTTTCTAACCTGCAGACCGGTACTAAGAAAAGTACCGAACTTTTTCTTTTCGTGCCGTTTTTTCTTCATCTCCAATTGACGATCATAACGTTGCGAGGCTTGTTCATCTCCGGCTTGTATAGCTGCTTTTAAACGTTGATGCCCTGCTTTGGCATAAATGAGCCGCTTTGCACGAAAATTATGACATCTTGCTTGGTACTTTTCAAATTCTTCTGTAGGGAGCGTTCGACGTGCCTCTTCTTCTCCTTTCTTGGTAAATTGTGCATTATAGGCCCGTGTTCGCTTTCGTTTTGCTTCTAGTCTACGTTGCTTTTCAGTTTCTGCAGTCACTTCCGGTGGTGGAGGATCCGGCGTAGGATCACCACCTATTTGCAGTCTTGTATCAGGATCGGCTCGTTTTGCGAATGGTGTAGACTTATCTTGACCTCCTTCAGCTGCATTGCCTTTCTCCTTCTTTTGCTTCTTTGGCTTGGTAACATTACGATAATACTCTCGATACCTTTTCAATAATTTTTCACGTCTTTCCAAAGCAGCAGGGTCGTTTTGCTCTAATAATTTCTTATTTTTGGCATATTGTTCTTTGGAACGTTCCACCTCTTGTCTTTTGTAGTGATCATATCTTTCTTTGTATTTCGCATATTCGTCAGCATTTAATGTTGTTTTAGCTTTCTCATGACCTTTCTTATCCCATTTAGATCGGAATTTCCGCATAGCTTTCAGCGTGCTTAAGCGCTTCCTTTTTTCCCTTTCCGTCGGCACTGTACTTACTGCTGACGAAGAATAAACTTGGTCCTGTTTACGCTTTCGTACAGGAGAAGAAGACGATGGCGACATCTGAGGGTCTGGATGCTCACTTACTAGAGAAGGAGATCTAGGCGGCGATTTGTTCAAGTCGATTTCTGCTCGCTTTCGCAATGGTAATTGATCCTTTGGGATCGTAAAGACGAAGGCAAAAGAAGATCTATCTGAATCTTTCATCGACTTTTCTGCATTGGCTCTGATGCTAAAAAGCCGGTCGTACCTTTCTTCTTCTTCCACGGCTAGCCATATAAAGAGAAAAGAGATCGTCATAAGAATTCTTAGAACGGTCTTTTGCTCTCTTATCGCAGCGATGATTGCATTCATATTGCTACTTGAGAAAGTGGATGATATGGAAATCATGAGAAACAACTTCTTGCTCAGTGGCAATCAACATCATCAAGACTTCGTTTTTTTTTCGGGGCCTAGTCATTCACCGCCTAATGCAAACAGAATGAGCTGTGTCGAACACTCATGTCACAGCACACAATGTATTTAAGCGTGAAACATTGATTTGCATATGTACTAATACAGTGTGCTTCCTGATGACGTTTGAGTGCAGTCTTTTAGACATCTAGCAAACAAACATTTACAAAAAGTCGATCCCGATTCCCAATTGAACGCCTTTTCTTGCTCCATCGCCTTTACGAATCGTGAGCGGAACACCAACGTTAATCTCGGCACGAAGGCCACCTTGTCGGATCATCAATCCAACGCCTGTACTACAAGATGGTTTGGAAATCATATCATTCCAAACTGCGGAGATGTTACCATTAGAGATTGTTGTGTTAGCATTGGCTAGTTTGCTGTGGTCAAGTTGAACGAGTTGACCGGCATTGACGAATGCGTGCCACTTCAATGGCCAATGAGCCTTACCAGGCCAAAAGGGTGCAATAAGTGATGTGCCCGTAGAAAGGTATGCATCTCCTCCTAAAGAGTCCAAACCGTCTTTAGGTCCAAGGGAATTGTACCGAAACATTCGAACACTTGTAGGTCCACCTAGCTGAAATCTGTCACTGAATGCAGGCGATCTTCCATTCAATGATGACAGGAATCCAGTTCGAGCAGAGAAGGAAACGGCAAAGTCGTCGTCCAAACCAGAAAGCATTCCAAAACGGCGCGAAAGTTGAGTTTCTACCTCTGCTTTTACGTGCTGCTGATCTCCTCCTAGACCAGCATATTCGCACAAAGTTTTGAAAAGTGCTCCACTAGTTGCCATACACGTATCATCTCGGGTATCATGCGTGAATGTATGGCTGATACTGCTCTTGATAGAGTGTCCGGCAGCATAACGCATACTCAATGAAGCAGTTGGCTTCAGCCTTCCCAAATGCCGATGTGCGAGCTCGTATGCGAATTCATGAATACCGCCTCCTACCATAGATCGATTGAATCGCATGGCCAACTTTGCACCTCTTGATCCTTCTGTTACGCTGGAAAAGGCAGAAAGATCTCTATCTTGAGCATATGCACTTGCAGTGAATAAATGATCCGGAAGGGCAAACATAGGCCAACTTAAAGAAGCGTTAAATGCTTGCCTAGTTCTCGTTCCAGTTGTTGCAGAGAATTCCGCTTGTTCCGCACCTCCAAACACATTTCGTATTCTAGCCTGAATAGCAGCATTTCCTTCACCATTCCCAACGTCCGTACTGGTCTTTAAAAAGAATCTGGGTTTCTGCTTGCAAGTGAATACGACATCGACATCTTCCTCGCTCGCTATTAGTGGGCTTGAAGGGTCTATCGAATTGACAACGAGTGAAGGCTGAAGGCTTGCTTGAATATCGGCAAAAGCATCTAATCCTCCCAAATCATTTCCAATCGATCCAAGTAGTCCTATCAGACCGGGCAAAGTAGTGGATTGTCCAGGCATGATCTGATCTAATCGATGTCCATAGATGAATCGATTGAGAAATGTTGGTGTTAGTGCTGCATCTGTATAGGGTCTACATATCCTTGTCAGGAAAGACTTCCTCATCTCTTTTGCACCCTCAATTCGAATGGCCGCCAATCGTAGCGGTAAGAGTGCAGCTGATAACTCATCACCTTTTTCGACAAATGCGGTTGCTTTCGTCAAATTGTGAGATATAGAATCGGTAAATGCAGCATCATTTCCATACTCTTCACTTCTCCCTTCGCTCGCTGTAGCATCCTGTCGTGCTTTCAGCCCTTCTTGTATAGCTTCAGAGTCAAGTTTGGCCTGCAGTAGTTCTTCTGCTTCTGTCTCTGCTTTCTTGCCCTTTCCTATCCGTCCTTCATTCAAAGCTTCCCGAGCCTTGCCTTCCTTTGTCCGTCTTTCAAACTCCATCTTGAATGCCAAAGTATGATGGAATACGATAGCTTTCCCCAATACTCGATATGATTGTTGTAGCAAAGAATGAAGAATCTTCCAATCTTAAAATTAATACAAAGGAACACCAAAAAAGTCTGTGCGCCGGTGTGGAAAAAAAAAGATAGGCTGTTTAGCCGGAGACGCACGCGTTTACCTATCATCTAGAATGATCATCAAATTTAATGACATGGCAAGTATACAAATTGAGTAGTGTAACAGCATAATTCTCTCACAAAGCCCAAATCTTCATCACGTTATCCTTGCCTCCCGAAACAGCATATCGATCCATATAACGCAATCGTTCGGCAGGCGATGTATGTCCGTTGAGAGAAAGCGTTCGATGTTGCATGGATGTTCGATTGAAGATCTTCAATTGATTTTCTCCAGTGCAAGCAACAATCTTTCTACTATCAAACTGCAAAGAAGTGACGGGGTACTCATATCTGATCGTATCAGAAATTGCACCAGTTCGTAAATCCCAAATTCGAATCGATTTATCCAAACTTCCAGAAACAACATGTGTTTCATCAAATTGCAAACATGTTACCGGTCCTGTATGACCATGTAACGTTCTATGTGCTTGTCCTGTACGCATATCCCACATCCGTACCGCACCATCACCACTTCCACTTGCCAATGCATACCCCCAGAACTGAACGCCTCCAACGAAATCTTGATACATCTCCCAACTTCCATCAGCATATGCAGGAGTTGGACAACTAAATGGTCCGGAGAAGTGCTTCTCTGCCAAATAGCTCGAAGATCGTTGAGGAGATGGCGGAGCACTAGACAGGACGGAAGTACTGATCGTATGTCTCGGACGAACGGGAGAGCTATTGACATTATCTTCCGGCCCGGAATCAGACACAAGGGATTGAGTAGAGGTAGGATTGGAAATTGCCCAAAGGATGTCCATCGTTAAAACACATTGGCCTGTATTCAGATCCCATTGGCGAAGTGTCTTGTCGGAAGCACCGGTGACCAAACATGTATCGTCAAAGTATAGACTTGTTACTGCCTTACTATGACCTTCCAATGTGCGCAAACAAGGACTGTGATCTTTGCCTCCATTTTCTCCTTCATCATTCATTTCTCCACTTGCTTGTAAGCTTAATCGGGTCTCATAATCTTCAACCTTGTGCAAGTCCCACAATTTGATGGTAGAATCCGTTCCTCCAGTAATACACAATTCATCTTCGACCTGCAAACATTTTACTGCACCTGAATGTCCGCGTAATCGGCCAGCTTCAGAACCTGTTGATAAATCCCAAACACGTACTGTATCATCCAATGCTGATGATACAAGAGTTCCGTATGGCTCGGAGAAGTCCAAAGCACTGATAGCGTTCGAATGTCCAGAAAGCGTCATAAATGCAACACCAGATGGCAGCTCATCATGCTCCGAAGGAAGGAACAGAGGTGCCTTTCGCCTTCTGGAATTCGTGCCATTAGATGTCTTTGCTCCGCTAACATCACGATCTGTTGCTCCTCCTGGCATTGCACGTCGATGTTTCAATAGAGCAACCATTTCCGAAACACCTTCGCATTCATCGTTCAATTCTAATTCTTCTTCCTTTAATGCGACGAGACTTTTCTGCAAATTTTGTTTAATAACATCAAGTGCTGCAATCCTTTGAGCGACCTCATTGACTTCCGAATTGATCAACATCCTTCTCACAACAAGATCCTCCTGTTCTTGGTTGATATCATCTTTTTGCGCTTGCAATTCCTCCAGTGTTAATGGCACGTCCTTTGCTTTCGAAGCAGCACTTCTACGTGCTTTTCGTTTATCGCGAGCACTTGGACCACCGAGAGTATCCTCTTCATCTGCATTGGTGCCATTAGTGAGCAAACCTCTTGCTTCATCAGCCATCTTTTTCAATCCTAACGATTCTCCCTCTCTGTTTCTTTGCTTTCGCCGTCTTGCCCTTCCGTCCATGCGGCTAGGTAGAGTAGCTTGGAAACCTCTCAAGAGTGAGACATCTTTTGCCAATCCTTTTGGTTCTTGTACTTCATCTTCAAGATTCTCACTGTTGACGGAAGACAGAATTTGATAAGATGATTCAAGTGCTTTGAGATCGGTGGAAGTGACTGGCCCTTGTCTGATCGTGTTTGTTAGACGAACGAGAGATCGGGCTGGCTGGTTGATCGAATAACCTCCTAGACCTGTTCTTGTGAGAGGTAAGAATCCAATCAAGGCTGAATTGGAAACATTATTTGTAACTGTATTTCCCGCTGCTACTGCTGCTGATAAGATCCTAGGTCGCATTATATGTGGTGCAACATCAGCCAAGAGCCTATTATGTTCTGGCATTGATTGTGATGGTACATTTGTGCTTCCCATTCGTGGACTGTTTGAAGCACTATTACCACCATTGGTAAAAGGTGAAAAATAAGCCGAAGCTGATGCCATTGCGTCTGAGAATGCGTTTTGAGCGAATTCTAGATGCGATGGTCCTTCGTTTGTTGTTGTTGATCGATTTTGGGGTGTTGTCATGGGGATGTGTAAATGCAAGATGAACAAATGACCTTTGGTCAGTCGATTAGACCGTCAAAGCAACGATCCGATGACTAATCAGTATCGATGATGAAGTACAACAAGTGAGAGACTACTTCTCATTTCTAAAAGAAAAGTAGTTTTCAACCAACACAGATGCATTTGTTTGTGACCCTTCGTGCGCGGGCCAAAGCAGTGCCGTTTAGACCGCAAGTGTACAAAGTCAAATTCTTAGCGCGTAACGCTTGGCCCTATTCCAAGCTCAAGCCAAATATACATTATATTCCAATTAGAGTTGACTGCAAGCTGTAGTATATGCCAGGCTATATGTTCCTGAAAGTAAGATTTGCATTCTTCCTTCTGTGATCTCATCACGACACTATACAACATGGTTCCAGTTCCTGATCCTGGCATTTCTGGCTCGTCCAGCAATGGCCATGGATTCCCGCCAATCGTGCCAATCGGAGAACGGGCTCTGAGTGCATCATCTGCACCTACCAATGGTCACGTCGCATGGAAAGCTGGTCTACCAATCTTGATCGATAATGGATCATTCGAACTTCGTGCTGGATTCGCTTCTCCATCAGGTGAAAGCAATCCAGCAGTGAGCATGGAAAGTGTCATTTCGAAATACAAAGATCGAAAGAATCCCGAAAACTTTCTACTTGCCGGTTCAGCTTGTTTTACAGATGCACAAAGCAGATCTGCGATGAAAAGTCCGTTTGACGGAGACGTTGTAACGAATTTCGAAGTGATGGAGAACATCCTGGATTACACTTTCCTACAATTAGGAGTCCAATCAGAAACAGTGGATCACCCACTGCTCATGACGGAGACTCTATGTAATCCCACTTATAGCAGAGCATTGATGAACGAGCTTTTGTTCGAGAATTATCAAGTTCGATCCGTTTGCTATGGCTTGGACTCTCTATTCTCCGCATTTCAGAACGATATTCATGATGGATTGGCGATAAGCAGTGGTCGCAATAGCACTACTCTTGTTCCAATTTTGGATGGCAAAGGAATGATTGATTTCTCCAAACGAATGAATTGGGGAGGACAGCAGGCTGCCGATTATCTCTTACGTCTCGTTCAACTTAAATTTTCCGCATTTCCCACTCGGGTCACACCATCACAGGCAATTTGGATGCGAGACAATCTCACACGAATGTTTGATGCAGATGAAGAGTCATACGAAGAATTTGTCGGGCGACTGAGCAGGCCTGAAGCACTTGCAAAGGAAGATCGGGTTGTTCAATTCCCCTACACAGCAGAGGTAAAGGAAGAAAAGACCCAAGAGGAACTAGATCAAATTGCAGAGAGGAAAAGAGAGGCAGGAAGAAGACTGCAAGAACAGACAAAACGGATACGATTGGAAAAGTTGATGCAGAAAGAGAACGATTTGAAGTATTACGAAGATCTGAAAGAATGGAAAAATAAAGAGAAGAAAGCGGAGTACCTCAAAAGATTAGAGCAAGAAGGATTCTCCGGAGAGAATGAGCTGGAATCGACGATGAAGAAATTGCAAGATGCGCTCAAGAAGGCTCGCAGCAAAGAATTGGGAGAAGAAGAAGGTGAGACAAAAGAGGTACCGACATTCCCTCTTGCTGATACCCCAGATGATCAACTAGATGAAGAAGGAATCAAAGAGAAGCGCAAGCAACGGTTCTTGAGAGCCGGATACGAGGCCAGAATACGGGCCAAAGCGGAAAAGGACGAAGAGAAAAGAATCTTGGAAGCAAAGCTAAAGAAGGAAGATGACGAAAGAATCAATGACCCTCGTGGATGGGCAGCAAAGAAGAGAAGAGAGTATGAGGATACGATTCAGAGAATCAAAGATCGTAAGCGACGAAAAGAAATGCTGAACGATCGAAAGAGTCTAGCAGCTCAGCAGAGGATGAAGAATATCACGAGCCTCGCAAGTGACGCTCCTGCTGGATCTTCTTCCAGGAGAAGGAAGAGAGGCAATGAAGAAGATACTTTTGGTGCTGATGATGAAGATTGGAATCTTTACAGAGAGATCAAGCCAGACGAAGACTCTGACGTTTCGGAAGAGGAAAATGCTGCATTGGATGCACTAGAGGAAAGATTGTTGAAGCACGATTCGACATTCACACAAGAAGATACCTACGATGCACGACTGAAACGTAAGAATCGTTTGACTTTAACCTTCTTACGCGGGATGCATCCTGAATGGGACATTGAAGATGTTGCACAACAAAATCAAATTCATCTGAATCTCGAAAGGACCCGTGTGCCGGAAGTATTGTACAAACCATACCTAGCCGGAGTTGATCAAGCTGGTTTGGATGAAGTGACCAGTCTGATATTGAGCAATTTCGATCTTGAGAAGAGAAAGAGAATGGCAAATAATATCTTTGTGACTGGTCAACATACTCTCTATTCCGGTTTTGATCAAAGGCTTTATAATTCTGTTCGTGCTACTCAACCGATTGACATTCCTGTCAGAGTTGTACGAGCAAAGGATGTCCGATTCGATGCTTGGCGTGGAATGAGAAAATGGACTCTGGAGAACAATGAAGAATTTCTTTCTAGCTCTATAAAACGTCAAGAATATGAAGAAAAGGGTTCAGAGTGGTTCAAGGAACATCGATTTAGCGCCACAATGACAATTTGACGTAAATCTTTCACTAAATGTACAAAGTATCTGTATAATATAAACAACAATCGATCAATCATCGAAATTTGGCTTGAGAGTAGCAAGTGACATACTTTCCTTTTCCATCGCTTCAATCGCGTGGGTGATTGATCGAGTGATATTTGGAAAAGTTGTAAAGCCATTTTGAAGAGTTTGATGGAATGACTTTGATTTTCGCACAGCTGAAGGAACTTTGTCAACGAAAGCTTTGCCGATTGTATGCCTAAAAGAATAGAGGATGCTGCAATTAGAACCAACTTACGAAACGGATACTTCAGGCAATTGTCAACGTACAATTCTTTTTCTCTAGCCCTTTTTCCTTCTTCGACTTTTTGCCAGAAAATCTTGTGCAACATTTTTTGCTTCTCGTGAACTCGCTTTTGATCCTTGACCCATTTCTTGCCTGCTTGCTACGAAAGAGGGAAATCAACACATTCAACAAACCTCCTCACCTAAGAACAATACATCAATTACTCACAATTGCGAGTGCTTCAACGGTTGCTTGCAAGTCCCTTACCTCTTCATATTGCAGCAAATCCTGAACGTCATCCTCGTGATCAGGCTGAGGGAACAAATTTGTATTCTCTTGCAAAATTGTTGGGACTTTAGGTTGAGTAGTTGTAGGAAGACTTGAAGCTCTTCTTCGCGGTATTTGCGTGCCAAATGGCAAAACCAGCGTCTGGTCGTCATCATGATCATCATCATCATCGCCTTTGTCGCTCTCTTCTGCAATGATTTGAGGGGCACCTTGGGTAAACGTGACCGATCTAGAGGTTGAGCCATTTGCGCCGGGATGAGAACCATTTGCGCCCGGATGAATGCTACCATTATTGCCATTTCGAGTTGCAAGTTGGGATGATCTCGGGTCTGCCGTACCTGCACCATCATCTGATGATGTTGGGGAGCTAGATAATCGAATATTTTCACTATTTGAGCGAATGATATTTTTGAGCTCCACTGCTTTATCAGCATCTCTGAAAAAGAAAAACAGTATTTTGCCTAGCTTTTGACGTTTTGCGACAATGATCTCCGTACTGCATTCGATTGTGATGATGAAAATACCCTCTCTTTGTGTCATTGCAACGTCAACAATTTTGCTTAGTGCAAACCTTACTTTGATATTTCGTGCTTTTCTTGCGTTTTGTGCAATATCGCCAGGATCGCAAATGTACGTGATGAGGAAATTGTCATCTGTGATCCACAAACGATCCCTTGACTTGAAATTGGGAAATGGTATTGCAAGCTTGAATTTCACAAATGGGATCGGATGTGCGTCTGTGATTTCAGTTTTAGCATCGATCCAAGCGGGATATCTGCATGGTCACGGTCAGTAGAAGGCACTCGTTTCAAAGTGGGCATTGTACTCACGCATTGGAATCTGCCATTTTGGTGGTAAAATGTGTTTGATGATGGTAGTTGAATGTGTATTTATCATGAAAGGTGAATGTATGCGCCTTAGAGCGCTCAGGATGGCTGGTCAGGAAGAGAACTTCACCTTCCTCTCTAATTCACGGTATCATACGCTTGCCTAAAAGCACGCATCTGGGCCAGCGCTGCTTATAAGGCCTTACTCTGCTCTGCGTGTAAGCGTATGCATGCCAAGGGCGCCGCCGCATAGGACACGCTGAACACGCCTACCTGCATATTAAAGCCATTCTAACACCAATATCATCATTATCATCACCTCTTCCGCATGGACAGAATACGCTTCCAGTCCCAACAACAACAGCAACAACAGTCATTATGGACGAGAAGGAAAGGCGAGATGCCTTCAATATGAAAGTGCTAAAGAGACACGATCCCGGAATTGTAGATATTGTAGGATCGGCAGCATTTGTTGTTCTGTATGAATTGGAAGATGAATGGACGAAATCAGGCATAGAAGGTCCTATGTTCCTCTATAGGAGATCAACTGCCCCGTATTCTGGATTCTTTGTGCTAAACCGTAATGGCGTGGAAAACTTTGATGCAAAGCTACAAGCAGAAGATGATGTTGAACTTGCGGGAGAGTTTGTTCATTTTAGGGCAGCATCCAACGAACAAGTGTTGGGCATATGGGTGTACGACACAAAGGAACGGGAAGTGATCGGAAACCAAATGATGAAAATTCATGAGGATATTCGCCAAGGAAAGGATGCATTTGGAGCACAAAAGTCGATCCCACCTCAACCCACAACCCAACAAGCCGGACAGCCGATCAGTCTTGACGCTCTATTTGACAGCGCAGGATCCAACGTGCAATCGCCAGCCCCGCCAGGAAGAGGACCTGAACTTCTTGACTCCATCTTTCAAAGTGCTCTTCCGCAACAATCCCCATCAGGACCACCGCAACAGCCTCAGCCATTCCCCGGATCCAATGGAACAAATGACCTCAAAGCAATGCTAGGTCTACCCTCCCACTATGCACCTCCAATGCAAGAGCAGCATCAATATCCTCAACCACATGCCAATGGGGCGATTCCACAAGGCCTGGAAGCAATCTTTGCCAGTGCAAGATCGCCAAATGTGCAGAATGCTAAACCGCAAAGTCTGCAAACACCATCCAATCGGGACACCACACAACAATCCGGTCAACCAAACTTTGGTGGTATAGCGTCTGAAAGTATCGATGCAAGTCTTGCTGCAAGACCCAAAGATGCTTCTATTTTGAGTCAACGAGATTTCGTGCGAGAGATTTTGTCTCTCATTCATGTGAGTATATTGGAGTAGTCCTTTCTTGCCCAATCTTCTTACTGACGGTCCCCTTTCCTCCATTACACAGACTGACAAAGAGTTCGTCAATGACTTATACCAGCGATATTTGTCGCGTGTACAATAGCGATTTCCTCATTTTGTTTTGCACATCCTGCTAGCTTTCGTCGGGTTCATTATTCATGTATCTATGCAACTTTCAATGTATAGCACCCTCAATTTCGCTCGATGATTCTAATGGTATCATAATGTGTGACTAATGTACAGGTGATATTATCGCGTCGAGAATCATGGATCTTCTTCGAACAGGGCTTGACGGATAGCATTCATTTCCTCTTCACTCAATTGACGGAAAGCGAAAGCATTATCCTGATTCTCACCTTTTGAAGATGAAGGATTGGCTAAGTCTCTTGTTGAATTCGTGCTATTGGTCGGTTGATCGTAAAGGATAGTTGGAGTGGCAGAAATGGTTGCACATTGAGAAGTCAACTTTGCAAAAACGGCACGATTAGATTGAAATAATCTCCATGCTTCTCCATTTATAACCAAACCGTCATTTAATTTATTAAGGTGAAATGTTTTGAAAATGTTCTTGATATAAAACAAAAGTTTCACAACATTATCCTTTGTTGAATCCCATTCGGGAAAACCTGAAGCCAAAGCGAGATGATCATCGCGAGGATCGATGAGAGGATGAATAAGACTTCCTTTGGAAAATGTGACTAGAGGTGCACGTATAGGATAAGAGGTGGTAAATTGAATTTTGAATCGAAATACACCGCCTTGATAGTACCCTTTCCGCACGAATATCACTCCATCCCATACATCTAAACTTTTGGAAGGTGAAACGTAAACACCTTCAGGACAATTGCCCGGTTGCCTGAGCATCGCACTATGAGGAATAAGAGAATGTCAGCTATTGATCTTCTGAACTTTCATTTGATCTGCTCACAATTGCGATTGTAGCTCAGTCTTTCGAAACGTAGATCCTGACATGTTGATGATCGATCATGTCGAACGGGACGCAAATGAGTAAAGATGGGAGGTGTAAGGGTGAATGCTTAAAACTGAACAACAACTCTATTTTTAGCGGGCGCTAGAGCAGAGCATAAGGGTTGGTTCGTGCGTATTGGTGTAATTTGATTGATTGTGCACGCTTCACCCCACTTCTCACTCTCCTCCCTCATCAATCTCATCTTCCTAGGTAGCACTGGTTGCTAGAAGGATTCGTAAGGATGGCATTACGATCACGAGCAAGACCGCATATTTCGCTGGACGCACAATTACAACAATTAACACTTTTTTCCGATTTAGATGCCGAAAGTGAGAACCTAGAACAACTTGGACCGATTATTAAATCGTTAGATGAAGCAAATCAATCCGATGCATTCTTACGTAGATTACGAGAATTTGTTCAAGAAAAAGAAGATGAGATCGAAAATGTTTGTAATGCAAATCACGAAGATTTTGCTGGTGCAGTGGATAAATTACTCAAAGTTCGTTCGGGTACGGTCAGTTTGAAACATCGTATTAGTGAATTGAACGAAGAAGTACAAGCAGGAGGGCAAAGTCTGAGCAGCAAAAAGAAGAGTTTGCTAGAAGCACGTAAAGTTGCCCAAAATGTGGACGAAGCAATCGAAACGCTTCAACTGTGCTTACGAGTATTGGATATGGCAAATAAAGTTGACAGCTTGATCGAGAATAAGCAATACTATTCAGCTCTACGATCGTTGGAAGAATTGTCTTCTATTCACCTCAAGCCGGTGCTACATCACGAATTTGCACGGCATATGCTAGACTCTATGCCGGCTATGCGTGAGCAAGTGCGAGCAGCGGTCACAAGGGAAATGCGGGAATGGCTCTTCGAGGTACGTGAGAAGGGTAGATTGGTGGGCAAATTGGCATTAGATGCGATAGAAGCTAGACAGAAACGATGGAGGATAAAGAGTGGAAAAGATGCGATGCTCAGCTTGGCAAAAGTCAATAGTCCAATCGAGCTGGTGGTCAACGAGCGGGTCGAATACAATTTCGTGGATAATGAGCAGGTCAAGATCGATTTCAAGCCGTTGTACCAATGCATACATATACATGATGTGATGGATATCCGAGAACAACTGCAGAATAGCTATCAAGAAGATCGAAGAGCTCAGGCAAACTTGCTGCTTTCGCAAGGTCTTTCATTCGACCCGAGCAATCCAACTTTCCCTGCTTTACTACAGGAAGTGGTGGGCTTCTTCCTTGTGGAACACCATGTTCTGCAAACGTCTCCACCTGGCTTCAGGTCAGAACAAGAGGTGGATGATCTGTGGGACAGTATGTGCGAGCGTGTGGTAGAAATTGTCAGTATTGGCCTGCGTGACAGCAAAGATACAAAGGTATTTGTCTCAACAAAGGCAGTCATTCAAACGTTCATCATGGCACTAGAAGGGTACTCTTTCCCGGTCACCAAGCTGAACGCTCTTTTGCTGACGTTGTTTGAACAATATGCCAACCTGCTTCGGGATCGCTTCTCGACTGACTTCCAAAAAGCTTTCAAGGATTCGGAGCATCAACCAATGACGGTAGTAAATGCTGATGAATTGCAAAAGGTGCTCAATGTATGCTGGCTCAAGCCGGGCGATGCTGATCGCTTACGCAGTATGTCGTTCCCGCTCACATTACCGTTCTCACAAACTTACCCATTGTGTTGCATGGACATCAGGAACCTCACTGATCAGTATTACCAATTTTCTGATGGATTCTCTTCGAGCCATAGGGATGTTGATGATATCCTAAAGAAATCCTTAGATGAGTTGTTGATCCAGCAAGTATCAAACAGCATCCGATCCAGCTTACAAAGAACGAGCAATCTAAGTCAGATTGCACAGATTGTCGTCAATGCAGAACATTTCCGTCTGGCGTGCACGCAACTGGAAGCATTGTTGGCAGCCCTCCGTGCGCCACATCGAGGAGGTAAATTACGATTGGATGCATCTTCACATTTCAATACAACTTTGGATATGGCACAAAAACGGATCGATAGTGCGATTGCGGCAAAACTTAAAGACTTTTTCGAAATGGCAGAATACGATTTTACGCCAACGCAAGAGCAAAAAGAAGTATCGGATTATTTACCCGAGATGTTGCAATGGCTTGAAACGATGATGGAAAGAGGATTGGTTGCTTTGCCGAGCGAGATCAAATTGGAGCATTATCGTAGCGCATTCAAATATGTGTCGGATTCGTTAATCAATGATCAATTACTCAGCAAAGATGATCCAAAGCTTAGCGTTTTGGCATTGCGTAACCTAATTGTTGATTTGAATTATTTGGAAATGCAAGCTAGCAAGTTACAAGAAGGTTTATTGTCCGTCTTTGATGAAATTCGACAAACGTTGACGATCTTGACAGAAGATAAAGTTGGAGAATATGCAATGAATACCAATATTCGACAAACGAAGTACAAGAGTGTTCAACCGATCAAATTGGCTAACTTGTTAGATAAGTTGTCGAAGTATGAAGGACGATCCGGAACTGGTGATACTGGTGAAAGACAGGCAATGCGAAGGCGAAATGAACGGGATTCCGTTTTACGTGTAGTGAGAAGGTGAAGGGTGAAAGAAGCTTATACTATAGTCATTTGTATTTTATATTATTGCATAGAGAAGATCAAACAAGCTAATTTTAACGATATGATCACCTTTATGGGATAGAAGATGATAGGGAGGAAGCGGTAATTGTTGTTATGTCTCTTTGTCCTCAGTACTCGGACGCTGTCTCAACACTTTTGAGAATAGTTCGCTTAGTTGGATGTGTACTTTACCTGATGACAGGTCAACAGTATTACAACGGTTTCAAGTCCAGGTGTGTAATAGAAATGATATAGCTTAATTTGGCAAAGTATGCGTGAATGACAAATGCAAGCATGAGTGCGCGTAAGGCCTTCAGACTCCAACTTCCCGCTTTGTTATGATCGACATGCAGAGTTAACTTTAGTGTGCTTGATCCACGTGCGTATGACATATTCATAGATTGTTAATAAAGGGTTGTGGGGGACCCCAGACGGAAACTACTTTTAGCATTTACCCGTCAGCCCCTGCAAGAGAGATAATACTTGAAATATATTACAGTATGAGTAAAATGCACACGTTGTATGGAGTTGAATACCCTTATCGAGGAATTCAGTTGAGGATCGTGAGGGAGGGGAAAATGGGGATGTCAAGTCTGAAAACTCCACACCAAGCAAGCAAACGCGCAACCCGATGCTAATTTTGCATTATTGCCCAAGGGCGGCGTTGTTTGATACTAGTAAAAACGTGTGCGCAATTTGCTCCACTCATGCATTTTACCAGTCTGTTTGGCGCGCATTTGCATAAATGTTAAGTGGGTGAATTGAGGGCCGCCTAGGATTATCGCTAAGAGAAAGACAGAGAGAGAGAGAAAAAGGGTACTACTGTGGGAGGAGGAGGTAGAATTGGTCAAACGACTAGTTCATGTGATAGCTATCCACCATCTACTAACTACATCACAAGGATATCATAATTGTCATCCAATAAGCTTTCCTTTTCTTATTACCCAAGACACAACACTCATCCATCATGGGCCTTTTGGATCACGTCAACAGTGCTGGCTCAAAGCTAACCGGAAAGCCAGGCAAAGATGACGCACCGCCCGAAGGAGCAGCTGCTGATGATACAGAAGAACTAGATGAGGAGAACGGTAACATTTTAATGAGCTTAATCGGACAATTAAGAATCGGAATGGATTTAAGTAAAGTTACTTTACCAACCTTTGTCTTAGAACCAAGGAGTATGTTGGAACGTATTACCGATTTCATGAGTCATCCCGATTTGATCTTTGGAGCAGGACAGATTGACGATCCCGAAAGAAGATTTTTGCAAGTTACCCGTTATTATCTTTCCGGATGGCATATCAAACCAAAAGGTGTAAAGAAGCCATACAATCCTGTCTTGGGTGAGCATTTCCGATGCTCTTACAAATACCCAAATGACACTCAAGGTTTCTATATCGCCGAACAAGTTTCTCATCATCCTCCGATCAGCGCATACTTTTACTGCTCTCCCGAAAACAATTTGATGATCTATGGTGAACTAAAGCCAAAGAGTAAATTCCTTGGAAATTCAGCAGCCAACATGATGGGAGGCGAGAATAGAGTGGTTCTTCTCGATCGATTGGACGATGGTGAATATCAAGTTGAAATGCCAAATATGTACGCAAGAGGTATCCTTTTCGGAAAGATGGTACTAGAATTGGGAGATCATTCAAAGATTAGAAATGAGGCAAACGATATCACAGCTGATGTCGAATTCAAGACCAAGGGATACTTCACTGGAACATATAACGCTCTCGCAGGTAAGGTAACACATAAAGGAAAGCATATCGGAGATATAAGCGGAAAATGGAACGAAAGCATGGAGTACAAGGACACAAAGAGTGGTGAAACAGAAACCTTGTTTGATGCAAAAGGAGCTAAAACTGTTCAAAAAATTGTCAGGCCTGAAGAAGAACAAGAAGAATTTGAATCAAGAAGGCTATGGTCAAAAGTTACAGAAGGTATCAAAGAGAAAAATCTGGACAAAGCAACAGATAGTAAATCAGCAATCGAAGAAGCACAAAGACAAAGAGGAAGAGAACGCGAAGAAAAGGGTGAAACATGGCAGCCAAAGTACTTTGTTGCAAAAGGTGAAAAATTCTATCCAATCGTTGATGCGTTACCAGAAGAGATGCAATCTGACGTTGTCAAGAAGTACTTTTCCAACAAGTAAACACACGATTTCTCTCTCTAGAATTTGTCTCTCAAACAGCATCATTGTAGAGTGTAAGGCATAGCTTGCGTGCAAGTGACAACGCTTCGATTCGCTTTCTTTTGCGGATGTGCATTTGATTCACACATCTAATCTTTCCACTTCGCTGTCCCGATCACCTTTTTCTCCAACAACACTTTCTTCTCTTTTGTTATTTTCCCTCTTTCCCTTCATATCCTGTCTTATGAGCGCTCCTGTGCCTGTTTTCGTGGTTACGTAGAAATGAATACAACTATACATTACACGTATTTTGGTATGAGAAACTATTGGTATGATTTAAATTTTACATGAGATTTTTCAATCGATATCTTCATCTGATTGACGCATCTCGTTCAACGTCTTTTTCCATTCTCTTTCCAATTTCACCATTCCATCCACATCAGTACGGCTCATTCGTTGAGTGTACTTGTTGAAGAGGTTCATTGCTTCTTGCTGATCACCACAATGCAAGCACAAGAATCGCAAATACGTCGCAATATCATCAGCAGATTCAGTCGATGCGATCAAAGAGTTGAATGCAGATCGGATCAATTTCGTTCTGTCTCCCATATCAGAATTGCTGTCTTGCTGTGATCGATCTTGCTCTTCCTCCACCACTGATCGCCAGAAGGCCGGACTTGCGACACCTTTGACTTTGATCCATTCAAGAATCTCTGAAGTTTCTTTGCTATTCCTTCCGGCTTTGTACAGTCGTTCTAGTAAAGCTGCTTGAGTGTTCTTTTCTCCAATGACTTCATGCAAGATTGCGTTTTGAAGTTCTTTTAGTAATCGCGTATGATCTTTTTCCTTTTTACCCTTGTGAACCTCGTCAAGCGAATCACACCACGTTTGCCACACATCCACATGATCGGTGCCTTTTACACTTTTCAAAATCACACGCCATAACTTTTGCGTTTCAAGAGAATCAACTAGACCTCTTTGAGTGCCATCCAAAAGAGCTCTTGCTGCAATAGCTGCAAATCTTTGATCTTTTCCATACCGTTGACTGGCTTCAATGGCTGATCGTACACAACTGGAAATTTGCTCGCCAGATTTTAACGAGTCCGCTGTCAATAATCCCTGCAAACGAGCCAGCTCTACCTCTTTCCCGGCATTTCCCAACCGCTTAGCATCTTGCAAGACACGTTTCGTATATGCTGTAAGGAAAGCGTCAAAGTCACCGCCAAGTTCTCTCGATGCTCCTAAGGACCGCATACATTGTATCAATCGAATCAGAATAGACATATGAGCATCCGTTGGCTCATCCAATGCCAAGATCCGACGGCGTAATTCGTCTAATGTAGAACGAGATTGCGTTGCGAGCTCGGCATTTTGTGTGATACTCTGCAACGATTTTGTAATCTTGTTCAATACACTGGTAAGAGCTGCATTTGAGGCAGCATCAGAAGCTGTTTTCTGTGTAGACTTTGTGACAATCTCAACATCTTCACCAATCAAAACTTGGCCATCTTCTGATTGTCTTTCAACGTCAGATAGCTCCCTACGATTCAAGTGGCTTGCTTTCTTCAGAAGATCGCTTGATTCCAACTCTTCTTGCATTTCAATATCTGATAAATCCTCAAATCCGCTCTTTGCTGTTGAACGGAAGAGTGGAAGTGCGCTTCTGAATAGGACGGCAGTAGGATGATCGCCAAATCGACGAACAATTGCTTCTTCAGTAGCCTTATTCAGACGTCCTCTTAATTCAGATGCATCTCCATAGAAAGGGAACTCGTCAATCATGCGTATCAGAGCGAGTAGGAAGCAAAAATGGGCTAGTGGCGGTAGTGAAACAGTTGAATCGAGTGAAAGAGCAGATTTGATGGCTGTGAGCGGAATAGCACCTAACACGATAGAATCTGGTTGAGGCTGAGATCCATTGACGTCGTTCTGTATGCTCTCGTCTTCGACAATTTGTGCGATAGTAGCAGGCTTTGATCCATTTTCGGTATCTTCCGCTACATCATCCTCCTCCGAATCTTCTTGAGCATCGTCTGCGACAGCCTCAACGTCTTTGGCCGCTTTGCCGCTATCGATAATATTCAAAGCGATCTTCCTTCGCCTGATACGCTCGAGAAAGACCAATTCTAATCGAATGTATTCTATCCACAGACGCACTGCAGCTAGCTCTTTTGGTGCAACTTGTAAAGTCGGGGTATCCTCCAATAAATCGCCCGCCGGTCTGATAGTCAAGGGAGCGGAATTGTGTTGTCCGTTGTTCATCTTTGATCTTTTACTAGAATGTTGTGACGAAGAAGCTTGCACTGAATGATGATGGGCAATCCCGTTTAAACGCAAACCACGCTGCATAAGAGCACGAGCTGTGCTTGGATTCAGATTGGCATTCAGCTCATGATCCGCGACCGATAACCAAAGATTGGCATTGTTTGGGAATAGCGATAATGCACGAGCTGAGATTCGAGAGATTGCACCACGCATCTTTCTCTGATTTGCCCATAGCATATACCGTTGCCATAACGAAAAATCGTGCCTCAATCGTTTGATTGCTCTCTCGAAAATAGAGATCATATGCCGAGTAGAATCATGTTGCATTTTGTGAACATCTGACCTTGGGATTTCACTTATTTCCTGTGCTGTTTTCAGTCTGCTAAGCAGTAATTTGTGTAAGTCCTCCTCGTAATCCAGATATTTGTGAAAATCCTCTGATAAAGCATGACGACGAACGAGAGCGCTTTCGAATTGTCTACGCTTATGTGTTATACTTCGAATTTCTGTCTCTTTGTCGAATACGTCATGCTCAACAGCAAGTTGCAAGGACGATAACGTCCTTTCCAGTTCATACTGAACCCTTGCTGACCCCATTTTTGACCAAAGATGATGTTGATTGAGAAGGAGCGTGTCATACAATCAATCAAATGCATGGTTGATTCCAATTTTTTGAAATTTTGGTAATCACGTGTTGATAGAGTGCTTCTTTATTCATAACCCTGACCTTCTCCGTGGGCGTACGTACAGAGCGCAGACCAAATACGCGTATAGCCCGCCATCCAACCTTTCGGGGGAATCTGGCGCCACTTTGTCCGAGGAGTACAGGCAACCAAAAGCAGCAGCAGCAACTGTAAGTGCAGTGCATGGACCAAATGCGTCACTTAATCCGGGTACATGGTGCGTGTGTAGGTCCTGTCACTTTCAAGTTATGGTGATGCATACAATCATCCTTCCTTTCCTCCAACTCTGATCATCAACAAAAGGGACTTGAGTACTGCAAGTCGAATCACGCAACTACGATAACTTATTTGACGCCATCTGAAAACAATCTTTACTTGCACTCTTTGTCTTTGGCGTAACTCCATTTGACTTATCTGACCCTGGTCTCAAATACACAAAATGCCTAACCCACATTACGACTTCTTGATCAAGCTATTGCTGATCGGTGATTCAGGTGTAGGAAAATCATGTTTATTGCTACGCTTCTGCGATGATGCTTGGACACCATCTTTCATCACAACAATAGGAATCGATTTCAAAATTCGCACGATCGAATTGGATGGAAAACGAATTAAGCTACAAATTTGGGATACTGCCGGACAAGAAAGATTCAGAACAATCACAACTGCATACTATCGTGGTGCGATGGGTATCTTGTTGGTGTTTGACGTTACTGATGAAAAGAGTTTCAGTAATATTCGTACTTGGTACTCAAACGTCGAACAACATGCAAGCGAAGGTGTTTCAAAGATCTTGGTTGGTAACAAGTCCGATTGGGATGAAAAGAGAGTCATTTCAACCGAACAAGGTCAAGCTCTTGCTGATGAATTGGGAATTCGATACGTTGAAACATCAGCAAAGACAAATGCGCAGGTAGAAGACGCATTCTTTACATTGGCAAGAGATGTAAAAGCACACTTGATCGACACAGCTGCCGTTTCCAATACAGGCGTAGACGGCTTATCAGGTCAAGGACAGGGAATCAATGTAGGAGCAAATGGAGGACAAGGAAGCACAAAGTCAAATTGCTGCTCCTGAGGCAAACTCTTATACAACCAACATCGGATTCTCCATTCCCTATCCCCGTCGTCGTTGCCTTTCTTATGGTGGCGGCGATTCTGTACAGACACATCAACGAAGAGGATGTACGCAAAATTTCATCTGGTCGACTTTTTGCGGTTTCTTCAGATATAATGAGCTTTTCTAATATTGATACACATTTATCGCACGAACTTACGTGTGGACAGTCTTGACGTGCATTGTGACAGGTTCTGTTTCTTACCGCGGGTCCGGGGTGGGAGGAGCGAGAGACAAGTCGCCCCATGCGGTACAATGACAAACACAGGATTATTGCATCATGCGATGTTGTTATCCAGTGCAAGATCACTACAGGTAAGAGCTTGTTACCCCGAAGAGAGTGGGAACGAGTCAAAATTTCCCATGATTGAAAGCGATTCATTTAGACAAATTATTTGCGTACACAGTTGGCATTTTCAACTTGAATGCTGCCACCTTTTCAGTCCGGAACGGATATTGGCTAACACTCGGGGTAGGTAAAAAACTTTGAAGGGGCGATGATTATCGAATTTTATGTCAAAAACGATATGGCTGTGACTGTGCCAGAGGTTAGGTTTGCGGGGAAATGTAGGGCAGTTCTAGCCCAGGCAGATTTGAACTTTTTAAAAGCTTGAAAGTTCAAAGGTATAAATTTGGTTGGTAAGCTGCAAACTTGATAGCCTTCCCCACTTTTTTTTCTAGAACATCGATGAACGAATTTTATTTTCTTCTGAAAGGATAACAACAATAACAAGCGGATCAAAGAGAAAAGCACTTTGATTTGATCAGATGATCAATTTCATCATATTTTACGTCATCATACTGCTATGCTTTGTCGAGCAAAGTTTCGCTTTGCCAATCTCTCACACAGGTCTCGCGACACGATCGAAGGTTGACGAATTGGTTGGGATAGCGGTGTCACCATGTGTAGGCTGTGAAAAGGGTACAAGGAGAGCGGTACCAAGAATACAAAGAATTCGTGCTTTTGAAGATTATACCGTGCCACAAGGTGCAAAACGAGGCATGTTAGACAAAGTAGGGCATGCTGCCGAAAAATCGGTGAAGAAAAATTGGTTCAACGTTTTGAACGGTGTACGGATGGCAACAAATCTGGGCAGGCAACATAGAAAGAATAGTACGCCACAAGTTGCAAATAAATCAAAAGGTGGCGGAGGCGGAGGCGGTGCAATGGAGGAAGGAGGCGTGGCAAAGGGTTTCAAAAGCTCAAAAGGCTCATCTTCTTAATTTAAACGGATTTCTGCTATACTATTCTGCTTGCACTGCTCGGATTAACGCTCTTTCCTACCATTCCCACTCAAACATGCTCTTATCTTGGAATCTCTTACACGGAATCCCTCTTGTTTATTAAACACGTTCCACGGAATATCACAACCCGTTTACTCTTTGTGAGAATATTGTATGTTCCTAAGGCGTATCTCAAAGAACCTGTGCAAAACAAAAACGTTTGGGGCAAAGGTGACGCAAAACGCCATCGAAAGGCAGAAAAAAGACCGAAATATAAGAGAATCGACCGAAATGACGCCTACGCCATGACGCCGATTTTGATATTGGATTGGAAAGAAAGGATGAGTGTGAAATGTAAAGGCGTTATTTGTTGTGATGATGTGATTGATTGGTGTCTCTTTGCTACCATCTTTCATTCTCCGGCTGGTCCTTTATAATCTTTATCGTTTGCTCCTTCATCCCTCTTTTTGCACTTTGAGCTGGTCTCTCAAAGTAGTAGTCATTCGTACTGGTACGAAAAGACATCCACAGCAAAACATTTGGATTCATACACCGCTCTCCGGTAGAGCAAAAGAGCAACAATCGCCATGGTCACTCGACATGATGTCATTCAATCATCCGAGGCAGCAACTTTATCGGGCAAAATTGGATTAATCTTAGGTGGTTTGCCTGAAGACAAAGATACTTTACCTGCCGTCTTATTCATTATTTTATATGTCGCTCTTTTCATTCCAGTCATTTGGAGGATATCAAAGCATACGCTCACATTTGGTCAAGTTTGGAAACCGTTACTGGTAATCATGTTAAGAGTGACAACTTTTGCATTTCGAATTAAACTTTCTGACGATCAAGATTGGAATCAAAATATCTTTGTTACTCAATTGATTCTGTTGCGTTTGGGTCCGATCATTTTAACTTCAGCTCTGATCTGTTTATTACGTGATGCCGTCATTCCATATCTACCTACCGTCGATGCGCCAAATTTTACGGTAAAATTCTTGCTGAAGTATTTTGTTGCATTACTCAACATGGCAACTTATTTCGCTTTTGGTTTAACAATTGCCATTGCATTTGACGTCAAAGCAGCAATAAACGGGAATCCAGAAGCAAGGGTAAAAATGCATATTAGCAAACAAATTTCAATTTGGATGTTAGTCGGAATTGATGCTTGTATTTATATCTTGGTAATCACTCCGATGGTAAGACTGTATCAAGGAATGTACATTCAACGACTGGTTATTTCACGCAAAAAAGAAGAATCCAAATTCTTGGCAATCGCATCCGTTTGTACTTTTTTGCTCGTCGTATCCGCTTTCAAGGCACTTCAGTTGGCTGCTCACGGTCGTTTCAATTCTCGATATGCACTTGTGGTGAACAAAAAGGTGAGTAAAATGAAAAGAAATCTTATCTGTTCAACAAACCACTCACACCGTTTCTATCCCCTTCTGCGCTGTCCAGATTTTATTCTATTGTGTCTGTTGTGCTGGCGAATATATCGCTTGCATGCTTTTGGCCACTTTACCGTGGGCTCGAATGGTTCCTCCTCCAGAAATTCTGGAAGCTTTTTGTCGAGTCTATAGCTCCAATGACGGTGGTAACGGTGGAAATGGGAATGGATTTACAGGACCAAATGCAACGATTACACAAACAGCAGTGATTCCATGGCCACAACCTCCTCCACCCGGTGTTCAAACAGATGGAACAGGCATTCCAGCCCCAGGCACGAATAGTGAGTATTTTCCATATCCAGAGATGGGCAATCAAAGGGGAGGAGGTGTAGCAGACGGAAAACTTGTTACGCAATCTTTGGCATCAAGGGATCACTTGAGAGCGCCTGTTGGAGTTTATGGAGACCAAATGAAAGAGGTTATTCCCAAACATGCGACCATACATCGAATCACAATTCCAGAAGATTACTCAAAAGGAAAGCAAGGTTATCCAAGACAGCTACTGCTTTCACCTTCATCCTCACCCTTGAAAGAGAAATTCACCCGAGAAGAAGAACGAAATGCAAGCTCACAGCCACTACCAGTATTCGTTCAAGATGATGATCAATATTCTCAACAGCCAAAGCGTAACAGTCGATCGTTTGTTTTCTCTTCAGGAGGTGGAATTCAGCCTATGGGATATAATTCTTCCTCTTGCAACAATAAAAGGGCATCTTTGGTTTCCCTTAGTACAATTAGTGAGGTGGGTGATGATGGAGGTTTGGGAAACTCACGATCTGTTTATCGCAATTCCATTTGGCATCCGCGCAATTCAGTGTTGGGCGTCACACGTTCACCTTTATCATTCGAACCAAATGGTAATGAAGTTGAAGAGAATAAAGTTGGTCCAACTTTACATCATACTTCATGGGAAAGTACGCATAGCAGTACACATTCCGGTCTCACTTCTACTGCCAGTTCGGATAGTATCAGTTTACCGCCCCATCTGATTCCGATCGCACCTCCAAAGAGCGCTCCTCTGCCTCCCGTGACGCCAACAAGTGTTAAAATTGTTACAGATTCAAGTAAAGATGATCAAATGATCAACGTTCCATTACAAGACAATCAAACAAACAACGGTACGTCATCCATTCTTGATTCGCGAGGCTCACAGCCAAAAGTGCGTCAATCATCAACATGCAGCGTACGCTCTCATTGGAGCGATGATAGCGATCATGCTGAATTGAACAATAAAAATCGATTTGTTGGCACTTTGAGAGGCAGACGTGAAGGCAGTAAATCTTCTACAAGAGCGGATTCATTGGAATGGGATTGATACCAATGATGCATCAAATCAAAGAAGAAGGTGAGTGGCACATACTTTATTTGCCATAAAGATCCCTTCGATGCGGAGGTATTTGTCCCTCCCCTTCTCTTCCAACTTTCTCATCTTTCGTGTGTGAAAATGGCATGCTGACCATACCATTTCCATCCTTTACACTCAGGTGGCCACGCTGGAAGCTGAAGAAGAGAGAAATTATTTTGCATCAATTCACAAGTACTAGTCTTGCATTCTCACTCTCTTTCAATCGTTTTTCGTGTAACTATACTTATCACATTCCATCCATCTCACAAATTTATTGCATTGATAATTGCTTTGTGTTCCAAGGGGTATTAATACAAAATAAAAGTATAAAGAATAGACAAATACCAATACAAGTGCAAGAAAAATACATGGTAACGACATAGGAAACACTCATCCGATCAGGAAAAGTTGACAATATCGTTGCATAGCATCCCAAAAGTCTAATGTTTCTTGTGTCGATCCGTAAGGCAGAGATTGTCCATCGACAAACATACGTAATCCAACAACAATCGGATGAGAAGAGGCTAAACGTTTTCCGTTTGATAGAATCATCCCGCCCAAGACTGTTGGCAGATTATCCATTGGAATACCAGGGCTGAGACTTGTCTCATCTTCGCCTTTCTGTTCAGGAGAGACTTGAACCACATCAAAGCTTAGCGATAAAAGGCTGTGTGCATTCTCGAATCCAGGTTGAGCATATGCATCATCGATCAAGGCTTGTAAAGCTTGTCTTCTTTCTTCGCTAAGATGGGCGCTATATTGATGCAGATAAATGACAATCATCACTGCAGCTTCAAGTGTATAACGCTGAATCCAAAAGAATTTATGAAGCGGTGCCAAGAAATCCAAGCCGAGCATAGATCTTGTTTGCAAGATCTTTTCGGCTGCATCTATACTTTGTTCTGCGAGACTGCTGTCGCTTTTGCGAACAGTGAACAAGCAATACTGCAACACTAGATCAGCGACAAGCCGCAAATGTAGAATTCTCGTAAGATCATCCTCTTCGGCTGCAACGTAATCATTTCTGAGGAATGTGGGGCGGAACTCGTCCAGCAAAGCCCTTTCCGTCTCCGTATTGTTTGCTGACATTCCGCTTACTCGTCCATCACGCTTCCAGCAAGCCAATTTGTGCGAAAGCTTAAAGCAATAACGGAGGAGGTGCAATACAGAAGGAGTTGATTCGTCACTCTCGGCGTTTAGGATGTACTCCTCTGTGACGGTGTTCGGTGCCAAAGGCAAGGGTAAAGAAATGTTCTCCGAGGGCGAGATCGACATGGTGGATAGAGCATCGGCTGTCCAGTCCTGCAGGGCTAGATATGTGTATACTTGACGTGCTGCCTCGCGTACCAATGCATTTCGTGGCGATAGCCAAGGCAACTTCGAGATCGATTGCGAATCCAGGTTGGAATCTTCAGAGAAAAGTGGATTCATAAATTGTGCTTGATCGATCACCATTTGCCAACTATCCGGTTGACGTTTGTTGTCAGAGGACGACTCCCAGGTAGAAAGATCATCTTTTTGCGAACCAATCTTATCGATCGCCATACCACGCGATAGTAAAATACAACTACCCAGAGCAACTGATGCTGCATTCTCGTTGCCACGAGAGGCTTGGAATTGACGCTTCAGCAGTAAAGTGATTACGATATTGAGATTTGGTCGAGAGTCGTACTGCATCTCTTGCATGATATGATCGGCTGTTTCGATCCAAATGTCAATGACCCCTGGAATTGCTTCTTCATTTTCCACAAGTTCCAACAGAATCGCTTGCTCCGTCGACATCAGATCGACTGAAACTGCGAGCAGGTAGTAGAACAGGGCGACAGCAGACAAATCAATAGCTGGAAATTGATCGGCTGGTAGACTGGATTGAGTGATTAAGAATGCCAATTGTGCTTCCACCAATGCTATGGGCACGCCAAGCAAGATCCCATGTTGCTGAACTGCATCTAATGCTTGCAACGCTCCAAAGAGACCTTTCACATCAGGTAATAGAGTGAGATCGTCCCTGACTCTGGACGATAGAGCTGACATAGATGGCCATGTCAGGCTGGCTTGCGCAAAGAGCCTCTTGTAAGTGATCTTGCTATGACGATTAGCAACTCCTAGACTGTCTTCCCCACTCTGTCGTGCAATCATTGCTAGAGCATCGGCAGCTATTCCCCTTGCATCTCCGGAGCCTAGTGACACCTTCTCGTCAGACCATTCTCCGCTACTCCCGTTTATAGGTTTCTGACTGCGTGAAGCTGCCAATGCTGACTCCAATGTTACGATGCGTTCTAAGAGTGCTTGTACACTCTCTGCTGCTTGTCCGCTGACAGATAAGCTTCCGTTCCAGACTGGTGTGTCGGAAGTTGGGAGAAGCCACTGAGAGTTATTGCCATTGTTCAATGAGGTGTCAGCCGTTGAGGGAAATGGCGTTAGGGAAGAAGTGCCGCTTGTGATAGAATTGTGATCGACTGGAGCGCTCCAAGTGCATTCTTCTTCGGGTATCTGTGACTTTTTGCATTGACCGCAATACGGCTTTTCTCTATCGCATTTTACCTTTCTTCTCTTGCATGGAAGGCATGTATTGATTTTCCGTCTTTTCGAATGATGCGTTAGTGACCGATTATTCTGTGATTGCTGCATTACAGAGCGAGAGCTGGATGCCACTTCGTTACCCTCATTTTGATCGAACTGATTAGCAGATTCGATTTCATTGCTTTCTTGTTCAGCTTGTTGTAGTCCGCTCATATCAGCTAATGTGTCGGATGGATCTTCATATTGTCCAATATTACCTGCTTCCGAATCCGGTCCAGTCATTCCATTCTCAATCTGTCCTGCTTCTTGCGCTTGATCTTCTCCATTTGCCGGTGTGATAGTATCCAGAGGGCCTTCTGATGCTTCAATGTCGCCTTCTTGTTGGTAAATATCCGCACTTTGGGACTGATCGATGCTCTCCGGGTGCCCTGTCTCAAAATCTGGATGGATTACATGCTCTCCTTGCATCTCGAATTTTGGTTGTAAATTGTCAATGACATATGCCGGATCAGCTTCTTGTTCTAGAGGATGATCCCCATCATGTATGTCTCCCTCCTGTGTACCATTTATTTCTTCACCTTCAACATCTGCCAGCTCTTCATCTTGTTGAGCTGCTGCCGCTGCTGCTGCTGCAATTTCTAGAGCGGCATTCAAAGCATCTTGCTGCTCTTGTTGCTGATTTGCAAAATCTTCATCTTCATTCATTGTACCACAATTTGGCACATGACCTCAAAAAGAGGACCTTTGTGAATGTGTGATCGTCTTCTTGTGCGCCAAAAGAGAATGATGAAGAAGAAGAAGAAACGAGAAAAGTGGATGCAGTTACCATTAGCGGAGAAAAATTTAAGAAGTTGCAGCAAAAAGTACACAGGCGATACGCGTTAAAATTTGCATAAGCTTTAAGCAGGTACAACATTCGAAGGAAGAAGTCTTGACATTCTTGCTCACTTTCCGCCATCCGTATCTGTGATAATGTCGGAAAGGAAAAGCAAGTGGGACACTCCTGCTAAAGATGCTGGAGCTGCTTCAGCCTCTTCTTCAAATGATGGAAACGCAGCGGCCGCGGCTGCTGCAGCTGCAGCTGCTAGAATAGCAGCTCAATTCAATGCCCATCAAACCAGCAATGCTGCTTCCACCTCTCAACCGACAAAGAAGCCAGAAGAGAAGACTCGTGAACGCGATCCAAACGATGGAGATTTCGTTCATGATATCGAAATTAACGATATTCGGAATCGATACCTTTTAACCAAAGCACAAACACAAAATCAAATCCACGAGGATACAGGAGCAAATCTTACCACAAAAGGATTATGGTATCCAGACAAATCACTGGCAAGCTCATCAGAGCCACCGCTATATCTACACATCAGTGCGATGACAAAAGAAAGCCTCGACCAAGCAATCGAAAAGATTAATGAAATCATCCAATCGGAGATGCCTCAGTTGATTGAAGATCGACAAGCAAAAAGGGCAGAATACGAAAATCAAAAGAGACAACAAAGTTCACAACAACAACCTGGCGGTCGACGTGAATGGATTGAAGAAAAGGTGCCAATCAATCTTGAATCCTTAAAGAACTTCAACATAAGGAGAAAGATTGTTGGACCTCAAGGAATGTTTGTGAAATATATTCAAACGGAAACAGGTACCCGTGTGCAAATCAAAGGCCTTGGTTCTGGATTCAATGAACGCAATACGGACAGAGAGGCGAATGAGCCAATGTTCATCAATATCGCAGGACCAGAACCGGAAAAGGTAGCAGAGGCGAAGGAGTTGGCACTTGATTTACTGGATGCTGTTAGAACCGAACATGCTAAAGCGTACCAATCACTTATGCAAGAATGGGGAGGATCGCAGCAACAGCAAATGTACAATGAACCAGCACAAGGAGGCTATGGAGGCTACAATGGCGGATATCAGCAGTACAATGCAGCTGCACATGGCGGGGATTATTCCATCAATAGGCAAGGATGGGCAGGTCAAAATCAACAACCTCATCCATCAATGGGTGCACCTCCAATGCCAGAAGATGACGTTCCTCCTCCGCCACCACCTGAAGATACAGCTCCTCCTCCACCTGCAGAACCAATTCGAGTGAAGAGGGAAAAGACTGCTGAAGAGTTAGCCTTGGACAAATATTGGCAGGATTATATCGAATGGGAAAGATCGTTCAAAGCATATCACAATCGATTGCCTTCAACGGAAGAAGGTCTTCAGACAATCCCAAACGAATACAGGTAAACAGAATTATAATATTGTCTATTTTACACAATTGCATTGTACTATACATTTTAATAAAACGATTCTCAAACGACAGAATATCTTCCTGGTGCGCCTGGCGGAGCACGTTGTTCAGCTTCGAGTGCAGCTTGTGTGGCTTGAAGAAGGATTTCCTTGATCTCACGTACGGCAGCTTCAACCTTTTCTTCTTCGTTCGATTCGATGAGCAATTGTAGTTTCGGTGGCTCTTCTTCTTGTGGCTCTTTACCTTTTTCATAGAAGGCGCCCTTTAAAGTGATTGAAGCTCCCGAATTACTAATCAAAGATGACATCGTTTCCTTGTTTGTCACTCTCCAACGAGCTCTTTGTGGGAAATCGTTAATCGGTATAATTGCATGGAAATCGGTCGCATCAGGATCGCGTGCTTTACGTTGACGTTCTTTTGCTTGTTCGGAATCATCTTTTGCCCTTTGTTCCTTTCGTTCTCGTGCGGCAGCATCAATCTTTGCTAAAGCGGCTGCCAATTTGCTTGCATCAGCACCTTTAGCAGTAACTGCTTCGATCATTTTAGCATTTCGAGCCAACAAATCATTATCTGCCGCCTCTTCTGCATCTTTCTTGGCTTTATCTTGACCAGATTTACCTTCACCTCCAGTGCTTTGGTTTGTACGATGCTTGTTCTCACGTACATCATCTGGTGCAGCACCTCTTTTGACCTCGATTTGCAAATTCGACATTTGTTGAAATTCATCTTCTTCAGTATTATTCTCGTTCCGTTTAGGGTCTGTTGCTTTATTTCCATCTACTTCCCCGCTGCCGTCCTGGTCTACATTTTCGCCAAATGCCCTCTTTTGTGCTGCGAGTGCCTTTTCACGATCACTCTCAAAGCGTTCAAGACCTTTCCCTCCAAATCCAGAACTTGCGACATGTGCTTTACCACTTTGTAGTTTCGATTTGAAATCTTCCGCTAAAGTCGCTAATGGTTCAGGAATAGCTACCTTGCTTGCCTTCAGTGCAGCAATGATATCACGAGCGTATTTATCTTGTGAGGGAGTTATAAAGGTGATACAAGTACCTTTGTTACCCGCTCTGCCCGTTCTTCCCGCTCGATGGACGTAATCTTCCATATGATTTGGAACATCATAATTGATTACAAGAGTCAATTGCTTGACATCCAATCCTCTAGCTGCAACAGAGGTTGCTGTAACGATTGGAACGATACCTGCCTTGAAATCTGCAATGGTAGAATCACGATCGACTTGGTCTTTTCCACCATGTAAGCTCATCACTAGGTATCCTTTACGCATCAATTCTTTCAAGAGATCGTCAGCAGACTCTTGCCTCTCGACAAAGATGAGTGTTCTATGACCTTCGTCGTTCATGTACGTCTTTCCCAAAATTTCCAGTAAACGATTGAATTTGGTAGATTCTTCCCGCACTTCAACGATTTGTTCGATTTCAGGTGCAACGACTGAACGTCCTCCTACCGTGATTTCCAATGGTTTGTTTCGTAATACTTTACGTGCTAAACTTTCCATTTGACGTGGAAAGGTTGCCGAAAACAAAACGGTTTGTCTGTCTGGACGAATATTATTGACGATCTTCATCACTTGTGGCTCGAATCCCATATCAAACATTCGATCGGCTTCATCTAAGACTAGATACGTAACCCTTTTCAAATTTGTCACTCGACCAGAATTGGCCATGAGGATATCAATCATTCGTCCAGGTGTGGCAACGACGATCTCGCATGTCCTCTTCATCTCTCCAATTTGTTCAGAGATTGGTGCACCTCCGTACACACATACTGCTCGTAGACCAATAGCTTTAAGGAACGGTTTTGATTCTCGGAAGATTTGAACGGCAAGTTCACGTGTTGGCGTCATGATGAGACCGATGGGTCCTTCGTTGGGTTCGACAGCACGTTGATCTTTGATATGTCGAAACATAGGTAAGAGGAATGCCATCGTCTTACCTGATCCAGTTTTCGCAACGCCAATGATATCTCGCCCTGACATGATTGCAGGTATGGCCTGTGCTTGAATAGCCGTTGGTGATTTGTAATCCAATCTCTTGATGACATCAAGACAAGCGCCAGGAAGACCACAATGACTCCATTTCGTTAGAGGTTTAGGACAATCCTTACCACGAACTTTGATAGCGTCCATTTCCATTCGTAGTCGTTCTGCGTCTTCTTCTGACATTTCTTCCACTTCGGCTGGTGGATGATAGAATGCTTTTCGGAATGGTTCATAATCGACTTTTGAGTGGTCTACGGTTGCCATTTCTCTCTTTTTGATTTTTGAAGCGGCCAAAGCCATGATATCTTGTGCTTCAGCTTTGTCCAATTCGTCGCCTTCATCGTCGTCGTCGTCTTTGCCGCCGCCAGCTTCGTCATTCTTGACTCCAACAACTTCAGCAAGTTGTGATGCTTTGCCTTTGCCCATTCGACGTGTGTCTTCATCATTGACTTGCTTGACTTCCTTCGTCACACCTGCCATGAATGCGTCCAGAGGATCAATCTCTTCCTCCTCTGCTTCATTGTCATCCAACTGCATCTTTTCTTCGTCGTGGACAGTTGCTTGGAGGCGTTTCTCTTTCAAAGTTGCGGCGATCTCTTCGCGATTTCCATGCACTTCTTGATCATCTACTAAGCCCAACTCTTCCTCATCATCCCCTTCGTCCTTGGATTCTGTCACCTCGGCATCCATCATTGGCGGCAATTCAAAACGTTGAATTTGTTTGGCTTGATCGTTCGTATCATCCAATGCAGCGATTGTGCCTTGGATCTTGCCTTTTGCCAGTGGATTCGACTGATTCGAATTGGTGACGTTTGAAGTTGAAAATCCTTTGAAGCTAGTCTTGATGGTTGTAGCACCCGCATCGGATGGCTTGGAAAGATTGTTCTGTTCAGCGGCCTTTTGTTTTGCCTCCTCTGCCGCCTTTCTTTCTCTTTCCTTTCGCCAAGCTTCAAGTTTTTCCTTTTTGGATTTTTGCTTGTCTTCATTTGTGGTGGCCGTTATGTCTTTGGAGTCTTTGGTAGAGCCCTCTGCCATAGAATTGGAGCGAGAAGTGGATGCGCCTTCCCTTCTTCTTGATTCGTCATATTGTTCCCTGCTTCTTTCTCTTAATCCGCTGCGTTCACTGCGATACTGATCGTCTCTTCTCCAATCTCTTTCATTCCCATGTCTGTTTCTGTCATATCTGTCATCGCGACGATCATCGTCTTTCCAGTGCCTTGCTCCACCATTACTCCTGCTGCTGGAGGCGGCCAGATCTGGATCTCGTCTAGATGTGCTATACCGATCACGTAAAGGTGGAGATCGGGAACGACGACGGGAAGAAGATGAGTAAGAATCTGTTATGCCACGACTATATTCATCGTCATGATGCTTACGTCTTCTATAATCATCATTCTCATATCGTGATGATGATGATCTATGATAATCTCTATCATAGTCACCTCTTCTTTCACTTCTATGACTTGACATTGATGTGCCTTGAACGTCAGCAGATTTTCAATGACCAAAGTACAAGAAAAGATGGAGGTTGAATTTTGTCTCTTGTCCGATTTTCCGGTTTGCTTGTTATAACGCGTGCGTGCGCTGCACAAAATACAAGGCAATGCCCTCCCCCCGCGTAAGAAAGCGTACGCCAAAGCTTAACGCTGAAATAGGCGTACGCGCCAAAAGTTGATGCAAGGTAATTGTGCTTACGTAAACTCTCTGCATTCATCGCAAGCAACCTCGTCGTCTTATTTATCTTCTACAGATCACGGACTGGCACTTCTTCATGATGACTTCCGGTAAATGATAGTGATGACTTCCGGTAAATGATAGATGAGTCGTACTTCACGTGAGCGAAGACTGAAAGCAAAGACAAGGAGGAATGACAGACATTTGTCTTATAAATAAATTGTTTCTTATATCTCGAATTTTGTTCGGAATACACAAAATAATCCCATTTCATTTTTGATTTCCAGCGCAGGATACAAATGTACATAAAAACTCGATAATCGATATGTAAGAGGATAGAATAGCTGTCCAGTACAGTTTTAGCAAAGACTAAATCTTGTTTAACATTTTCAATGGCCTCAATAAAGTTGGTGTGCTGATTTAATCGAAATAAATTCGTACATTGGAAAAGACATATAATACATTTACCGACAAGGAAGGGCACATATTTCCATTCTAGATGCAAACTATCTCATCCTCTCCATGGACGAAATTTGTATAATATGATAAATCGCTTTGATGCTGGTATTATTTATATCACCTATTGATCACTCAAATCGAACTGCATTTTCGGGTTGATTATATAATATCGACTTCGTTCCACCGCGGTGGTAGATAACGATTCTCAGAATTACCCCCTTAATACAGTAGGACTGGGCCACATAGGTATACTGACACAGAAACTTAAGTACATCAATAGAATAGATCAATTGAATGATCGAATATGAAAGCCAGGTCACATGACAAGCAATTCGAATTGACATGACGATCAAAGGACCTAACTTGCATATAAGAGCACAAGGTCACTTTTACACTTTCCGCCGGCCTTACATATGCAAATCACACCAAGAAATTTGGGGAAAGATAAGCATGCCACAATGTATGTATGATTGAGACTTAATTAGACCCACATTTGTTGTTTCCCGTACCTGTCTCGTGGTACGTGCAAAACCTTCTAGCTCAAAGCATTCCATTCCTTAGCTTTATTCTGGCTACAGCGAAGATTAGAGAATAAGCGGGGCCGATATACGGCGCAATGGCATGTAAAGAGGATAAAACGCAATCAAGTCGGCGTATTTTTTTGCATTTTGACAGTATCCCATTTAAGCTCATATATCATCTGCATAAGATCATTGAAAACTTTCTATTCAATTTTTAACGCTAGAAGATCTTTATGTTGAAGCACTTGTCAGAAGTCACATTCATACATGCCTATCAATAAGAGCACGACGCAATCGAAATTCTTTTTGTCCGATAAAATGACGCTAAAAGAGGTTGAAGTGCATAAGGTATCCCCTGTTTACCTGTCTGTACCTTTTGTTGTAATGTATTTGTGGAATGGTACTTTATCTTCTCCTGCACACTCTCCGTTTGGTGGCGCATAAGAATGTCAAAATGGTAATGTATTTCTATTCATAGAAATAACGCGTCTAGCTAGGCCAGAGGTAAGATTGCGCAGCGCACGCTTCCTTCTGGCGCACAGCTAGAGACGGAGGACCAGGCGCGAAAATAAGGTACGGGAAACTTAAGTCGCGTAAGCGAGAACAAGAGGCACTTGCGCACAGGGTGTTGTTCTAGACCCATGTGCAAAATTCGTGCCGTGTGCCGAATGATGATTGGATTGTTGTCGTTGGCTGTGCTGTCCATCACTTCCCGAGCAGAAACGGAGCCCCTTGTACGCCACCGAGACAGGTCAGATCTATCGATTGATTTCGTCATATCTCACACACACCTCCTTGACTCGGCAGAAGCCAAGATACGTATTGCGGGGCTTTATTTGTAGTCAGGACCCATTGAATTGATTTATTGTGGGCGTATAAACTCCTAATTATTGTATGAATATTAGGTGCACAGGCTGCCAATTGCGCCTTTTATTGAATAAACAATGATTCTTTGATGGAATCATGCAATCCAATTCAACCTAGAAAACCAAGAAAGACACTCTAATCAAAGCACGCGTCGGACTAAGACGTACGTACAGATGATGTGTGATTCGTTGTGAGTTGTGACCAAGAACAGGGGAAAAAACACGCGTCTGTATACACCCGTACAATGCCGCCGATATACATTGGCTGATGCCGCACAAATTATATGCATGCCGCTCTGTGCCGCCGCCGTTTTGGTGGGATAATTAGGATTTTGATTGAATTTGTTCGGCTTGTTTGCCCGTATTTAAAATAGAAACAGCTGCGCGGGTTAATGTATGTTTCTTGCAGATGAACAACAGGCACTATTTCAATCAATTTTAAAAAAGAGAAAAGTTTGCAAATCAACAACAAGACCAGGGTGTAGAAAGGAGAAAGTGCACCTGGTCTCTAAACAAGGGTCAACTGAGTTACAATTTGAGGGGAATGAGAGCTTGCTAAATTTAATGAAATGCAGACACTCCTATTCTCCTTTTAGCTTATGTTCTTTTGAATGCATCTAATCAAGCAAACACTGAACTCCTGCACGCCCAAACAAAAAAACACCTATTTTATTCTATTTGGAAGACTTGCCGCTGCACACACTGACTTGCTGTTGTCTAAATTTAAAACAAGAATCAACACTTTACCGAACCTTGTACCCTGTTCTAAAGGGCTGTGTTGACAGTCTTTTAAACCCAAAGTCAAATCTTATACGCCACCGTCATCTAACCCATTTGTATTCACTCCTTTCTTTTTCTTTGCTTTTCTTACTTCCACCATCACCTACCTTTTGATTTTGTCAATCGTCAACCAAACGACTTTTAAGTGACAAATCATTCTGAAAATAAACATTCGTGTTCATTTTTAATCCTTTTCAAGTTTCTCATTCTCGCCTTTTATCAAGACAAGTTTGTTTTGCTTGACCTCATCATTCCTCTTGCTCATCCTTCTCTTCTTCTCTCATAACAAAATAATCACAATGCAACTTACATCTCTTCTAGTCGTTGTTGCCGCCGTTTTCGGCATGGCTTCCGCTCAAAGCACACCACCCAAGTTCAACTTTGGAACAGCCAACCCAAACATGATCGGTGTCAAAGCCCGTAACAAGCTCGGTCCCACAAACCCTGCAATGCCTTCTTTGGGAACCCCAATCAACCAAACATCAGTAGCTCGTTTGCTTTCTATCAACAGTGTTGACGATTGGTGCACTTTCTCTTCTCCTGACGGAAAGCCAATTGCAGACACTGAATCATACACTGTCGCTTACTGCACAAAAGCACGTAACAACGCTCGTGTCATTCCCGATGGTACAGTCACAGCTGCTCACTTTGTCAAGACACCCCTATACGTCCAATTGATGGCCTTGGGTGACTTCACAAAGATTGGTATCCAAGCTGGTGACGAAGGAGGTGAATTGGACCCACACGGTGCTACAAACATGGGTAACCCAATCGGTGGTAACGTTACCTCAAACGTTTCCGGTCAAGATGTCTTCTACGAAGAATGGATGAACTACGTTTCCTACCAACAAGTTTGTGTCCGTGTTTGCATTGCCGGATCCGAAATCGCCCCTACTCCTCTTGAATGCCAACACACTTTGGACGAAATGGGATGCAACTGGGTTATGCCAGGTGATTACTCTGACAACAGTTTCGACACTTGCGAAGGTGACTCTGCATACCCACCAGGATTGTACCCCCAAGGAAACGGTCAAACATCCACTTTCCAACAATACTACTCTTCCGTTTACACTGCACCAAACGGTGGAGGTGTGCAAACATTCGTCAACGGTTCTCCCACCGAATCAACACCATCAGCAGCATACTCTTTGCCAGCAACATCTCAATGCACAACCACCTCAACCATTGCAAACGGCATCAAAGAAATCTTGCCATCTGGTTCTTCCTCTGCACCAGGTGGAATGTCAACTAAGACATCTGGATCATCCGGATCATCAGAATCAGGTGGCTCATCAGGATCATCGTCCAACCCATCTTCCAACGCTTCCAGTGGTGGTAAATCAAGCGGTGCCGCATACTTGCACGCCCCTACCATCATGGCCGGAACATTGGTTGCTTTCGTTGCCGGTGCTGCCGCTTTCTTGGGTTAAAGGGATAGCATTTTTGTGTTCGCAATCTAAAGGCAAGAACATCGTTTTGTTGCAATGATATCATTATGACGCGGAGAGAGTTACTCTTCATCACCATTCAAAAATAGACAGCGTTTACTTTGATTTATTGTGGCAGACGGATAACATTGTCCTCTTGGATTACAAAACACACACAAGGTTATCTTTCATAATCCATGGGATCCAGACTCACAGAACAATGCTTTTTGCCATCATTTCACCTGCCCCTGCACGATTTTGGATTTTTCGTCTTCTGATGTTCTCCAGTACAAATCATTCCAAAGTTCCATCTCAAGCTATACTTCTATTAATTACTCTTTTTTGTTTATATCACAGAATCTCAAACTGCATTCGTACTCATATTTTCATACATACATTTCATTCTTTGTTGACGCATTTCCATGAGTGATTGATTGATTGGTTGAATCAGTTGAGGTATTGGCGACAGTTTTCACACACACACACAAACACATGAAGCAAAGCCTTTAAGATCATTAAATAGTATTGAAAAAGTATGAATATCATTTGACTACAATCAGCCACGAACTTGTTGGTACGTAGGATTGTTAAGTTCATACGTAACTGGACCTACGAAGACGCCTTGCTTTTGCAAAGAGAGTTGAGGCAAGACGGCACCATTTTCATCAGGAGACCAAACGGCAAGAGCGATTGTGTTTTGACCTTTAGGGTCAAGAATACCGGGAGGGATAGGGAATTTGGTTTGAGGTCCAAATTTGATCACTCTTTTACCGAATTGCCAACCGTTTACGAAAAGCAACGTTCTCCAAGTTTTGGAACTATCATTTGAAGCTCCATCAAATACGAACGAGAATGGAATATCATATCCATCAGGAATGGCAAGGTCTACAGTTGTACGGTAGAAACCAACGCCTGCTCCTTTTACGCCACCGTCACTTGATGTTGGATCTTGGGCAGCCCATTTAGAATCATCAAAGCCAGGCAAATGCCATCCTTGTCTTTCTCCGTATAAGCCACCTTCATTGAGTGGTCCACGAGTCTTATCGATTAATTTATCACCACCTTGATTACCTGTTACGATCCAATCCAACGTTACATTATTGGTCTTGCTTCCGTTTGATTGTAAGAGATCGAATTGCAAAATACCACGAGGCATCTTTGCAGTCTCTCGGGGATATTCATAACCGGTCACATTTGTCAAATCATCTGAACCCCATTCTTGTAAACCGGTAGATTCAACGATGACCGTGAATATGTTTTCGCCGTTCACAAATTGATCTTGGGAAAGGTCATAAGCAGAATTGGCGTATTCAATATTCGAAACGCTAGTCGATCCAACGAATTTACCGTTCAAAAATGTTGAAGTAGCGAAATATTGACCGCCATAATAAGTCACATTAAGTTTACTTGCCATTGAAGCAATTTCACTTGCAGAAGAAGCATTGAAGCGACCTTGCCAAAGCACTGCACCACCGGAATAGAATCCATATGCATCTGCAAACAGAACATTTGGTGTTGTAGCTTGACCGAACCATGCGTTTGGCGTCTTTGTCAAGTCTGCTTTGACCCAATTTGAATCAGGTACATAACCAGTTTGAATTTCAGGCAATGAATCTTGATATTTCCATCCGGACAGGCCTGGTGCTTCATAGTTCAAAGCATCTTGAGAAGCACCTGCAAATGTAGCCTGTAAGCTACCACCATTGGCAGAAGACGAAGTAGGTTTGGCACCATTGAAGGTGATTTGTTTGACAGTCTCAGGAGCAATGACGTCCAATGAGGATGATGATGTTCCGTTCAATTGACCGACAAGCGCCAAAGTGTCTCCGTTCAAAGTGGCATTTGCAACATGGTAAGCACCATTCACGACTACACGATCATCACCTTGATTCAAAACAGCATCAGCTGTGTTGGAAGCAGTAGTAGGGAACTGTAATGCATGAGCATATTCAACATCTGCTAATCTGATCATCAACTTCTTTCCATCTGCGGCTGGAACATTGACTGTGAATGCTTTGTTGGAAGATGGGGTCCATTGAATTGTGGCACTACCGGATTCTTGTTGAATCTTGACAGATTGATCAGAAGCAGTGATGGTGCCTAAGCCAGAACCAGAAAGTACGAATTCGTACTCATAGCCTGCGTGACCGTGTAAAATAGCCACAACTGTGCTTCCTATTGTACTTGCAAAGCTAACATCAGTTGTACTGTAGTTCATCGTCAAGCCAGATGAGCCCATAGCAACATTGACAGGAACGATGATCGCATCACGACCCACGATTGACATCTTGCCGTTCTTTGGAATGGTGGTTTGTTGTCCGTTGATGGGCTCTACATTAAGATTGAAAGTAGCAATCGTGCTTGCAGCATTATTTGCATGACGAACGATATAGAATGATTGTGTGCCGTTAATCTGTTGCAATTCTGACACCACAATGTCTTCAGATTGATTGGTGACGCCGATATTTGTTCCTTGCACTTTAAGCTTTGAGGTGGCAAAAGCAGTGAAAGATTTGAGGAACGAAGAAAGCAAAGTGGAAGCACGTAACTTATCACGAATCATTCTGCTTTCATCCACTCCTGCACCGTAATCGTAACTTGTATAAACAAATGTACCAAACATAAGATTACCCCAATTGGTACCACCGAAACCTGCATAATCACTCTTGAACTTCAATCCGTCACCGTATACTTGTTTTTCGGCAACATTGACAAAGCTACCGTTGGTCATCATTGCGCATTTGTCGTATCCTGCACCGCCAAAGTTATCATAAGCACCTCCTTGGAATTCAGGAATACTTGCTGGATTGGAGGGACGTAAAGTGGAAAGGCTCGTATAATTTTGCAATGGCATCCAATTGTCGGGATTTGAGCAATCTTCACCTTGGAAATAAGCATCTTTTCCCCAAATGTCAAGGTTGAAATCATCAACGTAAGTGTTTGAGCCAATAGAATTATACGTTGTAGGAACGTAAACTCCATTTTCTTTGTAGAATTGAATGATTAAGTTAAAATATTCTTTTTCACCTGGGGCTTCGTGGAATTCGTTTTCAACTTGGAATGCAAGTACAGTTCCAGCAGAAGTATCCAAAGCACCATTAGCACCTCCAGATTTAACTTGGAAAGGAACAGCAGCATCAACAACTGCTTTCATATACGGCATCCAAGCATTGTTCCAGGTTGTGCCATTGGATCGTAAAACTGCTTCCAAATTTTGCACCCAACCAGGCATACCTCCACCAGTACTTTCAGCATTGATGTAAGGACCCGGTCGAACGATGACAAAGATGCCAACTTCTCTTGCAATTGTTAAGAAGTCTGACAATCTGTTGGGAGGTCCATCCAAAGAAACAGAAGAAGGATCATTGGCAGGAGTTGTTAATGCCCAATGTGTATAAATTGAAACGGTATTATAACCTCCAGATTTGAGCTTTTGTAAAACATCTCTCCATAATCCTGGAACGGGAATACGCCATGGATGAAATTCTGCCGAATTGATCATAAATGGTTGACCGAAAAGGTAAAAGCTATTACTATCATACGTAACAGGATCGGCAGTTTGACGAGTGAGCAAAGAAGATATTTGTTCATTTGTGCTTACTTCACGACGGTCAATGCTACCCGAAGGCAAAGCATTGATCGAGATGAAATTCAATGCAGCTGCAACAAGGCAAGCCAGCGTCAGCCAGCGTGTCAATGAATGAGCGACTTCCTTTCTCATGATGAAGAAGGGGAAGGGTGGATTGGAATGGGTACCTGAATTTGACCAGGAACGTAATGAGAAGACAATGTATTTATATCTTTTGGTGGAATTGTTTGAGACCCTTCTCTTTTTTGGAGATGTTCATTGTATGCTCCATGGATATACCTCCAATAGCCATCAAGCAGTCTTTTCGGTTTACTTGATACACACCTCTTGATCGTATCCTAGCAAGATTGCCGGAAGCTTAGTGACATTACCTTCAGTGCAGCAAAGTATACATTGCCGCAATGCATTTCTTGTATCATGACAAATGTTTGTACCCCACAAACAAACAATCAACAAAGGAGAGTGTGCTTTGGTTCGGTGAATAAATGCGGCCTTCTATGCAGCATATTATCCTTCTTTCTTTTGACGTTGACAAGAGAATGACGAAAAAGTTAGATCGATCCATTAGCGTAAAGCTAAAAAAAGGTAGCGTCGGCAATCTTGAATGACGGTGGTACTACTGCCAACGCGCTCAGTAAATCAATCAGCATTTCCCCGCTTTTCCATCATGACGATCACCGAACCAAAGCTTATTTTCATTCCTTTCCGTGGAAGCCCTTCTTTCCCGATTGCGATCCCCTCGGTCCTTCATTGCGAAGCCATGATCCGTGGAACAGGAACGAGAGTCCTAGCACCACGTGCAAAGCCGGAATCAGAGCACGCATACATTGATAAAAACGGCAAGGAAAAGTGCTAATGTCATCTTGATGTACTTCCCTCCTCCAAGAACTAGGAAGAGATTCTGTTTGTAAGGAAGTCCGGGAGTAGCTTTGCTTCATGTTCTCTCTATTCATATGTCAATTCGAGATCACGTGCTGTGCATGGATTGAAGTTTGACATTCTGCAAGATGAGAGACTTCTCGACATAACACTTGATTGTTTTGTAGTGAAGGTCATTTACTGATGAATGCTTGTGTGTAAGTGGCAAGTTATCATTTGAGCCGGCCAAGTCCCAAGTTTATAAGATGGGATTGTTTAGGTATCATGTAGTATACAGCACTCGATTACCTTATGCCAAGCATCTCAATGAAATAAACTTTATTCCGTTCGGACCTCCGTTTTCGTTTGCCGTGTGATTGTGATTGTCATGCTGATCAAATAAGGAACGGCATTGAGTCATTAATCTTGCCGAAAAGTGCTAAACAAGCGTGGGGTACAATCTTTTTCGAGTAAAAAGATTAACGTGGGGTGGCTGGTATGATTCCATCTGTCTCGGTAGAATCATGCGTTACGCTTCTAAACGGTGACTTTTCATTCTATCCGCTTTCATATAAGTAATGGGAAACGATGACATTCACAGGGAAGGTGAAGGTAAGGTACATACAGTGACAAAGGGTCTATGAGTTTTATGTATGCGTGCATAAATGCACGCAGGCTGTGTCTGATCAGACTGAAGTTGCGCCAACGAGGAAAACGTGACTCAGTTCGCATGCATGCGGCAAACTGAGCACGAGGTCAGGAATGTGCATATGCTAACAATAAGTGGACTTTATTGTCTTTTTAGCGTATTGTTTTAAAACCATGGAAATGCGCGTATTTTATTCATCCGCTGTTCGTCAATAAATACGTCACTTTAATGCAGTTTATCCGTCTTTTTAAACTTTTAAACAACCGGCCCAAACGCATATTGTCAGCTCCACCTCTTCGTACTTCTTTTTTAGACAGAATTTTAATGCGTTTAGCGTTTATGCAAAAAGGTTATTATGCATCCTCAACCACCTTGATGAGAACAAGGGGGAAAAGAGGAAGTTTCGCAAGTCGTACGAGAACAGCATCTCATGCAATCGATTCCTCTTCTTCCATATGTTCATGCATCATAGATCGGCAAAAGTGCGGAGTAACGCCACCGGTGACTTGGTTGTAGTAGTATTTGATTGTTTGTCAAGTTTAAGCTAAAACAAGCTGTGTTCTTCCGGTTCGAATGTTTTAGGGGTGGGGGAAAGGAAGTTTGAACACCTTTAAATGTGGCTGGAAATGGATCCCCTTTTCAAACTTTAACGCCATCATCTCGTTCTTTCATCAATCCTCACAACGAGAATGACAAAGTCACTTCATTTATACCCAGGCTTCATTGCCTTGTTCGGTTTCTTGACCGTGCTCTTCTCTCAGCAAACTTATGCACAACAATTACCACAAGGTCCTGATCAAGCACCATTTCCAAACTCCTATTATCCATTTGCTTCTTTGGTAAATATTACATCCGTTCCTCAAGGTTACAATATCACCTCTCCACCCAAATATCCTTCTCCTTGGATGGACGGTTCAGGTGATTGGGGATGGGCTTACAAAAAAGCAGAAGAATTCGTTAGCAAGCTAACCATTCCTGAAAAAGTCAATCTGACAACAGGTGGTGGATGGCAATCAGACAGTTGTGTAGGTCAAACGGGTTCAATTCCACGTTTAGGATTCCGTTCACTCTGTTTGCAAGACAGTCCTTTAGGTGTTCGTGATACAGACTATAACTCAGTCTTTCCCGCTGGTGGCACTGTTGCCGCTTCTTTCGATCGTAATATTTGGTGGCAACGTGGTCATGCTATGGGATCAGAATTTCGTGATAAAGGTGCTGATGCTCAATTGGGTCCTGTTGTCGGCCCTCTCGGTCGTTCCCCGGAAGATCGAAGAATGTGGGAAGGTTTCTCACCTGATCCATGGCTAACAGGTCAAGCAGGCGCTCAAACCATCTATGGAATGCAAAGTGCAGGCGTTATGGCAACACTTAAACATTTCATCCTTAACGAACAAGAACATTTCCGTCAATTAGGAGAAGCACATCAGTTTGGTTATAATATTACCGAAGTTTTGAGCTCAAATGTGGATGACACAACAATGCATGAACTGTACCTTTGGCCATTCGCAGATGCCGTTCGTGCAGGTGTTGCATCTGTTATGTGTTCTTATCAAAGAGTGAACAATAGTGCAGCCTGTCAAAACAGTTACACTCTCAATTATTTGCTCAAGGGTGAACTCGGCTTCCAAGGTTTCGTTATGAGCGATTGGCAAGCACAAAAGTCTGGCGTTTCAAGTGCTTTAGCAGGTATGGATATGGCAATGCCGGGTGATACTTTGTTCGCTACAGGAAACGCATTCTACGGTACAAATTCCACCATTGCAATCTTGAACGGAACATTACCTCAATGGCGTTTAGATGATATGGCAATGCGTATTATGGCCGCTTATTATTACGTTGGACGTGATAAACATCAAGTTCCAATCAACTTTAACTCTTGGACAACTGATACTGATGGATATATTCATTTAATCTCAAAGACTGGCTATGGAAAAGTGAATGATCATGTTGATGTTCGTGGCAATCATGGAAAATTGATTCGTGACTTTGCTGCTCGTTCTACCGTCTTATTGAAGAACACGAATAACACTCTGCCTCTCAAAGCTTGTGACGAAAAGTTCACAGCTGTTTTCGGTAGTGATGCAGGTAACAACCCTGACGGCCCAAATGGATGTAGTGATCGTGGATGTGATCAAGGTACATTGGGTGAAGGTTGGGGTAGTGGTACAGCAAATTATCCCTATTTGATCACTCCATTGGATGCAATCTCTAACAAAGTACACGATGAAGGCAATGGAATCATTCAAGGTATCACAAATGATACCGCCACATCTCAAATCTCCGCTTTGGCAAGTCAAGCTTCTGTTGCAATCGTTTTCGTTAATTCTGACTCGGGTGAAGGATATATCTCCGTAGATGGAAATGAAGGTGATCGTAACAATTTGACATTGTGGCATAGCGGTGAGGATTTGATCAAAACCGTTGCCGCACAAAATAATCGTACTATAGTTGTAATTCATTCAGGTGGACCTGTCTTGGTTGATACGTTCAAAGATCATCCAAACGTAACTGCAATCGTTTGGGCAGGTATGCCAGGTCAAGAATCCGGTAATTCAATCGTTGATGTCTTGTATGGAAAGGTAAACCCAGGTGCAAAATTACCGTTCACAATGGGTTCAGAACGACAAGAATATACAACGGATATATTGTATCAACCCAATAATGGTGAATTATCACCACAAGATAACTTTGGTGAAGGTAAATTTATCGATTATCGAGGCTTTGACAGGTACAACAAAACACCCGAGTATGAATTCGGTTATGGATTATCGTACACAACCTTTGAATACTCTAATTTGCAAGTTGATTGTCATCAAATCGCACAATACTACCCAACAAATCGCAAGAGTAAGAAAGCACCTACGATCGGACGCAAGCCAGGAACGGCAGAAGACTATCTCTACCCAACAGAAAACTTTGACAGAGTTCAATTATACATTTATCCTTATCTCAATTCGACCGATTTGAAAGCATCGGCAGGTAATGCCGATTATGGAGAAAAATCAGAAGATTGGTTACCTCCATTATCACAAGATGGTTCACCTTATGAATTACCTCCTGCTGGTGGATCGCCGGGTGGTAATGCTCAATTATGGGATGTTGCTTATACGGTGACCGCTCAAGTCAAAAATACAGGTCAGGTTGAAGGTGATGAAGTTGCTCAATTGTATGTCAGCCTTGGCGGTCCACTTGATCCACCAAGAGTCTTACGTGGATTCGATCGACTCACACTCGCACCCGGAGAAACCAAAACATTCACAGCCAATCTAACCAGAAGAGATGTTAGCAATTGGGATCCAGCATCACAAAATTGGATCATCTCTGATCATCAAAAGACAATTTATGTTGGCGCTTCAAGTCGTAAATTACCATTGCACCAAGAATTTAGTACTTCAAACATCGGAGGAGGAGGAGATGACTCATCCAATTAATGCGTAACTTCTACCATGTAGAAAGTGATGATGAATAATGAAATCAATTGGAAAGCAGATATTTCACATTTTAAGAGGAAAAGATGGTTATACATTGCTTTTTCTTTCAGAGGCGTATAAATACACGCTTGCTATCTTTTACAGAGAGAGTCATTTTCGTGACTTGAGACCAAAAATGATGGAGGTATAAAAAGTTTTTTTATGAAGTTGTTATTTTTTTAAAGATCATACTGACCGACGGCTGCAAAACCATCGAGGTAGAAGCCACCGTCACTTGAAAGATTCTGAGAAACTGGACCTTGACCGTGCAGACTGTCGGACACGAACTTGAAGTTGGGTATGTATTCTTATTGCTCACCGTTTACGAACGCGGAACTGGCTTACGAGGAGTATTTTTCAAACTTGCTCTACGTCTTCCAGCACCTCCTTGGAAGTAACGACGTTCTTCTTCTGGATCCGAATACGATTGACTTTCGTCAAATTCTTCTCTAGTTTGCGCCCTTTGTTGTGATGTTGGTGATCTGTATGGTGGCGAACGAGGTGAAGGGGTAACAGGATACTGTTGAATACCTTCATCATTGCGTCTATAGGCTCGCGCTTGATGACGATTATAGCCTGGAGATGAATGCATTGAACCTTGTTGTTCGGCCATTGCTGCTCTTGGCATATTCTTTGGCATTTCACCAAAAGATTCCAAAGGTCCGATTTCCATATCGTTGAATTTGCTCAGCGGATTACTGCTGAACGAGCTCATCTCATACGTTAAATCGCGATCTGAACCTTCTCCGCCTGTTGAACGTACTGTATCATTTACTTGTCGTGTTTCAGTTTCAAAGAATGAAGTTTCCATTCCGATTCCAAGTCCTGTATTTGCCGTGTGTGAAGACTTTACGCTTGGCTTACGCTTATTGGACGTTAAAGGTCTCGATAATTTATGGCAACTGCTGTGATCATTGCTCTCTCCCGTTCTTGGTCTACTTGGACTGGTGAATGAGATTTGATTGTTACCCGATCTTTGTCCTGAAGAACCTGTTTGTGCAACACCGCTATTGCTTTCATTAAGCTTTCCACTTCTGTTTGCTCTGTTTGCACCACTAGAGCTATTTTGACCAAGCATAGAAGGGAAAGTGACGATAGTCAAGACTGATTCGTACGTTCTGAAAGCAATAGCGAACAGGGTAACCGAACCGAAAACGACCGTAACCCAACTTGCAAATAAGAGTGCATAGCATACTATCACTTCATAAAGTGTACCACCGTTACGAGGGTGCTCCGAACCGCCATAACTTCCGATAGCCAATAGCAATGCAATGCCCATAAATAGCAAACAAGCAGGACTGATAGCGACTGCTTGAATACAAACATGAAGGAATGCTTTCCTTAATGCATCCCTTTGTTGTGATCTTCCGCCAGCAGTAATTTGTTTTTGCATTTCTTGAGCAGGTCTTTTTTGCATCATTATATTTGGCAAAAAAGAACGTATTCCATGCGTATTTCCTGCACGATCGCTATCGTTATCACTCGTTTTACTTGCTTTTTTACCACCTTTACGTGCAGTGCTTATCATTGCTGCTGCACCTTCTTCGTCAAATTGCATAGGAATTGCACGATCTAAGACGTTGTGCAAATCTTCTTCACTTGACCTTTCCGTGTTAGGTTGACTTTGACGAACATCTCCGTCTCCTTTTGGCATCAAAGGAAGTTTGCTATTTGATCTTGATATGCTGCGCTCCTGAATCATAGTAGCATCGGATGTCTTTCTTTCTTTTGTTGTCTGAGAATTGATTGCATCAGCACTTTCGATTTCCGATCCTCCTGTTTGCGGTATCACTGGAGAAGTCTTTGGCAGACGTGCATTCTCTTTTTTTGCTCCGTTCTCATCGTCATCATCACCAGCATGAAGCGCAGCGGCAAATTTGAGTCGATTCTGCTTCTCAATATCTGCTGCTCCTCCTGCTTCTTCTTCGTTAGGCTCGTGATATGTTGAGACAGCAAAGCCACGATAAGGTCCCTTTGCATTCTCGACTTTGTACAACTCACGACGAACAGCAAGAACCAAACGAACAGCGATGGAAGTATAAACGACAAAGATTGAAAAAGCCCAAATAGTCCAAACGATCATCGTAACACCTGCCAAACGCATTGAAGGTAAAAGTTCATACCATACACGTTGAGCATCTGTTACCATTTCTTGTGTAAAATCTGGCAAATTTGCATACTTTTCTTGCCATATCAATTGTTGATTCAATGAACGATTGAATAAAATACTACTCCAAACCGTTGGAATGACGACAGAGATGATCACTGCAAGGGGACCAAGGAGTGTGGTAGAATTGATGAACCATGAATGTGTAAAGAAACGACGAAGAGCGTTTTTCACTTGACTTTCTTCAGAATCGACACCAAAAGATTGTTGAGTGTTACTTGGAATTGCAAAATACGTTCCTAAAGCGGCCATAGAAGCACCAATGATCAAAGGTATCCATGGTAATTGTAACCAAGCCATGAAGTTGAACGGAAGTGTTGAACGTTCTTCGTAAAATTTATCAACTTCCCACAACAGAGCCACGAAAAGGATACCATAAATACCTTCGATCATCGAGAATGCCAACATTGAATTTGGAACGAGAACTGTACCAGAAGGTTTTTTCATCGGACGAAGAATCCAAAAAGTTTTTTCATACATTCGTCCTGACAGGATCATAATGATGATCAATAATAAAAGACAAACGTAACTTGCACAAAATTTGATTTGAATATAAATGCCCGGAATGGGTAATCGATAAAAGAATAACCTTTCAACGAATTCCGATAATTCTGATACTGTTTTAAAATCGGGCAATTGTGATCGAGTTGCTTCATCACCAAACGAAAGCGGAGACCGATTGGGCTTAGGTAAGAGATTGAAGCCATGTTGGTATAAAGAAGTCATTTTTGTTGAATTGTGGTATATGTATGCTTGGGTATAATTACTGGACTGCTGTTTGACCGATTGAAAGCATTCCAGTGAATGTGGAACGTTAACGTTTAACCCACAATTGGAAGTTTCGAATAAAGATTGAAATCTCTCAAGTGGGAAAGGATCTCTTGAAAGGAGTTTGAATGAAAAAGGAATGTTAAAAATATACAAGAATGTGATGGAGGAAAGATTGAGAGTTGTTCCTTTTCATTGATGAGGGTGATTGATGGATAATTTGTCCCAAACAAAAAAAAACAACAAACCAAGGCAAAAAGTTAATGAGAAAACGGTGACCGCAACAGGGTGCAATCACAATCGGTGTCCAAATTTCCCTCTCTGACGAATGAATGTTATCATCAGGCAAGAATGACAGAGAGCGGAGCCTTAAAAAGGAGTTGATTTTTTTTTTGACATGCATCGAAGCGGTTTATTTGGGGCGGCTATAAACCAATCAAACACAAAAATAATGAGACAGAGTTGATCCGCTTCAACAAAAGTAGCACTAATTTGGAGTTCTAGTGTAAAAAACCATTTCCATCATCAACGCTAATCAGTCTTACTTTTCGTACGATTAGTGAATTGTACGTGCGTTGATGTATGTCTGTGCAACTTGCGTGTGTGTGTGCAATAAAGGCGTCATGTGCTTTGTGATTGTGTGTAAAGATGTGATTGGTGTTTTGATGCATGGATGTTTGTGCTGCTGCTGCTGCTTGATTAGGGTCATGACACGCATATAATGCACCGTACTTTTACAGAAGAATTGTCTGTCATGCATCCTTATCGAAGCGGGCGTGATGCCAAGGAAAGAGAGCAAAGTTCAGTAAAAAGGTATGCAAGAGAAGAAGGAACAATAAGGAAAAAAAAGCGGGGCAGTGGAGCACCGCATTTTGTTGTTGTTGTTGTTGTTGTTGTTGTGAAATTGATTACGCCAAAACGGGCGGCAAAGGTGGTCACATTACCCTTTTTCTCATACAATGCATGTCAAATTACGCTACGTAATACGTATTTATGCGTGCGGTAGCGAATTCAGTTTTTAAATTGCATGTACGCATAGTCTGATTCATAAATTAGCGTAAACCGGTGAGAAAAGGGGGGTTGAGATCAAAATTGAATTGAAAATTGTATTTAAAAATGTTCCGTCAAATTAAGGTTCCGATCTGTTCTATTGTCAATTCATTTCAGGTGTAATGACCTTAATTAATCAATTATATTCCGGATTGATAGCATCCTTGGCAATTGCGTCGTTGCCGGATATTCGTTTGAAGCGGCAATTGTCATCGTCGATACACCCCGCAAAATATAATGGTCAATATGACCCTTTCCTTTGTTATAAAACTCGGTAAAACTTCGGAAATAATAGGTTGAAACAATAATTAGTGTTGAATGCATCAGTAGTCTAATTCGGTACCACATACATACGTTCGCCTATACAATTTTAGAGATCAGCGACGCAGTAAGAATCTATCGGTGTTCGGATGAAAGGAGCTAAAAAGCTGGTTTAAACTTACTTTTGCTCCGACAAAGCAAGTTTTACTCATCTTGATTGTAGGACGCAGTGTGGCTTGTAAGCACTCTATGCCGGTATTCAATTAATGAAGTTGTGGTTTCTAAGCGGACTTGTAGTTCATTAAATCCCACGGACTCCGGGATATGTAATAAATAAGAAGCGGGGCAATTCATTGTTCATCATCATCGCGCTTTCTTCTAATTCGCATCCTCGTTCTTTATAAAATAGTGCAATTTGAAAAGGAGACTGATAACATTCCTAAAATATAGTATAACTTTTGCCTAGCATCGGAGAAAGTAGGCAAATGGGATTCTTAGCTTGAAAATCAAAGTCGAATCTCAATCTAGCATGTTATCTAAGAGCATGTGAAAATCAAAACTTAGCGTAAAAGCCCCACAAAAACATCAATAATCTTCTCACCGGCTTTTGCCTTTTTTCTTTTAAACAATGAGATGGAGATTCTACTATGCATTCTTACCTTCTAGAACACAAAGATAAGGTAAGGCTCGATACAGTAAGGCAATGATGACGAAAGCTTAGTCTATATGAACGTCATATGCTTTTGAATGCTTAGCTAAGCAACTATTCACTTTTCCGTGGAGGTCAATGTACTAAAACGTGGGGAAATGATACTGTTGTTTTGATGATCAAGAGTGCTTTGAGAAGTTCTAGTATGAGATTGCACATTAAATTCTATCAATGACGCATTTTGCCACCGTATTGTCATTGACTTGAGCTTCATATTGATCCTAGAGAAAGCCTTCAGCCATCATAATCGATCTGGAAACAATTTACGCGCCGGCACACAAATTCTTTTTCTGGCGTACGCGTTCCTGGGCGGGAAAAAATATTTGGGCGTGGAAAAGCCTGCCGCGCCACCCCTGCAGGGCGGGAATCTGTTGACTTTTCCGCACACTTCTTATCTTGCGGGCGTTCCTGGGCGTGAGAAAAAAAAAGATAAACTTTATGAGATAGAGCAAATACAACGAATGACGATGAGTTGGAGATGATGATGATGGTGAATAATTATATATGAAATCTAGTATTAGCTATGAATCACGCTCGCAAGCGGAATTGGCGTCCTTCACGTTCACCAATTTACTCGTCTTGAAATTCATAATCCTGCACGGTCACAATTATTTTGCTTTCCTCAGAACTGCTTTGCGTACTGTCTGTTTGATTGTTGGAACCTTCTCCTTTTTGTACCGGACTCTGTCTTGTTGGAAGTGAAGTGGGTGTTGTCGTACTTTTACCACTTCTTCCTTTGTTTTGTTGTCGATTTCGATGTGGGCCACGTCTTGCTCTTCTTGCCGCTTGTGCTGCTGAAGAAACTGCGTTCATATGACTTTCACTTGGTCCTGCCCTGCGCCATCCACGTTGATGCATTGCCACCATTTCTCTACACCAAATCTTTCCTTCTTCATTCACTTCTTCGATTTGTTGAATTTCTTGTAATCTTCCAATGCATTTTTCAACGATCGACCATGAAAGTTCATCATCCGTTTCACATTCCATCTTCATCAAATCAAACGTTGGCTTGACCGGACTAGATCCAACATCCATACGTAAGAATGAAGGTGACTGTGCTTGTTCAGGTGAAGAGCTCGATGTATACTTCTTCCCGCTTTGCTCCTCGATCGTTCTGCCGACCGTTAACAGCAGTGCACAGCCTGCTTCAAGCTCGTACATCGAAGGCACACCGGGAAAAACGGTGTCAAACAAGAACCGATCGAGCCAATCGCGTAGATCATACTTTGTAAGGACTGAAACCTTGTAAAGCTCACCAACGAATCGTACCAAATGAAGGGTAGCAAAAATGTCCCTCGGATGTCCTTCTGCAGCTAGACGCCTTTCGGTGCTTCTATATTCTCCTTCACTTATTTGTCCACTCGTCAATTTTGCAAAGTTTTCATCATGAGAAGCTCTTCTTGCTCGATGTTCTGCATTGGCCGCTAGCCATCTCTTTCTGCTCCCACGTTGTACAGGTGGCACCACCAAAAGATTATTTCGTTCTCGTGCCGCTTTTCCTCTTTCCAAAACAACATGGATGTGACGTGTCAAAAGAACAACAAGTCTTTTGGCCGGATCAATATCCTTCAAACACGATTTCCATGCATCTTTTTCATCATTTGTACTCGTGTGAATCACATCTGCCACCGTGAGAACTTCTTTTGCCTTTACGCCTAATCCTACTGCCATTGCGCACATTTGAACCCAGGCTCCTAAAGCGTTATCTTGTCCTGATCTGATCATCTCTGTACCGCTTGGTGATCTATTGAGATGTATTTCTTCAGGAGTGATCAGATTTTGTGTCAATGAATCAATCAATGCCGCCATTACGGGTGGAGTGCCATATGGAGCTCGATCACTGAAAAGGGACAGGGAGTATGGGTTAGCCGATAGAACAAAAAGCCACATCTTTGTTCACTCACTCTACAACAAGGGCAACGATACCCGTGATAATATGGTCTAGTACGACATCCAACGTACTCTGCAGCTTCCATCGAACCCATCTTGGATGTAAGACAACCATCTCTTCGCCTTCGATTGCGGCACAATGGGCACGTAAAGAAGGAATGGGTTGAAATCGTCCCCATTTCGAAAGTTCAAATTGATTGGCAGGTTCCATGGACGATATCAAGAGATCACTAAGGCTGGGGAACAACCTTTTAGCATGATCATATGGCCTTTCAACGAAAAAGTCAGACAAGAAAGCATCGATGACTAGTTTGATACCTTCGATCCCTTTATTGTCATCATTTGTACGCTTTTCTTGGACTTCAAAGCTTGGCAATTCATGTTCAAATGGCAAAGATGCCAGTTCATCGTCAACGGTTGCTGTAGTGATCTTCGGCGTTTCTTGGTCAGGCACAGGGTCAGGCATAGAGTCAGAAACAGGCACAGAGTCAGGCACAGGCACACCCGATGCCGTTACTCGGTCTTCTGTCGCAGTTTCTTTCTCTGTATCTTCACTTGCAATGGATCGTAGATAATTTCCTGCACGACTATTGTATGCAATGTCTACTTTGCCTTGCCGTTGAGGAACGGGTGGAGTGATAATGATCTTCGGTAACGGTTCTGGTGTTGCATGAAGTTCGTTACCTGCCCGCTTCTTTTCGAAAACCGAGGTTAAATCACGTTTGGGAATCAAGGCTTTTTTTGAATTTTCAGACTTGCTTGAAAAAGAGCCAGTAGTGAAGTACATATCGTGATCGTGATCGTCATCATCTTGATCCTGAATGTTTTGTTTGGTCTTTTGCTGTTCAAAAGCAGGAGCTAAAATAGCACCAATGGAAGCCCTCTTTCTTTGATTGCCAAATGTGGATCGACCTTCCAATTCTGGGCTTTTGAAGAGAGAAGCAGCAATCTTTCTCGGACCATCATTTGATTTCTTTGGTTTGCTGTCCTTATTTGTTGTCCATGAATGCGTTGTAGAGGCTCTGTTACGTTGATGACGCCCATTGCGGATAGGTTTGTTCTCTTTGTCGTCATTTTCCTGTGAATTCATCATGAAAGGTGGTGGGTGTTCAAAGGAAGGGACAGGGTGTACTCAAAAGATCGAAACCTTAACATTTTAGATCTATCGGGCATGTCATCTACCGAAACTCTACACATATATTGATGCATGTACTCTACGTCTTAGGGATGACGTTACGATCATCGTGAGAAAGGCAGCGGGAAGACATGTCACATCGGATAGGCGTGTAAGCAGGTTGTTACGCGTGTGGTTTTATCATGCACGCTCTGCTACACGCGTAAATGGCAGAACGCGTGAGAAGGATAGTGGCGCTGTGCCACTTTGAATTTTATGCAGGCTAATGATGTTGTTTGAGAACAATTAAAGTTATAATTGCTGCTTTAACATATCACCTTTACACATCCATCCGAACAAACCTATATATAGCATGATCAAAAGGAATCCCCTAATATTCGCCCCTTCCACCAACCTATAGTCGCTTTCCCACCAGCATTAAGCACAATGTATGGCGGAGATATGGAAGTATGGGAAGACCCTTATGCAAATTATCTGTATTATAACAACAACGATCAATTGGACGATGAAAGGAGGTATATTTCCGTTGTTGCACCTCCTCCGCCTCCAGGGGTTTCCCCTTCTCTATTAATGTCTTCGCCGAACAAACTTCAACAAATGCAGAATCAACAAATGAGTATTGCATCCGATTCACCAACGAAGAGAGGACAAAGCTCCTCAAAGGTTCAACCTTCTCCCCTTCGCGTTTCCAGCAATACAGCCATGGTAGCAAGTGGCAGTAACACTGATTCGCAGAAAGAGAATCAACCTATCCATCCCGAGGAAGAACTTCAGATGAATATCGATCCTGTACCAGCAAAGGCCGATAATGTAGTTCGATTGTACGACTGGTATATCGGCTTGCAACCTACACAACAAGCTTTATCGTACTACAGTGAAGCGGTAGGAATCAAGAAATGGATCCAAATCTATGGGACCCGATATCGCAGCGAAGAGAAAGCTGGTTCGGATCCAAAAGGAAAGCGAAAGGCAAACGATAAAGGAGAGGCATGGCATTCTTCTTTAATCTCCGAAAGAATATCATCACATTTGGTCAAATCGAAATCTGGCAAGATTTACGAATTGATGGGCAAATTTGACGAGACTTCTTCGTGTAAGAGAAAAAATGTTTCATCCCATACCGCTACACAGTTTCGCAACGGGTTTCCCACGAATTGGGCAGATGTCGTTTGTGAAGAAGCAAGATCTAGTGACGGTCAAAAGACTAAACCAAAGTCTCCTTCTAAACAATCGAATACACGAAACAATGCAACGCACGAAAGTCCACTCCAACCTAACCCCGAAATGAAATCGATCCCACAAGCACCGACCATCTCTCAAAGACCTAAGCCACGACCTTCGGTATCTGGAAAGCAACTTCCAGAGTCAAAAGCTCAGCCAGAAGCGCGGAAGAAGAAGAGCTTGTTCAGAGATGACGAAGATTCATCAGAGAGTGAATACCATCCTAGCTCGGACGATGCAGGAAATACAAGCAGGGGGAAGGGCACGAAGGGCAATACAGCACGCTGTGATCCCAAGAATGTTGACATGTTGTCCCAGGATGAGAGTATGTCTAGCAGGTCATCCTCTCCTGAGGTGAACGGTCAAATTTCCTCACTGCATCAAACGGAAAGTATGCGAAGCAGAAAGCATGGTCAAGAGGAAAGATCAGAACAGCGTATTCAAGCTAGAAAGTCTGAGCCAATGCCACAACAGCGTGGGATAAGCGCTCAAAGTTCATCACCACCACCAGCAGAAAAGAGTGGAAAGAAAGCCAAACCGATTCCGCGTGAATTGCGTAATTTGAGTAAAACAGCATTCGGTAGGCTCACATTGGTACAAAATGCAATTATGGAACAATTGGAACAGGATCGATCGGAACGTAAAAGAGCAGGTCGACAATCCTTACCTTTGATGCGTACAAATGCTCCTCAAACGCCAGTTGGTCAAATCGGTGATAATTCCTATTTGATCACCCCTAGAAGTTCTAGACGTACACGCACGCCTGTCAAACCATGGTGGGAAGTTCAACCAACCACAAAGTCAAAGTCAAAATCTCAAGCAAAGGTAACGGAAGCGGTAAAGCCAAAACGCTTCAATTTGAGCTCAAGTTCTTCTTATAGGGAAGAAGATGAGGAAGAAGAAATCTACGAAAATCCACTTGCGCATGCCAGACCAGTCAAGGGTCCATCCCCAGAAAAGAAGTCAAGCAACAATCAAGCTTCTATCTTGATATCGAGCGACGAGGAAACTGAAGATGACGAAAATGCTAATGGGCCGGCTCCAGTGACGGAGGAAGACACCCTTGAACTTATTGAGGAAAGACAGATCGAAGAACATGTTGGCCAACGAATTTCTCCCGCCAACGGAAATGGTTCTAACAAGAGAGTGGGAGATGACCTCTTTGGTTCAGCTGAGAAGCGTTCAAGGATAGATGAACCCGAGCATGTGGCTGAAGAACCAATCGAAGAAGAATTGGAAGGAGACCATCCAGTGGAATACGGTCAAGAGCAATCTGTTGATTTGCAATACGTTGATGATGTGTTTATTCAATTGCCCCAACAGCCTGAAGAGAATGGTCATGCACATGAAGTTGAGGGCGTGGTCGAGCGTAATGAAAAGCAAGTCGAACTCCTAAGCAATCCAATTGATGGTCTGGCAGCTATTGCGAGCGCACAGAATATTGCCGAGAAGGATGAGCCTGCTGGAGAGATGAATGATATTCACGATGATGGTCTGCAACAATTTGAAATGGAAACGTTCTCTAACGATCAAGTGAAGCATAAGGATATCGAAATGGTGATCATCGAAGATAGTGACGATGACAGTACGCAAGTTGAGGAGAAGGACGAAAGAGCTGTGTCATCAACTACGTTGCCTCTAGCAAAAGAATCAGAACACCGAGAAAAAGAAAGTTCGAGTAGTGATGCTGTTCAGATGCAAAGTGAATCGGAAGAGCATCCTATTATGGAGATTGGTGTTTCGAAAGAGAAAGATGTGGTAGTCGACCCGCCAATCGGTAATTCAACGGGAAACGCTACACCAGAAGTGAGTACGCAAATTGGAGAGAAGGACGAAAGAGCTGTGTCACCAGCTACCTTGCCTGTAGCAAAAGAATCAGAATCCCGAGAGAAAGAAAGTTCGAGCAGTGATGCTGTTCAGACGCAAAGCGACTCAGAAGAGCATCCAATCACGGAAAGTGAGGCTTCAAAAGAGAAAGATGTGGTAATCGATCTGCCAAACGTCAATTCAACAGGAAAACCAATCGACGAAGAAATGGAAGGAGACCATCCAGTGGAACACGTTCAAGAGCAATCTGATGATTTGCAATACGTTAATGATGTGTCTGTTCAATTGCCCCAACAGCCTGAAGAGAATTACCAGGCAAGCGGAATTGAGGGCGTTGGCGAGCGTAATGAAGGGCAAGTCGAATTCCCGAGCAATCCGATCGATGGTCTGGCAGCGAATGAGATCGTACAGGATGAAATAAACGAAGTGCCGGTAGATAAAGATTTACCTGTGGACCACGGCGAGGATGAGAAAGGGGAAAGTGCAAAAGAAGTAGCCACGGAAGAGTTGCCCAACCATCAACATATTGGCGAGAAGGATGAGCCTGCTGGAGAGATAGATGATGTTCACGATGACGGTCTGCAACAATCCGAAATGGAAGCGTTCTCTAACGATCAAGTAAGGCATAAGGAAATCGAAGCGGTGGTCATCGAGGATAGTGACGACGAAAGTACGCAAATTAGGGAGAAGGACGAAAGAGCTGTGTCAGCAGCTACGTTGCCTCTAGCAAAAGAATCAGAACACCGAGAGAAAGAAAGTTCGAGTAGAGATGCGGTTCAAATGCAAAGCGACTCAGAAGAGCATCCTATTATGGAGATTGGTGCTTCGAAAGAGGAAGATGTTGTAGTCGATCCGCCAAACGTTGAATCAACGGGAAACGCTACACCAGAAGTCATTCATACTGAGCCTGTGGCATTAGCAAATACAGTATCATTGATGGCACAGCAAGAGGGTACTCCGACAAACGAGAGATTATATCCCCACATGTCAGAGCGGGAAGAGCAAGAAGTATCTGTCGAATTTGAAGGGTTGCAAATCGAGCCAGAGGGAGCTTGTCTTTTCCGTGGTGCTGATAGTGAAGACATCAATTACGATACTGAAACGAGAGAGGCTGTTGGAGAGCAAGATACAGGCCGAAAAGGAGACATGAACGAGCTTGAAAGGATTACTCCAATGCATTTAATTGATCCAGATTCGCAAGTCAGAAACAAGCAAAATTCCTTCATTGAGACAGAGAAGGTCTTCAATGGCATGGATCTGTTGGAAAGAGACGGAATCGCTCACACGGATCCCCACCAAATCGTAGTCTCAACTGACAAGCATCTTGCACCTGTTAGCCCTCCAGAGGATGAAGAGATGGACGATGATGATGAATCAGTAGTCTCTCTCAGTGAGATGTACTACTTCTCTGATTGAGAGCAGAATATCGTGTATTTATTTTTGTATTGTTAATGTGTTATACAACGGTTCGCAAGAAGATGATCATTTATCCCTTGAGAACGTATTGAACAAGTTGTTCCAGCTCGTCTGCTTGTTTGCGTTTAAGTGTGTCCAAATTTCCTGCCGCACAAGGTGTATTAGGACCACTTCTCTTTCCAGGCGCAACGATCAATTCAACATTATCGACGAATGATTGAGCACCAGTCGTTCCACCATGTACTTGATCGATCAAAGGATGTTTGATCAATCTATACCATAATTTTGAATTCCAAAAATCACCTTCTCTTCTATGTAAGATTGCATGACAAAGGTCAGTTGAAGGATCACCTTCGTTATCTTGACAAATTTTATGAGCACGATCTATATCATCATTTAAGATATGAAGTGCAGCTCTAACGCAAGGTCGATCAGGAGAATTTTGTTTTGCAAAAGAATCAATTTCTGGCGTTAGATCGTTATCGAATGTCTTTCTTACTTGTAATGGTGGAAGTTGAGTACTTGTTGATGCCACACGGGCTAGAAGTTGATCTACTACTGGTGCCATTGTCGTATTTTGCTGTCGTGATGGTGAATGTTGCAAAGGGAAGTTGTCATGATTACCTTACATAAATACACAATTCAATGCATAAGTGGAGATAGCGTGCCTGACTAAGAGAGACACTCTTTAAATACGCCGACTAACACCGACGCGTAAAAGTGAAAAAAGAAGAATGCGGGGAGACGAGTAAAGAACCGGACATTCAAGCCGATGAACCGGAAAAGATAGAAGATGATCAACCTAACCCCAATCCCCATCACCTCCTGAAGCAAGTTTTATCAAGATGTCGATCGATCATTCAAACCTTAAACCAGAAGAACTTCAACCTCTAGACATGAAGAGAGAGAGGGAAAGATGTTCTTTTGATATGGACGGCATGACGTGCATCTTTGCGGGAAATAGAACATCACGAGATCGATCAAGATGGCTGATGGCACTACTAGAAAACCATCCAGAAAAAGCATTTGATAAATCAAAGAGACCATTTCAAGGAAGAACAGAAAGGTTTATGGTCGGACAAAAGATTGCTTTAGAGTACTTCCAATTACGCAACCGATACGGATTACCAAAAGAAGATCGTGATCTTTTACGTTTATACTTGGATGAATATATCACTCTACAAGTACATGAGTCTATGGGCCATCCTACTGTTCAAAATCAGGCCAGCGAACAACAATGGAAAGAATGGGGACCAAAGATCGCTTCAGGTCAATACTTGGTTTCATATGCACAAACAGAGATGGCACATGGAAGTGCATTAGCAGGACTGAGAACGACGGCTACATTTTGTCCCGAATCAGATGAATGGGTGAGTACAAACAAGCACATGATGAAGATTGAAAACTTGACTGACATAGCCTTATTAATAACAGGAAATTCATACACCTGAACCCAGTGCCGGTAAATTGTGGATAGGTGGTAGCGGTAGTACGGCTACACATGCTATCGTAATGGCCAAGCTAATCATAGAGAACAAAGATTATGGCATGCATCCTTTCTTCGTAGCTCTACGTGATCCAGACTCTCACAAACTTCTACCTGGTCGATATGCGATCGATATGGGACCAAAGAAAGGAGCACCAAGTATGGATAACGGCTATATCACCTTCGATCACGTCCGTATTCCCAGGAATACCTTGCTATCACGCTTTCAAACTGTTGACTCAAAAGGGAAGTATGAAGTTCAAAATCAGCAAGGCAAATTACTCATTCGTGGAACGATGACTTTGGTTCGTGTTGGATTATGCGAAATTGCTGCTCATCATGCTGCTCGTGCAACTTTGATTGCAGTTCGATATGCCCTAATAAGAAGGCAAGGTACACCTTTGCCAGGTCAGTCAAAATTAGAACGTCAAATTATCGATTATCCTGGTGTACAACAAAGACTGTTCACTGCAATTGCTAGCTCTTATGCTCTCACATTTGCAGCTCGATATATGCGTTCGATTTACAACGAATTGCAATCAGAATTACAGAGCAAGGGCAACAGTCCTTTGTTGGGTATGGTACACGGCTATACGTCCGTCTTGAAACCGGTCATGACGACGGAAAGTTATAATGTGGTATGGAGATGTAGGAAATCGATGGGTGGCTTAGGTTTCAGCGCTGCAAGTGGTTTGACAGACTTAGAGAATTCACAACCTGATGCCAATTTGACATATGAAGGTGACAATAACATGCTCCTTGGTGGACCGGCTTCCAACTTTTTGGTGAAAGAACTCAATGCTTGCTTGAAGAACGGCAATCGACCTGGAAGAATAGAATTGGCTTACCTTTCGAAAAGGCCACGTTCAGGCGAACGCTTTGAAGGAAGCAATGCCGATCTCTTAGACCCTCAAAGACAGCTCGAGATTGTTGGACACAGAGCAGCTAGGCTTGTGTATGCTCTACATGAATTACGCAATGGCGGAAGCGGTAAACAAGGCGAGGAGAGCACCAAGCCATACTTGGACGCAAGATTAGCAGCAAGAGCGTCAAGAGCCCATGGTGCTTACTTCATCTTATTCGCCTTTAATCACACACTTGCAGCATTGCAAGAGTATGCCAGAAATGGACAATCGTCGGAAAAGATTGGCGTGAATATCAAGACCGAACACCTCAAAGCTTTGGAGAACGTTCGAAACTTATACGCTTTGGAAGTATGCATTATGGATGATTTGAGTGAATATACGCAAGATGGTTATTTGGACGAAAAGACAATTCACTCCATCGAACGACATATTGCCACGATTATGCAAACCATTCGACCTGATGCGCTTGGTTTGGTAGAAGCAGCAGATTTGAGTGATTGGTATCTAGCCGCTCCTCTTGCATCTTCTGATGGTCGTGCATATGATCGAATGATCGAATTCATGAAAAGTGAGCCAATCAATCAATCTGGTCATTCTGGAGCAGGTCGTGATCAAGATGGCGTAATATTGGGATTCAGACAAACTATCGGTCGTCTAACGCATGGTGAAGTGACACCTTGGAATGAAACAGAAGCAAAGCGAAGGGAAGCAGAGAGACAGAAGGAGCGCACCTCAAAATTGTGATACTGATCTTTTTTAATGTTATGTATGCTGCTATACAATGTCATGCTATAATATCAACATTCATGATAGAATGAACAGAGGCGGATCAGATGACCATGGCATGATGGCGAGATTGTAATCACGTGGACATTGCCTGGGTAAAGTACGGAAAGCGTAAATTTTACATTGCTCGACCCCTCGGCCGAAGAAGAAAGATCGAATTTGGAGATTGAAAATTTCAACATTTCGCGCCTTGTTTGCACGTGTTTTTATGTTTGCAGCCTCTTGGCCGCAGGATCACTCTTTAGAAGAATTGCAGGCTTTTAAGTACGCCCTGCGTTTGGCACTTTTCGAGAGGAAAGTGCGCTGGGCTATTATTGTGAAGCGTGACTGCGCTTGAATGCCTAAAATTCATTCACCAGCGTAGAAGCGCGCATAAGCAAGTTGAACTTGTAGATCAAGCCAGTAACAGTAGTACTTCTAACTTGTAGTTTTCATAAATCACACTTTTCACTCTCATCCCATATACGTCGAAGAGAAGGAGGTCAAGATGGTGAGTATTGATGGGAATCAGAATGCTGTACGACTCGCGACTATGATGTGTTCGACAGACGGAACCGGAGGGCAAATAATCGACTGGTGGAAAATGATAGATGTAGTAAAAGTGGTGGTCGGATGAAAGAGAAATCATGGAGAGGGGATGGCAGACTTCAATAGCGAAACTATGGGCGACTCTCAGGATCCCGACACTTCCGCTCAATCGAACGCATCAGCAGCTCGACAAATCAGACTTCTCTCTCGAACAATTTGACTGACCGTGTAAACATCACTATTCTCTCTTCACTCAGGTTCGTTACGCTTTCGACGACTCAAAGATCACTGAAAAGACATCCCGCTCTCGCGGTCAATACCTCCGGGTACACTTCAAGAACACCCGCGAAACTGCTGCTGCCATCAGTGGATTGAAGTTGCAGAAAGCTTACACTTACTTGGCCAACGTCCAAGAGAAGAAGCAATGCATCCCTTTCCGTCGTTTCAACGGAAGTGTTGGACGTACCAACCAAGCCAATGAATTCGGAACCACCCAAGGTCGTTGGCCCGTTAAGTCCATCAAGTTCTTGTTGAACTTGCTCAAGAATGCTGAAGCAAACGCAGAGGGTAAGGGTTTGGACACTGAAGAATTGGTTATCCGTAACATCGTTGTTCAACAAGCACCAAAGACACGCCGTCGTACATACCGTGCCCACGGTCGTATCAACCCTTACCAAGGTCACCCATGCCACGTCGAAATCCACTTGGCTGAACCCACCGCTGAAGTCCCAAAAGCTGATTCATTTGCTGTTACCCAACGCCTAAACAAGCGTCAACTTGCTCGTCAACGTATCTCCAACGCTCGCTCAGGTGCACCAGCAGCTGTTACAGCCGCCTAAACGACTGAGAGCAGTTAATACTCGTTGACGAACTTGCGATATGGACAGGGTTACCAGCTTTTGTAGATTATAGGCATCATTGCGATGATGCAAAATGGGAACGATGTCGGGTTCGTTACACTCAAATGTGATTATTTCGATTATCGTTCCTTCTTGGTGATCTCCGTTTTGCAGTTCGTTCAATCTCGTTTGAAGGGTCTATGGATCCGATTATACGATTTGTTGTAATCCTTCATCGTCTTTCATAGCCCTTTATACACACATACATTCTCAAAATTCACAGCATGCATTATGATCAGGTCTGTGCGAAGGAAAAGTGAGAATTGTTCAGATGATGATCTTTATCCGACATGAGCGTATCGAAGCCATGATTGGCTGTTTTAAATAAGGTGTCAGTGTGGAAGAGAGGTATTGATTAGAATATACGAAAGCAGGTATGTAACGTTATAGACTTTGTGCGTCCGGTCTGTTCGAATACAGATGTGAGCGATTGATATTAATTTCCTTCGAGGAGTGGACTTTTAGAAGCTGTAACTGACTTATTGTTAGGCTAGACTCGCATCTCATGAGAGTGTTACAATGGAAGAGCGTATCTATAGGGATCAAAGCTATTTTTAAGATCGCCGATTATATAATCAGACCCCGCTTCTCCACACTGTTGAAGGATTGACTTCTTCAAATTGGCAACCATCCCCTCTGGCAAAACAAGATGAATAAACCAGAATTATTGATTGAAGTGTATACGGATGTGATGTGTCCATGGTGTTGGTGTGGTGAAACGCAATTACAAAAAACACTTCAAAGTCAAGAATTTGAAAAAGAGATTGGAGCATATATGAAACCAGTCGTTCAATTGAAACCGTATATTCTTGATACACGTTTACCGGCTACAAGCTTTGATCCTCCTTCTGAACAATATGATCCTATCGAATCAACGGATTATACAAAAGGTAAACCACCAACAAAGAGAGAATATTATAGCAAAAAGTGGGTGTATTTCGCCTCAAATGATTGATTGATTGCACTGCTGACACGCATACATTCATTTCTCTTAACAGGTTTACCAGCTTAGATGCATTTGACGCAAAGATTTCTGCAAGGGCAAAAGAGTTAGATTTGCCTGCTTTCGTTTGGTTAAGTGATGGTAAAGTAGGTGCAACTTGGTTGGTTCATCGATTGTTATGGTATGCACTTCAACAAGAACAAAGTGGTGGTGAATCACAAACAGATGGAAAATATCAACCTGGTATTCAAGAACGACTTATGCAACGTTTATACAAAGCTTTTCATGTTGAAAGTCAAGATATGAGCGATGTGAACGTTTTGGCAAATTTGGCATGTGAGATGAAATTGTTTGAAGGTGATGAAGAAAAAGCCAAACAATGGCTTAAAAGTGATCAAGGTGAATATGAAGTTGGATTAGCACTGGAGATTGGAGTGCGAAATGGAATTCAAAGTATCCCGTTCACCATTATTCAAGATGGATCTGATCATTCAAGTCAAGTGTTGAATCATGTGAGTGTTCAGGCAGTGTTTATGATGACTTCCTATACTGATTCTTTCTTTGCACTTGCTTAGGACGATCTTATGCGTATGTTCAACATGCAAGTTCAAATTTATAAAACCTAGTAAATAAAAGTGCGGAGAAAGATTGACTCTCTCGGTCTTCTCTTCTTTTTGTCCCTTCGCCGAGAGTGAAAGGAGACTAAAAATGAAATTTAATGATGTCGTGCGTGAAGTGATTGATTGCTAGGCACACACACAACAACGTTCGTGTGGGAAACAGTGTTAGGTGACCGAGTTATGGACGCGTAAAAGAAGGCACAAAAACAGTTTCACAAGTGTTTGCCAGAGAAAGATTACAAATCTTACTGCTTTTATTTTCTATTCAATGGGGCCCCTCTGTAGCCACACACGCTTAATTCGAGTGTGAATGCTTATTTTATGCAGCAGTAATAATTGAGATTCATTTTATACACAAGTAGTCTTCTTCGGTGTAAGAAATACTGCTCATTTGCCTGATTCGGTCATCCCATCCTTCTCAACGGTTTTCATCTTGTCATCCTCATTATACACACACCCACTTTGAAATGTGAACAAGAGGTATTCAACTTTGGCCACTTCTATTTGTTTGTAACATCACCTTAGGAGCACTTTCATCTGACGAGTCACTCTACCTTCTACCAAAACCACCTCCTCACACCACCATCACCACCACCAAATCATCACCACAATGTCGGTCTTGATTCCCCGCAATGTGATCAAAGCGTCAGATATCTGGAATGAAGCTCAACAAGCTGTAATGTTAGCAATTGCTGATACATACGTTCCTTCATTCGAAGGTGAAGAAGCAGCTGCCATCATCGCTTCTTTACCTCAAACGGCTTCTGACAGACAACGTGAATTAGCACCTCAATTTGCAAGAGACGGTTATAAGAACAATCCACAATTGATTCACGATTTAGCCTATCAAGCAAGAGCTTCACTTTCAACAACAACGCTCAATCAAATCAATCTTGTTCTCACTTTGCTAAGCACTCGTCTAGGTTGCTTGGCAATGATGGGTGTCGTTGGTCCATTCGATCAACTTGATCGTCAAACACGTGAAGCATGTTTGAACAGATGGGTTCAACTTCCAATCGGTCTTTTACGCAAAGCTGCTGCCGGTTTCAAAGGTGTTTCTCTTTTGGTTTGGTATAGATTTCATCAACCTGCATGGGAAGCAACGGGTTATGCAGACGGACCAGGAGAAGATTGGAAAGAAGAAGCAAAAGAAGAACCAAACGTAGAACCGTACAATTACGTTTTTGAAAATGAAAAGATTGCCGCTCATGCTTCTGGACCTGCACAGTATGACCCAAGAAACCCACCGAAAAAGCCATCATCAAACGATCCACAAGTAACAATCGGAACGGAAGTTCTCATTATCGGATCAGGTTCAGGTGGTGGTGTTGCTGCACAATACCTAACAGCTCGTGGTGTTAAGGTCTTGGTCGCTGATAAGGGATCTTATCTACACCCAAAAGATATGACCGGTAGAGAAGATCAAGGATATCCAGAATTATACGACGGAGGAGGTTTGTTGGCAGCCGAAGATGGAAGTATGAATATCTTGGCAGGCTCAACTTTCGGGGGAGGCACGGTTGTCAATTGGTCAGCTTCACTCAAACCACGTCATTACGTTCGTGAAGCATGGTCAAACAAACATGGTTTACCTTACTTCCGTAGCCCTCTTTTCACAAATGACTTGAACGCTGTCTGCAAACGTATGGGTGTTGATACAAGACCGATCAAGCACAACATTGCTAATTCATTGTTGGCTTTGGGCGCTCAACGTTCCGGTCAACCTGTTGAACCTGTTCCACAAAATACAGGCGGTCATGTTCATTACTGCGGTAAATGTCAATTAGGTTGCGTTTCCGGTCATAAGCAAGGCGGAACAGTTACATGGCTCAAAGATGCTGCTGAATCAGGTAATGCATCTTTCTTGCAAAATTGTTTGGTCGAACGTATTTTGTTCGATGAAAACAAAAAAGAACGCAGAGCAATCGGAGCTCTAGCAATCGTTGATGGTAGAAAGGTACGAATTGACGCAACAAAAGCAGTCATTGTAGCGGGAGGATCGATTCAAACACCTGCCGTTCTGTTACGTTCACCCGAATTGAAATACAACAAACAAATCGGTAAAAGACTTCATTTGCATCCAACAACTGTCGTTACTGGTTTCTATGACTTCCCAATCAACCCTTGGCACGGTGGATTACTCACAATGGTCTCCAATGGTGCTGAACTAGTCGATCCAGAAGGTTGGGGATGCAAGATTGAAGTGATTGCCAGCTCACCTTCTGTTCATGCAGCTTTCAGTCCTTGGAGCAATGCAGTTGAACATAAACAAGATATGCTAAAGTACAATCATGCATTTGAGTTGATTGTCATTTGCCGTGATAGAGATGCAGGAGAAGTGGTAATCGATGATCAAGGTGTTGCACGGATAAATTACACAATTTCAAAACATGATCAACAAAGTATGATTCAAGGTGTTTTACGTGCATGTGATATTCATATGATGGCAGGTGCATCAAAGATTGGTACAGTACAATCAGGTGTCAGTCCATTCGTGCCAGGAGTTTCACCTTCTGCTGCCGTTTCGAATATCGTTAAACAACCTGCCGAAACAGCAGAAGTTCTCAGATTTGCAGAACGTGATGTTGATGGAAAAGTTTTACCCGAAACAACTGCAATCGCAGCAACTGCAACTCCCGTTGAAGCTGTTCCACGTAATTTGAGCGATCCAGCTTACGTTGCTTGGCGTAAAGAAGTTGAAAATTTTGGCGCTTCACCTTATCAAATCATGATTGGTTCGGCACATCAAATGGGATCTTGTCGATTAGGTGCAACACCAAGAACAGGTGCTTTGGATCCTGAAGGTAGGGTTTGGGGAACAAAGAACCTCTTCGTCGCAGATGCCTCATCATTACCCGAAGCTTCAGGAGTGAACCCTATGATCACAACAATGGCAACTGCCCGTAGCATTTCACGTAATGTGGCCACCGATTTGGGCGTCGAAACACCGGTTCAAGCATCAATGGAACTTTCTGCACGACAAGGTCGTCTATAGATGCTTTGCTTTCTCTCTCTCTATTTTGTATATACTCTTGCAATTGAAAAAATGCTCTTTTACATTTCCTCATTGCGATTGTCTGCTGTGCCATGAGCTGCGCCTCTACTCCAAGCCATTGCCTCGCCATTAGGATCGATACGGAATAACATTGCTTTTTCACGTCCTTCACACCAAACTTCCATCTTCCAAGCGTGCAAAGTGAATTTGAGAGTACTTTTCTCAAGAGCAGATATTTGTTTATCATGTGCCGCTTTGTTGTTGTTGTTATTATCAAAGAGGGATTTTGTAGCGGATGAAAGAGAGAGTTGATTAAATTGTGAAAGTGTACGATCTTGACTTCGTATTTCGGTTAATGGATCAGCAGGCATTGGAAGTTTGGGTAAAGGTACGTTTCTGGCTTTACATGGCCTTCCTAATCCGTACACGCATACTTCGCCATGACAATCCCGCGCCTTTCCAGATCGTAAGCCACGCATCTCGATCCAAATATCCGAATGAGGAAGCAATTGTCGTAAGAGACTATCAACCCGCCAATCAATATTCGCAGCTGCTACTCCTCCAGTACGACGAGTTGCAGGTTTGGTAGGATTCCCGTTTTCCTGTACACCTTCCTTTCCATCTTCTTGCTGCCAATCTTCCGGTTGATCTTCATAGAGCTCTTCATCTTCGTTTTCTTCGCCGGCGTCGTCTGCGTCAAATCCTGTTCCAACACCATATGATCCACCTCTTGTTGCCGGGAGATGAGATTTAGGCGGCTCGATGGAAGTATTATCGGTGGTAAGATGAGTGAGAAGAACAGCATTTGCAGGAACGCAAGTTTGTTTCCAAATTTGATCAATGATGAATTGACCGAACAAATGTCCGATTTCATCTTTATGGATCGCCGTTCCATTTCCCATTCGACGCTTTTCACGTAAGAGTTGAATACGTGGATCTTGATTTGCTTTATCATCATCAGCTTGCTTTGTCGTTTCATCTTTGCCTTCTTCACCAAATACATCTATTGAGTCTGATGTCAAGCGTTCGATTGTCCATGCCAAAGCGGCAGCATCTTCTATGATGACAAGGATCGGCGATTGAGTTCCATCATCATCTTCTTCAGAGTCAGCTTGAGGGATACGTTCGAGAACTTGTTCCAAACGATGCTGTAAACGCAAGAGAGCTAGTCGAGATGAATCGCTTCCAGTTGCAGAGCTTGAAGCATGTTCAAGCTTCGAACCACCTTGCATGGCTTCGAATGCATCAAAGTAGACCAATTTGGATGTAAGGTGAGCATTTCTACTTGCGTTGGAAGTAGCACCGGCTTTACGTAGCGTTTGTCGAACATGTTCTTCACCTGTACCTGTACAGCCTACCCAGATGACAGTTCCATTATTCTTTAGGGTATGTTTTGCATAATGCCAAGGTAAGAAAGAAGCTGGAGCGGGAAAGTTTGTGGTGCATACAAAGTGTGAAGTTGGAGGTGGAAGAATGCTGCGTTTTTTGTTGTCTTTTGGGTTATTCGAAGGCGGGCGGCGTATTCCTTGCGAATTGCTATCGATATCAGGGAAAGTGAGAAGAGAGCTGAAAGGGATCAACATCTTTCCGTCCACACAGAACAACAAGGTGGTCTTGAAGGTAGGAAGTGATAAATTGTGCCTCCACGAAGAATAAACGAAATATAATTTTCAGTGTTCCCCCCGAATTCCGCATATCTTTTCCAAACGCGAGTCTAAACTTATGATAGACAAACGCTAGCAGCGCAGCGCATGTAGTCAAGCTTGACACAACACAAAATCAGGCCAGCATACAAGGGTCAACCTGCTGCAACACTCGGATCCCTTTGTTCTTCTTTACATGCACAAAGTAGAATTAATTGATTAACAATTTGATAGATTGTGCAGTTCATGAGATATGTCACCTTCATCATCACCTCCATCCATCCGGCATTCACCGATCGATTACATATCCATGTTGTCAATGGAGGAAAATCCTAATCAAGACTCATATACCCGATCAGCCATGTGATATTCTGCAGATCGAGATGTCACATCTTTCTCCGCTTTTTTTCGGATTGGCTGAATATTCTAGGCCAGGTTTTCTTTACAGACTGTTTTGCTACGTACAATCTTCATTTTAACATCCGAAGCGGGCACCGTTTGACTGTTTTGGGAGGCCAAGTGAGTTAACTTAACCACCGCGAAAAAAAAGTACGCAAAAGAAGAGCGTTCAAGCAGGAAAAGAGGACAACAACACTTCATGCTTATCATACGAAGCACCGTCAACTGATGGGAATTTGGCATTATTGTATGCAACCAGTTAAAAAGCGTGAATACGTGGGAAACTCATTTCTTTTCCTCTACCTTCATCTAACCCTTTGCGCTGATCATTGTTTGCACATTCCTTCCCCTGTTTATCTTTCTTCTTTCGGATGAGATTGTTTCATCTATTTGGACAAACTCAGCAACCAAAAGAGAAAGATACCATGCTCATCTCAAAAAGACCGCGCAACGTGCGTTATGGACGGCCATCTGATGAAAACAGTGAACAGCAATCCCACGTATCATCTAGCTCTAGAAGCGGTGATAAGGAGAATCAGCCACGTTCACGTTCCTCTTCTCAATCAAAGGCAAGACCGAAGCCTCGTCCATCACAATCTGGTTCAACGCTCGATTTTGAGTCAAATCCAAACCAAGCCAAAGAGCCTCTCTTTCGCAACAACGATTCAGATAACGACAGCGACTCAGAAATGCAAAATGGTGAAGCTGTGGCCGAATCTGATCTAGCTGAAGATGCAGATACGGAGGAGGAAGGAGAAATTCGACCAATCCTGTCAGGCAGTCGCAAAAAGCGCAGCAACTCAGAGATGCAAAATGGCGAAGCTGTAGTCGACTTTGACCCGGCTGAAGATGCAGATACGGAGGAAGAAGGAGAAATTCGACCAATCTTGTCAGGATTTCGCAAAAAGCGCAGTAAAGTCCCAAAACAAGCCGTGCCAAGTTCCACAGAAAGTGAACAAGATGAGTCTGCTGAAGAAGACTTGGAACCGTCTACGCAAACACAACAAGCCATCTCAGCTTCAAATGTCATTGAAATTTCCAGTGATGAAGATGAAGCAGATGATTCTGTTGCTCGGGAGAACACTGTCGTTGCGCAAAGGGACAAAAGAACAAGCCGAAGTCGTGCTCGCTCCATCTCCAAAAGAGCAAGTGACGAGGAAAATTTGGGCGATTGGAATCAAGAAGACGAGGATGGTTGGCTTCAATATTTTCGCAAATCGAGCTTCGAGGGAAATTTCGGTGTGGAAAAAGTCATACGCTGTAGGCGTCATCCGCGTAAGCATTTCATACAATACAGAGTAAAATGGAAAGGTTTCCGAGATTGGAGCAACACTTGGGAGCCAGGAAACAATTTTAATCATCGCAAATGCATCGACGATTTTTGGAAGTTGCGGAAAAAGATGTATGGATTGGAGCGTCCTGCAAATACCTACAAAGCTGATGACGATCGCCTTAGCGAAAGCGATACTAAACTCGACAGCGACGATACGGACGAAGAAGTCAAGAAGAGCGATTCTGAGCGCAGAGAACAAGCCTGCAAACGGAAAGTGAACGACATCCGCCGTGACCGCTTCACATTGCGCGAAATTAAACTTTATAAGCATGGCAAAGATATCACTTTAGCCAGGTCTGAAAAGCGAAAGCGCGATGCAGTGTCTGACGAAGGGGATGCTGAGCTTGCATCCAGTTCCAAGACTGCAAGTGCAGTTTCATCTTCTACGCGATCGCAAGAGAAAGGAATTGGAGAGGCCTCAGCAAGTCGAGAAAAGCAAGATACTCAGACTGGAAGTCCCATGGAAGCATTCGTCGTTGATGACGGTAATGATGATGACGATGGAGAGTATGTGGATTCCTTGCAGGATGACTACATGCCTCTACCAAAATCTCATTCTGCACCTGCTATTGATGATGCTGAACGAGAGGCATCTCAACCTGCACAAGGTTCTCGTTCTAGTACAGGCGAAGCATCACTGGAGCTTGCCTGTAGTTCCAAGCCTGCAAATGCAGTTTCATCTTCTACGCGATCGCAAGAGAAAGGAATTCGAGAGGGCTCAGCAAGTCGAGAAAAGCCAGACAGTCAGCCCAAGAAGGACCTCATGTCCTACGCAGCAACGTTTGCGATAAGTGTTAAGGCACCAGTACGTAGAACTGCCAAGAATGGGAAGACTGTTGCCAACGAGAGCATGAATAATCACGCTTCAGGACAGCAAGAGGTACGTGTTGCTCCCAATGATCAAGGAGCATTGGTGCCTAGCGAAAGGCATGCATACAAAGGAGCACACAAAGCGCCCGGAAAGACCAAGATGCTGGAACCGCCAAAGGACCCATTGAATCGTCTATCAGACATTCCAGATGGACACAAAAGACGACGTCTGACTCTGTCAAGTGCAGAAAGAAGGGCAGACAAGAACCTCGATAAAGTTGTCCCATTAGAGCAGCCTGAGCCTACAAGTGCTGTAGACCGCCTTTTCGCAAACGGACCAAGCGGCTCAAACAATTGCATCGATCTTCAAGCCGAAAGTAACCATGTCACTATCGACGATGCACCTCTTCTTGACTGGGATACAGACACAAATGTTCAAAAAGCGGAGAAGTCAAAGAGCTCGGTGCGATTTGATGACAATGGAGACACGTCCGGTTGGAATGACAACATTGAGCCAAATGTCGATACAGAGATGACTGAAAAGCAGGACCAGTCATGTGGCTGGGATGCAGTTGAGGATATTCAGGCGGAGAGCTCGAATGATTGCAGGGCTAGTCAAATGCCTAGGAACAACGCAAATCACTATGCACAACCTCGCAACGAACGAGAGAACCGATATGAACACTCCAATGGACGTCGTTTTGGAACGGAATTCAACTCGAAATTCAACTCGAAATTCAACGCAACTTCATCACACTCCGGGTGGGATGGTAACAGAGGAGACCAGCAAATGAACACCGGAAATGGGTATGATGGATGGGACGATGGTAACAGCACCGTCAGAAGAAGTGATGACAGAAATGTGCCGGACATTCAAGGAAGATCTTATAAAGGTGCCAATCATCCCGCAATGCCACATAATCTCCCGTCGCGATCAATGCACCCAGACCGCCTTTCACAGCTTCACAGTTCCGATGCCACGTTGAATGAGGCATTCCAAGACGTCCAAATTGCCTCTCCCTCCTCTCCAATCGCCCATACAAGTTGGCGTAAGAATGTTCCTCTCCCAACACAAAAGGAATCTTTGGGTGCCGCGAGAAAGAATGAGCGTATTCCAAAAAGCGATTCTGGTATGGTGGCTGCCGCGGAGAATAGACATGAAGGGATGTACGTGAATACACCCTCCTCATACACAGCAAGCGAAGCAGGGGATAGTGAGATCTGTGAAAGGAGAATTGCAGAGAAAAAGTTGAATCTGAAGTATATTCGGAATGCGCAATCATGGTATTGGACGGAAGAGCTAAAGGAAATCATAAGAAGTCATTATCATCTTCTCCCTATGCTAAGGCAAGGCGCAAATGGAAAGAAAGATGAGGTTGGGGAAACATTGCACAATTACATCATCTACAAGGGTGGTGGCTTCCGACCAAGTCTCGATGATCGTTTACGGGAAGTGGATCGAAAATGTGTCATGTGGATTCGTGATATTTGGGGACCATTAGGAGACCAAGAGCGCGAATGCCTCGCGCTCCGCCATTTCAAGTTCATCAGCATCGATTTCGAGGCTGAGAACAAACCAACTATCAAGTTGATCTGGCCTTCTGAGAAGCCAAGGTTGACTATGTACAGCTTAGGAGCTTTGGTATGCAAAACGATTGAATGGTGTCAAGCTCGCCGGATCGAGGATGAAAACAAACGGACAAAGGCTTTACGAGCGTTCCATTCTGATGAGAAGACGCTGTGTCATGCGTGGCAACGCCTAGCAATTTCAACCCTGCTGGAAGCAAAGCGTATGGGAGAATTTCTCGAGCAAGTGCTGGGCTTGGACAAAACTCTTGCCATCGAATTAGAATTCATGATGGTGGACGACGGCATCTCTGTGCTGGAGAATATGGAGGAATGCAGAGGGAGGTGGACATACGAAGCAAGAGTCTATCCAACCGAGAGGCCAGATGGACCCGAAGCCTTAACGGACGACCTTACTCAATTCACGTTCAGACTTGATAGGGAAGTTCACTGCACTTTGATGACAATGCAGCATTGGTGCAGCCATTCCTTTCGGACTTTCAATTTCGCCATTGCTGGTTGCTCCATGGAAGCGAGTCAAATTGGAACGTGTTACTCCCGTGTTGACATTCCTTCAAGTTCAGATCATCCTGATGCCGAGTGAATACAAGCCTCATTCAAAATCATCCTTAATTGTATCATTGTTCTTTTGCTCGATCACATGTATTGAAAGTAGTCAAACAAATTATATTGCATAATGATGTCCGTGATGCACAAGGAGAATCAAGAAAGAATGGACTTTTAGAGTGAGTTGACTTAGTTGTCATCGCATTGAACGAAACCGTCTCTCGATGCTGCTCCAGTGTGAGTTACTGAAGCACAGTATTCATATGAATTTGTGTCAAAGATGACACGGTCAGCGCCAGGGGATTGGTAATCGTCTTGTGAGCTTGTGTAAGCGTAACCTTGTTCGAGTGGGAATTCTGACCAAGGTCCATTTCCGGAGCAAGTCAAAGTGATATCTTCATCAGAGTAATGGTAGTATTCGTGAGGGTCTGTGTGAGGGTAAGGGTAAAGGAGTAATTGTCAGTCAATGTACTAATGTATTTGGTGAATGAATAAATGGGCGCTATTCGTTTGAATACTGACAATTGTCTGGGTAATTACCGCTGTTTACGTCATTTTGAGCAGCGTTGATGGCTGTTGAGATATCGCTGCTGCTGTAGTATGTACCACCACAGTTTGTACCGCTTGGAATGTTATCACGCTTTTCGGCTGGAGCAGCTTGAACGGCAGCAACGGCGACGATGGCAAGAAGGACAGAGGTGAATGACTTCATTTTTGTGGAGAAAGAGGGGTTTGAGAGAGGGATTAGGTGATCTTAGGGATGGAATTGTTTGATGGGGAGAAATGATTTGATGCAAGTTTGAACATCAGTCCATCTTTTATACCTTCTCCTTTCCATTCTTCCAACAGGCTAATGCAATGTAAGGGCATCTCTCTCTCTCTTCCGCTTAATCTTCCTGAAACAGGCACCAATGTTTAACCTTTCATTATACATTACCCTACATGCAAGATTGCACGTTTCCATTTATGACCAATCGAAATCATGGAGAGGGTTTCTACTTCTCCTTCTTCTTCTGATTCATTAGTGTCATTCGATTAGCGTATTCTTCAACTTTTCTCTCTCTCTTGTACCGGAACCGGACTCAAGGGAGGAATATTATCCTTTGACACAATTGCCCTTCTCAATCGCTCAAATCGCCTAATTGACAGGACCACGAGGTCGAAAAAAAGAGAAGTGCATAAAGATTGTTAAAGTTTACAGTCAAGAAGCTGTACATTGGCCGTCGGTACAAGCGGGAAACACATGCAACATGCTTCTTTTCCTGTTCAATAGCGTATCTTTTTTTCAATCTTATCAAAACGTGCCATGTGTAATTTATGCTGATTTTTACGCTAAACATTTAAACCTTGTTTGTTGAACACATGACATCGTCCCACAATTCATGGGGTTGAATACTTCGATCATTCACATAATTGCAAATTCATCAATCACACAAAATGAAGAACAACACGTTCGCATCGGCTTCAATATGAACGAACATTGAATTACCGCTTTAGCGTTTGTTCCTGATACTCTTCATCATGCCCCTTACCATGTTTAGCTCTATCATCAACGGAGAGTCGGTCGAGATTAGTGTCAATTTAGAGAAAGAAAGTACAAAGTCTAATTTGGTACATGGTATGAATAAAAATACAGTTTGCAATGAAAATGTTCCAAGTCACTCTTCTGCTTCAGCAAAATCGCCCATATCCATATCTTTTGGCTCTTTTGGTTCTTCATCTTCTCCATATTGCATACAATTATCAATATGACTCAAAAGATCTCCGACAGAATCTTCTGATGTTAAATCTAAAGGATGAAAATTGATCAAACTGAAATCTTCAATTAGCTGAACGATTGCCTTGTTTAGATTATAGAATTTGGGATTATGAGAATTGGCCTCTGACAGAATCAATGTCGGATCCGGATCCAAGAATCTGCAGATTCAGCGGCGGGAAACTTCGTCAGTCCTTCCTGTCACATGTTTCTTTCCTTCATGCACCTACTGACCTTTCCAAATCTTTTCCTGTCCTTCCCGCTCTTGCAATCAAATGTCTTGAACTTCCAGCTTCTCCTTTTTTCAGTAAATCAACCTTGCTCAAAACGTTGATCATCGGTACCTCCAAATTTACCATACTGCTCATTGCGCTCAATGTTCCGGCAAAATATTTATTTACGTCATCGATAAAATTGCTTTCCAACAGGTAACATGCCATAACACGATAATTGAATGAAGTCGAAAGAGTGTTGATAAATCTTGAAAGTAGCGATGTGTGGGTATATAGTTCGATCTGACCTGGACAATCGATGATCAAATAATCATCATTGTATTCTGATAGTTGCTCGGATAGCCAATCTAGGTTATCCATCAGGTATCTGGTGAGAAGAAGAACATACATTGTCAGCATTTAAACACATATTGGGTCATGTCCCTTTCCATACTCACTCAAAGCAATACACAAGGCCTCCATTAGGTCCTAATTCCATCTCTGTCATTACATCTTCCAGACTGATCAGTTCCTTTATATCAATCGAAGGTGCAAACTCAAATCGTTCAGCAGCTGGATCCAAGTTGAACAGATGTACGTTTCGCCCTGATGCTTGTGCATGTGTGATTAAAGCGGCTGCCAATGTAGACTTTCCTGCACCAGCAGGTCCTGTGAGCATGCATGCATATTTGCCCATCTTTAATAATGTTGATCGGTTGGAATGGTGAAAAGGTGGAGCAATGATGGGAACATGATCATAACTATTCATATCCTGACAAAAACTCAAGCTTTTGAATCACGTGTACAACAAACAACACCCAAGCCTTGCAGGACTTTCTTCTTGCGCGTTCTATGAATTAAAGTACGCATTTCAGGCAAAAGAACAGTTTCGACACTAAATTGTCTGTGCAACACTGACCATCAAAAGCTTTCCTTCTTGACTTCACATAATACTCTTTATTGGCCAGATTATCATCTAATTGATCATCATGGCACAATTATTTCACAAAGATCCCAGAAATGCGGGCTTGTTCATCGGAGGTGAACGTATGTCAGGTCAAGAAATTCGTGATCAAAATGTACTTGCCGCTCAATCGATTGCTAATATCGTTAAATCATCTCTGGGACCTGTAGGTTTAGATAAAATGTTGGTGGATGATATCGGAGATATGACGATCTCCAATGATGGCGCAACAATTTTACAATTACTCGAAGTTGATCAACCTGCAGGAAGAATTTTGGTCGAATTAGCCACTCAACAAGACAAAGAAGTTGGAGACGGTACAACTTCTGTCGTCATTATTGCAGCTGAATTATTGAGAAGAGCAAACGAATTGGTAAAGAACAAAATTCATCCAACAACAATCATCACAGGATATAGACTTGCTTGTCGTGAAGCAGTCAAATATATGCAAGATCAACTATCCACAAAGGTTGACACTTTGGGCAAAGAGAGCTTAATCAATGTTGCAAAAACAAGTATGTCCAGTAAAGTCATCGGAAGTGATGATGATTTCTTCGCTCAATTGGCCGTTGATGCAATGCTTGCTGTCAAGACACTCAACCCAAGAGGAGAGATCAAATACCCTGTCAAAGCAGTCAACGTTTTGAAAGCACATGGTAAATCAGCAAGAGAATCAATCTTTGTTAACGGATATGCTCTAAATTGCACTGTGGCCTCGCAAGCAATCAAGACACGAGTTCGTAATGCAAAGATTGCATGCTTGGACATCAATCTACACAAACAGAGAATGCATATGGGTGTCCATGTCACAATTGATGATCCCGATCAATTGGAAAAGATCCGAGCAAGAGAAAGTGAAATCGTCTTGGAACGGGTCCGTAAGATTTTGGCAGCCGGTGCAAACGTCATCTTGACAACAAAAGGTATCGATGATCTATGTTTGAAGGAATTCGTTGAAGCTGGCGCAATGGCTGTTAGAAGATGTCGCAAAGAAGACCTCCGTCGAATTGCAAAGGCAACCGGAGGTCAATTGGTCAGCAGTTTGGCCAATTTGGAAGGAGATGAAACATTCGAAGCAAGCAGCTTGGGTCAGGCAGAAGAAGTTGTGCAAGAGCGTATTTCAGATGATGAATTGATTTTGATCAGAGGAACAAAGACAGTCAGCAGCTCTTCGATTATCTTGCGTGGTGCAAATGATTACATGTTGGATGAAATGGAACGTTCGCTGCATGACAGTCTTTCGGTGATCAAGAGAACACTAGAAAGCGGAAGTGTTGTTCCTGGAGGCGGGGCTGTAGAATCAGCTTTAAGCATCTATCTAGAAAACTTTGCAACCACTTTGGGCAGTCGTGAACAATTGGCCATTGCTGAATTCGCACAAGCATTGTTGGTCATTCCCAAAGTATTGGCAGTCAACGCAGCAAAGGATAGCACTGATTTGGTTGCTAAGCTACGTGCGTACCATAACGCTGCTCAGAATGCAGGACCAAGTGATCCCAAGCGCAATTTGCGATTCTACGGATTGGATCTATTGAACGGGCAAGTACGTGACAATCTACGAGCAGGTGTTTTGGAGCCAACAGTGAGCAAAACACGCAGTCTAAAGAGTGCATTAGAAGCTGCAACCGGTCTCTTACGTATTGATGATGCAGTTCGTGTTCAGCCGCCACCACAAGAGGAGGATCCCCATGCGCACATGTAAACCATTGACATCAGCAGATGAATAAAAATGTAATAATTAATAAAAGACTGATATGAAAGAGATTGGAAAATGTTCATTTGGATGCATCCCATCTAGAAGGTCGCTCATCTTGCGTAGATGTTTGGGGTTCTGCAGATCCGTTTTGCTTTGAGCTTTCTTGCCAATTTCCTTCATCTTGCCAAGGATTGGATGATTTCAAAGGAGGTTGAGGAGTAGGCTGTGACGAATTTGCTGTTCCTGTTTGGTTGGGAGATGATGATGTGGCTTTTTCCACATCTTTGACCGGATTTTGTTCCTTTTTGTATCTTTTTACGAGAAAATCACCAACTGCCTTTAGTAGATAGCCATCTTGTACCGTAGCAGGAGCTGCAACCATCCAGCTGGTTGGATATTTCCTTCTGCCAAGGTTCATCCAAATCAAATTCCACGTTAACATCAGCATGGATGACAATAGCACAACAGGTAAAACTTTCCAACCCAAACGTGAAACTTCTGGATTCGTAGCACATAAAACGGCCGTTGCACCACCGGGTGGATGAATTGTACCGGTGATTGACATTAGTGTGATAGAAAGTGCGGTTGCCAAAGCGCCTGCAATCCAAACGATTGAAGTAGAACGATCGGTGAGCATGATATTGTATGTTGGTGAACCTGCAAGCGCGAATAACTTTGTTATACAAACTGCAATCAAAGCAGAGAGGAATTGACCTCCAACAAAACAACGTGGTTGACTTAATGGACTTGCAGGAACGGCATAAATCAAAACACTTGAAGCTCCAAAACTACCAATGATAGCAGGAGATGCCCATGCATGCGGTGGAACGTTAGAAGATGAAGTAAAATGTTTTGGTCGTGTAAAAACGAGAAGTACGATTGCAATTCCAATGAATGCTCCAAAAGTTGACCAAATCACGCTTTCGATTGCTAATGGAATTTTATGAATGATCGGAATGATACTTGGATGTGGTTTCACATCACGATAGCGAGGATTGATTTGATCAATAGGTCTTCGATAGCCAAGAAAGTGAGATAGAAAGTACGGTAAAATCCGAGCAAAGTATGGCTTGTCTGGATCTGATGAGGGTGCGGGTTTTTGCTGCTCTTGATCGTCCTTGTTTGGCTTTTGTCCGTTTTGTGTAGGTTGTGATTGATTTTGTGGTTCACCTTCTTGTACATCTGCTAGTCCATGTGAATCCCGTGAGCCATTACGAACACTACTTATACTTCTTAAACGACTGTTGCCTCTCATTTCACCGTTTGACATATTTGAAGCGCGATCACGAGTTTGACTTTGATCACGACCTCTACTTCTGCTTGCGTTTCTTCTTCCTCCACCAACAAGGGTAGGCGTAGGGGATAAAGATGCTACACGGCTTTGACGAAATCGTGCGAATCGAAGTGGTGATCGACTTGGTCTTTGGGTTGAGGTTGAATTTACACCATCTTGACCGTTTGCGTGTGACTCATCTTGAATAGGCCCGTTGGCCTGTTCAGATGATGGAGACATTGTATTTTTTATGCGGTGGTAGTGATCAAGAAAGAGCATGGATCGGGTGTGCCGAGGCATAAACACTCTGCCGCATCGGCTGCATTCAAAGCGGGGACTGCTGCATCACTCCACTACAAAACAAAAGGGTCAATTCACGCTAATCACGCCACACCATCAAACGAGAGTCATAATGATACAAATAAAAAACTACATCTTCATCATAAAGGCCTATCGCATCGGGTTTCATCGTGGCTGTTTAGAGGGATATCGTCAGCTTCCCATTCATTCAACATGACGATGTCCAATATTCACTCACGTTGCTGTACATTGTAAACTACAAGTCCGATCACCACATCGAATACATGAAATATCACCCCAATAACCACAAATCGTACAAAGAGGCGCTGTTGCACGATGTGAAGGATAACGAGATTTGATCCGAGTTGCAGTGATAAAGTTCACAGGCGCCTCTTTAAATGTTGGAGAAGCAATCTGTTCCGCATTCAAAGTCAGTACACCAGTCTCTTCACATCTTGCAAATATCACTCACAGCATCCTCCAATAAAGCTTTCAAACCACGTCTATGCGTCAATAATCTCTTCAACTCTACGCTTTGCTTCTTCTTTTGTGATGTGGTATTGTTGCTCCCTCCTCCCTCTATGGTTAAATCATCAAAACTTTCATCATTTTGTGAAGATTGTTGTCCGGCCAAGAGACCTGCAATAGCAGCAGCCGAAGTAGATAAAGCTGGAACGTTGGCATTACTCGATTCATTCCATCCTGCTGTTGTGGCTTGACCTCTCTACAATGTGATAAAGGGGAGAAAGTGTCAATTGGATGATTACTCCTCCACCTTTAACTAATACTAAAAACGTACCTCTAATTCATCCAACCTTCTGTCTTTCTTTCGTCTCCTTCGTTCCATTTCTCTTTCTTGTCTTTCAAGTTCACGTTCTTGCAATGCAGCCTCTCTCAAACTGTTACCGCCGCTTCCAAGGCTAGTACGAGATCCTGACGCATTTTGCAATCGCCGCTTTGCATTAAGTTGTGACTGTGGTGCGGAAGAACGTACTAAGAAAGCAAGACATAATCAGTCGGTGCTTATTCATCGCAAAAACAACCATAATACTCACGCTTCCTTTTGGCCAGAGGACCTGCCATGTCCCAAGCCGATCCTCAAAGTGAAGATTGGGAAGAAGGAATGATGGTCGTGCACGTCTGCGTTTCTTTTCCCCACGCGCTTATCTTCTTTAGTCTAGGCTACGCGACTATTAATGATAAAAAAGCAAAATCGATTCTCATAAATAAAAAATACATCATGTTCGAATACATCATCATCAATCATCAATCATACTCTTCCTTGGCTAGAGCTCTACCAACAGCCCTTCCAGAGAAGATGCAACCACCTAAGAATGTACCTTCGAGTGCATTGAATCCCATTGAACCACCACCACCAAAACCATTGACTTCACCGGCAGCATACAAGCCCGGGAAGGGCGTTTGACCGTCTGATTGTAATGCTTGACCTTGCAAATTGGTTTGAATACCACCTAAAGTTTTACGTGTAAGGATAGACATCCTAACGGCCAGCAATGGCCCCATTCCAGGCATTGCCCTCGGCTTTTCACCTTCTACCAAAGAAGCAGGATCCAGATATCTATGCGGTTTGACAACTCGCATAATCGAATCAATCCAATGAGCTCTTGCGTTATGGATAAGCATAACTTGAGCATCTTTTGAGTATTTGTTGTCTACTTGCATATCACGATCGACGATTGTCTTGAGGATATCATCATAATCAATCGTTGGAGGCTCTTTTCCAGCAGCACTTGTTCCTGCTTCTTTCTTTGCCAGCGCATTCATCTCTTGAACAAGTTCAGGCAGGGTATCGCATTGGATGAAATCTTGACCGTGTTCGATAAACTTGCGCACAGGACCTGTTCCCTTTCCACCTAGACGTTCAGATATCAGCTTCAGGATGCTCTTGCTTGCCAAATCAGGATTTTGTTCTGATCCACTCAAAGAGAACTCCTTTCTGATTGTAGCCAGATCAAGAATGTACCATGAATAATCATATCCTGTTGCAATGATTGCCTTCAATGTGGCAATAGAGTCACAACCAGGGAAAGCTGGTGTACCGAATCTTTTTCCAGTCGCATCAAGCCAAAGAGAAGAAGGTCCAGGAATAACACGAATTCCATGCTGTGGCCAAATAGGATCCCAGTTCTGTAAACCTTCAGTATAGAACCATACTCTGTCTTCGTTTACCAAACGTGCACCTGTGGCTTTTGTGATTGCTAGCATGCGGCCATCGACATGGTTTGGTACACCCAATACCGCCTTGTTGGGGTAAGGTCCACCCATTTTTTCGGTAGGCCAAATCTTGCGAATCAAATCAGGATTGCCGCCAATACCACCCGAAGCTACAACAACGGCCCTACCACGAATATCAAAATCTCCAACTTCTTTACGATTTGTCTTTGATCCAACGACAAAGTTTGGTTCGGGTGCTAATTGTTTGCCACGTACGCCCACCACACGACCACCTTCAACGATCAGTTCATCAACTCGATGACGGAAACGAAAATCGACCAAACCTGCTTTTTCTGCAGCTTGGACAGGTTCACGAAAGATTCTTACAACTTCAGGTCCGATTCCCCAAGCGAGATGGAAACGTGGTACTGAATTTCCATGACCACCTGCCAAACCGCCACCTCTTTCGGCCCAACCTACGTGCATCATCAGACCCATTCCTAAACCTTTCACATAATCACGAAATTCCGTTGCGGCAAAATCGACGAAAGCTCTTGCCCATTGCAAGCCCCAATAATCTGGACTTGAAGGATCTTTGTCAATCTCATCCAAGACTGTCAAATCTGCCTCTAATGCGCCACTTCCAGTTGTGTTTGCAGTTGAACTTGATCGAGTTCCTCTACCTTCAATACCATTATCAAATTGAGCTGAATTGAGCCAATCACGTAAAGCCAATTCTTTGCTGTCTTTAACGCCCAACCTTCTTTGTTCGGGCGTATCAACGAAGAATAAACCTCCCAAAGACCAATGTGCTTGACCACCAATATTTTCGGCAGGTTCTTGATCTACAATGATGACTTTCTTGTTCGCTTTTGTAAGTTCATATGCTGCCACCAATCCTGACAAACCAGCACCAATGATGATGACTGGAGTATCGTAATCAGCTGACTGTTTCGACGAAGTACCGTTACTCATGACTGCAAATCTGATGGAGGGGGGGACCAGCAAGATGAAAGTGAAGGTAAATGAAGAAGTGGCTTGTTAAATACCTTTTTCATTCTCGGCTTATGCACTTTCTCATTTGTACGGCGTTAATTCTCGGCTTCTTAGCATTTGTATTTTTTCACTTTTGCGGGGAATAGAGAACCGCGCTGTGCATGTCTGTACCGGCCTACACGGGACCGAAAACCGAAAGCAAAAATAATTACGGTTATGGAATGTCATTACCTCTCTCTCTCAACTCATTCACAACGGAAATCGGTCACCTAGGGATATCATCAATCTCATTGCACCAATAAAAAGATCAAGACAACACCCATCAAACGGTTGAGTATTTGTACAATAGCAAAATCAGGTCACAGTCTTGTACAACACAATACCCAAAAGCAGAAATATAAATACACCTTTTTATCTTGCATTTAGCTTATTTGCCGGCTTTGCTCTTTTTCGATCCTGCTTTTCCTTCGTCTTTGCCAGGTGCTGCTCTTTTCTTGCTTCCGTTGGTGGCAGTAGATTTGGTACGATCAAGCACTAATTCCAAACATTGAGGACAATGCCATTCACCATCAGGAACAGAATCTAGTGGTGGATCTAAACATTGAAGATGCCATGGCTCATCACAACGTTCACATTCCAACATCACATTTTCACTTTGTTCACCTCCTTCTTCGCCAGCTTCATCCCCTTTGCCGCAAACCAAACAATTATCTTGCGATTCGCTTGCGTTGGGATAAGATGGTAACTCAGCATATGTATCGCCCAGATTGCGTGCAACATAGTAAGTCGTATTTTGACCTGCTGCCACATCGATGATCGAAATACCGTCCAAAGGCTCACACCTTTGTGGCTTTGTTGCACTTTTTGGCTTATCGAATCCTAATCCTAATTCTCCATTTCCTGCACCTTGTCCCCATGCAATATTCATCGTTGCATCATGATCACCACGTAAAGAAGGATCTTCATCTGCAACAGCGATCAAAGTCACACCTCCGAGTGATGCCGTTCTCATCTTACATCCCATCAACTCATTAAAGTATTTGTACGTCATAAAGCCTTGTCCTGCACTTCCGTCCCCGGAAGTTTTCCATTTACCGGCAAGCCAGAAGGTACGTTGACGATCAATCACAGCAGACGCTGTTGGACCTGCAAATACATCCTTTGCTCGCATAAGTGCATTCTCTCGTGCAAATTGAGGGATGAGAACAGGGACCAATCGATCATCTGGAGGTGTGCCAAGACCTAATCGTCCGTATCCGCCAAAGCCCCAAACGTAGCAATATCCATCTTCATCTAGTGCAATACTGTGTTGTTGTCCACTTGAAATTTTAATAATCTTCTTTTCGAGCAAAGCACGTACAAGTAAAGGTTCGGTGTGTGTATGATATCCGACCTTGTTAGCAGCGATGATGTGTTCACCCGTCTTTCCGTTTCCCAATTGACCTTTTTCCGTTGATCCGATTCCGTACACTTTACCTGAAGCTGTAAGTATTAGACTGAAGGTAATACCGGCCGAAACCATAACCACTGCGTCTTTATCTTTTGTATATTGTGCTTTTTCGATTCTTTTAAAAATTTCAATATCGCCTTCTGTTTGACCATTTCCACATTGTCCTAAAGCATTCGTTCCTGCTGCATAAACGCTTCCCGAACGCGTACATAAGATCGAATGATTACGACCACATGCTACATGAACGATATCACCTTCTTGATCGGCTGGCAAAGGAGGTGAAAAGTGTACATCGCGGTCAAGTCTAGTTGCTGTATAAACATTCTTTCCGCCAATTTGTACCGCTTCTTCACTCTTGCTACCGATTGCAGAAGCAGGTGCTGGTTTAGGTACTCTAGGTAAACCTAATTGACCATGTTCATTTCGACCAAGAGCATAAATATCGCCATGTTCGTTCAAAAAGAATGCATGTGAAGCAGAATGTCCACTGAAGACGCGTTTCATCTTTTCGTGTGCTACATCTCGTTGGATATGTGGTTGGGGTAGATCGATGCTGAAGGTGAGGAGGTGGATTTGAATAAGAATGACATCATAGGTGTGTGCCCGACTTGTAGTTTACTCACTGTTCCAAGCTCTTTTCGTTATTGTTCACTTTTCTTCCCAAATTGGGCCAATCTGTTCCACCTGCGATCAAGACTGAAGATAGAAAGAGTGATAAGTATATGCCTTTTATCATTTTAAGATATGATTTTTAGACCCACCTCTACCCCATTCCGGCAATTGACCATTTCCAGTCGGAGATGCGGCGTTCTTTGTGTCCGTCATGAAAATCCTTAATTCAACGGATCAGTGTAAAGGGTGACTTGATCAAAAACAACGCGTGCTTTATGCGAATTTGAGAATGCTATTCTTTCGGCTCCCGGTTGTAATGTCGTGTGACAGATAATGGATCCGCTCGTTCCCACCAAATAACAACAATGATGATGGGAAGAATGTATGACTTTGATACTTTTAGTCAGATTTTAAAGTGAGATCGCATGTATGCAGCTTACGCGCTTATCGATCAACACGCGTCGCGCTTTTATCCTTAAGCTGTTTGCATTGGCTCTATATTTGGCCTAAAATTTTTATTTTAGCTAGTTCGGAGATATTGTCTAGTGGTTACGACGTCGGTTTCTGAATTTTGCTTCAAGAATTCCGAAAGCCTGGGTTCGAACCCCAGTATCTCCTTTTTTTCTCATCAGCGCGCTTGCATTGCGATACATAGTAGGTGGTGGGAACTGAATGACATGACTGAAAACATGCCTGGATGCCCGCGCGCGCGGGCAGTTGAGCCGTGTATTTTAAGTGTGTATTGTGCGTGCCGCGCCTAATAAGCCTAAAGGCTTATTAGTCGAGGCACTTACGCTGTGTTTTATGTGTGTTCCCGCGCTGTAGGCGCGAAGAAAAAATTTAGGTACTTTAGCACCTAGTGTAGAGGTTTATAGAACATAGATTTTAGCGTGTTTAATAGTTCCTAAATATAGGGAATAAAAATTAATATAAATTTACTAGGTAACTCCTTACTTAAAGAAATTTTTTTTAAATATTATATTAGTTTCTAGGGAACCTTTTAGATCTAAAATATATTAAGCTTTATTCTTATTTATTCTTTACTACTATCTATATATAAATTTTATATATATAAGTAGGCTATAGACCTTATTATTATTATCTCGGTATATATTTATAACTGAAAAAGCTTAATATATTATATAAAATCTTATTAAATAATATATAATCTTTATAGAAATTAATTCTATATATTTCTATAAGTTAAATAATATAGAAATCGAATATTAATTATAAAAATTATTAATTCTATTTTATAATAGAAAATCTTTTTATATTTATATATATTTAATATAATTAAATTATAAAAATAATATTAAGAAAGATATATTAAATTATAAACAATAATAAAATAGTTATAATAAGTTTTATAGAGTTTATATTATATTATCTATTAGTCTAAAAGTAATTTTATTTAATATTTAAGATATAAATAATAAAAATATAATAAATAAATATAGATATATAAGATCTAACTATATTTAAAATATATCGGTTTCTATAGTTCTTTCTACTTTATAATCTATCGATAAAGAATAGATAGAAAAAGATCTTAATAAGCTAGTAGATAATATTAAAATTATTTTAAAAGATAGTAAATTATTTATAATAAGATATAAAGCTTATACTCTTTTAGATTATATTTAATCTTAATAGATAGATTTATTTAAAATAATTTTAAATAATATTATAGTTTTATTAACTTAGATATTATATAAAAGTTTTATTTAATAGATTTAAAAATAGATAAGTTATAAAATTAATCTAAACTATATAAAAATATTAAATCTACTTTTCTAAGAAAGAAGAAAATATTATAATTATAAAGATACTTTTAATATTTATAATAAAGATAAGAATATAGATATTTATAATATTTAGATTTAATATCTTATTTATAAAGATAGAGAAAGAAGAGTATAAACTAAAACTATAAAAATATATCGAAATATATTAAAATAATATTTTATATATTATTTAAGATATAGATAGAAGAAAAATCTAATTAATAATTTTTTTTAAATATAGATAGCGATCTCTATATTATAATATTAGATTAAAATAAAGAAAAGAAAATATATTTAAAAATATATTTAACTTATATTTTATTAAGATTTATAATATATTTTAAAAGAAACTTTTTATAATCTTAATTAATAATATTTATTATTTAATTCTAATAAATTTAACTCTAATATTTTAGTTAATAAAATATATATAAAGTTTCTATTATATCTTATAAATTTTATATATTAGTTTTAAATAAAAATAGATAAGATATATAAACTTTATTAGTATTAACTCGATATAATTTATTTAAAATTTTATATTTATTTATAAGTTATTAAAATATATATTATCTATAGAAAGATTAATTAAAACTATCTTAATAAGATAAAAAACTATAAATTATAAGATAAAATAAATAGATTATTAGTAAGTATAATAAATATTATAGAACGATAAAAGAAATATTATTATTTAATTATTTAGATTAAACTAACTAGTAAAAAGAAGATTTTTCCTCTTTAAAATAAAATAATAGATATATTAAAAACTTCTATAGATATTAAACTTCTTATAGCTAATTTAAACCGATATCTAGTTTTATTATCTATTTATTCTTATTATAAAAAGTTTAAATATATTTATTAGATATCTTATTACTTTTATAAAGATAATATATAAGATAAAATAATCTATACTCTAACTTATAATAAATTATAATATTTAATTATCTATATTTAATAGTAAAAAAGTTAGATAAATAATATAAGATTTAATATACTATTAAAATATTTTATTAATAATATATATATTAAAAAATAGATATTTAATAATATAGATAATCTAAATAATAATTTTATTATATAAAAAGATATAGATAATAAAATAAGGCTTTTAAAAAAATAATAAAGACTTAAAAAGACTAAATCTATAACTAGTATACTTATAAAAAACCTTAAATAAATATAAAAGAATATAAATAAAAAAGAAGAAAAAAAATATAAACTTTAATATTAATTTTATAAATATTAAAATATCTAACTAGTATTATATATTAATAATATATATAATAATAGAATATCTATTATTCTTTTTCTACCTCTATCTATTATAATAGATAAATATTAAACTTTAATATTTTTAATTAGTTAATAATTATTAATATTATTAGTTTCTAATATATTTATAAATCTTATATTATATTAAAAGATTATTATTATTATAAATTCTATAAATAGACTATCTTTATAATTAAATAAAACGATTAATTAATCTTAATAATTATTATAAGTTTAATTAACTTTAATAAATATATTTAGATATTAAATAAATATAATTATATCAAGTATAAAAAGTATTTTAACTCTTATAAAACTTTAAGAAGAAGATAAACTTTATATTTTATTTAAAGTATTAATAAAATAGACTCTAGATAATATTAAGAAGAATCTTAAAACTAGTTATTATATATAAAGATATTATATTTATAAATATTATATATTTTTATTATTATTAGATAATTTATTACTTTATAATTTTAATATAAAATTTAGTATAACCGAGAAAATAATAAACTAGATTATTAATAAGAAGGTTAATTAATTAAGAATCTTTATTAAAGGTCTTATAAAAGATTAATTAATATTAAAAATATAAATTACTAGATTATAAGGTTTATAATTCTTAATTAAAGAATATATATTTTATTTAATTATCGATTATAATATAAATAAAGATTATATATTAATTATAAATTTTTATAAATTATTCTTTATTTATTATTATATCTATTAAGGTTTATTTTCTATTTCTACTATTACTACTTTTTCTACTATTTTAGATTATTATTAATTATATCTTTTAAGACGATTATTTATATTATTAGATCTTAGATCTTTTTATAATATCTTTATTATATAAAAACTTAAAAAGATAGTAATCCTACTATATATAAATCTAAAAAAATAGAAGAGATAATAATATAAAATCTTTAATAAAATATAAAAAGATCTATAAAAAATATAAAAGATTATAATATCTATAATATTTAAAAAAAGATAAAAAATATATAAGATTACTATTTTCTAATATTTTAATTAATCTTTTTAATAATAATCTTTATACCTTAATTTTAAATAAATTCTTTTTATATTAATTTTATTTAAATATTCTTTAAAAATAAAATAAATATTTAAGAATATTATAATATAAATCTAACTTATAAGATTATTAATAATAAAATCTATACTTATTTAAAGTTTTTATTAAATAAAAAAAATAAAATTAATTTAAATCTATATCTAATATATTTAATCGAAAAAAACCTTTTAAATATCTCTTAATAGTAATTATATAGATATTAAATTATATTTTTTAATAATTTTAAAATAAAAGAAAATATTTTAAATAATAATATAATAAATCTAATAACTATAAAAGAAAGAAAAAGATTAGATAATTAAATAATTAATATATAAAATTATATTATAATAATATAAACTTATTATTTATATTAATTTTTATTAATATATAATCTTATAAATAATAATTTAAATAATAATAAGAAATTTAATTATAATAATATAAAGATAATATATCTAATATTAGTTTATACTTATATAAATATATTTATTTATTATCTTTTATATAGTTTATATATAATAAATATAAGCTTTAAAAGCTATTATTAAGTTTTAAATAATTATTATTAAGTAAAACCTAAAACTCTTTCTTAGAAAGTATATAAGATACTATATTATAAAAATTAAATAATAATAAATATAAGAAATCAAAGAGTAACCTTTATAAAATAATATTATTAAAGATTAAAGTCTAATCTTTAATATCTTATTAATTAAGTATATTAAATAAATTTAAACTTTCGAGATAGACTTATATTACTTAAAGAAATAAATATTAAAAAGTTTATTTTTCTTTTATTCTATTTTATTAATATTTCTTTTTTCTCTTTTATTTTAAACCTTAAATAAAATTATAGTCTTATTTAATAATAGATAAGAAAAACTTTATAATAATATAATATAATATAACTAATAAAACCTTAAAGCCTAAGCCTCGGTATCAGATAAAAAAGAAGAAGAAGATAAGGATAAAGAAGAAGATAAAGAAGATAAGGAGGAGGATAAGTAGGAAGATAAAGAAGATGATAAATTAGAAGATTAATCATACTTTCATATTTCATTTTTAATCAAATCATTTTTTTATCTTATCTAAGTTTGTTTTTAGCTTCCCGCACACCTCTAAGTCTTATCTAATATATATGCATTAACACTGACTATATGCTTGTACAAAAAGAATTAATTGGTACTGCCCTTATGCCTTATAAAAGTGTGAACAAGTGGGAACCTTTGCGCGTTTCCCATTTTTCTTTTATGCGTACATTGAAATAATGAGACGTAACTCAAGTCTGGTTGAAAGAACCTCTGTCATCATTATCTTTGGACGATTAGCCACTTTATCTTTTGCGAGAGCATTTTTATCGTTCAAGAATGCAATCGTGGGGCGAAATAACTGAGTCGCGCCGTGAGCGTAAGGCGAACATAGCCCCATATAATCGGAAAGATGCAGAATGCATAATTAGGGTCCAGCTCCTAGTCAACTCAAATCTCTACCATATCATCGGCATATCTCGCCTTCAACGATGACTTTGCGATCTCACTTTAGCTCTGTCCTTTTCACCTTTTTTGCTTTCGTCATAGCAATCTTTTCTGCAAGCATCCAAGATGGAACACTATTGAAACGGGCTGATGAGTATGAACAAGGCTCTTCACAACCACAAAGTGCAGAATTGCCGCCAAAAAAGAGACGGAAGTATAATGTGAGAATGGCTGCACTTCTGGAAGATTAAATTTGACCTGCTCACACATTTGCCTTTCTTGTCGGCCCTTTCATTAGACGCCAGAGGAAGTCAAAGAAGCTAAACACAAATCGAACAATAAATATAGACTTTAGTATACCAATGCTGGCATGGAAGAGTAAGCTTCAAGATTATATTTCACAACTGAAATGTTTACTGATTCTCGGTTCTTTTATAGTGCGATGAAACAATTAAGCGGAGATGAGGTAAGAAAAAATTAGCAATATCTATATTCGTATTGAAACTGAATGAGATATTGTTTCTCCAGTTGCTCAAGCACTTAGATACAGCTGAACAGATGAGGGAGAAATTCAGAATTCAGGCCAAGAAAGCATATCGAGATTTGGTAGCTCGGGGAGGGCGAAGAGTTAATACATGGAAAAAGCAATTCTCAGGGATAAAGATCAAAGAGTAGGTACTTGGCTGCTTTTGAAGAAGTAGAAAAAGAGTCTCTGATCACTTTTCATTTATGTCTTCAGGAAACAAAATGAGTTAAAGGGTGATGAGGTGAGTTGCTGTTTAAACAGGATGAAGAAAGGTGGCTCATTTTTATGAGATTTCAGCTATTGCTTTTTAACGAAAAAGCTCGAAAGTATAAAGCAAGCAGAGCCGCACGCGATGCTCGACGTTACCAGAGAAATAAAGACAAAGTTCTAGCAAAAGCCAAAGAACAAAGAAGGGAAAAGCGTGAAGCAAGGCAAGCTGAAAACGATAGAGAAATTTCTTCGATTAGACGAAAGTATAATGAGAATGATGTAAGAGCTGCAAATCGAGTCGCTTTAGGCCAAGTTGGAAGCGTCTTTCAGCCACACAAGCAACCGAAAACTGGTGGAGGTACACAGGATCGTCCCAATGAGCAGGTCTAAGATTTTGCGCATCGCTTTCGTCTGTTAGACATTTCAGCATATCGCCCCGTGAAAGATCGGGGCAATGAAGCCTATTTGCATTTAAACAAAGCGTCGGTATACGCTGCCAAGTCTTGTTGAAGTTCAACTTATAACCCTCTTTACCATATCTTTATTTTTGTACAAGCATGACGATGATCTTGAAATCACAACTCATATTCTTCCTTTGCGCCTTAATTATATCATTTCCGACCATACTCTCTGCCTACATTTCGGATAACCGAATGATGAGAGGTGCTAACGAGAATGAGCAAGAGGCTCCGCAATCACAAAGTGCAGAAGGACCGTCAAAGAAGCGACAGAAAAGTAACGTGAGCAGTACCTCTCTAGTACTAGCGAAGTTGTTTTACTTACACTTGCCTTCTTGCCTACCCTTTTAACAGACGCCAGGAGAGAGAAAAGAAGGTAAACACAACTCTAATGCGAGATACAAATCTAAGTTCAGTAATGCTGCTGTGGCCGAGTAAGTCTCACGAGCAAGCTTGAATGTTGCAACTATACTGATTTTTTCTTCCTTCACAGTGCAATGAAGCATCTAAGCGGAGATGAGGTAAGAGAAATCAGCAATTTATAGCTCATGCTCAAATTAGCTGAATCATTGATTATCCCTAGCTACTTAAATATATAGATACAGCTGAAAAGATACGGGAAAGACGAAGACTTGTAGCCAATAAGGCGTACGCGAATAGAGTAGCACGAGGTGTGGAAAGAACTCATAAATGGAATAAACAATTCACAACTGAGAACATCAAGCAGTAGGTATTTTATGTTATGGAAAACAAGAAAGATTTTTGCTTACATCTAATGCTTATTCCCCATAGGAAACAAAAGGAATTGGAAGGTGAAGAAGTGAGTGCTCATTGTAAAAAGATAGGTATAGCTCGATCTGAAACGTTGTTTGATTTCTAGCTAGAGGCTTTTAACAAGAAAGTACAACATTTCAAAGCAAACAGGGCCGCATACGACGCACGACGCTACGAAAAGTCAAGAGACCAACTCCTAGCAAAAGCTAAAGACAAGAGGCAAGCATCAAGCGAAGCAAAGCAAGCGGAAAAAATAAGGATTGAACTTTCTTCTACTAAGCGGAAGTATAACGAATTTGATGTAAGAGCGGCAAATCGAGCTGCTTTGGGACAAATCCCAAGCGTTTTTCAACCGCACAAGCAACCAAAAAGCGGTAGCTCTACAGATTCGTCCTCATGACGCAATGTATGTGGCCTACCAAACTCGTCCCCACAGCTTCTACTCCTCTTTTTAAGACCTGTGCTCTGAATAAATGGGGCTTCACTCGGCTGAGGTGGTTTTCTCTCTGCTGACCAAGCAAGCCGCCCCGCTTCCAAAATGGTGATAGGACGCAAACAAGGTACACTTACTTTTTCATTCATAGCGATCATCTTCTCAGTAACCTTGTCAGACAAATGTCAATCATGTTTGTACTGTATCTTTTGGGTTTACTCGCAATCCTTTGCAAAGCATCTTCGCCAGATTTTCCACCGCAGATGTCTAGAAAAAGAAACAGTCCACCGTTAGATATTGATTTGAATATGCCACCTGCAATCGAGTCGTCACATGCTTCTATGTCTACCAATCGTCCAAAGACTGTTATGGAAGGAGCCGAAGGTACTTCCCAAAGGAAGAAAAAAGTGAGTAACATATGTAACTTGGCATGGTTTATCAACGAGCGAAAAGCCTGTTGACATGATTCCCATCAATGCAATTAGTTCAGGTCACCACAAGCCATTGTTAGCAAGCTGGAACGAGATCGAGAATATAGAGCAAGATTCAGCAAAAAGAAAGTCAATGAGTGAGTAAATTAGCACATAAGAAACTTCGTTATGTAACTCATTGATATTGAAAACGAGTCTTCTGTATAAGGGTACTCCCATCGCTGAACGAGCAACAGGTAGGTAAGATTGGATAAAGCCCCGATTCAGTGGATCTTTTGATTTTAACAAATATCCGGCTTACCATTGAACAGAAAAACAAGCTTCTCGCCCTCGCTGAGAAAAAACGAATGCAAGCTAGAGTTCGTCAACAAAAGCAAAGAGATTTACGAAAAGAGCGTATAAAGAATGGCCATTCAACCGAAAGAGATGCTGTCAATATGGAAAAAGATAGGACTCGCAAGAGGATGGAGAGATCAGCGCCTTCAAGTTCTGAGACTCAAAATTCGAAAAGCACAAACATTTAATCGAACTGTACCGTATCCCCTCATGAATTTTAAAGTGTTTTGTTTGCGTTCATTTTGCATGTGCCAGCCCCGATCTTTTGCCACAGCTTATAAGAGCATACAAAAGTATGTTTGCATTCTCCGGTTTATGCAACCGAAAGTGGTTTTACGAAGATGCTCAATAGTATTGTCCTCTTCCCATTCTTTCTGCTTGTTTCTGCACAATTTGATAGTGATCAGTCTCTTTTCAGAAGAGCGGGCTTACCACCAAATGTGGATGTAAATGAAGAGCCACCTGCAGAGGGAGGAGACGTAAGCAATCATTCACACGTCGCATCTTCCCATGAAACCGGATCAAATCCTGTTATTGCAAATCAAAAGGCAAAAGTGAGAATGTCTTCGGAACATTTGTGACACTCATACTCATCTCGCTATATCTTTGCTTTAGAGTCATAAAAGAATTCTCACCCTGGCAGAAAGACGATTGCGAAAACAAGAAAAGGACAGGCGATATTCAAAAAGTTTCACAAAAAAAGGCATCGCATTGTACGTAAGAATTTGACATTCTTGCATCTTGTAGCTAACATTGTATCTATCATTCTCCCAGAGTTTTGCCTACGTTAAAAGACGGAGAGGTGAGTGAAAGGAATATCGAGATACGATTCGATTTGTCATCTGAAATTTGTTTATTCCATCAAAAGAAAGGCGAATTTATAACCAAAATGAAGAGGAGGAAAGAACAAATGTTGAATAAACAAAAACTCTACCGCGAAAACCGTCGTAAGCGCTTTCAAGCTGGAACTCCATCACTGCTCGATATAAGACAACGAGAAACAGACAGAAAGAGAGCTGCTCAACGTCTTCAAAAGAAAAAAAGCTTTACGCAGCAAGGAGACGCAATCAATTGATGAAAATGATTGAATCGTTCAGGTATCCAGAATGCTTTATAGTACAACTGTCGAAACACGCCGCTACTTCATACCTTCCGTCTCTTTGATCCGATCAATCAATTTCCACATTCCCTCCGTACGTCCTGGTCTGTAGAGTTTATGCTTGTGTAAGAATGGATCAATCTGTAACCGTTGACGGGTTTCATCCTCGAATTCCATCATCAATTCCGTACCTTCCAACAAATTGAACAAGCCTTTTGGATTTGCATATTGCTGTACTTCAACTTCACGTTTTGCAGCCATTTGCTCTGCCGTGACATGTTTGCCGTTCAAACCGAGATTGTTCGGATCATGGGATGTTGTGATGCCAGGCTTTGCCCTATTGGCAGGATCAGCCGCTGGTGGTCGAGGACGTATTGGTTCACCAGGACGTCTCTGTGGTTGAGGAGATGATGTAGCCCCAGATTGTGGCGGACGTGGCCTTGGAGCGGAGCTCCGTGAAGGCGTACCGAAGCCCATCAAATTGTCCAAGACAGAAGAACCGACTGACTTACGAATGACATTCTTCTGTGGTACGGGCGGTCTCTGTGGTAGAGCAGCCTTGAAGGATGAAGATGATGCAACAGCCTGACTCGTGATAGGCTTTGCCGGTGGAGGTTGTTGCAATTGAGATGCCGAGGCAGCCAAGTCTTTCGCAGGTACAATGCTGGATGCGCCTGAGCGAGGCTTGCTAGGCTTTTGAATAGAAGGTGCACGCTGGAACGGCTTAGAAGTAGCCTTCCGCTTCTCTGCAGCAGCAGTATGCTCATACCTGGGCGCTCGCTCTTCATATTTCCTTTCATCGAGAGCATCTTCATCCGCATCATCGCTCATCGCTACGTCACTGTCTGAGCCTGCCTCTTCTTCATAATCGTCTGACAGAGGTTCTGTTTCCTTTTTCTTTTGAGAAGCGGGTCTTTTCAATTTGATCTTCTTTCCTGGCCTTGTAAGTTTCTTCTTTCTTGGCTGAGGCAGATCTTCCTCATCTTCGTCTTGGACTCTTTCAATTCTTTGAGATGGAGTGGAGTCAGGGACCACAGCTTCAAGCTCCGCTTTGCTGCCTTTTCTCCTTTTTCTCGTCGGTTGCTCTTCTTCAGGATCTTCTGTAAATGCCTCTTGAGTTACTTCTTCTGGAGTGACTTCTGGTTTGGGTTGCTTCCGTTTGATTTTGATGGTCTTTTTGGTAGGATTAGGCTGCTGCTGTTGATCTTCACTAGGTTCGGGCTTGAATGAAGCGACTGGACTTGCTCTTGAATCATTGCCAACTTCTGCTGATGTGCTTTCACCGGCAGGTTCACGACTGGCAGATTTACGTGAAGAAGTTGACCTCCTTCGTATAGAAGGTGGATTGTTATCTGCTCCAGCACCTTCACTTCCAAACCTATCAATGGATTTCCTTGTCCGTTTACCTTCTATCACAGGATCATCTCGAAATATATTTTTATCCACTATCTGTTTGTACTCCCATCTTGGATGAGAGGTAGCCTTTTTGTTACCCATGCCATTTGATGTTTGTGGTGAAAGATCCGCTTCCTTGCTTTTTGGTTGCGTAACTTCAACAGCTGAATCACGTCCTCTCTGTGATCTACGAGGGTTTTTCTCTTTTTGTGGCTCTGCATTTGTAGCAAGAGGTGCTGCTGTTGTTGTTGTTGTTGTGTCTGTTCCTCTTCTTAAACTTGCCCTTCTTGTTTGTGGAACTGGACTGGTTTGAGGTGTTAATGCTTGACCTGGAGTGCCCGGTTGGCTTCCTGCATCGCTTAATTCGCTTAAGTCACTACCACCATCTAAATCGGGTCCTGGAGACATGATTGAGGTGCTGATGGCTGTAATGAAGAGAGAGTGTAATGCATTTAAACACACTTGTAAGTAAGCCCCGGCGTCAAAGATGCCCTATTTCCAAAAAGTGAAACAGCTCTTGAATATATGAATCGCGTCATGCATAAAATAATCCACAAGCAAACGTATGCCCTTTTTAGCCCTACTATACGCCCGCGTTGTTCTTTCTTGGAGTGGGGGAAGAATGTTTAGAAGAAAGACAAGAACTTCTTTCTTGTTCTCCTGCCATCATCTGCAATAGCACACAAGATGATGCCAATCGATCAAGATACTTACATCGTCGTTGGATCTGGAGTTTTTGGCTCTTCAACTGCATTGGAACTCATACGTGCAGGTCATAAAGTCATCGTTTTAGATCGTTCAGAAGATGGATATTGTGCACCTGATGGAGCAAGTAATGATTTGAATAAAATCGTTCGTGCTGATTATTCCGATCCGCATTATCGTAATTTAGCAAAGATGGCAATCTCGTATTGGCGAAGATCTGATTTGATTTCACAATACTACCATGAAGTTGGTGTTTTGTTTCATACCGGAACTTCAGTAGATCAGACTATCGGTAAGGAATACATCAAAGGTGCAATCGAAGCAGCTTCTTCGGCTTCCATACATGAGTTGCCTGCATATGGTCAAACACTCAAATCTGCAGCGTACGAAGTATCTTCAAGCGATCAATTCAAAGGCTGCTTCCCGGTATCCACTCGTAATCGACTTGGTCGTTTGAACGAAGATATTACCTCTGGTCGAAACAAAGCATACTTTAACCCACGCGGAGGATGGGCAGAAGCAGGTAAAGCTACAAACGCAGTGCTAGACGAAGCAAAACGATTGGGTGCCCAAGTTTATGGTAATGCACATGTGAACAAATTGTTGTTCCAAGACAGGGACGACTCGAAGCGAGTAACGGGTGTACGTTGTGCAGATGGTAGAACATTTCATATTGGCGGAAAGGGACAGACGATCTTGTGCGTTGGTGCATGGAGTGAAGGTCTTTTACGAGCAATATTCGAAGAGCAAAACCTCAACTCTCAAATCTCCTTACCAACCTGGTCATCAGCACAAGTGGTGATCACGATCCAACTAAATGAAGAACAACAAAAGATCTATCGTGATACGCCTGTGGTATTATGTTTCGAAAATGGAAATTATTGCTTTGAACCGGATTCTAACGGATTGATGAAAATTGCAATTCATAGTGGTGGATATAGATTCCCTTTACCTTCAACAAATACAAACACGCCTTTAACGTTCCCTACATTTGCCGATTCGATCGCCGAACAAGCCGACAGAACAGCAAAGATTACCATTCAAGGAGCTCCTTCTAGTGTTGTAAAAGAAGCACGTTGTCCTACTGATCAAGCCAAACAAATTTTACAAAATTTACATTACGTCTATCCTGAACTTGCAAATGCACCAATCGTATACGATAGAATTTGCTTTTACAGTGAATCCTTAGATGAAAATTGGATAATCGATCATGCTCCCGGCGTAAAGGGTTTAGTGGTCGCATCTGGTGATAGCGGTCATGCTTTCAAGGTGAGTGAAACACTTGGCAAAATCAAATCAGAATACTGACCTCCTCCTCTCCCTGCAGTTCTTACCCATTCTCGGAAATCTTGTCTGTGCAAGAATGGGCTTACAGCAAGCCGGAACGTTGACTGATCATCAAGACCGAGTCTTCTCCTTTGCCTATCATGCAGATTTGCATAAACAATCAAATCATTCGCATCAACGTGAATCTTCCAACTTTAAAGCTCGTCTCTGAACCAGCATATCAATCATTCTTTGTGTAACTATATTCATGTCATTGGTTTCTGTCAATTCGTTGCGTGAAGTGTATGTATGATTCATGAGTGATGCTACAAAAACAAAAACTTAATTGATTCTCTAATTGGATTCCTTCACGTATCCTGGATTCTTTCTTAGGATTACTAATCCTTCCAGAACACTTGCAAAGCTCAAATATTCATCCGTTGCCAATTCTGCACGTTCGTATGTACCCAAACGAACAGGCGAAGTATGTGTTTGGAATCCTGTAATCGTTCGAGGCTTTCCTGCTTGACCGACAACATCAACAGCTTGACCAACGCGAACAGTCGTCGGTAGAGGTTGTAATTCCTCATCCAAGGTGATAAGGAAGCGGGGATACATGGCGCTCACAAGGAAGTATAACATCCAATGGTTCTTCTCCAAAACAAATCCGCGTGCGTCTGTGAAACTGACAAGCAAGCTCAACAAACCGCAAACGGCCGTCTTGCTAAGTAGTTGTCTATCGGTGTGGTAAGGGTTGATACCCACAGTTCCTTTACCCATATGAATCAAACCTTGAGCAATACGCACCATGAATAAGCAATTGCTCTCCTTGTGGTAGTAGTTTGCCAATTGTCTCAACATCTGTGCCAATCTTGCGTTGTTTGTTCCAGCTCCAACGATACCCATTGCTAGGATCGAATTTATAGCAACGTCCAAATCGTTGTCGTGAGAGTATTTGGAAAGGGTATCAACAAGGGGCATTTGTGGATTTGAAGGGTTCAAAAGGGCCAAAGCAAGAGGAACCGATTTACGAATCACTGGCTCTCCATAGTGCATCATATGCGACATATGCCGTAGTGTCATCTCTGCGCCAACATCCTCACCCATTGCAACAAGTGCAACACCGATCACAGCGAATGATTGGTATAGATCGTTGACCTTTTCCTCCTCCTCTTCTTTCTTGTCCTTTCCTTCTTCTTCGCCGTCTTCCTCATCGTCGTCCTTCTTGTCGTCCACATTGAGATGTTCGGTGCAATGGTGCAACATTGTCTGAATCTTTAGCACATTTCCGGTTCCTGCATAACTGCACATGTCTACTAAAACTTGTGCTTGTTTTGCAATAGGGTGCTCAATAGCTTTCAATGTTTCAATTGTTGCATCGCTTGCATCTTGCCTGCCGATGAACAAGAGTGCCAAACCCAAGCTCAAGAAGCGAGCCCATTTCTCATTCAATTGTGCAGGCTCTCTTTCCATCATTGTTTGCAAGATTGTGGGCGTGATTTCTCCATGCGCAGATCCAACAAAGATGAAACCTAATGCCAAAGCTGCCATGGATGCAACTTCCATTGATGTCGTCTCATCGGCAACATGTTGAAGTAGAAGTGGAACAATATCTTCTCTGCATGAGCCTGCGTATGCAATTCCGATACCGATAATTGCAGATATCTTGAGTGGCGTGCTGTTGCTTTCAACATGCTCGGTCAATAGTGCAAGAGCGGCGTCCATTTCTGTGCGAATACCTGAATGAAGAATACCGTATGCCATAAGTGCACCAGCCTTGATGTATTCATCAGACGAGTAAGTGTACTTGTCGATATGACTCAATCCCATCTCAGTATCCCACAACAAGCTCATACCCAAACTTGCGCTTGCACTTAGCATACCATGATCTTTGTTTTTGTAAATCCAGCTATTTCCTTCTTCGGCTCCGACCATCAATTTATCATTCCCATAACCAGCATTGACAAAGGCATTGACAAACGTACTGGCTAAGTTACCTCTGGCAGAATCGACCGAACCGCTGACTGTGGAGCGCGAGTTCTCTAAGTGGCTCTTGTAGATATCCTCGAGCGATTTTGGATCATATACGCCTAACTCCTTTCCAAATTTGATAAAGTTTGACGATAGCTGTGTGTTGAAGATACAATCAAGCACAGAGTAATCAGAGATGGGATCACTTTCGTCTTGAAGCCATTCGACCGGAACTTGTTGTCTTCCCAGTAGCAGTGCAAGCTGCTTCTTCATTGTTGGATTTTTGGGTGCTTCGAAATCATCTCGGATCAATTCTCGATCTCCAATGCGTAGAGACAATGTCATTGCTTCGGCATATCGATCAAATTTGCGGTAAATGGTGTGTGCAGTGCGTAGGAATTCTACGTCATCTGGTGGGACTAGCAAGTTGACACAACTGACCATGTAGAGACATGCTCTTGCATATGTATCCTTGTCCACAAATTCTGGCAAGCGATCGATGGATTCCAATTCCAGTAGTAGATCGACTGCGTCGGCTTCAGCGTTGTGTGACAAACTGAAAGGAACGATCAATACGGCCAAATCGAGCAATTCTTTGTTGGTATCAGGAGAATTTTCATCGTGCTTCTCGCCACGGGCGTTGTATTCTTCTCCCAGTTCTGCTGCAAGATGTCTGACATATTCGTGACCCCAGAGTCCTGGATTTTCTGCTTCGCCCACCTGAGATGCTAACAAGCGGAATTTCAATGTTTCGCGTTGGCCATTGTCTGAATAAGTCATTGCAAGGACGGACAGGATCTCTGCGAATAAAGCCTTGTCTGCAGAAGAAGGCCAGGATTCTAGCGTTGTCTTGAGTTCAGCAAAATGAGGGCGTAAAAACTTGAGTGGCTTGGGAACGGAGGTCATTGATGAAGTACTTGTGCGTATGAGTGTTCGTAGAGATTCTAATGCGGGACGATGTAAACTCTTGTCTGATTCACTTAAACGTTCAACCAGCATTTCAAGCTCGTTCTTTAGCTGTAAATCCTCTTCGCTAAGTTCATCTTCATTCTTCTTTTCCTTTTTGTCCTTTTCTGCATCTCCATTCATCTTTACATCACCATTTTCCTTCTGTTCCGAATCCTTCTTTTCGGCATCCTTCTTTTTTGGATCTTGAGAAGGAACCGGAACGGCATAAGATTGTTCCTCTCCACGCGACATGATGGGCACGTCGAAATGGGAATAGCTCTATAGAGAGAAGTGATGGAAGAATGAGAAGATGGATTGCGTCGTATGAAGTGTTGCATTATTCTTGAACGAATTAGACAGATGTACTGCCAATGCCATAGTCTTAACGACGCGCGTCAACTGTATGAACAGCAATTTATAATCTCACGTGTACGTGCGAGTGTCCGTGCGTTTTATTCATATGGAGGTCCACTTATCACGGTTTTCCATGAAGCATACTTACTCCTCTTAAATCATGATTCTAGATGTGATTGACATGGAACACAAAAGAAGGCTTATTTCTGATTACACGATGAAGCATATGTCTGTTCTGATGATAGTAGGAGACATAGAAGATATATCTCGGAGGACTCTGTGCTATACGGATTGCAACTATCTTTATCTTCATCAACCTATGGACATGCCCTGAAACTTAGATCGGCTCTTATTTCGGTGAAATGAATGACAGCTGATTAATCACCGTAAGTATAGACTACTGATGGTGTCGTATCAAATTAGTGAGAGTACTAGGGGTTCCTGAATGAGTTCTTTTGAAGCCACGATCGAAGTAATGCTTGGCTTACAGATGTTTGCTTGTTTAAAGATGAACGGAGATTCAATATTGGCACCTTTATGATGGCTAACAAAGTTTCGCGACCACGAATCTTACTTCTTGGCAGGGCGGTACCTTCTTGGCATGATCAAAGTAGTGATGGTAAGAAACTCCAAGATGGTCCAGGGATATGCAGGTAGAGTTGATATACCAAAATGGAAGGTGTTGCGAGTGTATGCGCGCGCGTGTGCACACCACGCGTATGTAGTGTTGGTTGTGTTACTTTCCAATGGAACATATCAATCACATACCATCATACAACACAATACAATCACGATCTACATATATATTACCCAAAGTGGCACATGTTTGCCAAGCTATCCACACAGTCAAACAACATTCCTTGTTGACGCAATTGCGGCAAAATCCATATTACATGCACACATGTAACCAACAATAGAAACGGCGATTAGAGGAAAGAAGTCAATTGATTTAGAAGTTGAATTTCATTACGCCTTGAGTAACATCTTCAGCATAGACCGGCAGAAGTATGATCTTACACTGCTGAACAGCGAAGAACACATGAATGCATTCATCGGCGAAGCCTAGCCGTTCAAAGGCTTCGATCGCTTGAACTTACTATATAGAGAAGCATACGTTCCTGAACTGATTCGAATTGTTTCCCTTTCTTCTTTACGACCACCTTGGTTTACGATCCAATCGTCACCTCACCTATTTTCTCTCTCTCTTTTGCTTGGCCAGGTGCCATCAAAACTTTTCACTTCTACTACTTTTTGCATTTGCCATTCGCCCTCTTTTTACGTTGCTTTGAAAGCTGATCCCTTGACGGGATCTAACGACAAAAAGGTTCATTAACGAAAATAAAAAGAGCCAATTACTTCTTTGGCAAATCCAAAAAGCCTTTTTTAACGACCAACTCTCGCCGGACGAGCTCTTTGCCGTCGTTTGCATTCATTTTACGAAAAATAGACACTAAGAAACGATTATAAACAAAAATGCGTCTTTTACCAAGAGATACAGGTTTTGCCAGTTTGGCATCCACTCTTTCATTGGCCGTTGCCAATTATAAACCAATTCCACAACTGCCAGTCGAATCCAACTCGACAGGAGCAAAAGGCGGCAACCAATTGATGCCAGTCGGAGCAGGAGGTCAAGCAGCTCAACAAACTTTCCAGGTTCAGACTCCCAACCAGGCGAACACTTACGATCAATCACATCCTATCGGACAATGGGGTGAAGTAAGTGTGCTATACGTGCCAAACACTACTGATAGTAGTAGTGCAAATCAACTCAAAACAACAAGCACAGTCGGACCAGGCAAATGTCCAGTTCAGCAAAAGTATACACCCACGTCTGCTTTACCACCTCCTACCTACCCTCCTTTCGATCCTGTTCAAGCCAATGTATACAGATACCGTCAACAGCAAGGTGTCAACCTTGGTTCTTGGTTCGTGCAAGAAGGTTGGATGGAAGGTAATTTCATGTCTTGTGCTGCCGGCCCCAAACAAGCTGAATTTGATATCTTGAGCGGATTCGGAACATCTGCAAGCGGAATTGGAAATGCAACTGCATACATGGAAAAGCATTGGGATACTTGGATCACCGAAGATGATTTCCTCAATTTAGCTAGAATAGGTATCAATACCGTTCGTATCCCAATCGGGTATTGGTCAGTCGGTCCATACTTTTGCAAAGAATCACCTTTTGAGCCATATGCAGCAGTGTACGAATATTCATGGCGATACGTTGCCCGTGCGATCAATTGGGCAGGAAAATACAACATTGGTGTTGTATTGGATTTGCATGGTGCCTATGGATCTCAAAACGGTCAAGCACATTCAGGTTTGTCGAATGGAAAAATTGATTTCTACAACACAAAGAACATGGATTTAACAACGAATTTGTTGGTTTGGATCGCACATGAAATTTCTAACGTCACAAATGTAGTGGGAATTGAATTGTTGAACGAACCTCAAAATCGTCCTAGCTTGTGGCCGTGGTACACTCGTACAATGGATGCCATGCGTAATGCATCTATTGGCGCTCGCACCATTCCTCTCTACTTCCATGACGCTTTCGACTTGGACAAAGGTTCTGCATTCACTGCTAATCGTACCGATTTCGTCGTACAAGATTACCACTCTTACTTTGTGTATACCTCAGCAGATACTTCCATGTCTGCCGCACAACACACTTCTATCATCGGAGGAAGCTTTTCCCAAAATTTGCAGAATGAGTCTGCCGTTGGTCGCCGTAATTTGGTCGTCGGTGAATGGTCTTGCGCTTTGGCACCTAGCTCGTTGGCTAGTTCTTCGAACAAGGCTGCTGCTCAAACGGCTTTCTGTAAGACACAAGAAGATGTTTATCGTAATGCAGCTGCTGGTTGGATATTCTGGAGCTATAAGATGGAAAATTGTAATAGCAATGGCGGTTGGTGCTTCCAACAAGCAATCAAACAATTCTTACCGAAGACGTTTGATTCTTGGGGTTTGACAAATAAAACAGCTTCCTACTTCCGTTCAATCAACTCTACTTCCTTGCAAGCTCAAAGCAGCGTGTTAAACAGAATCGCAAAGATCCCCTATCCAAGCAAGATGGCAAACAATCTCAAGGTTCAACAACCCAACGGTACAGATGGAGGACTCAAAGCAGCTGCTGAAGCTGAAACTGATGCCGATTCAGATGCTACTAATGTCAATGTTGCCGGTATTGTAGGAATGGTGGACTCAAACAACGTCCAAGATCAAGAACAAGAAGAAGGTGCCCGGATCGGAATGGTCGAACACAACAGTACCGATGTACGAAAGCGTGGAACAGGTAGTCTGGCCGCTCGAGCAAGTGAAATTTCAAGAAGGGCGGCCAACAATGCTCAATTAGCCGCTCAATTTGGTTATAATGACGGTTTCAAATCTGCTCGTTACTTTGCTGCTGATGGCAGTCTCTCACGTTTGGGTTTCGCAATTCAATATCGTGCTGATTCTTACCGTGCAAGAGTTGCAAGAGGACTTTTGCAGAGAGGCAACTTGAACGACTACAAACAACAATACGCTGCTGGTGTTTTGGCCGGTGAGAAATTGGTTGCCCAAGTTATTGGGTCGAGTTGATTTGTTCCTGTGTGCACGATGTTCTTTTGGGCTCTTTGGTCACCTTTAATGCTTTTCGCTCACACTCTTTGATGATTTACGATCACTTTATGGTTTATCTTTTGTATATGATCACTTTTAATGTCTTTTTTTCGTATTTGTACAATTTTTAATGCAATCATGGTAATGGGGCCAGCCGGTCTCCCCTTTTTATCCCCCCTACTTCTCTTTTGTGTGATTTGATTAGTATCTACTTTGTCGCTCTCTCTTGGCAATTGATGATACCTTTCGTGCTTGCATACTTGTATCACTACTACTTCCATTTACAGGAACCATCTTCAATAATCTTGTGCCGTGAGCTGGTACATTCAACTCGGGTAATGCCTTGCTGTATGCTGATTCGCTCATCTTGGTTGCAGGCTTGGACTTTGATGCATTTTCGAAATTAACATTTGCCCAGAGGTCGTAAATGTGGAATTTCTTTTCTGCTTCAGAAGGTGTATCGATAAACATTTCATCGAATGTTGGCGTCAAAGTGACTTGTTTGTCGTCGAAATTTGTCAAAGAGACAGCATAAGTTTCATTGGCCAAAGAAGTCAACCATAATTGTTGTTTGCCTTTTGTCCAAATTCGTACGGCAGGCGTATGAGCGGAATCTTGATTCAAAGCAATCACATCTTCATTTCCAAGAATTGCCAAAGTACGATTCGTTAATGCTGCCATATCATTTCCCATGATCAAAGGGCTCTTTACCATTGCCCACATGCTGAAATGCGTAATTTCTTCTTCTTTGTTCATTCCACCATTTCCTACTTCCAACATATCCAAATCGTTCCAAGCAGCAGATGCTGCTTTTTGACCTAAAGGAGCGGCAAAGTTGATAATCTTTTCAACGCTGCAATGGAATCCAGCAAATCTGCAATCGGTCATTGATGTGCATGGGCAACGATCATCATCTCTGTTGAATGTGTCAAAGATATCACCGCTGATACGCCATGAATTCCACGTATCAGTAGCGAAATACCATGGACTATCCTCACCCCAATTGCACAAACCCATCACCATTGGACGACCAGTCTTGTTTACCGCATCACTCATTGCAACATAACGATTGAAACTGTTTTGAGGTGTTCCCATTCTTCCTTGATTATGACAATTATCGTATTTCAAAGCATCAAAGCCAGCATCTGCCCATGATTTAGCATCAACTTCTTCATGATCTAAAGAAGCTATCTTTCCACCACATGTGAGCGTACCAGCGGAAGAATAAATTCCTGCTTCGAAACCCATATTGTGTAATTGATCAGTGACGGATTTCAAACCTGTTGGGAATTTTTCTGGATTGGCAGGAATTTCTCCTGTTGTTGCATTTCTTTGATCTGCTTGCCAACAATCATCGATCCAAATGATATTGTATCCTTTGCTCTGTAATCCGCTTGCTTTGACTTGTCTTGCTGCTTGTAGAACTACATCTTCTGAAATGTTACATCCATGATAGTTCCATGTATTCCATCCCATATGTGGAGTTATACTTTTGCCATTATTCAATGCTTGTGTGAATGCTGCGAGAGCAGACAATGTCCACAGAGCCGTTAATGTTGTTGAAAAAGACTTCATCTTGGGTTAGTTTTGTGATAGAGATAGGACTTGATTTGACTCAGTAAAGTCAGCCTCTTTATATATCTTTTCGCCACTCCTCCTAATTTCAAACAATTTGTTCTATCTCCGTTCCTTCGGTAGAATCTTTTCTTGGTTCCGTGGAGAACTGGAGAATTAGCGTATGTATGTGGAAATGGGAATCAGCACTCTATCTCACCAGCAGTCATTACTCCTTCGGTTAAATGTTGCTGATCATTGACGTGGGGTGAATAGAATCTTCGCTAGGCAGGAGAATTCTTTCTGGAAAGACACCGTCTGGTATAGTGCCTTGTTCCTATTAAGAGTCTTAGTAAGATGAACGTCACCCGTTACATTTGGCCATTGTGATGATGCTTTTAGCGCCTTTTCTTCGTTCGAACTTCGGTCAATCTATTGCGCTAAAAAACATTCAAATCTTCTTGTCCTTCTCTGTTGTACTTCCTCATCCTCATTCATGTCTTGTCCTCAAACCAAAGCTAGCCTCATCATCTCCCGCGGAACGGATTATGATTCATTTGCACGTCTTGATTGTGACTTTGCTTGAGAGCCATGAGGAGGAACCGTAGGATTTGGAAGTGAATCTTTGAAGAGAGTTCCATCAAGCATTATTGCATTCTTGGAAGCGGAAGCGATCTCAGAATTCACATTTGTTTAAAGATTATAAACGTCAAATCCTTGCTTGACAGTGAACGGTGAAATGAGAAAGACTTCTTTGAATGAAGGCGCATGCGAACATTCTTGATTATCACAATTAGTCAAAGAAACTGCAAAGCTAGTGCCGGATAAGCCTGCAATCCAGATCTGTTGCTTTCCTTACTTCCAAAGTCGAACTCCAAAAAAATAATTTGAATCCTGATTTTCTTTAACTGCTATTCTGCTTGAATATTATATCTTTTGATTTACTGCATTGATGATAATTCAACATATTCCATCCCATTTGAGGGGTGATACACTTCCCATTTTGAAGCCCCGCAACCGTCGTATTGAATACAATGATGGTTGTGTAAATGATTGAAAGGTCTTTCACTTCTCATGTTTCTCGAGCTAGTCCAGGTAGATCGTAAACGTAGAGTTTGGGAATCGGAATGAGTTCTATGAATGAACACCCTTCTCATATAAGTTTGTGACCTGTCGCATCTTCCATATCAACTTTCACACATGGCACTGCTTCTCTTGGAGTGCGCCCTTTTGCCGTATCTGCTGGGGCTCAAAGTTCAAGTGGACGACACAGGAAAGAGGTGAAAGAGTAGAATTGCTTCCTTATATATGGTAGATGCTATAGCATATGATGTTCTCGGCAATCTCTTTACCTCGATCTTCAACTGCGAGTCTCTAGCTGAAGAGACTCAACTGAAATATAAGGCTATGATAAAATCAATTGTCGGGATTCTTCAGTTACAATTGTGCTTTAGCCAAAATTATTTCTCGACAGATCGTGGCGTGTGTAATTCTATCAAGTCGCTTTGCCAAGACAGCTTCAATCATCGGCGATACGTATGTACACTTGTGAATGTGTGTTTGCTTCCCACTCAAGCGATACTTTTAAGATATAACAGCTTCCCCACAATTGATGAATAGACCCCCGCGGAAGATTATAAGCCCTGTCCACGGAAAGTTTGATGACTGCTTAGTTAAGCAGACGAGATCATTTTGTTGTTGTTATATAATCTATGCATGCTCGTTGACGGAACTCAGCGTATCTATCGAATCAATCAATCGCGCGCGTTGAAAAGAAAATTCCCGCTTTGGATCTGGTTCTATTATATCTAGACTGAAAATCAGCCGGTTTTTGAAAAAAACACATGGCAACTTCAGATGCCGCCGGCAAAGGAAAGGTTGCATTCCTCCAGCCAAGAGAAACAAAGGCTAACAGTCTGATTGTGCAGTGTACGTATAAAACTTGTTTTGATTTGTCTGCATTTAGTTAGTGAGAGGGACATTGAATGAAGGGTATGTGGGTAAATGCATGCTTCCATGTGCTAGGAACTTGGAATCTAAGGGGCTAGATTGTATACGATCACGGTCTTCAATTCTAGCCTTTCATCGATAACCACCTCACATCATCACGATCTTACCTTTAGTATGTGCACCTAGAATCAACTTTACCACAACCAACAACATAACCTACGTCCACCTAATCCCGCCCTTTCGTGCTTCTCCCCTTTTGTCTTTGGCTCTTTTGACAATGACGCCATTCAAACATACCTTTATCACAATAATAGCCCTGGTGGCTCAGCTTTTACCTTGCATTCAAGCACAAGTTCAACCTACTACCACCTATCAACCTCCTCCGATCGCATCAGGAAATGTTTCGAGCAGTTCTTCTTCCAACAAAGTGAATGCAAGATGGAGTCAATTATTGGGAAATGCGTTGTACTTTTACGATATCCAGCGATCGGGTACGTTACCCAACAATTTCCGTGTTGATTGGAGAAACAATAGCGTTCCAAATGATGGAAGTGATGTCGGCTTAGATCTTTCAGGTGGTTTTTTCGATGCGGGAAATTATATCAAAGCAACATTTCCACTTTGTTGGGTTGTAACTCAATTAAGTTGGGGTGGAATGATGTTCGGAAAAGGATTTGATGATTCACAACAAACTGCTTATCTAGATTCAACATTAAGGGTCGCTTTGGATTGGTTAATGACTGCTTCTTCTAAGCAAGATGAAATGGTCGTTTTGATCGGATCAGATGACTTTTACTGGGGTGGCGATCAAAATATACCAACAAACGATCGTCCTTCTTATACGATCACTCGGGAGAAACCAGGAACTGATGTATTTGGTTCTTGTGCCAGTGCATTGACCAGTGCTTCAATGTTGTATGCAGGAACACCTTTGCCTATCAGTACAACGCAAAATGGTACAGTGGCTTCATTGCAAGATGCAAATTATTCCACAACTCTTCTTCAACGTGCTGAAACTTTGTTCGATCTCGCCCAATCATCAACACCTCAACAAGTTTATCAAAAAGCAACAAAAGGTGTTGCTTGGGCTTATCCAAGTACGGATTATGCTGATGAATTGGTTCTCTCATCTACTTTCTTGGCTCTCGCAACGGGTAATCAAACATATGCGGATTATGCACAAAAGACATATGCAACCAATCAATTCCCTTTCCCAAACGGTGCCTTGAACTGGGATCAACACACTTCTGCGACACCTGTCTTGCTCACCCAATTGTCAATCGCAAGGCCTTCCATGGGTGTAAGCATGAGTAAATATCAGACAGATTCAGAAAAGTGGTTGGATAATATCGTGAACAAAAACATGCCTCAAACATTCACAACGCCAGGTGGATTATTCTACTTTGACGGTGATAGTGATTCAGCAAGTTTGAATCCAAGTTTGAATGCAGCATTTTTGATGATGGTTTATCGTAGAATGGCAAGCAGCACAACCAAAGATCGTGGTTATCGTTCATTCGCAGAAAGTCAAATTGATTACGCTTTAGGCAAAAATCCGATGAATACAGTTTATGCTGTTGGAATACATAATAACAGTGCTGAAAATCCACAATCAGCTTTAGCATCTGGCGGTACGAACCCAAAATTGATCGATACAGTTCCTGCACAAGAAGCTCACGTTTTGTATTCCGGTATCGTTGGAGGACCGGATCAAAATGATAATTATTACGATCAAAGATCGAATTGGGAACAAACAGAAGTTGCCCTTGATAGTCAATCTGCCATGATCGTTCTTGCAGCACATCAATTAACAACAAATGCTTCTGATCCATTTTATACCGGAATGACCGAAGAAAGAGTCATTTTGCCGTACGATGCAGATGGAGGAGGTGGCGGAGGTTTGAGCACTGGAGCACAGATTGCAATCGCAGTTGTGGTGATTGTTGTCGTTCTTGGTCTCCTTGCAGGTTTGGCTTTCTGGCAACGGGAAAGATTGCGATCCCTTATCCGTCGACGTCGATTCGAGAAATACGAAAAATCTTAGAAAAAAATGCAAAGGTTATGGACATTACTTTTATCACATATTCTGCCAATTTTTCATTATTCGTTTATTGTACACTATTGTCATTGCGCTTGTATATAATACATCATGCTGAATTTCGGAATTTTGTCATCATCATAGGATACTGTCGAGGAAATCTTCATCAACCTGTTCCTTCTTGTGTGTCTTTTCCCTCTGTGCAATTTCGAGCTGCTTAACATCCTCTGCTCTGCGAGATATGTCGGGTACTCTTGGTGACGGAGTGTTCATCTCTGATAGGAATGCGTCCACATCATAATCTCCTGCTTTTTGGTTCGGGAAGTCGGCCTCATCTTCATAGAGATGGGAGGTAGAATTGGAATGCTTTCCCCTTGCAGCTGGTTTGGGAACATTCTCATCTTTGGCACGACGATTCTCACCTATATCCAATGAGATGGTCTTTGCACTAGCTTGTTGCAATACTCTTGCCCTTCTCTGATGCTTTTCTTGTCGTACTTTTTCCTCTTGTAATCTTTTTCCTTCTCTTTCTAGTTCTTTTCGCTGTTCTTCTGTCAGATTATGACGTGGCAATGAATGACTGATATCATTTGAATCTTGCTCAGCAGTACGATCCCTTTGCTTTTGTCGATCCAAAAGGTACAGTAGACTTGCATCTATATCAGCTGCATTTGTGTCCAAAGCATTTCTTGCCGCTTGTTCAGAAGAAAGTGCTTTGGATGTTTTGGAAGAATCTAGTCTAGCAACTCGTTCCAATAACCCACTGAGATCAACTTCAGGTTCCTCTTCTTCCTCTGCGTTCTCTTCACCTTCAGCCGTCTCTTTCGATGGTTCTTCATATCTCCATGAATTACTCGTTAGTTTGCGTGGAGCATACTTTGAACGTTGTCGTTTCTGTTCAGATGAATCACTTTCTCCACTCTCATCACCTTCCTCTTCCTCTTCTCCCTCTTCACTATCTTGTCCGGGAAGTGATGGAAATGCAGTCGGATCTAGTCTCCTTTGCATTCCACCTCTTCCGCCACCCCTTCCGCGTCCTCTGCCATCACTTGCTCCACCTCGAGCTGCATTATATCGCTTTGATGCTCTGGCTTTATACTTGTTCTGTAACACCATCAGTGGTGGGGATTAGTCAAAAGATGATATAGGAAGAAGAAAGTTAACTTGGATTGATGTCTTGTCATCTTCTTAAATTTACGCGTGCCCTCCACTCAAGAGAATTAAACACTAATGCATGAAATTAAGATTGAGGATGCTGTTTTGCATTTCACAACCACCACCAGTCATACATCATGGACAGCGGAGGAGGATATCTGATATCCAATCATGACATCGAAACAACAAAGATAGACAAAGTAGATCAATCTACAAACAATTCGTCGATCCAAGTACGCAAGCTAACACAAAAACAAGAATTAAGGTTGATGAATTATTTGGATGATGCATTTCAACAAATCGTTCGAGGTTTTTCAAAAAGATATACGACATCCAGTGCAACAAGTTTACCTACTTTGGAAATCTATCTTGCAAAAATGGATTCAATCTTACACATCATTGCAGAAATTCCACCTGTCGGACCATCTGCTCAACTTCTGATCAATTATTTGTTACGATATACTAATGAGATTACAGATGGAATACCGGGTTACGAGATTGGATCTAGATCTGCAGATCAATTGGTTGGCGATGAAGAAAAGGTTGCGGGAACATCGAATATTTCTTCAAGTTTGGAAAAAGCAATCGCATCGCTTGATTTATTGGATAGAGTATGGTCAGCCGTTTTACGTGGAAATATGATTGATATGAAGCAGGCCAAAGAACATAGCAAAACTGACATCGAAGTGGGAAAGAACTCACTGTCTTTCCCAGGACTAGGGACACCGTATACCCATAGTGCATCACACGAGCAACACCAAATAGAACAGAATCAAGGCAGATATCCGGAGAATGCACAGCAAAGAAGTCAAAGAGATAATCATTCCGTTGTAGGAAGTCGTGGGTTCTCCACTGTTGGTCAAACACAAAGAATCAGACTACGAAATGTGATTACGCTGGCAAAGGAGAACTTGTTTGCTTGGATGCGTACTCAATTAGATGCACCTTTACCACCTCAAATCGAAGAGAGTCGAAAGGAAGAAAAGAAGGAAAGTCTGAATTTGATAGAAGAGCAGGGCGATCTGGATACTGCAGATGGTGCTACAGATTCGCAAGATGCCGAAGAGGAAAATGAGATACAGCTTGAAGATGTAAAGACAGAATCTAACGATAACTACAATCACTACGACGATCTCTTTTCAAGACAGATTGACCCCGATGCTGAGGATGAAGATGACGAAGACAATACAGAGGATGATGGAGATGTAAAGCATGGACGCAAACGATCTCACACCTCTGAAGAAACCGAACAACCAACTCATAAACGGAAACATCAAGAAGAAGATCAAACTACAATCGCGCCAAGCGATGTAGAAAGCGAAGCAACTTTCAGAGGCAATTCCGCTCCTAATACTGCTGCTGTGATGCGATGGGATGTAGCTTTTGCTCGTATCTTTCAAAAGACATTGCGTTGCTTGAGCGACATACAAGATCGAACGCAAAGAGCCACAGAGAATGAAGACCACCAAGAACCTTGACCATAGAATGTCGCATTGTGTATTTGTCATGTAATTTTACTGTACTAATGTATATTCGCTCTAGATTGTCGTAACTAAGTCTGAGAATCGCACACGCCTTCGTGTCAAGATTAATGGTAATATTATTAAGAGATTTGCAAATACTAAAGGATTCCGAGTATGATGTGGGTATAAATATGATGCAGTGCATGCATCGTATTAGTTATGCTTGTGGTGCAGTCGATCATATACTCAAGTGGCAATTCCTGCTTTAGCACGATACGTTTCGCCATTCAATGTTACAGTTGGATCTCCGTTTTTGCCCTGTGCGAGAACGATGTCATCAGGTGATGCATCATTGCCATTTTCCTTGCCTCTCCTCCTTATAGATTCGGGCAATGACTTTTCATTCGAAACAACTTTCTCCTCTGATGATCCGTTTGCATCCTTGAAACTTTTCTTGAATTTCTGGTTAACCTTTTTCATCTTTGCAAACTTTTCCGCTGACATTCTCGTGCCGAATAAAACATCGAAATGAATAAAGAACGGTTGACTGTAATTATAACGTAAGCCTTGCATTTGATGATGAACATCATGATACTCAGCCGTATTGGGAAAGATAAGGTGTAATGGGTCGAGCCAAGGTGGGAAAGCGTATCCTCCATGATCGCAAACGGTCTTCATGATACTGAAAGTGAAAAAGACGATCGTTTGTCGAATCGTCATAAACGAGGCTGCAGCAGAAATTGCTGCTCCAGCAGAATCCAACAAGAATCCTTCAAATGGATGGTTGTACAGAGCTCCAAATGCGTATGGAACATACAATCGATGATGATGGGAGTGGAAGTTGTTGTACAGCCAACGAGATTCATGGAAGGCACGATGCAGAGCATACTCCCATGCGTCCATCACGAAACATGCCCAAACGAATTGAACAGATGGTATGCCCCACCAGTAAAGCCAATTGGCGAATTTAGGTCCAAGCAATCGTAAGAGATGTGTGCCCTTCGACATTCCCAAAGTTGAGATCGTTAATCCGGCAACTTTTTGTGCTAAATCTTGAACACGACCTGGATGATCGGCAAAGACTTGAGCAAGAGAAGTTTCATCGCTTTCCAAAACGAATATTCCTAACAAAGTCTGAAAGACTTGTTGAATGAGAACCATGAAGAGTACACGAGAAGCGCTTACCCTGTTCCGCTTTTGAATCTCTTCGGGTTCGTGTAATCTGTATTTTTCGAAAAAAGGGAATTGCATCGTATCCAAAAAGAAGAACCATCCTGATATTATCCAATACATCAATACGGGCGATAGTAGTGATAGGTTTTTGTCACTTATGAATGGCAAGATTGAAGGCCGGGTTGCATGATAAAACGGAAGTTCATAATGTACCGGTATTCCTTTAATGATCGTTTCCAAGCTTGTTGATTGAATACCGCCACCCCACGAACCAAACAAGCCGGAGCTTATTTGTGATCCATTCATGGCAGGAAGTAGTATGAATCGATAATGATGGTGTGTAATGATCAAAAGTTAAGCCGCATTTCACTTCCGTGTCTCTGTTTTCTTGTCGGCTTTCCAAAAATAATAAAATGAAAACCAAACAAAAGATTCACTGTCAATTTGCTGCATACCTGTTGTTGCACTTTAAAACGCGACCCTAATTCCCCTGCTAAAAAAATAATAATCAATAATCCAAGTGCGGTCTCTTGCTTTGATAATCTGTGTGCCAAAAGACCGTGTCAACCGGGAGAAATTACCTCTTTTCGGAATACGGAGACAAAGCTAAAAGCGGTATGGGTTCGTAAAAATAGATCAGAGTCTAGGAGATTAACCGCGGACGGAAATGCGGCCCAATATTATCTGATACCGCACACGGAACAGTAGAGCTCGTCATCATTTATACAATGTCACATTTACGTAATACATTATACTATACAATTGAATATGATACATTATCAACTTTACCCTTCATTCTTCTTTTTTGACATCAGCTTTAGCCATGTATTCTTCCACCCTCTTTGTTAAATCAGCTTTTACACCATCTTTTGGTAATCGATAATATTCGCAAATCGATTTAAGCTTTGCAACGGTGTATTTGCTTACATTTCCGTCTTGATGAAATTTCTTCAACTCTGGCTCATCTTCGTGAGAGAATTCTGGCGCACTTCTTTTCGTTCCAGCCGTTGAACTTGCAGGTTTGGGAGCGTGAATTACCCGTTTATCATGATCCACCAAGTCATTCCATGATTCGATCAAATGGCCTGCCCTCTTTTTGATCAAATTGTAGTTCGGAATCGTCTTGTCTTCCACATGATCCGGTGTTTCATCATTGAAAGCTACAGCTAGCAAAACTTTGTAATGATGATTGAGACTAGGGTTAGGGAAAAAGTCTGGATTGAATGCAGCATTGCGAGTGAATGCTTTCACGATTGCACCTGCTGACTCAATCTGTTCATCATTCGCTTGCATTTGATTGTCCCGATGTTTCGCTGGTGCTTCTCGAATATCATCTGCATACGGTAAGGGTACAACGTACATCCCAGGCGGTTCAGTCTGTCCTTCCGATCCTCTTTCTTCACGTTGAGGAATCAGGGCGGCAAAGCAAGGAATGACAAAAGTACGTGGTGCGAAAATCGCAATTGCGATCTTATCTTTGCTGGCCATACTCTCTAGCAAAGCACCGAAAGCTCTTTGACTGTTTTGCCATTGGGCATCCGATGGATAGATAAAGTAGGCATGCTTCACGTTCTCGTAGAAATGCAACTCCGATCGAGGTTTGAATCCAATAATGCGAATAGATGGCAATTGTCCGAATGAACGTAACTTACGCATCTCCCCTGGCGAGAAACGTACCTTGGAACGCATGTTATTCTCACTGCCAAAGTTGAAGGCAATGTCCACATCTCTATCCTTGTCAAGCTCTTTGCCTGTGTCTACGCATGTAAGAGCCGTTTCTGTCACAACTTCCTTGTATACGATTGGATCATCTTCATCCTCGCGATCCATAGCTTTGACTCGGACAGGAAGACCTTTGGTTGCCTTGATCACTGTGCAATATCCTTTGATGCCCATTGTCAATTGTGAGCCTATGAAAAGAGGAATAGAGAAGATGACTCGCTTGGGTGTCTCTCGAGCACCTACATCACCTTCCAAATGGTCAAATTTCGTGGTCGCATTCCAAGGTCTGCGAAGATAGCTTCCAGCACTATCTCCATCCTCATTTGTCAGGCTTCCACTTCCAAAATTCTCATCGTCGTCCGCATAGGCGCAAAAAAGGTCTCCGTAAAAATGCGCTGTATCGAATTCTTTCTCGTCTGTACTGATCAAAAAAGGTTCAAATTCGATTCCTTTTCTTGTCATACTTTTGACCTTTTCCAGTGCCAATCGATGTTGTTCCGTCTTACCCTTTTTATCGCCCATCGGATCATCTTCGCAAGTGACAAAAAAGATTCTCTTTGCACCTGCTTTGCCGGTATTGAATAGCATAGCTTCTGCATTGCCTAAAGCATGATGAATGCGCGATTGTTTATCGTTTGGCGCATACTTTGTCTGGAAGTAGGACGGTCCATTGTCCAAAGAATCCTGAAGATCGTCCTTTAGATCAGAGATCGGCGGAACAGATACTTGGGAGATATTCTGTACTGTGATACTATTTGGATAAGCAACGTTCTTGCCTGCATTTTGTACCTTTGTCTCTTTCGTATTGAACAATAAGATTCCACAGTGATCTGCTGGACTATTGACGAGCTTGCTTCTTTGGAAAGAGTAAGCAGCCTGCAGTGCTTTGTGAAGTAAGCTGACTTGCTTGCTATTCTTTTCTTCAGAATTCAGTGGTATCATTGTCTCATGCATCTTTGTTCCTGCATCGATTAACCACAAGACTGTGTCTCGTGTATTTGGTAAATCCCACTCCAACAATTCATCCTCATCTTCATCTGCGTCTTCTGCAGGTCCGCCTTTACGACGAAAACCCGAGGATCCTCCATTACTTCTCCAAGCCGGCATGATGTGTGCTTTTGAATGATGGTGACAAAGATGAAAAAGCCTTAGCGCAAACGATGCATGAGAACAACACTTATCCTATTTACGCGCTCAAAGCTGTCATTTTAAAAGGAACAACACAGAAGCGCGTAAGAACAAATAAACCACATGGTCATTGGTTTAATTTCGGCACCGGCCTCACGATGTACTCATTGCTTGCCATTTAACTATCATCATATACCTCCATCAGATTCGGGACAATGAGGGTAAACACGGTGGCCTATCTATTTTGCTTGTTCATAGTGAGCTGCCTGTCGGGGCTTGTTTCAGCAAATGACGCAATTGAGGAACCGAAACTTGGCCTCTTCGATAAGCTGGTTAAAATGGCAAAAGGAGGAGGAACTGAAGAATTGATTCCAATGCCAAAATGTATGCTAACGCTTTCAGGCGGAATCGATCAAGTTGAAGGAGACATTCAAGATGTGCTGGAGAAGGGCAAGGCATTGTCAATCTTGGTCACTGCAAAAACTGATCCAACTTCACTTCCGGCTGTCAAATCATATTACGATGCAGTGCGTCAATTATGCGGCGAAGAGGAACCACAAAGCGGTGAAGAGGGGGCTGCACAGGAATCTACTGCATTTGATGACCATTCGCCCCAAGAAGCATACGTCTTCGATCCTAGCGTACTTGATCGTATCGCATTTGCACATATGAGCTTTGATTCAGAAACAGGAATGATGTGGCGATGGTGGATTTGGAAAGTGCCCGCGATTGTGTTTATTTCATCGCCAACGTCTTCTTTGCGTTCTTATGACGTCAGATTTTGGAAAATTGCATTTAGCGTACCTTCTAGCGAAAAGTTGATTGCAATCCTCAAAGATCAAATATATGCAGAATTACCAGTTTGGGATTCCAACTTTGCTCCTGGAGGTAAATATCAAAATTATGCTCGTTTCTTCTCCCAGGGCTCTCTTGGTTTTATGTCAGTATTGGAACCGATCCCAAATTGGTTATTGGGCATTCTTGCTTCCATGCTTGGATCAATGCTAATAAGTTATCTTCATCGAAATGACGCCAAATCAACACAGCAACAGGCAAAGTCCGATGGCCCCGAGAGCAGAAAGACACAATAACCCTTTCAGCAAACAAGGAGTTGTGTATGATGACTCAGTCGTATGACGTTTTGCCTTTTAGCTGAGCGTTTCGCCCCAAGATGCCCATTACCACCTGCTCTGCTTACTGGGGCGTCTTTCACAAAGTTTCAGTGTATTGAACATGTATAGTAGCTCAAAAGAATAATGAAGACACTTATAAAAGGGGATTCTTTCCTGTTCCTGATCATTAGCCACCCCAGCAAATCATCATCTTTTCAGCTGATTAAGTCATTCGGTACAATGCTAAGCAAAAAGTACGCAACCTTTGTGCTATTTGCCATGTTGGGCTACGCAAAAGCTTTTCCGGTTTTACCGATGCACTTCTTTTTGCCTCATCATGATGAATTGGATGAATTTGGCGCTCCCGTTCACCATTTGCACGATGATCTCTACGCTGATGACGTAGATCATGATGATCATAATATGCACGATCATGATTTCAATCCGGCGTATGACTACTACATGGATCACGACAATTACGATCATGATTATTCAGCACCTGTGCATGATCCTTCTGTTCATACCGATCATGCTTATTATAGTCATAGCTATGGCATTGAACCATCAGTGAACGCAATCGAACTGGACGTCAATGCTCATCAAGATCGTCATCATTTAGCAGAAATGGCACGTGAATCTATGTTTGCAAACAGTAAAGCAAGTCACGGTTTTGATGCGACGATGGATTTCTTAGATGGCGTTCATCATGACCACCTTCACCATGATCATCGAAAGGATGGTCATCATGCAAGTGTACATGGTGTAAAGGAGCATTTGTATAATGATCACCATCATCCTCATCACGCATACAAAGGACAAAATGGTGCATATGATCAATTGTACGATGAACATCATTATCCATTAGAACACCACCAAGATCATGTTGCAGACCCTCATTCATTTGACTGGTTCCATCAAAATGTCCATGGATCAAATGACGTCCATGAAGCACAACACAGATTTGTCAAACGTGACTTGGCCAGCGAAAGCGAAATAGCATCAGCATCACATCCACTTGCAAAAGATGATCTAATCCACAAAGATTTGCAAAAGAACGATACATCTTCAAGCACAAAAGTTGCACTTGCTTCCACTCTAATCGGAGCTTCACCTAATCCGTTGGCGACAAAGATTCATCACGCTTCATCACAGGTTTCTACCAAGCCTGTGCCAGAGACCAAACAAGACCCTCTAGTAAAGAGGGATTCTATTCATCATCATCACAATCAACAACATCTCTTTTGATTGTATGCTGATCGTTCTAGTTGTCTATCTGTCTATGATTTCCACATTTGAAATAGATTCTTTTGCCTTTTGCTCCCGTGCTTTGATGGCGAGTGGGATTCTTGTGATCTCTTTGTACTACTTTTCTTCTCTTCTGAAGAACCATCAGAGAGTGTTTGGCGTTGTTGCGGTCTCGAAGTCTCTACTTCTTGAACTTTTACTGCAACAGGCACTTCTACCTCTTTCTCATCTTCTTGTTCATTTTTGCTCTTGTCATCACTGTTGCTCTTTGTTGTCTTTGGAGGTGATTGCCAAATTTGCTGTAACGTTTGCTGATTACGATCACTCGCCATATTTCCTATCCCTCCACGTTGCCTTTTCAGTCCGATCAAATGCGCCGTATCATTTTGACTGACCAATCCAAACAAGTTCATTCCTTCCGATCGTGCTGAAAGAGCTCTGGTGGATCGGTCCAATAATGCCAAAGTGAATATTCCCGTATTTTGCGTAAAAGGTTGTCTGACTTGACCAAAAGCGATCTCAAGCGCTGTTCTAATCCATAGGCCATGTGTGATGACGATAAAATGAGGTGGTATTGTATCATTTTGATGATCTTGAAGAAGAGATATCAAATATTCAAATTCATCTTTTACTCTTTGATGAAAAACTTGTGGAGGTTCAGACTGCAATCCTAATCGATCTTTTGGGTCAATAATATCCTTGACCGGTTTGACTTGTCCACGAGAATAGACGACACCTTCACGTTGTCCGAAACATCTCTCTGCTATCCTCTCTCGTATGATCACCTCTGGGTATGTATACTTTTTCTCCTCATGCGCTTTGGCAAAGTGGACATTTGAAGTTGAAACATCTCGGATTGCATCTGCGATTGATTGGGCTAAATGACGAGCTCTACCTGCGGGTGATGACAAAATGCTTGTTGGTGGTCTGCCAGGTACCAATAGAGGTGAGAGTGTATTCCCATGTGCTCGAACAACGTCACTATTGAATATCCAATGAATCGGTTTGGCATTTACCATTTGACCTTCAGAATTCCAAGTAAGATTGACTGATTTTGCAATCCTTTCACTCAGCCTACGAGCTTGTTGTTGACCGGTAACAGTTAATGGAGAATCAGTTGTACCTTGCAAGACATGAGAAATGTTTGCGATTGTTTCTGGATGTCGAATGAGCGACAAAAGAGGTAACCGGTTCACATCTTCGTCTTCATCAATGTTGCTATTGGTGGCTAATGTAGCCTTATCTGAGCTCATGTCACCGTATGTAGAGCATCTTCTCTTCTCGTTATCCACCCTAGCTTCTCAAAGTGTTAATGAGTCAAGAAGAAACCTTCTCGAGGTAAAGGGAGGTTACAGGGATTCGGATAGACTATGTCCTCTGGCACGGGATTGATTACATACAATGAGTGAGCTATGTGTGTTGTAGAAGGGGGGGGGGCAAGGTTCCCTTATGCTTGGGCTGAATTCAGGTTTAAGGCTTGTGTGTGTGTGTGTGCCCGTAACACGCGATCGAAGTACATTACCAGTTTATGAAAAATGTTCTCTCTGCGCCGCCCAATTTGCTGCTTCTCTTGTTGCCTGCGCGCAGGTTATATTGCAGTGCTAATCGTTGTGTACTTACACTTTTGCTCCGCCAAACTCGCTTACAACCATCACTATCAAAAAAGTACCGATCACTTAGAGCATTACTGCCATTCTCACAAGAGTAGACACAATACTCATTCGGATCGGCAATCGTCTTTTGGGATACTTTTAATCGCATCATCAATAACAACACTTCTTCTCAGCCTGCTTTGAAGAAGTTTCCAAGTCTGTTACACACATAGATTATCTTCCTTCCTCACACACATCAATTTTACGACTTAAACCTAACTTTGTGAGTATCTCATCTTGCAGTCAACACCACAGCGTTGCTCAGCAGGCAGTAACATACACTTGCTATCTTGCAGAATTGAACCTCTTATGAATAATCTTCTTGAACAAGTCAAACTAATCATTCGTCACCTTTACCCACATCTTCCTCTTCTCTCTTTCAGTATTTGACGAAATGGCTTTGAAGCGTATTAATAAAGAACTTGCAGACCTCGGTCGTGATCCGCCCACCTCATGCAGCGCAGGACCAACAGGAGACAACCTGTTCCAGTGGCAAGCAACAATCATGGGACCAAGTGATTCACCGTATGCAGGAGGAGTTTTCTTTTTGAGCATCACTTTCCCGACCGATTACCCATTCAAGCCACCAAAGGTCTCATTCTCGACAAAAATCTACCATCCCAACATCAACTCAAACGGAAGTATTTGTCTCGATATCTTGCGTGACCAATGGAGTCCAGCTTTAACTATTTCAAAAGGTGAGTGTGATCACACTGGCATTAATTCGGTCTGATACTGATTCATTTTATGCTCCTTCTACAGTTCTATTATCTATTTGTTCAATGTTGACCGATCCAAACCCTGACGACCCACTGGTTCCAGAAATTGCCAACCTGTATAAAACAGACCGACCACGATACGAAAGCACAGCAAGAGAATGGTGTCGCAAATACGCTATGTAAGGAAGGCTTTTGCAGTTTGACAAAGGCAAAGAAGGAAATGTCTCACAAGATAGTTCGGGTTGACAGAGAAATGTGATCAACATTTTGTAAGATCGCTTTTTGCTACCGTTCAATGTTAATGAGATCAATTCTTTCAACGCATTGCGGTGATTCTCTTTAATTTTCTCTCTCGATGACTATGGGTTTTATTGCGTTTCTTTCTCTTTTTCTTTGTCGCCTCTTCCTTTTGCACATTTTTATTCGCCACTTCTCATCGATCATACATACATCTTACACGCCACTACAATGATATAAATATAATTCATCTTTTTTTAACCACGCCGCCGCCGCCGGAAGCTATTCTCTGTTCCGGACGGAAGGATAAGTCATAAGCACGACAGACTCTTTTGCATGTTGAAAGGGCCGCTTACAAGATCCGTCGATCGAGGGAAAAGCAGCTGTTGATTGTGAACGCAAGCAAAAGAGTATCACCATTGTCACTATGTTGTGTACTGTACTATACACTGGACCGTGCGTGGGCTGAGATTAGGGTTTTGCGTAATATTGGGTTAGGGGAAAAATTAGACTGATAAAGTGCATTATTATAACTTTCAATCATTTTTTGAATGATTACCATCACCTATCATTACAATCGATCATCATTATAACAATCATCGCATTCGTATCGTAATCAAACCGAAACACATCACCCAAGATGGGTATGACCCATTTGGAATACCTTGCTTCAAGTAGGATATTTGGATGCAAGAAGTGCAGAACGCATTTATCAACGATTGAGTCTTTGATAAGCAGGGTGAGTGTTCGTCGAGGGAGAGGGAGTGTGAATGTGTGAAGATGGATGGCAAGCATTGACTGATAGACACAAATTTACTGACACCTCTTACAATCCCCATGCCAGAATTTCACTGGACAAACAGGACGTGCGTTTCTATTCGATGCCGTCGTCAACATCAAACTTGGTGATGCAGAAGATCGACATATGACAACAGGATTACATACCGTTCGCGATATCCGATGTGGAAAATGCGCACATACACTAGGATGGAAGTATGACAAAGCATACGTCACTTCGGAAAAGTACAAAGAAGGTAAATACATTCTAGAACGCAATTTGATGGATGATGTCGATTAAGAACCTTTTAGCAGCAACACAAAGCAATTTTCTCATTTAAAACCTAGCATGTATTTGTATCGTACAATTCAATCTTTCTCTCTGCCCCACTCTTCACCCCATAGAGCCCAAGTCTAATTCCGTCCATACTGCCCTATACGGTCTCCATGGCTTTCGAAGTTCATTTCGCATCAACGAATTAGGACCGCCTGGGCCAGGACCATATCGCTTGAACGGCCATCTGGGTGGATTGAGTGCGATTGAGAAGTGATTAGATTGACTGCTATCAGCATTATCGTCTGGGCCCGAATCGTCCTCTTCTTCAGAATTGTCTTCTTCTGCTTTATCCTGCTGCCTTTTCCGCTTTCGTGCTTTACCATTCGGAGCTTCATCCGGACCTCCTGGCCTTCTGAGTACTTGAAATCGATTCGAGTACGGTAGAGAAGGTTGATGTAAATCGCCATAAGGATGAGAAGGATGAAGTTCAGATGGTAGCGTTTCACCATCTTCTGCAATTGCGATTGGAAATAATTGTTCTTCTTCGAGAATATGAATATCAGGACAAAGAATGTCCAAAGTTGGCTTTTGCCAATCTTCAAATCTATCCATATCTAACCAATTATCTGATCCAGATGGAGCACCAATCTCTTCACCGCCTTGTTCGTATAAGTCATTATTTAATGCATCGGTCTGATGTTGATCTTGGTTATGTCTCTGTCCGCTGTTTGTTCCAGATCCCAGATCGGTTGCTGCTAATGATGAATAATACACTTCTCTTTGCATTCTACCATCTACCCACATCCTTTGTGGATCGTTGGATGAAGTGGAAGCATGATAATCCAGATTTAACATACCTCTAAGGGATGAAAGTTGACCATCATGATATGCATTTATCCTTCTTGCTCTCGTTCTGTTTGAGGAAGATGAAAGATTGACTGGTGCACGTAATCGTGATGAAGATATATGTGCGTCTGCTGACATGTTGTTGTTGGTGATCAAGTGTTGTTCTCATGCAGTCGAAGGCGTTAAGCCTAGCACTCACACACGCATGCAACCAAACGCGTTCGATTTGAGTTTAACAGAGCGTTCTAAAACTATACTGTGTACCAGTGACTTTATATAATCAGCCGGCCCACGTTCGCTCGACCATTGCTCACACGACCCAAGCACGGATATGATGATATCCTTGAACAAGTGAACGTCCCCTGACAGTGTCGTTGTTTAAAGAAGATTGAAAGGTTGATTTGGCTCAAAAATAGTGGCTAAAGGGAACGGATTCCAATATAGACTATGCATTGACAGATGTATGCACCCTATAGCACCGTAATACTCTAATTCCCTCCTTCTTCCTTTCATTCATAATGATACCATGATTAAGGTTTATAATGATAAAAGCAACCATACTTCCATTCAAAACAAATCGATGAAGATTCTATACAAATCAACAATCTTCACTTAAAATTTGCAATAAACATGTCAACGTCCCGCAATTATCCCGCTCCTCCCATCGTACCGACACATTCAGAAGGATTCATTCATCCACCAACTCCAACGTATTGGCAAATACACAATAATCCGCCAATCTATCCACCACAGCCATCACAGCAGAATGGCACACCGCAAAACTCTACTACCGCAACCAAGAAACCTGTCCGTGATAGTAAAAGACGTGCAACGCATAGTCAAATCGAACGAAGGCGAAGAGAAAAGATTAATGATCGATTGATCACTTTACGTTCGATTGTGCCTGCTTGTGTTGCGGAAATTGAAGAAAGAAAGCGAGTGAAATTTGAAGAAGAAGAGGAAGCAAGAAAGATTGCTACAGGAGAAATAAGTGCGAATGCTGTAAGAGGAGGTAAGCGAAAAAGAAATCGTAGAAGAGCAGCAGCGGCGGCGGCAACAAAGAAGGAAGGCGAAGGTGATGATAAAGAGGAGGAGCTAGGTTTACATAAACTTGAAGTCTTGACGCATACGATTGATTATATTTATCAATTGCAAGAGCGTATACTGGAATTGGAAACTGGTGTCATTCCTCAAAAGAGAAGAGTGAACGATGAAGAAGAACGAGAAGATGATCCAATGGATGTGGAAGAAAGCCGTGTTACAAGTGCAGGTGATCGTAAATCTTCACTCATGGAAGAAGATGAAGATGAAGAAAGTTCAGAAGCACATCTGGAAATGGCAGAATGGAAAGGAATTCAAGTCAAACCGACAGGAACAAAGAAAGACATTCGAAGACCTTCATATGGACGTCGATCAAACAGTTTGAATCCTTCTCCAAACATTTTTGGTAGCTTTGTCGGAGAATCACCTTTATTTTCCGCAACTGCAAGTTCATCTTCTGCATCCGTTTATACCACTTTGACATCTCCTATGATGTCATTATCAGCCGAATCGCCAATCATGTGTTTAGGAATGGGTTCTTCCTCTGCATCTCCAAAGGGAAACAAGGAACAAGAAGAAGTGAATTTGTTGGATAACAGTCTTCAATCAAACAGAAATAAGTCAATTTTATCAACCGCCATACCGAATTCGGGCGGCAAGAGTAGATCACCTTTGAAGATTGGCGGCGAACAAAGTTGGAGACTACCAAGTCCGGCACTGTCTGCTTTTGATTCTCATCAAAGGGCCAGGTCCAATACCACTTTACAAAAACTACCAAACTTTTCCAAACCCGCACCACAACACGATGATGCTCGACTTTTGTTGGCTTTCAGTACTTCTCCAGAAGTTTTTAGACCTACGAGCGCCGAAAGACTTTCAACGGTTCATCATGAAACTCATTCCAATCACGGTAAAAATTCCACTACCACCACCACCACCACCACCACCACAACGAAGCCGTTTAGGATGAGTAAAATAGTTGACGGTCGTTCTATCGTTTTAGATAGCGCTCCAGGCGGTACACAGCCTACTTCGCATTCCGCTTTATTACCAAGTCCACCCTTTTTGGCATTGGACAAGTCGCTTGAAAATCTCGATCAAAGATCATCACACCACCATCACAGCGATTAGACAAGGGAAGGAAAAGTATACGCTTTTTTGAAGTGTAGTTATTCATGTACATATATGTTTCATATACCAATCCAATATCTCCCGTGGAGGGAAGAAACAAACATCTTGAACAGAGGATTTACATCTTTGCCATGAATTGCATATTCTGACCACCATCGAGTGCTAAAGCGTTACCGGTCATATGTGCACCTGCTCGAGAAGCCAAGAAGAGGGCGAGACCTCCAATATCCTCTGGTGTTCCACAGCGACCTGTTGGTTGGATTCCTTCAAGCAAATCTTTGTTTTCCTGTAGTCCGTATGCCGTCATCCTAGAAGGGATAGAAGAAAAGGGTTAGACTTGATCACATATATGTTGTTCGATCATGCATCATAATACTCACTTACTGGGGAAGACACCTGGATGGAGCAAAGAAGGAAGAATTAGTCAGCATCATTCCTCAACATACTCAAGTGTTTTCAATACTCACCAGGACAGATGGCGTTGCAAAGAATGAATCGTTCGGCCAAAGAGACTGCCAATGTACGAGTGAGATGCACGGAAGCAGCTTTTGACGGTTGGTAAGACCAAGTACCATGACCTGGAGCAGCCAAGCCGTTCTCAGCAATCGGATTGAAAGCAGCAACGGATGCGATATTGATCACAGTACCATGTTCAACGTTAGATTTACCCTTTTCGAGTAAGGGCAATAAAGCAACGGTAAGATAAAATTGAGATTTAACATTCAAAGCAAACGTTTTATCCCATCCTTTATCTTCAGGGAAATCGTCCATTGGTGCTCCCCAAGTTAAGCCTGCATTGTTGACCAAGATATCCAATCTGTCTTCATGCTTTTTGAGTTGAGCGGCTAAGCTATCACAACCTGCTTTTGTACCAACATCAGCTTCGAGAGGAATGCAAGCTGGACCTTTACTTTGATCAGGTGAAAGTTTACTTAATTGTTCGGCTTGACGTTGTAAATCATTAAGTTTACGAGAAGCAATGTAAACTTTTGCTCCATTTCTCAAATAAGCACCTGCTATCATCTTTCCGATTCCGGTTGCACCTCCTGTTACAAGTGCAACTTTTCCTGTCAAATCGAATAAATGATTGCGACCCAATTCGGGCATCACATCAGGAGCAGCGTCTTTTGGCATTTTGAAGAATGATTTTTGTTTTGAGGATGTGATGGTAAAGAGCAATCGTTCACATTCTGGTAATCCAAAAGGTTCCTTGTAAGCCGGGCGGTTGCGCACGCATTGACTAAAAGCACACTGTGCACTTTCCCACACTTTTTTATGAACGCGCCGGCTAACGATCATACACCGGGCCCGACACAAGCATACATGCAGGGCGGGGTAATGATTCCTAATGAATTGAGGTGTAAATGAATAGTATACATTGCAAAACAAAACCAAAAAATGATTATTGAAGGAGTGGCTGACGTTCCAATGAATGCCATCTAGAACGAGTAGATGATTTGCGTGATCTAGCATCATGTTGATGATTGGCATAGATATGATAAGATCCTGTTGATGGAATCATGAGAGCGGAACCACCTTCATTCGAATGGATTGTGGGTCTCTTTCCACGCCAAGAGAACCATTGCATAATAATGATTGCATCAAAAATGAGAGTCCCGCCACTCCCTAGTAAGAAAGGCAAGCTTTCCATCAAATATGCCGTCTTTTCTTGCGGGGTATGAGGAGGTGATTGTGCCTTTGGGTTAACGAGAATGCTGATAGAATATAAAAAGTTGCCCGTTGCGGCAGCAATGAAGAGCAAAATACTCAAACCCTGAACGGATTTACGTTGCATATTTGTCCATATTTGTGGTAAACGTGAGGTCATATACAAAATCGTACATGTCCATGCACTTATCCTTCCGATCACACGTTCAAGAGAAGGCGATTCAACGGGCTCGTGCTCGGAAGGCGGTGACAACACATTTCCGAGGCTTATCGGACCCATCCCGGAAGTTCCGGCAGGGAAATTTTGGGAAGGAAGTCCGCCGCCAAACACAAATAGCGAAGCCACGCCCAACAGAACCAATCCCGATTGACGTGCAGATAAAGGTGTCATGTTACCCCTTGTTGAACTGCGACTAAGTGATGGACGAGAAGAATCTTTCCGGCGAACAGGTGACATGACCAAACTTGGATCTCTTCTACTGAAAGGCGAAGGAGGTTGTTCTGCAGCCGTAAATCGTTCTGCATTCTTTGCTTCAATCACACCAGCAGTGCGAACCATTCCACGACCTCGTTGGATGTCGGGAGAATGTAGCTTTGGTGCACCTGCTTCCCCAAAACGGATATTGGGCGTTGAAGTGAATAAATAATCGCTGCTTTGATTGTCGTCTCCGCCTTGAACAGAAGACATACTTGCAAACATATGATCCGGCACTTCATCCTGCTCTTCGCCTTCTTCACTGTCATTATGCTGATCTTTTCCTTGCCGTCCAATCTCACCTTCCGACATTGCTAAAGCCAATGCATGTTTTCTTCGAGCCTCTCTTCTTGCCATGCGTCTCTCTGTCTCAGCGGCAAGTTCAGCGACACTCTTTGCAGCTTCACCTAATGCTCGGTAATTGCTGTCCAGCTCGGTATTCCGACGAAGCAGATTTCTGGTCGTAATCACAGAACCACTCTTTGTCCTTCTTCGATCGCTCGAAATTGGTCTCCTAGTATCGTCTACAGTATGTATCGAATCTATGGAGTTCAACATGCCAGACCTTGTACTCTGTACGCTAGTCCCTCTTTGACTCATATTTGGTCGATCTCCGGCTTGGCCGCTAGACTCGAGAGTTTGCGATCGATAAGCATGTCGGATCTGCCTGGCATGCTTCTCTTTTGCCTTTGCCAATCTGCGATCTCTTTTCCAGTAATAGTAATACTGTATCAGAATACACACGTCAATGCAGCAAAAGTAGGTAGCGACTGCAATTTGAAATGGAAGTTGTTGTGTTAATACGCTTCCGATCAGATTTGTTGCATCGCCAGCCATCCATTGTGCCAAGAAAACAAATGAAAGTCCTTCACAACTTGAATTTTTGTAATTTTCATACAATTGAGGAGATTGTGCAAAAAGCCAAACGACAAAAGATGCCGTTCCGGCTATATTCGAGATTGCCTGACGATCGAAAAGTAGGCGAACATGATCGAAGGCCATCGTAAGAGGGATGAATTGGCCGGCTTCCCCCGTTTGCAGTGATGTGGTTTTGTTGGATGTTGATTAAAGCGACATCGGAAGAAGTGAATGTTGCTATATACTATATGTTTGTGTTGATGGTAAAGAGCATATATCAGGTACAAAGTACAGATAAGGTCGCGGGGGGAGTGCTGCTGCTGCTTATCAACTATAGTGAATGAAACAAGCACGCGTATATAGACTATTATGCATGTACAGTGTGTAGAGTACAGTACACGGCATGATAAGATGTCGCACGCATGTCAGATTTATTTTTGTTGATGCGTCATGCAGGGCGAATGCCTTTCTACACAGCCGCGCTGCGCAACTTTTGTGCCAAAAAATTCTCTCCACTTCTCCTTGCTACCATTACAATCCCTCGTCAATAACCATCAAACAAATATGAGGGCGGGAAGCATTTCAGCTTCGGCAAAGGCATTGGTGTTGCTCTTGCTAAGTTTGGGACTCGTTCAAGCAAAAGATGTACAGGCAAACGAACCAATTTCAGCACCAGAAGTAACTACTCCTAATCAGAACACTATCCCACACATCCCCTCTAATTCAAACACAAATGCCACCCACAAGAATCATTATGGCTTCTTCAATTTGGCAACTTCTGCCGTCGGTTCATTAATGGAAAATGTAGAGCATATCATTGACGATATCCTTCCAGTCGATCTGGACGAATCTTCTGTACTGAGTGGCGGCGGATTTGGTGATGATGGGACCACTCTGGCTTGGGGCGGTAGCACGTTGGAGGTCGTTAAAACACAAGCAAGCTATCTAACCAGAGCAGCTGCTTTCGGTCCTAGGATCGTCGATGAACAAGGTTTGCGAGGTACTTTACTACCCATAAGTGACTTTTATCGAATCTCTCACAAAGACGGCCAAGAAGTTACTGAAGAGAATATCGAAAAACCATTAGCCATCAACAACTTCGGATGTCCATACAAGGGCGGACCAGGATGGAGAGACGATGACGATGAAAATGGAAGTTTGACTGATCCCGAAAAGATCATTGTAGAAAAAGTGACAGCAAAGCCACCTTCTGATTGGATCGCATTGGTGGAACGCGGTGGAAATTGTTCTTTCGTGGCCAAAGTACGAGTCGCACAGGCCTTGGGCGCGGAAGCAGTGGTGGTCGGTGATGCTCCTAGCGAGAACGGGGGACGTGATGGACAGTCGGGTAACGATCCTGGATTGTCAGGTCAATTGGTAACAATGTATGCTCCGGGTGATACGAGTGATGTCATGATCCCGAGCACATTTGTTACAAGACCAAGTTATGTTGATTTGATGAGGCTGATTGATGAACAAGATCAAGAAGATCAAAAGGCTTGTTCTGCTCTCAAAAAGGAAGGTAAAGAGTGTGCCACTCACAAGACCGGACTAAAGGTGATCCTTTGGCGTGATGACATAATGTGGGAATGGCCTTTGATCGATTTAGCCTTTGTGCTATTGATGCTACCTTCACTGATGACCTTGGTTACAATCATCATTCATCGCTTCCGTATGATCAGACAGAGAAGAAGGGAAAGGGCCCCTGAAATTGCCGTTCTCAATTTGCCTTGTCTGATTTGGCGTGGAAATGGACAACCATGGGAAAAGGTTGAAGATGCACAAATGGTGGGCGATCAATCGGGTACAAAGGATTCAAATGTAAGTCAAAATATCCTCTCACGCACTTCAGCACAATTAACAGCATTCTGGAATCGCATACGAGGAGGACAAACGAGACAGGACATGGAATTGGGCGGAAACAATGGTGAAGGATCGCCATCTCCCTCTGCAGATGAAGCGGGTCCATCTACTTTGCCAGCGACTTCCTCTGCCAATGGAACGATGAAACCTTTAAAGACTGTTCCAGTCGCACCACCTGCACCACCACCGGATCGAACATACTACAGTTGCGATGAATGTGCAATTTGTCTTTCGGATTTCGTTGATGGTGATTTGGTTAGGGTGTTACCGTGTGGACACGTTTTCCATTTGCCAGAGATTGATTCATGGTTAACGAGGGTGAAGAAGTTTTGTCCGATCTGTAAACGAGATATCACAGTTCTTCCCCCACCTGCCCCACCAATTCCAGGAACAAATACTGCTGCTGCTACTACATCATCACCACCGACGACATCTATGTTACCCAATGAAGAGCAAGAGAATGAGACTGAGTCTCTACTTGTTCCTAATCGTCAGGTGTAAATTGTGTTTTCTATTTCTTCTGTATTGTATATCACTGCTCCCAGCTCTCAATCATTTGCTTTTATCTTTAAGACTGGATGTCTATTCAGACAGTCTCAACGCTTCTTTGCAGTATTGTTTCCTTGTCTTTATGCCATGCACTTGGACCTTATTATCCGAAATGAAATGCATGATCTGACGGCTATTTCGCCGAAAAAAAGAGGGGCAAAATCATGCGGTATTGTGCTTATACTCGGACGGAGATGCGTACCTTGGACCGCACTAAGTTTTTAGCGTCTTACTCTGCGCGGAGTTCAATGAACCTGAAGTGAAATAAAGATAAAGGCAATAAAGCAGTGAAAAGTTTAAAATAAGACAAGATCGTCCGACAATATTCCCACACAAACTCTAAAAAGAGAGTCTATCTCGTACCTGCAAGAGATTGTTCTGTCAATAATACAAAATACAGCATGTATTCAGCAAACTGAATTACCCACTTTCTTTTATCAACCATCAACCACATTCAAATCATGTCCAGCACAGAAAAGTTTAATGGCGAAAATGACGCCAGCTCCGATGGCAAGGAAGGGCCAATTAGCGAACATTCGCAACAACAACAACAACCAACAACAGCATTTGGCAAACTTAAAGGATTCTATGGCAATCCTATGTCTCAAATTGCATTGATTGGTTTCTGTTGCTTTTTATGTCCGGGTATGTTTAACGCTCTAAGTGGTATTGGGGGAGGTGGTCAACTGAATCCAAGAGTCAGTTCAAAATCCAATACGGCCTTAAATGCAGTCTTTGCCGGTGCATCGTCATTTATCGGTACATTCCATAACAAACTTGGTACTCGTTTAACTTTATTTTTGGGTGCATGCGGTTATCCACTTTATATCGCTTCTTTCTTATGTTATAATCATACACAAAACGAAGGTTTTGTTATTGCAGCAGGTGCAATTTTGGGTTTTTGTGCTTCGTTATTTTGGTCTGCACAAGGAGCGGTGATGTTAAGTTATCCGTTGGAACAAGATAAATCAAAGGCATTCGCATTGGTCTGGGTGATTTTCAATCTTGGTGCCGTGATTGGAAGCGCAATCGAATTGGGCCTCACATACAACTCAACTGCTTCAACTCTCAGTGATGGTGTGTATGTGGCCTTTTTGATTTTGACATTGCTGGGAGCTTGCTGTGCTTCCCTCTTGAAAGCACCTTCCTCGATGATACGATCTGACGGTACTCGTGTCTATGTTCCACCCCATACAACATGGAAGAAGGAGTTCGTTGGATTGTATCGTTTGGTCAGAACGGATTATTGGGTAATCTTTTTATTCCCTCTCTTCTTTTCATCAAATTTCTTCTATACATGGCAACAACAAGATTACAACGCTCCTCTATTCACCCTGCGAGCACGTTCTCTCAATTCGATGTTATATTGGATGGCACAAATGGTGGCAGCCTATTTGTTCTCTTTCGTCTTAGATTCCAAAACATTATCAAGACCAAAACGTATTTGGATCGGTTGGGGAGTCGTCTTCACTGTTATGTGGGCCGTTTGGGGCGGTTCATATGCCAAGCAAATCCAATACACACGTGCTGATGTGGTGGCAAGCTTGGGAAGTGTTCCTGATCCGATTGACATTTTGCCATCCAGAAGGTATGCAGGACCTGCTCTCTTGTATGCTTTCAGTGGATTTTTCGATGCGGTTTGGCAATCGTTTGCTTATGCTTTGATGGGAGCTTTTTCGAACGATATGTCCAAATTGGCATTCTTGGCTGGATTCTATAAATCAATTCAATCTGCCGGTGGTGCGACGGGTTTTGCGATGGATTCGGCAAGTGTGCCATACATGACAATCATGGCTGTCACATGGGCGTTGTGCGCTGCGGGTTTGGTGATCGCCTTACCTGTTTTGATGTTCAGAGTGACAGAAAGTACAAATCCTCTAACAGAAATCACTGCACCTGGTCGTGAAGAAGAAGTGAAAAAGGCAGCAGAGGAAGCGATCGAAAGAACCGGCGTCGTTCCAGCCCAATTACGTCAGATGGAAAAAGAGGAAGGTATCTCATTGGGTGTATGAAACAGGACAATATTTCTCTCTTCTAGTTGCTAATGCGAATTGCTCGTATCCCACCGCATTTTCTCTTCTTTGTACAGTACAGCTCCCCTATTTCTTGGAAATTGTGTCTAATTTGAATCGTCTGGTTAATGCCCTATCACGCAAAAACGGCGGGAAGTAGTATGTCAACCAAGTAATGGTTGATAATTCTCCATAAGTCAAATAAGATCTTCGTCTCCAAGCAGGAGCAGATAAGGAAGCTCTAATGGCTTTTGCCAAATCTGATGAAGGGGTACATTTACCGACTTGACTATAATTTGTCCTTGCACTGATTGCATCTTTGGCACCATAAAATGGCGAATCAGGTGTTGGGTAGGTTGCTGTTTCTAAAGCTTGCTTTCCGAATCCACTTTTAATTTTTCCCGGGGCTACGCATAAGACATGAATGCCCATCGGAGCAAGTTCGATACGTAAAACATCACTTAAACTGTGAACTGCAGCTTTGGAGTTCGAATAGGCTGCCGATAAGGGTAAATGAGCATACCCAGCAACTGAACCAATATTCACGATTGCTCCTTTACGACGTTTTGCCATATGAGTGGCCACTTCTTGTGACACACGAAGTAGACCAAAATACTGCATTTCAACAAAAAGTCAGCAATAATCTAGACAATCAAAACCCCTTCTGATTTCTACTCACATTCACTTCGAAAGTTTGTCTGTACTTTTCGATCGGTACTTCAATGGCCAAGCCTGCTGCTGCATTTACGCCGGCATTATTGACCAAAATGTCAATTTGACCAGATTCCTCAATGATTTTTTGAACGGCTGATTTGACAGTTTCTTCTTTTGTAACATCAATCACGATAGGATGAATTCTTGTATCTTTTGCCAATGATCCCAATGCTTCTAATTTACGTACTCCTGCATATACGATTGCACCATTTTGTGCGTATTCCGTACAAATTGAAGCACCAATTCCACCTTCGGTAGAGCCTGTTACGAATACGACAGTCTTTTGTGATGACATCTTTGTGTTTGTGATGATATGGACAAGAGAAGGTCAGGGATTGAATCTTCCTTTTCCCCACTTTCAATGCAGTTACATGCAGCGGATAGTCCGCTTTTCAAAGATACCTGTTTAAGCACAGCACACGCATTATCTTATTTGTACGCCGCCCTGGTTGGGCGTAAGAGGTAGCCGCACGCGTAAGTGCACAGTGATGTATATGTGGTGAAAGATGAAAATGCAGATTAAAATGGCATTAAAGCGTGGATGGGTTCCTGTCTAACACAATACCATCACCCTATTTAAATTGTACTTATACGATATGATATCCAACAAAGAAGGGATATGAACAAAAGATGGAAATTCAAGATACACCTAGAGAGGATGGACATGTTCCTCTTCTAGAAACACCAAAAGAAGAAGTGAATGGGGAGGCAATCATTGAAGAGCAAGCAGTCACACAAAATGTTGAGGAAATTCCGCCTACCAGCAATGGGAAACCTGATGAGATGGAAGTGGAAAATAACACCAATGAAGAGCAAGCTGTACAAGCACCCATTGTAGCAGAAGAGAAGCCAAGGTCATCACTTCGAACAAAGACGGACGAACCGATCAAAATGCATATACTACGAATCATCAATGCACAACGAAAGAATGACGCAGAAGTCAGCAAACCCCATCCAATTTGGACAGATGTCGTACAAGCAAATCTTAAGATCGCAAAGTCAGCCACAGCGACAGAGTGTAAACCTGTATTTCGGGGCCATTTAAGCATTGCCGAATTGGATGTTCCCCGAAAGATAGGACCAGAGATGAGCGAACAAATGCATGCCCGGCTGACATTACGACTACAAAAACATCGAAAGAAGATGTCCGTCAAAACTCAAAGGCTACGTGACACGTACAAAAAGCTACACAAACGATGGCGAGTACACTGCGATCGATTGGACAACATTGAAGATGCACGGCAGAATGAGGATGACCTGGAAAATTCTATCGGACCTAAGTTGCCCGATACCGCTAAAGAAGATGGTGATGGTGTAGCTCAATCGGCTGACACGCATATTGAAAAGACTGACATTTCACTATCAAACGGGGACAAGGACACAGTGATGGTCGAAAAAACCTCAGTAGAAGTTCCATCCTCCCAACAGGCAAATGCTGATGTTGTGGTAGACCGAATATCCGCAACAGTTACGCAACATGAAGACGGCGGTCATCGACGAAGCATTACAATGTCATCGACAAATTCATCTGCCAAAAGTGGACAGATGCTCTCGTCTATGCAATCGAATGCGCCAACATCTACGATTTTACCATCTTCGGGAAATTCGATGACCCGTTCTAATCGACGCAATACACAAAGCAGCGGCGGTTTGGTGGGCTTCGGGGATGCTGTACGATCAGAAGCAGAGTTTCTGGAAATTTTAGCCTCTCTGGAAAGTGCAGACATGCAAGATCCCAGTATGCGTGCTGCCCGTACCACTGCAGTGGAACCAGACATGATCTTGGATAGATGGTCATCAGCGGTAGCAAATGGATTGATGGATGAAGATCAAGACGGTGATGCAGAAGAACTGTATCTCGGAACAAAGGACAAGGGTTGGGGAAAAAGTGTTTATGATGATGATAACGGGTTCGTTGCTGATCCAAAAGCATTCTATGAATCCGATTTCGACCCGGACTTCTGGTCCGAAGAAGAAATGACGATTTTTGCCAGACGATATTCCTTATTCCCGAAACAGTTTGGCAAAATCGCTGCATCGTTACCACAGAAGACAACCGCTCAATGTGTCGCATACTACTATCTCACGAAGAAGGAAGATGGTCATGATTACAAAGCGTTATTGAATTCACGTAATCGTGATCGAAGACGAAAGACCCGACTCGTCAAACCTAAGAAGGGTCGTGGAAGTGCGTTGATGGCAGATTTGAAAGCAGCAACAGTAGAAGGGCCGGTTTCGTCGGCTATTGACGATGACGATGCATCACCTACTACACCCGTTTCACCTAATGCTATCCCTGCCACAGCTCGTCGTTCAGCCAGTGGAGCGGGTCGTGGCCGGAGTGCACAGGGTCAACGCAAACAGATGACCGGAATGAAAGGCTCGAATGATTCTGATCTTAGCAATACACAGATGTCTTCTGGTAAATCGATCGATGGTACAATGTCCACCTCAAAGCGTCCTCGCGGAGCTCGTGCAAAGGGTGCAGTATTGGTCGAGCCAAACGTAGAAATTATCGTTCCAGCACAACAAGGGGGAAATGTGGACGAAACGATATTAGCAGGAGGGACAATGAAAACATCTGTTGACGATCCCAATACGAAGCAACGCATTCGTCAACCGACGTCATCGTATTGGTCAGTAGCCGAACGAACCCAATTTTTGCGGTCACTGTCCATTAATGGAAAGGACTGGGATAGCGTTGCTCAGAATCTGTCTACAAAATCAGCTGCTCAAGCAAGGAATTACTTTGCACGTAACGAGAAAGAAGCAGACTTTGTCGAAGCGATCAATCTTGCTAACGAACAGGCAGGTAAGCCATTGGAAGAACGAATTGAAGCCGCTGACAAGCTGATGCATAGAAGAGCATTGCTTTCGAATAGCGAGCCACCGAGCATGCATTCTTCCATTCCGCCAATAGTCGAATCTGAAGCACATCCTGAGCTCTTACAGGAACCTTCTGCACGTTCAGGTTTAAATATTAATTCCCTGTTGAATTCTGATGGTGACGCAAATTCGGCTCGAAGTGCAAGACGTGCATCGGCGCAGGAGTGGTTCGGCAATGAACAACCGCCACCTTCAGCGAGCTATTCGCATCCAGCTCAACCTCCATACCGATCAACATCACCTTACGATCAAGTTCGAATGCCGTCAAGGGAAGGTTCATACGTACCTCCGTCATATGGTGTTGCACGCATGGACAATGCATATCGCAGTATTGAAGCACGTCATCAAAGCTTAGAACCATCGTCAAGGTATCCTGCCGTTCGATCACCTACTGCATTCACCTCAATGCCGCCCAGTCGATATCAGCAAAGAGAATACGAGAGTATTCCTTCCCGGTATGAAAATATTTCCAGTAGTAGAGGCATTCCAGAATTACCGCCAAGTCGGAGAGAATTGGAGCAAGATTGGCGTGGTGGACATTCACAGTTTGCTTATGAAACTTCAGCCATCCCTCGAGCTCAATCCAGTATAAGGGATGATCCACGAGCATCAATGATGCCGCCACCTCCTTCTTCAACGACATCAGACCAAAGATTCACAGCAGCACGACCATATGCACCTTCGCGTCCAGCAAATCTAGAGTATTCCCGTCCGACGCCGGAATATTCTCGTCCAGGCTCAGAGTATCCTCGTCCAAATTCTTCGTATGGGTATCCGGAATATGATTCAAGGGGACAATCCAATTTACGGCGGTCATCAGAAGTGTATGATTCAGGTAGATATGGTCGAGAAGAATCACTTCATATTCGATCTCATCAAAGTCCACTTCATGCCACTTCTCCTACACCACCTCCACCACCTTCTCAAACAACCCATCATTCACCTTTGATGGCTTCTCAAAGACATTATATGGATCAAGGACCTTATCGAAGTTCTATGCAAGGTCGAACGGGTGAGAATCCTTTACCAGATCAGATGCAAAGACCGTCTTTTGATCGTCGCACACCACCTCCAACCCTTCCATCCCCTCATTCATCCTTTTTTGGAAGACGATATGATGATCGTCATAGATGATGCTTAGATTGTATCTATACTATACCTAATCATCGTGAGAGTAAATTGTACAATTATGGTGCTGTAAAAAGAAGCCGCGGCTCAGATCCCGTTAAATCTCGTATCATAGCTATCTCTAAGTATTTAGCCTAATTTAATTTAAGCTTTTCTACTGAACGAGCCCCCGCCGCGTTCTACTGATCAGGCACACCAGATCAATCTGTCTTTCCTTCTGGCAACCATCATCATCGCACAACATGGCTTCCACTTCTGCAACATTACCCTCTGCAACCACTGCTCCTACCACAGGACCACCACTTCCGCCCAACAGTACAAGACTTCCACAAACGGCACAATTAGATGCTCTTTTAACTATCATTCGCGATAAAGGAACGAGTAGAAGTGATTTCATCTTTTATTCCGATCGAATTATTCGACTTTTGGTAGAAGAAGGTTTAAATCATCTTCCAACACTTGAAAAAACTGTTCAAACGCCAACAGGATTGCCGTACAAAGGCGTTTCGTTCGAAGGAAGAATTTGCGGTGTTTCAATCTTACGTGCGGGAGAAGCAATGGAAAGTGGATTACGTGAATGTTGTAGAAGTGTAAGGATTGGTAAAATTTTAATTCAACGTGATGAAGAAACTGCAAAACCAAAGCTTTTCTATGCAAAATTACCAGAAGATATTTCTCAACGATGGGTTCTTCTCTTGGATCCAATGTTGGCAACGGGTGGATCTGTAATGCAAGCTATTGATGTTTTACTGCAACAAGGCGTTCCACAAGATCGGATCTTGTTTTTGAACTTGGTTGCAAGTCCAGAAGGATTACAAGCCGTTTACAAGAAATTTCCACAAGTGCGTGTCATTTGTGGCTGGGTAGATGATGGCTTGGATGAGAACAACTATATTGTCCCAGGGTTGGGAGATTTTGGGGACAGATACTGGTCTTCTTGAACGGAATGGAAAAACACACAGCACACACAAAAATCATATTCGTACATTAGCACATCATTTAATTTTACATTTTGCTCAGGGTATCTTCTATGTGTGTTTCTCTAAAGCTTGCAAGTGTGTCAAGGTCGAACTTGCCTTTTCCAGTACCTTTTCTGGCATTCCCGCTAATTTGGCAATGTCCAATCCATGTGATTCTCGATTGAGTCCAGGTCGAATACGATGTGAGAATTGCACATTGCCATCTTCAGTCTTTTCCAAATCTGTGCAAAAATAATCTACGCCTTTTTCTCCTTCAAGCAAATCGGCAATTCCATGCAAATGCGTTGCAAACAAGCACTTGCATTGGATATCGGCAACCAATTGATGAGCTGTTGCATAAGCCAAAGCTGTTCCGGCAGTGTATGATGTTCCACGTCCAAGCTCATCACAGACGATTAGGCTACGTTTGGTGCTTCGTCTCAAGAATTGAGCCACTTCCAACATTTCCACCATAAAAGTAGATCGATCAGCATGAATTGCATCATGAGCACCAATTCTTGAAAAAATTTGATCAATCACGCCGATCGAACAATTCTTTGCAGGTACAAAGCTTCCTACTTGTGCCAAGATGGCAATAATGGCAACCATACGTAAAAGTGTACTCTTTCCTCCCATGTTGGGTCCTGTGATTAGATGGAGTCGACTTTGTGCGTTCATATAAATATCATTTGGCGTAAAGGGTCTTGATGTGCCTGTAGATTGATCGTTGCCTTTTGGCTGCAGTAAAGATTGCTCAACACCTAAGTGTCTACCGCCTTCGATCTTGAGCTCGTCACCATCATGTACAACAGGTCGTACAAGGTTCAACTCTTGTGCCAATGTTGCAAATCCTGCCAAAACGTCCAGCTCATGCATTAGTGCTGCATTCTTTCGAATCCTCGGCATATCGGTCAACACTTCCAATCGTAGTCGCTGCAGCTCCACCGCTTCTTTCTCTTGCAATTCTTGTTCGATTCGTGTTAAACGACCGCCAATGCGTGTGAACTGTGAATGATAATATGTACGTGTAGATTTGCTCTTGTATGCCAATGTCATCTCTTCTTCCATTTGTGCTAACTTGCTTGCCTCTCGAACATCACTCACATGAACAACGTACCCTTGACCTAACAAGAAACGTAGCGAAATCTTCTCGCCATACTTTTCGCGTAACTCGTTTTGTAAGATGGCAGCTTTACGACGAAGCATGAGATGCTCTTTGGTGAGCACACTTAGTTGCTCCGATGAATTAGGACGGATCAGATGCTCAAACGGTGGACCCCATCGTCGACTTTGCTCGTGATCATCATCTTGCTGGGTAGGAGCCGTTGCCCGTTTTCGTCTGGGAACCTTTTGTAGAGATACATTTCCAGTCGGACGTGAAACATCTTCTTGTGCTAGATTTTCCTCCATTTCCCTTGCTCGATCTTCTTGAGCTCGAAGACGTTTCTCAATCACGTTCTCGTCTATTGCATCACCTAGTCTCTGACCTAAAAGGGTAACATCCTCAAATGCGTTGACAACATCTTGCAATTTTGTCCATCCTTCTTTTTCTTGTTCGGAAATGGGGGATGACATATTGATCTCCGTCTTGATCTGCTGTACAAGATCGGCACTTAATCTTGCGAAATCACGAACTTCCAACAGGTCCTGTTCATCGTTACGTGATGTCAAGATACGCTGTAGCGCACGATGAATATCGCCTGCTCGCTTTTTCAACGTCCAGCGAAGATCGTGCGACATAAAGCCATGTTGATGAAAGAGCCCGACCAAAGCCTGTCTTCGATGAATAAGTGGTAAGGACTTGCTTGGAGAAGTGAGCCATTGTGCCAATAATCTAGCGCCTCCTTTCGTGACCGTTCTCCGTATATGAGATAATAAACTGCCTTTTGTGCTCAATTGTGAGAATGCATTCAAAGCAACTTCATCGCGTCTTTGTGTTGTACTGATTTCCAAAGCTGATAGTGTACTTGCATCAATTGTCATCACATCATCACGTCTGCGCCGGTTCACTCCTGCAGCTTCTGGCAATCCGGTCCAATCTTCTACATTGTCCATTGAGAAGTCCAACAGTCGTGTCCGTAAGTGTGCAGTAAGAATCTGTACAGCAAGATTCTCTGTCTCGTCTCCATCCTTCAGCATTTCTGAGTTCTCCTCAAGTTGTTGCTCTAAGGAGGTAAACGAGATGTACACCTTTGCTGGATCCAAGGCTTCCCAAAGCGGGCCATCTTTGATCACAAAATCTGAAGGATCAGATGAATCCCTATCGCCGTTCTGGTTATTGTGTGTAAAGACATTTGGCTGAAGAACAATTTCAATCGGATTCAGACGTGCCAGTTCGTCTCGCATGCTTTGCTCATCATGACAAATTGTTGTTCCAAAATCCGCCGTACTGACATCCAACCAAGCCAAACCAAATTGATTTGCATGCTTGCCCTTTGCAACGCTGACGATCCAATTGCTACTCAATGGATCCAAAAAAGTTTCGTCGATCAATGTGCCTGGACTGACTACACGTGTCACCCTTCTCTTGATGACGATTTTATCGTGTGTCACTTGTGGAATCGTAGAAGGAGCGAAAGGATTGGTAGCATGATGATGTCGATTAGATACATATCCTCCTGCAGTACGTGTTACACCGGTTATGGAAGAGGTAATCTCTTTGAATTCATCACAAATTGCAATCAACTTTCTATGATCGATCACCAACATTTTCAAATATTTTTCCAATTGTACGATCGGGAAGCCGGCCATAGGAACAGTTCTGCCACCCCATGTTCTCGTTGCCAATTTGATATTGACCAAACTTGCAAGAATAGGTGCTTGATCAAAGTATGACTCATAAAATCCTCCCACTCGTGTCAACAGGATGCACGATGGAAATTTGGCCATATTGATCAACACATCTTTTGCAAGCGGAGGCCACGATTGACCATTCGGTCCCAATTCTTTGGCTCTCGGTGCGTCAAAGTCACCATCATTTTCGTCTGAGGATATTTTCTTTGTAGTTCTCTTGCCTTTTCCTGTTGATTTCTTCCCGTCTGTTGTCCTTTTGGCTGCTTTTTTGGGTGACTGTGTGGTAGTGGCTTGACTTTGAGGTGCTTCAATTTTGCTTATGGATTGTCCTATAATGACTTCTTCGGGCCACTCATGAAAGTGTGCCTCGTCACGTATCCTTGCACAAGTATGAAACGAAGATAGACCCCTCTGAATACATTGCCCGTTCCTATTCCTTACCAACACCCTGGTTCCTCCCCGCAAGATGGTCCACATCTTGACCTTTGGTGGTTGAGAAGAAAGTACATTATATGTTTATGTCCGGACGCATTGGCCTTTCTTGCATTAGCGGGGAAATTTTAGCTGCTTTGAGTGAAGGTGTAAAACCGTTGTGAGTGACACACGAACAGTGAGCAACACTATAAAAACTCCAGTCTTTAGAGAAGTCATCATCACTGGTTGGATATATTGATAAGCTGATGCATACAAAGTCTATAGAATAAAAAGATTAAGCTATACTAATACAAATCATCAACACCATTCACTTGATTCGCGATCCAGATGCCAATTTGAGAGAATGCAAAACAGCAGGAAGATAGATCTTTCTACTTGCTCTTGCATTTCTTTGACGCCAGACGGCAATCCATACTTTTGCATCGGACTCGTTCAAGATGGTACATTGGCCATCCTTTTCCAATCCGCCAACACGTTCACGTTTGCCCGTACTTTCTATCCTTCGACTACCTTTCCAGGGCGCTTCCAATTCCAACTTTTGACTTTCATCGCCTCCCAAAGATGCAGAATATGCATCCTCTTCTAAACCTTTCACGAGACCAGGGAAGAGGCTTTGTCCTTTGGATGGCTTTTGCAGATATGCCAACACCAGCTCACGGCGATGTTTGCCATTCTTCTTGCGTTCTTCCAACGTTCCCGTTTCTGCTAACTCACGGAAGCTTGTTCCAACAACGGCAACGTCCAACTTCCTCTCATTCATCCACTCGCGTAACGCTTTCCAATATCCGTTCCAGCGATCTTCTCCGTCTCCATGACGTTCATGAACCCAATCGCTCAATCCGACAGGCACGCTCGAGAAACCAGCTCGGATCGAATCCGTAGCACTTGTACCAACGTTTGCAACTGATTCTTTGTAATCTCTTCGTAAAAGATCGTGCGTGTTCAATCTTGAAACGTCCAGCTTCTTCTCTGATAAAATTTCAAAATATTGCGTTGCTGCTTGCAAGACTGTTTTGGTATCCGCTTGAGAAACGTGCAATTCTCCTTGTTCTTCCATATCAGCTTGAATAGTTGCACCGCTAAACTTCTCCAAACCACTCACTTGCACTGCTGTTTGTACGAATGAGTTTCTTTGGGATGATCCAAACGTGGATCTTTCCAAGAGAATGTTAGCCGCTTCCAAGTCTACTTCAGTAGCTTTGCCTCTTGGAGCAGGACGCAAGTTATCTGTATCAATCAAGATAGCTGCCAATGCAATATCTGCCAAGGATGCCGGAAGCTCTTTGAGCTGGGTTGTACCTTTAAAGATATCCACAACCACACTTGCAGCACTTCCAATAGCTCCGTTCTCAGGTCCACGTAAGATACGAATTTTTGCATCCTTATGCGCTCCGTCATCAGCGTGGTGGTCAATGACAACCTCTACCAGCTTGTCAAATGTACTGTAGGGTTGCCAAGTTGAGCTTAGCTTGGGATGATCTACCAATCCGAGCAATAAGTCAGATCTTTGTGCCAATACGTCCATCTTGGGAAGATCGTCCATAAACAACAGGCTATCTTGGGAGATATTCAAAAGCGAAAGTAGAAATTGGTTCTCCGCTCGTAAAGGTAAATCACGTCTCTCTTGTTGGACCAATGGTGCAATGATTGTGGCTTTTGGGAAAGCATCCGAGTATTTCTGGTCACCCTCACTGATCGCTTTCGATAACAGGTAAGATGACAAGATTGCTGATGACATACTATCCGTATCACCAGCTTCATTGCCCATGATTAGAAGAATGGGAGCGTTTTCATCCTGTTTGCTTGAGCTGAGTCTGTCTAGAACTGCCTTCTTCCTCTCAGATAGATCATCGGCCAGCACAAACGATGACATTGTTGCTGTGTTTGGCTGTGCAGCAGGAGGTTCAAGTTGAGGAGTGGTGACTGGAGTGGCTGCTGCGATCGTGGTTGTAAGGGAAAGGAAAGAGTGATTGTTGGTTGCTAATGTAGGCTGATGACCCCAACGTATGGCCGAAAGACGAACAGATATTCCGTCAAAAAGGTAAAGGGTCAATCCAAAAATGCAAACAAATGCCAGCAATCGAGAAGGTCGTAAAAAGGTAAAGATTGTATATTGCCTTCGCATAAATACTAGTAAGCCAAGAAAGGATGATTTACCTTTCCTGAAGGTATCCGAATCCAAAAAGAGATGTCCTATTCGATGGTTGAGAAGGAGTAGAAGTAGTACAGAAACAAGAAACATTCTTATATGCCACAAATGAAAAGTTCTAGCGCGGCTTTAAGACTTTTTCATTGTGCCTTTCTTTTGCTCACGCGTGCGGTACCTTAACCTGTGTACCTTGAACAGCCTTTTGTTGCACGCCATCCTGTTGATGGAATTGTCAAACTGCCCCGCAAGTTGTAAAGTCACAGCACTCGAGGGTGATAATTGTTGATTATTGATACAGTACAAAGGTTGAAAGCCTCATTTAGGGCCAGGAAGCAATTTTTCGTTCGGGTGTAGCTTCCTCTGTTCTTCGCCAAGAAACATTCGTTTGAATAAGACGACTGAATGAGAAGGAGGGGGGGTGAAATGTTAAGATAAAATGTCTCCTTTGCACATGCTCATCCCCGAAACATACCACTTGTTGCAACCAAAACAGGAAAAGTGACTACCATAACCTAATATTCCATCACGAAAAGGTCAGTTCAACAAAAAGCTCCGATGGCGGTGCATCTGCTTTAGCCAATGCTACTCACCCGTATTCTCTGTTGATCTGGCGTCAATTTAGGTTTAGGTGGCATTGTTCAAGAGGAGGTAGGCGTATTAAAGGAAGATCATCGATGAATGAATGCTCAAGAAGAAAAAGGTGCTGCTCTGTTGTTATTAGCGTATTATTGTTACGGATAAGATACGCGTTTAAAGAGAAACAGGGGGAAAGCCACACTTGATTGCAGCATATATGAAATCGTGATGGTGGAGGCAGATTTCTGTTAGTATTGATCATCTGTTCATCCATCTCTATTCAAACAATTTGACATGCTCTATATCCAAAGATGACAGAGGAAAGCCCTTCAAATGTTCCATTACGTGCTGTGATTCATCGCAGACATCACATCAAACCACCTCCTCATCACGTAGTCTCACCAGCAAATAGCACCGGACAAACAATCTTGGACAATATACCCCTGCTTCCATCATTTCTACCTCCCAAGCAGCCAGAACAACTTTACAGCTCCGAAAAGACGTCCGTGTTTCTTTACGCAGGGCCCGGGTCATCGCGTTCGGACAAAGACGACAAACAAGCATCCCCCGAAATACCATCTCCAAACCCTGGTGAAAATTTGGTTCGGATCGGATTTCAGAATCCATGGGATAGCTGGCATAAGCCCACGCTATCAGAAGTATGGAATGGATTGCGTTGGACACAACAGGGAGAAGAGCCAAAGCATAAAGGCCATACCGAATTCGAGGCCTATCGTACTGCAATCGAAGAAGCGAGAAGGAAAGAATCAGGTCAGGCGAGCGAGCAAGAGGATGAGTCAAAGGGCACTCTGAATGCCTCTCAAGAGCATCTACTACCTTCAAAGGACGCAGGCGAATTGAAGGAATCCGATCTTGCAATCCACAAGCCAGACTTTTCCCAATCTCCGGATGATGCCACTTCAGTCAAAGCTACTTGGCTAGGACATGCGACTGTATTACTCCAGCTACCATCTTCCAAAGCCAATCCATCAAGCGAGCCCATACGAATCCTTTTCGATCCAATCTTCTCTCACAGATGTTCTCCAACGCAATACATTGGGCCATCAAGACTATATCCTGCCCCGTGCACAGTTGCCGATTTGCCAAAGATTGACGCTGTTTGCATCAGCCATTCACATTACGATCATTTGGATTACGATAGCATCATTCAGCTATGGCGTGCGAATGTTGAGGGAATTCGATTCATCGTTCCTTTGGGCAACAAAGCATGGTTTTTGGGACTTGGTTTGAATATTGACGAAGAACGTGTATCGGAATTGGATTGGTGGGACGAAGTATGGTTGACCCAGGAAGGGCGACAAGACGAAGGAAGGAAAGCTAGAGTCATCTGTACACCTGCACAACATGGATCAGGGCGATACGGATTTGATGCTAGCAGAAGTTTGTGGAGCAGTTGGACGATCGAATACACGCATACATCCCAACAAAAACCCTTCCGGGCTTTCTTTGGTGGCGATACAGGCTTTCAATTTCATTCTTCCTCTCCTCAAGCGACTCGATATCCAACATGTCCTGCATTTGCTGAAGTGCAGAAAGAGCTCGGCTCGCCACACCTTAGTTTTTTGCCAATCTCAGTCGGTGCGACATTTAACTTTGTCAAGTCGTACGATGCTCTTGGTGTCGTGCCAGAAATGGATGGAGGATTGACGGGAGCTAATCATATGACTCCGTTTGATGCAGTAAGGGTTGCAAAAATCTTGGCCGGTGAACCAGGTGAAGAAGATCGTCAGCCAGATCAAAGTTCGGGTCAGCAAAATGGATTTGATATACCTCAGCAATCTGTTGTCATGGCGATCCATTGGGGCACATTCGTAAGCGGAATGGATGAAATTCGAAGATCGATGCACGATTTGGAATCTGCATGTGCAGTGCAAGATGTTTTATATGCTCGACAGTACGATCACAGGACTAGAAAGGATACAAAGGGAATTATCACATTCGCATGCATCGACCATGGACAATCGATCTGGATGAATTTGCGTTAGTTACAAGAGGTCATTGAGCTGGTTTAGCTGGTCCAATGATAGTGATCAAAGTTTCGAAGCTAGCAGCGCGTTGGTCTGTGCTAATCAGCAAAGTGACATTCTTCATTGCATGGTCTTTTGGAGCTGGGCAGGTTCTTGTCAAAACCTGAAAGCTGTCGTTTGAAAGGGTACAAAAGGCAGACCAAATTGAAATTCCCTCCTTCCTCTCTTCCTTCATCTTTCGCTTTCTCTCTTTCCCCGTGCCAACCTCTCAACCCTCTCACAGACACCTCTTTGCTCTTTTGCTATTGCACTCTACGCACTCAAATCACAATTTTCAGAATGGTTAAAGCATTCAACATCAAGCCCAGCTATATCCTTTTGGCCCTCTTTGTGAGCGCCATCGTTGATGCCGCTCCAATTGACCGTCGTTCATTGGCACCGAGCAATTTGATCACCAGTGCTCCTTCCACCTCCCAAGCCAATGCCAATGCAAGTGCCAATGTCAATGCAAAGGCAAACGTGAATGCTAACGCAAAAGCAAATGCTCCACAAGGACAAAATGCAAATGTTCTTAACGCTGGCTCGCCAGTCAAATCTAGTGATCCAAACGGCCTTGATGCTGATGTTGACCTTTGCGATCTCGCTGGTGTCAACGGCTTGGTCAACTCAAATTGCAAGTCATCCACCCCAACTCCAGTTCAAGCTTCCACAAACACAAAAGGCGGCGTTCTCGATGTTGGTTTGTTGGACGGCGAGAAGGATGGAAGCAATGATAGCAATACGGCATCGGTGAATGTTTTGAACTCAGACGGTAGTCAAGATGGTGACAACGCTTCTGCTACTACCACACCTCTTCAAACAACCAAAGGTTCCGGATCTTCTACATCGAGCCAAGGCAGTCAAAGTGAGCAAGGTGAGCAAGGCGGCAAGAGCAGTCACGGTTCAAAGAAACACCCCCACGCTCATCCAAAGCCTGCACCCTCCCCAAGCAAAGCTGGTCAATTCAACAACAAAGGTCACGGTCACCAACCCAACCTTCCCCCCACCCAACCTTCCAACGGTAATACCAACACATTTGTTGACTGTTCTACCAATGGAGGCGTCCTTGGTTTGGGAGGCTTGAATGTCAATAGCTGCAACGGTGGCAATGGAGGTAATTCGCTTGGTGGTGGATCTTCGAACAAGAACAAGGGAGGACTTTTGCCTGGTGTTTTGCGCCGTTCAGATGCAATGGGTGATGTTCTAGAAAACATGCTCCCGTCGTCAGACGACGGTCAGGTCGAACGTCGTGATCACCCACACCCAGATGAACACCCGCACGCCCATCCTCACGGGCATCCCAAGCAGATGAACGCAAATGATTATTCAGATGTTCCAAAGAATGTGCAATATAGCCGTGATGTGCAAGCTCATCCTCATCCCGGACCAAGTCACCCGGAGCAACACCCGCAAGCCCATCCTCACGGACATCCCAAGCAAATGAAGGCAGATGATTCTTCAGATTTTCCAAAGAACGTGCAGTATAGCCGTGATGTGCAAGCTCATCCTCATCCCGGATCAAGTCACCCAAAGCAACATCCTCACCCTGGGCATCCTGAGCAGATGAAAGCAGATGATTCTTCAGATGTTCCAAAGAATGTGCAATATGCCCGTGACGTGCAAGCTCATCCTCATCCCGGACCAAGTCACCCAGAGCAACACCCGCACGCCCATCCCCACGGACATCCCGAGCAGATGAGAGCAGATGGTTCTTCAGATGTTCCAAAGAACGTGCAGTATAGCCGTGACGTGCAAGCTCATCCTCATCCCGGACCAAGTCACCCAAAGCAACATCCTAACCCTGCTCCTTCGCATCCAAGCCCTCAAAGCGCCCACCTCGCTCGTCGAGATGCGGCCAACAATCATCCCCATCCTCACCCTGCACCGATGGAGGATGAAAAAATGAGAAGTCGCAACGTGGATAGCCATCCTCATCCTCACCCTGCACCGACGGAGGATGAAAAGATTCAAAGTCGCAACGTGGATAGTCATCCCCATGCTCATCCTCACGGGCATCCCAAGCAAGATAGTAATGAAGTGAATTCTGGACCGCGTCCAAGCCCTAAGCTTAACGAACAATAATGACTCTAATCACGAACAATAATTTCTTTTCTAATGATTACTCTATACATACCACTCAATTTATCTTTTCAGACCAAAAGCATCTTTCTGTGTGACCATGCCTTAGTTTCTCCAGCGCCAGTGATAAGATTGGTCGATAAGCCCTAGGGCGGCAAAGCTCACGCGGTGCAAAAGGCTCGTGATAAAAGAAAGAGTGCAAGATAAAAAGACTTTAAAACTTTTCAACACGCCAAATTTTGGCTGAGGCAAAGTGCCTGAAAATACGCCAAAATTATATCAATCCGATCTTCGTGCGATTAATCTTCCTTCTTGGCTTCAACAACAACGACAACACCATCGATCTTTAACAGCACTAAATAGGACCTCATTGATGCGGTGACCAGAAGTGCTTCGACAGCTTTATCTACACAATCATCATCAATAAAAAAGGCAACCATTCCCGCTTCTTTGCAGTGAAAAAGACAACATGACGACTGTTGCAGGAGGAATCAAAGTCTTTGCTGGAACCAGTCATCCAGAGTTGGCTAACTTGGTTGCAAAACGACTGGGGCTACCATTGGGAAAAGCAACAGTGACTCGAAATGAATCAGGTGAATCAATCGTTCGAATTGCAGAATCAGTTCGTGAACATGATGTGTATATCATCAATACATCTTGCGTTTGTCCAACGCCTTCGGGTACGCCTGCTTCTCCCAATACATCCTTGATGGAACTGTTGATCATGATTCATGCTTGCAAAACTGCAAGTGCAAGAAGAATCACTGCCGTCATTCCCCATTTCTTTTACGCACGTCAAGATAAGAAGGACAAAAGTCGTGCTCCTATTTCAGCAAAATTGATCGCAAATATGATCGAGAAAGCAGGATGCGATCATGTGATCACGATGGACTTGCATGCCTCTCAAATTCAAGGATTCTTTGATGTTCCTGTGGATAACTTATATGCCGAGCCAGCAGCATTACAGTACATTCGTGAGATGGAAGATTGCGATGATGTGGTCATTGTTTCACCGGATGCTGGAGGTGCGAAAAGGGCAACATCATTGGCAGATCGATTGGAAGTGGAATTTGCACTTTTCCACAAGGAACGAAAAAAGGCAAACGAAGTTTCAAGAATGGTATTGGTGGGTAATGTACAGGATAAAGTGGCCATCTTGGTGGATGATATGGCGGATACATGCGGTACTCTAGAATTGGCTGCAAAACGGTTACAAGAAAGCGGTGCTTCGCGAGTGTTGGCGATTGTGACACATGGTATCCTAAGTCATCCAGCTTTGGATAGAATTATGTCAAGTAGCCTGGAAAAGCTCATTGTCACAAACACGATTCCACAAGCGGCAAATCGAGCTAAATGTCCAAAGATTGAAGAGATTGACATCAGTCACGTTTTGGCAGAAACGATCCGTCGCTCGCATTTCGGTGAAAGTATCTCTGTGCTGTTCAATCAAGTACCATACGACACAACACAGCCTTATCGACATGGTCGTGATACACCCGCCAGATCTTCTCCTTCTTCGCCTGTGCAAAGAAGTCAATTGTTACCTTCAGCATACAATCAACCTGATCCTCCTGTTGCTGCAAATTTTTTCGCTACAGAAGGTAATAGTGTACAAGCACCTTTGCACGTTCGTCAAAATACTCTAAAAGCATCAACGTCCCATAGCAAATTACTCGATTCACAAGCTGAAGAAGAGTATTCTGCTCAAGATTTTGCTAATCTAAAAACGCCGGAATTAACTTATCGTTCTAGCTATCCGAACGGAGCGGAAAGTACACCCAAAGCACAACCAAGCCAAGCAAACCAACCATGATGATGGAAGGCTGATCCATACACCTTGTACAAACACATTTTTTCTTGTTATAATTTCTTGAGCGACAGCTATGATACATTTGTTTACTGTGACCAGTCGGGAAGATCAGATACGGTGCCTTGAAAATCATACAATCCTGTTGGAGAGGAAGGTTGTGATTGTTTATCGGATTGCGAATCCATCCATTCTGCCCATCGACAAAGGTCAGCACGAGCGGGAGGGTTTCTGTTTGGAGTAAAAGGATGAAGAAGAGGCCCAAAGTATTCTTCTACCATCTTTTTCCCTTGCCATATCGTAGGATGGACTTGTCTGGCCTTGTGCTTGCCAGCAGGTTCGTCTAGACATAGCGAACGCAACCTTTTCTGATTTGCTTCGCTACTATGTTTGAGGAACCCTTCTTGTTCCACTAGAGTAGGCTCGGATGCATTACATTGTTCAGCTGTCGTACTTTGCTCCACGTCGGGCTGTACCATCTCATGCGATGCTGATTCGCTTGCTCGCGGGCTGGGAGATACAATATCCTTTGGATTGATGGTACTGCTACTCTGTGGATCAGATAAAGAGCAAGAAGCGCTTCTGTCTGCATAGTAAGCAGCTTGAGTTTGCGTTTGCACGCCGCTCGAATCGAGGCTTTCAGAGTATGTAGTGGGATGCTCAGCATCCTTTGGCGATGCTTGCTTATTGGATTCAGCTTCCTCCTCCACCTGCTCCGAATCAAAGTGAAAGAAGCTGAATTGGGTGTGATATACACCATCATCCGATTCAACCGAAAAGTTGGACTGTTGAGAATGTGTGACTGGCTCTACATCCTCTTTAAAAAGCTCTAAATCGTTTTGCGACAAAACTGGTGCGATAGAGGAACCCTTCTTACGCAATTCAGAAGGACTTCCGATGATTGTTTCACCCACATTTTGCATCATTTTTGCTTTTGGATTTCTTGCCATTCTTCGACTTTGCCGTTCTAGCTTACGTCGTTCGCTTCCGTACAACGTTCTTCGTTTCCAGTCATCAGATTGTCTCTTGGAATGCTCTTCAGTATTCTTTCGCTTTCTTGCCTCTTCTGATGCCAAAGAGTGTGCCAATGCATTAGCCCTATTCGATACCGATGAAGAGGGTTGAAGAATCGCGGAAGGTGCTGAAGTCGTTCTCGCTAAAGGTCGACTGCGCTCGATTGTTGTATTGTAATCATAGATGGATCCTGTGATATCAGCACTCGTATCTGGACCGTGCAGGAAGGGAGGAGTTGAACCAAACCTTTGCAGGACCGGAGATTCCCCAGCAAGTGCCATTCTCAACTTTGCAGATGCTCTCCTGTGATTGATCGAATCCAATACCAAAGCAGCATCATCGTCATCTCTTGCTCTTGCTTTACCTTTCCTATTGCTAGTGCGTGCAATCACTTCATCCGCTGTACTGTCATTTGTGCTAATTTGACCACTGTGTCCATCACTAGAATTGCGAAAAGTTGATGATTTCTCCTCTCTCTTCTTTCCGCTCAAGTTCTTCTTTTCGCCGGTATTGGCATTATTCTTTTGCCCTTCACCACCCGCTCGATCGCCCTTTAAAAGCAAAGCTGGATCTAGCACAGCAGCGAATGAAACTGCTTTAGGCATGGCAATCCATTCAACCCCTCGTTACCATTCTTCTCGGTGCTATTGGTGATGATGTAAGAAGGTTAGACTTCAAAACAGTCGTCTCGTGTTTTGTGTTGTGTTTATCTCTTACGCGCAGGCGCTAAAAAGAACAACACTTTCTCATTTTCATGTTTGCCTTCTTATAATATCATTCATCGTCATCATTTCTTTCAATATACAATCTACAATTTAGCCTGTAATGGCGATTTCTCATTTTCCTCTTTAGCAGCTAAAGCACGAATTTCTTTTCTCAAGATCTTCCCGCTTGGATTGACTGGAACTTGCTCTAAAATCCGTACACCTCCTCGTAATCGTTTATGGGAGGAAGTCTGTTTGGCGATAAATTCGGTAAGATCTTTGGCTAGCTGCTCGACATTTGATTGACCTTCTTGCTTGTGGTCGGGTTTTAGCTGAATGTATGCCCGAGGTAATTCGGTCACCAATTCTTTGTCGTAAATTCCAATCACTGCAGCTGCCGCCACTTTTGGGTGTTGTAATAACAATCCTTCCAATTCTGCAGGTGCGACTTGGTATCCCTTGTATTTGATCAACTCTTTCTTGCGGTCCACGATGGAGAAGTCACCCGTATCATGGACAACGGCAATATCCCCAGTCTTGAGCCATTGACCATCATCGGTAAAGGTTTCTTTTGTTGCCGCTTCGTTCTTCCAATATCCTCTGAATATGTTACCCGCTCTTACCAACAATTCACCTCTTTCGCCTTGTTTGACATCATTGCCATCATCGTCTACCACGCGTAACTCTAATCCGGGCATTGGAGGTCCACATGATCCTAACTTTCGCTTTTTTTGCATGCCCAACGTTCCTACCGTTGTTTCAGTCATTCCATGACCTTGAGCGATTTCACAACCAAAGACGTCCATCGCTCTTTGTTGTAATTCAGCATCCAAAGGTGCTGCACCAACGCACATAAGTTCGATTCGATTCAATTGTTTGACTTTTGGATGGGCCATTAGAACACGTAAAGCAGGTGGTGCAAGGTTTGCGAAATCAATCTTTTCATTTTTCACAACATCACAAAATTCTCCCGCATCAAACCTTTGCATGATTGCAACGTATGAACCTTTTTTGAAAAGTGGAAGGTGAACGGCATTGGCAAGTGCCATTGCATGGAAGAAAGGCGCAACTGCAACCGCTCGCCAGGGCTTATCGTAGAAATGTGGAATGCTCACTAGAGTGACCAACATGCTGACCATGTTTCGATGTGAGATCTGTTGAGGGGAAAGGACTCATTCATCAGCAGGGCACGGCGATTTTCAGCATTTGTCTACTCACCATAACTGCTTTTGGTAGCCCAGTCGTTCCTGAACTGCAAGGCAAATAAGCTGTCTCGTTCAGGTCATTGACTGTAACAGCTTTTGCTTTTCTTGCATCGGATTCAGAAGCAAGCAGATCATCTACGAATGTACTACCCTGTCCGTATGGCTGATCCATAATGATGCAGCTTTCTATCGATAATCCTGCATTTGTTATTTGTTTCAAAAGTGGCTTGACGGTAGCGATTGCTTTTGGTTCCACGAGGTTGGCGATATGTTTAAGCTCCTTTTCCGAGTAAGCAGGATTTGCAAATGCGACAATCAATCCTGCAAATACACATCCGAACACAGCTATCGGGAAACCAATCATGTTTGGCAAGATTGCCAATACGACATCGCCTTTCTTTAATCCTTTCTTTTGTTGCAAGCCTAATCCGAACCTGTGCAATTGCAGTTTGAGTTGGCCTCGACTGATGTGCAGGTGTGTCAGTGTCAGTGTTGTTCATCAGCATATTTTGAGTACACTCACCTGATCTCCTTGTGATCACCAAAGCATTCTTTAAATACAATTTGACCATCATCAAAAGATGTATCTGCGAATAACAGATCATAAATGCCTTTATTTGGCACTTGTGGCATAGGCGTTGAAGATTGATAGATTTTCATTTTGACATCCATCAAAAAGCAGGGAAGATGGTGGTGAACTGAACAACAAGAAGGGAGGCTATTTATCTATCCTTCAAGCTCTTACCGGCAAACGGGAATTTGAGAACCCTAGAAGCTCACCGGCTCGGACTTCATTCCGAAAAGTGCGGCGCGTTTTAGTGCTTACTACCCCGCAGAAGAAAGATGGCTTATCTTCTATAAAGGCACACATGCTCTTCACAGGGAGGCATGTCTTCCTTTGCTTCTTTATATAAGCATCAATTGCACATGATGGTGAAAGAGACAAGATCGAACATGATTCTGAATTTGAACCTTGTGTTCAGATGTATAGCAGTATTTCACGCACACGACAGACGCGAAGTCAAGATAAGATTGTATCAGAGTCGAGATATAGTACTTCTCCTTCATTGTCATCATAAATTGTTATATAAGCATCATTGTCGGAAAAGCCATGCCTGCTCAACAACCGGAAAAGCGGCTTTTGGCCCATGTGATTGATCGAGAGTAAGGAAAAGAGTGACCGCTTTGTGCTTACATGCATGCACTCCAGGCGTGCGAACACTTACCCCGCAATCAATTTATAACACTTTAGCGTGCAATCCTTAATAACACACTCACCTCTTGCTCTCTTGCCAATTCGGCAATGCATAACACATACTCTCGTAATGGTGGCAAGTTGAGCATTATACTTTTCCTTCCCCGCATTATCGGAAATTGAATTTAATGCGGCTTTTGATGGCCCAAACTCAATCCCTTCCTTTCTTGTGATTAAATCATATTTTTGGGCATATTATCAGCACTTGTCGGGAGTACCGAAACGATTGATGTTGTAATGCGCATTCATTCAAAGCTTTAACCCGATCCTAATCCTCCCTTTCTCACCACCACAACCATCTTGTCATCTCACACTCTTCTTCTCATTCACTCACACAAAGATGGCTCCCACAGCAACCACAAACGGCCACCAAGCAGGTCAACAAGAAATTGACTGCTTAGTGGTCGGAGGCGGTTTCGCAGGTGTACAATTACTGTACACAATGCGCAAACAAGGCTTCAATACCAAGTTGTACGAAGCAATGCCTGGTTTTGGTGGTATTTGGCGTAATGCTTGTTATCCAGGCGCTCGTGTTGATTCAGAATTACCAATTTATGGTTTAAAATTCCCTGAAGTGTACAGAAATTGGTCTTGGAGTCAACGTTATCCTGACTACAAGGAAATTCGTAAATATTTCGATCACGTCGACAAAGTGTTGGAATTGAGTAAGGATTGTCAGTTCAACACTCGAGTTCATTCGGCCCATTGGAACGACGAAACTTCTCGTTGGGATATCACTGCTGGCGATCAACAAAATCCAACCAAAATTTCAGCAAAGTACTTCTTCTTGTGCATCGGTTTTGCAGCAAAGATCAACTGGCCTGATATTCCTAACCGTGATCGTTACAAGGGTACACTCTATCATTCCGGATTCTGGCCTGAAGGCTTGGAACCTGAACACCTACGTGGCAAATCAATCGGTTTGGTAGGAACGGGTGCTTCTGGTGTTCAAATCACACAAGCATTAGGAAAAGTTGCCAAAGACATGACAGTCTTTGTTCGTACTCCAAATTTGACTTTGCCAATGGAAAACCCAAAGATGAGCAAAGAAACCCAAGATCTTTTCCGTGACGGTTGGGATGCAGTTTATGAAAAACGTAACAAGACGTTTGCAGGATTCCACTATGACTTTGACTATGATGATTGGACTCGTCATACGCCCGAACAACGTGAAGCATTCTACGAAGACATTTGGTCAAGGAAAGGATTCCACTTTTGGCTGGAAACATATGCTGATGTTTATTTCAAGAAAGATTGCAACGATACAGCTTATGCATTCTGGCATAAAAAGACTGCACCAATGGTGAAAGATGAAAAGAAACGTGCGATCCTTGTTCCTCCACCAGACAAAGCTCATCACACTTTCGGTACCGTTCGTCCTTCTTTGCAAGTTGACTACTACGACATCCTCAATCAAGACAACGTTGATGTAATCAGTGTAAAGGAGAACCCTATCAAAACATTCACAGAAACAGGTGTTGAATTAAGCGATGGAAAGAAGGTCGACTTTGAAGTGTTGGCGTTGGCAACCGGATACGATACGCACACCGGTGGATTCTTGCAAATTGACATTCGCGGAAAGGGCGGGAAACCATTGACTGAACATTGGAAAGAAGGTTGCAAGAGTCAATTGGGTTTGGCAACTTCAGGTTTCCCAAACATGTTCTTTGCTTATGGTCCTCATGGTCCAACGGCTTACAGTAACGGACCTTCAACGACAGACATTCAATGTGAATTTTTGGCAAGAATGTTAAATTGGTCGAAGGAAAATAACATCAAATCAATCGAAGCAAAACCTAAAGCAGAACAAGCATTCGTTAAACGAATCGATGATCTTTCCAAAGCAACACTTTTCCATCAATCTCACGGTTGGTATATGGGAAGAAATGTTAAGGGTAAACCTGTTCAAGCTTTGAATTATTCTGGTGGTATTCCAGCTTATATCAAAGATTTGGAAGAGAGTGAAGCTGCTGGTTATTCTGGTTTCGACGCTGTCAAGGCTTGATCAAGTATGCTTCGTGACTTTTTTCATATTCTTCTCTTCATGTATCTTTCTTCCACTTCATCTCACGAATCAATGACGTTGATTGTTTTTCAAAGTTGAAGAAGTTCTTAATGTGCCTGCCTGTGTGAAGGACAATAAGGACGGGTATTGGTTGCATTTGAAGAAATGGAGGAAAGTGCCCAAAAAATCGCAGCAGAGTGTGGTATTCGAACCCAACGACCCTCTTTTGTACCTGTACGCAAATATTTTTGCGGCTTAGCTGAACGAATCATTCGTGGTTCAGCGGCGGCAGGGTTATATCAGAGGCTTAGATTATCACTTTCCGAGTCGAGCATGGTTGTTCTTTTACAGCCACGACTGTTCTGGTGAGGGTCGTGGGTTCGAATCCCACACTCTGCTGCGATTTTTTGGGCACTTTTCTCCATTTCTTCAATTGCCCCTCCAAACAATTCCCGTCTTTGTCAAGCACAGTGCAAACGCCAAAGTGGAGCGAATTTCCGCATTTGTGAAGATTGAATGTGTGCAAAACGCGTCATTGACTGGCCAAATGCTGCTTTAAACAAGCACTGATTTTGATTTTTTGGACCTGCATTGATGCAAGCTAGATAACACACCAATTAAAAGCATTTAACCAGGCAAATCACCGGGGCCTGTCAATCACTGCACAGAAGCCTGGATGCGGCGAATTGATCGACAAGGGCAAAACGAACAAACAGAAATAGACCCTCGTACCCCTCACCATCACTACATCATAAACATCCATCATCATCATCATTATCACCAATCAACATAAACACACGAATGTATAGAATATGATCGCAACTCCCGCCCTGCGTAGATTAACGCGGGAAGTTGTTAAATTGCAAAAATCACCTCCGGATGGAATAGGAATCGAAGTGGGAGAACAAGATATTTTGGACATCGATGGATGGATTCAAGGTCCTGCCGGAACTCCTTATGCGGATGGATTCTTTAAAGTCAATTTCCAGTTTATTGGAACAGACTTTCCTGCTGGACCTCCAAAATGCTCAATGAGAACAAAGATCTTTCATCCAAACATTCATGCAAACGGAGAGATTTGCGTTTCAACACTCAAAAAGGACTGGAATCCAAGTTATGGAATCGAACATATCCTAACGGTGATCAAATGTTTACTCATTTCACCAAATCCCGACAGTGCTTTGGATCCCGAAGCTGCTTCCCTCCTACAAGAAGCATACGAAGAATATGCCTCAACGGCTTCGATTTGGACTCGCATTCATGCTTCTTATCGACCTGGATGTATGCCAGAAACGATCAACGTTCGTCCTTCTGTTTCTTCATCACGCTCCTTTGAGCAGCCCTCTGGCTCAAAGAAGATGGAGGTAGAAGAAGTCAATATCACTATGGAGAATGCGTTGGGAGCAGCAGCACAACCGTTGGCGAGGAGTGGATCGACGAATGCAAACCTACATCATAAAGCATCATTCGATCTTCAAGGAGTACGAGCGGGAGCAACTTTGCAACAACAGCAGTGCGTCTCCCCTAATCGATCAGCCAACAGCATCTCAGCTGCTACAATTCTTCAGTCAGGAACAGCTGCAGCGGCGGCAGCGGCCTCGGCAGCTGCAATGACGGCAGCCATGACTGCGGGAATGAATAAAGTCTCTTTGCAGGATTCCACCTTGATACCCGCATCAAAAATGTCAATCTTTGATCAACATGAGATCAAATCATCTTTCGCACGTAAACGAGTACCCGTTGTTCGGAGAGGGATCAAGCGACTATGAGAGTAGGGGTTAAAACTCATGTATTTATTGCTCTTTTTGTACGATTCTCTTGCAAAGTTGTATGTGTGTATAAAATGCATCTATATCCATATATGTACATCAGCCTGTTGTATTGAAACTCGGTTCAAAATCAACTCTTCTTCTTTTTCTGCTTTTTCTTGATAGGCACTATGGCCTTACGTCTATGCAAGAAGGCAATCAGAGTCAAATCTACTAAAAGCGTTAAAGAGACAGGACTTACCTCGTTTTCATATTCTCTCTAGCATATGCATTTTTCAACAGTCTGATTCTATCTGGAATGACCAGCAAACGTAAACGAGAACGATTCTTCTGTTTTTCCGGTCTACTCAAAGTAGCCCAATGCGGACATCTCATAGTATGTGGATTTTTCACAGTACCACAATCAGCCGTAGTTGCTGGAAGTGTGATGATTCGGCGATCGTCTGTTTTGTGCAACCGATACAGAGCTTTCGTTGCAGACTTTTCTGTCTCATCATAATCGGAAGGCAGCATGCGTTCCCTATCACTTGTTCGCGGAGAAGAGTTACTCGAACTGGAAGATGAAACTGTGATCTTCCAAATCTGGATAACGAAGATGAGGAGAAGGATTATCTTGAGCGACATTATTCAAAGGGAAAAGGGGGGTTCATCGAAGATCGGAGTGACCTGTGGCTCGACATAGGAAGATTAAGAAATGAAATGCATTTTGCGTACACAGAATATAAATTTGCACACAGCATAAAAACACAGCAAGGCCTTTGATGAAAACAGGAGTACATTGTTGAAAATAAACAAGTAGAACAAGTCGCAGCTCTAAATAACATTATCTTGCTTCGCTTCCACTTTTGTAGCTATAGCAGCCGGAACAAAGTCTCGTAACTCTGTATTACGTCTTTCAGGTCCGATGGCAACCCAAAAGACCGTAATGAAGAGGATGATAAAAGCAGTAGTGGCCATGACGGGCTCATATGCTTCAACTCTTGTACCGTTTGCTAAAGTCTTGACTCTTGATTCGGAAATTGCGTTAACAACTTGAGCCCCAGGAGAAGCAATCATTGTTCCCAATTGATATGCCGTTCCGGTAAAGAAGGCTCTGAACGCTTTGGGAGAAAGTTCGTTCAAGTGAGAAGGCAATATTCCACAATAACCCTGGACGAAAAGGTAGAAGAATATACAACCAATCGTCAAACCTGCAGGAGAGGTCGGTAAAACAGCAGCGGGAATGAAAAAGATTGCCATCACGGTGCAGAAGATTGCCATCCTTCTTCGACCAAGATACGAGAATTGACTTAAAGCTCCTCCAAATAACATTCCCGAGAAGCTTCCGATATTGCAAAGCATAGCAATGATACTTGCTGTTCGATTGTTCATCCCTTTTGCCGATTCCAAAAAGGTGAAATGATTATTGCCAAACGCATTGTTTACCCATGAATTCAAGCTGACAAAGATTGCACAATAAATAAGCATTGTCCAATCTTGAACGATCATCTGCTTGAAATTCCTTATGAAACGACTAATCTTGACTTTAAACCGTCTTGCGTTTGGATTTGCTTCGATTTCAACTATACGAGAATGTCGGAATTGCGGTGAATCTGGAACAATGGCACGTACGATTGCAGCAAAGAATGAAATCGCCGCACCAACCCAAAACATTAACTTGTATGTCTCAGGAGCTGCACCGAAAGCCATATTCAAGCCAGCAGCAGTGATCGAAGCACATGGAATCGCAGTTTGCAATAGACCCCCTAAGATGCCTCTCGCTTCCAGTGGACTTGAATCGAAAATCATCGATGTTAAACCACTCACACCACCCATCCCTATACCAAAAAATGCCCTGCTACAGATGAACCCATTCAAAGAATCAGCACGAATAGAACCGATTTGAAAAATGCCTAGCAAGCACAAGTTGAAAGCCAACGGCCATCGTCTGCCATGATAGTCAGACAGGAGTCCAAATATGCAAGCTCCAATGGGACGAGTAAGTAGAGTTAAGGTGATGGCTGTGCTTACACGAGTTTTTGAGGTTTCGAAATGCAGTGCAATCTTTCTTGTACCTATTGCCAAAGACAGAAAATCAACAAAATCTGCATATAACGCCAGCCAAGCAACGAAGAAGTACATCCAATGACTTATCTTCATCAATCGTAACACTTTGATCGGATTTGTAAGACCAGAAGAAGGTGGGTGTGGTCTGATGGGACCAATGGAAGCAACAAACGATTGATCTAATGCAGGGTCTGGTACATCTTGTTCGAACGAGACTTTCTTTTTTGCTTTTTTATCCGGCTCTGCATCTAGTAGCTTGACTTCTTGATCTGCGTCTGAAAGCTTGACTTCCTTCAACTCGGAAGCTGGTGACTCTTCTTCCGGTTGATGGGCTTTTGGTGGTTCAGTGACTGGACCTTGAATGTCAAAAACGGAAAAGAGTACTTCATTCTGACTCGTATCCTTCATTTGCTTTTCTGATTTGGTCAATTTGTCTGGTATATAGTCGTCATCATCGAATGTGTTTCCTCGCTTTTTGAACAATGATTTGACGTTGTGACCCGCATCTTTTACTAAAGATTTGAAAAGTGCACTTTTTCGATTTGAACGATTCATGTTTGACAGTGTTTGATGGTGTACGAGAAAAGACAGTGATTTGTTTGTGAGGGTGATAACGTCGAAAAAGGTTGTCTAGCAAGTTCAATAATCTTATTTCCCGTTGCATGAAATGACAGAACCCCTGTCAATTCATTTCCACAATTCTCAATGCGTCACTTTCGGGTATGTTCATCAACGCGTTTTGGGTCAAAAATGGCTTTCGAAGGAGAGAGGGGAAGAATGCAAAAATATGGATTGAAGAAATGACACGAATCCTGGAATCGAAACCAGATTTGTACAAGAATGAGAGAAAGAACGAGAGGAAATACGAGCAAAATGAGAGAAAGATGCAGAAATGAAAGTAGATTATAGAGAGAATCTTATTTACGTTGGCCACCACTCGATTTTAGGGCGGGTGTGAAACTCTGAAGATCGGCTTCTCGACGTTCGGGTCCAATTGAAACCCAAACAACTTTCAGTAATAGGCAAATAGCCGCTCCAATAGCAATCGTGGGACTATAAGCTTCCACTAGAGTTCCCTTTGGTCCTTTGACATGGTGTGAATCTGCAATAGCTGTGGCAATTTGGGTTGCAGGTGCGGCCAACATTACACCGAGCTGTTGAACTGTTCCAGTAAAGAATGCTCTAAATGCACCAGGTGATAATTCGTTCAAATGAGAATGCATAACGCCTGAATAACCGTGAAGAAACATGTAGAAGAAATTGCAACCAAGCGCGAGTCCCCATGCTGTATTTGGTAGGATTGCTGCTGGTAAAATGCAGAATGACATTATTGCGCATAAAACTGCCATTCTTCTTCTACCAAAGAATGAAACTTGACTTATTGCCCCTCCAAGAATCATACCAAGAATCGTTCCAATTGCCAAAAGCATCATGACGATACTTGCCGTTTTGTTGCTCAATCCTTTCTCCGACATTAAAAAGACGAAATAATTGGCACTAAAGATGCCGTTGATCCAACCGTTTAAGCTTACAAAGATTGTGCAATAAATAAAAATTGGCCAAGATTCAGAAAACATCATTCGAAATTGATATCCAAACCTACGTATCTTGCTTCTATACTTTCCTTCCCCAGGTCCGATCAAGATGTCATCTTCCACTTGACAAAATTGTGGAGATTCTGGCAATAAAGCTCGTAGCAAAGCAGCAAAGAACGTGATTCCAACGCCTACCCAAAACATCTTTTTGAATGAGTCTGGACTGTCACCGAAAGACATATTTAGACCTGCAGCTGTGACTCCTGCATAGCTAATTGCACAGTGCAAAAGCCCTCCAAGCATTCCTCTTGTTTGAGCAGGTGCACTATCATACACTTGCGAAGTCATTCCATAAAATCCTCCGATGCAAATTGAAGCCAGTACTCGAATAAAAAGGAACACGGAGAATGATTTAGCAAAGATCGAAGATAATTGAAAGCATCCCAGCAAAGTTAGAGCAATAGCCAATGGCCAACGTCTTCCTTTCAAATCCGATAACAAGCCAAATACGACTCCACCAATAGGACGAAAGAGCAACGTTAACGTAATTGCTGTGGTGAATTCGGTCTTTGAGATCGCATAATAGAGTGATAATTTTCGAATACAAATCACCATCATGATACTGTCCAAGAAATCGGCATACAATGCTAACCAAGCAACGTAAAAAGTGAACCAATTATGCCAAGTCAATGCTCTAAAGGCTGTGAATGGGTTGGACAAATGCTTCTGTTTCTGTTCTTCTTCTTGTATTTTTGAGGTTGAAGACGTGTACGATGTCATACTTTCATAATGCTTCATTGCAAGCTTTTCCATTTCCAAGTGTAGATCGTTCTTTCCTCTCTCCTCCATAGACATCTCTCCAATGAATATTGGCTCTTCATTGATGACTGACTTTGGTCTTGAGGTTTGACCGCCTTTTGCGTAGAGTAATGACCAAACATTATGACGTGCCTCTTTGAACAAATAGTCAACGAAACCAATGAAGCGAGCCATCTTTGTTGAACTATGGTTCTGATGGTCAAAACGTAAGAGGACGAAAGGGTAAAACAGCTGTTTTATAACAAACACTTGATCACCCTTTCAGTCTATCTATAGATCGCAAAATAGAATGACAAAGGAGTTATCCGCAATGTCGTGTATGAATCGGATAGGAGAACACCTTAACAGGTTCTTCACGAATGGTAAAACGTTTTAGGAGACCTTCTAATCAAGCGAAAACCTTTCCTGAAGATCTTCTGGGTTTTCTCTCGCTTTTCTGTGATGTGGATGAAGTTAACCTAGATGTCTCTCAACATCAACACTCATTAAATAGAGAACAAGACGAGCATACAAAAGTTTTTTTTTCTCGCGGCAAGGATGTGGGTCTGGCCAATGATTGCGAAGCCCCTCCAAGGAAAGAAGAAACAATACACAACGAAAGGGACTGGACACCTTCTTCCGCCAAGAGTTGAAGCAGAAGGTGGCGTTTCGGCTTTTGCCCCTCAATGCAACGGGACACATCTTAACAAATCATTCTCCCTTCATGTTTTCATACAGCATTGCGTCGCGCTGCAGCTGGCGTAAAGATTTTCAGGGGCCAATCACTCGGCGTCGTTATTGAATTTCAATGGCAAAAACTCCTGTCTCCTTATGAAAGCTCTTAAATATGATGCATCATATGCAAATGGTCTTATGTAAGCTTTCATTGAATGTTGAACGATGAAAAGAAAACTTAAAACACATGAATTAAACAAAACTTTGATCGCTGTTGGTCTCCTCCCCATTATCGGATCGGACGGAAGGATCTTTGAGTATTCCTTTGTTGGCCGGAATAAATTTGTCAAAATTAGCCGAATGTTTTTCGGGGCCAATGGCAGTCAAAACAATCACTAAAAAGTACATAATTGCCGTCGCAATTCCGATGACTGGCCCATACACTTTAACAGTTTCCACTTCTCCCGTTGAACTTACTTTCTGCGTTTGATAAGAAGCGGCTAAAGCATTGATAATAACTTCACTCGGAGAAGCAAGAGTGATGCCTAGCTGGTATGCCGATCCAGACATTACGGAACGGAAAACAGGCGAGCTGAGCTCGCTAATGTGGATTGATATAACGCTGTTTGCCATATTGCTTGCCATGACGAAAAAGAATCCTCCAATGCTTGGAGCCGTGGGATGTGAAGGAAGGATATAGGCCGTAAGGAAACACAACGCAATAAATGAAGCAATGATCACGCAGAGTCTACGACCAGTACCTTGCGAGAATCCTGCACCAGAACAACTTCCGATGAAGCCGCCTACGGAAACAATCATGACTGTTACTCCGATTTGGTCATCCCTCCGGCAATCGTGATAGGTATCATGTCTTTCGATCGAGCAGTGAGGGTTTTTATCTGATTGCGGGTCAGCGGATAAGTTTCGAGCATATGTGTCTATTTTCAGTTAAGATGCTGATGCTGAATAGCTCACCAACGCCAACATCAAGCGGGCCGCACTGAAAAGCTGGCTGATCTGCATAATGATCTTTCAGAGATGGCGTCTCCGCTCGGCTGCCCTTTCAAGCTAGATCCTGGTACGAAAAGAATGATTTTGATGCTATATAAAGCTACAAAGAACGATTTGAGCATAAATATAAATGGACTTACTTTTTCTAGGTATACAGAAATATTTTTAGCTTCTATGTGTTTGCTATACAAGATTGCTTATGACTATGCCTATGCAACAGTTGCCTCGCCATTAGGCTCGGATGGTTGCTCATCCGAAGGAACGACTGGACGATCATCAACCTGTGTTGTGCCGAACGTTGCCGGTATGAACTTATCGATAGGAGCAGAATGTTTCTCCGGTCCAATTGCGGTGAACAAAAGCACCAAAGCGTACAATATTGCTGTTGCGATTCCTATCACAGGACCATAAGCTTGAATATCATGAACTATACCATCTTTATCCCTTTGTTTGATGGTATAAGAGGATGCGATTGCATTGATGATTACTGCAACGGGAGATGATAAGCTTGCTCCGAGTTGATATGATGTTCCGGCCATCACTGATCGAAACGCAGGTGGACTGAGCTCACTAATGTGAATTGAAATCACACTCATCGCCGTATTTCCTGCCATGATGAAGAAGAAGCCACCTGCACTCAAGGCTTGGTAAGTTCGAGGGAAAATGTATCCCGGTAGTAGACACAGAGAAACAAGGATAGCAATAATTACGCACAACCTTCTCCCAGTCTTTTGTGACAAGCCTGCACCTGAACAACTTCCAATGAATCCACCGGTAGCAACAATCATGATCGTCTTTGTGATCGATTGATCATCCAACTTCTTCCCTTCTGCAAGAAATACGGGGTACGTGTCTGCACAGGCATGGGAAGCAGAACAAAGAAGCCCTACAAACAAACTTGAATAAACGAACGTTCCCCAATGTAGCTTGAGCATTTCGCGGAAATTTTTCATAAACGTAGACACTCTCACTTTGACATCTTTTGCTTTTTCTTGCAATTTTTTCATTCTTGTCTTTCCCGCTTGTTCGTTTTCCGGTTCGATTCCCGATCTGGACTGAGTGAATTGCGGTGATTCGGTAACGAAGAAACGAAAAAGTGCAGCCAAAGCGGAAAAGACAGCACCAACGTAAAAGATTGTTCTCCAATCATGACGATCACCTTGGTGTTTGTCTAGAGCCATCTTTACGCCTGCTGTCAAAAAGATTGCCATATCGCCTGCGCTCCATAAAAGTCCAGTCGTAAGACCTTTTGTTTCGATTGGCGAACGATCCAAAACACTTTGAATTGCGTTTCCAAAAATGCCACCCATCCCAATTCCATAAAATGTCCGACAAATCAAGAATCCCTGTAAATTTGTACATTTTGTTGTGAGGATTTGCATTATTGAAAGATAAAGACAATTCACTATCAATGGTTTCTTTCTTCCACAATCACCCAAAAGACCAAAAATGATTGCGCCAATGACACGAGTAAGCATTGACAATGTCAAACCCGAGCTTATGGCCGTATTTGTGGTTTTGAAGTACTTTGCCACTTCAACCGATTCAACGGCAACTGTACTATACTCGAAAAAGTCAATCATCACACAAAAGTATGCTGAGAGAAATGTACACCAATCTGTGAACGTAAGCATGGAAAGCAAACGGACCGGATTGAGATTGACAGTGCGTTCATCTGTATGTCTGTGAAACAAGCTTAGCACATTTAGACGGCTCTTGGTCACGATGGAGCGAATAGAGAGCATTTTGATGAAGCTCAAGGTAAAAGAGAGAGAAAAGGATTCACATTCATGCAGACTAGATATACCTGTTCTCTTGTAAAGTGTGTCAAGTATGTCAGGCACACAATTCAATGCAATCACACCTTTCATGCACCCGGCGCCGTTCTTCTTTTCCCTGCAACTCCCCTTCGGCTTATGGAATGACTTCTCTCAATAACGCGATCATTCGTACGACAAAAAAGAAAGAACAAATAACAAGTCAATCCGCGGCGAAGATCACACTTCAATGCTGCCAAAAAAAGAATTGCTATACTTCTTATAAACGCCCCTTTGTGTTGAGATGCTGTGAGCATGCGATTCGCATTTAGGTTGTAAGCCCGAATTGATCCGTCATCTCCTACTGCCTCCCTTTCAGTCGATACAAAAGCGATGAACATGAAAGTGAGAAAATTAAGCAATTCTGCTTCGGATCCGATAGAGGGCGTAATGATCGCAATGACATCCGTGGGGCTAAGGAAGATTTTGTTTTGTTTGCATTTATATGCTGTGAAGATAGTGCTATACCTGCATTCACCAATAGCAATAAAAGCCAAATGAGCGCCTATTCAATCTCATAAGCTGTACTTACGAGAACAGGGCGATGCTTGTTTGCAATCTGCAAAATACTGATTTGCGTAACGGCCATTCCGCGTAAAGATCGACTTACAAACACAAACAAGCAAGATTCATCCTTGGCTTTTGGTATTTTCGTCATTTGTGCGATGCATTTAATCACACAGAACCCCGAACGAATTCATCCATTCATTCCAGGTCCGCATTCAAATCCGAAAACCAACCGAGAATTCCCGAATTGAAGAGAGCATGATGTAAAAATCTGTTGGCAAATTCATTGATTGCGGTGAAACACTCAAGACAAATCATGAGATGGTGATGACCGTTCCGCTGAGGAAAAATGTCCGCTTTTCACACGGTGACAGATCCAGTCTGAGTTCATTGCGATTAAGAATCGCCAATTTTCATTTTTATTGCAAGAATATACATGCTAATCTGTACCGCTGCAATCAAAATTCGTTGCGGGAAAGAGAAAGCGAACCGCTCATTCTTCATCATCGCTTTGCTCTTCCAAGAACTTCACAAGAGGTTCAGTCACTTTTAGGAAATGAGCTTTTCCTTGTGGCTTAGCACCTTTTTGTGCCCAATACAAGATGGCTTGATCGGATAAGACATCATCGTTGTAAAGCACTTTGAGAATATTCGGGAACGCTTTGGTTAAACGAGTATCTTCATGTGCATTGACCTGAATCGTATTGATCAAGACTATTTCGCATTTGGCATTATTGCAAAAAGGTTCCAAGATGGGTGCCATCGATTTGACTTCCTTTAATGCTTGTGCATCATGCTTTTCTGCGCTTGCATCCCACGTCACAACAGACAATAAAGCATCCCAAACGATCGGCACAAATTCTTCCAAAGCCAATCCGTGTCGTTCACGTACTTCCTTCAAAAAGTCCACCACATCTTCATCAGAAGCTTTTTCGCTTTCTTCTACGTCTGCTCCACGCATTTCCTTGATACGTTGTACAACGCTATCCCGAGTTTCACGGGTAGCACGACGGGAGAAATAATCAGCCACAGGTGCCAGGCCTGCAGAACGGAAATGGGTTCCTACCAAACCAGGTTGTGAACGACGAGTTTGGGGAAAGAAGAGTAAAGGATCTTTCACACCTCCTTTGCGCAATGTAGAGCCCAAAGAATCCATACTGTTTTCAGCAAGATAGGTGCGGAAGACGACTTCCATGAAACCCAAACTGACGCCTTCTTTGACCAAATGCTCCTTTTGCAACGTCAACAAAACGTTTGCGTTGACCAAATTCATTTGGATAAGCAAAGCTGTTGCTACTGCCAGCTTCTTACGCTCTTCGACCGGATAACGAGAAGCATATTGGATCAAATTGCTCAAATTTTGTTCCTCCAAAGGCTTTTGTAAGAATTTGAATCTTCTGATCAACTTCTCTAGCGTGCTGACGATCGGTTTGACATTTTCGATATCGGCAGCCTTTGAAGCAAAGACGGAAAATTTGCTCAAAGGGATATCTTCGTCCAAATAAGATCCTCCAGGAGCCAATAAACCACCTGTGAAGAAGATTTCGAAAAACTGATCGGAATATTTACGATAATCGAGAGTGTTTCCTGCTTTATCTAATGCTTGTAAAACGCCTTCCCAATCATTCTCTTGAACGGGTTCTAAAAATTTCAAAAGTTGTTCTGCAAATTCTTCCGGTTCAAACTTTGCTTGACTTTTTGCAACACCTTTTCTTTGTTTAATCTTAACGCCACTTAACGATGGCTTCTCCGCTTTTTGTGGCGCGGCCGTTGGCGGAGGCGTAGAGGTCATGAACCGCTTTGAAGGATTGGTTTTGTTGAGCGGAAAAAAAGATGGGTGAAAAGACCAAGAGAAGATGGAGAACAAAGGCAAGATTCCTTTGTCGTTTATCAGAGATCCGAGAAGGGTGTCGTAGGTGAAAGTGTTTTTTTGAGCAAAAAACTTTCAGCCAAACACACAAGATGATCGCGATGGTGGAGAAGGAATGATGATGAGAAGCAATTGTAAGAGAATTTATTAAACTCTTTTTTATTTGGCTCGCTTCAAAGAGGCTGTAGAGCAGTGTATTCTTATGTCGCGCGGGCACACACACCAGTGAAGCGTTGTCGCGTGTTGGTAATGAGGCGCGCCTGTGTTCTGTGTTGTTCATAAAGCTCCGCGTGGCTTCGTGCAGTAGGACGGCAAAGCACACACACAGAGAGAGAGAGAGAGGATGAATGCATGCAAACAAAGTATGGGGTTCCTGAATCACCGTGCCACCTGTCCATCATCATCCCCCATTACATCATTCCCAGCACAATGCAGTTTTAATCGCAAATAGAGCTCAAGCCAAGCTCATCAACTCACTTGGCTGCAAATAGAAACAACACCACCATCAAAATGTCAATTTTATCCACTTTGGCCTATTATCGAACGGCTGTGTTTTATTACATCTTTGGTGGAATTACCTTTCTGCCGCTATGTGCAGCTGTTGTCTTTATTCATTTCTGGCTCACTGCACCGCCATACGAGGCTAAATCGAACGTTGAAGATTTGGGAGATGTTATAGGAGAAGGAGAATTGAGCGAAGAGAGAAAGAAACAAGCACTAGATTTAGCAATATGGAATCAAAAAGCAGAGAAAGAAGCAGAAGAGAGAAAAGGAAAAGAAAGTGAAGAGGAGAGCACGTCAACGGCCATTCCTGGTGCTGCACGTCGTGTCAATCCACCTGTCCCTCAAAAGCGACCTCATCGTGCTGGCTGGCTAACGGTTCGAAGGCATTTCCAGAACGATGGCGTCAATCTCGCACTCAAGGATGCCGCCCAACAAGCGGCCAAAAAGTCCAATGCACAAGCAGCAAAAGCAGCAGCAGCAACAGCAAACAACGGAGCAGATGCAAAATCGCAAGGCTATATGTCGTCAGTGTACAAAAGTGTGTTAAATTTTAGAAACAAAGATCCGGCCAAAGGTCCACTTTTGGACGCAAACCGAGGCCGAGAGTCACCTTCTGACAGACCTTCAGGATCCTCAACGCCAGAGCAAACTCCACTTGATCGTCCTCCAACAAGCATTTCCTCAACCAGCAAAAATAGCAATAATAGCCTTGCTGCTGCCCAGGCATCAGCTGCAAAAGAGACATTTTATTGTATCCTCAAAGGACCGATCCTTTACCTCTATTCTTCAGCCGACCCAAGCAACCCTGAAACGGAATGTCATGCTGCCATCGATCTGCGCGGCAAAAGGATCAGTATCTTTGTCGCCCATGAAGGTGACACGATGGGTGAGCCTATCCCAGAAAGTTCATCAGAAGCGATGAGCACAAATACATCTACAGACAGTATAATGGCAAAGCGAAAAGATAAGGGGGCTCAAACGTCTTCAAGCAAACGACCTACAAAAAGAGCATTTGTACGTGATGGAGAATTATTTGTCAAACGCAATGCCATCCGAATTGTATCCATGGGAGGAGCTGGCATGGTCACAAGCGAGAAAGTTCGATTTGCAGAATGGTTCGTATTTGCAAAGAATGCCTACCAACTAGAAGACTGGTACCATGCCTTCATCTCAGCGTCACTCTTGCCTGAAGGTTTGCATGCCGATCAAGAGCTAGATCTCGTCGGCTCCGTATTCTCAAACGAAGACATGACAAATCTTTTGGCTAATCTTGACAATGTGCCTGATCCAATCCCGTTACGTTGGCTCAATGCTATGGTGGGTCGAATCTTTTTCAGTATATACAAGACTGCTTGGCTGGAAGATTATATCACACACAAGTTTCGAAAGAAGATTAGTCGAGTACGCACACCTGGCTTCTTGAGCGATATTCGGGTACGAGAAATCGATCTGGGTCATACTGCTCCAGCATTCAGCAGGCCCATGTTAAAATCTTTGACGGGTGATGGAGAAGCCAGTATGGAAGTATCGGTTCACTATCGAGGCTCCCTACGCCTCACGATTTCAACCGTCTTGACGATCTCTTTGGGTTCAAGATTCAAGCAGTATAATGTCTCTCTTGTGCTTGCGGTCATTCTCAATTCATTGGAAGGAAATTTGTTGCTGCACATCAAGCCACCTCCCAGTAATCGTCTTTGGTTCGGCTTCACCAAACTTCCAACCATGGACATTTCTGTAGAGCCAGTTGTGAGCGAGAGGAAGGTGCAATGGAGTATGGTCAAGCGGCTCATCGAAGGAAGAATTCGAGAGCTAATGACGGAATCGCTTGTTGTACCCAATATGGATGATATTCCATTCTTTGATACACGTTCATTCGATCAAAGAGGAGGGATCTGGTCTGACGCTGCCAAAGGCGCGCAAAAGATGGATCTAGATACGGTGACGAACGATGAGCCAACATCACTCTCAGCAGACGTCGATGTTCAACGTCAAAGCAAGAGCACTCCTGCCTCCGTCTTGGACATGTCCACAGAAGATAGTACGCTTGGCAGTAGCTCTGCTGTGGATACGAATGATGGCAAGTATTTACGCAATCGAAGTATGACTGGAGATGCAAGCCATAGCGAAAGCGCACTTTTATCTGCTTCTCCTGCTGCAGCAGGTCTGTCATCCTTGTTGGCACGCGATCAAGCAGCATCTTCAGGATCAACAAGTACGGGTGCAGGGAAAGGACCAAGTAAACGCAGATCATGGTTTGTGGGTCGCTCACATTCTCCATCTCGAGCTCCGGGTGGTCGAAAGTCCAACTTGCAGCATAGCAGCTTAGCATGGGGCAGCGCAAGTCTTTCGACAGGGGACGATGCCTTGACCCACGAACGCAATAAGCCGAGCATCTCGTCTTCCATTGGAGAACAAGGCAACGAAACAGATACTTCCACCGCAGAGAGTCAGCTTGATGCTCATGAAAGTGATGCATACCCGGAATCGGAACAGGCAGACCCAGAGTCTCAAGGTGATGCCTTTACACGTCAAGATGATATACCTGCTGTGCAGATACACGGAATGGATATAGAGGGAGAAGGAGATGAAGAAGATTTCAACGACGCAATGTTTACAGCAAAAGCAGAACATTTCAATGATTCATCTGAAGACACAGCAATGGAGCATACTCAAACACCTGACATTGCTCCAACCCCACCACCCCACGTTCCTCCTCGTCCTCCAATCAAAACGACTGGATCGTCATCATTCTTGCCTCCACCATCGCGTTCAGCACGGCCTTCACCTGTTTCGTCTGCCTCTGTTGATCAAGAGCAACAACGTTCGCCTGCAATGCAAAGCTTAGCATCCATTCAGAAAGAAAGGTATAGCGGAACGCCTACACAAGCACATACAGCGGATGAAGCACATTCACGAAGCGCAGCAACACAAGCTGCCCTTTTGCATGGATGGAACAAAGCCAAGGCAAGCATGGCAGATCGTGATAGCAGACAAGCAGCTGCAAAAGAAGCAAAAGACGCTTTTAAGAGAGGTTGGGCAAATTGGAATGCAAAGAGATCAGGACAAGGTATGTCCAATGCTGGGGTGGATACAATCTTGACAAGTTCAGACAGGCTAGGAGAGTCTGGTCCTTCCCGCAGTAGCACCATCACAACGCCTTCTAGCGAAACCGGCTGGCTTGCAAGCAGCCCTGAAGATCCAGCTAGCCTCGGTGTCGGCTTTGATGGGCATGGGCTGAACACTTCTCCTTCGATCTTATCATTGGACAATACTCGCACACATGATGAAACGCTTACGCCCACTAGCAGTAGGGCCAGCTCGGTTGTCGGACGTAGACAACCCTACAGGGAACACCGAGCAGATCGATTAAAGAAGGATACTGAACCGACTACTTCACGTCCTTCGTCTAGTGCTTCCTCGATACGCTCCTTTGATCAGTCTGCGTTACAACCTCCTCCTGTGCCAGCAAGGGATAATGAAGTGGGAGAGTCAAAGCAGGCTATGCCGAATGGTGGATCGATCCCTGCTCCATATGTGGCGGAGGGAGATGCTTGGGATGCTGAAACGCCCAGTCTGACCGCACCTGTACCTGCCGCTCATCGTGATTCGCATACGGAAGCTCGCACAAATCTCTCTTCGTCACCTGTAACCGCGCGGAGATCGAACGCTGCCGTTTCTGGTAGTCCAGGCAGCGGAACAGGAGTGACACTGTCATCCTCGGCTGATGGTCAAGGTAAACCATCTTACTTTTTGCCTGGACAAGCTACAGCGACGATTGGATTGTCGGGTGTCGATTTGCCGTCTTTGCCGGCACATGATACACCATCTGCACAGGTAACAGTGCCAGTGCGAGCAAAAGAAGGGGAGTCATCAGAGATTCAGAGAAGAGGTAGTGGTACAAGTGTGAGCCGAGAGCCGAAAGTTACATCGCCAGATCGACGGATGTCACGTACAAGTATAGGTGCACAAGAATTACCGCAAGCGGGATCACCTGATGGTGCAACAACATCGCCAAGCATGCAGCCAAAAGGTATCAAACAACAACCGATTCGAGCTACGATGATGACCGTTCCTGGTATTCCATCTATGCAAAAGGCAGGACCACAATCATTTGAAGCGCCAAAACCAGTTGTTGAGGCTTCACCGAAAGGCCGGACGAGCAATTTGAGCGATCAACCTTTAGGTGGAGGAGGAAGTCCACGATTGGGTTTGGGTGATTTAATGTCGCGAATCCCATCTTTTGGAACTGCATCGACGGCAGGACAATCAGAAAGTATTGCTGCGCCTTTGAGCGAGAATGGAGGAGGTCCATCTGCTCCCCCTTCGGTTTCCTCGGTTTCAGTTCAAGATAATACAGTCACACCTGCCTTGAATGATGTTGAAAGCATCAAGGAAGAGAGCGAAAAGAGCACCACCACCAAGAGTCTTGAAGGAACAGATTCTGCGCTGCAATCGGCGGTCGAAGGACCAAGCGTGGAAGAAGTCAAAGATCAAGAGCCAAAAGAGGATACGACGCCATCCTCGAAAAGGCCTGTGCCGATCCCACCAACTTTACCACGACGACTTTCGGTAGCGGAAAGGCTTGAAAGCACAGTCAAACCTGCAAAAACGGATGATGATGATCAATCAAAAGACTTATAAAAAATCGATGAAGAGTCTTATCATTCCACCGTTAAATCACATCACAACTGTATATTGAACGCACAATTTCACACTTCTTAACGTAAAGGCATTATGCAGATTTGCGATCTGAATGATTGTACAAGAGTATGAGAAAGAAAGATTCCAATGTACACCCTTAATTCCTCGTTCGTTAGTAGCAAACTTTTGTTTGTTCGCTTTGTCTATTTCGATCACCTCAATGACTTCCCTTGCTCTTCGCTCCCTCTTCCATCTCCTTCTTCAGATGCTTCTTGTACCACTACTTTTGGCACGCTCACTTTTCCGTTCATCTTGTATCCTCCATTGCTTGCTGACGCGGCAGTAGCAGGGACCGATATTCCATCCGCGCCTATCTGAGCGGAATTGGATGATGATGATGATGAGTTGTTCTGTCCACTACCCGGGGCACTTCCAGCTTTGACCCTTTGATCTAATGCTTTCAATGCCATTGCTCTTCTCCTTTCTGCTTCTGCTCTCGTACTTCCTGCTCCAGGTGTTTGAGGTGAGATTCCAACTGACATGGAAGGTAATCCACTTCCCACCCCTAACTCAACATCTCCCATTGCAGAGTATTGCCAAGGTTGAACGACGCCCAACTTCAAAAAGACGCCATAAAGCGTATTGGAAACGAATGTGACGGGTTTGTGCATAAAGGGCGGGAACCAGCTTACAAGACTGAAAGTTTCACTGCGATCACCTCGTATTCCGTTATCGTTCATTTTGAAGAAACGCAAGTAGGCCCAAGAAAACAGCCAACCGAATTGAATCAGAATGAATGGAGATGGGTATCCCAAGACACAGATAATGTTGGAAAATGTGACGTAAGCCATCGGTAGATCACGAACGCGCACTTTGAGACCGAATTTGAATTGAACTTGATGTTCAGGTATTAGCTGTGCCAAAGCGACCAAGAATGCAGTTTGCAATGCTTCCAAGCCATGATATTGCACTCCATACATCATCTTTTCACCTCTTGTAACAACGTAAAGTGCAACGGCAAGAAACCAAGCAACGACATTGGAAACGATAATGACGATGAATGAGAATCGAATCATTTCTACTGGACCCCATATCCGTTCCAAATATCGACCAGCGAGAGGGAGAGAGACGATGGAGATGATAAATTCGAAAAAGCTTGTTTCACAAAATGCAGCTGTGAGTAATGTCCAAGGATACCAAAAACTACTGCCAGGCACGATGACTAGCCAAGGAAATGCAACAGCACTATCATCTCTAGAAAAAGATATCAAATGGATGCCATCTTCTGTCATTGTAACCCGCAAGAATGCTAGCATGAGCGAGAAACCTAACAAGGCAGCAGTCATTGACCGAGTAGCGATCGGTATAGACGAAATAAACGAAGCAAGATTGACGACAGCCATCTTTGCGAAATTTTCCAGCGAGGGTATGTGATGGTGTTTCTTTTTGTTCGTTCAGTTCATCAAAGATTGAGAATGTGACCACATTGACCAATAGTTGTTGTTGTATTATGGTTGGTTGTTGGTAAAGACAGTGAATGCAATTCAAACGATTAAACTTTCGCGCGCAGGCCAGCACCGGGCGCTTGAAATGGAAAGAATGAAAAAAGAAACTAGCGTCATTCATTACTGGCACCGCGCTATGGCTGTAGAGTGGTGAGTGCGCAGCGCGTTTGAAGGGCATCAAGGCTGACTGTAATCAAACAAGTACTTTGTTGCGCGCGCAATTGTATGGCCTTTTTCTCTGGTAACACTCATTAATACACCACCTCTTTTTCCGTCCGCATTAAAACATCCAACAAAGATTCAACAAATCACCATCTCTTTATCATCCATCCACCAGTAAAGCACACAATCAACGCGCTAAAGAAGGATTCATCCACTCTTTCATCGCTTTGTCCACTATCAAACTTATCCGAAACAGTCCGCATGATCGCATCGAGAATATCATAGGTTGGAAAGGGCAAAAAAGGGAAAGGTTCAATGAGGTAAAGACGAGCACTTCATTCTCTTGTACAATCTCCCATCATCTCCGGCCCGATTCGATTTTAGCTCAAGAAGCACCTTTCGATCATCCTGGAAGACATCGATTCGTTCTCGTGTATTTCTACTCTTTTTTTCTCTCTCTTCTGGATTGCATTCATTCGATCGTTCAGAGAACGATTGATCCGCCTCTTACATTATGTCCACCTCTGCTCCAATTCTTTCCGCATCGCAGATCAATCTGCTGATCTATCACTATTTGAAGGAGAGCGGATTTCATCATTCTTGTTTCAACTTTCGACATGAAAGCAGGCTGGATGATGAACCTCTCAGTCACGAAGCAGTCATTGAGCCTGGAAGGCTAATTCAAGTCTTGGAAAAAGGATTGCTCTATATGAGCGTTGAAGCTCATGTTGACGATGACGGAAGGGAAAAGCCATGTTCTGCTCCATTCTCTATCATTGGACCCGATCATACTTGCGATGGAATATCAAAATCCTCCCGGTCACAATCCGGAAAGCCATCCGAGGTGCCCCAAAGGCTAACGCCATCTCCGCCCCCTCGACCCGCTGTCAGAATGGTGGAGACATCAGTGCAAACTCAACCGGAGAGGAAAAGTGTTTCTAGAGCGTCATCCGTTGCACCTTCCAATGAAGGGTCTACCACAAATGGGAGGCATGCGACATCAGAAGATCGATCATCCAAAGTTGCATCCACATCAAAGAGCAAGCTAGAAGTTGTTCCCGAAGAAGCAACAACATCTGAAGGTGGTAAACGCAAATCAGACGCAAAGGCATCCAAAGGGGAGAAGAGAGCGAAGCGTGATTCGACGCCTAAAGCGAATGGTCGAGTGACTCCTCTGGAGACTGCTACAAACGGCTCTGAGCATGAAGAGGGTGAAAGAGAAAACGGAGAAAGTCAAGAAGCCGACTCAACGGCTACAGCGCCTCCTGCAAAGAAGAATAAGAGGGGCGCAAATGCATCGAAAAACACGAATACGACGAACAACGGAACAACAAAAGGAGCCAACAAGGGTAATGCCAACGCTTGGGTACCTTCACTAACAGGTAAAGCAAAGGGAAAACAGATTGGTGCACAGAATATCGCAAAACTAAGAGGGCACACCGCAGAGGTTTTCGTATCGGCATGGAACCCAGCTGTTCCTGGACTTTTAGCATCCGGAGCGGGAGATGCAACTGTACGTATTTGGGATCTAGGTGCTGCATTGAACGGAGGAGATTTGGTCGATTTTGAGTCAATCACGCCAACCGTCTGTAAACATCTACCCTCAACACATGCCAAGGATGTTTCCGCTTTGAGTTGGAATCCAGATGGAACACTTCTCGCCAGTGGATCGTACGATGGTATTCTGCGTTTGTGGACACCTCAGGGAGATTTGCACTTGGTCATGTCCATGCATCAAGGACCTATTTTTGCTGTTCGCTGGAATCGCAAGGGTAACTTTATCCTAAGTGGATCCGCTGACGGTACGGCAATCGTTTGGGACCTGAACAGCGGCAAAGTACGACAACAATTCAGTTCGCATTCTGATTCCGTTTTAGATATCGATTGGCTTACAGGGTCGTTGGATGGAAACCCTTCCAAGGATGCAGACAATACACTGGCTACTTGCAGCGCTGATAACAGTATCAATATTCTTCGCTTAGGTGAGAATAAGCCGATAAAGACTTTGAAAGGACATTCAGATGAGGTGAATGCGATTCGATTCGATCCAACCGGTACTTTGCTAGCTTCCGTTTCAGACGATGCAACAGCTCGGATATGGAACCTAGAAACCATCTTGGGACCCTCTGTGATCGGAGGATCATTGAACGCTCGGAACTCTTCCGGTAACCCATCGGCGTCAGGTAAACGAAGCAGTACAACGCCTCGGCCGACAAGAGGCGGCAGTGCAGACCGTATGGACGTGGACGATGAATCGAGTGTAGGCGATACAAGCGGTGGCATAGCAGGAGATCTTTTGGGTTCTGGTGCAAACCCGTATTGTCGCTTTGTTTTATCAGGTCACAAGAAAGACATTTTTGCTGTTGCGTGGGCTCCTCACGTCCGAGAAAGTAACACTCCTCGACTCTTGGCTACTGCATCTTTTGATAACACAGCCCGAATCTGGAATGCAGAAGACGGATCATGTTTACGGGTCTTTCAAGAACACACAGATAGCGTATACAGCGTTTGCTTTAGTCCCGATCGAAGATTTTTGGTGACGGGAGGAATGGATCATCGACTTTTCGTATCGAGCGTGGAAACGGGCGATGTTGTGATGGCACATGCAGCCGCTGGTGGTATCTTTGATGTTTCCTGGCACGCCAATAGACGACGCAAAGCAATCGAGGGCGTGAATGCAAAGGCAGGCAATACTGGCGATGCTGATGCGACGATGAAAGTGAAGGAAGAAGAAGGCGAGGAGAAGGCTGAAGGAGTAGAAAACAACTCCAACACTGCCACTTTGGACGCCGTGAATGGAATGCAGGGACAACATCATTTGGCTTTATCACAAGCGGATAAAAGCTTGGTTGTTCTCGATTTGAGTCAACTGAGTGAATCGTAAGCCCCGATTCATTGAAGTACAATTTCCCTACTCAAGTGTTTTTTATTTTTATTTGCTGTGCTTTCTTTACAAAAATTGGGCCAAGCGTAACCTTTTGGTCTTTACCTGCTTACTGGACTTTTTTTCCTTCTTCAATTTGATTAATTGTTTCTTTTTGTGTGATTTATATAATTCCTAGAATCATGTACTTTTTACCTGCTTCTCCCTTTTTTTTGTTGTCATTGTGATGACTTGACAAGGGTGTTTTGATATTGATTGTTGTACACATTATTCTACAGGTGCAATTCATAAATTTTATTATCATTAACACTGCAAATGCATTTTGGAATCGGTCGTATCGGACCATCATTGATTTTGATTAGCGGTGTTATTGGGGCTGGATTGTTCCTAGGCGGTGAAGAATCCAGTGTCATTTTTGAGAAGTTGAAATTTGTGACAACTTTCAACGGCTTTGAATTGCAGAACTATGCGAATGAAAAGTATAAATGCATTATATGGTATTATCTATCATAATGTTGACGAAAGTCCTCTTCAAAATGTGGAAGGACAAAATGAGGCTGCTTGCCCTCATTCTTTTTGTTTCCGCAACGGTGGATGGTGGGATTGCAGTAAGTCTATTAGCAGATGAAGGAAAAGTAGAGGCTAAACTTGTTTTTATTCTTACCCCTTTATCGTACAAACGCAGAATTCTGACGGAATACTCATATTGAAACGCTCAGGATTTCGTAACGAAATCCAACAATCATCGGCGGCCATTTCAGCTGCTCAACTGAAAGTGGAAGCAGCAAAGAAGAAAGCTATAACGGAAAGAGAAGGCATAGAAATGCATACCAAAATGCCTAGCTTGAATTTGGATAAATCTGAACGAAAGGGTTATATACCACCCGAACATCTTTCTCGCAAAACCCCGCCCGGTATGAAACAATCGAGAAATAAGGGCAAGGCAATTGAAAGTAGGTATTGATTCACAAATCTCAAAAGACAGCAGGGGATACTGACTCTTCCCCTTACTGCAGTTCCTGTGAAGAAGAAGGAAAAGAAGAAAAAGCCTGCTACACTGCTTTTTCCTGATTCCGGTTCTAGTGATCCTACAACGGTTAAGCAAATGACACAAAAAAATGCACCGAAAGAGGAGCATCACAGCCACCCTTCACCTTGAAAAGACTTTTGATGGCCTACTAGTCTTCGGCGACTTTTAAGAAATGCTCCGAAAAAAATTGAAGAATTACCAAAGGCGCTGAATTTGTACGCCATGAGTACAAAATCTGATGTAAAGACTAGAGCTTGTAAAGTACTCAACTTTTATCGAAACTCTCTTCCTACCCCAACAATCTTTGCGATGATGATGCAAATGATTCTCCGTGTTGTCATCCTCTCTGTGCTGCTTCAAAGTGGCGTTTATCTGGTAAGATTTGATCTAAGCATACTGTCAAACCACTCGCTTATTCTCACTGACTGCCCTACAACCAGTCTGGAGCAGCTAGCTCAAGTAATACACACGGTGAAAAGGCAGCCAATTTCGGTGGAGATCTGGTATCACATACAGTCGACTTACAGGCCGTTCGAGCAGCAATCAAAGCGAGAAAGGAAGCTGAGAAGCTGCAACGAGAAGGGAAAGAGATGATCACTTTTCGTTCTGGCTTGAGCCTGAAACATAGCATCATCCCAGGTTACTTGCCACCAACGAAACTTCCATCATCACCAAAAACGAAGCGAGAGAAATCGCAATGATGGGGAGTATAAAAATGTCATTGAACGCAAGAAATATTCTACAAAAAGTATGCGTGAAAGGGTCATCTTATCCGCTTTTGGCCTTTCCTGTTCTGGCTTTCTTTTTGTCAGCTTTGACAATCTTTTGTTTCTTTTCAGCCAGCTTACGTGCCTCTTCTCCACGTTTTCCTTGCGAATAGGATAATTTAGTGTACAATTTACGTTGACGGTTACTCATCAACATTTTAGCCATATTCTTTGCTTCTTCTTCATCTTGTGCAGCTGTTGTTGTTCTGCCTTTCTTTGATCCGCGTTTACGGGCTGCCTTCTTTGCAACATCATGTGCTTCTTGTAATTCGTGCAATGCATCTTCTCCGCCTGCAGCTTCGGCTTCCAATTCTGCAGAAGCCACCAAATCTTCATTCAACGGATCAGCGAGCAAGGCAACCAAAGCAGGTCGCTGTGCAACCTTGTCGTCGTCGTCTTCTGCAACTTCTTGCTCATCTGCCACACTCTCATCATCGCTGTCGTCTTCTTCCTCTTCAGCCTTCTCGAGGGCTGTTTGAGCATCGCTATTTTGTACACTCGCTTCTGCTGGTACGTATCCACCACGACGACGAACTTCATCATCATCAACGAATGGACTCAAATGTGGTGGGAGTGTTTGTCCAGGTGCGTAAAGAGCAGCACCTAGGATCTTTTTTGAGTTGATGCAATCCACCACCCATTGAGGCTGAACGAACACACGCTTTCCTTCATGTTGACGTGCAGCACTGTTCACTGCAGGTCTGTCGATAATGTGATGTGTGATTCTAGGATCATTTTCTTTGAATGCCGATCCTGATCCTGAAACCTCATCCCATCCGATCTGCGATGTCGAAGCACCAAAGCTGCGAAGAATAAACTCCAACACACCCCGTGGACATTCACGAGAGATATAAAAGTAGTATGGCGAGAATAGACTTTGTTGTGGGCTAGAAGCAGAACTTGCATCAAGATCAGCAAGTGTGATCAATCGTGCCGATTCTTCTCCATCTTTTGCAGGTCTTTCGACAAAGTCATCAGTCAAAGCCACATCAGCCGAACTTCCTGATGGTCCTGCTTCCGCACCTCCAATCATTGCATCGACCTCTTGATCGTCTTCTGCTTGAGTTGCATTGACAGCCTTGATCTGTCTTCGCACTTCTGATGCACTGACCTTCTTTGAGGATGCACTGGCTTTCGTTGTCTGTCTTCCTTTTGCACCTCCTTCATCTTGACCACTCAATCCATCCAAAGCAGCTTTTGCTTGTTCCGTTAGTTGAAATGCGCCAACGCCTGCTCCTTGGCCTTCCAAAGCATCATCAAGAGCTGGTGGATAGACGAGATTGATATCTGTGTACAGCTTGAAAAGGATAAATCCCATCAATGTTTGGTATAGCTCCAAAAAGGTAGACATGATTCTGAAATCGACTTCGTGCGGGATATGTTGGGTGAACATATAAGGCACGAGCCAAGTGATTGATTGACCTCTGATTTCTGCTTGGAAATAGATACCCTTGATGCTCAAGAACACCTTTCGCAGAGCACGAGCTTTCATGACGTACAATTGCCATTGAGCACATAGTCTTGCACATGCTTGAATAGTTTCCGGTTGAACGTTGGCGTTGGAAGGCAAGTTGGCAAATAACATCAACAAGCTCAAAGCATCATCTACATCCTTTAGTGAATCATCGAATGTTGGGTATCGTTCTTTGATGATGTGATCCAATCTGTATACGGGTTTATTCTCGTTCAATCCTTTTGCCATTGCCCATTCTCTTCTTCCTACTGCTCTGGACAGCTTTTTGGCGAATGTCTTATAGTCACGTAAGGACTGCAGAACTGGTTCATGCTGTAAGTATGCGATGTCCTTGTTGTAAAAGAATGTCGTTGGAGCTGTGCTACCTTTGTTTGCCTTTTTGACGTTTCTAGGTTGACGTGGGAAGATGCCCTTCAAGATGCATAAACGTCGGAAATCACTCAATGACACTTGCAGCTTTTTAACAGCTTGTGATCGTGTGATATAATTCTTTGCAGCACCAGAAGTGCCCTTTTTCTTAATTCTTGCCATCTTTTGCTAGGGTGATTATGGTGTCTATGATGGTCAAAGGTGTATTTTCGCCCTTCCTAGCCTTCTTGTGCATTGCATCAACATTTTCCAGAAAAATTCTCAAAATTATTTTGACCACGTGATATCGGCTTAATTTTCAACTTTAAAACGCGCTTTTTATCTATGGCGTACGGAAATCTCCGGCCTTTAGCCGTATCGGAGTTGAGGAAAAAAGTGCAGGGCGTGAAATTTTATAATTTTACAGTAATTGAGAGAAAGGAAGAAGAATCACTCTTGCACGCCCGTGCATTGCCGAAAGTGTTACTTATCGGAGCAATCCAGACCGCTCTCCCTAAATACTCTTGACAGCTGACCACCATCTCCTACTACATCATCATGTTGGCATCTCGTGCAATTGCCTCCTCTTCGCGCATGGCCCTTAGGGTGAGTACACAGTTCGCAAGCATAGCATACACTAGTGCAACTCAAGCCGATTGACAGTCTGGCAACCCTCCACCGCGTAAAGGGGGTTGGTGAACATCACTTTTCCCCACAGTCTTTCTTACTAACATCCATCACTCTCTCCCTTTTATGAAATAGGTCAGTGCTCCTTCTGCCCGTCTAACTGTAGCAACCAAAGTCACACCTGTCGCTCGCCGTACATTCGCAACTACTTCAATCATGTCTAACAAATTCCGTACCGAAAAGGACACCTTTGGTCCTTTGGAAGTGCCTGCTGATCGATACTGGGGTGCTCAAACTCAAAGATCACTACAAAACTTTGACATCGGTGGAGAACAAGAACGTATGCCATTGCCATTGATCCAAGCATTCGGTGTATTGAAAAAAGCTGCCGCTCATGTCAATCAAAAGTATGGTTTGGACCCTAAAGTTGCCAATGCAATCTCTCAAGCTGCTGATGAAGTTATCTCGGGTAAATTGGCAAGTCATTTCCCTCTTGTCGTTTTCCAAACCGGTTCAGGAACACAAACAAACATGAACGTGAACGAGGTGATTAGCAACCGTGCAATCGAAATCTTGGGAGGTGAATTGGGATCCAAAACTCCAGTCCACCCAAACGACCACGTCAACATGAGTCAAAGCAGTAACGATACTTTCCCTACCGCTATGCACGTTGCTTCTGTTTTGCAAATCACACAAAAGCTCATTCCCGCATTGAAAGAATTACGGGAAGCTTTGGACAAGAAGCGTGCCGAATTTGACGATATTATCAAAATCGGTCGTACTCACTTGCAAGACGCAACACCATTAACATTGGGACAAGAATTCTCTGGATACGTTCAACAATTGGACAACAGCATCGCACGTGCTGAAGGTGTCTTGCCTCGCTTGAGTATGTTGGCTCAAGGTGGTACAGCTGTTGGAACCGGATTAAACACATACAAAGGATTCGACACCGCCGTCGCAGCAGAGATCTCCAAGATTACAGGAGACAAATTCGAAACTGCACCAAACAAGTTTGAAGCGTTGGCAACCCATGATGCCATGGTCGAAGCCAGTGGTGCGATGAACACCATTGCAGTGAGCTTCATGAAGATCGCCAACGATATCCGTTACCTTGGTTCAGGACCTCGTTGTGGTTTGGGAGAATTATCTTTGCCAGAGAATGAGCCTGGATCATCGATCATGCCTGGTAAGGTGAACCCTACCCAATGTGAAGCCTTGACAATGGTTGCTGCACAAGTGATGGGAAACAACACCACGATCAGCATTGCAGGAAGCAATGGTCAGTTTGAATTGAACGTGTTCAAGCCTGTGTTGGCAAAGAACTTGTTACAATCAATCCGTCTTTTGGCTGATGGAGCACGCAGTTTCACAAAGAACTGTGTTGTTGGAATTGAAGCAAACCGTAAGACGATCCACCGTTTGTTGAACGAGAGTTTGATGTTGGCTACCATCTTGAACAGTCATTTGGGTTATGACAAGGTTGCACAATGTGCAAAGAAGGCACACAAAGAAGGAACTACATTGAAGGAAGCAACAGTCTCCCTTGGTTATTTGACACCTGAAGAATTTGATGATAAGGTCAGACCTGAATTAATGTTGGGACCAAACGATCCTCCAAAGTAGATAGTTTCCAAAACATGCTCAGATGGCATGTACAAAATTACTGCTTTATTTAATAGATATGTTACGTTTTGTAGTCTCCAGGCACTGCTTTCTGAATAATAATAATAAATTTGTGAGGTAGAGAAAGGTGGGTAGAATTTACATGTGATATGAGACTATTTATAATTGACAAATGGGCTAATTATGGGCACCAAGACTGTGGTTCGTCAGCCTTTGTGGCGGAACAGGCGTTAAGGCGTGATACGGCGTGATACGGCAAGTGACGCCTGTACACGTGCCAGGCGTACCGTATACGTCATATCCCAACAAGATAATTTTCATACTCTCCCGATCTGTCTGCCTGCCTCCCGCTCCTCTTTAGAGCACGCGTGCTAATTTACACGAGCGCTACGCGACGCGGTGAAATGTTGGTAGAATAGACCAACACTTGTGCATTTGCACGTTTGAGTTCTTCTTTCTCGCCATTTGCATACACACTTATAGAGCCAAGATGGAATCGATACTGGCAAAGGAGATAAAAGCATTCCGCAAAGGATTCAAGAAGCAACATGGAAGAGATCCAACAAGGAAAGATATGGCAAAAGAAGGGGATATGGCGGAAAAATACGATGCCTGGCTTTCGCTGAAGTCTGGACAAAAGGGAGGACCTTCAACTTCTTCGCATTCATCACAGAAAGAGCAGGGTAGCATCGCACCAACAATCCAATCACGAAAACGTAGTCTAGAAGGAGAAAAGGATACTGACGAACATGGAACAATGGCGCCTCCTCCAGTCACACCCAAGAAAAAGATACACAAATCTGATTTTGATGTTGCAGGCTCCCGACTGTTCAAGACACCTACCCGATCAGAAGCAGTTCATGATCATGAGATGAGAGAATCGATTGACAATAGCGGTGGATCTGTTCGTAGCCTGATCGATGTTCCTACTACGCCTTCCCGAAAATCACCTTCGAAAAAGTCAATGAGAGCTCCAACTACTCCTTCTTCAACGCATTTTGACGATGGCACAAGTCCCTCCAAGCTACGAACGCTGATCGATTCATTCGCTGCAACCCGGTCTAGAGGGACAGTCACTCCTACGAAGAAGAAGATCCAAGGCCACGACGAAGATGAAAAATTAGCTTCTCATCTACATTCATCATATCAAACAAAGAATGGGAATACGAACAATCATCGACAAAATGGTAGCATGTTCACACCAAGAACCAAAGCAAGAAAGAGACTTCGAGGAGAAGTTGTCATCACGCCAGGAAAAACGCCGCAAAAGTCCACAATCGGAAAGCAACAAGTCACACCCACAAAAACAATAAGGCCATCAAAACGGCAGAGAGGGATGGGCACTTTGAAAGATTATGGAATCGTACCGATTGCTGGTCCACAAGCAAAGATGAATGCTGCAGCAATGATGAAGATGAAGGGTGCGAACCAACTTCGTTCGGATGAAGAAGAGGACGAAGATGATGACCTGATCGGACCATCTCCCAGTAGACAAAGGATTGTTAACGTTCAAGTTCAGTCGTCTTTTCGGCCTTTGTTTGATAATGCAGAACACCCCTCTGCAGATCTTGACGATGAGGATGATGCGGGAATGGAGGAATTGCAGTCCAGTCCGACAGGTTTGACACAATCTACACATGCTGCTGACACAGCATTGACTACGCCAGCTGAAGAAGATCCGGAAGCGGAAATGGATTCAGATGAAGAAGAAAGAATGTATCTTCGGGAGTATACACGAAGGTACCATCCATACGATCACAACCGACATTCAATCACGCAATCGGGCAATAAGGAGAACCTAGATGATGTGATTGATGAAGAGGAGGATGGTATGTTGGTCGGCATCGGTCTTCCAACGTTGAGGACCGAACAGGTCCGTGATGAAAGCGATGAAGAGAACTTGTTCGAAAATCTCTCCATCCACTCACCTCAAGGCAAAAAGGCAAGACAACAACAAAGACGTCAGAATGCTAGAGATTTACGCAATCTTTTGCAAGCTGATAAGATCTTTGACAAAGCTGCTGCACTGGCATCCAAGGGAGCCAATGATGAAAGTGAAGATGAAGGTGATGAGAAAGCTGAAAGTGGTGCTGCTTCAAAACAAGCAGGAGGCAAGAATGATCAAAAGCCTCTCTCCTCTCTCAAAACGGCAAGGATGATGCGTGGAAAAGTGACAAAAGCACAAAGGCGTGCACTTGCAGCTGCTGAAGCGATGGAAGAGGTAGAAAAAGAGTTGGCCGTAAAAGGGGATGCTGCTCCTCGTGCCCCACGAAAAAAGGGCAAAAAGTCGATGATCTTACGAAGAGGGCGGGACGATGAAAGTGAAGAAGATGACGATGTCGAGCACAACATCGATGACGATCATCTTACTGCTTCTGCCCATGCTCAGGAAGATGATGAATGGGCAAGTGATGTAGACAGCGCAGAGTATGGTCTGGGAGATGGTTACATGGATGAGATGGATGTCATGTAGAACGAGATAATATTATACACATACAACTACTAATACAACTTTGGTGCTCTTCATTACCTACTTGTGCTTGATTGCTGATTCAAAGGAGGTTGCTTTGATCGTGGATCTTATTCTTGCGATAAAAGACTGGACGAATCACTATTTTCTCCCTGCGCAGTGGCTTGTCGGTATGCCAATAACTCTATCCCACTTTCTGGTTCCTCTGAACCAGATCGGGAAAAGCTTGAAACAGATGAAGAAAAATCTTCCTGATTGAATACTGCAGCAGAAATGTTTCCCATACCGTATTTCCCGCCATCAGCATCTTCATCTGCTTCTTTGTCAAGACCAGGAGCAAGTTGATCGCTCAATTCACGTGGTAACATTTTTCTGGCAAGTGAAACGAGATTTGTTTGTGAATCCAAAATGCCTTGATCTTTCATAAAGTATACCATATCTTTAGCAGTGATGACTCGACTAGAATCATCGTTGTATTCGCTCAAAGTGTCTGCAAGAGATTCAAAGAATTCATGCGTGATATCTTCAACAGCTTCAAGAACTTCTTTGTCCAAAGCAACTTTCTTGTGTTTCACTCTTGAGTTTGGCCTACTAGGTCCAGGAATGATACCGACGCTGACATTTGGCATGACCATCTTTCGAAAAAGCTTTTTGACCAAATTTGAAGGTATAGATTTCACTGGTCCATTTGTCAATCTTGAAATTCTCACCTTTTTTTTCGTCCTGACAGACCGTTTCTTGAGAAGTGAAGATCGATTGACAGCCTTTGATTTGCCTCTGCTCTTTCCGTATGTTTCGCTAATATCATTATCTGCTTGGTTCGAAGAAGCGGTACCATTATCTTCTTCATTCGAAGAGCTCAGAGATTCTCGACTATCGCTATCGCTTGCGAGATCGGACAATTCCTCATACCCCCCACGCGGGATGCGCATCGGCAATTCCTCTTCCCGCTCGGATTCTGGATCATCATTTGCCACACTTTCAGAACCTTGCTGTCTAGGCAATGGAATCTCCTCCTCTTCGTCAGGGATGTCTTCATACTGCATTCCACCTTGGTCAAAGTCATTCGGTGCAGGAGTTGCAGTCTTGTCGCCAAACGCCGAAGATTCATCCTCTTCCTGAAGAAGATCGTTGAACATATTCAAAGATTGTCTGGTCCGATTTGATGGATGCGGGAGAGCGAATCCTTCTGCAGCTATCCTTTCCGCCAAGATACGTTGCAGTTCCGACTCTCTGTCTTCAAAGTCGGGTAAATGCGTCGCAAAAGATTTTCCTGGGATGGTGTTGTCGTTAAAATCGCTATCTGGGCTGCCAAAATTGGCAAACAAATTTGTTGAGAGACGGCTTTGACGAGGATCTAGCCTCCTCCCTTGTCCCAATTCAGAGATTGCAGCACTTGTGTTTGCCATACTATGCCGCTGTTGCAAATTCGTTGATGGTCGTTGCCTTCGTGATGAGTTCGAGGGGGTAGGTCCCATCGAGCTTGATTCTGCCGGTTGCTGCCTCCCATCGCTAGCCGGCAGATCGTTCATCTGTCGTGTTTCAGATTGTTTGTCCCCCCGTATTTGCTCAAGGACGCTGCTTGGAGTGGATAGAAGAGATCCCGGTGCGGCTGCAAATCTGCGTAAGATGTCCATTGGTGATTCTTCTCTGCCTGTACCCCATCCAGCAAGCCAGCCGGGCTTATCACGCTTTTGACCACTTGAGCTACTGTGAAAGAATTGCGATGATGATGGTTCCTGCATTTGGCTATTCCGCAGAACGCTTCCCGCTGACCCCCTTCTAGAAGGGCCACCTTTTTCGCTTACGATAGAGGCTCGATTGGAAATTGGCTGCTTCCTTTGAGCTGCATATGGGGTTGATGCAACTGGCACGTTGGAACGGTCTCGGTACGCATCTGTTGTATCATCTATTCCCGCATCATCATCTTCTTTATCTGCTTGCGAATTTTTTGCCTTCTTCAACTTCCTTTGCGAATGGTTGCGTGATGAAGGCGTCAGTCCTAGCTTTCGTACCTCTGGCGTATCTGGGAATAATCGCTTTGTGCTCTTAGTAGGTGTAAATTCACCTGATGGCCTCGCAAAGTGGTTCCCGCTTGATCTTCCTGTCGTCTGTCTTCGCTTTTGTTTTGCTGCTTTTGATAGCATGTCAGCTGCTGAGATTGGTGAATCGACAGCTGCATCCCGCCACTCATCAACCTCCTCCGGCGCACTACCTGAACCACTTGACATTGTTGCGTCAAATCACGTATCCGTCATCATCAGTGCGAGTGTCACAATGGAGGAGGAAAGCGGGAAAGTGTTTGGTTGCTTTTTGCTAATTAAAGGCCAAGCGCGCTAATAATAGTTCACGCGTAGAAAATGCAACCTACGCGTTAGCGGCTATAGCTTGGCTTGCATAACGAAGAAAGTGTTGGATATGTGATCGCCATGATAGCATGATCTTGTGCGATAAGGAATAAAGCCATATTCCACTGTCATATTGAGCACGTGCGACTGATTATAATAAATAATGACGTGTTATATAAAAAGTCCTCTTAATCGGACTTTCGATGGTAATTCTAGGAAACTTGCATGAGTACCTAAAAACCCTCACGGAAAATATAAATCAGTGCTGAGTTGACCTTTTCGCTTTTTATTCGCCATCAAGAACCTCATAAGTAACCTTTATATCTTTCTCTTCTCTCCAAACATTATACTCCACACATTTAATGTATCGATTTTCAATCGCGCTGGCGTGATTCTTTATTTTACGAAAAGATAGAAGAAGAATTCGGTAAAGGCTGTGAGTTACCCGATGATAGCGAATACGAAGATTTCAAACATCTAACTCGTCAAAAATCAGTGATAAATAGTAGTCGTGATATAATTCCTGGGCTATCGAACGGCAGGAAGCGAAAAGGGGTAGTATAAAATCAAGTCAGCCGCCTGAAAAAGCAGTAATAAATCTAGCTTAAGATATATAATTTAATATAAATGAATATTATGTCATAACTGTTAACATAATAGATGATCTGAATTCAATTAATGTCCGTTAGAATGTACATGAATTACCCGCAACTTGATCTTGAGGTGGGTATTTGCTTTAGCCATATATCTGACTTCAAATCTACTTCGGATAATAATCCGCGATCGTGGCTTCTATTATTGATCAAAGAGGCGTTCAATCAGCTTTCAGGCATAAGAAGAAAGTGCGGATGTTGAAGTTGTGGGGTAGATTTTCGTCATACAGTAGATCAGGCACAGCTTTATTCTCATTTCCCCACGATTTGAATATATTGCTTGCCTTCTCTATCATTCATCCTAAAATAGGATCCTCGATTCGGGACTATGGCTTAGCCGACTCGCTTAAGAAAATAAAAAGGCGCGGCCTAACTCTAGAAGTCGCGTAGGAGTTTGAAAAACACTGCTATTTAGCCTATTAGGAAGAGTTGATTTTAACGAGTGAGCTAAAATAATTGTGGCTTTTCATTTCCACGCGGTTTGTCCGATGATGAGAGTAAAGACGGCTTTTCATCCGTATAATGAAGATCTCGCTTAAGAGGAATAGATATGTATCATATCTTGGTATCTTGCTTTGATTTCCTCTGTCACGACATCTTCTTATCAGGAATATAGGGATGAAGATAAATGCGAATGATAAGAAAGTTTGACCATTGATATCACCTTAGATAGCTTATCTTTTGTTGAAATGACCTAGGCCGTTCCTGATAGAGGTAAACGGATAAATGTCCTAAATTTACCGGATAAGAAAAAAGAGTAAGGGATACAAAAACGGCGAGAATGGCGACTAAGGAACCTCCCCTTTCTTCTTTGTTCATGATAAGGGTTGAATCCCGTCCTCCGCCGGGAGAAGATTGCTTTACTGGGCTAGGCACGAGTATAAATTTACTGAAATGGGGCACTGCTTTCAAGCCACGCGGCGGGCTTTGCGCCTCACTTTTGAAGCCTTTACTCGAGCAGTGTGTGTACTCTGTCTGTCAAATCTATTCCATTATTCTGCAGACTGTGATTGTCTACGAATGGAAGCCTTACAAGGTTAGCGTATAACTCACTTTTTGACGGTCCAGACCCTCGTTTAAGATCCAGTGCATCACCTGTCTGAAACTGTTTTCTTCCAATAAGGTTGCGCACATAAATTGTTCTGGGCGGGGTAATTAGCGGCTATTTCAGCATGATAAACAAAGCCATACGCCGATGCAGGTAAAGTGCACTGTTTGATACATGTCAACTTGTCAAAATTGAGGGCGGCATGACATGTTCCTGAACATTTCCATAACCCTACCGCTCTTGAAAATGCAGGCGGTATGCTTATTGAAGGCGCCGTAGGGTTATGAAACAGTCCTCCTGTGCACCTTTTATCTTTTCATACCTTCATTTTCCCCTTTTTTGCATTTCGGATGGGCAATTGACCAGCATAAATGCTAAAGGGAACCGAAATGAAGTCGCATGTCAAGGCAGACGAGCAGTATGTATTCCGGCATAGAGCGTATAAGCAGTACACTCACTTTATCATCCTTCTTACTGATACGGGGTAAAGACAAAACGTATAAAGAGCATGCAAACCTATTTCCCCTTCCCCTCCCTCCTCTCCTTCAACTTGTATCCCTCTAATCGAGCATTTGCAAAAATGGATCGCAAGGATGATATCTACAAAAATGACTCGCCCGCTGACGAGCAGAAAGAGTACCTCGGCACACTCGAACGTCAAGAAAGCGAGATCAACGATTTGGGTCAAAAGAGAGGCGAACACTTGCAACATGCTCTTAAACCTCGCCATGTCGCGATGATTTCGATAGGCGGCGTCATTGGCACTGGGTTGTTCCTAGGCACGGCCAATTCATTGAAAAATGGTGGTCCAGTCGGTTTATGGTTGGGCTATATCGTCATGGGTTCAGTTTGTTTTGCCGTGATGCAATGTTTGGGTGAAGCCGTTTCTTATCTTCCTGTTCCTGGTGGTCATATTCGCTTGGCCGATCGTTTCGTTTCGCCTGCTATGGCTTTCGCTTTGGGATGGAATTACTGGTACAACTGGGTTATTGTCTTGCCTGCCGAATTATCTGCCGCCGCCGTCTTGATTTCTTACTGGGATCCTCACACTTCTCCTGCCGTCTACATTACTGTTTGTTTGGTCGTTGTCATAGCAATTAATTTGCTTGGCGTTCGTGTATACGGTGAAACGGAGTTCTGGTTCTGCTCTATCAAAGTTCTTACAATTGTCGGCCTAATCATCTTATCGTTCCTCATCGATGTTGGTGTCGGAGATCAAGGTGTTTTGGGTTTCCATTATTGGAAGCACCCTGGACCTTTTGCTCAATACAACGGCATTTCTGGATCTTTGGGTCGCTTCCTTGGTTTCTGGTCTGTTCTAATCAACGCCGCCTTCTCTTTCATCGGAACGGAAATTACCGGTATTGCCGCAGGCGAAGCGCGCAACCCACGCAAAACTGTTCCATCTGCAATTCGCAAAGTGTTCTGGCGAATTCTCTTGTTCTACATCTTGGGTACATTGGCCATCTCTGTTGTTTGTCCATCCGACGCACCCGATCTATCCTTCAAGGCCAAGACCGCCACCAAGTCACCTTTCGTCATCGCCATCAAAGCTGCCGGTATCAAGGGTCTACCATCCGTCATCAACGCTGCTTTACTGACCTCTGCGACAAGTGCCGCGAGCTCAGATTTATTCACTAGCAGTAGAGCTCTGTACTCATTGGCACTGAATGGTCAAGCACCACGTATCTTTGCTCGCACAAACAGATATGGATTGCCATATCTTTCCGTTATTGTCTCGATTTTGTTCAGTCTTTTGGCCTACATGTCCGTGAAGACTGGATCTGGAACTGCTTTCGGATACTTTGCCAATTTGACCTCCGTTTGTGGATTGGTTACTTGGTCCGTTATCGGTTGCTTGCACTTACGTTTCCGTACCGCAATGCAAGTTCAAGGTGTTTCCGCTGATGTTTTGCCATACAAAGCACCACTTTCCAAATGGTTTGGTGGAAAGTTCTTCTCCTACTATACAATCGGCTGGACTTTGTTGGTCATTCTGTTCTGTGATTGGAGTGTGTTCCTCAACGGCAATTGGAGCACATCGGACTTCATCACAAACTACTTCCCCGTTCCTTTCTTCGGAGTCTTGTATGCCTTTGCCGCATGGAGATGGGGAGGTAAATTCCGCAAAGCAGAAGAGATTGATTTGCACACTGGATTGCAAACAATCATCGACAATGAAGTCGAAGAACCCGTTCCAAAGAACTTGTGGGAGAAAGTCTGGGCTTTCCTCAGTTAATTATTTTTCTCTCACACACACTCAATCTCTCGGATGTATATATTCGTCACGGCTTTCCGTAATGGCAATCAAAATGATTCTCTATACAATCATATTTTGTGTGCTTTTAAGTTCTCTAAGATGCTTATAGGCATAAATAGTAATAAGGTTGAAATCCCCTACGTCCAAAGTGATGTGATGTAAGGACTACTTTTATAGGACCGATCGTGAAAAAGTGTGTGTTTACTTATATTAGCGAGCCAGCCAATCATCAGCGTTTGCTTCTGCTAACCCGACTGCTTTCCCTTACGTCTAAAGTGATGTGATGTAAGGACTACTTTTATTGGTCCGATCATTCTTTTCCTTATCGAGGCGCGGCTTCGATCAGCGTTAAAAGATAGAGGTAGCTTTTCCCTTTATACTTATTCGTCTTTTTTTCTTATATGACTTCACGCTTGATAAATATGATGTAAGAGCTATTCTTATTAGACTAGTTATTCTTATCTTTACTGAGCTGTGGTATCGACCAGTGTTAAAAGACAGAGGTGACTTTTCCTTTTATAGTGATACGAGAGTGTTTTTTATTAGACTGATCGTTCTTCTTATCTTTACTAAGTTAAAATAGTATAAAATACTAAAAGATTTTTACTCTATTTTTTTCCTTTCTTTAATAGATAATTATAATTCTTAATATAAGAGTATATAAGTAGCTCTCTTTATATTTTTTATCTTTTATCTATACTATTATATTTAAATATATTTTATTCTATATTTTTATAGTTATATAATATATCTAATTTATTTTAATTTAAATAAATTTTTAATATTAAATATAAAAAGATTATAGCTCTTATATATTTTAAAGATAATTTATTTATTTTTATTAATAATTAATTAATAGATATAATCTATTATAATAAATAAATAATAATTATTAATAAATATTATTATATTAATATTAATTATAATAAATAAAAGATTAAAATTAAATTCCTTTTAGTTAAAGATTATATATAATAAATATATAAAGATAATAAAGAAATAAAATTTATAATTATATTAAATAATTATAATAAAGTATTATTAAATAAATTAGATTTTAAATAACTTTTTATCTATAATTATTTATATTCTTCTTTCTTTCTAGCTTTATAAATTATAAATAATATCTTATCTATAGTTACCTATATTTTTCTTTCTTTTTATTTTTTTATCGATTCTTAATTCTATTCTCTTAATTCGATATTCTTAATTTTATATATATATTTATAAGATTCGAACAAGATAAAAAGTTATACTATAGGTCTAACCGTTAAGTTTTCTTAGTGATAGACTATCTAAAGATCTAGTATAGTATATAGTATAAAATATTAGCAGGTAAGAGTTATATATACAACTATGCCCAAGGATTTTCAGCAAGCGAGTTCCTCATAGTTTAGTGGCTATGACATATCCCTGTCAGGATTATCCTTCTAAGGGTAGTATCTCACGGTTCGGATAAGACCCGGGTTCAATTCCCGGTGAGGAAGTTTACTTTTTTTTTCTAAAATTAATAATTCACATTTGGTTTCAGATTTGTTTACCTGCCATGGCACCTTACAAGCGAGTTCTTCATAGTTTAGTGGCAATGACGTATCCTTGTCAGTATTATCCTTCCAAGGGTAGTATCTTACAGTTCGGATAAGACCCGGGTTCAATTCCCGGTGAGGAAGTACTTTTTTTTCTAAAAATTAATATTTTACATTTGGTTTGAGACGCGTCTACCTGGCGCATTATCTCTTAATTTAAGGTTATAATTTTAATTCTTCCTCTTTCATCCTGACACCATCACACATGAATCTGTCAGCAAGCCTTTCATTTTCCTCAGGTACGACCTTGCGACCTGTGCTGGATTGTCTATTTTTTGTTTTTACATGATACTCACCTTTTTCATCTTTCCTTCTTTGATCTAACTTCTGGTTTATGTCCTCTCAGCAACGTCATCGACATGCTCGGAGCAGATCTCCAGCGGGTGAGGGTAGCAGCAATGGGCGTCATGCAGTGAAGAGAGCGAGAGTAGAAGATAAGGAAGCGGAATATGATGATCCTTTCGACTTTCAGACAGATGATGATGAAGCAAGATTGATCGAAGAACGCAGAAAACGCCGAATGGCTATTGTCCAAAAGTACAAAACACAGGATGTTGCTGCTCCCATTCTGGAGGAATCAAAGGGCTCTGAATTAAAGCTGAAAGTTGATGACTATGTCACTCCTCCAGCGATGCAGTTCTCGAATAATGGTGGTATCGAGCTTGCTAAAAGCGAGAATGATGCTGGCTTGCTTGAACCGGAAAAACAGGGTATGTCAGCTGCTGAGTATAATCCTGACCTGGATCGTGCGCCGAACAAGGAGCATGTGCTGGAAGAAGAACAAGCAAGTGCATTTGACAATGCTGATGGCGATAGCGAGTATGAGGAGGTAGAGGTCGATGATGATGATGAGGTGGATGATATCTTCGCCCTGGGAGTTTCGGACGCACCGAAGACGAAGATCATCCGAGTGAAAAAGAATAGACCAAAAGTCCAAGAGGCCAAGCCAGCAAGCGAAACCACTGTCAAGGATCGCGATGTACCCGCCACACTTACGGACAACTGGGATGATGCAGAGGGATACTATCGTATCTCTCTAGGCGAGAAGATTGGTGAGGGTGGACGTTATCATGTGTTCGCCAATCTTGGTCGAGGTATGTTCAGTGCGGTAGTAAGGGCTCGTGACACACAACAGAACGACAAAGAGGTGGCAATCAAGGTGATCAGATCGCAGGAATCTATGTACAAAGCGGGAATGAAGGAAATCTCAATTCTGCAAAAGCTTGCGAACCTTGATCCCGATGATCGACGCCATCTCGTTCGCCTGCTTGGATATTTTGAACATCGAAATCATCTTTGCATGGTGTTTGAATCGCTCCATATGAATCTACGTGAAGTCGTTCGTCGGTTTGGCAATGATGTTGGATTGAATCTGAGAGCTGTGCGTGCTTATGCTCATCAAATATTTCTCGCTTTGGCTCTGATGCGTAAAGCTGAGATCATGCATGCAGATTTGAAGCCGGACAACATTCTGGTCAACGAGAGCAAAACTGCGATAAAGGTCTGTGATTTGGGTTCAGCATCTTCAATCAGTGAAATGGAGATCACGCCTTATTTGGTCAGTCGATTCTATCGTGCACCTGAAATCATTCTTGGGCTCCCATATGATTGTGCTTTGGACATGTGGTCGATCGGCTGTACTTTGTTCGAACTTTTCACCGGAAGGATCCTTTTTCCCGGCAAGAGCAATAATCACATGTTGATGCTCATGCAAGAGCTCAAAGGGAAGTTCACCACCAAACAGATCCGCAAAGGCCGCTTCAGTGGAATGCACTTTGATGATCAAAATGCGTTTATTAGCCGTGAACGGGATCGTGCAACGGGAAGTGATGTTCTGAAGAAGATTGCAAATTTCAACCCAGTCCAAGCTGGAACTGATCTGCGGTCTCGATTGTTACCTCCACAAGCTATCAAAGGGATGTCACAACATGATCTACGTTTGACAAATAGCTTCATCGATCTTTTGAGCAGAACGTTAGAGCTGGATCCTGCTAGACGCATCACACCTGTTCAAGCGTTACAGCATCCTCTCTTCAGCGGATGATATATTTATTTTCATACATTTGTACATTAAGCAATACAACACATTACAAGCACTATCTATCCATTGTTGCAGTCCGGTCCTCTGCTGCTATAATCTTACCTTGCGTAAAGGCAAGCCGAGCAACTCGTTTCGAAATGTTTGAGATACTGTAATCATTACCACGTGGAACAAAGAACATTCCTTGAGGAGCAATGGTGAATGTTGAATGATGAATTTGAACTTCTACGCATCCTTCGAGAACTGTAAAGGTGTAATAATTATCTTTGCTATTCTTCAACGGTTTTTTACCATCAACAAGTAAGAATAAAACACCCGTTGCCATGAAATCTTCCACCACAAACACCTTTTCGAAGCCAAACGTACATCCGACTGCCATTCTTGGTCGAACTTGATCGGATGTACAGGCAATCTGTTTATCAATTTCCGATTCGGTGAAAACATCATACACTTTTGCATGCGTTTCGGTGTCTTTATCCCAACCATCTTCGACATTTCGTGTAGGTTGAGTGGGATCCAATGCGGTTGATGGTGTGCTTGCTTTTCGAGTTGAACTCTTTCCCTCAATAGCCTTCTTCTTTGGCAGCTTTAATCCACTAAACGTTCCTTCTCCTTCAGCTCTAGGAATGCGAATGATCTCCTTCAAGACGGCAACGGGTGGAGCAACAGTCATCACACCATCTTCGAATGCATCGGCATCAATCGTGCTATCGCCAACACTGCCGCTTTGATCGGGATCTTCTCGGATCTTCGGTAAAGAAAGACGGCCAAATCTTGCACGTTCACCACGCCAATACTCCAGCGGCTTATATTTGTAACGAGAACTACGTCTGATTCCTTCTTCGGGTTCTTCTGAGCCTGCTATCCTGCGATGATGGGAAGATGGAATTTTTTCGATTAATGCACCATCCACAGCCTTGCTCTTTGTTTTGATCTGTTTTCGCGATTTGTTCGTTCCATCATCTTCATCGTCAGCATCAAGATATTTGCTTCTTTTCTTTGGTGCTGCTTTCCGTTTTGCAGGCTTGCTTGGACTTTTTACAGCAGATGTCTTGCTGTTCTTCTGCTTTGCAGGCTTGATCGGGCTCATCATAACAGACACATTGCTGCTCTTCTCAGAAAAAACGCTTTTACGAGGTCTGCTCTCCACGACGTCATCCGATAAATATTCAGGCTCATCGTATGCATCACTTAAAAGTGGAAGAGCAACGGGCGAAGAGGACATTGGAGGTTCACTGGCCATTCTCACAGAAGCTGGACTTTCCGTTTCAAGTCTTGAGCGTGATCGTTGAATCTGCATTGATCGTTCTGTCAAATCACTGATTGGCGGAGGACGCATAGGTGAAGATGACATTATTGGCATATCGTACTGCTCATCCTCATCGATGATGCTTTCACGAACCACACTCGAATGAAAGCCTGAATTCGGTCCCGATTCGATTGACATGTCACTTGCAGAGCGCGGCGAGCTCAACGTCATTTTCGACCTATTCAGAGACATGTTTTTCGTGGCAGTCACATCAGGATCCCGATTTTCATCGCCGTACTGCGGCTCATGATCGTAAGCAAAAGAAGATGATGAAGTGCCATAAGTGGTGGAATGCCTTTGCGTGACAGATTTGCGTAATGTTGTCCTTGGAGAAGGAGCTGTACTTTCTTGAATGATCATACTACTTCCACCCACATTGCTTTTTGTTGATGGTCTTGCAGATACTATACCTGATCGTCTTGAGCTGAGAATTGATTGACGGGAAGCTACAGTTGATATACTGTCATCTGACCCCATCAATGCCATCTTTCCAGCTTGAAAGTATGCTTCCAAATCATATGGATCTCCTGCCACTTGCATTCCCGTTCTTGGGCCAACTCCGGGCTCGTAAAACTTTCTTGCGTGCGACATTGTGTGCAAAATGATGGTGGGAATCAAAGGATGTGTGTGTGTGTGTGTGTGTGTTGTTGTTGTTGTTGTTAGTAGGTTCCGATTCTCCACCCGCGAGAACAACACTTTTAAAAGAATAAACAAGCAGCGCTGCGCGTCGGCGCGTAGAAGCTCACCCTTAGTGCCTGACACAGTAAACCTTAACACCATCATGCTTTGTTTGTATGCTATAAATTTTACTGATATGCAAATGATACATGTTAATTGTAGTTACTATATAGACCTGTCGAACTGAATTTCTGTCCAGCACGAACGACCTTTTCAACGGCTTCAAGGAAATCCTTCTCGGTTGCCATCTTACGACGGGCACGGATGGCAAACATTCCCGCTTCAGTTGCAACACTGCGTAATTCAGCACCAGTTGTGTTGGGACATAGACGTGCAATCAAATCGAAACGGATGTCCTTTTCAACGCTCATTGAGCGGGCATGGATGCGCAAGATGTGGGCACGACCTTCGTTGTCAGGCAAACCAAATTCAACTTTACGATCCAATCTTCCTGGACGTAAAAGAGCAGGATCCAGGGTATCAGGTCTGTTGGTAGCCATCAAAACCTTGATATTACCGCGGGGATCGAAACCATCAAGTTGATTGATCAATTCCAACATCGTTCTTTGCACTTCATTGTCTCCACCTGCACCATCATCAAAACGGGCACCACCAATGGCGTCTACTTCATCAAAGAAGATGATGCATGCCTTCTTTGTTCGTGCCATTTCAAACAATTCACGAACCATTCTTGCACCTTCACCAACATACTTTTGCACCAATTCAGATCCAATTACACGAATAAAGGTTGCATCTGTTCGATTGGCCACAGCTCTGGCACTGAGCGTCTTTCCTGTTCCTGGAGGTCCATAGAGCAAAACACCTTTTGGAGGATCGATACCCAAGTTGACAAACTTTTCCGGTGCTAGAAGTGGTGTTTCTACAACTTCACGCAGCTTCTCAATCTGTTCTTTGCATCCTCCCACATCTCCATATGTCACGTCAGGTTTCTCTTCAACCTGCATCATTGTCACACTCGGGTCAATCTTGGGCGGTAGAGGGATTTGGATTTGGTATTTTGTACGATCGACTCCCACTCTCATTCCTTCTTCGATATCTGTTGGAGCAACACGATCACCCAATCCGACAACGAACTTTGCAATCTGCTTCACGTTGATGACATACTTGTCTTCCTCTTCTGCATTTGCGCCTCCACCGAATGCTCTACTGAGACCGCCGAGACCACCCAAAGCGCCTGCTAGGCCACCTGTCCGATCACCTTCACCGTTGGCGCCTTCGCCTCCTCCTTCTGAAGAGCTTTCTGATCCACTTGCACCGTTCTGTTGTGCTTGTCCTTCCTGTCCGTTCTCTTTTGCTTTTCCAGAATCTGCTTTGATGATTTTTGTACATCGCGCCACTTGCAATGGTTGTTCTTGTGCCATTCTTTGACGATCGGCTGCCAAATCCCATAGATTTGGTGGTGCTAATCCTGTATCGCTCTCTTTTACTCCCATTCGTTCGTTCACACGTTTTTGCACTTCTTTCAATTCATTTTCGATCGATTTCAATCTTTGTGCATATGGTCCTTGTCCGTATGTTTTGAGGAGTTGGATATCTCCTTCATCTAGTGCCACAATCTTTTCTTCATCTTTTTGATCTTCATCTGCTTTCTTGTATTTCTCCCAATCAGCACGAGGTGGCATTTTTGTCTACTGTGATGGGGTTGTAGTTGTGATGGTTATAATGAAGTGGAATCCAATCCCATCATCAAAGTACGCTTCTCCTTCTCGAACGCGCGTCTACGCTTTCTGTCTGTGCGTCAGCTCTTATTATACCTCCATTTTGATATAATGCTGATATAAGCCCAAACCCAAGCCTATTGCTTATTGCGGGTAAAAAACGAAAGACAAGCGCGCAGCCCAGCGCACGACCCCCTCTTCCAGTCAAATGATTGCTGATAGGGGGGATTTGGCTCTCCACCATCCCTTCCCTATCTGTTTTTCCTTCGATTCTTCCCTAGACAGCGATAGAATAGACATCATGGCAGCAGTAGCAGCAAATCAGAAAGGTCTCTCAAAGGTAGGTACTTTCACAAAACTCTCTCATAGCGATATCGAGTTGACCCTCCCTTTCCCCTTTAGATGAGCGATGAGGAACGTGAGAACCGTATGGGTCGTGTATACGGTGTTTCAGGTCCAGTCGTGGTGGCAGAAAACATGATTGGTTCATCCATGTACGAACTTGTTCGTGTTGGTCATGATGATTTGGTCGGTGAAATCATTCGTGTTGATGCTGATAGGGTTACAATTCAAGTTTACGAAGAAACAAGTGGTGTTTCCGTCGGTGATCCAGTCATGGGAACTCGTCAACCACTCAGTGTGGAATTGGGTCCAGGATTGATGGAAAACATCTATGATGGCATTCAAAGACCATTGGAAGGTATTATGAAAAAGAGTGGTGGTATTTATATCCCCCGTGGTATCAATACTCAGGCTTTAAATCGTGAATTGCAATGGGACTTCAAACCTACTACCCTCAAAGTTGGAGATACGATCAGCGGTGGTGACATCTATGGTACCGTCTTCGAAAACACCTTGCTATCCGATCACAAGATCATGCTGCCACCTCGTGCACGCGGAAAGATCACCCATATCGCCGAAGAAGGAAGTTACACAGTGGATGACGTTGTTCTAGAAACCGAATTCGAAGGCAAAAAGACAAAGCATACAATGTGTGCCCTTTGGCCCGTTCGTGCGCCTCGTCCAGTTGCCGAAAAGTTAACAGCAGACACTCCTCTGTTGACTGGTCAACGTATTTTGGACTCCCTCTTCCCTTGCGTTCAAGGTGGTACGACTGCTATTCCAGGTGCTTTCGGATGCGGTAAGACTGTCATTAGTCAAGCTTTGTCCAAATACTCAAACTCAGATATCATCACATACGTTGGTTGCGGTGAAAGAGGAAACGAGATGGCCGAAGTGTTGGCAGAATTCCCCGAATTGACATTGCAAAGGGACGGAAAGGAAGAACCAATCATGAAACGTACAACATTGGTAGCAAACACATCCAACATGCCTGTCGCAGCTCGTGAAGCTTCCATTTATACCGGTATCACACTTTCAGAATATTTCCGTGATCAAGGTTACAACGTTGCCATGATGGCCGATTCCACTTCTCGTTGGGCAGAAGCATTGCGTGAAATTTCAGGTCGATTGGCCGAAATGCCTGCTGATTCAGGTTACCCGGCTTACCTCGGTTCCAAATTGGCCAGTTTCTACGAACGTGCAGGAAAGGTCACTTGTTTGGGTAGCCCAGAACGTCAAGGAAGTGTTTCTATCGTCGGTGCTGTCTCACCTCCAGGTGGTGATTTCTCTGATCCAGTCACAGCATCAACACTTGGTATCGTTGGTGCTTTCTGGGGTTTGGACAAGAAGTTGGCTCAAAGAAAGCATTTCCCTTCGGTCAATTGGGATGTGTCTTACTCCAAATACATCAGTGATTTGGAACCATTCTACGAATCAAATCACCCCGGTTTCACAGGCTTGCGTGCCACCGCCAAGTCCGTCTTGCAAAAAGACTCTGAATTGGCTGAAATTGTGCAATTGGTGGGAAAGAGTGCATTAGGAGAAAATGACAAGGTAACATTGGAAGTTGCACAAATTTTAAAGAATGACTTTTTGCAACAAAATGGTGTTTCAGATTATGATGCTTATTGTCCTCAATTCAAGACTTCTGGTATGTTGAGAAATATGGTTTTATTCCACGATAAAGCACAACAAGCTGCTACAAATGGTGCAACTTGGAGCAAGATCAAAGAACATTGCTCGGACGCCATTTACGGTTTAACTCAACAAAAGTTCTTGAACCCCAAAGATGGTGAAAAAGCAGTTACCGGTAAACTTGAAGAGCTAAGTCAACAAATCGAAGAGAGTTTCCAAAGTTTGGAAGATTGAGCTTTCAGTAGATATCTTTATATGCATATGTTTACCTCTTTTTATATATTTTCAAGCATGTTCCTCATACGTCAGTGATTGGATCGATACAATTAACAATTGTTTATGGTGACATTGAGTGAGATTAAGCGGGCTCTAAGGGGGACCTAGCCGGTAGAGTAAAGGGGTTGTTTGAGTGCTCTCATTTTGTGGCGTGCTGTATCGGGTAAGAATTTAAAAATTAGCAACATGACTAGAGCTTGCAGTGCGAAGAGATTGCTTACCTTTTTTGTATGTTCAGCGGCTGATTGAGGGAGGAGGTAGAAAAGTCAGTCTTGGCATGAAACGAATAAATCTCGATACATACCTAATTTATCAAATTGCGCTTTATCTTGTTGGTATATTTCAGCTGTTGATGCGAAAAGGTGAGATTGATTGATCAGTATGTTGGATATGAAGCACCTCCAACTCCACTCACCGATGCTAGCAACCAAGGCATCTTCGATGGCTGGCTCTAGTAGTAATTGTCGCATTGCCAGAAGCACTATAGGGAGGTGAAGATTGTGAGTCAGCTTGAGGAAATGGATATTTAAGAATGCCTTTGATTGCATACCTGTTGCCGTTTTTGTGCTAGGTTTCCATGCTTCTGATTTGAGTAATGCAACACACATATTACCTTCTGCATCAACGTTTGGATGATAGATTGGCGTTTGAAAGCGAATTTTTGGACCTTTGAATGGGTATTCAACCGGAAATTCAACCAACAAATTAAACGTTCCCGCAGCATAAGGTGTATTATCAGGACCTTTCATCTTTGCGATCCATTTGTATATATTTTCTTCATTTGTTTCAATTTCTATACCTTCGATTGGTTCTTTTGTTAAATCGCTTAACTCTTTTGCGATTCTTTTGGCACTTGCCATATTGGTGTGTATGTGTGATGGTAGTTAACGATTGGAGTTGATGAGAACAACCAACAAATTTGACTCGCTTTGCATATGTTCAAACAGGCACTTTTCCCCTTTTTCTCTGGTAGGGTGCCCCTACTCCCTTTCTCCACACTTACACACGCGCAGCGCATAGAAGTGCAGCCATACAAACACACACACACACACCAAATTATGTACACGCCTTCTAACCGAGAGGCGGCGCCGTGAAGTTCTGCAAATATGAACTTTTGCATCCCGATCGATCATAGCTCACGGTTAAAGCTTTAAAGTCCATAGCATTTCTCATCATCAGAATAAATACGTACATAAACAATGTCAAGAAAATTAAACAAGACCAGATAGGGCAGGTCGCAAATAGCAATACATTTAAAAGAGCATCTACTCAAGGATGCGAACAATCAGGTAACGTCAAACCAGCTTTGAGCGTTTTGTTGGAGTTGAACAGTCCCCAATAGGGCTCAACACCTCCATAGATGGCTTTCCAAGGCTCATCGAACATTTCAAAGAAGAAATATTTGGAAAATTGATCTCCTGCTGTAACATTTGCGTTTGCTTGACAAACATAAGTGCTCAAGAAAGTGTTTAATTCAGGAACTCCGGCAACGGCTGCTTGATAAGTCATTGCAGCCGTATCATTTGCACTTGTTGGCCATCCAGTTTCAGCAATGTACAATGGAGGCTTATTGGTTGCCAATAAAGCCGATGCAGGTTCTTGATTTGCTGTAAAAGACCAAACCCAACCGGCTGCTTGATCAACGGGTAATCCTCCAAACCATGCATGAACGTTTGCCATAACATAATCACTTCCTTGTCCTAATGATGTTGTTATCATACTGCCTGCGTCAGCAGTACCGACTGGAATCGTTTTGGTAAGATTGAGCGTTTTGAGAGCATCTCGCATTTGTTGCATCTTTGCCAACAATTGATCTTCCGGTCCACCGTTCAACAAATACTCATTTCCTACCGTCACTCCATCAACGTGATCAGGACCATGTTTCTTGATCGCGGCAATGACTTCACTCATTTGACGGTTCCATGTCGTATTACTGGGATCATCAGCAGGTTGCGGAACCCATGCAGCCAAATAAACAGTCATGTTCACCTTTGTTACATCAATAGCTTGCAAAACGTATTCGGGAACATTGCAATCTGCACCGTATGTTCTGACCCTGGTTGTCAATTGTGACATCAACTGAATATCTTCAATCACTGCGTCTTGACTATCGCCACAAGCAGGATATTGTGCATTCAAAGGTGTATAACACATTCCATAGAAGCTTTGATGTAGGTTTGGATCTTTGCTGAACTGACTGGGATCGTTTCCATTTTCTTGGACTACTCCCAAAGCTCCGTCAGTGGAAGATTTCTTGTGCATGCTCACTCCGATTGCAACACCCGCAATCACGGCTATCAGAACAATTGCACCTATGATCCATGCCCATTTACGTTTTCCACTGAAACATCCTCTGGATCCCGCTGCTCCTGCTTCCCCAGCTCCATATGCATAGGGATTTCCTTGTGCTTCCTTTCTGGCCATATATCTTTCTCGGGCTGCCACAGCAGGTGACATTCCACCACGTTCTACCGCTCCACCTCCCAAGAAAGCTTGATCGTCAGCAGTATTATTGTATGTATCATCACCTAAGCCATATTCGCTCTTGTTACCAAAGCTATACGAAGGATGCATGGGTAATTGTCCTGATGATGATGGATGATCATAAATTCCCGCAGAAGCAAAGCTATGAGAGTTGGCCATATTGTTGAAATCTTGACTTTGAGAAGGTGAGAAATGATCTTGTCCGGTTGTTGTGGCTAAATTGAAGCCAGAGGAAGAAGGTGAATGACCGCCTTGATTGTATAGGCCTGATAATCGATGAGGAGGTGGTATTCCTGATAGAGAAGGGGGGACGGTAAGAATTGGTAGAAATGATGGTGAGAAAGTCAAATGAACTCACCTCCAATATCGTCAAAATAATCAATTGTATCCGTATCCACCATTGCCAAAGGCCTACGTTCGTCTGTTTGAAAAGATCCGCGAGCACTCATGATGTACTGGAGTAAAATGCCAAGGAAGGCTAATGAACGGCGACTAAAAAAGTATGAAGTAAGAGGAGAATACCCGAATAGGGCAGATAGATATACCTTTGACGTGAGCTCCTTACAGAGAAAGGATCCAAGATGATGGTGAAGGTTGTAGTGATAAACGAGGAGGAGGAGAGTGTAAGAAGTACGGTTGCCGATAAATGCAAGTGGGACCGTATGCGTTTGAGCCAATGTTTAGACTTTGATGCATGGAATGGACCTCTTGTCCATCACAATGCTGTTCAGAAGCATTTCTACTCTCTTTGTGTGTGTGTGTGTTTGTTCCATTTTCTTCCTCAGGGGCTCCTCTCGAATGATGATTAGGGGTAAACGCGTTAAGCAGCAAGCAGCTTTTGCATTTGTGCAACACTGGTGCAGTAGCCGCCGTATCGCACAGGTTTAAACTTTCGCCTAAATAAAAAAAGTGTTGTTCTTATGCAGCGCAAATACACTGCCTCGGAGAAAAAGCCGATTTGAAGCCAAGGAAGAGATGCACTGCTGCTGCTGCTACTGCAACATGCAAAATGACTTGAAACGCGTATTGTGTAAGATTGAGGTACGTTCTACCCTAATTCGTACTTTTTGCCAAGACCATCTCATACATACACTTCCGGCTGTGCTAAAATTAAACCAACAAAAGCAAAGGAGATCCGGCGTCTTTTCATCATGCATTTCATATGAATAGAAATGAACAACGTCTATTTTCGGATTCTATCAGGGACATAGAAGGATGCCTTCCACATAGAATAGGTGCATGATCGATTAAGGTTCATATTATATGACTGGAGAGCTGATCGCGTGATCATATCTTGAAAATGAATTGAAAAGCACTAAATTGAGTTTCATTCGTTATGAATTTCATCAATTCATACAGATCCACCATCTTGATCAATTCATGAATATTGAATATTAATTCCTCCCAATTGGATACGCACACGTGACACTACACGACCAACGCGCTAATCTTTTTTGACTGTCTATAAAAGTGTTATTCGTACAAACGGAGAGAGTTTATTTGACGCGCCTGCTTGAGAGAAATGCAAAGATGAACAAACGCGAGCGAATGAATCAAACCCACGCTCTGAGTGTTGTATTGTATTGATTGTGTTGGATGGATTCTTAACTGTTCTCATCAACCATTCATGGCGATTACAAGGTGAATATTGGGACAAAAGAAGGACTCGAATCACACAAGCAAGCAAGCCAAAGGCTGTCTATACTCTCCTCTCTCCTTCATTGAATGGCGCTTATCGTTTAGTCATCTAATTATGGCACCTGCCACAAGGAGGAGTAGCGGATTCGGATCGCATGCAAACAGTCCATCCAACCTAGATCACATACTAGAACATTTCAATCAATTCAAACGGAAGCATATCACACAAAATCGAGATATTATCAAAACAAATGCGTTAGCACAACTACGCATCAAAGAGCTGGAAGAGAAAGTGTTGGGACTAGAAGCAGAAAAGACACAGATCGAATTAGAAAGACATCGAATGAAAGCAAGATTGGAAAGAGCCGAAAAAGCAGTAATTTGCATCAGACAAGGATGGCAGTTGATCGGCGCAGGAATGACTGCCGTTGCTTCGATTGATGGATTCGAAAAAGTTACAGAACAACAACAAGCAGTAACACCTTCATCTGCTTTGCTTGCTTTGCAACAACATCAACAAAAATCGCACATTCGACCAAGTACACGGGTAGTCCTCGATCCTAACGCTCTGCCTGGAGGCGTTGCACGAAATGTTGCAAGACCACCTGAGGCTGATCTTGCAGATTTAGCTGAAGAAGAGAGCATGGAGTTGGAGGAGCAACAACAGGTTGAGAACGTGTATGTCTCAGACGCACAGTTCGAAAATCAAGGTCAGATAACATTAGAGGAGCCAGAAGTTGGTGACGATCGGGATTCCGATAATGGCGAATTGGGCGATCCAGTCAGCTTTGCAGGGGATGGAGAAGATACAGTACGATTACAGACTGATCTAAACGATACGATACCCCACATTCACGAAGAGATCTTCAGACAGGAAAATAATACACCTCTCACTCAATCAAATCTCGAAACAGAACAACAATCCAACTACCACCTTGATTTACCTGGCTCGACAAATGGTCAAAGAGACCGCGTGATTCAACGTATGACCAGCATGGACAGCTTGAGCTCGTTTGCGGATGATGAAGAGATTGAGCTTTCAACGGATGATGAGGGAGGACACATTCCCATCCCAAATCGAGCACCTACACCTGTAAGCAATGGCTCTACAAGATCGCAAAATGGAACAGTACGAACCAAAACACCACGAAAGCGGAAAACGCCAAGCTCTCCTGAAGATGCTCGAGGCCCGTTGAGTTCGATTTCAGCCTCTTCTTCTACGACGGATTTGCATCAGCAAGACACTATCAGCGCATCTCAGAGTGAAGCGGAAATGGATGAGGAGAACAGTAGTTCCTCCTCAAACGGAACAAGAGCATCACGTAGAAGTTCTGTGCGGGATAGAAAATCCGTCAATTATGCTTTGCCAAAGTTGAACACAAAGATGCGTAAACCTGATCCTGTTGATTTAATTCCTGCGATTGGAAGTCAAAGAAAGAAGAGACAAGGATCAATGCAGGCAGGATTGAACGGTGATGAAATAAGTGAGATGAATGGTGAGAATTCTGAACAAGAAGAAGAGCCGAAAAGGCGAATGCTAAAAGGAAAAAACGAAGCGGCAAGTACGGGAAATTTGAGAGAAATACGCAAATTGCATCAAGAAAAGGCACAAAACGATGAATCACTTTCGCCAAATCGCGAGCAAGACAAACAAGAAGATCAATCAGAGATGGAGACCTCCACTGAGAAGACCATACCCAACCAAGACGAACGGCAACAGTCAGATTCCCCACGCAGAAGATCTTCGCGACAATCGTTGGGAAGGCGATCATCCTCAAGTATGACTAGCGAGAATGGAGGTACAACGACCAATCAACAAAAATCGGAAGAAGGGCGAAGTGCAAGAGACAGAAGTTCAAGTCCAGAAGATCGCAAAGTTATTCAAGGAAAAGATAATCAGGCCGCCGACTATACCCTGCCAGGCATGCAAAAGTCAAGGCAATCGGCATCGAAATTATCAAGTTCAACGAATGGAACATCAACACCTAAATGGCGATCGATGAGCGGAGGAATGAGTAGTGCATCTTCACAATCGTTAGGGCCTAGTGGAACGCCTATCCCTAAACCTACCATTAGAACTGGACAGCAAGGAACGATCAAAGCGTTGAACAAAGCGGCAGGTAGAATACAAAAGCCAATATCTTCCGTTTCTGGACTTTCGAATGGAAATGGGAATCCTATTCAACAACAACAACAACAAAAGCGGGTAGTAGCACCTTTTGCAAACGGAGCTAGAGCAACATCGGATACCCAGTCTCAATCAAGGATTTTAGGTGCATCTGCTAAAGCCAATAGTACGGCCAGGAGCGTTTCGGGATCTTCTGCGACTTCATCTTCTTCATCTTCAGCCACTGGACCTTCTTCTCAGTCAACGGCAGGTGATCCCACCAAACGGAACAGCTTGCATGCTGCTATGACATGGCATGATGTTTCATCTGCATCTCAACAGAATTGAGGGTGGTGAGATTTTTTAACTTGTTGTCTAATTTGCCATAAATACGCTTCTTTCATTGTTGTATTCGAAATTGTTTGCATATTTGCTTTCCCTTTCAGTTATTTTTTGGAGTGTCACAATCTTTGCATCATCTTTTCCAAGTGTGACCTTCTCACCTTCTTCTTCACAGAAGTACATTAAAGTGTCGGCGCCGTAAACAAACAAACGCCAAAAGACACAACACGTCTGTCTGTCTGCATGTGTTCTTTATACGCGTTAAATATCACGTCAAGCTTTAAGCATTTAGTGTTCCTGTTCCATACAATTACCTCCTCATCAAGAGGAGATATCATGAGCCAAGGTTGGCAATAGGTGCTGCTGATATGCAAGTATTTCATATGATAATCTCAACATGCTGAGAAGGTCTGCAAGAGCTGCCGTGCCACGATTGGTAGAGGATTCACCCGTCCCGTTAACGAGTGAAGGCTCTAATACGAAATCGAGGAGCTCAGTCAGGAAAGGCAAACAAAGGCAAATTGATATCAGTCCACTGGCAGACAGCTCTTCTTCCTCTTTGGCCAACTCAGACGCAGAAGAAGAACACAGCTCTGAAGGAAGTAGTACAAGACGTTCTACTCGAACGCCTGCTCCTAGAAGGTCAAATGGATCACCAGTACTTCTCACAAGCGACAATCATTCCTCAAGGAGCTTGAATCATCATAAACCCTCTTCTACCACCTCTCGCTTGCCTCTAACAAAGAGACCGAGCGCGATGAGAGGTGGACAGAGAGATAGTACAACAGGCAACCATGGTAGCATGGTAAGTGTGGATGACGGATACAATAGTGATTCGTCTGTTGAATTCGTTTCCGCCACCTATGCGACACAGCCACCACCAAGTAACAGCAACCGAAATGCTTCTAAAGGGTCAGGAAATACAGCTTCGGTCAAGACCGAAAACTTGAAACGACTTGTTCTTCCCGATATGCGTCCTATTATCCTAACATCGAATCGAACGGCAACGGGCAACGTTGGAAATGTTGTTCCTGGTGGACCGGACTGGCTTCCTTCACCACCACTTTCACAACGTCAGCAGTCGGAGGAAGCTATACAAGCTCCCGCTTCTGTTTCCCGGGCTTCTTCTTTGAACCTGTCTTCCAGTCATTCTGCTGCTTCATCCCCGAGTGCATCTGCCTCTATCCAAGAATATGCAACTGCTAGAGTGACACAAGCAGAGCCAATCACTGTTCAATCGTTCACACAGGGTAATGCAGCATTGACACGAACGCCCTCAGGTAGACCCAAACCAAGACCAAGCGCAGCGGCAATCGCTAGCAGCCTCAATTCTGCGTCAAAGAGCCGCCCGTTTGCAAGTCAACCTTCCACAAGACCAAAGCCACGACCTAGCGCCGAAGCGATCGTTGCTAGTACGCAATCACGGCAACGGTCAGTGGCTGCTTCTGCCTCAAACGCTGAAGCGGCGGCTGCATCTGCCACGGCACCTGCATTGGATCACGCAAATGCTGAAAAAAGTCAGCCTTTGGCAATGCCCAAAGACAGTGTTGCTCTTCAAGAACATGCCAGCGCTGGTTCTACCTCAGATGCACAGGAAGATGAGACTGCACCACCATCAACAATGCAACTTCGCCCACGCAAAACGAAACGAAAGAGAGCGGCAAGTGTGATAAGTATTGATGATTCACCAAGTCCAACTCCACCGGCTAAAAGGCAGAATGCTGCTCAAGAAGTACAGGTGGAGCAATCGAGCTTGCCTGAAAGCAGATCAAAGACCCCGATACCAGCACAAGACCAAGAAACCGCTGTACCAAAGAGGGGAAAAGGTCGTCCAAGAAAGAATCCAAATGCAGAACCTTCTGCTGCTACCAAGAAGAAGCCCCCAAAGCCAACTGTGCGCAAGAAAACATCGTCGAAACGCAACAAGAACAGGCTGCCAGCGCTGGCGATGTTAGAAAGAGAGCAAATTTTCTCTACAGCTCCATCACCTCGTCAATCTCCCGAAGCACCGCCTTCACCAGCGATTCCCCCTCCTCCACGTAGGCATCGTAGAAGATCACTGACACCGGTAGAGCAAGAAGAACAGGAGATCCCGCTTTTCTTTGGAGATGAAGTACCTTTACTCTCAAGAAGTAATTCACAGGCAGCTTCGAGTCAGTATACCGTGCGGCCAACACAATCGCAGCGTCCTAAAGCCAGACCACGCCAACGGGATTGGGAAGAAGAACCGGAATCATATTACCAGACTGCACCTGTTGCAACCGAAAGTTCTCACGGCGAACAGGATGTGAGAAACACACCCCTTTCCGATCCTAAGCATAATCAAATAGCTGCTGAACAAGATCAGGAACGCACATTCCGGCCAACACAATCACAGCGGCCTAAAGCCAGACCACGCCAACGAGATTGGGAAGATGAACCGGAAACATATTTCCAGACTGCACCTCTTACATACGAAAGTTCTCACGGCGAACAAGATATGAGAAGTGTGTCCCTTTCCGGTTCCGAACGTAATCAAGATGATGTTGAAGATCAGGATGATGCTGAAGATCAGGACGCGAGGGATATTACGCTTTCCGGTTCCGAGCATATTCAGGAGAGTGGTGAGGATCGAGATGCGAGAGACGTAGAGCAAGAACAGAGGAAGGATTCGGATGCAGAGGATATTCAAGATATGGCAGATGTGACAATGACAGAAGAGCATGGCCAGGATAGTCAGGCTGTTGCATCAAGTAAAGAGCAAGTGCTGGAAGCACTGGCAGAGCGAGCAAGAAGCAACACACCAGCTCCCACGGCCGAGCAAGCAATACACGATCACGAAGAGCGATCGTCCTCATCTTCACCTCCGCATTCATCTTCACCACCCTCGTCAACATCATCGTACGAATCTGCTCTGGAGACACAAAGGAGATCGCACGAGCGTCGTGAAGCTCAAAAAGATGCTGTACCAGAAGACGCACTAGGACGATTGTTGCAACCCGTTGAAACAAGAGAAGCCGCTCAATCAGAACAACGACTTTTCAGTAACGAACCCGACGGAAGACCTTTAAGAATTCTTGTTCCATTGGCGATCAGCGAGCGAGACCTGATTGTAGATATGATTCGGTCAAATGGAGCACGTGTTTGCAATCGGGTAGAGGAATGTGATGTGGTGATCGTTGATGAAGAGCTGTTGCAATCACAAAACAACACAGTTTTAACCGTCATTCGACAAGCTACAAGACAAAAGACTCAGAAATCAATCTTACGTAAAGCATGGCTGGTGGATAGTGTCGAAGCGGGAAAAGCTGTAGATCGGGCAGATGCAAAGTATGCACTTTCAACGGCACAGATTGATTCGATCAAAGCTCGACCTGCTGCTCGTTTATTCAATTCGGTGCCGAGGCAAAATGCTGAGACTTTGGCTTTGATGCGTCCGGTGCCTGGGATTGGCGGACGAACTCGAATCGATTTTACTGAAGTGGATGCAGTGCAGATTATACATCATTTGGCCATCACCAAGGAAGCATGGGATGGTACTTTATGTGCAAAGGAGTTGCAAAACCGTTTCAAGAAACATACCTGGATGTCATACCAATCTCATATTAGAGACAATTTGAACAAAAACAAACATTACGGTGATCGGGCGAGAGATTATCAAAAGAAGATCGGGCAAGAGAAACAAATTTTGGAGCGTCGTAAGATGCATGCCGAATTGAATGGCCCGAAGGATTAATTATTGATTGTACCTGTAGAAAGATGTAAGATTACCTCACACACTCCGATCGAATTTCCATAGTCATGTATATACCCCTTCAATAAGATCGAGGATCAAAAGTTAGGCCACTTTGATGTTAATTAGCGAGCAAGGAACAATTGGGAATGGGAAATGCATTCCCACATTCGAGACCCTGATGTTTGTTATGCCCGAAGAGTTGTTCTGACACCATCACGAGACAGCGTGAATCAGTCTGAATATGGAAAGTGCAGGCACTCTCATCTATGCAAGCGAGACAAGCTTATATTCATATTGATGTTCGACTTTCTATTCTAGGTTGACGAAGGAGGATTGAATTGTCGGCAGATGATTAATAAGTGTGCCTCAAATCATCATTCGAGCAATGTACTATACGTGACGCTAAGGGTTAAAAGATGCTAACTTATTCGGGTAACGCGTAAAGAGAAACGAAACATCTCCCCGCGAATATATCGATTCAACCCTTTACGCTAAAAATCTTTTTCTGGTTCTTAGCGTATTGGTAAAAGATCTACGGCGAATTTCTTCAACATCATCCAACCTCAAAGATTGCTTGTGTATAATCTAATGATGATCACAAAACTACACTAATGGCACTCAATCTCTGTTCCTCCATCTTCCCGATCAAGCAATTGTTTGTCAATCAGCGCTAATCATTCTTCACTGCATCGATCATGTTGGCCGAACTGACAGAATTGCCTTGAGCAGTAAGTGAATGCATCTCTTGGTCTGCTTAAATGATGATGGAGTACATACGATCAGTCTCATCCTATTGAGAAACAGGGTGCCGAAGTTGATGGAAAGTCTCACGGAAAGATGAAAATAGTCAACAAATCTGACTTGAATATATGCATACAGGTCTGGTGCGAAGGGAGGATGGAACGATAAAATTGGTGTCAATCTACTCAGTCATTTTCGTCAAGTATAAGAAGCAAGCAGCTGTTCTCCAACTTCTTCCTTCTTTTCCTCCAGGTTGCTGCGCTACCCATTTCCTAATTCTCTCCCGTCCGTGGCGGTTTGATCCCTTTATTGTTCCTTCGTTCACATTCACCTTCATTTTCAACAACTCTTTCTGATCTTTGCGCATACTTTTTGGCTAGTCCATCTTTTATCGCTTCTTTCAGTCAGTCTTCCTTACAAACTACACATTCAAGTTTAGCCCTGGTGGTAATTCTTTTTTTGTGTTTATAAATCGATCAAACTCGCTCTTTCGCATTTTTTGAAACAAGATTGCTTGAACTTTGACCAACTCGAAAAATTTCAATCTTTGCTCATTTCAACTTTTGCTCTTCTTCGGACAAATTTCAAAAAAACGTATTCCTCAAAAAATAACATTCGTATCCGATTCAATACTATCAACAAAATGCATTTCTCTCACGCTCTCGTTACTGCTTTGACAGTTATTGCAACTCAAACAAGTGCTTTGCCTCTCCGTAATGCTGCTGGTCCAAGTAGCGGCATGCAAGCCAGAGGTGTGAATGCATGGCAGCAAGGTACCATTGATACTTTGGCATCTCGTGGTGTAGACGTTGACGCTGCTCGTGAAAGCGTTGGTGTTTTTGCACGTTATGCTGATGTCAAGGATGACCATGAACGTAGTCTCTTTATCGCTCGCGATTTGAGCAAACGTGGTATCCTTGATATGTTGGTTGCCGCTCTTCGTGATATTGTCGTGGAATTGTTGGGCAAAAGTGGTACAGCACGTAAACGTGATGCTGATCAAACCACAAATCAATTACAACAATTGACCGGTTTGAATTTCTCAACACCGAGTGAAGCTCGTGCTTCTTGGTCACAAATGCTAGACGCTCTCAGTAAAGCATTAGAACAAGAATCAAAAACGCTCAAACAACAAGCAAACGTGAACGGAACTGCTTCTGCTTCAGGTGAAAAGGCAAAAGGTACTGCCACCTCTGTCAAATCACAAGTTTCAGCTTCAGCAATTCCTTCAGGTTCAGCTGCTGCTTCCGCTTCTGCTTCTCCCAGCGCAACTGCTGCAGGCGCTGCTGATCGTAAAGTGGAAACTCCTCGTCAAGGAAACAAAGCTGCCAAGAGAGCAATCGATCAAGATGCTATCGTAATGGAATTAGCCGCACGTCAAGAAGAAGGTGTTGAAGGATTATTGCAAGTCTTGCGTAATTTGGTTGATGCAATTCTGAATACATTATTGCCAATGAGTTCTAGAAGTGAAGATAGTGGATCTGAATCCTCTTCTTCTTCATCAAAATCTTGCCCGCCCGCCGGAACGCCCAATGATGGTATGTATAGACCAGGATGTCCAGGTTATGGACGTCGTGAGGTCACAGACGCATTGTTGCAAGTTCGAGATGCGGCAAGCAGTTCTCAAGAATTATCAGAATTGATGCCTTTGTTGGAAGAACTCATTCAACGTCTTCCAGAAATGATGGGAGGCGGTATTAGCTCATCAACATCGGCAAACAGTACAAATGCATCTGCATCAACGCAAGCACCACATGCAAGTACATCCGCAGCAGCTTCTTCTGACGGTTCTGCAAGCACTTCCACAAGACATGACAGTGCTGCTCCAATGAGCGCCGCTAAACTTTCCATCAACACTCGCTCTCTATTGGAAGCTGACGGTTTTGAATTGGAAAAGCGTCAATCTAGTAACAGTTTGGCAAATGCCATCACTCAACTAGTTGATGATCTTTTGGAAGGTCTATTAGGCACAGAAAACAATTCCACCGATACTACTGGTGCAACAGGTGCTGCAAAGAAGGACAAAGACCTTTCTGATGACAGCAGCTCGAGCAGCAGCGGCAGCAACAGCAACAGTCTTTTGATGAGCTTGATGAGCAGCTTGAACAAACGTGATGGCGGTCTCAACCTTGACTTGTTGAACAACTTGTTGGGTAACCTTTTGAGCGGTTCAGGATCAAGTCAATCTTCCAACCTGAACAATGACGGCAGCGCCAACGGAGACAAACGTGATGGAGGTTTGAACCTCAACTTGCTCAACAACTTGTTGGGTAACCTCTTGAGCGGTTCAGGATCCAAGCAATCTTCCGACTCCAACAATAAGCGTGATGGTGGTTTGAACTTAAACTTGCTCAACAACTTGCTCGGAAACCTTTTGAGCGGTGATAACGCCTCTCAATCTTCCGATTCCAACAACAAGCGTGATGGCGGTTTGAACTTGAACTTGCTCAACAACTTGCTCGGAAACCTTTTGAGCGGTGATAACTCTGCCCAATCTTCTAACTCGAACAACAAGCGTGCTGATTTCCAACCTGTTTGGACTGAACTCAAGAATCTCGGTAACAAACAATTTGCTTCTGCCCATGCCGAACGTCGTGATGCTAACTCTGGTTTCACACCCGTTTGGACTTCATTCCGTGATATGGTTGATGATGCTTATGCTCATGGTGTTCAACGTCGTTCTCCTTTGCCTTCGCCCTCGCCCAAAGTTGATACTTCCGCTTTCACACATGCAGCAGCAAACTTTGTCAAACAAACCATTTTCAAGCAACACGATCGTCGTGCTATCAACGGTGAACAATTTCAACCTTTGATTCACGCAGCCGGCTCATTTGCAAAGAGTCAAATGCAAGAATGGACAGATGCTTTGAACGAACATAGCTCAAAGCACGGTAAGATTCACGCTTAATTTGTTTTTCTAGTGTCACCGGATAGTATCAGTCATATATAATCAATACAATGCAATTTAATACGTTTTACCATTTCAACTTGTACAAAGTATTTATTTCAGTAGTTCACGAATCGCACCAAAAGCTGCACGGAAGCCACTCTTTCTCTTGGGCTTACTTTCATCTTGATTTGATGTGGTAGGCGCAGATGAGGAAGCCTTGGACGCATCTTGATTGCCGTAAAGCTCGCCAGATAGATCAACGGAGCTTTGTTTCCCATGGCCACTGATCGGAGCAGCGGGAAGAGCAGCATTTGGCTCAACTTGCTGAGCAACAACGGGAGTTGCTTGTCCACTTCTTTTCTCGGGTACTTGTTTGGCAACTTCAGCCACTTCGTCTGCTGTTTCAGCAGCTGCTTTATGGTCTGGAACCTCTTGTGCGCTCTCGGCCACTTCAGCAGCAACCTTTGCCGCTTCCTTCTCTTCTGGTACTTCTTGTGCACTTTCTGCAACCTCTGCCGCTGTTTCTGCTGGTTTGACGACCTCGGCAGGGGTATCATCTGCCTTTTCTGTGCGCTCAACAGCCTTGCTCTTCCCTTTTGCCGAATCTTCCTGACCAGTCACTCCTGCAACTGCAGCTCCAGCTAGACCTGCTAATGCTGCACCACCTCCAACAACTGCAAGTGTATCTTTGCTGTCCTCTTGCGGTGCTTCTGTTGCGGGTTTCTGTGGAACGCTTCCCGCGAGAGTGGTCTTGTCAGTTTCTCCAAGAAGTGGTGGTGGCTGTTTGGAAGTTTCTGCATCGGCATCCGTATCCTTGACAACCTTTTCCGCTTCTTCTACCTCTGCAATGGTTTGAGCTTTCTCCTCCTCGTTAGATTTTGAAGTGGCGTCCTTTACAGCATCTTTTGTGTTGCCAACAGCATTGGAAGCTGCTCCACCAATCACAGCTGCTGTAGCTGCAGGGGCAGCCACGGCAGCAGCAGCAACCTCGGATGGTGCTGTGGAATTCTTGCTTGCATCTGCTTTCTCTTCTTTGACAGACAGATTCTGCATTTGCTGTTCAACAGTGACTTTGGTTCCTGATGCAGCATTGACAGCTGCACCACCGATAACGGCAGCTGTTGCAGCAGGTGCAGCCACAGCAGCAGCAGCGATCTCTGATGCTTCCGGCTTCTTCTCTTCGTCATCTTCATCTTCTTCAGCTCCTTCATCTTCGTCCTCATCTTCTCCTTCTGGATCCATTTCATCCAACTCATCCAAAGCATCTTCGTGGCCATGCTTTTCCAATGCGGATTTGATCTTTGTGATGCATTCATCATCTTCATCTGCCCAGTTGCCATTGATTTCAAGCTTTTCGATGTTGGCTAATGCTCCGCTGTCAATCGCACTAGCTAAATGTCCCAACGCTTTCCTGTCCAAGTCGCAATACTGCAACTGAAGTGTGTTGAGCTTTTTGTTGCTGCCTTTGTGTAGAACGTCCAAGATAAGGTAGCCACCCTTGGGCTTCAAAAGACAATCGCTCAAATTGAGCGTTTCCAAATCTTGCCAATGCGGCAAAGCAGCGGCGATTCCGCGACTTCCAGAAACGGTAGCTGTGTTATCTTGCAGATCCAATACCTTGAGCTGCTTGCATGATGCTAGACCTTGAGCAATTGCAACGATACCATCCATTCTGATACCGTTTTGGAACATTCGTACTTCTTCCAGTGTTTTGTGAGATGCAAATGCTTTGGCCCAATGAGGAGCTGATCCGTCTTCCAATCTGTTGCGACCGCAGATCACAGTCGTAAGCTTTGAAGGTTTATTCTGTTTGACCAATTCTTCTCCTGCAGCCAAGAGAGCATCAGCGACAATCTTTCCACCTGTGACACCCAATCCATTATTGTTCAGCTTGAGAACGGAAAAATGATGATTGTTTGTCAAAAAGTTGACCATTGGCTCTGCAGAACGTCCACCGAATGCATTGTCGCTCAAATTCATCTCAACCAATGATTCATGATCGACTAAGCTATCGCATAAAGCACGAAGGGCATCGGGAATTTCTGTGATTAAACGACCAGTAAAGATATCTGCAAAATCTGCCACTCTCAAAGTTTTCTTCTCTTTCAACACTTTTCCCAAAGCTTGACATGCTCCAACGCCCAACGTATTTCCACCTAGATGAATTTCTTGTAAATTTTCGATTGCTTTGATTTCTTCCAAGTAAGAAGCAATATCTTCTTCGCTTGTCAATTTTAGATTTTTACCCACCAACGAATAGATGTGTTGAGTGGATGCCATGATTGTTTGATTGTATGTAAATGCAGTGATGTTGCTTCTCCCTACTGCAGATGGAGGTTGGTTGATAAAAATCTTTTGTGTACTTTTTGATCGGGAATGTCACTCTCTGGCCTCTCTGGCTAACTTTATTTCTCAAGTCGCGTATGCGTGAGGCAGCTCAGCTGTCAATTTTCACTTTTTGTCGCACAGACAGAAAGTGTTGTTCTCCAGAATTGCACGTGGGAAGCGCGAATAATTTTATGAATAACTGTGAGCAATAAATACCTCTTCTCTTCACTACGACAATGAATGCTATCGTTTTCAGTGCGACCAATGTCGATTCAATCTTGGCAATGCATGTTTTGTGTGAAATCATAACCTGATCCCCACCTTCCACCAACAACTTGGATTTCTCATAACCACTTCAGCCTGCATTTGGTGGCAGTTGTCGGCTGATAAAAATCCATAGAAAAACGTGAACCTCGAGTTTACGATGAAAGTGATCAATAGAACCAAGAGCATAACAAGAAGAGATTCAAAATCTCATTTTACCTTGTCATGTTCCTTCGATCCTCATACATTGTTAAATAGTATACATTATTGGAACAATACAACAACAACTTTTTAAATATTAATACGAATGATTGCTATGATTCCTTTCTGTAAAGATCCCATGACGCAAGGCTACAGGATCAGCAGTATTGATGCCCAACATTTGTGCTAAACTTTGCGCTTGTCTTGTTGCCATTGGCCATGAATTGCCCATCCTACACAGATAGGTAAACACTAAATCGATCTCACTTCTCAACGTTTCTTCTCGTTCACACATTGCTACACCTCCTAATGCTGCCGTTGCTGCTGCAATTCCCTCTCCGTTTGAAGGTACAGGTGTATAAGACCATGCATATTGTCCTGCCGGTTGCATGGCCATATTAAAACGATCGATCCTACTTGCCATTGATGCATACATACTTTCATGTGTATCATCAAATTCTCTTCCTCCATTCCTACGCCCGGTTGAAGCGGTTGAAGAGGTATCCAAGTTCAAAGCAGATTGTCCCCGCAGTATTTGCAATCTACGCACCAACACTCTTCCCGCTGTTCCCAAGCACAAAATAATCAGAGGTGGTAATCGTGCAAATTCGATACCAGCTGCGATCAAGATACGCAAAAGATCCAAGACGGAATGACATGCTGCTTCACACATTGCAGCACTTTGCGCATTCAACCGTAAGAGAGGAGAATGCAGCAAAAGAGTGTTTGTATGCAATACGGCGTATGTTGCAAATCGGAAAACATCAATCTGACCGCGTTCATCTGGATCTGTTGCTCGAAATGGCAATGTCATAGAAAAGGAAGAGAGGTTGTTGTTCAACTTGTTGAAAACGGCAGAGCCCATCACGTCGTCCGAAGTAGCAAAGGCTGGTAGTCGGGATAGAAACGTTCCGATTCGACCCATAAGAACACATGCTTTGAGCATTGTATTGAATCCATCAATATGATGTTCAGTGAACAGATTCGGAGACTGTAGCGTTTGTCGTGGCGCAGTTGCTAAAGCGGCATCATTACCTTCAATGAAATCATAATTACTCATTCTAGGCAATTCCACAGTCACATCCGAATCGTCCAAACTGTTTGCCCAAAGCGTAGATGCACATGCGGATCGATCAGTTGCTAAGATGAGAAACATCAATCTTCGTCTCTCTTCTTCCTCAATCCAATCGGCCGGCGCTCCTGACATGGCCAACCGAATAGTCTCTACTGGCGTCTTTCCCGTAAATCTTGCCATATCCGGACTGGTAGGATTTGATCGATTGATAGCAAGGGAGACAGAAAGACGAGTTCCAAGTGATGCACTCATCCATGCATCAAAAATTTCACCACATCCGTACCTCTTTGTTGTCAACATTAGAGATGCTTTTGCAAGCGACATCAAATCTCCTCCTTCCCACATTCCTATGGTGATATGATGTTGCGCTCGATCGCTATGATAGCCAGCTGAGCCCATCTTTGCTCGATCACGATCATATCGGGATTGCAAGGCCAGCTTGATGCCTTCTTGATGACCAGCTTGTGAGCCAGGATCGGCATATGCTTTTGAGTTAGAGTGCCTTCTGCGAATGTGTGCATCCAGTAACTCTTGTGTGTGTCGTTGATCAGGTTGAGGAAAGGGCAACATTGGGTCTAAATCAGGTCGAAGGATGTATGCCAGGGAGAACATCGCATGCAGGATGGCTGGGTGAGGATATCTGGATGACGTTGGACCTTGTGCTAAATATTCGAAAAATCGAGCGGGATGAAATAGGTATCGAAGGTGTGCATATCCATCAAAGAATATTCCAACCAATTTGTCAACCATATTCGGCGGCGGGAAATCTGAAGGCCATCCCGTCAAAACAAGCTGCATCAAAGGGTCAGACTGCATGTTTTCACCCATGTCAGCGATACTGTCTATAGCTGCAGCACGATTACTTGACTCTTCTTCCATCATTGATGTCCCGTGTTCGCCCAATAGAAGCGGATCAATTTGATCAGAGGACGTTTGATTGATTTGTGTATCTCCGTCTGTCACTTCATTAGATCTCTGTGCCAAGCCTTCGACAAATGAAGAGAAAGATGTTGAATTGAACGCTTCCGAAATGCTAGCTCGAGCGTCTGAGGGTAGGCTGGATGCAAATCCTTCTCCTGAACGCATGGTTGATGCCAATACCTCTGCGATCGACAGTTCATCGGGATTCGGCTGAAAGTTTTGCTGTGATTGTTGATTCTGCTGTTCTTGCATTGCAGCAGCCGCAACAGCAGCAGCAGCTACAGCATTGGCTTCATCATCTTGGTTCGAGTGAGAATCCGATGAATCCGGCAAGCCAAATCGAGCTTTGAGTTGTGCTAACTCCCTTTCTAATCGTCTTCTTTCACGCAGAGCTTCCTGTAAAGACGAAACATGATTGGACGATGCTCCATACGAAGACGATGGATCTCCCGCATAAGATGCTGCAGCAACAGTGCTTTTCACAGATGGCTTGGATCTTCCTGCTCCTCTGCTACGTGTTCGTTCTCCTCTCTGTGGTACTTCCAAATATATGCATGGTTTTTCCATATTTTGCATATCCTCATCTGATATTCCTTTTCCCTTTAATGCTTTTCTTCTCGTTGCCCATGCTCTTGAACATTGTCCGCAAATTGGTCGGATACCATCACATTTTAATTTTCGCTCTCTGCAACTTGCACAAGCTCTGTTTCTTCCTAAATGCCGTGAGAAAGGTGTATTCATTGCGATTATTGCTGGATTAGCAGGTGTGCCTGGCGTTCCAGGTGTTTGTACACTTCCTTCTTCGGATTGTGTTGCAGGTGTTTCGGGGAGGTATTCATCTTTGAAGGGTGTTTGCAAGGTGGCTTTCTCTTGTCTGCCATTTCTACTGGATGATGGTTCTTCCATCGTGCTTTCCTTCTTATTCCTTCCCTCTTGAGAAATGATCAGGATCCGGGGAAGGTTGGTGGTCATGAATGAAATGCATCCTTTGCCAAAATATTATTCCCGAATCCCTGAAGCCGAGTCCCAGCACATAAAAGACAATTTGCGCCAAAGTTGGAAAATATGGATGCGTGCCTTTTTGGTCACGTGATTTCTTTCTTCTGTGTCATTTATCTTGACCTTGGTCAAAGGGCAAAAATCAAACCTTTTCATTCATACTGCTGATTGAAGTTGATACAACAGCTTCCTCGCTTATAATATCCTCTCAAGATATTCATATTCTAGATGTGGGGTGACATTTGGTTTCGCCTATTCTTTATAAAAAGATGCGGAGGAATTCTTGGTACAAAGTATATGCATGCAACTTACCCCAGCCGAAATATAAACGCCGCTAATCAGACTGCATCCATCATGTTTACCCACAATCATTCTTGGCGAGCAGACACATGTACAATTAAACTTTATCTAGTTAAAATACATACAGCACAACCTTATCCAATCTTTATATTCTCGGAGAAATTCACATCTGACTAGACTATAATCACATTGAAGTTTGAAAACGTGTGCTTGCCGCTATTAAATTGCTAGAATAGTTAAATTGATAAAGTTGGCTTTGCTCTTTAGCTTGTGAGTGTTCATTGTTTCGTGACGTATTCATATTACCTCACCGGTAACCCGTTGAATGGTAACTGCGCGATTCTTTGATCATCTAATCAGCACCCTTTTGTCTTGTCTATACTTACCCCATAAAGCTCCTATCAGATCTCATTTAAACTTTTAATCCCTAAAACGAATAATGCCGAGCACTTCAAAAATATGTATTCGATCGAAGGGGGGGCTTTTTTCTTACGCTTATGCAATAACGGTAAGCCAAGTTTCACACCTAATACGCCTCTTGCGCAGTTGTGGCTCGCGCAAGCTATCCGAGCCTGCATATTCTATTCGATTCCATACAGTAATACAATCGCTTAAAATTATTGTATTCACCCCTTTGTATGCATAAGAACGGCAAAAAAGGGCAACGTGTTTTAACTGCCCGCTGCCCGTGGTATTTGCGCGTATTTAGGCGGACAAAGCCGTGCAGCCAAAGTTCATTATTTTATGACGTGTTTGTCCACGTACTCTCCTCTATTTTTTTGCGGCGGTCGATCAATTGAAACACAAGCATGACAAGAACGTGTAAATGAATTCAGAACACGGCCCATTCACAGCCACAATAGCCAAGGCGGCGTAGAAGGAGAGTATTGACCTCCTATCTGATTTCATTTCATTTTGGATTATATTTAGAATAGATACTTTTGACCAAAAACGTGTTGTCATCCCGAAATGAGTATCAAACACGATGACACAGGTACGGCTTGCCGTTTAAGAAATGCATTCTAGAGAGAGCGTGGGTACGATTGACCGATCAAGTGCATTTTTTGGTCGAGAAGGTACTTGAAACACTAACTAACCAACGGATTGCAGTTCCGTCTTTATTTTGATGGGTATGCAATGCATCTGCACAACGGATACACAGGCCCCTTAACCCTACTTAAGTGCGCAGTGCAGCGCTGCGCTTCTTTGCCGATTTACAGTCTTAAGCTGTGCTGATGCATTCAATACAGCACGCCATACTGTGCCCCTACGCGTGCTTTTGATGAATTGTGTGCTTCTCGCATGTTTTATATATTTTTTTTGTGTTTGGTGTGACTAATATGCATTGCATACATTCGTGATCATGCTAAAGAAAAATTCATCATAATCAAGTTCCACATGACCTCAAAAAATGAATATTCATTAACAACAACAACAACAATAACAATCCATACGTCTTTCTCAATTCTCTTCATCCATCTCATTGACAGCAACAAGCTCGTCCCTTTCAACCTCCATCTTCAATCACCCACATCTTTTTCCGACAATCTTTTAAACGACTTTCCTCATTTGCGGCTAAATAGAGCTTTGACCTTCATCTTACGCTCAAACAAACGCTCTCTCCCCAACAGAGAGCATTCATTTGTTCCACCACTTTACGCATTGATCGCTTTCTGACGTTCTTCTAGCGGCGGATTACCATCGGCAAAAACGATTATAGTCTTTCGCTTATCAGTCTAAAAGCACATCAATTATCACAGCTTCTCTAAGAGTTGAAGTGCAGTGCCATTGTGATCAATACAACAAAAAGGGAAAGGGTAGAAGCGGTCCAAGCGTTCAAGTGTGCAACAGCGCGAGAAATATCATCCCGGTACGCCGTCACTCTATTTGTAGGATCGTGCCGCTCGAATATTGATTCAACGCCCGCACTGATTAACAAAAGACAAATCTTCCTAGCACATCGTTCTAAAAGACGCCCTTCTTGTGTGTGTCGATTGCATGTGCATGTGACTATATCATAATTCAAAGCTAAATCATATCTCCACTCCCTTTGAAGCATTGATCCTATTTTTGGTCAAAAGGTAAAGCGACGAAAGGAAATTCTCCATTTCCGTTCGGAATTGCATCAGCACAGGCTCAAATCAATCAAAGAGGGGGGTGTCTGCAGTGCAATCTGTCTAATCAAGAAGAAATTGCTAGAGGGGTATACAAACGCAAGTAAGAAGAAAGGATCAATTGCTTTAAAAAGTGCAAAGATTCCTTTCTTCTCTTTCTTCCTCGACTTCATCTCCCAATCTCCAACAAAATCATGGCACCAACAACGATGATGTTCACTCGTCGTCGTATGGAGTCAGTACGTAGTACAGGCAGCACAACGCCAGCAGATGAACTAACATCATGGCTACCTGATGATGTTTGTGTCACTTGTCATGCTCAAGTCTTGGCTGGCCAACTGTATTGCAGTCAAGAATGCAGAGAAGAAGATGCAAAAGCAAGTGCAGCAGAATCATCCAGAGCAGCAGGTACATCAACAAATGAAGCCATGCCATCATCTGCACCTGTCATCTCGCACAACCAAGCAGTAAAGCCAACCAGAGTCGCTTCTGGAGAAGCAATATCTTCCTCATCAAGACAAGTATCACAAAAGTTCACTGGCAGTAAGGCTGAGCCTGCTTCTCAACCAGAAGAGAAGTTCCGCTATCCATGCCCTCCATCTCCTAACATCTTGGCAAGGTATGGAGCACATCTAACGTCACCCGCACTTGCTGCGCTTGACCATCGATCTTCTCAACTACAACAATCAAGTACAAGTGAACGAGAGTTTGCATCGTCATCAAGCGAGGAAAGTGCAAATGAGGCACACGTTGAACAAACAACAACAAAAAGACGAAGCTCTTCACGGTCAACATTCAGTTCTGCTTCGGAGGCAGCTTTCTCTACAGATCCCAGCACACCTTCGCCTGCCGTAAGATCGACGAGAGACGAGCTTGATGACTTGGAACCAACAGATCTGGATCTTCCTCCACCGATGCAACCTGCCACTTCGTTGATGTTGAACGCTCGCGAGCGTCGAAGCCCCGCAACAAAGAAGGTCAATCTTCCCTCAAATCCTCCAGTGGTAAAGAGAGAGCGAGTGACAATGATGTCGTTTGCAAGAAGGCCAAGTCGAACAAACTTACCAGCCCCAGTCTTGTTCACTTCGCCTGTGTTGGCTACAACGGTGATGAAAGCATCTCCGCAAACCAATGCAAGTGCTGCAGGACTGTCGTCATCGCCATCAGGTCAGTCTTCTCGAATTCCAAGTCACGGTAGCAATGCAGCATCTTTGCCATCTAATCATCTGGAGGAGAAGACAAGTCCACAACGTTTCTCTCCCACTTCAATGATGAAGCGTAGCAGCGTGAGCGCCATGCCGGTCAACAAGGTTCATACTGACACAAATTTGATTCGCAAATCACCTCCTTCGCCTCCACAAATGGCTTCGGCTTCCAGTTCAGCAGGCAAGACGCTGCGTGCCACCAGTCCAGCTCCTTATATGGTTTCCACCACGATGAGTTCACTTAAATCCACAACACCCGACAATATCACTTGTGGTCGTTTTGGATGCAAAGGTCTCTCGGGAAGCGTTGAAGATGGATGCAAATCTTCGCATGAGACTGCCCACTCATCTGAACGACCATCGATGCTCTTAAGCCACAAGCATACTCATAGCGCCAGTGCTGGCCTCAACTTGATCGGTCAAGAAGGTGAAGAGGGAAAGGAACCCGTGAACGCTACGGCTACTGGTACATCCAAGCTACGTATGACACCAATGCTAAAGTCAAGCAACAGCGTCATCACTGACGGTAAAGAGGAACGCTTGGAAGAGATGGAAAGATCGATCAAAAGCCCACCTAGAGGTCGATCAAAGGCAAGAGGCCGTAGTTCCACCTCACGTCGTAGTCCAAGCCCACCACGTGGAGCAGCAAGACGAGGAAGGTCAGAAGATATGCTTTCGTCAAAGGAAATGTCAAGGTCATCCAATCAATCACATCCTGTGAAAGTGCCAAGTACTACAAAAAGTCCACGAACGTCAGATGAAGCGATGAACAACGATGCTGATGATGAACAGGAAGAGAGACGTGGCCGTCGCGGAAGAAGTCCAACGGAACGCCGTGGTCTTCCATCGACAAAAGCAACGATCAAAGGCGTAGATGCTGCTTTGAGTAAATTACGTATAGATGAAGCCAATGCAAATGCAAAGCGTGCACCGCCTTCGATTGATACACCAGGCAGCATTTCTGAAGTATCTGTCAGCAGTTCTACCGGTTATGATGAAGTGGATATGGATGAGCTTTAAGGTCGTCATCACTTCTTCAACAATCTCAAAAAATTAATCACAACTTATTTTTCCATCAAATTTCAACAAAAATGTTATTATTAATCAAAATTTCAATGCAAAAATGTACACTATCAACAATAATCAATTATCGTCACCAGTCACCAAAAAATTTCAATCAATTTATCACAACTCAACAACTATTGCTGTTCATGGGGGAAGGGGAAGTACAAATCATCATTCTTTTTTTCGTTGCACATGTTTCATCTGTACATAGTCTTACCACCACCTTCCCGTCGTCATGTATGTAGTGCTAGGGAGGCGATCCAGCCTTTCAGCATCGGGGGGCAGGAGTAGGTCTCATTGTTCATAGGGCTATCATGTTTCATACGAAAATCGAATAAATTTCAACAGCACGTTTCGCGATTGAGAAAGATTTGTCTATTACGGGTTGGAAGAAAAGCAGAAATGATAGCATACACGATAGAGAGGTCTTTAGAAATGTTGTAGATCTGCATCTGGTGGCTCGGTGTCCAATTCTTCTGGCAATCGGTACATATGATGTTGTTCGATATAATGAATAACCGAATTAGGCAAAAGATATTTGATACTTTGACCACGTCTAACGAAAAGACGAACTTTGCTCGATGAAATATCGTTAAAGATTGTTTGTTTGACAATCTTTAAATTTTTACGATATCGCCATAGCAAATCATGTGACAGCAAGAATGACCAAACATCCGCTCCCGTTCTTTCGACAATCATGCAACCGTATTTGCCCAAGATGTGATGCAGATCCACATCTGCCCAAACACCTGGCTCGCCCATACTTTGAATCAAATCGCCTCCTGCCAATAACATCACCCTTATCCTCCTTCTACTTCCGTCTGAAGTTAAAATTCCACCTTCTGGTCCACCATTGATTTCGTCATCAAAGTGATCCAAAACCACAGCCGTTCTTTGATATTCATCTTGCAAAGATTCCCAAGCATCAACCATTAGCCAAGTTGAAGTTTTTTCAACCGCCAATTCACACATCCGTACCCTATGCGTTGCTTTTGCCAATCCTTCTTTTTTATAATAATCCGACACGGGTGAATAATATCCACCTAATAATTCATACTTTCCCGATTCGATCACTTGATCTTTTGCCATTTCAAATATACGCAAATGCAAGTATGTTGGAGGTGAGAAACTTCCACAAGCAACAATTACGAGCGGTATTTTACTTTCATTTCGCATTCTTGTGGGTAATCTGTGTCGCGGGAATTTGTAGTGTTCTTGTGTTTGACTTTGTAGCGGCATCTTCTTTTGTGGTCCGGTCCTTCTGTTATTTTGTGACACAAATGGACGTTCATCATCGCCATCCACTTCACCGTCTGGAGGGTGAATGTTATCATCCGCATCAACATCTTGGTCTTCATCATAAAGTCCGCCATACCCGTTGCCATTATTATCTGCTTCACCTGTAGCCGAACTTGCAGCATCTTCCATATGGGAAGTAGCAGCATCCGCATAACTTGTTTGCGTAAATGTTGGCCGACTTGATTCTCGTTTGCGCGGCTTTTGTCCTACTGTTGATAGAGTTACATCTTCATTCGATCCACCTTTGTGTTGTGAAGTGTTGATCGGACCTGGGCCAGAAGAGGAAAATGGAGGTGGAGACAAGCTGGAAGAGTGTAGATGATTGAATGACTTGGGCAGTTCTGTTCCGGGTGTTATATCGCCTCCGTCAGTACCGATTGTGCGATCACCTTGACTGATATCATCGTGCCCGATATTGCCGGATTGTTTACCGCGACGTGATCCATCCAAACTCCATTGTGGGACATCTACATCGCTTGCTTGATTTGTTACTGAGCTAACAGCCCCGTCCAAATTTGTGATTGAACTTGACATACCACCTCCCTGTCTGGATCTGCGCTCGTCACTGTTCTGTCTTGAATTTGTAGCTCTACCAGCACTTCTTTCCGTAAAAGCAAGATTGGTAGATGCTCCTGCAAATGGTGTCCTTTCTGCATTATCGTCTGCACCTTGCACGGAAGAAGAAGCGATGCTATGATCGGTGATTGAAGATGTTTGTGATTGTGTATGTTTATGTGTTCGATTATCATCTTCTGTCAATTGTGCATTTGGGCTTGAACGATCAATTACTTCACCATGATTCATTGGATTCACTTCACCAAGTGGACCTGCCGTTCCGGTGAAAGGCGGACTGTCCAAATGATAAGATTGAGCAGATAAAGCTGCCAATTTAAAAGAAGAAGGACCTGGACCTGCTTGTGAAGGAGTCATTGAATCTGTCATACGCGGCATTGGCTGACCGGATGGATGTGAATTTGAAGGTTGTGCCATGTCCATTGGCTAGATGTATAAGTAAGCCTGTGACCACTGACCAGTGACTCGTTTCGCTTAGTCAATTAAAAAAGGCGGATCGAAAATTTTTTACCCAAGCGGCTCCGAAGCTCCACACAGGAACGCTACGTCATTCGTACGAAAAGATTGAAAAGATTGAAGTGAGTGGATGTTATCCACAGATGGTTCGCTCAGTTGAGCTTGAGATCAAAGTGCTACGGGCAAAAAAGCGAGCAAGATTGTATGGAAGCAAAGATGATGGTGTGCAATGATAACGAATGAATGCACGTCGGTCTTCTGATCGAAGCGGAGGTTTGCAGTGCAGGCACAGACAGACAGAGACGCATTCATTTTATCTTTATTGGCGTGCGGTAATTTGGCACCTTTTTGGGGGGGGGCAGAGAAAGAGAGAAATCGCATGAGCCGAATTGATGCACTTTCACACTCTCTTTTCCCTTCACGCTATGCGCAGCGCAAACAACGGACGTACACGGCTCTAAGCAAATCGTTGGCTAGAGTGATGACTCTTGTGATTATGTAAGCAGTGACACTCGATAAAGTCACACTGATCCTATCAGGGTCCTCATCACCATCATCATAATGTCATTGACCATATGGTATCACGCTCAGTCCTCTGCCGTTACGGCAATTACCCCTGAGTGCTTCCTTTTCTGAAATGTATATAAACCTATCTTTGAATCACTCTCTCTCCAATGAATAACATCGATCCCTCACTTTTCTGTTTGTATCAGCACATTAGTGAGCGAAAACACACTCTTCCGCCGGGCTTTACACTCACTCTCTCAGGGAGATTACCGGTCATGCATAACTTGATCTGATTGGAATTGATACAAATGGGAAAATATTAGTGATTATGATAGAATACAATTGAGCATGAGGAGCGAAAAGATTTGAGGAAAGGGAACGGGTATACCTTACGACCATGCATTCAGAATTCTACGCAAGATCAAAGCAGCCAATAAACAAATCACAGTAACAATAGCTCGATCCAACGCAGCTAATCTTTGTGCAGACGCTTCAGCTGAACTTGCTCCTGCTCGGAATGCTAATCGAGCTGCCGCTGTTCTGGGAGTGGGCAGTGGTAAAGGCTGACTGTTTTGACGATTCATAGATGGTATCGACAGTAAGGAAGGTCGTTGAAATGAAAGAGGTGGTGCAGATGTGTTTGATGCTGTCGGCTGTTCGTCTTGTGTGCCTTGATCCGCATATGACTCACTTGCTTCAGTTGGCCTCTCACGCCCTTTACCTTTGTCATTTCTGGAGAAATCATCTTGATTCGGAAGACCTGCATGACTTCTTTCATTTTGTCCAGGCTGTGGTGGGGTAGATAGCCCGGGCGTTGAAACTTGGCTAGAAGAGATTGAAGGTTGCAATGTTGCTGCTTCTAGCCTTGAGCGGATGATGTTCTCGAGCATATCATTCGACGGACCTCTACTTCCTTCGAAGGAACTCTGATCTGGATGTGCTTGTACTTCCTCCGTTACAATAGCTGGTACAGCGATCGGTTCATTCGATGCTGTCACAGAAGAGGATCCAGGCTCTGCCTCCTTTTCTTTCTTGTTTCCTCCATTCGGATCGATAGTCAGCCCATCCGGCAAATCTTCATGTATGCGTGAAGCACTCTCTGCACTTGGCAGTGTTTCTCGATTGATCGTATCACATACAGGGCATTTCCAATCACCGGATAATTTTGCCAGCCTTTCCCTTTCTGCGATTGGATAATCCAAGCTTCCGATTCCCACTGCTGCTTCTGCTCTTGCAGACATGAACGCTTGTACTCCTATCAAAGCCGTTCGGATACCCCAGGCAGGCTGCCACATTTCTTCATGGAATCCTGTGAATGTCAAACAAATCTTTTTGTTTAGTTCCCATCTTCCGTTTGGGGTCAAGATCATCACATCAGGTGGACGAAATGGATATTCGACGGGCAACAAGATCCTTCCATGATAGTATCCTTCTTCAAATTCCGATTGTGATGGTCCACGAAGCGTGAAGTGCCACTCAAAGATATTATCGTCTAGTGGATATGCAGTATATTCTGACGTTGCTTCTTTCAATTCTCGTGCTTCTGATAGAATTCGTTTAACAGCACTTGATTTCTTGTTGTGAGATGTTGTTGTTGCCATCTTGATGAAAAAAGCAGGCAATCTTATTGACTAGATTCCATCCATTGAGGTTCTTACTATAGGATAGGAGGATGTGACAGGACAGAGAGAGGCTTAAGTGTAACTCCACGTTGTCAACTTTATTTTTTGAAGGACAGACAGCGCGTCCGTGCGATGAATGCATATGCTTAGTCAGCTAGATGTCAAGGTTGCTTTCATCTTTCGTCTGGCATCAACACGTGACATTGAGCGCACTCAAAAGTGAGATAGGGTGCACCTCTTTTGGCATGGTTGATGTGATATGTTTGCTATACAATATATGCCGTCTTTCTGTTTGTGCCGGTGTTGTGCAAATGTATGGCTTCTTGGCCGCATATGCAAACAAGAACAACATCAATCAATAGCGCGTTCACGCAATTGCGCCGTTTTGTCATTTATGCAAGTAAGGGGGTCCTCATGAAAACACACACACACACACCCCTGTATGCTATTGCAGTGTATGTATTCTTTTTCCTGCACGGCACTGCCAACACATTTTATAATACAGCCACTTACTCTGCAAGGATCAACTCCTTCAATTGGGGTCTTCTCCCAAAGAGAGAAAACAATCATGTCAGTGTCATTTGTCAACTCGATCGAATTGGATCAAGAAAGAATTAAGCGAAAAGGTCAGGCTATGCTTACTTCTAACTTCCCACCGGCCGGCAAATAACTGGTGATTGTATTGAAATGCAACCCTATTTTAGCTTATGATTTAATGCAAGTGCGTGTATAAATAGCTATTCCAAACAAAGGGCAATAGAGGACAGGTTAGTGTACGGCAGTTTTAGTCCCTCTTTATTTATTCTCGATTGAAAATGAACGCGCCCTTCTTTTTTTAAATCTGCATCAGGCACACAATCACTCATCGGTAAAGAATGAATTCGATTTAATCTCTCTTTCCGCAAAACTACAGTCCCGCTTTGCCAAATTATATACAACCATGCTGGCAATGAATAAGAAACAAAGGGCATCAGATCCAAAAATGGGCCATTGAACATATCTCTCCAATAAATCTTAAACCTCTTCTCTTCACCATCACCACTTCTATCTCCCCCTCTAATCCAGGATCTCTTTCCCAACTTTCTGCTGTGCAGATTACGTTTCTTTTTTTCTCTAGACGAGATTCCAAAGTACAACGAAAAAATAAAGACGGTTCACTCACTCTCAACAACAATCAATCAACATCCCAGCGATTCATTCATCAATTCATCTGTAACACTCCTTCTCACAAGCAGACATCTATAGCACACACATTTCCCCTCTTCTTCCAAATCAACAATCATCAAAAATGGCTAAAATCTCAGCTAAATTCTCTCTCTTGTTCGTCTTGGCCCTCGGAATGGCTTCTGTTGCACCAAGCAACGTTGTAGCCGATGCTGGTATCAGCAATGCCAACATTGCTCACTCTCACGCTGCGCGTGATGTGAGCATGGTAGGTCACATGCACAACCATCGTCGTATGCTTCGTCGTTCCGAACGAAGCCGTCGTAATGCTAGCGGTAGTGACGATCAAAGTGGCAGTCAAGATGCAAACCAAGGTAGCAATCAAAGCAACCAAGGCTCATCTGACAACCAAAACCAACAACAACAATCTTCTGACAATGGCTCAAAAGATTCTTCTTCTGGATCTTCTGGATCTTCAGGATCTAATGCAGGCAACTGGGTTAAAGACACCGTGAAAGGTGCTACTGATGCCGTTTCAAATATTGTCGGTGCTGTCACTGGACAAGACAACAACAATAACAATAACAACAACCAACAAAACAACAACAACAACAACAACAATTACCAACAGCACGATTCATGGAACAAGCAACAACAAACCAATGACAACCAACATCCTAGCGTTCAAAACAAACAGCAAAGTTCCAACAACCAAAACCAAGACAACGGTAGCCAAGATGCTAGTCAAAAGGACAGCGGAAGCAATGATTCCAGCAAGAGCGACAACAAGCACCCCTCCGTCCAAAAGAAGCAACAAAGCTCCAACAATCAAAACCAAGACAATGGTAGCCAAGATGCAAGTCAGAAGGATACCGACAACAGCCAACACAACCATCCAGTCGTTCATTCATCTTCCTCTTCTTCCGCTCCTGCTTCATCCAGTTCAGGTTCTTCTGCTACTTCAAGTTGGACCCACCATCACGGTCACCCAACCGTTTCGGCATCGCAATCATCAAGCTCATCAAGTTCATGGAGCTCTTCTGCTACTTCAAGCTCAACTCACCATCATCACGATCACCCAATCGTTTCGTCTTCGCAATCATCAAGTTCATCAAGCTCCTCTGCTACTTCAAGCCCAACTCACCATCATCACAATCACCCAATCGTTTCGTCTTCGCAATCATCAAGCTCTTCGTCATCTGCAAGCCCTCAAGCCACTCCAAAACAGGATGACAAGCAGACTGATAGCCAACAAAATCAATCAGCTCAATCATCTTCTAATAATGATCAAAAAGCCGCTGACAATTCAAAGAGTTACTCTGCAGCAAGCAGTGACAACAACTCTTCTGGCTCTAGCTCAGGTGATTCAGGAAACTCTTCTGGCTCAAGCGGATCAGGTGGCTCTGGTGATGACGAAGACTGTGATGATGATGAAGGATCCGGTAACGAAGATGATGATGAAGATTGCGATGATGAAGATCAAGGAAGCTCAGGCGGTTCAAGTAGCTCAGACAACTCTGGTAACTCTGGTAGTTCTGGCAGCTCTAGCAGCAGCTCTAGTGCCCCTAGTGCTCCTAGTCCCAGCTCGAGTGCCCCTAGTGCTCCTAGTCCCAGCGCCAAGAGCAGCGACAACTCTGGTTCATCAGACTCTAAGCCACAATCAAAGAGCACAGCAAGCAACAACAATTCCAATCAACAAAAGAGTGGTAGCGATGGTTCAAGCGGAAGCTCTGGTTCATCCGGTATTTCGGGTATTTTGTCTGGTATTGCTCAACTTTTCACGGGTAAAGGTACTTACTTCATGCAAAACGGTGTTGCCGGAGCATGCGGTGCCGTTCATAAAGATTCCGACTTTATTGTCGCTTTGCAAACAGCTGAATATGCAAATGGAGCACATTGTGGAAAGCAAATTAAGATTATGAACAAAGCCAACAAGAAGACCGCCACTGCCACTGTTGCTGATGAATGCCCAACATGCGTTTCGCAATACAGTGTCGACTTCTCACAAGGCTTGTTTGAATCTATGGCAGCTTTGTCTACAGGTGAAATTGACATTGAATGGGGATTCGTCAACTAAATTTGAGGTCATACAGCGAGTGATGGTACTTCGATTGGCGTTTTACCTAGAAAGCCTCAGTATCAACATTTGAGTATGTTCTTGTTTTATAGAAGGATCTCTATCTCATGTCACCATTTCATCACCTGTACTATTCCTCGTCACCCATCGGTTTCATCTTCACCCTTTGATCTCCTTTTCCATTCAGGTCACCATCATGCGCAGTTGATTGACTACGGACAGGTTTCCGTACTTTACATCGACTTTGCTGCCGATGATACCTGGTATGGAGTAGATGGTCTTCCGTTCCTTATCATTGTCTCTTCTTTTGCATTGTACTTCCATCAACGTTTATAGTCACCTTTGATAGGGACACTTGACGCTTCATTTGGAAATTGGAATCGGAATGTATACTTTTGTGTATGGGCCTGGTAGCCTGTACATATCTCCCTCAACTCTTTGTCTGATTGTGTGAAGTCGTTAACTAGATATATGTACTTGTATGCAATCAGCCTATCGCTGATGATCTTGCATATCCGATCGATGACCTTGCACTAAATTCTCGATCAGGAAGATCGGATGTAGTTTTCGATCTTTGGCTTACCTCCTTGTTGTTGCTGCTTTGGCACGAGGAGAATTGTGGAATACGTGTCGCGACGCGCAAAAGTTGGAATGCAACGAGAAAGTGTTGTTCGTACGCGATATTAAATGAACGTGTTAAGTGCTCCAGCGCATCCCAAATCCCGGGAAGGTTACCTTGCAATTCTACCCGCCGCTTCTTGTGCACGTACTCAAACGCGTCTTGGATAAATTGTGCGTGTTAAAGCGCGTGATTCGCGTCCAATTTCCCTCTTTCTTTTTTTTCATCTCCACCACGCTCTCTCTCTCTCTCTCGTGTAAGCAGAGAAGCAAAATAGACGCGGCGTGTTTTAAACACGTCTACCTTTTACACATACAACACGGGAATGAAACATATAAAGAGTTGATCTCTTTCTGTGTTGAACATTGTTCCCCTTCTTCCTTCATCTTTTCCATCTTTTCACTTCTGTTGAACTTTCTTCCATCACAACTTCAGGTCATCATCGTTTAGTAAACGTTGCCACACCAAGAACATCATCATCATCATCACCACCATCGAGCATACTCTATCCTACTAGACTCTTGCTCATCATCATCATCACCATCTCTCACACACACGAGAACATTCATTCTAACACATCACAATGTCTACAGTTGCTGCAACACCAATCCCTGAAACACCTTCAAAGAAGGTAGCCGCCGATTTGGCCAAAGTGGATATGAACAAAGCCACTCCCATCAAAGGTGCAAACGGCAAGCAAGTCATCCAAGAAGAAGATGACGATGGCATGTACGGCAAATTCGTAGGAGAGGTTGATCTACCCGAAGAGGAAGAACCACTTCTCGTAGAAAGCTCTCGTCGTTTTGTCTTGTTCCCCATCCGTTACCACGAGGTGAGTTATGCGGATGATCATCTTTTGTCACCATCACATCTACTAACACACATCCATCCACCCTTTTCACACTAATACAGATCTGGCAAATGTACAAAAAGGCAGAAGCATCCTTCTGGACTGCAGAAGAGATTGATTTGTCAAAAGATTTGCACGATTGGGACAACAAATTGAACGACAACGAACGTCATTTCATCTCTCATGTCTTGGCTTTCTTTGCCGCTTCTGATGGTATCGTCAACGAAAACTTGGTCGAAAGATTCAGCGGTGAAGTTCAAGCAGCAGAAGCAAGATGTTTCTATGGATTCCAAATCATGATGGAAAACATCCACTCAGAAACTTACTCTTTGTTGATCGATACATACATCCGTGACCCTGCACAACGTGAATTCTTGTTTGATGCCATTGAAACAATTCCAGTCGTCAAGACAAAGGCAGATTGGGCACTCAAGTGGATCTCTGACAAGCGTGCTACCTTTGCTGAACGTTTGGTAGCCTTTGCTGCTGTTGAAGGTATCTTCTTCAGTGGTTCATTCGCAAGTATCTTCTGGCTCAAGAAGCGTGGATTGATGCCTGGTTTGACATTCTCTAACGAATTGATCAGCAGAGATGAAGGTTTACACACCGATTTCGCATGCTTATTGTTCAGCCACTTGCGTAAACGTGCTCATCCAGACACAGTCAACAGAATCATCACAGAAGCAGTAGCAATCGAACAAAGTTTCTTGACTGATGCTTTGCCATGCAACTTGATCGGAATGAACTCAAAGTTGATGTGTCAATACATTGAATTCTGTGCTGATCGTTTATTGGTGGCTTTGGGCAACGAAAAAGCATACAATGCAACCAACCCATTCGATTGGATGGAGAATATCTCTTTGACCGGAAAGACAAATTTCTTTGAGAAAAAGGTTGCCGAATACTCCAAGATGGGTGTGGCTCTACGTGAAGAAGATGAATCGGAAAGCAAAGAAGCAAACGGACCGACTGTTCGTAACAATCACGGATTTACCGTTGATGAAGACTTTTGAGATCGTTGTCTTCTTTGTTTCGTCTCTCAATCATTCTTTTTTTTCTGTATTTGTACCATTATATGCACTGCCACCTTTTGACTTGCACATTTGTGATGCCATGTTTGGTTTCATCACGATCATATATACACCTCTCTTGCTCTCTGTCTCATAAATCACACACACATAATCACTACTCTAGAATGTATGTAGAATGTGGAAACACGTATTTCTCTGATTGCAATTTGAACAGTAACTTGATAACGCATATCTGATAAAAAGCGATGATCCAATTCATGTTCTATTCTTAGCAAGCGATGACGCTTTGTACCGCATTGCTGGCATCATATACATAAAACGGCATTTCTATAGTGATCACGGGGATAGCATCTGATCCCCTCTTTGATGATCGATCGTATGATCAGCATGTATAATTCATACATATTCTTACATATAGGGTCACGCAAAAAGAGGAATGTTGTCATCTGATGTATGTACATAATCCATCACATCAATCGGATATCCGTTGTGCCAAGCAGGCGGCTGTAAGAATGAGATAGGGTGTACATCAAGGCATAGCATAGCCTATGTACGGCAAAGCACTGCTTCAAAGCACGAAATCCTACTCGATCAATCACGCCATCGACGGCTTCTCTTATGTTGCAAAAATGCTGGGCGTAGAGAGTGTACGGGCTAAATGCGTGCGTAAAAGATAGGGCTCACTTATTGTATGTGTACACGCCACGCTCAGCATGCACGTATACAACACACACTGGGCCAGAGATTGATTCCTTTGCCGATAAGGCTGAGTAAAACAAGGTTCCGAAAAGGCAGCCCTACGCAGCGCTTTTTCGGACTTTATGGATGACAAGAGGGTACACAACAGCAAAAAAAGGCTTACGCTAAGGATAGGGTGCAATTGAATAAGCATGCCCCACCCCCCCAAAAATGACTCGAGTGATTGATTGCAACAATTCTTCGGCTTTAAACGCGTCTTCGCTCCACCTTATTGCGTGAATGACTAGGATAAAAACGCCATGCAGGAAAAATATGACACAGGATGAGTAACTGATAAGGGACAAGTTATAAAAAATGATATAAAGACATCATCAATCCAAAGATCATCATCACCGCACCACACCATCACCACTCAACGTGATTTGTTCTCCCTCTTCACATTGCATTACCCTTCGATCATTCAAACGCATTCATCAAGATCGAAAGTCAATTTATCGGAAATATTATTCTACGCCTCCGCCAAATCTACGTAATCCTGTGAAGTTTATTAAACATCCGTGCGTGCACGTTCTCATCACAATCACTCAACCATAAGGTCACAAGAAGCATTCTTCAATTTTGCATTTACGCAACAGCACCCCAAATCATACAAGCCTTTTCCCGTTTCAGATCGGGCCCTTTAAACACTTCTTACTTTACATCAAACACGAGCCCGTGCAAAAAGGCTAGACATCATTTCTTGTTGCTTAAGCCTTCATACATCACTTCTTTAGCGGAACATACGCACAGCTTTGATCGCTTTTCAAGACCAATCATTCCCACTTTCTTTGGAGTTATACACTTGCGTACACCTCCAGCCTCTCAAAAACAAAATTCACTCAAGCTGAGCGAGTTATCGGTTCCCTTTCTTCCTTCCAAAACGTACTATGCTCTTGAGCTCTTCAACGCTTCTTCTTTTTGACAAATTTCACGATCGTTGATTCCAGCAAAGGAACAAGACATACTTTTAAAGAAACACTACCACCTTCCACCACCACCTACTTTGTTGTTGCTAAACCCACAAGCAAGCAACTCTGCAATCAGTCAACATGCTCGACTTCTATGAAGGCGAAGCGTTGCGACGCACAATATTGATACGCAATGCCATGCGTAGAACAGAAGCCATCACACAAGATGCTCAAAGACGTCAAAAGATCGATCGAAAGAGGTCAGGCTTATCTCAAGCTGATGCTGAGCTGTTCTATGGCGATATGAATGCAAACACAGACAAGGTTGAGCAAGTCAGTCATGCAAGATCATCTGCTCCCGTTCGTGTTCAAGTGACCGATTACGATTACGATGTCGAAACTGAACAAGCTCAAACTCTCCACAATACCATCAACGAAGATGATGAATATGAAGATGCTACCGAGGACGAAGACGAAGATGACGACACAAGCGACGATGACGATGAAGCAATGCTAGCACGTCACGGTCATGTTATCGAAGATGGAGTTCGTGTCAGCGTCACCTCTGTCGTCAAGGATGAGCATACATGGTTCGATGACTTGTTGGATGAAGTAAGCATTGATGAGAGCAAACCACGCTCATACATTCAACGTATTCATCCTTCCGATGAAGAAATGGAAGATGGAGAAGAGCAAAGCGTCTCTTCCATCGGATCAAGCATCGAAAGCCTCTCTTTGGAGCATAATTCTCCGCCTACCTCTGCAAATTCATCCGCATCGCTACCCTCACTGGTAGAAGATGAAGATGAAAGTAGCTGTGGCAGCAGTGCTGAAGATGATGAGTTGGAGGATGCCTTCGCTCAGCATTACACCAACCGCGCTGTCAATTATTCTGGAGGTGCACAATTGAGCACCACCACCGCCACCACTAAAAATCATCAATCATTCATGCAACCGAGCGAGAATTTTCTCGAATGGTAAATACTAGATAGATACAAATTCTTCCCGTAACACAATGTACAATAAAAGCAAAACAGAAATCTTAGAATAATGACAAAGGTTAAATAAAACACCTGAACTTCTGTCGTTTGAAATGTTAGAAAGCATAGCAATAATTACGGTGAGTTGATGATACAAGAGAAATGATATTTATTCCAGAGTGAAATGATTGTGTGCAAATATTTAGAACATTCACTAATCTTGCAATTGCCAAAAGATGGCCATACTGACTGCTCCAGTTGTGATTGTTTCTTCGATATTGACTTTCTTCTTCTTTTTACCTTCTTTGCCTACCTCTTTTGGCGCACAAAGTGTATCAGTCTTTGTTTGACTGGCTAATTGCAAACGATGATGAGGCATATGAGTCAAAACGCCGGAATTGATATCTGCTTCTTTTAATCGAGCAGTTTCGTTGGGATAAAGTGGCAATGGTGGAGGTGTTGCAGCACCATATGCTTCTGTTGGAGGTGGTAAAGGTTGCATATGTTGTGGTACAGCAAGATTGGATCTTTTTCCTGTACCTAATTGGAAAGCGGCGTTATGTCCGAAAACCATTACATCCCTTCCGAATGCTTGATGACCTTCTTTTTCAACAGTATCCAATACAACAGCAACACTTCCAGGTTTACCAACGGAAACTGTATGAATCGGAACAGGATGGGTTTGTTGAGTAACTTCACTGAATTCCAATAAACTGCTGACAGTTTTCACTCTTGCAGGAACAACTGTTACTTGATTCCACATTGCGTTTCCCAGTGTACCCCATTGACCTTTCCCCACAGCCAAAAGATCAACTTTGATTCCTGTTCCAATCGATCCAGGTTCACGTCTTGACATTGTGAAAAAGGTATTATCAGCACCGGCAGAAATGTTTGTACAATGAATATCAACGCTTGAATTTGGGAATGCTTTCGATAAAACGATCTCGGTTGGAACTGGGATTGCCTCTAATGCAATTTGTGCACCCATTCCAGTTTGTCCGTGTGTTTGACGTCCCCATCCCAATACTTTTCCTTGTGTCGTTCGTACGACTGAATGATCTGAACCGGTTGCAATTTGTGCAACACGAACATCACGCAAAGTAGGAATTTCGTGAAGGGCAAGACAGAATCGAATATCTGCAAATGGTCTAATATCTTTGCTGGACGTAAAAGATGGCACACCTACTCCAGGCAAAACACCATTTGCATCAGGGAAAACTTCAATCACTTTATCTTCTTTTGATTTGTCACGAATAAAGATACCACGATTTTCCGGACCTGTGACTGGCTTTTTGGTCTTTGATTTATCTTCCATGCCTGGCGGTAATGCCCAAGCAGGTAACACTTGACCTTGATGGAAAATTGTAGGTTGTTCAGCTTCTGTTAACATCTTTGGTTCCATGAGTACTTCTCGGTAAGCTTTCTTGTTTCCCAACAATACTCTGCGCAAGCCAAGTTGTCCGTACACATTTCCATTGTGATCGATTGGAGTGCTAAACGTTCTGCCTTTATTACTCAATGATAAAAGGTGGTGAGATCCTGCTTGGATATCAACAATTCGTTCACCGCTTGCTAGTTTAGCTGCAGGTGTGGCATTCAACACCTCATGATCAATTTCCGTCTGATCAAATGTTCCGAACAATGTAAAGGGATTTGCTGACCATCCAGGGCGCTTGCCGGGCCATTGTCGTGCTTGAACAGAAGAGAACACATACACTTTACCCTTTCCAGAAAGAGCATAGATCTTTTCGTCAGAGGCAGCAATCTTGACGATATTCTTGCCTTTCAAAGTACGGACCGGTGATGTTGGTTGAGCTCCCAATGAGCCTTTGGGCATCAATTCATTTGCTTTTTCCTTCTCCCGTCTTCTGGCAAGTGGAACATCATCAAGGTTCTCTTCACGGTTGATATTTTCTAGAGAAGCATCAAAGAATCCCAATCCCCATTGCAAAATGTCACCGTTTGCATCTACCGCAACTGCATGTCGTTCCTCCATTTGGAGATCTCGCAATGCCATGCCATCAAAGTATGGGATCGATCTAGGCGATTTGATAAACGTTGTCAAGGGTGTATCAGGTGCAACCACATTATAACGATTTGAACCCCAAGCATATACACCTTGCGATTTTGATCTGATACGCATTTGCTCTTGCTGTGTTAAGGAAGCAACTTCGTTGAATAATGGCTTGCCATAGTATTGTAAACCGTACAAAGTTGCAACAATAGCGACAATAGCAGAGATTGGCATCAAGTTCGACGAATTCTTTGTATCATTGTTGCTGGAAGAGGACGAAGAGCGGCTTTGTCGAGAAGCTGATGTGGAGAACATCCTTACTCCACTACTTCCGCTCTTTGCTTGCATTTGTTGTGATGGCCATGCACGACTGGATCCTAAGCCTGAAGTGGGCGTACGGTCTTTGCTGCGGAAACCTGCTAGATCTTGCAATCCTTGTGTTCCTACCGCACCACGTACTGTTGGATTCAAGACTGCTTCACATGCTGCTTTTGCAACAGTATCGACATGCAATGGCTGTAGAGTGACCAATCTTGACAGAGCGCTCAGGTCTGCGGCCGGGAATGCGTTCAACAAAGCAGCCAAAGTCGGCAAAGGTATTCCACTCTGAATATGTTTGTGATGCAGCCAACTGCTTAGATCCAAGGCTGCTGCCGGTAATGTCGATAAAGGTCTTGATTGAGGATGATACATAAGTCCAGGTCGCAAGAATACAGGCCTCATTTTATTGTCTTGTAGAGCAATTTGTGTCAAAGCATCTTCTGCTTCCCTTTTACTTTCGATGTAGCGTTGCGAAATGATTGGTCTGAAGATATCCTCGGCTGAGACGTAGATGAAAGGATTGTCATCAGCTTTCGAAGTAGCTGATCTTGTTGCACTAAATGTACGACCAACAGCGATTGCGGTATCCCTATTCACAGTATCGTAGCTCGGTCCAGGACTTGAAGAAGCCGAATCGCTCTGACCGGCCATCAGTCCCCAACCCTTTGCCAACCCTTGCAATATTCCAAGAGCCCCACCGCCATTTGCATCGGAAGCGGTTTGTTTATAAGAAGATTCTAACAAGATACCCGTTGTACTTATTGCAGCATCGCATTCTTTTAAAATTGTTTCATACGATTGTGGTTTTAAAGCATCAGCCGAACGCCATTCGACCAATTTTGATGAAGTCCAACCGGGATGATGACCTGCAGGCGTTTTGAAAGCATCACCTCTTCTACTTATACTGACCACATTCCATTTTCGTGAAAGTGCTTGTTTCACGATTGCTGAACCGAGAAATCCATTTCCACCAACGACCAACACTTTCATCTTTGTTAAACGGCGGGATGAAGGGTAAGAATGAATGATCATCCTTCAAATTGGTTCGTGCATTTAATCTTTTTAAGCGGAAATGCGTTGCTTACCAATCACTACTTCCGAGTCTGGAGACTGGCGATGTGCCTATCTAACGCGCACTAAGGATAATCTTCCGAATGGTCATCTTCAAACACACACACACAACGGCCTTAGGTTAATGATAATGTATATTATTGCTCGAACACAAGAGAAAGAAAGGGAAAATGACGTTAGGAAAACCATGAGTTTTACGAGATGAAGAGATTGACTTCATTGATGATGAAAGAATGATGGGTGAGAGGGATAACTGATGGAAAGAAAGAGAAAGGAAGAAAAAGAAAGGAACACAATTGAAGAGCAAGTTTTATCGAGTAAATTGCTATGCGTTGATCATAAACGTCAAAATCTTGATCAAGCACAACGACATGTCAAAACTCGAACAAGCTTCTGTCCAAACGAAAGTCTTTCAGCCGGATGTCCTTCTCCGTTACCCATGCCTCCAGCGACCGGTCCACGATCGTCCAATCTTCTTCCTCCTTCAATACCGCCAGAGCTATTAACGTTGACATTGCTCGGCGAAAGTGCGTTGTGATGACTTTGTTCGCGTGAGTTACCATTTGGGGTCGAATTCACTCCTGGTGCATCATGAACGGCAACATTTGATGCCTGTCCAACACCGCCATATCCTGATGCACTTTGACTGAATTGATGATGTTCCGCCCTTAGTTGAGCTGCACGTCCGTTTTGCGCTGTTCCATCACCTCCAGATTGTTGTGGTACACCAGATTTACGTGCTTGTTTGGATTCATTACGTCCGGCGGTTGCTTGTTGTGCATTTTGTGGGACTTGTGATGCGCGCATATCACGATGACGATCGCGATCACGATGCGTTCCTGCTTCCCAACCTTTACCGTTGTTTAACATCATCCAATCATAAACACCGTCGTCCACTTCACCGTGTAGTGCTTTGCTCAACAATTCACGCAAAAAGTCATAGTCAGGTGTTTCCTCAAATCCAAGCTTGCGCACGTAATTGAGATAGATTCCAAATTCTTCTGGGAATCCTTCGCAAAGTTCTTTGATTGGTGTGCTTTGTTTCTTCTCCCCGATCTTTTCGTACTTTTGCTTGTTTGTTGCAGCTTTTAATCCTTGCCATGGTAGGCCACCACGCAAAAAGTACATAAACACATGTCCCAAAGCCTCCAAATCATCACGTCTTGATTGTTCACGACCCAAGTGAGTGTTGATGGACATGTATCGTGCAGTTCCACTCAAACTCTTGCGTTCACGATAAGGAATATGTTGTTTAGTCTTTGGATCACGATATTGTTTTGCCATACCAAAGTCGACAACGTGAATGGTGTTTGCAGCTTTTGTCATTGGTCTTCCGATCAAAAAATTATCAGGTTTGATATCTCTATAGATCAGATTCTTTTCGTGAATCGTTTGAACTCGTGTGATCATTTGTTTGGCTGTCATGACGACAGTCTTGATGCTAAACTTCCTTCCACACATATCAAACAGGTCTTCCAAACTTGGTCCCAATAGATCGATAACGAGGATATTATGCAGTCCTTCTTGACCAAAGTAGTATACTTGTGGTACACCTGGACATCCTGCTAGGATTTTGTATGTTCTGTATTCGTCTCGCAATTGAGGTGCGTCACTCTTGCGAGGTTCGAATTTGATGGCTACCGTTTGACTGTTGAGCAAATTTGTACCTTCAAAAATCACACCAAATGATCCTTCTCCGATCTTTTTGCCAACGCGATAATGAACGCCAACGACGTTTGAGCCTGAGCTATGGGCTGTATGCGAGGAAGACATGTTGTATGTGATTGGTATATCTGACGAATCCGTTCAAGATTGCTTTTTGATGGGCGTTGTAAAGGTGAAAGTGGGAGTTCGAAAAGTTGATGATGAATTGAAAGCTGAGTCGTCTAAACTTTAAATGTTTGTAGAAAGAGGTATACGTAATTGAATAGCGTTTTTGTGTGTTCAGATATGATCGTCGATGATCTTTTTTATGTTGTGCCTGTTCCTGCTCCTGGTTTTGATGGAAAGGGAATGTTGTTGATCTGATTGAGAAAAGTGTATTGGATGCCAACACCTTTACTGTATCTTTTTGGGTACTCTTTTGTTCTATAAATCGAAGCCGAGAGCAGAGGGCGGAGTACCGCCTTGCTTTGAAATTTGAGATAGAGGAGGAAGTCCTGTAGGGGTAAGCGCGTGATAAATGGCGAAGGTATGAAGGAGGAAAGAAAGACGAAAAAAAGGAAAGCAAAAGGGAGATAAAAGAAGCCGGAAAGGTAAGAATGATGATCAGATGAAGAGAGAAATGCAATATTGTTTATGAGTACGGGTGAAAATAATGGAAAGTGATTGTGACTTTGCAGTTTCTGGGCACTGTGTGCTTCGCAGATCCGCTACAAAAAGGCCAAGCGTGCGTATGAATATGTTACAACACAATACGCGAGACAGACAAACAGAGAGAGACAGCACAGGCGGGGCAAACGGGCAGGCGCGTGAGCAATGTTGAAGTTGATGATCGGAGTAGGAGCGCGTGTGTTATACATTACCTATTCGGCAACTGCTGCTGTTGGTAATTTCTAAAAAGTGCCTTTACCGCCTACATACACAGGCATATCACACACATCCACCCACGCGTACAACAACAATTAGACTTTCTTAATTGCACCACTCAAAAAACAGTTCTATTAAAGAAGAATAAAACAGCCTCTTTATGCAGACAAAGTTCAAACCGGTCCAGACACTGCTCAGCGCGCATAGGCAGTTAGACTGTGTAATGTTATTATAGGGATATTGTGCATCTTGCATACATACATGTGTACTGTAGTGCTCCTGCCGTATCTCTCTGCTGCTTGAGAATATTCCAATCTGAATAAAGTTGGGATAAGACCTCTCATGTCAACTTAAAAATGTGACATTCTGCAAAAGATCACTGATCGGGGAGAAAAAGAAGAATCAAACATGCTTCTCACGTGATTCCACTTTCATCCTTTTGATGCAAGGCCCTTCCTTTAGTTGCAATTTATGCATAGGCTCTTCTCAAATTAGTACAATTCTTCATCTTGAGAAAATATGCGAATTCCTTCATAAACGAGAAAGAGAAAAATGAAAGAGAAAACTCTAATTTTAGAAGGAAGCTAAGACTGGCTCAGACCTCCTTATTAATTTTGTGACAGGCCGCCATCTCACCTTAATGAAAGCTTAATATTCATTTACGTCTTAATTTAGCGGTCAAAGCGTGATTTGAAAAGTGGTGATTACTCAACTCTACCTATGATCACATCGATGTGAAAGATTATGTTTAAATTATCAACGCAAGATGCTTAATGTACATGTGCTTTTTTATCATCAATCAATCGACTTTTTTGGCTTTCTTCTTTCCCTTGGTACTAGACTTTGATTGATCGAGAGTGCTATCATCTTCTCCCTTCTTCCTCTTTCCGTCTTTCTTCTCATCAACCGTTGTCAATGCTAACATTTGTTTCAATAAACCTTGCAAACTTGCCGAATTTGGCATAATATTTGTCGTGTTGAGAGCTTCCATAGCCGATTGGATTTCACTTTTTGGCCAAATTTCTTGTATTTCTGCCTCTGCTTCTTTTCCAGTCTTTTGCTTGACTTGCTCAACAAGTTTACGTGTTAGACGGACATAAGGCAAAGCACTTTTCAAGACTTCCTTGATTCGATGTTGATCGTGTTTGACACGACGGAAAGTCAATTCTGCTAGATTCTGTAATAGCTTTTGAATACCTTGCACGGTAATTCCTTCACTGAGGTTTTGCTGTTGTTGCAATTGACCAATGAGATTTGCAATGCAGACACGCAACATTTCCATCACCTGAACTTGTCTAAAGGCATTTTGACTCGAACTCTGTTCACCACTTGCGGCTTGCAATAATTCATCTCGTAATGAGAAAGCCAAATGTGGGAATCGTGAAAATGCATCGATCAAGAAAGAAGGCTTGAGGTTGTTATTCTTTCTTTCGAGGAAATCATTCAAAGTTGCCACATAAATGGAACGAACTTTCTCGGGCACGTCTTGATCTGGCGGTGAGCAGCTCTTCGTCAAATAAAGATTGCAAGCATTGGCTAAACTCATTTGATCAGATGTCAAATTAGTGGCTGCCATCTTGTGAACTGCATCCAAAGAATCAAGAGCGCTTTGCATCGAAGACGTTCCTACAACGTTCAGCTTATTTCCACTACCACTACTACCCCCTTTCAATAAAGTCTTGCGGAGTACAGTGGTTGCTTTTTGTCTCAATTGACCAAGAGCTTTGTCTTTCTCAAATGCAATCGTGAACAAAGGCAATACCATTTCGACACATAATGCATTGTCACCCTGACGTAAGGCAAAGTGATCCAAAAGGTCGATAATACGAACGTGAAAGGTTGCCTCTTCTTTTCTTGCTTCATCTTCTTGTTTGCGTGTTGCATACTTTTGACGGAAAATATCTGCCAATTTGTCGTCCATCAGAATCATTTGTTCATCATCAAAGTCTTCCATAGAGACAGACGATGAATCACTCTCATCGTCATCGTCGTCCTCTGCATCTTCCCCTTCGCTCCTTTCTTCCTTATCAGCAATTCCGCCCGACTGTAATGCCTCTCTGATCTTCTTGGCAAACTCTGCATCTACATCTTCATCGTCAACCTCTGATGAAGTGCTCGTGGCGGAAGTATCGGAAACAGAATCCGACATGACATCATCCTCTTCTTCGCCTTCATTCTTATCTTCTTCTACGCCCTCTTCGCCATTGTTACCTTGATTGAACCCAAGTTGCTCGATCAGAAGTCGCACGGATGATTGAGTCATATCCTCTGCGAATGCGTCGAAAGCTTGAGTTGCAATACTTCGCAAGAATGCTGTTGGTTGCTGCAAAGCATTTGACAGACAATCTATAAACAATTCCATTGGTCCAGGACTATCTGCATCGCTCTTACTTGATACCGCTTTCTTGTTTGTCAATAGCTGATTCGCGCATTCGAGCATCGGCTCAATAAGTTCATTCACCTCTTCCTCTTGCTGTAGTGCGGCTTGTGCGTAAATACTAGAAGCCAATAGTAAAGTTGAATAGGATTGGTAGCGATCTTTCTTGCTGCCTTCTGCCTTTTCGCTGCCAGATCGTAAGCTCTTGAGAGTCTTCTCTACTTTGCCCAAGATTTCGTGTTGAGTCTTGGGTAGACGGGTGAAATGTTGAGAATCTTTGTCCAAAGCAATAATAATCTCGTTACCTCGCGAAATCCAGTCAACATCCTCCCTATTCTGCTGAACAGACGCCGAGGCCGCATGTAAATCAGAAAGACACGATAAGAATCGTGATCGGCAGGAGCTTTGGACGGACGAAGAGAAGCCTTCAGAAACAGGTGCAATCGTCAGGCTGGCTCTACTTGATGGTGCTTTCTCTAATGCTTTCTTCATCGTGAACAATCCATGAGCAGCAAAAAATGTCAAAATGTTCTCGATGCATGCATCATCTGTGTCGATCTGCGCGTTGCGTACTAGGATCAACAGAGAATCGAGGATGGAAGCTCGCTTTCCATTAGATTGTTCATGACATGCCGATAAGATCAGCCGATCAGCGTATCTACGGACGTCATCGCTTGGGGTGGAACGCAGAATTGTTTCTACTGTCTTGGTATTGGTGACCGAATCGAACCGGTAATTGACACTTGGATCTGTAAGTCGCAACACCACATCATACGCAATCGAAGGCCGTTCTTTCACCGCTTGTTGCAGGCCAATACATGCTCTTTGAGCAGCTTTTTGTAGGATTGGATCTTTTGCACTGAGTTGGTTGAGCAGCGTTCGCATCAAATTAGGCATGAAAATGTCGGAAACGTAAGATTGATCAACAATACGAGCAGCTCTTTGTATCAATTGGAAGCCCCACGCTTTCTTTTGGTGCGAAGAGGTTACGGCGAACAGGTTATCATCGACCAGAATACGATACATCACATCAAACGGCGCTTTTTGACCGCCGGCTGATGCAGTGTCAGCATACTGACTGAATATCATATCCCATACAAAGTGTGCTTGCGTACTGCCCGAGGCATAGGATGGTGTTGCTTCTTCATCATTCGCGTCCTCCCCACGAGCATCTCGCAATATCCTTGCTAGTATCGGTACATTAGCAGAAGACAATAGCTCTTGATTAGCAAAGCGTGGCAATCTTTGAGCACTTGCAAAGCTCTCGGGTGAATTCTGTTTCAATGTCATGAAGAGAGCAACACTATCTGCAGTCACACGATCATCATTGCATACAATCTCGACCAGCCATTTCAATGCGTTTGATTTCCAGCTGGGAGGATTGTTGGTTTTTGATAGCTGCTCAATAGCTTGTACGATCACCGATGTTCCACTCTCACGTAGCCAATGCTTTCCGCTGCTGATATTATGCAAGATTCTTATTATACGTTGAAAGTCTTCCTGATTCGTAACACTAGAATCGCAAAGCACTTCAGAGCGTACTAAAGCGTGCAAACCAAACAATCGTGCAAAGAGCATGTCTCTTTCTTCCTGCCCTTTAATCTTTTGTGCTGGTTTAGAGTATGCCAATATAAGATCGATTGCATGTTGGGTGCTTATTGATCTTGTACGTTGAAATAGTTCGCATAGTGCAACTGAGAATCCCAATCGAGCACTTTCGCGGTGACTTGCTAAGCCTTTGGTCAGTCTTTTGATAGCATATACCAAGTCAGGATTTCCGGTAGACTCAAGTGCAGATTCTGCTTGTCCCAGTTGAGCATCAGTGACATTCTCTGGTACATCTTCCTCTCTTTTGCCTAAGCCATCTTCGAAAAGAGGTTGCTTTCCCTTTTGAATTGAGCCGCGATTGTTATTCTCCGGTGCCAATCCTTTTACCAATGCATGTGCTGATGCAAGTCTATCTTCCTTTGATGAAGAGGCTAACTGCCAAAAGTGTGACAGTGTGCTCGTCATCAGGCCTAGTATACAGTAAAGGGTGTATGGTGGCAGTTGAATAATACGTTCTTTGGGCATTCTGGCCGTGTTGGCTTCCTTGCTTCTTCTTAATCCACTTTTTCCAAAAAATTTCCCTTGTCCGACACACGTGAGCGCGTGTTTTCAAGCTTGAGAAGAAATGAGAAGATCTTTCTCTAATTAGCTTAATTCGCATTCTCACTCTTTCCTTCTGCCAAGACTGCTAGAGTGCAGTCAAGCCTCACATTCTTTACGCGGGCTGGGGGCGCAGCGCCGCTAAAATGTCAAGAAACTTATGAGTATAATTAGTCTTACGCCGATAAGAGTCACTTCGGCTAATAGAAAAGGGAAGATAATAGAAAGGAGATTAGAAGCTTGCATATGTTTGGGGAAAGATGATAACCTTCTTACCATCATAATCACTCACACCCTCACTTGGATTCAATCATCTATTTGATCCATCATGTGTGGTATTTTAGCATGCATTAACCATCCCAAAGCGGCCGCTTATAGGCCAAGAATGTTAAACATGTCTCGTTGCATTCGTCATCGTGGTCCAGATTGGTCAGGTTGTGTTGTGGCAACTGAAGGTGATGGCAGATTAGAAAGTTTGCCTCCAATTACACGCGCAAACCCAAAACATACACCAGCAGAAGATATTCAAATGCTCGGAGCAACGACTGACGAAGAAGAAAACGATGCAGATCGTGGAAGTATCTTATGTCACGAACGTTTGGCAATCGTTGGTGTTGATACAGGTGCTCAACCTTTGGTATCTACAGATGGAAAATTAATCTTGGCGGTCAATGGAGAAATCTACAACCACCGCCAATTACGCAAAGGATTGAAGAACCAAAAAGCTCAATTCAAAACCCACTCCGATTGCGAGGTTATTCTTCATTTGTACAAAGAACATGGATCCGATTTCGTCAAGATGCTAGATGGTATGTTCTCTTTTGTCTTGTTGGACACTTCAGTCTCTCCTCATCGCTGCATCGCCGCTCGTGACCCAATCGGTATCACAACCTTCTACCAAGGATGGAGCTACAAATACCCTGGAGCTACCTTTTTCAGTTCAGAACTCAAAGCCCTTCACGAAGAATGCGATCGTATTCGCGGATTCCCACCAGGTCATCTATACGACAGCTCTTTGCCTGAAGGTCAAGAAACTGTTAGATACTACCAACCAACATGGTGGCACGGAGATGAGGAAGGCGCTAAATTGCCAACAACAGAAGCTGATTTGACAGCGATTCGGGAAAGCTTGGAAGCTGCCGTTCGTAAAAGATTGATGTCTGAAGTGCCATATGGTGTTTTATTATCTGGTGGATTAGACTCAAGTTTGATTGCAACCATTGCTGCAAGAGAGACCAACAAAGTGGCAGAAGCACAACGTCAAAGGTACGAAGAGAGAAGAGCGAGAAAGGAAGCAGTAGTTGCCAACGGGCCCACTGATGGATTGCCTGTCGGATTGGATGATGATGAAGATCAAGAAACACTTGCTGCTTGGCCAAGATTACACAGTTTCTCCATTGGTTTGGAAGGATCGCCCGATTTGATGGCAGCTCGTGAAGCAGCTCGCTATTTGGGTACCGTTCACCACGAATACACTTTCACAGTTCAAGAAGGTTTGGATGCCATTTCTGACGTTATTTACCATTTGGAGACATTCGATGTCACCACAGTTCGTGCTTCAACGCCAATGTACTTGTTGAGCAGAAAGATCAAAGCAATGGGTGTCAAGATGGTTTTGAGTGGTGAGGGATCAGATGAAATTTTTGGTGGTTATCTATACTTCCATGCTGCTCCTGATGCAAAGAGCTTCCATCAAGAATGCGTCAAACGTGTTAAGGCTCTGCACACCGCCGATTGTCTTCGTGCAAACAAGAGTACTATGGCATGGGGGTTGGAAGCACGTGTGCCATTCTTGGATAAGTCATTCTTGGAAACATCAATGAACGTGGACGCAAAGGACAAGATGTTCAGCAAGGGATCATTACAAGAAAAAGATGCAGATGGAAGACCACGAATGGAAAAGTACATTTTACGTAAAGCATTTGATCTCACGCCACCCGGAGATGCAAAGCCATATCTTCCCGAAAGCATTCTATGGCGTCAAAAGGAACAATTCAGCGATGGTGTTGGATATAGCTGGATTGACGGCATGAAAGAATATGCCAACAAACACATTAGTGATCGCAAATTCGCACAAAGAAAAGAACGTTATCCAGAATCAACGCCTGATACAAAAGAAGCTTATTGGATCAGAGAAGTATTTGAATCTTGGTTCCCTACCAAAGCGTCTGCAAGTACTGCCGTCCGTTGGATCCCACGTGGAGACTGGGGTTGTGCTAGTGATCCAAGTGGACGTGCTGTTAACATCCATGAATTTGCTTATGAGTAAGTTAGCTTTACCGCGAAAAATATCTTTACATCGTCATCATTGTATTCTGTAAGCATTCATAGAATAATTGTTATTACCGTTGACTGCAGATTTTTATAGAGTGATATAAGAGGTGATTCCAGTGCTTTCAAGCTGTTTCTACACTTGATAGATACTTCCAGAATGGAGGGACTGCATTAGTTGTCGATAGTGTCGGGCATTGAGGCGAATATTCAACTGCATAAGCTAGGTTCGAGAGCCGTGGAAAAAGGCCTAAGCGGACGGGAGATCTTTGAATATTATGATCGTCGATGTTTCAAGCCATTTTTTGATGCATTATTCTTCCATGTATGCTTTCTGTGTGACTGTCAAGCACTTGCTACTGTAGTTTGCATGCTGATGTGAAGTACTTTTCAAACGTTACTAAAATTAAAAAATAGGATAATAAGAATGAATACATTGTCGTCACCAAAATAGTCCGTCGAAAATCGGTTGCATTGTACAATCATTCACTGTGAAGGACAAAAATACCAGAACGCTTGAAACTAAGAATAAAAAGACAAATTTTCAAGATTCTGAAGATAAATTGAAACAAATTTCATTAAATTGAACATTTTTAGTAATAAAGATTCAATATTATATTTCATCCCGTCTGAATAAACATAAAGACCTTAGCGAATCAAAAGGCTATCAAGGCACACATCTTCATCATCATATGGCAGCAGCTTGATATTCATCGTATTTCTGACATATAAAGCCAATCTTCAAATTGCTGGTGACGACGACGGTCTATAAATTTTGGAGGGAGCCGGCTAAACCGGAATGTCTGTGCCTTACGCGGACGGATTTTTCCCGCGCGTTACGCTTTGAAGGCGCGGCGGCCTGTGAATGCGGAGTCAGCATGAGACATTCATTCATTGAAGGGGGAGTGAAAGAAGAGTAAAAAATAATCACTTTTGCTGACGCACATTAACCGGCTATAAGGTGATAAAGGTGGACTAGGCTTATGCTTTTTATTTTATCCGAATCTTCTCATCACTTCTTTCACTACTTCCACACACAAACAAAAATGTCGCCTTCTGCTCAAGCTTCAACGTCAGCTGCGGGATTGCAAGCTGATCAATCAAGACCAAAGTTCGATTCAATCGATTCGGCAATCAAAGATATCTCAGAAGGAAAATTTGTAATCGTGCTAGATGATGAAAATCGAGAAAATGAAGGAGATTTAATTTGTTCGGCAGATAAGATTACAACCGAACAAATGGCTTGGTTCATTCGTCATACGAGCGGTTTCATTTGTATTTCTTTACATCCAAAATTGATCGAACAAATCAATTTACCAATGATGGTTCCCGTTAATACGGAAAAGAATAAAACAGCTTATACGATCACTTTGGATTACAGATATGGAACCACGACTGGAATCTCTGCGCATGATAGAGCTTTGACCAGCAGAAAACTTGCTCAAACATGGCGTGAAGCCAGAGGTCAGCATGTTACTCAAACCAAGTCAAACGGAGGAGCATCAGCAAACGGAAATCCATCTGCCGCTTTTCATGAAGGTGAAGCGCCCGATCGACTTATCCAACCAGAAGATTTTTGTCGTCCAGGTCATTTATGTCCTTTACGCTATACAGAAGGTGGTGTAAGGAGGAGAAGAGGTCATACAGAAGCAAGTGTAGATCTTTGTGTAGCGGCCGATCTACCACCTGCAGCACTTTTGTGTGAATTGGTTGACCCAAATGACGAACAAGGAGGAATAGCTTCTAGGGATGCTTGCTTTGCATTTGCAAAACAACATTCACTCAAAATTATCACTATCGAAGCTTTGGAAAGATGGCGTGAAGAAAAGGAAGGTCCTCTACCTGCTTCTATCGAATCGGCTTCTACTAAATTGGATCAAGAACGTGGTGTACGCTTAGAGGAACAAGAAGTTGTTGGTCCCGCCCATGCAAATGGGCTCTAAATCTGCCTTTTGCTCGTAAACCTTTGAAAACATGTACCGAATACTCTCAACGGAAGTCTATAATGAAAACAATACTGTTCCTTTATTTTACATGGTTGATAGTGTACAAATGTGTGTATGAGTTGTGAAGTTACAACTTAGCCGCTTTCGCACCCTTCTGGACGACTGTTTTAGCCGTTGTACTTAAGCCTGGAAAGAGTGGTTGCACTTTCTTAGAAGATCGGCATAGAGTGATTTCTTTACGTAGTTCTTTGGCATGCTCGAATGAACGTTCATCTTTGGGAATACCTAAAAGGTCCAACATTTCGTTCATCTTGTTTGGCATGACCGATTTAGAGAGCAAAGCGGCGATTCTTAAAGATTCCATAGTAAGATAAACTGCTCGCCATAAATTTGTTTCATCATCCCGTATTGATTTCTTCCAAGGTTCAATGCTATGCCAATGCCTCTGACTGCTTTCAAGCATATGCAAAATTGCACTTAGTGCCTTGCTGATTTCGAATTGGGCCATATTGATATCAACTGTATCTGCTAAAGGCGAAAGAAGTCGCAAATGTTCTTGATCCTTGAGGTGAAGTAGTTCTGGTGCAGAGATTGTCACTTCATCTTTGCCTTCAGGAATAAGCCTTTGCAATAGCGTGGGTGCCAAGACACGAGACAAGAGGTTTCCGTAATTGCTTTGCAAGTGCTTTTTGCGAAATTCAACAAGAGTTTCATCATTCCAATTAACATCCTTGCCCAGATTACCACCAACTCGAGTCAAGAAAAAACGCAATTCTTCCACGCCAACAGTTTTGAGTGCAATGAACGGATTCACTGCATTTCCTTTTGATTTGGACATCTTACTCATGTTTACCGTCCAATGACCATGTGTGACCAATTGACGTGGCAATGGAAGACCAAGAGCCATGAGAAAAGCGGGAAAGTAAATCGCATGGAAACGAATGATATCCTTGCCTACGATCTGTGTATCGGCCGGCCAACTTCCCAAGACCTCTTCTCCACCCGCTTTTGCTCCGTTCCAAGGATATCCAGAAACGGTAACATAGTTCAGCAATGCATCAAACCAAACGTACATTGTCTGTTCTGAATCGTTGGGCACCTCTATTCCCCATTGTAGTCGCGACTTGGGTCGAGAAATGCTCAAATCTTGTAGGCCTTCATCCAATTCTTGCAATGTCGCTTGATAGCGTGTATATGGGACGATACGTGCCGAATGACCCTTTAGCCATGTCCGAATAGGTTCTTCAAAGAGGGACAGGCGAAATTTGAAGTTCTCCTCTTCCGTCCATTCCACCACATTGCCTGTTTCTATCGATACCATCAATTTGCTATCCTCTTCGCTCTGTTTCACTTGAGTTTGTGTATAGAATGCTTCATCTACAACACTGTACCAACCACTGTGCGTACCTTTGTATATGAACCCGTCCCGGAGCAGCTGATCCCAAAGTGTCTTTACTGTCTCTATATGATCCGTATCAGTCGTCCGAATGAATCGGGTATATTCAACACCCGCCGCATCTGCTAAATCATTGAATCGCTTACTGACCCGATCACAAAGCTGTCTTGGAGATTCGCCCAACTTTTCCGCCGCTTTTTGTATCTTTCCACCATGTTCGTCTGTTCCAGTCGCAAATATTACTTTTGCTGTACCTGTGTTCTGGTTTTCAATTTCTTCCAATGATTTTGATTGTTCCCTTACTTCTGGTGCTTCCAAGATTTTTGAAGGTGACCAACCTTTATGTCTCCATTGATTCCATTTGGCCAACACATCAGCCAATACCATACTTTGTAAATGTCCTATATGCGGTACCGCATTTACGTAAAAGATTGGAGTGGTGATGTAGTATGGCTTTCCGATAAGTTGTGCTTTGACAGGTTTGAGTTTTGCCGGATCGATCTTACTTTCCTCTTTTGACGTTAGCCTACATGCTGTTAGTGAGAAATTTCGAGTAGTGGACGCATTCAGTCTTTCACATAACCTGCTACTGCTTTGCCATCTATATAGAGCATGACGTGCCGTTAATGAGCATAGCATGATCTTCTCTTGTGCAGTGATGGAGGTTTGCGAAGAATTGTTGAAGCTTGATAATACATTAAATTAAAGCTTCTTACGCTAGAAGAGTTGTTTAGCGCGGGCTTCTGTTTATTCTTGTCACGTCAAAAATCCATAATACATTAGAAAGTGTATGCCTTAAAAGTGGCTTCGAGATTGTTATCAATATTTTACTGTGATGATTATTTGAAAATTTATATACGTCGTTGACATATACTGTCCTTACTGATGGATGATTCCCGAGGTTATTTCTCACAAGATGATAAGACCATAAGTCTTGGATCATCCGACGACATTCATTACTCGGCCTGCTAAGCGGGCCGATCACCCCTCGTTTTTTATATAACCGTTTCAGGATGATGACGTCTTGGGCGTAACCACCGCCCTCGAAACGGATTCTGGCATCCGCTCTCTTCTCCTGGAAACAATGGATGCCCATCCGTTTGTATGCCGATATACCTTTACTCATAATCTCTTCTCATCATTGCCCCGTGCACTTCTTTCTACCCGATTGATGGATTTTGCATAAGTCAAGAAACGTATATAAAGTGATTCAATCTGTAAATCTTTTTTGTCCCAACTCCATCATATCACCAAATTCAAAACATGCGCTTTCACACAGTCACCGCCTTATTGATCCCCTTCGTTATCGTGGGAACGTCACTCGCATGCGAGTTAGTAAGAAAGTGAAAGGTGCATAGGTGTCTGTGGACCACTAAGATATCTTTTCCATCCCTTTCTTACAAACAGGACCGTACTCAATTGTGTAAGCTCTTGTACCGGAAACCAGGCTAAAGTTGTGAACGATTGCAATCCAAGTTGTCCTAAAATTTTTCCAACTTGTTGTTCAACTTGCACAGGTGGATAGATTCAAGGAAAACAATAATGATCTATGGATTTTCAAGCTCTATAACTATGTTCAGAGACGTTTGACAAATCCAATCATCTATTACCTTTTATTCTTGAAAATTTTTGATTTGATTCTATCAAAACTATAGTTAGAGTCTATAAAGTCTGAATGTCGTGAAGGAATATGAGGCGTACATGTCTCGCGTGTTAGTATACACATTCTCAACACCTCCTCTCATTCCTGCTCTGTTGCACCCCTCTGTACCGGAAGGAATTTTTTCGAGCATAAGAAAAGTAATATTTGGTGGCATCATTTTGCAAACGCGATCATCCCTATTTTGGAAGACGGATAGACGATTCCGAAATTATAAGAGGCGCACAGAGGGCGGCCATCCGTTGCACTTATCTGATGCCGTTTTCATGTTCGAATACATATAGAGCGTAAGACATTGATTTTTCTCTGTCAGGACCTAATATCATCATATTCAACATCTTGTCTGTGTATCTTAGGTAACGACCTTGACCACACTCAGTGTACGTCAGCATTCAATAACTTCAATTCCCGAAATTCAAGCCATGCACCTTCACAAATACATCGCCTTGTTGATTCCTTTCGTCATCGTTGGAACAACACTTGCATGCGAGTGAGTCAAATTGTAGGATGCGAAACCCAGATTATGGCAGCTAACTAACTTTTCATTTTCCTTTCCTTCACACAGGGAGCAGCTTCGCTGTGTAAAATCTTGCTCCAATCCTGTCGGCGGTTGCAGTCCGCAATGCACCGGTAGTGCTCCGTATTGTTGCAAAAGCTGCGTATGAGTGTTGAAATACAAAGAAAACAACACATCATGATATCTCCATTGCTTCAGTTGTACTCCAAGACCCTCAAGAGATGCAATCATACCTTGCCATTCATTCGTGAAAGATGTTCATTTTAGTCTATCGAGTCTATGGAAAGGGTCTATATAATATGTGTGTGTCGTGAAGAAATATGATACATTAAGAAAGATGGCATTTGTTCTAGTTGGCATCACCCAATGGTAAGAACACAAAAGGAACCAAAAGAGCAGCATTGACGATACCTGAAATCCAGAATTTACGACCAAGAGTTCTTAGTGCTTTGGATCCAGGTTGATATAAGAAGATTAAAGTGAACCAAAGACCACCAACATTACCGCAGCTACCGATAATACCTGCAACTACACCAACATTTTTAGGTCTTAAATGACCGTAAACTGCATAAGCAGCACCATTTGCAGCGAAACCTACGGTTGCGATTGCTACGATGAATCCAATCACTCCTCCTAAAGAAGCTTTTCCGTGATCGACATAAATACCCAAACCAACAAGTAATAAACCTTGTGAGATACCGGTGGCCAATAAAAAGATCACTTTTGCACGAACACCAAGTCCCCTATGACGAAAACGACGGTAAAGGATGTCACAAAGAATGCCGCCGAATGGACGAGCATACAAATTGCACAATCCCCAAGTAGATGCAACATAAGCAGCATCAACGGGACCGAAAGAAGGAGATTGGAATAAAGTCAAAATCAAACCTGGCAAAGCGGCATCCAAAGCTGTTTCCAATCCAAAAGTCATCATATAACTTAAAGCGCACATCCAAACACGTAAATCGGAAAGGATTGCCGCTGCACTTTTAAGTGTAAGAGGTTCACTAACGGCTGTATCGACTGTTGATACTTGTTGTTTATCGTATTGGTTTGCCGTTTCACGGAAATCTGAAACTTTTGCAGGCGCTTTTTCTGTTCTTGCAGGACTTTGTTGTTGTTCTGTATATTGTCTTTGTTCATCTCTGTCTAAATGAACGTCTTCACCATGTGCTACCGCGATTGCTGTTCCGGGCAATAGATGACGCTGAGACCATTTACCGGCGGGATGATCTTTACCGACCAGCATCATTAAAGCTGCAACCACGAACAATAATGGAACGGGCAATACCAAGAAACAAATTCTCCAAGCCAAATGAGGTGTAAGACCAGCTTTGCGTAAGCCTTCAAAGATGTTGATCATCACAAACACAGTCACACCACCACCCATGTTACCCCAACCACCTGAAAATGCATTGGCGGTTCCGACGATTGTTTTATCAAAGAAAGTCGTTGTCCAAGCTTGTGTGGGAACGAAAGTACCACCTAGAATCGAAATAAAGAAACGAACGGCTTCCAAATGACCAATGTTTGACACGAGAGGAACGAGAGCAGAAGGAATGGCACCCAAACAAAGCAAGAAAGCCATAACTTTTCTTGGTCCGAATCGATCAACTGCGGCTCCAGCAAAGATTCTTACGATTGCCGTACCGCCCAAACTTGCAAGGTTAGAATGTGTAATTTGTGCTTGAGTAAGTTTTAGATCTGATTTTACAGCTTCAGGCATCAAAGGTGAAAAAGCAAACCAAGAAAAGAAAGCAGAAAAGAAACCTAAAGTTGCCAACCAAAATGCGATTGAGTAAGGATCCCAAATACGAAAGATTGGAAAAGTAAAACTTTTTCCATTTACAGAATTAATCACTGCTGGTTCCCATAATGATTGCCATCGGAAAGGTAATGAACCTGAACGTGCTTGAAGTTGTGCTTCGGAAACGTATTGTTCTTCCGTTACAATACCACCGGTCGTGAGTCCAGGAGGTGCAACTTGAATCTCATCCGTTGTGGATGGACTGACTTTTTCATCATTATGAGAAGATGATCCTTGTGATCTCTCTTCTCCAGATTGGTATTGGGGGAGTGCGGCGTCAGTCATCTTTATAAGATATCTCTAAGGAGATATTGGATGTTGGAGGGTAATGCTGTGCTTTGGACTATCTTGATAGTACGGTACTGTTTTATATAAAAAGCACAGGATTGCTACAAGGTGACGGTTTGGAGTAATGGTTCCTGGATAAGGAACAAAGTGAACAATGCAACCCAGGAGAGTTTTACTCAACAGATTCCGTTGGAAGGTAAGGAGAAATCACATTTTTGATCGCTTGAATTTGATTGGTGTTTGATTATGATTCTTGTGATAAGTGAATGAAGATAAGGGAATGCATACAAGCCACAAGCCGGAATGTCGAACAAGAGGCTTGGCCCGTAAGGTTGATCAAGCTTATCGTATCTCATGCCGATACGATAAGCTCATCTTAATAAAAGCGAATAATTTGATTGGCTATCAAGTGTTGCAATTTATGATAGATAAGAGTTTAGCATGCAAATCAAGCCAATAGCATATATTCATAGAATGATGAGAGCGATAAGGCACAATTTCTTCGGCGCGGCAATTAAACGAACGAGCCCCGTGTGTGTGTGTGCGTGAAAGAAATACTCCGAAGTTCAATTTCCACTGATATGGTGCCCGCTTGTTTCTTGGCTTTGAATTAGCGCCGGCGCTGTGCTTGCATATTAATAAACCGTTAACACACATTCTTCATGTTTTGTTATCTTGCATGTCAGAGATAAGGATCAATCAACTCTAGTCCAATAAGAAAACCGAATTCTGGGCTTGAAAATAATGAGATTTTATTCTTTTAGCTTATCGGATCATACACTGTGTCAGACATCATTACCAATACAATTTCATAAATATTATATACATCTTAAACAAAGGCTTACTACCTGTATGTACTCAAAAAAAGATTAAAATCTTACAACGCTACGTTCTGTATCCCATCCCAACTCTCGCATAAGCCGTAAAACAGCTTCTTCCATTGGTGGAGGCCCACAAAATAGAGCAATTGTATCTTCGATCGGGTTCCCATCTTTATCATTGATAGGTTGAGGTGCGGGAGGTAGATGTTTTTGTAAACAATCTGATGAAATTCTACCACGTCCCATCGACCATGAATCGGGTAAATCTTTCGCACTTAAGATATGCCAAAGTTTAATTCTTCCTGATGCTCTTTCTACAAGTTGATCCAATTGTCGTCTCGCTAAAATATCTTCTTCTGCTCGATTACAATCAATTATCCAAATATTCGTTTCCGTTGCTTTTGGATCATCGATTAAACCTTTTAGAGTTGACCAAATTGGTGTTATTCCACTGCCGCCTGCAATCATTGCAACATTCTTGATCAATCGAGAATGTTTGTGAACACGCATCATACTTCCAGGCTCGTAGGTAAAATGACCTAAAGGACCTTTCAATTCGACGTGATCCTCTCCCACACGTAATTTGTGTAATGCAGTTGTCATCTTACCACCTTTAGGGAAGGAAGAATTTGGCATATATACTTTGATAAGAATGTCCAAGTATCCCACCAATTCATTTCCACTAAAAGGTGTATAAGCTCGTTGAATCGTTTCAACTTCTTCCGTTTGTTCATCCACCTTGGAGCGTACCCGTACATAAACATGTTGTCCGATTGGCAAGCCGACATTTTGGTCTTCACGGTCCAAAGCAAATCTAAAGACGAAACTATCATGTGAAATTTGTGTTTTGGAGTGTAACATACTCTTCTTCCATTGTTTCGGATGTAAAAATGGTGCATCTTTATTTTCTTCCTCACTTTGTTCTTCTTTGATTTGTGCCCCTTCGGCTAATTTACCAACGTGGAATTCACGCATCATTTGTTTCGCATCGATCGAATGAATCGCCATGAAATCTTCCGATGCATCTTCTCCTGCCACAAGTGTGATACTGTCTGCGCCACCAGGATGTTTGGCCAAAAATTCGGTTCCATCGAATACGTGTCCGTTGACCACGAACCAGGGATTCGTTTCATTGGCGTGCTCCTTCAGTTGTTCGGCTGTGACAATCGTGGCAATCTTGTTCGCATCTCTCATCACGGCGTCTTGGTCCACCTTTTGAGGTTTTGCGACAGGCCTGGCTTCTTCCACTTCAGCTTGTGAGTCTTTCTCAAAGATGGGATAGCGAGAAGAACGACCTTCTTCGTTCAATCTTTGCATCCAGCCACCTGAAACATTACCAGCCAAAGTTGGATGTTCGAAAGAACGTAATTGATCGCTTTTTGCATTAATAGCAACTCTGAACCACCAATTGTTCATCATTGACATTGCATTCCAATACATATCTCTTGGCATTTGTGCTAATCCTTCATCCGTTGCACGAACGGCGATTGAAGATGCATTTTTGATTTGATCACATGGAATTTGTGCTTCCCAAAAACACCATGTGAAACTCATCTCTGTTTCTGTAAGATCCAAAGTACCAAAGAAAGGATGGTTCTTGATCGGTTCGATGCGGTACAGATCTTCGGGCCATTCCAGCTTAGCCAACTGCCATGATTTCCCTTCGTCAGTTGTAATCTCAACACGATGAACACGTTTGCCACCTCCTGTATAAGCATATCCGGCCACCTTGATCATTCCATCGTTCTCCTTTTCTGCTTGGTGGAAATCGATTTCTTGATCATGTGCTGGTACAGTAATTGCTGCGTTGACATTTAAGTCATTGATAATATATTTCGGATCATACCACCAATGTTCTTCTTTTCGTGCAGCGTCTGCTGTAACTTGAGTAGGTAAAAGTTTGTTATCCCAGAAATGTAAATAATGCTGAGATTCTTGATCTGATACTTCGATCCTATTCAACCATTTTACCATCCTTCCTCCAATTTGACCAGGTACAACAAGTCTTAGTGGGAAACCATGATCGGGCGAAAGGGGCTCTCCGTTCAAACCCCAAGCCAACAACATTCCTTTTGATCGATCGCGCGCCCATTGTAATCTTTGTGATGTTCCGTATTTGCCTTTTGGTAGTTCATCTGCACCTTCAAAGATAACATGTCGTGCTCTACCAGGAACATGTCTATCATAAGGAAATGCTCCGATTGGTTTGATAGGCTGACAATAGTCCAATACGTCAGCCAAATAAACACCTGTGAACAATCCATTTGAAACACCTGCAGCGCCCCAATTGAAACCAAGACCTTTTGTGACCATATTTTGTTCTTTTCTTCTGTTTCCTGCACAAACCAAAGTGACAGGTAAAGTGACAGTTTCAAATTTTTCCTTTAAATCATCAATGGTAAAAGACATTTCTCTTTTGACTAAACCATGAATTCGTACTGCCCATTCTTTTCCTTCTTGTTGTGATACTTGAGGTGTTGCTCCGTGAGAACGTACGTAAAACAAAGATTGTGGTGTAAGGAAACCGGCTTTCCATAGATCTGTCAATGGTGCTTCGACATTATAAGGATGTTTACCCGTCAAACGAACCATACGTTCATCCCGTGCAATCCAAGCATCTGGCGTACCTGCATCCAGTGCCAGAGGTTGTAATGATTTACCACCTGTTGCATTTGGTACATGAGGTAAATAAGATTGATATTCATCTGTTGATTCTCCAGAATAATTTGCTAATGCTTTTTCTATACTTTTGTTCAAATTTTTCTGTTCTTCATATTGTCCTTCATCGTCGCTCAAATGATCACTAGGTGTCGTAGGAGCGGAAGATTGAGGCGGCGAAGAAAGTGTAGAAGATGTTCTTGAAGATGAGGCTAATGATGATGACATCTTTTGTGTTTTTTGCGGGGATGATGATGGTGATCAAAAAGAGTGCGAGGAATGTTCCTATTGTCATAAAATAAAAACACCGATAAAGAATATGTCATACCCCTTATTGAGAGGCGCAAGTGGCCTTCAGCCTTAATCGGCAAGGTTTGCATATATAAAATGCAAATCTTTCACTTTAGCGTGCGCAGCATTTGGTCATCCTTACATTTACGAAATTTGTATGCATGCATGGTAAAATCAAACATTCCATCTCTGACCAATCAAATCATCAGATGTAGACGCCGAAACGATAAAGGATCAATGATAAAGATAACATGACAACGGGACTTAAGATTTCAGTTGAGTACATTCCAACAGATAAGGCTTTAATCGTTAGCCAATCATAAACGCGCGTTAGTTTATCTTTTCTTATCACTGATGAGTTTAAATAGGAGAAAAGACTGATGAAGTACCGCATAGATAAGAATTAAACTAATAAAAACGCGCCTTGTGCCTGAACAAAAGATAACGAAAGCATCATCATCATTCCGAGTGAAAACAATCAAATTTGAAAGCATAAACGAAACGGCATAATGGGAAGCGGGTTCTCCGCGTTGCAGATTATATGTTGGGGCTCATGCCAAGAATGTCTTGATTGGAGGAAAAGCTACTGTAGCTTGAACACTTACAAATCTCGTTGAATTCTTCTCAAAACTCATTCCCGCTCCAACTCTTGCTTTCTGTCTCCCACCATCCATACCTCTCACACAGGCAATCATGGCTCCTGTTCCAACAGAAGTGATCTATGATGCTGGTCAGAAAGCAACTAGCAATGGTGATCAAATAGCACAAGCCATCCATTCTTTCGATCCAAAAATCCCTTCCGCACAAGATACAATCGCATCATCTTCTCAAAAGAGATACAAAAAATGCGTAGTTGTCGGATTTGGAATGGTGGGAATTGCATTTGTGGAAAAACTACTCAAGTATGATCTCGAAGGCGGTCGTGATGAATGGCAAGTGGTCGTAATTGGTGAAGAACCTCATTTGGCATACAATCGTGTCGGTCTTTCAACGTATTGGGAGAAGACCAGTGTGGAAGAACTCTACTTGAACCCATTGGAATGGTATTCAAGTCATGCTCCCGGAAAGCTCTCTTATCATACATCTGATCAAGTTGTGGGAATCGATTCTGTTTCCAAACATATTAAAACACAAAAGGGTCATGAAATCGATTATGACGTTTGTGTTTTAGCAACCGGTTCAGATGCTGCTTTACCACCTTATGTTTCTCGCGAACGATTCCAGAAGATTCGTGGTGCTTTCGTTTATCGTAATATCTCCGACTTGGAAGCAATGTTGGCATATAGTAAAAAACGTCAAATCAAACGTGCTGCCGTCGTTGGTGGTGGTCTATTAGGTTTGGAAGCAGCAAAAGCACTATTGGATCTAGAAACTGTTGAACAAGCAATCATTGTTGAACGCAACCAATGGGTACTAAGTCGTCAATTGGATAGCGAAGGAGGAAGAATGGTTCTAGATAAAGTACGTAATCTAGGCGTTGAAGTTCTACTACAAGCCCGTGTTCGTGATTTGATCGTTGAGCCAATCGACGAAGCCACACGCAAATCAGACGAGAAGCCACATTGCACGGATCGATTGACAGGTATCATGCTTCAAGGTGCACAAGATGGATCAACCCCTGATTCACCTTATGATTTGGACATGATCGTCTTTGCCGTAGGAATCAAGGCTCGTGACGAGTTAGCAAAGCCATGTTCAATCACTACAGATCGTCGAGGCGGTTTTGTGGTTGATCATCATTTACAAACAAACATTCCGGATGTCTATGCAGTTGGTGAATGTGCTTCTTACAAAGGTGAAACATGGGGTTTGATCGCTCCAGGCGTTGAAATGGCAGATACACTTTCTTGGAATTTAACAGAAGGACCTCATCATCAAATTCGAACAATGACACCGCCAGACGTCAGCACAAAGTTAAAGTTGATGGGCGTTGATGTTGCTTCATTTGGTGACTTTTTTGCCGATCAAGGTAAATTATCAAAGCCTTTACCGGGAACAAGCAGAAGAGGAGGTGATGACAAATCGAAAAACATCCCAATCGAAAAGCAAGTCAAAAGTATGACATACCGTGATCCATTCTCAGATGTATACAAAAAGTACATCTTTACAGCTGATGGAAAGTACCTTATCGGTGGAATGATGGTCGGTGATGTAAAAGATTTCGTCAAATTGGTTGGAGTCTGCTCGAAACAGAAATTGATCGAAAAACCACCAGCAGAATTCATCATCGGAGCCAAAAAAGAAGGTGAAGAAGAAGGTGATGATTTGGACGATGATGCTCAAATTTGTTCTTGTCATAACGTCAAAAAGGGTGATGTGATCGCTCAAGTGAAGAAAGGGTGTCATTCGATCGGAGAGATCAAATCTTGCACTAAATTGGGAACAGGATGTGGTGGTTGTATGCCTTTAGGAACATCTGTTTTCAACAAAGCAATGAAAGATGCCGGACAAGAAGTTTCCAACAACGTTTGTCCACACTTTGACTATTCTCGTGCGGATTTGTTCATGATTGTCAAATTCCGTAAATTGAAAGATTTCCCTTCAGTCATGGCATCTGCAGGTAATAAGGCAAGCAGTCTTGGGTGCGATGTCTGTCGTCCCGCCGTTGGAAGTATTTTGTCATCGTTGTACAATGACTGGATCATGCAACCTAAATTACGTCAAACACAAGATACAAACGATCGCTTTTTGGCAAATATGCAAAGAGATGGTACATACTCTGTCGTTCCACGTCTACCTGCCGGTGAAGTCAGTCCAGACAAGTTGCGTGTTCTAGGTGAAGTGGCAACCGATTTTGGTTTATATACCAAAATCACAGGTGGTCAACGTATCGATATGTTCGGTGCAAAGAAGCAAGATTTACCTGCCATTTGGACACGTTTAGTTGACGCTGGATTTGAATCAGGTCATGCATACGGAAAAGCATTAAGAACGATCAAGTCATGCGTTGGTACAACATGGTGTCGTTATGGTGTAGGAGATTCGGTCAAATTTGCCGTTGAATTGGAAAACAGATATCGTGGTATTCGTGCTCCGCACAAATTCAAGAGTGCAGTTTCAGGCTGTAATCGTGATTGTGCTGAATTTCACAGTAAAGATTTCGGTGTTTTAGCAACGCCAAAAGGTTGGAATGTTGTCGTTGGTGGAAATGGTGGTGCAAAACCAAGACATGCATGGCCTTTAGCAGAAAATGTTACAAAACATATGGCAGTCAAATTGATCGATAGATTTTTGGCATTATACATTCGTTCCGCCGATAAACTTCAAAGGACCGCAAGATGGATTGAAAGCTTGCCCGGTGGTATCGAAGAACTCAAATCAATCATTGTAGATGATAAGCTAGGACTCTGCGAAGAATTGGAAAAGGACATGCAAGAATTAGTCGGAACTTATCATTGTGAATGGGCAATGGTTGTTCGTGATCCTGAACGTCAAAAAGCATTCCGTCAATTCGTAAACACAGATGAAACACAGTCTTCGGTTGAAAAAGTTGAAGAACGTGGTCAATCTCGTCCAGAATACTGGCCAACAGATGCTGCTCCACTCAAGTTCAGCGTCTTGGATGTCGTCCAAACGGCTAAATGGGATTGGCGTATTATGTGTAATGCAAGTGACGTTGAACCAAGCGATGAAGCAACTTCCAGTGCAGTTGTGAAATACGGTGATGTTCAATTGGCCATTTATCATGTTCCTTCCAAAGGATGGTTTGCTTCTCAACAAATGTGTCCACATCGTCGTGCAAACGTCTTGGCTGATGGTTTGATCGGTGAAGATGAAGCAGGAAACCCATACGTTTCATGCCCTCTTCACAAACGCCAATACAACTTAGATCCAAACGTAGAAAAGAAGGGTGGTTTCTGTCGTTCAGATGCCGATTATCAAATCATGACATTCAATTGCAAAGAAGAAGATGGTAAAGTGTTGGTCAATTTGCCAGAGACGGAATCTTTGGATGCAATCCTTTCTACCTCCAAATGGATGATCCGTAAAGCAAAAGAAGAGTCACACATTCTTGCAGGTGGTAAACCGGGCGATATCTCACCCGATGCTCCAAACGGTTCCCCTGCCATGAACAGTGGAGTAGAGATTGCCGGTATCAAAGACGAAGTCACAGCAGAGGGCAAAGAAGAAGAGAATATCCACCAAGCACAAATTGCCGCTGGCAAAATCCAGGCTAAGCAACAGAAAGCTTCTTGTGGTGATCAAGTGGACGGTGGAAAGCTAGATTGGTAAATAAGTTTTGTTCATGTATTATACTTTCAATCATTAATTGATAAATGTTGTCTAAAATACAGTGTAGAGTCAGCTTACCTGCGACCATCATTGACAGCAGCAGTGATACTGTCGCCCAGTGAAATGGCAATGAAATAGGCCATCACCAAAAGTGCTTGACCAATCACATCAACAAGACTTGTGATGAATGGCAAACAGTAGATATCGGGATCATAGTCGAATCGCCATAATAACAAAGTGAACACATGAGCGATCACTAGTGCGCATGAAAAGGCAATCGAGCATACTGTGACAAACAGTAAAAGGAATGGGATTCCAAACGTCATTTGGCCGGTAAAGCGAACGAAAAGAATGAATGCAGTCGTGACAACCATTCCAAGTCCGAATAAAGTACAAGGCGCTAGCCATCCCTCTGTTGGGCCTCCGATATCTTGCAACCATTGAGGTGCAAATCGTTCATATTTGTCAGAGATCCAACCAGATATCCCACTTCGATCCCCACCGAACATGAAGAATCGTGATCGTTGTCTTGCATTTGGCTTTGCATTCCTGCCGCTGTGTAACGCCGTAGAAGTACGTGAAACAAAAATTGCTGCAACAGCACCCGGCAAGCCAGTCAAAACAGGTACCAATAAGGCAAAGCCTTCAAACTTCTGTACGAATGTGTCCAAAACGATTCCAGCACCCGAGCTGATAAACATTGCAATCAACAAGGGGATCCAACCGGACGAAAGAAGTTCCCTGACATAGGCATTACGATAAGCTGCCAAAAAGAACATTGCACATGCGCCTGCCAATGCCAGTAAGATCACGGTTGCCAAAATTGTACCTTCAAACCTTGCCATGAAGGAAGAGAATAATCCGAGCAATGTTAGCGTCAACAGATCACCTAACGAACCTGCCAAGGGTGAAGCAATATTGTCCGGATTCATACCCATTTGACGGGTAACGACCACCAAAGCGCACATGAAACTACCAAGAATTGCAGAAGATACTGAAGCAGAAAGCATGGCTGTTGCAATCACCAAAACGAATTCGAAATAAGAGTTGCGTAATTTGAGCGAAGGATCGACGGGAGGATGATGGTGAATGACTCTTCGCGATGAGAGACCTGAATTTACCAACTTTCGTATTAGCATCGCTGGAGCGGCTGTGGCAGAGGTTCCCAAGGATGAACTACTCGGTGAGGGTGCTGGAACATCCTTTGCAGGCTCAGAGCCTGTCCCAAGACCTAGCAAGAATGATAAGATTCCAGCAAACAAAGAGACGATCAGTGCTTGTACTTGCAGAAGAGCCAGATTGCCGAAAATGAGCGTCTCTCTCGTTCTTCTCACATCCAACTCTCCAATATTGGCGGAGGTGGACATACGCAAGGACAGATTGCCTTCCAAATTACCTTTCAAGTTCAAAAGAATCGGGATCAAGATAAACAATTTGTCCACTCTAGTGAATACGGGCCATTTTGCCAAATGAATCAACAGTTCTCCCGATAAGCAAAGACTGACCAGCGAGAGCGATAGCGTAGGCAATGCTTCACGAGTAATCTCCCACATCTGTGCAAAAAAGCCTCTCCGGTTTGCCCTTCGATTTCCTCTTGCTGCCGTACCTGCGCGATCTCTAAAGACTCCATCGCGAACATCAGAAGGTGTTATTGAATGTTCTCTTTCTGTACCACTACCTTGTTCTACGCCAGAGATTGAATTCCGTCTTTGTAACAGATCATCTTCTTCGTCGTCTTCCAAATCTTCACGTTTTGTTGATGTAAGGGTACTCTTTGTACCTAATCGATTTCCTCCTTCGTACTTCGCTCTTCTATTCGCTCGATCGTCTTCATCGCTTAGTCTTGACACTAAGCCTGCCGCCTCTTCTGATTGATCTGATCGAGAAGATCCTTCGGATTTACCATCATCTGCAGGATTGTCAAATGGTGAGGTTCCTATCGATTCGGCCGCATTGATGATTGATGTGGGATCACGTTCGGCCAGAGAGTAATTTGAACTTTGTCGTTCGTGAGGTGGTGGAGGAGATGTCATACTATCGTCTTGGATTCCGGGAAATCCACTGCTTTTATTCTATCAACCAACCCTTCAGCAGCTAGGTGATGGCGTTAGTGATCGAAGTATGCTTTTCCCTACTTGGTGAAGTCAGGGGATATGGTAGGAGTTCCTCCTATGGTGTAGTAGAGGTTGCTCTCCAAACCGTGTATGAGATTTCCCCTTGAGATGAGATCAACCAATCTTGCGTTGAAATCCTTATGATTAAGGGGTCTAATATACCTTTGATTCTGCTCTCATATATAAAAGGGAGGCTATGATCGTGTGATTGACAATAAAAGTCAGTGTTGCTCTTGAAGGCGGAAAGTAGTTTAAATTTCTACGACTGAACAAATTTTATACTGCTAAAGTGCACTCAACTTCATATGCAAAAGACAGGATGGCCAAGACGCACGCACGCATGCTCACGCGTAACGCCCCCCGCCAATACACAAAAGCGGATCCGTTGAGTTGGTAAAAATGCATTTTGATGGGATCTGATATGTTTAATGTACATGATGTGATGGGCCAACATCTGTAAGAATGATGGCTTCTATTAATGTAAACATGTTTAGACGTAAAGAATCTTTCACTTCGATACACTCTCCTTCGGTCGACTTTATATCATCATCATCCCATTGCTCGTTATTCTTGGCAATCGTTTTGGCTCTAATAAATTTTGCTTCTCCAGGTGTTCGAATGTCATGTTGTTCGGAAAAGTAGATAGCAAGCAAAAGTGCTTTCTGTTGAATTGCAGTTAGGAATTGATCATTTGATGCTTCACCACCCTCCTTCTCTTGCTCTTTCTCTCCATTCCCTTTTGCCTTTCGTGCCAATCTTGGCACGTCAAAGCGAGCAAGCTGTTCTCCTGGTGTACAACTTCTAGTTGCATCCAAAACGTTCTTGATTGCATTCTCGTTCGAGATCGCTTTCTTCTTGCCACGCACATCACCTCCTGTCAAGCTAATCGCAAATTTCTTGAACGCTAGGGTGACCATCAATCGCTTTGCTGTTAAATCTGAGTCAGATTCAAATAATTGACGAAGAGCCAAGAGGCGAGAAAAGCTGTTGAGAATTGAAGATAAAGAAAGTATATTGGATTTGCTAAATGCAATGCCCAGTTGTGAGCAAGTAAGAGATCCTGAATCTTCTATGATGCATCTCGTTGTCAAAAGCAATTTGACCATCTCCTCTACTAGGAAGAGCAGCCTTTCTTGTATATCATCTTCCTTTCCGCTTCGTGCTCCATAGTAAGAAGGATTTCTTTGCATTCTGTAGCGCAAATATGTCCATTGCATCGCCTTCAAAATATCTGCACGAGATTTGACTTGGCCAGACTGTACTTGTCGTAAGATAAACCAAGGCAAGATCGAATCTTCTCTTGAAGAATGTGCGCCATTGATATCTTCGTCCATCAATTTGGACTCCAGCACTAAACCTCCATTCACCATCCTTCGTAAAAGAGCGGCTTGATCTCCTTGACAAAGGATGAAGCAGTGATTTGGTCCAAGTTCTAATTCATCTCCAAGTTTTGGATTTGGCGCAGCTGCAAAGGCTTGCATACGTAGAATATCCGTCAAAGGATAATCAATCAATCTTGCATGGCCAATCCGCTGTTGTTGTGATGCGATTGAGGTCGCAAATAAGGTTTCTGCTTGCATTTGAATTTCATCCAATCGCATAAACTGTGTACTCATAATCACGACGCATTTGCAGTAAACGTCATCCGGCAACGTCCAACAAGATTCTCGACTGCAGATCAAAACTCGAATCACTTCTGATTCATACAACGCCAAGACCATTCTTCGATCGCTGGGTGACATTCCTTCTGCAATCACACCAATTCCTGCCAATAGTACTTCCGCAAGTCTTGTATCTTTCAACGCTGCCAAGTAGGGTGCTAAATCATTTGAATTAGCTCTTGCTCCCATGAAAGCGGTGACGTCCATCGCTGAAGCTGCTTGTCTTGCTAAATCACGAGCGACACTCAATGTTTGTGCGCGTGAAGGAACAAAGACCATTGCTCTCTCAACACTTCCAACGCTCTCTTTTATGCGATCATAGGCTGGCTTAACCATGGATTTGAGCAAGTGCAGCGAATGTGATAGATCAAAAGAGACTAGAGATGTTTGCAAAGGGGTTGGCCGATCACTCATGCCAAAGTTGTACACATCCGAAGGGTCCACCTTTAGCCATGATTGCAGACTTGACGCATTCTCCAGATTCACAGTTGTGGCAATCCATCGAACCGGTTTTTGGGACACAGCTCTACACAATTGACTGATCACCAGCTCATATCTTGCGTCGAGCATTTGCACATCCTCCAGTACAATCATATGCAGCAAAGAGAGCCATCCTGAATCTGGTCCTTCTTCCATCATCGCTTCATCGATAACTCCAGGTACTGTGAAAATTACGCGAGGTCCATCCAAATCAAGATTATGTAGGATATCCTTTACTTCCTTTGCCAAACCGACTCGAAGTCCGATAGCCATTGATTGTAGCGAAGTCATTGCTCTGTTGGCCAATGAAAGAGTTGGATGGACAACAAGCAAGACTGCAGGTCCATCGATCTTTTGAACGGCGCGCAAGATCGAAAGATAGGTCAATGTCGTTCTGCCTGCACGATGAGGTATTGAACATATGATATTATTCGTCATATCAGTGAAAGCATTGAATGCTTGGGTTTGCAATGCATTGAATGTGGTAAACTTTGTAGCCAATGTTTCACCTGCAGGTCCAATTGTAGTGAGAGATTGAGATGTTTGCAACAATGGCAGATCAAGTAATGGCATCGGTGCTTGTGGTGGATCTGCCATCCGTAAATCTTCAAAGGGAATGAAAATCACATCTTCTGATCCTAACCAACGTTCTGAGAGCCATCTCAAAGATACACCAGAAGCACTTGCGATGGCAATGTGGTCAATAGTGAACGAAAGCAATTGCTTTTGTGCAGAACGTGGATGAAATAGAATTCGCTTACTCTGCAAAATCTTTTCTCCATCTTCATCTTCGATCCAGACATAGAAGGATTCTGTTCCGCCTCCATTTCGATCGGCATCCTCCCAGTCATAATCTCGCATAACGAAAGCGTCAAGACGAAGAAGATCGTACGTCAAAGGCTTCAATTTGTGCTGAATCTTTAACATTGGGAAACGATTTGCAGCTTGTCGAATCGCATCGCCATGCCTTGCATTGACTTTACACAATGTTGCCAAATCATCCTTTGACATCTTTGCAAGATCTTTGATTTCCACCTCTTCAGCCCATCGACTAAGTTGATGTACCATATCAGGACGTAAATTGGATTGAGCAAGTGGATGATCAAAAGGCCATAAGCGTTTCTCGATCGATCTCGCAAGGCCCAATGCAGCGGCTGCTGTACCTGCCCAATGTCTTGTCAATGCTGTTTCGAATAATGCACGCATTACCCGCCCTGCGTTTTGTGCAACATAACCTGAATCTGACACCAATGCAAAGTCATCGATATACAGCTTCGAAATGAATGCTTGCAGTAAAAGATTGGTCTTTCCGGCTGGTGTATCGGTCGCACCTTCGATTTCACATGGTACTTTCTCTTGCAGCTTTTTCAATTCGGGAATCTCATTCTCTCTCGGTAAGATTTGCTCGAAATCGGTTGCTTGTCCGAACACGGCCAAGAGATCTGCTTCAGTCATGTTGTTTCGTAATTTCTCATTAAAGACTTCCACAGTTCGATAAGTGATGTAGTATCGAGCTGCAATCCTTCCAAGTTCAGTGATTGTCAATTGACCCGATTGTTCATCCAATTCAAGCATACCACATTTTGTCAGATATTTTGCAGCTGATGTGATCTCGTTCAATCGTTTGGAGCCCAATTGTGGATCTTCCATTACCTCATCGGCCAACATACCATATACCAATGGATTCCTTCGCATTCTTGTGAACAGATACGTGTAAGACAGCCAAGTTACACCATCAGCGATACTATTCACCGAGCCCAACGCAGCTTCTGCGTTCAAAGCATCAATCATACCAGTCTTGAATTTAGATTCGATTGGATGTTGGGATGTGATGGCGTCAACGTAATGCGAAAGCTTATCATGCGAAGTGATGATATAGCCGACACCGACTTTTTCATACTGCGGGCGACCGGCACGACCAAAGATTTGCAAAACATCCAAAATTGATAGATCACTAAATCTTCCTAACGAGGCGTCATAAATATCCGTTCCTTTGATCAAAACCGCATATGCTGGCAAATTGACACCCCATGCTAGAGTGGACGTACAGCAAAGTACCCGTGTCACCCCGGCCTCGAATAATCTTTCGCTCAAATTGCGATCCTTTCGAAGCATACCGGCATGATGAATTCCGAATCCTGTCTCGTACAGCTCTTTCAGCTCTCGATTACGACTCTCAGCAATTTCTCGACGGAAGCCATCAGGGTTTCCTTTATCTCTTGCTTCAGTTACAAGATCCAGTATGCCTTCTTCTCTGCATAAGTCACGCATACCATAAGATGTCTTTACCGTCTCCTTTCTTGCATGCACAAAGATCATAACTTGATGACCTTGTTCGATAAGCTCTTGCAATTTCTCAAATGTGGCTTTGTCCATCCTTTGCCGTGCGATTGGTGTGTTTGTCTTTCCTTTAACACCCAAAAAGTGTTGTTCAAGTGGAACAGGTCTGAAGGATGAGTCGAAGAAGAACAAACCTTGATAACGATTAACGCGAAGAAAGTCTGCCACATCTACGTAGTTTGGCAGTGTGGCTGATAATCCCACGATCCTGATCAGCGATTGGCTCGATTCCACCAACCTCAATGTACGTGCAACGATTGTTTCAATAACAGCACCACGCTCTTCATGCAGTAAATGCACTTCATCAATAATCAACAGCTTCACCTTGGCAGCCAACTCCCCTTCACCAGTTGGCTTTCTTGTAACGACATCCCACTTTTCAGGTGTGGTGACAATCATTTGCGTTTCAGCAATTTCCTTTCGCGTCATTTGCATATCTCCCGTCAATTCTCTCACCTTGACGCCAAGATAACGTAATCTTTTGGAAAATTTGGCCACAATTTCAGATGCCAAAGCTTTCATTGGAGCAACATAAATAATCTTGAAATCATCGTATTGTATTCCAAAGCTGTTCTCCACGCCATTCGGTCTTGAAACAGCATTTCCTACGATTGCCTCGGGCGTTCGAGCGTGCATTTTGATGGTACGCAAAACCGTCAACATGGCTACGTCTGTCTTACCTGCTCCCGTTGGAGCACAAACCAAAAGATTTTCATTGCTGCCATATCCCAGTGGGTACACCACACTTTGCAACCTATTGAGTGATTTGTAGCCAGGAAAGGCTCCTTTTGCCATAGTATCCATCTCCGTAATCGGTACAAGACGTTCATTCGTACGCATAGGTAGTTGTTTCGGTGGTGGAATTGTGACCTCTTCGTAAAATTCCCTGTCTTGCCGTATAGTACCGGTGGGAAGTGAGAATTTTGACCCGAAGGCGTTGAGTACATTTCCGCCACTTCCAGCAGCGAATACGTGAGGATACTTTGGTTCATCGGTAGCTGCCCTATCCGAAGTGAATAATGGTCTCTCAGCTGCAGCGGCCAAGCTTTGAGCTCGCAGCATTGCCATTTCTTCTGCAGTATATTGCATATTTTCATCTTCCTCTTCTTCAAAGTGATGATGACCACGAGCACGTTGAAGCTTTCTCTGTTCAGCTCTTTTACGTTTATTTTGTTCGATTTCCTCTTTTGTTTGAATTCTAACAGACGATCCAGGAGTGTATGGCTTTGAGCTGCTAGCATGTGCATGTTGAAGCTCTCTTCCATGATGCATAGCGCTCTCTATGGGAGTTGCTAGACCTGCATTTGCTAGACTGTCAGATGCAAATTCTCGGGCCGGTACCTGACTTTCTTCGTTTTTGAGGTCCGCTAGTACTTCTTTACGCTGCTTCACAACCTGTTCAACCAAGTCCAACCTATCAAATCCCAATGTCTCGGCTAAGAAGATACTAATCTCATCATCCGTTGATCCTGGCTTCTCCAAACTTGATCGAATACTAGCCAGCATACTGTCGTATAATGCTGAGTCATGATTTGATGTTTCCCTTGCAACTTCCCGAACTTTTCTTGCTACCTCGCTTTGCTTGCTTCTAGATGGTCCAGCTTGAGCATTTGTGTTTGTGCTTGGAGCATTTTTGCCTAATATTTCATCTATGATTGGCGATTCTTGACTCCATTCTACACCTTCTGGCTTTTCCAATTCTTGTTCTACTGGCTGAGGCGTTAAGTCTATAGCTGCTCGGATTGCAACATTGAGCAATTCAGCATCATCTTGATCTTGTGATATTGACTGAAGATTATCCCCAGGATTGATCAAAGATCTCAAATGTCCATTGAGATCCATAATGACCATCAATGATCACGCTTGGAAGAAGAAAGGCTCTTAGCATTCATTTGGATATTCGGAAAAGCTTGCTGCTTATTTAATACACTGCTTATTACTACTGTGTTTGTCCGCTTTGGCTTCTTTTAGCGTCAAAAAAGGGACGATCGACGTAGGCAGTTCATTTTTTTAATAGGAATGATTAGATTACGCTTACACTCACTCACTCTGTCTATGCATAAACGCACGGCTTGAATGAATTTTTCATTTAGTCTGATTACCCTTCCATTGTGTCTTCTCTTCATTTCATCATATTCTCGCATACTTCTTGTCTTTCTCTTTGACTTAGCAAGCGCCTGGATTGGCGCTGCTTTGTTCATCTTTGACATCATCATCATCGGCTTGTTTGGCAGTCATAATGGCCAGCATTCGATCAGCAAGGCTGAACCTGTCAAACACACGATCGATTGCGGAACAAACAAAGATGTGGAGAAATGCCAATCTTGTTACTAGGCGATCGCTTCGCAATGATCAGCAAGCATACCGCTATACCACTATCCATAGATTCTTCTCATCCTATGCTCGCGAAAGTTTGAGGCCAAGAGGATCAATACGGCTTGCATATCAAGGAAGCATTCAGACAAGGTCTTTCTTCTGGGGCTCTTCACGTTCTCGACATAGTGATCCTGAAGAGGATGCTGCTTTGGCTGAAATACGTTCTGCTCAATCTCGAAAGGATGACCATTGGAATATGAGATCAGATCAACCCTACCACAACTACCCACGGTCGTTACGTGAACTGGCATTGAGGGCGCGAGAGAGGGGGACAAGAGAAGCAGAGAAAGAATTCAGAGAAGCTTTAGCAGAAACAGAAAGAAGAGTCCAACTTGAAGCAAACTCATCAAGCGATAAAAATGGTGGATCATCATCAAGCGGCACCAAAGATGATAAAGAAGGATCCAGCGAAAATGGTGGAGAAAGTGAGAAAGATAAAAAATCATCTTCTCGCTGGACCAGACCTCGACCGCCTTCCAAAGAAGAGCTCCTGCACCTTGCTCAAGGCTTCTGGACGAGACTACGTATTCGATTCAAATGGTTCACAATTCGTGGATTCAGACGTTTCAATGCAGACGACATATCTGCATTTTTCACCTTAGGTGGTTTAGGTACAGTCGTGTTTATCATTGTTGGTACCACGACCGCAGTCTCGTTGGTGTTCTCAGCATTGAATGCTCTCAATATGCAAGAATGGATCGCAAGAAAAATTGCTGATTACCTTACCGCCGAAACAGGTGTGACTGTCATCTTTGAAAGTGCAATCGTGCCGAAATGGAAAGAATCTCGAATTTGCTTCCAAAATGTATTCATCTCACGTAGAGCATACAACAATGATGCAGAAACGCTGCGGGAAGAAAGAGGTGTAGCCGATGGCTTACAACCTAAATCGGGAAAACGCAGAGGGATGGCAACAACAGCAGGACATGGAATGGCATGGGAAGGAACGCACTTTACCGAATATGACGACGAAGAAGTTGCGCCACCAATGAGCGATGAAGCAACAGGAAATGCGCCATATCAAGTTGATGGACGTCATACGAATTTTTCCATGTTTGATATGAACGTAGACAGTATTGAAGTCAAATTGAGCTTCAAGAGATGGTGGGACGGCAAAGGATTGGTAGAGGACGCGGTGGTGGAGGGCGTGAGAGGTATCATTGATCGTAGAAATGTCTTTTGGGATCCTGATAAGCCGTATGATCCGAGAGCAGCCCGTCGTTTCGCCAAGCATGGTGATTTTGAGCTTGACTCCTTAACTATAAAGGACTTCTTGGTGACTGTCTACCAGCCTAGCGGATTTAGGCCTTTCAATTTAAGTATCTTTGAGGCCCAAATGCCTCGATTACGCAAGCAATGGCTCTTCTACGATCTTTTGGGCGCTGATCGTATCACAGGACAAGTGGATGGCTGTCTATTTAGTCTACACAAGCCTCAGAGTATCGGACGTACAAATGGACGAGAAAGAGAACTCTTGACGGGTAGATGGAAGAGCCTTTCAAGATTGCGTATCGACGGTATCAACTTTGATCATATTCAAAATCAATCTGACGTTCACGGTCCGGTCTCTTGGATTCTGTCGGGCAAATTTGATGTCGTTGCTGATATCAAGCTGCCAACAGAAGCATCATCCGACATTGACATCAATGTGATCATTAGTGAAATGTTGGACCACTTCACTCAAGCAGTTGGTGCAAATGATCAACGGTCAGATGGACCCATTCCAGGACAACATCGTCTAAGTGGTCCTGCGATTGAAGCCCCGGTCACAACAGTAGGACCTGCATCAGAGAGTGCTTGGAAGCAAAAACAAAAAGAAGAAGAGTTGGAAGCTATCAAGAATAAGACTCACCAAACAGGATGGCGAGATGAGATGGAAATGGCGGCTAGGGAAGTTAGCAAACTCCGTCGTGGAAATCGGGGAGAAGAAGGAACGGAGAAGGAATCATCACGACAGACAGACACCATCGATGAAAGTAAGAATGCTGAAGGAGATGCGAAAGAAGTGGTTGAAGCAGGAACTGTGAACGTATCCGAACAATCATCTTTAGACGCATCTCAACCGGCTATGGTGCCCAACGCTGCAAGCGTGATTATTGATTTGGATGTACGATTCAAAGACATCAAAGCGGCAGTGCCATTGTACGGAAGTGATTTAACATATCGAACGCAAACATTTGTTCGGCCAATCGTTGCATTTATGAATGCAAACCATACCCTAATTCCTGTTCATTGTAGGGTGGTGATGGATTTAACGGAGTTTGACGGAGCGATGGATTTAGCACAAACTGGATTATTGCCAATCATTTCAGAAAAGATTTATGAAGCTTTGGCAAATCACGTTCAATCACAAGGAGCAAATAATCGTAGAATCCGTAGCGTTTCACAATGGTGGTTACGTTTGGCTTCCGATCAAGTTTTGCAATATGCACGTTTGATACGTGATACAATGGTACGCAATAGAAATCCTATGGAAAATATAGATCCAGGACATTTGAGCCTGGCTCGACAAAATGACAATTAGCTGAATGATGTACTATATACAGTCTCACATTTGCAATTATACCAACAGCTTATCACCATCTTTCGAGAAGCACACAGGCGGATATTAAGAAGATCCCATCTCTGAGCCTGTCCACGTGTTTTTGCTAATCTTTACCCAGAATGTTGGGCGTTGGCGCGTATGTAACCAATACAGGTAGAACGAATGCATACACAGATTTACGCCCCAACACGCCTACCACCCAAGCGCAGGGCGCAAGAAGTTCACAAACTGTAAAGCAAAAAAAGTTCGAACGAAAGAAAAAAAAAAGAGTGTTAGAATCCAAATTCAGGCACGCTAGCTGTGCTTAGAAGATCAAGAATCGTCCGTGCTTTACAGGCAGGCAGACAAGGTCCAATTTCGGTGCACGAAGTTTGGCAATTCTCAAGACCATCAATCAATCAATCCTTTCTTCTTCCTTTCACCTCTATACCAAATCATATCTTCGCCGTCATCATGGCTTCGATGGCACGCATGATGTTGCGTCCTGCAGTGGGAGCTGCTCGTGTTTCTCCTTTGTCATCTGTTCGAAGTGCAGTTACTCCATTTGCTTCTACAAGTCGTTCCGTTCATATTTCTGCCGAGTCATCTTCATTGGCAGCTCATGGCTCAATTCACGACATTCATCCAACAGAAACGTTCAAGGTATCACTTTCACCCGAATCATTCCAATATCACAAATTGGCTGAAGAACATCAACCATCAATGGAAGTTGAAACAAGTAAAGAACATTTGGTTAAACTTTACGAAGAGATGGTAAAAATGCGTCGTATGGAAATGGCATCCGATCAATTATACAAACAAAAACTCATTCGTGGTTTCTGCCATTTGGCAATCGGTCAAGAAGCCGTTGCTGTTGGTATGGAATCGGGTATGAAACCTTCTGATAAACTCATCACTGCATACCGTTGCCATCCTTTCACCGTTCAACGTGGTGGAACGATCAAAAGTGTGATTGCTGAATTGTTTGGAAGAGAAGCAGGTATCTCAAAAGGAAAGGGTGGATCTATGCACATGTTCACACCTACTTTCTTTGGTGGTAACGGTATCGTTGGTGCTCAAGTTCCCGTTGGTGCAGGTATTGCATTTGCTCAACAATACATGGGCACTCAAGATGCAGTCTTTGCCATGTACGGTGATGGTGCATCTAACCAAGGTCAAGTCTTTGAAGCATTCAACATGGCTGCTTTGTGGAAATTGCCTTGTGTCTTTGTTTGCGAGAACAACAAATACGGAATGGGTACAAGTGCTGAGAGAAGTAGTATGAACACCAAATACTACACTCGTGGTGATGTTATCCCAGGTATTCAAGTCAATGCAATGGACGTCTTGGCCGTTCATCAAGCAACCGCATTCGCATCTAAATACACTCTTGCCGGACATGGACCACTTTTGATGGAAATGGTTACTTACCGCTACGGTGGTCACTCCTTGTCTGACCCAGGTACCACATACCGTACACGTGAGGAAATCGCAAGCATGCGTTCATCTAGTGACCCAATTCAAGGTTTGAAGACTAAGCTATTAGAATGGGGTGTCGTTGAAGAATCAGCATTGAAGAAGGTCGACAAGAGCGCAAAGGAAGAAGTTGACCAAGCCGTTGAAGAAGCAAAGAAGAGTCCTGAACCTGATGTAAAGGAATTGTGGACTGATATCTACCACCGTGGATCTGAACCTGAATTCATGCGTGGTCGTGAAAAGGAAGAAATTCACTACTACAACAAGTAAGAGGATCACATTTTCCTATTTACCCTTTTGACCTAGAGAGCAGATGATGGTTCTTTCACAAGGATTATCGCATGTAACAAACATCTCATTCACCTTTTGTACAAATTTTGATTATTTTGAAAAGCATAGAGAAAGACACGATGTTACTTAGAAGTTTAGCGGAGTTAGTTAATCGACGGGACCGTTGGGTTACGCTAAATTAATCTAAAGCGCATGCAGCATGTAACGTAAGAAAAAAAAAGTGTAATCGAACAAAGGTATGCTCATCAACCAACACTTCCAACATCATTTGCCAGGAAGGAGTCAGGCAGAATGTCCAATCTCATCGGACGGAGGAAACTGAGGCCGCTTGTTGCGGGAGCATGGCAGATGACTGGTCCTGCTCGAAAGGATGGTGTAAGGTTAATGTCTCATCAGTCATCACCACCTCCTTCAGGCCGCTTAAGAACATCTAGCAAGAAATCTGAACAAGAGATGAAAAGGCCAATACCTTTACCCCTACAAAAGTTACGTTACCTTGTCGAACCAAAGCCTGTTTGGGGATGGAAATCAGAAGAAATTTCGATTGCATTAACCAATTCTCAATTACGCAGAGCACCTTTTACGCAAAGAGATGCAGATAGACTGATACATATGCGAAGTCAATTAAGTGAAAGTACAAAACTTATCACAGAGATCTCAACACAACGCAAAAAGCTAACGAGTTCGATTTTTAGTATGGTGAAAGAAGTGGAGAATATTACCGATCCAGATGAGAAAAAGCAAAAAGAAGAAATTTTAAACCAACGAAAATCAAAGGCAAACGAATTAAAAATTCAATTGAAAGAAGTTCAAAATCGTGTTGATACAATCAATCAAGAATCACAGTATATCAGACTCAAGATGCCAAATCTTACGCATCCTTATGCACCTATAGGATCAATCTTGAAAGCAAACCTAATCGGATTTGGAGGTAACCTGGACCTGATCCCTGGCCCAATGAGGAACACATTGCAACAATCGGACGTGATCGGACAAAAGCTTGAAGATATTTCAGAGTTAGAACAAGGCCAGCCAAACCCGAATCGCGATCACCTTACAATTGTACAACAATGTGGTTGGGTAGATAGTCCAGCATCTCACACTGTCGCTGGACCCAATTGGCCATACTTGCTTGGACCTTTGGCAGCGTTGGAACATGCATTGGTGAATTATGCGATGGATGTAGCCATTAGGAATGGCTTTACTCCTGCCGTTGTACCGGATGTGGTAAGGAGGGATATCTTGGGCAGAGCAGGATTCTCTCCTCGTGAATCTGAAGCAGGTCAAGTGTACTGGGTTCAACAAGATGGTGATTCAAGGCGAGAAAGCAATAGGGAAGATGCAAACGATTGGGATTTAGCTCTTGCTGGAACGGCAGAAATTGCTCTTGGAGGTATGTTTGCTGGAACTGCACATGAAGGAAGTAATTTACCTCTTCAAGTTGTTGCTTCTTCTCACGCTTTTCGTGCAGAAGCTGGCGCTCGTGGTCAAGATTCAAGAGGATTATATCGTGTTCATCAATTCACAAAAGTGGAAATGTTTGTAGTTTGTAAACAAAGCGAAAGTGAACCTTGGCTAGAAAAGTTACGGGATACACAAGAAGATATTATTCAAGGACTTGGATTGCCTTATAGAGTTTTAGATATGCCAACGGAAGAATTAGGTGCAAGTGCTTATCGTAAATACGATATTGAAGCTTGGATGCCAGGTCGTGGAAGTTGGGGCGAAGTATCATCGGCTTCAAATTGTACGGAATATCAATCACGAAGATTACTCATTCGCTATCGTCCGGAAAAATCAGATCTTTTTGAATCATCTGAAGCTGAAGCAGAAAGTGTATCAGGTATCCCAGGATATGCTTTACCTCAGTCCAATGATCAAACCCGTTTGGACGCAGGAGAAGGATTGCGTTGGGCTCATACGTTAAATGCTACCGCTGTTGCCGTACCACGAATCATTGTTGCATTGGTGGAGAATTATGGCTTATCTTCTTCGGGCGACAAGTTACGATTGCCGGTCACTTTGAAGAAATATTGGATTCTCTCGGATGTTGACAGTATCGAATGGTTCGGACAAGAGGTGGTTGAGGAGATTGGTACAGGAGCAAAACGCATTACCGATAGCAATGGAAAGGTCAAAAAAGCTTCGCTATTTAGACGCTCTCTTGATAGTGTTCGTCAAGCGGCAAAAAGAAGTGGAACAGATCCTGCCAGTATGGTAGTATCCTTTATGATCTTGCATGAATTGACTGCAATTCTACCTCTGATTGCAATCTTTTACATTTTATGCGCTTTGGGAACAGGTGCATCCGTTATGCAATGGCTATTGGATGCTTCTGATAAGCAATCTGGTCAAGAATCCGGTATGATGACGGGTATGCGTGCTTCATTGCGCGATTATATTCAAGAAGGCATGCAAAGAGCAGAACGATATGGACGTAAGAAGGGATGGTTCGGGTTTGAGAAAGGAAGTCAAGTGCAAGATGTTGAAGTTGATGCACAAATCAAAGCAAGTCCAAACGCAGAAGCGATTGCAGGAACATTTGCAAATGCCGTTGCTGCCTATGCAATCACAAAAGCATTGTTACCCGTTCGACTTGCTGCTTGTGTTGGGTTTGCAGGTCCTTTTGCACGTTGGACAATTGAGCCTATCAAGAGAATTATTCGTCGTAATGGCAAATCCGTTTAAAAAATAGCAAATTACAAAACAATTGTACTATAATACATTGCATAAGATCTCTAAAAATACAGCTTTAATCTACCCAGTCGTACAAGAGAATAGCGTCGGCTTGCTTTCGTTGCCACTCTTCTCCTTTTTGTTGATGAGAAGAAGGAGTGGAGTTGCTATCGTGTTCTGTGTTTTCAACCGTATTCTCTGGCCAGAATCCTGAATCGTTTGGCTTACTGACGATAATGTAAGGTTGTGCATTTCCCCGTAGCCTTTCCGGGGCACCAAATCGCCATTCGCAATGTCCTAGTCCGCAAATGGCAATGACAATATTGTTTGGGTCACGTTCAAGAATCGTCGAAATCGTATGCGCAAAGAAGGTGTCTTTCAATGCCTGTGCAGGTGTGAAACCCACTCGTTCCAGAGGATTATCTTGACCTGCTGTTGCTTCACTCGGAATCAAAGGCCTTTTATCTGGCGCAAACATCCCTTTGAGGTACGTTCTGTGAGCCCAGGATACTTGCCCGATCTGCTTATACTGCTCTGTTGAGAGCGGAGGAATTAGCAATTGTTTCGTCTCTGCGTCCTTCTCAGCCAAGTTCAACGCTGACAAAGAAGCTTCAAAACGTTCTTGATCCAATTTTTGAATTTCATCAAATGCTACATGAGAATCTTTGCTTGGCTTCTCTGCATGATCTCCTTCAACGCTTCCCCCTCTTGCGATGATTCTTGCCCATGTTCTGGGAGGAAAGCCACCCCAAACATTCGCCCCCATCTCTCGGGCCAATTTGATCAATAAAGCATAATGATTAAAGGAAAATCCCTCAGAGGTAACTTCTTCAGACTTGCTAAAGAGTTCACTCGCTTCTTCAGTTTGTGCTTTGTTTATTTTATGCAGAAAAGGTTGATCTTCCAATGACCATTGTTCGAAGACGATGTGCAATTTTGGTTCGGGTTTTGAATCTTCCTCGGCTCTCTTTCGTGCTGAATGCCATATTTGATGGATGACCTGTAATTGTGAGGAAAGCACTTTTGGTTGATGATGTTGTTCACCAAAGAATATCACTCGGTCTTGTTTCAAGGCAGAATTGACGATCTTTTCCAGAGTTGGATTGTGAATAGGTGCCAAGTCTTTCAAGCTTGTATTAGCTTGTGAGAATGGTATAGTCTCTTCCGCCTTGCCTTCATGGTTTGTTCTGCATATTCGACCGAAGCTAGGCAAGATATCTCCCTGTACGATGACAGGAGGTGTTAGCCTAGCGATCATAGATGCTATCCTTGCCATTGTGACATTGTGTGATCATTGAAGATGGGTGTTATGAGTGTATGCTACTTATTGTATCATTTCATGATTAATTAGAATGATTTCTAATGCAATTCTCCACTTTGGACGTGCGCGGCGCTAAATCAGTCAGAGCCCGAGGCTTCTACAGTGCCGTATCACCTGCATACAGTCAGTGTCTTCCCTGCTGGCTGGGCGCTGCTTTTGTTGCGGTGGAAATAAGCCGGGCAGATTTACCCTTTCTTTCCCTTGTTATCCCATTTCCATCCAACCTTCTTCCAAACACATCACATCCTATCAAAACTATCATACCATTGGATGCAGTAAAAGTTTATCCCTCAAGAATCTTTACTTCATCCACTCACGGACATATCGCCATCATGTCGGCTTCTACCATTCAATTAACGCCGGGCGAACGTGGTGCATACGGTCACTTTTTCGCTTTGGCAGATCCGCAAAGTACAGGTGTCGTTTCCGGTAATTCTGCCGTTTCATTCTTTGCTCTAAGTGGTTTGCCATCACCTGTTTTAGGTTCAATTTGGACTTTCGCAGATAAGGATAATAATGGATTTTTAACCCCGGCAGACTTTAGTACAGCTTTACGTTTGATCGGTCATGCACAATCCGGCAAAGTGGTAACGGAAGATCTCATTCAACAACCAGGCCCTTTACCTACTTTCAAAGGAATCACTCTTCCTCCTCATTTGGCCGCTCCTGGTATTTCAACGCCTAACCGATCTTCTTCAACTATCCAGCCGCAAGCAACAGGCGGTGCTTTTGGATCACAACCCGGAAGTGCAACTGAGATTCGTCCCGATGATCGTGCCAGATACACACGCATCTTCGCCGGTGCAGGGCCTCAGCATGGTCTATTGGATGGCGAAAAAGCCAAAGAGATCTTCGTCAAATCCAAGCTACCATTCGATAAATTGGGTGCAATCTGGACTTTGGCTGACACTAAGGCCAGAGGTAAATTAGATTTAACAGATTTCATCATTGGTATGCACTTCATCCAAAGCACAATGAACGGAAGCCTTTCTAGTATTCCAACTACTTTGCCTGCAGGATTATACGAAAAGGCAGCAGGATCCGGTCTCACTGGTCTACCCCCTAGCAGCCCTTTAGCTGCTCAAAACACAGGAGGATCAGCTTCTGGTGGTCTGGGCGGACCTGGAGGTTACATTTCTCGTCAGATGACCGGCTCACAATTTGGTGCCCCCGGTAGTCCAAGTCCTTCAACAATTCGCTCGCCTCCTCCATCATTGCAACCGCAACGTACTGGAACGGCTTTGTTCAATGCACCTAGTACGATTCGACCAAACTTGACCGGCAATGCAAACTGGTCAGTCACACCTGCCGACAAAACAAAAGCTGATCAATTCTTCGACGGCTTAGATCAAGATCGTAAAGGTGTGTTGGAAGGCCAAGCAGCAGTGCCTTTCTTCATGCAAAGTGGTTTGGACGAAGCAACATTGGCACATGTTTGGGATTTGTCCGATATCACGCAATCAGGTTCATTGACCCGAGATGAGTTTGCTGTCGCTATGCATCTTATCAACCTCAAGTTGACTGGAAGCGAATTACCACAAGAACTCCCCGCTAATTTGATCCCTCCCAGTCTAAGAGGTCAAAGCCTACCACAAGCGGTCAATCCGCAAGAGACTGACACCCAAAAAGACTTGTTCTCCTTGATGGATGACGATATCGATTTGCCTGTTTCTACCGCAAGTGCATTCGCCAAGCCTGCTATTGCTCCACCAGCTGCCGCTGCTCCTGCTTCCGCAACGACGGCCAGTAGAGGTGCATTTGATAGTGCATTCGATGATGACTTTGGCGGCAGCCCAAGTGCAACTACAGGTTTCACTTCTCCCAAGCCGGCACCCTCTTCCGTTGCAGGAGCACTTTCGCCTGTACCGACAGGAACAAGTGCAAGCGGTATTCGATCTGCTCAACCCTTTGGTGACGCAAGCGCTGATGCTGCCAATCAAAGACTTGCGCTCGAAAGTACACAAAAGAGCTTGACAGGTCTTGAAACAACAAAGGCAGATTTGACCAAATCAAACGCTGCAGATGCTCATTCGATCGAAGATTTGCGTACACGATTGGAAACTGTTCGTATGCGTCACCAAACAGAATCAGAATCCGTAAAGGCATTGCAAGAACGACAAAAAGCGCAAAGTGCAGAATTGAAGCGATTACGGGAAGAATCTGTTCATGAAGAGTCTGAATTGAGCAGATTGAAAGCCGAAAAGGATGAAATTGAACAAGCATTGATGAAGGATCGTGAAGATGTTCGGGAGATGAAGAGCGTCGTGGCAGAACGTACAAAAGCCAAAGAAGCGCTCAAAGCAGAAATCGAAAAATTGAAGAAAGAAGCTCGTCAACAAAAAGGTCTTGTTGCAATTGGCAAGAAACAACTTTCTCAAGCTGATAGCGATTTGAGCAAAGCACAAGATGAATTAAACGCTGCACGCGAAGAAGGAAATGTACAAGAGCATGCAGCACATGGTGAAGTACCAGTCGTTTCACCTCAAGTAAACCCATCTCGCGAAGCAGCCCTAAGTCCAGCGGCAAGTATTCGAAGTAACAATCCTTTCGATCGCTTCTCCCCTTCCACAGCTCCTGCTCAATCACATACAGGCGCATTTGCTGTGGGAGGTGCAGCTGGAGCAGTGGCAGCAGGTGTTGGAGCTGCAGCCTTATCTCATCATGATCAAAACGAGAAAGAAGGAACTTCTACAGCGGATGATCCATTTGGTCTCACCAAAGCTGCCCCTAAGCAAGATGAAGCAATTGCCGCCCCACATAGCAATGATGCAACTGCAGCATTTGATGACGCATTTGGAGAGAACATCCCTTCGTCAACAGCTCCTGCTACAGATAGCCTGGATGCACCTGCAGGCGCACATGCCAACGTCAATCAATCATTCGATGATGCATTTGCTGACCTCGATCAACCTGCCACTTCTGATCCTACCGCTCCAGAAGCCACTTCAGAAGCAATTCCAGGTTCATTCGGCGCTGCTGCAACGACCGCGATTGAAGAACCCATTGACCATTCGACCATTGACGCAGAAGAAGGGAAGGCTGGAATAGCCAGCACTAAAGCGCTTGATGAACCAGAGCACGTTCCAGCCCCATCCGCCGATGAAGTTGCTGCCAATGCTGATGTCGATCCGGGCTTCCCTTCACTTGCTAAGGGCAAACAAGTCGCACGAGATGCAGACGAAGATAGTTCGGATGATGATGACGACGGACCGGAAGACTTTGAAGGCCATGGCAAGCATTTTGTCGGAAGTCCAGATGAGGTCGGTGATGGCAAAGAACCGTTTGGAAACGATGATGTTACGGCAAAACAACCTGCTACCGCCGAAAATGCGGTACAAGCTGCTAATCGATTCCCTGAAGTTGAAAGTGAAGAAACTACCGGCAAAGCTCCCCTTGCACCATCAGTGGTTTTAGGAAATGCTACACCGACGTATACTGCCAATGCTACTCCCCTTGCACCGTCTGTCAGTGGCACAAGTGTGAATGATGATGCTTTCCATGATGCAGCAACCGAACAGCCATCTTCGGAAAGTGCTGTTCCTAATCACGAACGCTTCACGACTGCAATCGATAATGCAGAAAGTCGCGATAATCCTGCTCAATTGAACGCCGATCAAAGAGCCATCAGTCCGGCAAAGACACGTAGAGCTCCTCCTGCTGTACCACTTCGCTCAGGCACTGCTACTTCAACACCTCAAGGAATCTCGAATGCAGGACCATTTGGAGCTTCGAGTGATCAACTTGCTGCTGTGAACTCTGCAGCTGCTAATCCAATGGACGACTTTGATGCTGCATTTGAGGATCTAGGACCTACGACTTCAGGTAACGCACCTAATGGCGATGTTGGTAATGTTACCTCCACGTCTGGATTTGATGATACGTTTGGCGAAGCAGATGGATTTGACTTTGTGCCTTCTTTCAGCACAAACAATTTCGATAATGCTGTCAATAATCAAAGCAAAGCTGCTACCACTCTGCCAGGTTCGACTAATGGAGGAGCCTTTGATGGATTCGATTCCACTTTCGAGAATGCTTTTGAGACTGGTGGAACTGGTCAAAAAGCACTTAATGCACAATCTACTGCCCCTGCCGGTCAAACAAATTCCAATACAGGGTCTGGTTTCAGCTTTGATGATGCATTCGTGCCGGCTGAAGCTATCTCTACCGGTCAAACACCACCACAACAATCAACCGATCTACCTTCTGCGATCACCAGTGCAGCACCACCACCGACTTTACCGGCCCGAAATGCTGCTCCGCCAAAAGATTCAGCGGGAGCCTTGCCAGATGATGCAGGACCAGTGAAACAACTTTGTTCGATGGGATTCACTCGACCTGATGTGATTAAAGCATTGGAAAAGAGCAATTATCGAACTGATAAAGCTTTAGAGCGCTTACTTGCACAAGCATAGGTCTTTTGTGCACTTTTACCATTAAGTTCTTCGTGTTACTACTTTACTTCAAATGTTTACCCATGCTTCTCTCTTAATGGAAATACAATGAATGATATTGAGCAAGAAACGCACTAAGAAACTGTTCCTACATGATAAGCCTCCTGACCTTCAATCCAACCTCAAAGGACGAGAGAATGGCTCGTAATCGTTCTCGTCTTCTGCGTGAGCGCCAACGAGTGATTCGAGCATTTGAGAAGCATCCATACCTTTCATTAGCTCGTCATCGGTGCAAAGGACTTCAAGACCAGGAATACAATCGATCAAAGCGATGATTATATAACTTGCTCCGAAACTCCAAATGACTCCGATTGATCCTTCTAGAAGCTGGATAAGGAATTGATGATAATTGTGATCATGCAAAACACCTCCGGGTATATCCGTTACTCCATCAAAGCCAGCATATAATCTTTGACCAAAGATTCCACAGAGCAAGGTTGCAATCACTCCTCCGAAAGCATGAGTTGCAAAAACGTCTGCAGGATCAACCCAAGCCATTTCATGTGCTTTTTTGGTAAATTTGAATTTTAACATACAATAAATCGCACATGATCCAAGGAAACCCAAAATTACAGCATCCGTCAAACTTACAAATCCACCTGCAGGCGTAATCATTACCAAACCGGCCAACATGCCTAATGTTGCACTGTCCAAAGACCATTTCTTGCCACTTTCGAAGTAGGATAAAGCGTTCCAAGTTAGCGAACCTGAAGCTGCGGCCAATTGTGTTACGCAAAATGCCATTACAGCTTTGAAATTGAGAGAAAGTGCAGTTCCTGATTCGAACGGTAACCAACAACTCCAAATCAAAATCATGGCAAACAGCATACTGTTGATATTGTATGGTTTATGTAATTTTAGATGAGAAGGTGTTCGTTTGGAGGAGCGTTTTGAACGAAACAGCGGTCTTGAAAGATATACCGAGATTGCAGTTGCAGAAGATCCACTACAGATATGAACTGGCGTTCCACCTGCAAAATCCATCACACCTAGCTTTGCCAACATTCCACCTTCCGACCAAACCATATGGGCCAAAGGGCAATAAATAAACGTTGCCCAAAGGAAGATGAACGGTACCAATGATACTATCCTTCCACGTTCAGCAGCACCGCCTACTGCCATCGCACAAACTGTTGCACAAAATACCATTTGAAACATACTGAATAACACACCAGGAATCGTTCCAACGGGTTCTGCTCCAACGTTTTTGTGAAATGCATACGTGAACGGATTGCCAAATACACCATTTCCATCTGCGAATGCGATCGAATAACCTATTGACCACCATTGTAATGTAACGATTAACATGACCAACAAAGCTGGATAATAAGATGCCAAACCATTTCCACGAACGGAGTAACCACTATATGCTAACCCGATCGCCGGTACGACTAACCAACAAGCAGAAGTACAAAATAGTACGAATAATGTATCCAATTTATCACATTTTGACCAAGCGTCTAGAGTTGATTGAATAGTTGTTGTCGTTGTTGAAGTTGTCATCCTTTTGTTTCAGCTGCAATTGTAAGAGATGGGATTTGCTTGTCTATATACATACCAGGATGATTGTTCAAAGGATAAACATTTCATCGGACCGATCCTTGACCCTCACCCAATCGGAATGCCGTGCATACTCCTTTTCCCGCTCAAAGTTCTTGCGAGCTCGATCGGATATTCCATCAGTAGGGACACACATGTCATTTGATTCATTGCTTATCTTCAAAAGAGAGGGGGAATACACTGATCTTTCAGCATGACTCAATTGTCCATTAATGAGCGCGCTTAACGCGTACCGCGCAATGCAGCCTCTTATCTGTGAGTTTTAACTTTTAGACTTCATAAAAGATTAAGCACTAAAAGTGTGGGGTAGCATCTGTCTGAATGACAGACAACCTTAGCGAGAGATAAGCAGAAGTCAAAGGGAGAGACATCCTCAAGCTGTTTGTTGTATAGGAACCTGAATGTAAGGTACGCACGCGATAACTTTTAATTTGAGCGCGGATCAGGCGGTACGCTTTCTTGTTTTCATCAATCGCGGCCGCTTCCCTTACAACCTCTACCTCCATCAATTCACGCATACAAACAAAACATCTCATCTCAGAAGAGAAGAAACACATACCACCGCCTTTAGGAGCCGTAGTAACTGTGAATGGATCAAACAATTGATCAGAATTGTTATTGTGCTCGTGTAGTGCAAAGACCAGGAAGAAAGAGGAACAAAAACACAATCACGAATCACTCAACCACAAAGCAGCCAACGTATGAGCTCATTTTCATTAAACATTTCACAACTATCAAACGGCGCCGAGAATGGTAATAAGTCAAATACGATCGGGAACGAAGAAACGATGATCAGAGTGAACGAACGTATCTCGCCAATCAATATCACTCGTCCAGATCAGCAAAACATTTCACGCTCAGTCAGTACTGCCAGCATCGATCAATCACCACCTGAAGGTCAACAAACACAAGAACAAAGTGATTCAAACTTGGCAAGAAAGGTTACCAGAACACGAACAGGTTGTCTAACGTGCAGAAGGCGGAAAAAAAAGTGTGACGAACAAAGATGTCCGGATACAGGTGGCTGTACACGTTGTAAACAGGCTGGATATCAATGTGAAGGTTTTCCACAATTACTTCAAATCGAGAATACGGGAAAAGTGATCAATGCAAATACGCATGGAAGAAGAAAGAAATCATTCCATGAACCGAACAAACAGAGGAGAAAATCAACTACAACAAATTCTGATCGATCCATCTTGTCAGTATCTCCGCCTGAACAACATAATAGCATGCATCCGCAAAATCGATTTGGTGATCCAATGAATCAGGGAGATGCAAATGGTTTGTTCGCATTGCAGGCTGCAGCCTCTTCATTGATGGCATCCAGTCCCACTAGGCCAGAACGTGGTATGCAGGATCATTTCGCGCCCAGCTCTTTTGATTCACATATGTCTATGGGACCAAATGATTCTTCCAATCATCTTCGTGACCGTACATCGTCCATTTCTTCGCGCATGACCGATCCGATCATGTTGCAGCCAATGCAAATTGATTCACATTCAAACAATCAAATGATGATGACCAATGGGCCTCCAAATATTCCATGCGCAGGACAAACACCTTCTCGATATGTTCATCAAAATGGAGGAGTGATGATGCAAAATGATTCTTCGCCAGGACAAGGAAGCAATGTCAACAATTATGTGGGCGGAAGTGTTTGCACGTTTATCGGTGAATGCATTTTGGTTGGTAGGCAAATCTGTACGAGCTGTTTATCAACGATTGAACCTTTGTTTTCGCCATCTGATCCTACACCGAATTTTCAATTACCTACGCCTACTTCATCAGTTGGTGGTACATCTGCTTTTTCTCCGCGAGAGTCGCGCCATCAACCCGTCATGCAAAGTTTGATTGGATATTATTCAGCCGTAGTGACGTGTTGGATCGAAGGTTGTTTCCCACAAGACATTGCCAATTCGTCATTCTTTCGTGATTTGGTTCAATATTTGATTTCAAACATTGATGAGAATGAAGCATTGAGGCTATCAGTTGCTGCAGTCGCATCTGGTTATATCGGAGGAGGACAGTTACAATGGCCAGAAGATCTTATTGCGATCAAACGGTGGACTAATACATTACGACAAGATACGACAGAATTGGTGGATGTCACTGTGAGCATGACAGGTCAATCTACTGCCAATCGAAGGGATCTAGAAAATGCAAATGGACCGGACAAGCTTGCACGTCATACGTACATCGATCGACATTTGAGTAAGCATGCGATGCTGTTTTATAGAATGGCAAAAAGAGCAGTAGAGGAAGCTATTCAGCGTGCAAGTAGAGAACCAAGCCAATACTACCGTGCGAGTGGTTCACGAGCAGCCAGCGCAAATGATACAGATTCAGACTACGTCGATCCTTCCTTGGCGAAGAAGTACAATAGCATTCTTGTCGCAACGGTGAACTTGTGTATCTTTTCATGGGCAGAAATGTCTATCGAAACGTACTACGAAGATTTTGATTTGGTTTTGCAAGCTGCTCATACACTCTTTGGTGGAATTCGTAGGGTCAAGTTAGCCTATCTCAATTCCTTAGACACGATTGGACTGGCAATCGTTTGTTGGGCTGATACGTGTGCTTCGATTGCACGAGGAACGAGACCATACTTTGAACTTGATGAAAGTCCACTTACCGAAGAAGAGAAACAAGTTTTAATCAACAGTCCAAATGCTGCCGCACAATTTGCTTTTCATTCGTTCAATTGCCCTAGCGCTTTGTTTCAATGTTTGAACGATTTAGCACGTTTACGATTCGATTGTAAAGCAGCACCGCAAAGAGGATGGAATGGGGGAAACACAGAAGGTGGGAGACAATCTTCTCCTTTACCGGCTTTTTTGGGTCATCGTGCTGCTCAATTAGATGCTCGTCTGAAAGCATTATCTGTTGAGACTCAACATACGCTAGATCCGAATGGAAATCGAACTGCATTAACAAGACCAGATGGAACAAGCTTGGATCATGCCGGATCACCAAATTGCAGCGAAATGACACGATTAGCATGCGTTTTGATTTTATATACCGGTATTTATCAGAAAGGTCCTCTTCATCCAACATGCAAATTTGCACTACAATCAATCGTTCATCTTTGGACATACGGAGCAAGTGGATTTTGCAAAGATGTTGGTTGTAGTAATTACCTTTTACCTGTCTTTATGGCAAGCGTGGTAGCATGCGAAACCCGTGATAGGTTATTGTTGGAAGAAGCAATGAACATTGTTGGTCATAATGAAGCAGTTGCAGATGCTTCAAGACAAGCCGTCAAAGAGGTTTGGAAAAGAACAGATGAAGATGGCTTCCCGGCTTTATGGACTGATGTCGTTCGACCTGGGTCAATGACTGTGGCATTCTTGTAATCCTATTTACCCTTTCCTCTCATTGTATATTACCGCCCTCAGGACAATTACCCACTGTACATATATTCACACTAAAAGGACAATTTCGTTCGTTAGGAATGGCAAAAAAATTTACAAATGATATCGTGAGAAAAGGAAATCTTATGCTTTAGGAGGCCATTCGAGAGTTTCGTTGACGTTCCAGTGTACACTTTTGAGTTGAGTGTACTCTTTCAAAGCTTCGATGCCCAATTCACGACCGAAACCGGATTGTTTCATTCCTCCAAATGGTACTGCATTGCTCAAAAGAGCATAATTGTTCACCCAAACGGTACCTGCTTCAATGGCAGAAACCATACGCATGCATCTAGAACCGTTTTCGGAAAAGATTCCTGCTCCCAAACCATACATTGTATCGTTTGCCATTTCAATCACTTCTTCTTCCGTTTCGAAAGATGCAACAGCTAAAACAGGTCCAAAAATTTCTTCATCAAAGATTTTCATTCCTTTTTTGCATCCTGAAAAGATTGTTGGTGCAACCCAATAACCGTTTGCGAATTGACCTTTTGCTCCTGGCCATGGTTCACCGCCAACTTCAACTTTTGCGCCTTGTTGTTTACCTGATTCGATATAGGCCAAAATCTTTTCTTGTTGTTGTTTTGTAATTTGCGGACCTTGGAACGTATCATCAGAGAATGGGTCTCCTACACCATGTTGCTTGAATGCTTCGACCAATTTGGCCAAGAATTTAGCATAGATGCCCTTTTGAATGAACAAGCGTGAGCCAGCAGTACAATCTTGACCTTGATTGAACAACATTGCCAAAGCGACCCAAGGAATTGCTTTTTCGATATCAACATCATCAAAGACAACAACAGGTGATTTACCTCCTAATTCCAAAGTGACTTTCTTCAAATTAGTCTTTGCGGCTGCTTCCATGACTTTACGTCCTGTGATTGTGCTTCCGGTGAAAGCAACTTTATCAATATCCATATGATGAGAGATTGCATTACCAACGTCTGGTCCTAATCCGTTTACGACATTGATCACACCTGGTGGGAAACCTGCTTCGACAGCAAGTTCGGCCAATCGCAAAGCAGATAATGGAGTTTGTTCTGCTGGTTTGAGAACGATTGTGTTTCCGGCAGCCAAAGCAGGACCCAGTTTCCAGGATAACATTCCGATCGGATAATTCCATGGAATGATTGCACCACAAACACCAATTGGCTCTACACGAGTGAATGCGAATTTCATGTTATCATCATGTTCCATCGTTCTTCCTTCGATCTTATCGGCCAAGCCAGCATAATACTTGAAGCAACCAGCTGCATCGGCAAGATCCATCGTTGTAGCCATCCATTTTGGTTTTCCATTATCCAAAGCCTCCAAAGTACCTAATTCATCAATATTCTTTTCGATCAATTCAGCCCATTTGTACATAATCGCACCACGTTGTGAAGCTGAAATTTTACGACCCCAAACGGTTTTGTAAGCTTTACGAGCTGCTTGAACTGCATCTTCAACGTCTTCTGCTGTACCTTTAGCAACTTTACAGAGTAATTCGCCTGTCGCAGGGTAAAAGCTTTCTAATTCACCTCCTTTCTTTGCCGGACGGAATTCGTTATTAATAAAGATACCCGTAGGCACTTTGATTTTCAAACCATTTGGAGCACTTAGCTCTGCATGAGAGGGAAGCATGATGAGAGATGAAAAGAGGAGAAGAAGAAAAAGAAGAAAATATGAAGTGATGGTCAAGAGGAAAGAAAAGATGGCTTTGCTCTATCTTATCCTTCTTTATGCTCGGGTCATACGGAGTCAACACAGTTTATTCTATCGGTCCGGGCAAGTGCACTCTCACTCGTATTCTGCCCGGATGCCGTGTTAGTGTTCTGGCGCCCACTGTGAGCGCGGTAAGAGCGGCTAATTATCATGCACGCTAAGAGCACGTACAGCTTAAGCGGAGAACTTTAATTTAAAGCGTTACGCATCCGATACGTAACAGTCAGCAGATCCGTGATAGTGGTCATCATCGAAGACAAAGGTTGAGATCATGGTGATGATAACTAAGACCCGAAGATGTATCGTGAGTTAGTTGAAGCGATTGATTGAGTTGTAAGAATGACAGGCGATCACTTGGCGTCTTTGTCCCGATAAGCGGCGTTCACATAACCCCGACTTAGAGTTACTGTTTATTTGATTTGCTTCACAGAAGTATAAAAAATATTCTCACTTGTAAACGTTTTGTTTCTTTTGTACATATCAGTCTTTTGTTGTTGTCAATCATGCAGATCATAGTGAGGATAATACTCGTTCAATGTGTGTTCGCTTACGCAGTTACAGCATTGGCAATAAGAGATACACAAAGCCAAATAACACTTTTACGTAGAAGTCCAGCAGGTGGAGATTCACGTAAATGGCCAATAACAAAGACCGGAAAAGAGATCGAAAGAAAGATGATGAGAGAGCATAAAGATGTACGAACGCCTCAAGCCCGTGAAACGATGATAAGGACGGAACTTGTTAGACATGGTGAAAATGCCAGAACGGCAGGACAAGAAAAAGCAAGATTAGAACAAAAGATGTCACAAAAGAAGCATACGTTAGATTCTTTTAAGGGAAAAGCATTGTCAATCTTACCAAATACTGCCGAACATAAATTGAAGAAAGCAATCGGACAAATTAAAAAATCAAATACTGCCGTTCAAAATATTTCAAAAGATTTAGACTTCCATCAAAGAAAAGGTAATATTCATGATATGTCAAGCATTTCTCAAACTATTCAAGAAATTCAATCAGGTGGCAAAAAACGTTATTCCAATAAAGAGGCTTCCAGCAGTGGATCTAGTCGTGCTCGTGCTCCAGAAAGGATAAGTCAATCTCAACCAGTCAGTCGTACTTCTTCTCCTACTCGACCTTTACTCCGTTCAACGCATACTGCTAGTCATGTTGCCACTCCTGCTCGAAGTCCGATGCATGCTCAACAGGTCAAATCATCATCTCGCAGTGCAGGCCCCAGTCGTGCTTCCTCGCCTTACAGAGCGCAAACGCCCAGACGTGGTAGAGTATGATGTGTATGTTTATTTGTATATTACCGTGAAGCCCCGGATGTGTGTTATGTAAACAAAGCCCAGAAGTTTTGGTCGTCAACAGTATGTAGATTAAGAAGGCACCACCGAGACATTATTTAAGAATAACAAAGTGCTCTGTGATGTACATACGAGCTTTTATCTAGAGTTGTCAAGATCTATTAGTGTAATGCGAATTTTAAGCGCGCGTCCCAGGCTTTTATGCCGTTTTAAGCCACTAGATCACTTACCCCGCATTTTCACATTAACACGACTTTGCTTACGCCTTCTTTGCGTAAAACAGCAGAGTGAATCCTCCTACAAACTTAGCATCTTTCACTCACATGAGTCAAAAGTCCCTTTATATTCAAAGCTTACCAGTTATCTCGTTGTGGTATTGATCAAATTAGCTAGATAATGTCTTATCATCACGACTTCAAATAGCCAAAGCCAAGCTTATCTTTTCCCGATCACAACACAAAATATGCGTGAGGAGTAGATAAGGTACATTACACAGAACACGCGCGCTGAGTTATTGTTCATTTCTTTGCCGTCGGGGCTGAAGTGCCTTTATCGAAAGAAGAAAACAACAAAAAACACAAAACCGCGTCAATTAACGGCGGCTAAAGGGAAGTGAATGCATTTTGACAGGTCGCATGAACACAAACAGACAGCCTATACACACACTCCGACTTCAATAATGTATTGCCCTCCTCTGCTGTTGTACGAACAAGAACATTCATGCATCTTTTAGGGTTAAGGTGCATTTGACCTGCAGAAAAGGACAGCTTGATTCTTATCAGTAGATGATGTCCTTGTTGCTCACAATGTGGGACTGGTGTGTGTGTTATCTTTACTTCATTTCGGAAAAAAACGAGTGTGATGACATTGAGTGATAGACCGTGAAAATGCGCAAATTGTTCATTGGACTTCCGTACACCAGAACAACACAGGCCACAAAACACTTGAGTTATTTACCCGATTTCTCGTAAAAACAACTCGCCCGGTCCTTGCTCTTGACTTTAGGGTGCTTTTATTGTTGGTAAGACCTGCTCATTAAATGCAATTCTGACAATTTGAGTAAGTAGAGCACACAAAAAGGACCGCTCGTACCGCGCAGGCTTTAGACCTCTGTTTCTCTCGGACCATGACCTCTACTGATCATCCTCGGAAGCGACTTTTGTGTATCTGTGGCTTGTGCGTAACTTTCCCTTGTCAGTGAATGAAAAGAGAGATGATCATTTTACACAACTAAGAGCATTAAGCGCGCTTCGAAGGATCTTGATGCAATCTGACTATAAAAGTACGCTTTCCATTTCAACGCGGACGATTCTTTTTGTCCTCTTTTTCGTTCTTCTTTGTCATCATCATCATCACCTCTTTCTTCTTTTCAGTTTGCACTGAATAGGTGCTACACATCCTTCCATCTTTGTATATTGTACAGCCAAAATGGGTTCAGATTCAAACGAAAAGTCTGATTCAACCTCTTTTGAGGCACATCATGATCCCAAACCAATCATTGCCGATGAAGCCTACAAACGTGAAAAAGCAAACATCACCTCTGATGAACAAATGCTCAAAGAGCAATTAGGTTACGAACCTGAAAAGAACCTTTCGCGTAATCGTGGCTTATTCACTTTACTCTTTCAAAGTTTAGCAATTGCTGCAATTCCGTACGGCGAAGGAGCTCCTTTGTTAAGCGCAATTTATGGAGGAGGTCAATTAAGTATCTTTTTGGGTTGGATTATCGTTTGTATTTTGGACGAATGTATCGCTTTAAGTTTGGCTGAATTGGCTTCCCGTTGGCCAACAAGTGCAGGTCCGGCTTATTGGAGTTTTCAATTAGCCAAAACAAACAAAACTTTGGCTGCTTATGCTACCGGCTGGATTTGGTTAATCGGCAATATAACAATCACACTTTCGGTCAATTTTGGTTTCGCTTCTTTGATTGGTGCATGTGTCACTTTGTTCCATCCAGATTTCACTTTAACAGCATGGCAAATGCTTTTGATCTTTTATGCCGTTTGTTTGGGCACTTTGATCATTTGCATATTCATGAATCGTATTTTGCCCTATGTGGACACCCTTTGCGCAGGATTTACAGCCGTAACGATCATCATCGTCTTGATCGCCTTATCTACAACAGCAAAAGCCGGTCGTCATTCGGCAGCAGATGCATTGGGCGCATACGATAAAAGCTTTGCCGGTTATGGTGGATTCACTTTCTTTATTGGATTATTACCTGCCGCATATACCTTTTCTGCAATCGGGATGATCACTTCAATGGCCGAAGAATGCAACGAAGCTGCAAGTCAATTACCCAAAGCGTTGGCACTCGCTATTCCAACCGGGTGCATTGCCGGCTTGTTTTTCATCATTCCAATTTGTGCAACTTTGCCTCCTTTGGCTGACATTATCGCAAATTCAGGCGGTCAAGCTTTGCCTTATATCTTTGCAAGAGTTATGGGTACGCCTGGAGGTGGTGTTGGTCTAACAGCATTGGTGTTGATCATCACATTGTTCTGTTCAATCTCCATCACCGTTGCCGCTTCTCGTTGTACCTGGGCATTTGCTCGTGATGATGCAATTCCCGGTGCACGTTGGTGGGCAAAAGTTCATCCTTCTTTAGGTGTCCCAGTGGAAAGTTTAATTTTGATCACAATCGTTCAAATGTTATTGGGCATCATTAATATCGGTTCAACAAGTGCATTTACCGCTTTCATTTCCGTTGGTGTGGTCGCTTTGGCTTTAAGTTATGGTATTCCAATCGCAATCAGTATGTTGGACGGAAGAAAGGAAGTCAAGAAAGCAGTTTTTCATCTACCTTCCCCTCTTGGTTGGGCAGTCAATTCGATCAGTGTGGTTTGGATCTTATTCGAATTGGTTTTGTTTTGCATGCCAGGTGCCTTACCAGTAACCAAGGTTTCGATGAATTATGCTTCGGTTGTGTTGGTGGGATTATCGAGTATCGCTTTGGCATGGTACTTTATTCATTCTCGAAAGAATTACAAAGGTCCTCCAGAAGAAAACTTGTGAATTTGGGAATTGTTTCGTTATGTATTTATTAATTTTCTTGTGTGTTTTCTCATTATACTCCATGTATCGTCATTGTGTGTTGACTGCGTGTGAACCGTTGCATCATCATATGGTCATGAGTCGTTGGCCTTTATGTTGCAACTCGCATTGATGTATGCTCTCGGTCAATAAGACCCGCTGCTTGCTGATCAAGCATTAGCCTAAGCTGTCAAAAAGCGCAGCTCAGCGTCTGTGCATGCATACGCGCTAGCTCTTTGTTGGCTGAGTGAACTGAACAAAAATGCCAAGGAGCGGCTTCTCATTATCGTCCTTGCTTCGATTTCCGCTAAAAAGAAAGATAGCATGCATACAGACACTAACCAAACAAATATCTCCACAAATATAACTTTGTTTGTTTCTCGTCATCATCCATCATCCCATTGCCATCATGGCGGATAATCGTTCAGGTCCTTCACATCTGCCAAATTGGCATGGGCAGCGTGTTATGCAGCGATATAGCTGTCTGCCTTGTAGGAAAAGGAAATCAAAGTGTGATAGGGTAGAACCATGCAGCTCATGTGTTCTACGGGGATCAGAAGAGTTTTGCTACACGGACAAAGAGATGCCATCCAGTAAGAGCTCTGGTAACGATCATGCAAGGCAGAACACAAACACAAACACACCCGGCAAACACTCACGTTCAGATCCATCTTCTCCGTCTATGCACAGTAATCACAGATTATCTGCCTGGTCTGGGAATGAAAGTACAGATTCCATAAGGGCAAACAAATCAGCCAGGGTAGATTACAGTCAAAGTTTGTCAAGCTCAACCCACGAAGAAGAGTCAAACAAACCTGCTGCTCTTCACTCAGCTCTGGATACGCTATCGAAATCTCTAATGGATGTCAAGAGACTGGTGAGCTCTGCTGAGTCGGGCCCTAAAGAGTCATTGGCTGAAATGGGATCGACAGTGCACTGGGACGATGTCGCAAAGCTATTGCCCGCGCCAAACGAATGTCAAGAGCTGATCCATTGTTTCTTTACCGAATTGGAATGGTATCAATGTGGTGTGAATCAAACAAACTTTTACGCATTATGGGAAGGACCTGTAAAACGAAAAGAAGCGATGCCAAGACATTCTGTTGCTTTGATTTGCGGTGTTTTTGCATTCACTCTTTTGCTTGCACCAAGAAGTCATCCTGCATCCAGACTACCTCAAAGCGATAACACTAATCCGAGAAGACAAATTGAAAATGCAAGATTATTAATCGATGCTTTCTATCATTTCCCTACCCACAAAGAGGAAGAGGAGGAGGAAGAATTTATGTCATTCGCAAACGATAAGGAAATGCTGGGTCAATTACAGGCAGAGACGTTGTTCTGCTATTACTGCGTTGTAGCAGGATTGACGAAAAAGGCTTGGTTCGGATTGGGAAAAGCAATCAGGTTGGCAAAAGGCATGGACTTATTCGACGAATCTCGATGGTCTCTATCACGAGCAGAAAGGGAGGAAAGGCGAGGAATAGCATGGGATCTCATCACGATGGACAGATGGTGCTCTATGCATATAGGTAGATCGGGCGAACTGATGAGTCCAGTCAACGTTTTATATCCTTCCACCAAATTACCTCATGCCACTATGCGTAATCAATGCATGGAGCTTATCCGTCGGACGTTTGAATTTTTGAAGCAATGCTCTTCAATGGAGGTAAATGACCGATTTGCAGCAGCAAGGGAGATGGATGCGCAGGTGGAAGCCTTTCAAACGCAATTACCACCCGAATTACAGTTTAAAAATGCTTCATTGAGTGATTTGGAGCCGGAAACGATGAAAAGGGCGGCACCCTCTTTAACATTTTATTTCTCGAGCAAATATCTTCGAATTATGATTATGCGACCTTTTCTGATGGATCCTAGCGCACCACTCGATCTACGATTTGGTTCTTTACAACACGCTCGATCGATTATCGAATCAACGCCTCACATGGTCGCTCTTTCTAGTAGTCCATACGTCAGCTTTCCAGCTGCATGGAATTCTCAGTTCCTATTCGTTGCAGCAGCAACGTTTGCAAGTGTTGTTCTATCAAAGAATGAAGTCAACTCGATTTCCAAGGAAGACAGCGCGATGAAAGCAAAAGTTGGCTGGAGCGATCACATTGCATCGACGAACAAGAATTTGACAATATGGCCGGAAGAAGATTTAGACTGGTTTGCTTCAACGTTATTTGACGTCGTTCAAACGTTTGATGTTGTAAGTCAAGGAGCAAGAGGCTATACAGCAAGAACATGCAAGAACCTTTTACTCGGATTATGTACATCCCGAGAAACCCTACGCAAACGATTCCAAGATCGCGAAAAGGCACGAATTCAAAAGGTTGGCGGAAAGAAGGACAGCAAATCAGAAGCCTTCAAGCGTACCTCTCTGCCTTCTGTCTTTTCACCCGATAATGACAGCACAGATTCCTCAACATCCAGAAAGCATGGTCTAGCGAATGATGGATCACATCATAGGTCATTCGGAGGTAGCAGTGACAGTTTGACATCTTCTGCTGCGCATTCTCCTGCAACCTCTCATTCTGCTCAAAGCTATAATGGACATGGAGGATATCCGCCTCACCATACGCTTCAAGTCAATACTACCACTCAACCTGACTCAACGACAACCGTTTCTGCAGGCGAAGTACTGGCCGATCTTGGAGCGACTCCAATCGGTAATGGTATGCAGGGTAGCCTTTTCGGAATGGATCAATTCAATTTCGAAGTACCGTTTCTCGATTCACAAGAATGGGCAAATTTAACGTCCAACTTAAATATGAACATCACACCTAGAAATTTGTAAGAATACGACTAATGCATATCATGCTGTATTTATACCAATCAATCCAGGCGAGATCGTTGTGCTGGAATGATCGCATCTTTTTCGCTCCTAGAAATTTGTAAGAATACATCTAATGCATATCATGCTGTATTTATACCAATCAACCCAGGCGAGATCGTTGTGCTGGAATGATCGCATCTTTTTCGCTCTTGAGACGAGCATAGCCTTCTTGTCGAGAAAAGTTTGCATATATTCTCCGATCGGATGTTCTTTTTTCTCCTTTCTATTTGTGTAAAAATATAAGATCGAATTTAGACTTTCGTTTAAGTATACTTTATGAACGTAGTAGTATAACATACCGATAATATTATCCTATTTATATATCTTCTATTATAAGAGCGCTTGCTTGGATCAATGTCGTTCGTCATGGAAGGGTTGTACGAAGTCGAATCCATCAAGTAATATCGATGGCACAGCTGCTAAAGAGTGTAGATGAAGGAGAGACGGCCTCATTCGATGGGAACACAACAAGATGGCCAAATAAAGTGTAGGAAGACAGCTTAGGTAAGCAAAATACAAGGCTGTAGAGAAACGCGTATGGGGAGTACAATTGAAATTGTATTCATTTGTGTTGAATGTCTTACTCAAATAGGAGGTACAAGTTTAAAGCTTCACGGCAAAGTATAAGACAATCAAGGTGAGAGGGTCTGAAAAAGCTGAGTTATGTTGTTGAGTGCACAGGTAAAGCGTTTTGTGCTTTTTGAAAGGCCAAGCTGACTTTTTATTACGCATTTATTCACCACCACTACCTTTTTCCCTTTCATACAGAAAAAAGTTCTTTTTCTATACAAAACATTCCAAATGAACCCATACACCAGTAATAAAAGCTAAAGCAACGGCTATAGCTTCAACTTTCCTATCAATCAACAGGTAGGATAGCAAAAACGAGGGTTTGGCTCATCGTACGAGCAGGCCCAAAGGTAAGGTAAGTTTAAAATCAATCACAGCAGTCAATGCTATAGCAATACTTACCGTAACATTCCTATACAGGCTTCCTTTCTAGATCACAAAGTAAGCACGTCAGGCCACCGGGACCAACTATAGCTCCGTACAGAAATAATACGCACATGATTACACACTAGGCAGGAAACGGTGAGTTTTAAGCGCATACATACTGTTCTTTCCATGGTAGGCTAATATTTCTACTACCTAACAGAACATAGTCCTAGTAAAATACATAAAGTAGAATCTATCGAATAAGCACAGACCAGATTCCAACACCAAGCTCTGATGAGTTTAGATGATCCAACACAAGTACAAAATCAATCCCAACCCCGAACACAAGGCTTACATTACAGCAATAGTGAGTAACACTTTAATGACTGATTAAGATAACAGTCATTCCGACTAAATACTGATATATATAATTCTCTAAGCTACAGTAGAAGAGGGCCCCGCCAGTTAAGAGTCAGTAAATATATTAACGCAAGCTTATTTAACAACCCCTCTCGATAAGGATAAAGCTTAGCTCTTAGCCCTAGGGAAGATAAACAGTAACCAAAATATAGGTTAAGTACCTAGCATATTACCGGTTTCGAGACCAGTTATGACGCCGCGACCTTCTCTGTAAGGATATATACAGGCTCAACCTGTAAACAGATAAGGTCCACCACCACCAGTGCAACGTGTGATGAGCAGCAATCCACCAAGTTCAAGTCCGGTGCCCTTCCAAGATTCTGCCTCTGAGCCTAATGTGAGCGCAATCGAGGCGACCATTGAACGCTTCCGCATCAAATTCCATCGTGAAGTTTGTGACCTTTTTGTTGAACTCAAAGAGGAAGTACAACAATTGAACCTTGCTCTTATAATAGAAGATATATAAGTAGGATAATATTATCGGTATGTTATACGACTACGTTCATAAAGTATACTTAAACGAAAGTACTGACATAATAGAAGATATATCAATAAGACAATGTTATCGGTATGTTATACAACTTATCTTTTTCGATAATATGTTCGTGAGCTATACTCGAACGAAAGCCTGAATTCGATCTTGAATTTTTACGCGAAAAGAAAAAAAAAAAATAGAACTTCCGGAAGTGTATTTTTTCTTTTTTTTCCTTTTTTTCGCGTAAAAATATGAGATCGAATTCATGCTTTCGTTCGAGTGTAGCTCACGAAAGTATTATCAGTGAGGATAAGTAGTATAATATTATCGGTATATTATACTACTTATATTTTATACCTTATCATCACCGGAGTATCGATCTATAGCTTGGGTTTGCCCAACAAAGTGTTGATAAGCTTGTTGCCGCTGTTGACGTATCTCTTGCATGTTTCGATGAAACGCTTCTTCTGTCGGAGGTTTTCGACATATTGCTGTTGCAGCTTTCCCCCAATTTGTAGCAAAATGCTTGTATGCATAACACGATATCCCTGTACAACCAACCATTCCTTCTTTTAACGCAGTTCTTGAATTTCCAAAAGCATGAAAAGCTTTCAACGGTTCACCATTCTTAAGTGCTTCAACACCCTTTTTCCATTCAGCATGATGTACGTTATGTCCTGTTCGTGCAGCAGTACCGGCATGATGTATTCCGTGTTCGATGTGTGCAACAGCTTCGTCCATATACGTATGAAATCGATCCTCCCAATCTACCGATCGAGGCGGGGAGGGTGAGCGTGACATATGATTAGGTGCTGGCGGTGTAGAGATAGTCTGTGGATGTGGTGAAGTAGGCGTCGGAGTTCTTTGTGATGGGCTTGGTATCGAAGTACTAGATTGTCTACGATCAGCAAAGATGGATTTCGATTGGAGTCAGAACAGAGTGCATTTGTCAAAATGAAGCAAAGTATGAGTGGCAAGAGAAGCATCTCAACGTTGAAATAAGGTAAGATGAAAGTTGTCCCACCACAAACATTTTAAGGAAAGGATGTGCCGGGGCAACGTAGAATGTATCAACAAATTTGCATACAGCCACGGTTGGCGCAATGAGTAACGGCGAGATGCTAAGTAGCTTGCGTAAACCCTGTCAAGTACATAGATCGTTTTTTCCTTTATTGAAAATCTATTTAAATTTTCATCTTTTGATCTGGGAGGAGCCTTTTTGATTTGCTCTATAGAAGGGTGTCGAAGTCTCATAGTCTAATGCAGAAACCAGTATCAATCACCACCCGAATACCGATCTATAGCTTGAATTTGCCTATCAAAGTGTTGATAAGCCTGTTGACGATTTTGACGTATATGTTGTATCTTTTGATGGAATACGTTTTCTGGCGTCGGTTTTTCAAAAATTGCTTTTGCAACATTTTTGTGATAATGAGCACAAGCAAAAAGCGAAATTGTTGTACAACCTGCCATTCCTTCTTTTAGTGCAGTTCTTGAATTTTTAAAAGCATGAAAAGCGTTTATCGGTTCTCGATTCCTTATTGCTTCAATGCCCTTTCTCCATTCCACATGATGAACATCATGTCCTGTATGGGCAGCTGCAGCCGCATGATCTATTCCGTGTAAACCATCTTCAGCAGCTTCAGCCATATACGTATCAACCTTGACTTCCCAATCTACCAATCGAGGCGGAGAAGGTGTGCGTGACATATGATTAGGTATTGGTGGTGTTGAAGTAGACGTTGAAGCACTGTGTGATGACCTTGGTGGATGAGGGCGAAAGTGTCTACGATTTCGTACAGAGGAATTTCGATTAGAGTCAGCGCAGAATACTTTTGTCAAAATAAAACAAAGCAGAAAGTGTAAGATAAGCATTTCAACGATCGAATTAGAGGAAATGAGATTCAGAGTTGGAGTCTTTCTCATCACAGTGACTTTTAAGTGGAAGAATTGTCGGGGCATCACTGCATATCTGATATCAAATCAATCAATTTACACGCAAGGTTGATTGGCGCAAAGAATGGAGAATGAGAAGTTAATCAAATCGTTTGTGTATACTATCAATCAAGCCGTAACGGGCTTATCGAATTTGTTTCTTGTCGAAGGCGTTCATAGCCGCTCTCACGATAGCTTCTATCATTTTGTCTTTCCTGTTCGAATTCCTGTCGGCTTCTTGTTCTTCTAGGTCTTGTAATGCTTTTCTTTAAATGTTTAGCTATATTCTTCATCGAAAAGTACGATGTATTCGTGCAAGCTGCACAACCACTACGTGCATTGTGAATACCATGAGGAACACCTGCTACAGGAGTTCCATATGAGACGCATCCCGTAAAGATTGATGTGAAAGACGCCTGTATCCCTTTCTTGATTGCTTTATATGCACCTTGTCCTCCTTGTCGCAAATGTCGTAATGCTTCATAACGATGGTACGATCGAACTTGGCTTGGCATGATATTGTCATTGCGACGGTTGCTGGTTGCACGTTGTACGGCATGCGAGCTCGAAGGTTGTGAGGTTGAAGTAGACGGATCAGAGCCTGCGACAAAAGATAAACGCAATAGAAGCAACGAACAAAAAGCATACAAGCTCAAAAGTCCGTGAGAAGTACGCATCATGTCAATTGTAGAGGTGAAACAATGATTGTATAAAAAGGAAAAGCAGTATAGTCATTCGCCTTTTTTGAGTAAAATTTACTGACAATTAAAAGATGACTCGTTTGTGTTAAGAAAAGAAACAAACGACACAGAATTGCTGTGCTCAAATTTAAGGATTTGAACTTCAATTAACCGAGGAGGTACCTGCAAATAGTACGAATGACTTGCGGATCCAGGGTGAATATGGATGACGTTCAAATGCCGAGGAGGAATGTTTGGGATCTGTAGAGGCTGATACTTTTCTAAGCAAAGGGCTATCAGCAGAGATCAGGGACCACTTTTACGACACCAAATCCTTACTATTCACTCAAAAAACTTAATGGGCACGCACATGAATGCAAATGAGCTTTCTTTGAAAACGGTGTAGCATTTCATTTGTTCGGGGCGAACATGCAGCCACTCAACAGTACAGCAAGTCAGTTGAGTAATCTCGATAAGTGAGATAAGAAAACCAACTCATCCTATTTATGCAATTCGGCTGTTCTGAGTTTTTACTGAGACGATGTGCTTTTCCTATCATTTTATTGGTAAAGATAGCTCGTGAGAAAAAATAAGTGCGGATAAATTCCGCAGCACGATATACTCGTTGATTTTTAATTTAGACATCAGGCTATCACAGAACATTGTTTATACCCTATTTACCTCTGTCAAACTCCTAAATACAATCTGAAGATTATCGGTAAAGCATTAATATAGCAGAAATGTACCCTATCATTCTCCCCTTAATTCCACCACGCCGTACTACGTAGCCTTGAAAGAGTTTTCATAACTTTTCGGCTTTTACAGGGATATAAATACAGCCTTTATTATAAGTTCTATTCATGAATCACTTCAACCATCACATGAGATGTTGAATAACTTTCTTTTTCGTAGGGTTTATTGGAAAGCCCGTTACTTTTCTCGTCGTCTTCTCACCTTGCCCTTTCGAGCTCACCGTATGCTCTCTTACAGACGATTAACAAGAATGTTACACCTCCCAACCTTGAAACACAAAGCGCTTTACCTCCCAATGATGCGATACAGAGCGTTCGTTCAATCTATCAAGAACGAGAACAATGGTGGTATGCGCAGATAGGCTCGGTCTAGGAGCAAGCCTACAAGCCTAAACGGGCTTGGATAAAATCGAAGGTCAACATCAGAGATCGATGCAAGTGAAGCCTTCAACATTTTATTCTGAGGATTCATGCGTTTCGACAGATGATTTGTTAACTGTCGTGTCTTTGAATTATACCTCTCTCATAGCTTACAATTAAATTCTTATGCCTCTGTTTTGAGTGAAGCATTTTACGATCAAGCTCGAAAGGTGTCCTGGATGATGAATGCTGTAAAATCAATTTAGCACACGATACGAGATGAGACCCTCCTATAAGCGATGCGCACAACTCTTCTTCTTCTTCTAATCCACTTTGATTTAGACGTTCCAACTTGTCTCCCTTTCTGGCTTCTTTAATGCTTTTAATGAGGTACATTCACTTGTAGGATATTTCTGACTGTCACTTTTCACCAATACTGTGCTGATAGCTCTTAATTACTCAGACTTTCTCATTTCGGATGATGAAAGCAGATTACTCATTAATCCCCTTAACTCTACCTCGTCATGCTACGTAAAGTTGAATTTCACTTTCTTGCCCCTCTGAAATCCTAAATGACGCACGAATGCTGATACTCTCTGACGTGCTGAGACTCCTTGTTTACCGATGCTGATATGTTTTATAAACGTTCACACTTTTCTAGCATAAGCTATTATATATCTAGCACTCTTATCGTTCCCCTCAATATGACCGTTCCTTGCCGTACCACGTCACAATGAGAAAAAAACAGTTTCTCGATTTCGAATAAACTATATAAGAATTTGCATAAAACGCTGAATTGTTTTCAAGACATACCATCATCTCTTCTTACCTTTCATTTTTGGTAAAGATGCTCTTTAACAAACTTTCTCTTGTGATTTTGATGGCAATGGCATTCACATTATTATCAGCAACAAGCGCACTTGCTTGCGATGATGGACCGGTTCATGAAGCAGGGATCCCTGACAAGCCCCGGGATAAGCGAGATGCAACAATGAAGCGAGCTGATAGTTTGAAGAAGAGGTGCTAAAAAGCCTAGATGAAGTCGATTGGTAAAAGAGGATGTGATCAAGATGTACCTCTTTATTGCCAAATCTAAGTAAAGTAGATAGACCTACATTGTTTGCTAGCGGTCAATGTTTTTCCTTTTAATTTTGTTCTTTTGCTTTTTTATCCCACACACTTCAGTATAGTATAATAATATCTCCTTGTCAACTCCTTTAAGGGGGGCTCTGCCATCCCTGATCGAATAGCATAAAGTCATTGTTGTATTGAGATAAAAGAATAGCTCTATTGAAAGATCCGTTGCAATTCCTCGGCGCTTAAACAATAACAACAATCTTATCCGTTGAACACTCGGCGCGTTTTGCCGGACATAAGAATGACTGCATAAACACACGCACGCAAACAAACAATTAAAAAAGTCGGCGAGATGACGAATACGTTTTCCCTTCTATCATCATCTTCTGACAAAGCAATATGAGTGTGAGTAGACATAATGAATGAACGAAAGAGCATATGACATCATCCTAACGCTCTTTCTTTCAACATTACTAGGACATTCATGAATATCAATTCAACGTCAAAATGACTTGCTCGGGTTGTTCCGGTGCAGTGACAAGAGTGTTGAGTAAGCTTGAAGGTGAGTGATGCTGTTATCTCTCTCGTTACGATGATCTTGCGCTGATACTAAACACACCCCTTTGCCTTTGCATCAGGCGTGGAAACATTTGACGTATCCCTCGAGAATCAATTGGTCACTGTCAAAGGAACAGCGCCTTACGATACAGTTTTGGAAAAGATTAAAAAGACCGGCAAAGAAGTGAAAGATGGCAAGGTGATTGCGTAGAGAGAGCATAGGGCTGTTCTGCATGTACGAATTATCTCAAAGCATCAAATTTGACTTTTATAGACATACCCCGCCGAAAAAGCAGATTTTGAAAGATTTGAAATTGATGGCAATAATGTACAATAAAAGACAGATCAGAAGCAAATTAGTAGCTCAGAACAATATCCGGTATAAGACTAGTATTCCAACGAAGCCGCCAACGATATACAAGATCATCCGGCTCCCTCTCCCTCCGTTGACGACCTGTCTGGTAAATCTTGAACTTGTATTCGACAACCTTGCTGCGAAATTATCAAAACCCTCCGATGCATCTCCTAGCAATCCTTGCGTCTGAGATTCGGCGTCGTTGTAGATGTCCGTTGTGACGCCTCTCTAGGATCGATGGATGTTGACGTAATGTCAGCTAGATGTCCTTAATGCCCTGTAAAGACGTGCATGTACTCACCAATGCCTTTACTTTATCAAATAGCTTATTGAGCGATGCATCATTCTGCTCTTCATATGTTCTATCTGCCGAAGTGGACATCCTTGCGGGGTATTAATGTGACCCTTTATCAGCTCCTTCTTTCAGCGAGAGCGAGAGTAGTGATGGTGATTGTGCAATTCTATCTGAGGATGAGGGGCTAATCATCGTTACAGCATCGGCATTCACACGCGTTGTCAAAACCAACACAAACGCTCCCGCACCTCATCCACGTGAACAAAATTTTTTGGATTTTTTGGAATTTTAATGAGTTGTTCTTATGCATGCATACATTACCACACACCATCACTACACATCGCAACAAAAAGATGGCAGTTGTTGAACCGGCAAGGGTATACAACGTATCTGGTGGAGGATCAGGTTCAGCGGGTGATTCATCGTACAATTCATCATCGTTACCTGATCTGTTACGAAAGCATGGAAGTACGAATAAGCGAAGGCCACGTAAAAAAGTTGCCTCTTCAGTGAATGAAGAACTTGCAAAGATTGAATTAGTACAAGATTTCGAATTCCCAGAAGCATCTAATAAAATCAAAACTACAAGAGATGGTCAAAATATCATCGCTACAGGAACGTATAAACCACAAATAAGGGTATGGGAATGTGAACAACTTTCACTCAAATTTGAACGTCATACGGATGCTGAAAATGTGGATTTTGTTATGCTATCTGATGATTGGACAAAGTCGTTGCATGTTCAGAACGATAGAACGGTAGAACTGCATGCTCAAGGTGGACACCACGCCCGACTACGTATTCCCAGATTTGGACGAGCACTTGATTATCACTTCAGTACAGCAACCGCATTGATAGGTGCAGCAGGAAACGAGGTGTATCGACTCAATCTGGATCAAGGTAGATTCATGGCCCCATTCACACTACCAGAAGAGGTTTTGGGTGTAAATGCAGTCAATGTTAACCCGGCACATGGGTTATGCGCTTTTGGTGTGGAAGGTGGATTGAACAGAGGAGGCGTTGAATTATGGGATGCTCGCAGTCGATCCAATGTCGGTAGATTGAATATTGCAACAAGGGATGTATTGGACGCAGCTCTGATAAGTGCAAGACGTGGACTACCAGGTGTTTATGGAGTGGGAGACGCAACTGAAGAATCGGCTCTTTTGACGGAGGCAATGTCCGCCTTGAGTGTGACAACATTGAGCACCTCAGCAGATGGTTTGCACATCGCAGCAGGCACAAATACTGGACATGTACTCTTGTACGACTTACGAATGGACAAGCCTTACTCTACAAAAGATCAAGGTTTCGGACTGCCAATAAAGAGTATCAGTTGGCCAAGTGACACGTCCACTCGCAGTACATTGGCCACAAGCGAAGCAGGAAGTGGTGATAAGCGAGTTTTATCGGCAGATGCAAAGGTGATCAAAGTATGGTCAGCCAATACGCCAAACGAAAATATGGTCACAATCACACCTAATGCACATGCGGGTGATATAAATGACGTTCATCATATGCCAGGAACAGGTTTGATCATGTCTGCTAATGAGGCAACTCGATGCAATGCTTGGTACGTGCCTGATCTTGGCGTTGCACCGAAGTGGTGTAGCTTCTTGGATGTTTTGACGGATGAAGCAGATGGGGAAGGATTAGGATCCGGAAAAGGAACATATGAAGATTTCAAATTTGTCGATCAAGCAGAATTGGATCGACTTGGTCTTTCGCATCTTATTGGATCGCAAGTTTTACGACCTTATATGCATGGTTTCTTTATGTCTTTGGCTTTATACGATAAAGCACGATTGATCAATAATCCGACTGCATATGAAGATGCACGTGAACGAGCAATCAAGAAGAAACTGGAAAAGATGGCCGAAAGTCGTATTCGTGAAGATCCGAAAGATGTTGCAAGACGTAGAAGAAATGAGAAAGAATTGGAAGGTATTCGTGTTAATAGAGAATTGGCAGAAAAAGTTGGGAAACAAAACGAAAAGAAGGAGAAAGGTAGAAGTGATAAAATGGTCGAAAAGCCAACACTTCTTTCGGATGATCGATTCAAGGAATTGTTTACCAATCCAGAATATGAAGTTGATGAGGGTAGTAGAGAATTTGCATTGCTCAACCCAAGTACAGTTCGAAACAAACAGAACGGAAAGGATTCAGGTGCATCCTCAGAGAAAGGACGGCGTAAGCTTACAGCTGTTGAAGAAGAGGATATGGAGAGTGATCGAGAGTCATTGGATCCAGATCAAGAGGATCAGCAAGAGGATGAGAGTAGCAGTGATGATAGCGATGACGAAGGAGATCTGGGACAATTTGATCCCCGTAATCATGTCAACAAGCGAAGGGTTGACATTGAGAAACAAGATCGAGCACAACGTGGAGCCAGACCTGTTGATGAAGATGAGTTCAATGAAGGACGTGGCGCAGGATACGGTCAGAAGAAAAGATCGTTCGGCGAACGTGCACGGGCAGGCAAGACAAACGACGACGCATTTGAAGGCTTTGGTGAAGATGATGACGAAGAAGGTGGACGTGGTGGCAAATCATTCACATGGACACCTTCAGCCGATGCAGATGCTGCTGCGATTGCCGAACAAGATTCTGGCAAATCTGGCAACAAGAAAGGAAAGAAGGCTGACAAAGGAGAATCTTTCGGAAAAGGTCTCAGTCGAGGAGCAGGAAAAGAACAAGGTGTTGGTGTTGATGCGTTGGAACATGAACAACGATTCGGTCGTGATAAACGTCGTAAGCCGAACAGAAGTGCCAGTAGAAATGTTATGCAAGGAAGAAAGAATTGATGTAACTCTTTATTTGTACTTTATACCACCACATATACAATCTGTAATGATGATGACATGCTTCTTTGAATAGGGTCTTTGTACATTAGCGCGTTAAAAGTTTAAAATTAAAATACATACAGATTGTTTAAATGTCCGGCGTGTTGTTTTCATTTGAAGTATGTAAAAGCCACAACACATCTTTCCCGTTTGCATTCACTTTGTTGTTTATTCTCTTGACTGCATGTCGATAGTACGAGCGATACAACTCACCACCAGAACATCCATTCCTCGTCTCTCATCCCATCGTCCATTCCTACAGCTACGCTATCGATCAAACATGTCTACAAACGGATCTCCTTCTACGCAACCGGTGGTGTTATGTGGTCCATCAGGTGTAGGAAAGAGTACGCTGATCAAAAGACTATTTGCCGATGAACCTGATTCGTTTGGCTTTAGCGTTAGTCATACAACCCGATCACCAAGACAAGGTGAAACAGAAGGTGTTTCATATCATTACGTTACACGAGAAGCATTTGAAAAGCTGATCGCAGAAGGAGCATTTTTGGAATACGCTCAATTTGGCGGAAATTATTATGGTACATCTGCAAAAGCAGTAAAAGATGTTAGTGAACCAGACCCGCAAACGGGTAAACAGAAAAGGGCTTTATTGGACATCGATACGCAAGGTGTCAAGTTGATCAAAGCGAATCATGCATATTTGAATCCGCTCTTTATCTTCATCGCTCCTCCTTCGATTGGCGATCTGCGTAAACGGTTGGAAGGAAGGGGAACCGAAACGGAAGATTCCATCACGAAACGATTAGCTATGGCTGCAAGTGAGTTGGGATATGCACGTGAAGGAAATCATGATGTGATTGTATTGAACGATGATGTTGATCGGGCATACAAGATTTTCAAATCGGCTATTGATGGTAAATTGGAAGGAAAAGGTGATGAATTACCTGTAGAGGAAGAAGAAGAACGTCAATTGCGCCAATGACACAGGCTTATGCGAGAATTTGACTAATTGGAACGTGTATTGGAATTGTATTTGACATTATAGCTACCCTTTCGTACTTTCTCTCAATGCTACATCTATGCAGGACCGTTTTGTTATGCACACATTCAGTCAGACAAGCTGATTTCACGCTTCACACTGATGCCAGATAGGATGCCTCTCTCTCATGTCTCGAGATGAGATCTGATTTGCCTTTTATACGGTGCTAAAAATACAGGAATACATGTGTGACTTGCAGCAGTTCACTTTTATCTTGACCAGCCGAAACAGTGGGTATGTGCTGGTTCATGACGTTATCTTTGTATTGATCGATTCCAGTCCTTCTAGAGAAGTGACGCTATTTCCACGAACGACCTAGAGGTAAAAAGAGAAGAGAATTAGCAATCTTTAACATCAAAAGTAGATTTGCATTCATTGCTGCACTTACCACTGTTCCACAATGAGCTGCTTGTTGCCATGTATTTCCAGACGCTCCTTCAGGTTTGACAAGTTCTGTGCTTTCGTCAATGACGAGATTTAGAAATACATCAAATCCACGTAGTACCCCTTGTAACCTTCTTCCTCCTTGGATGTTCACCATCACTCTTTTGTCCAGGTATCGTTTTAGTTCTGGCGCAGAAACACGAGCCATTGTGACGAATTTATGCGAAGTGGAGCCGGTGTGATTGAAAGCTCAAACGATAGCAATCTTTCGAGAGTGTAATTCTGGGTATATGCTGCAGTTGATGGCCATAAGTCTATTGTACATCCAATCAAAGAAGACAAGAAGATCTCATTCACGCCAAACACGCGCCCCATTTAATGCTTACACGTGAATGACACAATCTTAAGCCTGTGAATGATGATTTTTGGAACTTCTTAAAATTTAAGCTGTTTTTCGGAAATGCAAAGTGGATCTTTGTCCGATCAGAGTGAACAACTCTCCCATTGTAACAATAGAGATAAATCATTCATGGCAGTCATTGGTGAGTGATGAGAGATAGCAGCAATGCTGAATAAAGACTTATTCCAAGATCTCATCCTACCTCTCAGCACGATCTCTATATGCTTCATCAACGGGACAAAGTGCTGATAGCGTTGAATCGCATCCTATAGTACCTGGCTTGTTTGCACTGGGTACTTATCAAGTTGACCAGCATGAGATCGAAGAGGCTGATGGAATACAAAATGAAGATGATGGGGAGGAAAAAGTCAATGCTCCACCATTTTCGCGAAAGGGGACACTAAGATTGATGCAAGCGAAAGCGAATGAAAGTGGAATGATTGATGTGTAGGTCATCGACGCTGTTTATTAGAGCATATGGTTTTGAACATTAACACCCCCTTTGCGACCCAACAGTGACACACTTTGTACACTAGATACAGCGGCTATCCTGGATATGAAATGGATGAGCGGTTCAAAAGATCGATTAGGAGTAGTATTAGCAAATTCTACATTGTCACTGTATACATACGATACCACGCACGACACCAAAGGCCGACTATGTGATCCTGCTCACATTCAAGTCAACTCAAACAACTCTTTATGTCTTTCATTAGATTGGTCAGATCGCAATCAGCCAGCTTCTTCACCATCAGACACCAAAGCGATCATCAGTCAAAGTGATGGTACACTAGCGCATATATACGACCTAGAAGCAGCATCATCATCGTCATCTCGGGGAGAAGGATCAACAGGTATTGAAACCTGGAAAGCACATGATTACGAAGCTTGGATTGCCGCTTTTGATTCTTGGTCGCCTAATGGACAAATCGTCTGGAGTGGAGGTGATGATCTTACACTAAAAGGTTGGGATTTACGCCTGCCTTCGAGCAGCGACCAAGACTGTTCTTCTTCCGATGATGGAAGTGGAAGTGATACCACACACCGAACACTCGTTGAACGAACGCCGACTTTCTCACATAAACGATCGTTTGAAGGAGGCGTGACTACGATACAAAATCATCATCTTGTACAACATCTTTGGGCGGTTGGAAGTTATGATGAATATGTTCGATTGTGGGATGCTCGACAGCCTAACAAACCACTTTCACATACACATGTAGGAGGAGGTATTTGGCGATTGAAATGGCATCCTACAAAACGTAACTCTTTACTCGTCGGTTGCATGCATGATGGCTTCAAAGTCTTATCTTTGGATGGAATATCGTTGGAAACCTCACCTGAGAAAGTCTTTGATATTGCAAAACAAGAAATGACGATTCAAACACGATTTGACGAACACAAAAGCTTGGCGTACGGATGTGATTGGGATCGTGGAAGAACAATATCCGCTTCAACAATCGATCACATCTACAGTTGCTCATTTTACGATGCAATGTTGCATGCATGGTCACACGAATGATGAATTCTAAAAAGACAGTGTATTTATATGATGTGAATAAAATTACACAATAATGAAACCGTACAAATTGTCTAAGCTTCATTGGATGATTTATATGAAGGCCATCCTTTTGCAGAAGGTGTCCAAGTAGGTGGACGAGCTTCAACGGGCACCAAACCTCTAATACGACCACCAATAACATTTTTAATTCTCCTTCTACGTTCTTGTCCAGACATTGTTGAATTGTTTTGACCGGCAGAAGGTTCATACGTTCCATCAGGTCTAGGAAGCAAACCCATCTTGCGTAGCTTGTTCACATCATCGGGATGTTGTCTGCTCAATCCAACACGATAAGAAGCACGTTGATAAAGTGTTGGTGCTTCAGCTTTGAGTGAATCACAAGCTTCACGCATCTTTGCTCGTTTTACCTCAATATCGCGTGCTTGTTCGGTTCTCTTTAAACGTTGGTGCAATAACCATCCTCGTACGATCGTATCATGTACCTCTTCTGCTGCTTCAGCAGACTTTGCATAGGGCAAAACAGCTTGTAAACCTTGACGGCCTTCTTCCATCAAATCATTCACTGCTTCAGAGGTAGTCTTGGTTGCATTTGTAGGTTGAGGAAACATGATTCTGCGAAAAGTCTCGATTCTTGGATCACTTGTTGTCTCAGCAGCACCGCCTCTGGTTGCATTTGGGCCACGGACAGCAGAGGTAGCATAACCACGTTTCTGTTGTGAAGAAGAAAATGGACTGTTTGAGCTCTTGTTGTTGCCTGTCAACGGTGCAGATTCGGTTGCAGCGGTTGATTGAGCACGTTCACGAATCAAGTTCAACGCACTTCCGGCACGAATCCAGTCCAAATGTGCAGGACTCATTGAGTGTTTTGTCGGTAGGTCGAATGTTTCCTTAACAGATCCATCATCGTTGAACTTGGTGACACGTACCATGACCTTGGTAGAAAGATCTCCATTGGGTTTGAGTAGATCAGTCAAATTCAATGTCTCAACCTGGTCACCACCGGATATGCGATCATAATCGGCTTCGTTCTCAAACAACAAAGTGACCACTCCTTGTTTACGCAAATTTGTCTCTGCAATACGTGCGATACTTCTTGCCAAGATCAAATGACCGTTGTAAAATCGAATTTGCAAGGCTGCGTGTTCTCTAGCTGATCCCTCTCCATAGTTATGATCAGCAACGACCATCCAAGGTTGATCATTTGCCTTGAGTTTCTTTGCCAAAGTAGGAATTGAAATTTCTCCTTCTCCGTCAACGAAATCGCGTACAACATTCACCTTTTCGTTTTCTCCATTAGTGGCCCCGATCAATGTATTTTCTGAAATGTTTGTCAAATGTCCTTTGAATCGTAGCCATGGTCCTGCAGCACTGATGGCATCAGTCGTACATTTGCCCTTGATACGCATCAAGCATCGCATTGGGGGAAGTTCGTAATTACCAGTCAATTTACCATCTTCGAAGGGACTACCGAACGGTTGAAGATGTTCCAAACGACTGCTTTGAGGGTCAATGACAACCTCTGTTGATGGATTTGGCTCAGGCATTGCATTAGGGAGATATCCAACGTTGCCGGGAGTGAAGCCAGAAGGTGGTAGCTGTTTACCTTGCGGGGGTTGGAACTTAAACGGTTTTCCGTCAGGTGCAATGAGTTCATCAGTCATTGGATTGAAATCAGTCCTTCCTGCGAAAGCCATTGCAGTGACGATCTCAGGCGAGGCAAGAATGTTCATCGTTTTACTGTTTCCATCATTTCTTCCTTTGAAATTTCTATTAAACGAAGTCAAAATTACGTTCTTCTCCCCTTGCAACTCTTTACGATCCCATTGTCCGATACATGGACCACATGCATTTGCCAAAACTCGACCTCCAACTTTTGTAAGAGTGTCTTGGATGCCATCTCTGTGGACAGTAGCGCGCACGAGTTCACTGCCAGGTGTTACATCAAAGCTTGTTTTGACCTTCATTCCACGAGCAGCAGCTTGTTCGGCCAAGCTTGCACATCTTGCCATGTCGGCATAACTACTGTTTGTGCAACTTCCAATCAATGCTGCACTAAGTTCGACTGGGTATTCTGCTGAACCGTCCTTTGCTTTTTGAACAAATTGCGATAATGTCTGACTTAGATCAGGTGTAGCTGGACCGTTGAGAGTGGGTTCCAATTTGGACAAGTCGATCTCGATCCTCTCGTCGTATTCGACACCTTCATCAGCAGACAAGAGGCCGCGTTGAGCAGCACCCTCTGCTTGTCGACGAACTTGATCCCTTCCAGTCGCTGTTAGGTACTTACCCATCTCTTCTGTATACGCAAACGCACTCGTCGTTGCTCCTACTTCAGCTCCCATATTGGCCATTGTCGCGAGACCAGTTGCTTCCAAGGATGCCAGACCGGGACCAGAGTACTCGATGATCTTGCCTGTTCCACCGCGAACGGTCAAGATACCTGCTAGATGGAGAATCACATCTTTTGGCGTGCACCAAGGAGATAGCTCTCCGGTTAAGTGAACTGACAACACTTTAGGAGCAAGCAATTCCCATGGTGTGGCTGTAAGAGCATCGACTGCATCTGCGCCTCCGACACCAATAGCCAAACATCCCATCCCGGATGCGTTTGGTGTATGGGAATCGGTACCGAGCATTAGAAGTCCTGGTGCGGCATAATTCTCCAAGACGATTTGATGAATAATTCCACTTCCAGGACCCCAGAATTCGATACCATACTTTTTACTTGCAGATTCTAAGAAATCGAAAACTTCTTTATTGGAAGCGATTGAACGTTTCAGATCCGCTTCTGCTCCTTCGAATGCTTGAATCAAGTGATCACAATGCACACTTGCAGGAACACTAACACGATCCAAACCACAAGTCATGAATTGCAATAAAGCCATTTGAGCAGAAGCATCTTGCATTGCCAATCTGTCCACCTGTAGGGGCAAATACATCTTTCCACGAATCTTTGTTGGATCACGACCTGCGGAAGCCAAAGTGTCTTGAGGTGAAATTAAATGGGTATACAGAATCTTTTCTGAAAGTGTAAGCGGTCTGTCTAGAACCTTACGAACTGTTGCTAGATTGTCCAATAATTTCGGATAAGGAGGTAATCGAGAAGGATGAAATGTTGGCGGAGCTGCAGTTGCTAAAGCACGGCGTGAATTGGTGGCATTGAAGAGTGCCTTGGAAGAGCATTTCAGCGCTCTCCCATTGCCACTTCTGCTTGCCAAAGATGCCATCGTCATGATGACAAATTGAACGAGGGTAAGGTGATGGACACACAACAAAAAGCCACCCTGCCTAATTTCGCGAAGAAAGGAGAGCAATCATTCTTGCTGCAGGCGGCTTCCTTTTTTTTTCAACGGGTCACGCGTATCTGCCAATCAAATGTGAGAGATAAAGTTTTACGTTTAAGCCCTGAGAAGCCGTCTCGTGTGTTTAGCGGGGTTAAGATAATCATCAGCTTACTAATCAAATGTGAAGCGTACGAGTGAAGTGGTCGGGGTTGATTCGATATTGTCGGCGTTATATATCAATTTGAATATTCAGTCACAAATGACGCTTATACATTAGTACTCGATCACACTCTGAAGCCATTCTTTGATGACGAGTGATTGATCGAATCGGACTTTAAGTGCTTCTATAAAGTTTAATTAGCCAAGCGTGCGTTGCGCCGGCAAAGGAAGGCCATGCTTTTGCTTACACTATTTTTATTTTGACCGTACTGATTGCGTGCCTTTGATTCCACGCACGGTCTCACGCACGCACGCATTCATTCTTTTTCCTTCACCCCTTTTACTCAGCCAGGCCCTGTACAGTGAGTGCTAGACAGCCTGGAAAGTTCACTCCGGCATTCGGAATCAGGCAGAGTAAGCAGCAACAGCAGGACATCAAGACATTTCATGCTCTTTTATGCTTTCTCATCACCATCACTCAATTTCACACATCCTTCCTATCTCCAACGGAACTGCAAGAATAATTATTGTGGGGTCAATTCCGTCTATTTCCGTATTCTTGGCGACGGAATAAACGCCAACTCAATTTTCTCGCTTTCTCTCTTTCGTGATCGTGTCTAAATTTGTAAATTAAAAGGGAGCCTTTTTGCCAAGAACACTCTTCTCCTATTCAACGATCATCTCTCCGTTTTTTTTGCTTTTCTTCCGTATAAAGCATTGCAAGTTTGAATTGGTCTAGGATCGTCTCTACAGCAACTTCAAACAGTGCTTCCTCGAAATCCGACCACTCTTACAGAAGAAATCCTATCCATCATGTCGAGCACTCTGCAATCCTCTACATCCTCCATCACAGCCAACTCCTTGAATGGAGGAAGAAGAAATGTGGTCGGTCTGTCAACATCAATCGTCAAGCTGGCATTAATCTTGACAACTGCTCTTGGTAATGCACTCGCAGCTCCACTACTCGGAGAGGATGGCTCAATACGTATACTAAAACATAGTCACTCAGAGCCAAGTGTTCCACTAACAACAACTGAGCTTATTGTTGACGTTTTGATGATTGCTGCTTTGGTACTTGGAGGTGGATTATGTGCCGGTCTAACACTAAGTTTGATGGGTTTGGATTCGGTAAATTTACAAGTTCTTTCAACCGCAGGATCGCCAACGGAAAAACGAAATGCTACAAGAGTTTTACGTTTATTGGAACGTGGAAGACATTGGGTTTTGGTTGTTTTATTATTGTCAAACGTGATCGTCAATGAAGCTTTGCCTGTCTTTCTTTCAGATTTGGACTTTGGTGGAGGTGTGGCTGCCGTTTTGGTTTCGACAATTTTGATCGTCATCTTTGGTGAGGTGCTGCCTCAATCCATTTGCGCTCGATACGGTCTCTCGATTGGAGCTGCTTGTGCACCTTTCGTGTGGATCTTGATGATCGTCTTATCGCCAATTGCTTGGCCAACTGCTAAGCTGCTGGATTGGTCGTTAGGAGAAGATCACGGGACAACGTACAAAAAGGCAGAATTGAAAACATTTGTCTCTCTACATCAACAATTGGGTACTGAGAACTTGAACGAAGACGAAGTCACAATCATCCGAGCAGTTTTGGACTTGAACGACAAAACCGTCAAAGATGTCATGACGCCTATTCAAGATGTTTTCATCATGTCTTCTGATACCATCTTGGATGACGCAGGAGTGGGAAAATTGGTGCAAAGCGGTTATTCACGTGTGCCAGTTCATGAAAAAGGAAAGCCAGACAGTATTATCGGAATGTTGTTGGTCAAAGATTTGATCTCATACGATCCAGATGATGGAAAAGAGGTGGCCAGCTTCCAATTGCGTCCTTTGCCAGAGACTGCTCCTGACCTTACCCTGCTTTCGACTTTGAACTACTTCCAGACCGGACGATCACATATGTTGCTCGTTAGCAATAGCCCAGGAGAGCCAAAAGGTGCAATTGGAATTGTGACATTGGAAGATGTTGTGGAAGAGTTGATCGGAGAAGAAATCATTGATGAGACTGATGTTTGGGTGGATGTGCATAACCGTGTTCGGGTGACGAGGAATCCAAAAGAAACCGCACCAAGCAATGCAGATTTAGGACCTTTAGTTCGTGGAATTATCGAACGTCGTCGTATGGGAGGATTGAAACAAAAAGCCGGCTCTACTGCACCTTTGAACAAGACGGTAGACCGTGTTTTGGTAAAAGGAAATGATCAATCTGCCCGGACAACGTACGATACGGAAAATCATCGACTCAATGCTAGAGGTGATCTTCCAAAACGATCCCATAGCGCAAACACTGAGCCATCACATGGCGGCGGCGAAAACAGACAAGTGGGCTCACCTTGGCGCATGCCGCGTACGTTGACTTTACTGGACGGTGATAATGATTTACCGGATAATGAAAGTGTAGATGAATCAACATTGGTAAATGAACCACAACAAGGAAATCGTGGTAGAACCGGTGTAAGAAACAACAGTGCAAAACCGCAATCATCATCTAGACCTCAAAATGATGAAAGACAGCCTTTGCTCGGTAATGGAAATTCATCCAAAAAGTAAACAACCGCACCACCCCGGACACTCTTCATCATTGCATAGACATCCCTCTCAATTCCAACTTACATAGCAGCATCACGTTTTTTTCATCTAGTCTTTTTGTGTACAGCAAAAGTGTAAATATGGTCATTTGTGGTCGTAATACATGATTATAATACAGTGTTTGAGAGAAATGAATCACACATCCCCTTCTGTTTCACCATCGCTTTCTTGCTCGGACGGCTTGCCAACCACATCAATTCGTACGAGGCCTACCGCCATTCCGGATGCCAACCAAGTTTCACAACGGCTATTCAAATTCCATCGTACACAAGTCACATTGACAGCCGGATGCCAAGCCATGGTCAAACCTTGTTTTGAAGCAAACGAAGAAAATTTTGATGATTTCGCTGAAGCAAAGAGACCATCAGGTGGAAAACGTGCATTATCAAAAGTTGCCAAAGGTTCAATAAAACGAACAGGACCGTTCGAACCACGATCTGGAAAATCTAATCGAAAAATCGTATGCGTTCCTCCGCTTGCCCATCTGCGTGTATTTTGTAACATTAGAGCAGGAACATTGCCTATCCGAACCGTTCCATCTGCTCCGCCACTTGCCAAAAAAGGATGATGAGGTGAAGTATGCAAACAACGTATCCTACCATAATGAGGATAAACGAGACGTGAAGAAGGTTTTGACTTTTGTGGAAATTCAACAGTTTGAATACAACAATCCTTCAAACGTTCATATAATGCTAAATTCGTAGTTTGTTCAAATGTAATCGCACTTGACGTATCCCGTGATCGAATCAATTGCTGACAGAAATCTGCGTTGGATAAAGTCGTATGGATCACTGATCCATCATATCCAGCAATGTAAAGTTCATTTTCACCTTTCTTGCCCCATGTCAAATCCGCAATGGGTGATCTGCTCGCCCGAATGCACATATCCGGCACGAAAATTGCTTTCGTTCTATCTTTGATTGATTCTTGCTGTTCCCCCAAACCCTTTCGGAGGTTCCAAACGGCTACATGTCCATCGGAATAACCAACGGCAAGCAATTGCGAATCCTGCCATTCCATACAAAGCGGTATTCCTTCGCTGAATCGAAAGACCAATAACGGGTCAAGCTTGATAAAAGGAACGCTTTCTTCATCCTCAACGCTCAGCGTGTCAGGACGGGGAACGGAGTATATTTCGATATTTCCATCTTGCATTGTGACAGATAAGAGGCCGATCGAGGCATTTGCTCCAGTGAAATTGTCCGAGATCGGCACCCACCGAACTACAGACATTCGTCCAGCATCAAAGCAAAGCTTCATCTCCAGCTTCGTACGCCAATCCTTCTTGGAGATAGACCAAATCTGCAAAACGCCTGGCTGAGAACCTTTTTTGACACGCTCTATTAATCTAGTCCTTGGCCACTCATCAAGAGCAGCTGAAACGCAGAGATACTCGTTATCACCTTCCGCCCCATCGGCTTTGTAGCTCCAATCCACGCTGTACACTTGTGATCCCACATTTAACAAGACGCCTTGTTGAGAAGACATCTTTGTGGCCTCATTCAAGGGGATAGCATTGTCTTTTTGGATTTTGAGTTTATTTGAATCATTCTCTGTACCCATTTCGACTGATAACCGGTCGCCAATGAAAGGTAAAAGTTCTGTGAAGTTGACATCAGAAACGAGTTCCGTTCCTTCCTCTACAGCTGCAAATGTTTCCTCTGTTGGCTTCAAGTATGATTCTTCCCCAGTCATCTTTTTGCCTTTTGAGTACTTTTGTGCGTCTCGCTTTGGCAATACTTGTGTCCTTCTTTTACCCTTCTTCAACACGTCTTTCACCATAGCAGCTACTTGAAGTGACGCAGTCTTGCTATCCTGACTTTCTTCTTTCCTCCCTTGATGGATACTATCAGCGTCCGGAACGATACCTTGAAGCTGTTGTGGAGCATTGGTGAATGAATGTGGAAAGCGATGTTGAGCCCTTGCTGGTCCAGATTGTCTGCCTCTAATCTTCCTGGCGGGAGTGCTTTCCATTTTAGCCTGAACAGGTTTGCTGTAGATTGGATCATCTTGCACGCTGCCGTTCATTTCTTCTTCTTCTGGTTCACTTGTCATCTCTTCTGGTCCGCTTGTTGCATCTTCAGCTTGAAAAGCATCTGATGATCCAACATCTTCCCCTTCATCTTCTGATTCGCTCAATCGTGTTCGTGATGAAGATGCCACTGCTTTTCTCTTCGCATTGCGTGTGTATAGCTCTGGCTGTACCCTTTTGCTTGTAGCACGCCTCGGTCTAGATCCCACGATGGATTCGTTCGTCATCCTTGCAGTGAAATGGGAAGATCAGAGCATGATGGATGATGATGATGGATGTCAATGCATACAATCAACACTAAGAAGTCTAAATTAATCATTGACGCGCTAAACAGTGTCTGTTGATCTTACACCTTCTCGCACCTTATTACTCCTAGTTGTGATAAAAGTATGCAAGATTTCAATTTCATTGAAACATAAAAGCAGTAGAAGTAAAAAACAGCAAAGAAGATAAACAAAAGACAAACATAATCAAAGATGATAGCAATTTCATCATGATAAGCTTGGATGGCAATATAAAAGGGTATAAAAAATGCAAAGAAAAGAGATTAAAAAAAAGAGAAAATTGCTTCCAGAAAAGGTGGGTTACACTGATTAAACTTGCTCGGGACTGACGGATAATTGACGTTTTTCATCTTGATCTCTGGCTAGCTCTTCATCGTCATCTCCTGTTCCGATCACAAATGTATCTTGATCTGGGGTGGTATGTTGTTGTTGAATATGAGTGTCTTCCAAACGAATTGCATTACTTGTCAAATGTCTGATATGTTCTCTTTTGAGAGCCCAAGCTTTCAAAACCATCAAGCCAGCAATCCAACAGAACAACAAAGCAACGATTGCGACTGTAACATTGAGAATCATCATGAAATCGCCAAATCCGTTTCTCATTGCCACAAAGCTAACTTCTTCGCTACTCAACATAAACACCAATCCACCACAAGCCAAACTGAAACTTGCCAATGCTTCTGTTGGAGGACGAGAAGGCATGATCGAACTGGTTGGAGGACGTAACCATAAAAAGAAGTATGTCATAAAACGTAAAACGCTAAAGCCTGCCAATAAATTACCCCAAAGTGAATGAATTGAAACTTCATAAACGTAATCTTGATGATGTGCTGCCATTGCGATTCCGGTTACTCCGATCACCAATGCCGGGAAAGGGTTGAATGAGAAGCTGTATGATGGAGGTGCACTGTTCACAGTAACAACCTCATCAGCAGAAAGCGTTTCCAAAGATCGTTGATTGCGACGTGAGACGGATGCTTGTTTTAACGAGACAGGGAAAGCCAATAAATTCTTCAAAGATCCCCATTCCAGAATCATGCCCATCAAACCTGCAAACCAGAACATAACAGCGATTGAAATATGTTGAACTTGTTTGACTGTGTATGGATCTCCAGCTTCTGCGCCGAAACGCTCCATCCAAGTATTTGTTGCACCATAAACAAAGATCACGCATGATTCAACCCATTCGGCAGTAATTTGGTTTCCCTTTCTGCCCTTTTTCGTCATCGGTTTACGATTCCATGCCCATCCTAAGTCAGCATAAGCGCCCATATAACGTCCGAAGCTTAGCAAACCGTACCAGAAGAATATTCCTCCTTTGATTCCGTGTGCTAGGCATACGTTCTTGTAAGCACCTCTGCATGATCCTGTATAGATTGTCAAACCGGTATAAGCAGCAGCAAATGCCAAGACTGGAATTGAACGAGCAACGGTAACGTGAGAGTAACGAATGATAGATTTCAATAAAGAGTGTTTCTGTTTTGGCTTTTGAAGAATAGTATTTTGACGCCATTCAGGAACACTTTGAGATTGATTTTCTTGTTCATGTCCTAATTTCCATGAAACGCTTGGAAGTTCATCAAGTACTGAAGTTCGTGGAGTATTGAGTAGCGTACTTGTAGGGCTAGGTAAATCACGAGTCCAAGAACGAGTGCTCGAACGACGATTATGTCCACCACTTTGTTCTTCTTCACTTTCCCCCTCAAAGTGAACAGAACGTAAAGGAGATGAAGAACCGGAAGATCCACTTGATCCTTGTCTTCTTGTATGTCTGTTCATACGTTCTAAATCCAATTCACGTGCATCACTGATTCCTGAACCATCATCGGATAACATTCTTTCTTCTTCCAATGGATCGTATTCATCTTCGTGCGTGGCGGCATTATTACGGCTAGAAAGCGAAAGTGAATTGAACAAAACTCGCATAGAATTCTTTTGCGAAGAGCCTCTGATCGATCGAACGGCATTGTAAATCTGCTTGACCAAACGGAAAACATCACCTCCCAAAGCGATTAAAGATAGCCAAAAGATTGCATATCCTAAGCCTGAATGAGAATTTGAAGGGTATAATCTTGGAGTCATTGCTTTGTACAAGATTGAAAAGAACAAAGATCCTCCCAAAGTGATCAAATAAACCAAGGATGCCAAAGGTGCAAGATTGGAAGATGCGGCACGTAAAGCCAAAGTTGCGGGTAACATGATAAAACAACTGATTATACATCCAAGAACGTGTAAGATGAGTAAAGAGCCATGTCTTCCAACAAACTCTTTGTTTGCTTTCACACGTTCTTGAATATCCATAATTACGCTTTTTCGCATCTTTGGGTCCTTTTCATCAACCAAATGTCTATAACGTCCACCAGCGACGCCCATCAAATCTTTCCATTCACCTTCTTGCTCATTATGATAAGCACTAGTGAACCATTCCAATTGATCAGATTTACCTATTCCATAATTAAAATCCCATTCGATGTAGCTCAAAGGATCAGGTCCTTTTCCACGTAAGATTGTCGTTTCGTTTAATTCCATACTTGGTGCTTCTCCTCCGTGTCCGTGATTATGTCCGCCTGCTCCGTGTGGTAAAGGAGGAACGACGATCATTACTGAACCTGCTTTTGATGCTTCTGGAACGCCGTCATATGGATGGGGTCCTCCATGGTGATGCATGTGGGCAGATTTAGATGCTTGTTCAGAGTGGGAGTGAGAGTGCTCGTGTTCATGTTCGTGTTCTTTCATATCATGATGAGATTCTTGCATAACATGAATGACTTCCGGTTCCTTGTGATGATGTTCCTGTTCCTCCTCCTCTTCATGATCACCATGTCTTTTTTGCCATGATGAAATTGAAGGACCTGCTTCCGATCTTACTTCGGCAATGCTTAAAGCCGAAGTGGAGGGTATGGAAGTTGAAACGGTGGCCAAAGCAACGATTGCGATCGTTTGAGCTGCCAAGATGATCTTTGGCATCATCTTTGCTTTGGGACGGGATAGTGGATGGGTATAAGTTTGTTCCACTTCTGTTGAATGATTGATTTAAGAATGGATGGCAAAAAGGTATATTCGGCTTACTTCTTAAGTCCGAACCTGATTCCGATTCCGATCCCTATAATGATTTACCAGGTAGAAAGTAATGCAAGAAGCCCTTTATAAGCCTATTTGAGGTTAAGGTGATGATGGATGATGATGACGAAGAAGTTGTTTAGAATGGATGGCTTTGTGTTTAATGGACTAGCATGTGTGTGAGTCCCTTTTTCACTCGGAGATCCCAGTCCGCGGTGCAATTGATTGATTGGCTTTGATTATTTTTTTTTCTTTTCATTCAGGGCCTTTTTAAAAACTCCGCTTCCAGAGTGTGTCTACCTTCTATGCAAAGTGATGTACATGAGCAGCACCCTATCACTACTAATCGATCTGATGCAGTTCATCAATCTTGTGTTCTTTACGCATTCGGGTTGTTCTTTTGACTGTTTTAATGCCCTTTCATTACGGCTTCTTCCGCGGTGACTTTTTTTATTTTTCATTTTTTTCCGGGCCCGCACGCAGCTTGAACGCACGCTAACAGTCAAAAAAAACCTCCACCACTGTACAAAAGACGATCTGCATAAAGATGCACACTAAAAGATTCAAACTGTTTTTCTTTTTTTCGTTAATCGGAAAAAATAATCCATTCAAATGTTATTGACTTGTTTCGGTTTAAAATCGATAATTAATTTAATACCCTTATTTTCATAATTAGATTTCTTTTGCTGAGTATACTTCACTAACGATTCCTGCGTCATGCCGCTCCGGCTCAGCAATGTGCGGTACACTACAGCTCAACCTAGAATGATGACAATCGGAATAATTGTCATTATAAAGACTGTGCATCTCTTTAATGAAAACGCGTTTTGTTCGCTTATCTACTTACATCTCTGAGTGGCTTTGAATCAGTCTCGGATGTGTGTTCCGAAAAAGAGGGAAAAACCGTTGGCTACTTCTCTCTCACGCGTGTTTGCCAAGACTCCCGCCGCGCTTAAGCAATTCTTAAATGGCAGGCAACCTGGATCGACGATTTCTGTCAATTTATCGGGCTGATCGGTGCTAGGTGTTCGATGGACGGGGAACCTCCTGGACTTATATTAAATGAGATAACTCTTTTCATGATCGCGGAGACAGCAGCTATATCAGGCACCGATGTGGGGCAATCTCTAGCTAAGGACATCATCAGTGCACGTTTCATAAAGCGAAATGAACGTGTCATAATTGCGGCGCCCGTCGATCCGATCCTAGGCCCTGGATCGCAGGTTAAATTACAGAAAAACATAAAGCTCGATTATCTTTTATATCAATTTGCCATCTTCTGATCACATATGGTAGATTGTATGAGTAGCATGGCTATCAACTTTTCGTTTTGCAGTATTTTGATTATATAAGATGAATTTCTCTGGGAAATCTCGACATATAAACATTTTTCATATTTGATCGTCACGGCAGCGAGATGAGCCATCTGCCGAAAGCGGTCCGTCTTGAACAAATAAGAAATTGTGATCTGAGTCTAAAACTTCTCTTGAAAATTTGCTCAGCATTCTTATTCGTTGAGACTAAAAAAATATTCGTTAGCTATTGAAGATAGCTTTTCATCGCATCATCAGCATCATCATTAAAAGTCAGAATGGAGGAGATAATTGTAGATTGGAACGAGAAAGATTTCTCAGCAAGTGAGCCGATCTACTGCGAAATTTGCTGTACAGAAGATGTCAAGCCGGAAGATCAAACAAAGTGTGCAGAAGGTCATATATTCTGTAAAACTTGTGCAGGAAATATGGCTCAAGTACAAATAAACAACTTTCAAGTGAGCTTACCATGTATGTCAATGAAAGGTTGCGAAGCAGAATTCGAAGAAGAAGAAGCAAAAGCGTTCTTGACTGAAGTACTTTACAAAAAATGGAAAGAACTTTATATTGAAAAATTTGCGAAAGATTTGGGTATCAAAGAAGCCCTGGAATTTTGCCCTTTTTGCGATTTCAATCGAGTTTCATTTCATATAACAGAGGTTCATACATTTATATGCGAAAATCGAAGCTGCGGGAAATGGTCATGTCTCAAATGCAAAGAAGAAGATCATAGCCCACTTTCGTGTGAAGGTGCGTCTCAGAGCTGGCTTCACTTTAAATGTTAACCTCTGAATTGTCTTTCTATCCTTATTTAACAGAAGCAGAAAGGATTCTAACAAATGTTGAAGATCAGAAAGCAAAATTCGTATTTGAGGCAACTGTTCGTCGATGTCCTTCAGCAAGCTGCGGAATTGCAATCGAGAAAGATGGTGGGTACGTAAATCTTGAGGGTAGAATTAGTTGGGATAAGATTACTTAAATATAATCGAACTTTTCACAGCTGCAACAAGTATGTTAAATTTGGTATAGTAGTAGAATATTAATCAGAAGAATTCTCAAATTACGTTCTACATTTTACGTTTTTCAATCAGGATGAGATGTCGACATTGCGGAGCTAATTTCTGGTAAGTAAGAACTTAAGACATAATCTCTATATTTTCACGAAGCGATTAATTTTATTATATAGCTTTCTATGCAAAAAAGATATCTCACAAAGCCGTTATGAGCACTTTGGAACATCGCTTGGTTTATGTGGGCTTTTTGAGGATCCTACAGAAATTATCGCGCGAGAGGCAGAAGCAGCAGAAAAGGAATTTGAAAAGGTATATTTACAGCAAAACTTCGTTAAGGAACGCAAGCAAGCCTTGAAAAATACTATAGCACAAGCTCGAGAGAGAGAGCACGCTCGACTTTTGAGCCAACAAATACGTGAACAAGAAGAGCAAGAACGAAATTCACTCATGCAAGAAGCTTATTTGCGTGATTTTCCTTCTCTAGAAGATATGCTATTTTATTAAAACAAACAACTAAGGTCTCTATTACCTAAAATTGAAAAGGGTCAATGAAAGAATGTAGATATTATTTAAAATTCAATTTTGAGACATCATAAACTTTCATAACATATACCGGACGATATGATTTAAAAATTTGTAAGAGGAAACCATACAATATTAGGCACCGAAACAATCCAACATTACACCGGATTGAGTTTAGAGCTGACAACGGGCCGTAAAAGCTCATCAAATCAATTCGAAATAATTAACTTTGTAGACTATGCTTTAAGTTGAATATAACTCCCAATGTCTCTTCGTTATTCATGACCAATGATCATGGACGAATCTGCCACCTCCAACGTAATCGAATGCGAAATATGCTGTACAGAAGATGTTCCGCCGGAAGAGCAAGCCAAGTGTATGAAAGGGCATGTGTTTTGCTCAACATGCGCTAGAAGGATGGCAGAAATACAAATCTTTTCAGATAAAGCACATCTACCATGTTTATCTTCGGAGGACTGCAAAGCACAATTTGGATTTGAAGAAGCAAAAAAGTTCTTACCGGAAAAGTTATATGATCGTTGGCAAAAGCTAAGTTTCCAAGAACTGATGAAGGCCCTAGACTTCAATGAAGAATTATGCCCGTTTTGCGACTATGCTTGCATACTTACAGGAGCCTACGATTTCGGTATCTTTATGTGTGGAAATCGGCAATGTGCAAAATGGTCATGTCGGACATGTAGAGCTGAAGACCATACACCCTTGACTTGTCAACGTGAGTATAAAGACGGGTCAGTGGAAAGGTATCCTAGACTTACTCATAAATAACCCTTTATTCTTTCCTGTAGAGTCATTAGGGACATTGAGATGGGATGATAAAAGGCATATAGAGAAATACCTTTCCGACGCCATTATTCGTCGTTGTCCTAATAAAAGTTGTTTCACACCTATCGAGAAAGCAGAAGGGTGAGTCAGATATGATTTCTTTATCTTGAGGTTCTGCCGTACTAAACATAAAGTCTCAATCATTTCTTTCAGCTGTAATCAGTAAGTTGTTTTAATGTTCTATTTTAGTGATACACTGACCTTTAAACGCTTCATATCAATCCAATAGTATGGAATGCCGAAAATGCGGTACACATTTTTGGTAAGATTAAGAATTATAGTTTAAAGCTTAAATACTTACTATTTTCTATCTTCTTTCTGCCATCATAGCTATCTTTGCAGAAAAGATATCTCCGTTAACGTTTATCAACATTTTCAAAATTCAAGCTGCGAATTATTTCAGGATGCGGAAGAAGTTATTGCAAAGGAGTATGCAGAAGCTGAAGAAAGACTAAAAGACGATGCTCTACAGCTGCAATTGAAAAGAGAAGCTTTAGAAGATGCACGAAAAAAATTTCATGCGAAACAACAAGAGCATGCAGCAAAAGTTCAAGCATGCTTCTCACGTGAATTCAGGTCCTTTCCTTGGTAAACGAAAGACGATCAATCAACTTGATACTTTGAGATGAAAGCTACACATTCACTGAAGATTTTCCAAAGTGTAGATAGCAAAATGATATCTTCTTCTTTTATTCATGCAAGGCGGAAGCAATCACACTAAGCAAGGCAGTTAAGCAGTTGTGCTGCGCCTGCGCCTATTTTAGCTTTAGCCCCCACAAATTAAAAGGTGCGTGCAATCATCATTCTTTCTTCATTACCGCATCTTTGCATACGAGTAAAAGTAGATGAAGAAGTGTTTTTAATACTTCAACATCATAATGAAAGCTTAAAGGGTCGGGATAGTAAGATGGCAGACGTCCTTTATCGAAGAGGTACACTCCAACAAGAAGGCGCAGATGATCAAAGAAGCTTTCTGGAGGACGATGATGATGGTGGACCAAGCTTTAATGACCTGATGGGCTCAGTAGATTATCCCACTCCAACGACATCTGAAACGGGTGAACGTGCAAGAGTACCGGAAGATGAAAGGGAGCATCTCAAAACGTCCACTCCTGTTCGTCTCTTACAGCGGAGTGAAGAGCAATTCGATAACTACCTTTGGTGGCGCATTCTTGCTTTCCGGATAATCAATGCATTCATCACAAGTAGAACGGTCTCTGCTCCTGACGAACATTGGCAAAGCTTAGAGATTGCACATAAGATCGTTTTCGGCTATGGTTGGACGACTTGGGAATGGATCGATCGAAGGCCAGCAGATAGTGCTTGGTTCGGTGGATCGAAATGGGGAGATGGTCCGATTCGTAGTGCTTTGCATCCTGTGCTCTTTGTCCCGCTCTATTGGGTTCTAGCTCAGCTGCGTTTGGACTCGACTTGGCTACTGACAATCGCTCCTAGCTTGCTACAAGCTGTTTTCGCGACATATACCGACTGGTTTGCATTTCGATTAACGCGAAGGATACTGAATGAAAGGAGCGCTTGGGCAACACTGTTGGTGTCATTCTGTTCAATGTACACCTTTCACAGTACCACACGTACCCTTTCCAACTCGCTCGAGGCAAGTCTATCAATGGCAGCTATTTTTTATTGGCCATTAAGTCTACCGGAAGACTCGGATACGGATCTGATAAGTGAACAACCGCTAATCGAAGAATCTCGTTTGATCAAATCTGTTACCCTTTTCGCCATCTCAGCAGCACTTCGACCGAGCAATGTTTTGCTATCCTTTCCACTACTACTCTTCCTCATTCGCGCAATCGTTCTCAATATAAACTCGCCGGCAACAGCATTGGAAGCGGCATTCGCACTTTTGATCGTTTTGAGGACGGTTATTTATGTCTTTGTCGTTGCGGTCATTTCGCTGTTTACCATTGATTCGATCTTCTATCAACGCCTAACGTTCACGCCTCTAGGATTCCTCAAGCGAAATGTTCTGCAAGGTATTTCGTTATTCTACGGAGCATCACCTGTGCATTTCTACTTGACAAGTGCACTGCCTTTCATCGGGTTTACTCTGTTGCCTTTTGCACTTCGAGGGCTATGGTTCGCATTCGACAAACCGCCTACGTCCACATTTGACAAGATCACAAGAAGATGGGAAGGCGTTCGAGGAGAGAGAGATCCAAAAGCAATGAAAACATTGGCAGATTCTGTGATTGTGTTTGTCTTAGCAATGAGTCTTTTGGGTCATAAAGAAGTACGATTTTTGCAACCAATCGTACCGGTTATACACATGATGCAGGCTTATGCGCTTGTCATGTTACCGCCTTTCAGAAGTCCTTCTTGGTTGCAAAAAAGACGGGATACAAACACGCCAACACCGCAAAACACACCTTCGCGATTGGCAGCGACGATGACTTCGGATATATCATCGAATGCGGCGTTTGAAGAAGGACAAACGGCATTGGCACGACAGGCATCTATTGAACGTTCGCGGAGGCGAGAGTTAATTCAATCTTTGACGGATTTTACGTCTTGGCAAGGTAGGATGCATTTACTGCCGCCTAAGCCTGCTCTTTTTAGCACGCTCGTGTTTGATAGAATGCGAGATGTGATACGATTCATTCGTGTTTGGCATGGAGAGGCTGCTTTGTGGCTGCTGGCTTTGAATCTCGTACCGATCTTTTACCTATCCATTCATTCGATCGGACAAGTTCGTGTGGCTGAGTACGTCGGTCAATTACAACAAAGTGGGAGTCTGGATAGCGTTGGATTTATAATGCCTTGTCACAGTACACCTTGGATGAGTCATATTCATTCGCAAGCATTGGCAGAGGATCCAAAGAAGGCATGGTTTATAACCTGTGAACCTCCTTTAGACGCAAACGTTGTTGAAATGAAAACGTATAAAGATGAATCGGATTACTTTTATGATGACCCGATCAAATTTTTACGTAAACGAATCGGAACACAAACAAGACCTTGGCCTTCACATTTGGTCATGTTTGAAGCTCTTCTTCAGCCAAAAGATGGTGGTGGCGTCGCACAGCTATTATCGGACCAAGGCTACACACAAAAACGCTCTTTTTGGAACAGCGTCTTCCATCCCGATCATCGAAGGAGAGGTCGAGTGATCGTGATGGAAAAAGGTCAAGAATAATGACACCCACCCACAAAACAATTCTCTGTAAAAGTAGTATACCCTTTTTTTCATTCATCATTAATTACAAAAAAGCACTCCACCATCAAACAAAAAGGCTGAGATTTTTTTTTGTGAATGTAAGTTAAGCAGAGAAGATGAGTAATATAAATGAATACATGAATGACAAAACACGATTGTCTAAAAGAACCGCAAGGATAAATTGAGCTATTCACAATTTTGCGTGTAAAATGATTGCTTTTTCTTGTCGAAATCTATATCGAGAGTCGACATGGAACAAAAGTACAAAGTAAGATAAAAAGATGACAAAAGAATGGAAAGAAAGCATGCAATATGGAAATTATCAACCGCTTTATCCAATACCATCTTTGAAGAGAAGCGAATGGTGAAGAATGATTCAGTGCAACAAAGCAGTGAAAATATTCTGTAAATGTCCGTGAAAAAAGAAAAAGTTCCGAAGCCCAATGTTTAATTTGCAAGAGAAAGTACCCTTCTTGTATAATCTTGATCATCGCGAAGAGAGTTTGCACTTGCCCTGCTTCCTGCTCTTTGAAGACCGTCATTGTTTAATCGGTCATCAGATGCATGTGGTGGGCTATTGTTTGCTCCAGCAGGTCCTCCTTCAGGACTGCTGGGTTGATCAGAGAACACATTTGGAGACAGTAGATGATCTTCAGGTCCTTGTCCGCCAGTGTAAGGGTTTGGCATACCTGATGATCTGCGATGGTCTGATTCTCCTCCTGCCACTCCAGCCGCTCCTGCTGCTCCCGCGGCTCCTGCACCGGCAACAAACGGCATTCCTTCAGGGTTCATAGCATGACCTTGACCGTTCCAGCCTCCGTTATCGTAAGCATATTGATTTCCATACTCATCGGCCATGTAATGACCTTGGCTGTATGCGGCAGGATCGTGACCTTGACTTTGCGACATGTATTCGTGTCCTTGTGGGTTATCGTAGTAGTGTCCTTGCGATCCGGCACCGTTGTAGTAATCGTGATAAGCAGCAGCACCATATCCACCAGCTGCAGCGCCAGCACCGGCAGCAGCACCCATACCAGCATAGCCTGCACCAGAGAATTGACTGGGTTCGTATTCACCTTGAGAAGGATGATAGAAGTTTGAAGCACTTCCACTTGGTCCTTGACCGTAATTTTCTTCAATCATTTCTGGATCATCATCATCGAATGGAGTTCTCGTAGTTGCTGCTGCTGCAGAGGCTGCCATTGCAACATCTGCGTCCATCCTTTGAGCACGACGACGACGGTAGAACAACCATGCAAGTCCTGCTAAGATCAAAGCAGCAACAATACCGACTGCTGCAAAGGTTCCTCCTACCGCGCCCGAATTACTAAAGAATCCGTTGCTATTACTGCTACCTGATCCATCGTTCAATTGACCGTTCTGCGATGGATTTCCCGAAACGATTGCTGTTGAAGTGGATAATTGTCCACTGTTTGTCAGGGTCAATGTTGTTTGAGAAGAGGTTGCTGGTGGTGGTGTATATGTCGATGATGGCCTCTGCTGCTACAGAAAAGAAGAAGAAAAGAGCAAAAGTCAGTAAAGCAAGTTCAACAATTTGACGCAATACAAATACCCGGCTTTGGCAAGTAGGAATTGTTCATCGCTAAACACTTCCAAAAGCCGTAGCTTACAACTAACGGTTTCAATTTGAGAAGTAGGAGTGGTGGAAGTGGAAGTGGGAGAAGTGCGCTCGCGCTCAGACGTTCTAGACGTGGAACTTACGGTGGAGGTTGATGAGGGAGTGGTAGAAGTGGAAGTGGGAGTTGTTGAAGTGCTTGATGAAGATGAAGAAGAAGGCGTAGATGAACTACTTGTTGTGGTAGATGAAGAAGAAGAGGAGCTGGTGGTTGAGGTTCTTGAACTTGTGCTGCTTGATGTTGACGAGGAGCTACTTTCGCGCGTTGAAGAAGAGGTGGTAGATGAGGAACTGAAAGTAAGTATCGTTTTTATGAGCAAGCAAGAACCAACAAAGACTATAGAATGCATCAACACTTACCTCGCTGTTTGACCGGGAAGAAGACCGCCGATTATAGATCCAACACCACCGAGTATGCCGCCATTGTTATCGCCATTGTCATTGCCAGTATTTCCAGTATTTCCCGTATTTCCAGTATTTCCATTTTGACCGCCATTATTATCGCCGTTGCCATTGTTTCCATTTTGACCGCCAGTACCGCCATTGCCGAATTGACGTTTAGCCCAAGAATTGTCCCATTTGGTTGGATCGCCGCCATAAACATCATATCGTGGAGCGAGAGATGTCATTTTTGATGGGGAAGGAGAAAAGGGGAAAGTTGTTGTGAAGAGGTAGGATGTCAGTATCTCTATTGCCTTGCTACCGTATAATAAAGTCTAAAAGCCGATTGAAGACCATTGAGATAATGATGATCATCAAAATGGAGGGATGAGTGGAAATTCAAGTCCGCGCAATTGTTCTAATAATAATAATTTTGCCTCCTCTTTTCCAAAGTAACAGGTCAAGTGCACAATGAAGAAAAGGCGGCGCAAAAGAGAGAAAGAAAAACAATCGGATGGAGAACAAAAAGATGCACTAAAGCAGTGCCTTCTATGCAGCGCAATAAGCGGATCTTTTCGCGCGTTTGCAGTGAAAGAACTGAAAGGCGGCAAACAGAGTTGTGCTTTTAGCTTGTTTGTGTTTGTGCAAAATCACATCAGCTCATGATAGGGTTGCTTTGAATCTTGCAGTAGGAATTGACTGGAAGACGGCGAAGAGAGAGAAATAGCGACATGCACGCATACGTAAACGCGAGTAAATTGGCCGTACTTGCAGAGATGCAAAGAAGAAGAAGAAAAAAGGTGGTCTAGTGCCAAGCAAAAGCAAGCAAATTAGACCAGATCTCCGTCCCGGCAGGGCTGAAGGGCCGCCGCGTTTTGATTAGATGAAATAAAATATTCTCGATCAGGGGCTTTTCTTCAGAGGAAAGAAAAAAGCGCAGGGCACAGAAATAGTGCGTTTCCCTTCAACATTTGATCGCATTCATAGAATCATCCTTTTTGCGCGCAGGCAGGGTACACTCCAGACGATCACTGTATGCTTGTGGATGGGAAATCGACGGGAATCCGAAGAAAGAAGAAAAGAGACTGCTAGTATGCGCGCCCCTTCCAGAAGAGATTTGACAATCACTTCGCACAAATGACAATTTCAAAATCTCCAAATGATTTCAAGAGAAATGAATCAGGAACGTGACATTAGAAAATGTGCTTCACTTCCAGGAACATGATCAAAGTAGATTCGATCAAAAGTTCAAATGAAAGAGTGCAAATCGTGAATAAAGTCGGAGCGAATCGAACGAGTGATAGAAAGCGATGTGTCGATGTATGCGTGCGTACTTCTTGCTGATAACGATTCTGTAGCAGAACATTTCTTACTCACGTATATCAGTTCGAGAAGATGAGCTGCTCATTTTGAACGAATTTCTTTAGGGCGAGTGTGGTTAAAATGATGCAAGTTTGTCGATAGTAATAGTTGGGCAATTGCTATTGTCGAATTTGTTGATGCTTATAAGCAGATATAAATCGATAGTTGGATGAAAAAGCAAGAATGATTGCAACGGATATCGATTGATGGAGATGATGATGGTGGTCAATGTCACAACAACGACAACAGCCCGCTCCTATCATGCAATGCAGACCATCAAAAAGAAGGGAGGATGATGTCTCATGTACTGTATATCTTAACAATTACTTCGCACTTCCGTTTACACACACTTCCCAGGAGGCCAAAGATTTTCATGGCTTTTAATTCATTTTACTGCCTTGTCAAGCCATGATGCACGCGCATACAGTGTGTGTCTGCTTGCTGTGTGCGTAAAAAGAAGTTTTTCCCGCACGTACCTGAGTTAACACAGCATGCAAATCAAGTTGGGGGCCTGTCTCTATTGGTGAGACATAAAGTGCAGTCAGTACAAAGGAAGTGCATTTTATATAATCTGTCTTTTGATCATTACAACGATTATCCTTCCATTAGAAGTGAATCCATGTGTATCCCGAAGTAGTTCTTGTTATGATCTTCACTGCATGAATACAATGTCTTGTTCATTCTCATGATAGGAGAGCGTATTTGATTATAATCGGGCAATAAACGAGTATTGACGGGAATGCATTAAAAAGAACAATCTATCTTTCCCAATTCTTTCCTCGTTTACGCGCTAAAAAGAGGGAAGGGAGCCGCTGCTGCTTTACGCGGCGGCGGAAGAAGCAAAAGAGAGTGAGACTTTAATTTAAATTCCCGCTTTGGATTCCAGTAAAATCCACTAATACCTGCCTTTCCGGTGGTCTAGATCATCAGGGTTGTGAGTGAGTGACATGGGCCTTGCAATCAACCCTCCATCCATCCATCCCCTCATCATCAACTCCTAATATCATTTTAATAACATTCCCGTAGGAGGGCAATCTCAATTACGCCACAATATTCACCTCCTTTACCGTACCGACCTGCAATTCACTCGCTTTTTGTTAATTTTGCACGCTCATTTTTTTACTTCATTTAACCACCTATACCTTCTTCTTCAACATTCAAAAACATGACCGCAATCACAAACACACACAGACTATACAAACGAGACACCATCGCAGCCGACGGAACTCGTGATATCGGAGGAGGTGCGATTGCTGGAATAATCATTGGAATCGTGGTAGTTTGTGCAATTTTGGCCGGCTTACTTGCTTGGAGGCTATACACATACAGAACCAATCGTGATTTCTTTACCGGGAAATCAAATCTCAATTATGGAAGTGCGTCAATGTTAACTCCAGCAAAAGCAGGTCATATTCGAAGTACACGTGGTATACGTAAATTGAACGATGATACAGATTCAGTTTTGGAAATAGACGGAAACGATCATGCAACAGAGAATGTTGATTCAGGTGATTATAATAGTGAAAAACACCTTATCACATCTCAACGTGAACAACATCAAAAACTCACCCAAGCCGTCAATACAAATCAAGAAGAATGGGATCAACACGAACAACAAACAAAAGAACGTTATCCGTCCGAAACAAATCGTACTTCTTGGTGGGTACCTTCATTCGGCAGAGCGATCCCAAGAGAACAAGTTGAAGAGCATAACAACGTTCAAAGCGAAGTTATGCGACCTTAGATCGTGCGTGGTGGTGGAATATTGTACTTTTTTCGTCTTCTCAACTACCTCTCCTCCTCCTCACTTTTACTTTGCGGCAATTGCTTCTTCTTGTCGCGCTTTCGGTCCTTCAATGCTGCTCTCATTCAGCCCATCGCATCGCATTTTGCGCCCAATATATATCCCGTGATGGAACCAGTTTTTGTTCTTCTTTTATGTACATTATAGTTTTTTCTCTTGTTTATTTTTGCAATTCGACGCTTTTTGTAATATGCACACCTTGATACGCCGGATCTGCAATTCATGTCATGTGTAGTTATACGCAAGTGGTTGTACACGATGGCTGTGAGCGGTGATTGTGCTCCCGCGATGGCACCAAGCCCCATCCTGACCGAATAGGCCGACTTCCATCAACCGAACCGAATAGCAACGCATCTCGCTTAAACTTAAAAAAGTGGCTATGGAACGCTTTATATATATGTATATCGTATAGTGTTCAAACATCTTTCCCTTAGAAATGCAATGGATGAACTCGAGCCATCATGAATATTTCATTTTTTATTTGCTTGTTCATTGTCATTCTTTCATCTTTTGCTCAGTCTTTGCCGGATCGGGAAGATTCCTTACCCGCTCAAACCAATCAACAATCCTCCTCTAATGCATTACAGAAACGATCAAGAGGTACGAAACGAAAGACTAGATCACCTCCTCGTTCGCCATCGCCGCCAAACTTTAAGCCTTCATGTGAGGAAATTGTATGTTGGGAAAATAGCGATTGCGCGAATGTGAGTGGATGAAGTCCTGCAAAAAGGTGGCTTTGCTGATTTTCAACTTTTACTCATTTAGAATCGATATGGTGTCTCTTGCGGAACATGCAACAGCAATTCTCTCCTTTCGAGATGCAATGCTGCCTGACAAACAAAGTCAATGTACGATGGTTTATTCTCCATTAAATGTTATGTACATGATCTCAGCAATACAGATTGTGGATAACGATCAGAAATGGTAGCCTGTCTTTTGCAATAAGCCAAAGGTAGTATAAGCCGAAGTGAAGAACAAAGAGACCATACCCAAATAACTGATCAAAGAACCTGGAACGCGACCTTTTGGTTCACCTGAATTGTAACCAACGGTAAAGACGATTCTGCCAACGACATAAAGTAAACCCGAGATGGCAGCAACACGAGGATGTTGAACGCCAGCAATGAGTAAACTTGCATAAACTTGTGGAACGTTTTCCATTGTATTTTGATGTGCACGTTGAGCACAGTTGAATTTACGTGCTGATGGGTTTGCGGATTCTTCTTCTTTTGTTGCGTAGACTTGTGGATATTGAATCTTTGCTGCCTTGCGTGCACCTGAAACTAGCATTGATTGCCAAAATGTTAAGAATGGGATTGTGGCTGCTACACCGACTACCCAAGGGTAAGAAGCCTGTCGGAGGTGTTTTGTGTTAGTGTCATGCTGGATAGCAAAGATTAGGCTGTACTCACAGGTAAGTTGAGAGATAAGGTTGACATCGTGATAGATTGATTGCAAGGATGATGGATGTTGGAAATGAGTTGTTTCAGTTATAACCTTTTAACCTTTCCATGCATCGAAGACTCAGCCATTCCTCTTCCTTCTGCATGGCCCTAGCACCGGCTTCATAGAACGTTCACTTTCGGAGTTGTTTATGCAGTGTACCGCTTTTACAATGCGCCTTATTCATTAAAAGGAGAACAACATTAGAAGAACATAAAAGAACGGAATTCGGCTTTTACTTGCTTGCTTGCTGGCTGGCTGGCTCGGCTTTCTTCTTTGTGAACAAAGGGTACACTAATACACTAGCGCCGGACATTGGTTTTTATACCGGGTTGCCGCTTACATCATCATTACCCGGGCATTCTCCCTTGCCAGACGACTTAATATCAAGTCGACTTTGGGGAGCTCTTTCTTCCAGGATGATGGTTAGGAAGAGAAAGAGCTCAAATACTGTCAATCTCGTCGACATAGTTTAATTGACCATTTAAGCCCTAATAGATGATCTTGAACACGCTCCCTAAGCATCAATAGAATGACACCGCTAATCAGTGCTTTTCTAGTTGAAGTGTACCTCCCTTTAGTATTTCCATCTTCAAACCCGAGGGATAGGTCGATCATCAAATTGAACAATGAGAATGTGAGATACCTTATCAGACCATTATCGTACATACGCGTATTATTATTTGATCTTATCAGACAATGTCTGTGTATGTGCATGCACTTGCATTAAAATAGTCTGCTTGAGTAAGCGTATGAGGCAGTTCAACAGTCTGAAAGATGCGGAGAAAGAGTTACTGTATTCCCCTCTTCTGTCTTCGACCCTGAATGATTCGATCATTCAAAAATGTCAGATCATTCATTGATTGATCATCACAACTCTTATCATACAATTATCACCTGGTCAAACAAATAATAATCGCTTTGATCGGAAGTCAAATCTTGTATCAGATGGCAGGATAAACGTCGGAGCAAGACGCCCATTGCTTATGTTGGCGTTAACCATCTAAATACAAGGTACCTACCTCTGATTTCATCGCCATCACATCTCTCTCCCTTTTCATAATGCTGGCAATTTCACCTCCACTCCACCAAGATTTCCGGGCAAGAGCTCATCAACTTGAATGGCTTTGTTCGCCCGGAGATGGTTGGCGACAATATGCGCCTCCTCCTCCGCCCGTATTACCGGTAGCATTTCATTTTTTGGCACCGTTACTACTTCCAGAAGCATATGCTATCTCTCGACAAAGAGCGCCACAAGTTGTCGTACGACCAAAGATGGATGAACGATTGTATGGTAGCTTGGAAAAACTTCTGAAGTTGCCTACTGAGATCATGCAGGAAATCGTTGACTTTACTGTTGATCAAGGAATGGGAGGTGAGATGATCAACTCTTCACGCTATTTCCATAGCCTGGCTGTACCACGGTTTTATCGCTGCATTGAATTGAGAACGGCAAAGAGCGTTGCTATGCTCAATAACACACTGGAAAGAAGGCCAGAATTGGGATCGTACATCCGCGAATTGTCCTTTGGTGCACATCGTTTACCGTGGGATGAAGTTAGACGATTGGCAGAGCTATTAGGGGAGAATAACAGGAAGAACATTAAAGTGCTCAAGATCAAGATACCAGCGAGTGATCTGCCATTAGCATTACCAATCCTAAAGCTATTCTCCCCTAAATGCTTTGAATGGTCAACCTCTCCATGTTGGCAAATGAGACCTGCAAACCTATTTGTAGAAATGTTTGCAGGCTGGAATCGATTGGAAGAGCTAACGCTGGAGAACTTCAGATTTGATGAAACGTTGAACGTTTGTGTGGATCAATTACCGAATCTGCAACATCTTGCATTAAAAGGAAGAGGATCAGAACATTTACCGGTAGAAGTATTGTCTACTTTGATGAATGTGAACAGTAGAGAAAGTACAATCGTTTCGTTTGATCTGGAGATCGTTGATGCAAAGCGCCGATTACCGATCGAGATAGCAGATTGTTCAATGGAAAAACGTTCGACTTTGGAACAGGAATTGTCGAGATTGTACGTGGATCCAGAGGCTTTACGATGTATATCCTGGATCTAAAATGATGACTTGGAATAGCATATGTATACTATTAATAATGATGTTAAGCAGCATGTTGACAGAATATAGTGAGTGTACTGAGCTCCATTGAATCTTTTCACAGAGCTCTATATTGAGGCTAGTATGATGAAATCACATACTCGGCACTAATAGACGTAGCCATGCAAGCACGGTTATCAGAGTACCTGCTATCTATGCACACACGTGTAAGTAATTGATGATCATCTTCCCAAGTACTACAAGCTTGCGGACCGCTAGACTGAAGGGATGATTGATGCTGTGCTTTTATTAAAAGGCAGCATGTGTTCATTCATGCATGACAAGTTGTGCCTCCTTTTTGGGTGGGTGGGGGTGATGCATTGTTTTTAGCGTAAAAAAGTTTGACGCCAACATGCATAAAATAGTCTGTCTCTGACGGCGTTTCAACTTTTAAACAATGGGGATCCCGAGGTGATGGTGGCAATGTGACTGTACCAAAAGTTCAACTTTTTTAATTTGACACACTAAACGTCACAGCAGTTTGTATTCGATGAATATTAAACGCCGAGACAAGGATCGGCATAATGCCCTTTGTCTACAATGTTGGCGTAGAAACTGTTTTGTTTCTCCCGAAACAAAGGTAATCAAAATCCGTTAGCGTAAGATGTTCTCATTGTCACACGCTGTTCGTGCATAATGTCGGTACATCTGTATTTCTGTTTTACCGGAGAAACAGACATCCGCTGTCAATCTAGTATTCTATGAGGATAGACATGTGTGTGATGGATATATAAAGAGGGCTTTCCCTTTCTTTTGCAAGTGTTTTCGTCTTTATCCCCTCTTTTCTATCTTGAAAGAATTTGTTCTAATCAATACCCCATCCGCTACTACCGCAAAAATGCAACGTACACTTATCTTCGCACTTGTCTCCCTCATTGCAATGATGTCGGCTGTGACTGCATCCCCAATGCCAACTGCAGCACCTATGATTCGTCGTCAAGGTAGCGGTGGTGAGTGAAACTTCCGCTTGTTAGCTTTTAAAATGATCGTACTAATTATATCATCGATTCCTTCTCTACCCCAGCTCAAACCACCGCGCCATACACGAGCACAATTGACCCAAGTCAAGGATTGCACGGAAATGGATGCTCAGAAGGAAACGACAGTAACGTCGTAACCTGCTGTCCAGCCGGCTATCAAAATCAAAACATTAACGGTCAACAAAGTTGTGTGAAACTGGGTAGCAGTAGTGGCGGAAGTGATAGTGGTAATGATGCCCCGGTAGGACAAGGAAACGGATCGGATAACGGAAATGATTCGAACAATAGCGTTCCAACCGATAACGGAAATGATTCAGGAGAAGGAAATGATAGTAACAATCAAACGATCACTGGCGATGATAGTGGAGCTACAACGTACACCTCTGATGGAGGAGTGGTTGTTTCTAATTCTATCAATCAGGTCAATACATTCTCTAGCCATCAAGGTCAAAGCACAAGCATGAGCTCGAGCAATGGTAAATCTGGCTCGAATGGCGGATCGGTCGTACATGTTCCCGTCTCTCTGGTTTTGGCCGTGATCGGAGCAGTTGCTATTGGTGCATTCTAATGAATTTTCGAATGATTTTTATACGATGATGTCAGTATTTGCCACTTCATAATAGTCATACTCTATCAATGACATAATTTGACCAGTATCATGATCTCTGTTCTGTAGATGATGAGTTATAAGAGGAGAAGAAGTTGTCAAATGAATGCTGTTTCATATATGCCCCCCTTTCTTGTTGTCGCGTTACGCGTGTGTACAGTAGCGCGTTCAACCAACTCGACAGCAGCACAGCCAAAAAGCTTAATTTTTATTCCTTGTTAGGCAGGCGTAAATAGGAAAATGGGGGCGTAATAGGGAGAGAAAGAAGTGAAAGCCTTTGAGAGAGAGTGCAACACTTCTTGCTGTCATCATCATCACCTTTTTGATATACACTCACAGCACAAGACAACACAACCTCGCAGAGATGTCATCTTGGAATCCCTTTGGCTCGTCAGCCCAGACGGGCGCTTCTGGAGGTTCGGGACCATGGATGAACATTGAAACTTCACAAGTACGTGCAGCAGCAACGGGAGATTTGACGGGAGAACCAAGTGCATTTGAAACGTTTGGATTCAAATTTAGTAGACAAGAAAGATTGACTGGCTTTATTGCTTGTTTGGGTATTGGGTTTGTGTTGTCAATTGTTGGAACGATTATGCTCTTTATCGGTCTTACGAGCGTGTTTGCTGTGCTGTATTCGTTTGGAATTCTCATCTCTCTAATAGGGACTGGATTCTTGGTTGGTTTCTTTAGGCAATTGAAGCTGATGTTCAAGCCGGTTCGTATTGTGGCAACGCTGATCTTGATAGGTGCTTTCGTACTAGTATGGGTATTCGCTTTCGTCGTCAAGATTGCCGTCTTGGCACTAATATGCGTCGTCGTTCTTTATTTGGCATACATGTGGTACACGCTATCCTATATACCCTTCGCAAGAGACTTCGTCAAACGTATTTTCAGCCGATTCATCTGATCGAGGATCATCAAAAATGAACATCTAGATTTCGGTTCGATGTTTGTAACGTATATATACAAACTCTATGAAGCAGGATCGCGCTGGCGCCAAAAAATGTATTATAGTACAATGGATCTTGATTAGCACAACCATTTGGAGTCAATTGTGAAAGTGGAATCAAAGAGATGCAGAAGGAGCACTTTTTAACGGATGCCAAACGACAAAGCCACCTTGACCCAAATCTTTTGCCTCTACTTCACCTGCTCGTTCATCGCGGACAGGCATGCCCAAATCGGATTTATCGAAGCGATCAATGAATTGCAACCTGGACGCTCTGCTGAATACGGACAGCGTTTCTGCAGCTTGTGGTGCTTCGACTCCGGCGGCAGGCTTGAAGAATCGCGGCATGAGGAATGGGAAATCGCTGAAATCGGTATGTTTCGTTTTGGCTGTTGGGGTGGGGGGAAGAAGGCAATGTTAGCAAAATGGTGTGAAAGATGGCTTTCGTAAATGCAAACTCACTTATGGTCGCCAACCAGCCACGACCGGTTTGCTCGTTGGATTCATTCACCAGCTCTCGTAACCATCCGAAATGCTTTCGCCAGATGGTAAATCCTTCCGAATTGATGACGTACAATGGACGCTTTAACGGAGCACCTTCGCCAGCTTTTGGGATTGCTTCGAGCCACTGCAAGAGGACATGTGTGTCAGTTTTAGTCTCATCTACCTACTAAGGATGCACCACTCACAGGATCAAGAACAACAGCATGTGTAAATGGAGCTTTTTCGTCACGCAAAATCTCAATACTAGTCGCTCCTCCATACGAATGTCCTAATGCCCAAACGTTTTCCATGTCCAACCTTGATTTCCATTGTGATAATTTAGCTTGTTCGTTATCAAACGATCGTGTGCTGTCCTGTGCTAGTTGATCGCCATTACCTTCATTAAGTTGATGTAAGACATCTAAAGCTTCTAGCATTTCTATTTTACGTAGATTTACTTGAGATTTTCGCATATCCCAAACTGTTGTTTCTTCTCCGTTTTCTTTCTGATCGAATTCTAAATCGTCGAATTTCGTATAAAGTCTATCTTGTTCTATTATCTTTCCGTCGTCGTCTTTCTTTTTAACTTGTGTGTACGTTGCACTTCCATCTCTATGTTCTACCGAAGCAATGATCATACCATGACTTGCCAATTCTGACAAGTAAGACGAATATGTCGTTCGTGTACCTGCCATTCCATGACTGAACACGCCTACAGGGAACAAATCCGTATTTGGCTTGGCTGAAGGTGGCGCTGTATCTGCAGGCGATTCAATTTCCTGGTGGTCTGGAGTGAGAAGCGAGGGCGATTCTGTCGCTACAGGTCCGTCTGAGCCATAAGGAAGCTTTGCTTGGAATGGTAGGATGAATACGGCCGGATAGGCTAGATACCTTGATAGGTTTCCATACCTTAAAAGTCCTTCGATACTTTTCAGTCGAGGTCTGCAGAAGTGAGAGAGGGGGGAATCGGTCAGCTACAGTATAGTGTGATTATACACAATCTTATACATACTCATTAAGCCAGCTGAGAGGCTTTCCTAAGGCGGGCGAGGATAGCTTATCGCTCTTAACGCCTTCTTTCAAAGCAGTAGGATAAAAGAGTGTCACTAATGTTGTTTGAAACCCAAACGGGTCCACTTTGGATGGATCATTTTTATAACGAAAAGGTGATCTGATCAAATTCTTGGCAAACTTTCCTCCAGGAATTTCTAGGGTGAGAGTGGAAACAGCATAAGGTCCTTTTGGTGGCAAAAGAGACATTTTTGAAATGATGATCGTTGCAAGATAACTCTTGCAATTCCTCCACCGAATGAGAATAAATAGAGAAAAAAAGGCTCGGAACCGGTTAATAAATTAATAAGCGTGTTGCTATTTAACCGAGTTCCGATAATTCGGGAATTGATTACGCAAGCTTGTTGTGTACTTCTTTTCCTATCAATTGAATGACTGTCATGCAATATCGATTGATCATTACGGCAATCAAGTATAGATATATACATGTGGCTTCTTGATTAGGGACCACAAAATTAAGCTTTTTGAATGCAAAGTATTGAATCGCGCTGTAATAGTATTAGAATATCTGCATTGAAGCGTCCCTATAATCAACTATTTTTATAAAAAGTGCTACTAACAAAGGATAGAATCGACTATATATTGATTGTTTGCATAACGCTAAAAACTGAATCAAAACGGGAAATTAAAAAAGTAAAAGTGCAGTAATCCATGTATAGAACAAGAGCTGGGTGTAAATGTCACATCGGTAGGTTTTGTTGTTGTTTAGCGTATATTTGTTTTGTGATACAATTGTTAAACAACGCTAATTGCGTGCGTGTGTGCAATGCATCATGTCTCTCGTTTTTTATAATATATTATTAAGGCGCGGGCGCATGCATATTGAGTAGGATCTTGAAATCTTAATTTTTAAAAAGGCACAAGCTCACTCATCCGTTCCAACACACAGTGTGCATTTACCCGTTGTCTTTTTCTCTCTTTCTCACATAACTTCTCCGTCACATTTAATGCTGTCAACCTCTTAATCCTCTTCGTCATAATTCCATGACCGCCAAGTGATTGACCATCATTTCGGATCTTCTTGGCGGGCTTAGAAATTGTGAATTCTTTTTATAAGGCACAGGATCGGGGCATTGAATTCGACAAATTAAGGATATTATACGGGTGCTATCCCTTTCGCAAATCTACGCCGAATTATATCAAAACTTCATCCGCATTCAATCTTACTAGCTGGCTAGTGATCTTCTTTTCCAAAGAAGTATTCCAACACAATCAAACAGGACTCCATCCTGTCTACGAAGATAACATAAGCTGGAACGATAAAGTGGCTGCGATATACCTCATGCATTGTTACGAGCACGACTTTATTCATTCAGCTTGACGAATTCCATCATGAAGGATCCTTCAGGCTCGACAGGTAGACCTCTGCGGGAGCCAAGAAGTACGTTAAGCTTGCGAAATATATCTTCGCCCAGTCTTGTACCTTTCGACGCTTCATCTTCAAAGCCTGCAGCCGGAGCTGATGCATTTGACGTGATCGTTCAGGCCTCCAATCCTTCGCATCCTCAACATGCTGCTTGGGTTGAACGATATGGAGGGAGCATTCGAAATACTCGCAAAAGCCTTGATGGATCATCTACCTCCTACCAAGCTGCGCAATCGTCTACTTCACGACCTCCATCATTGCGAAGAAGCAGATCAAAAACCGCATCCAAAGTTGGCACTTCTCACACTTCAACAACTCCTAACGCCAAATCAAGACCTGCTCTGAACGATGTAATGATGGTACCTGATGCAAGTGTGTGGACGCTTTTGGCCAATCAAGGTGAGGCGACGGCTGAGTCTGAGCGATCACAGAATAGACGTCAAGCATCAGCCCTAGAGAAAAGTGCCGACGAGGCGAATGTCAACAAATCACACCGAGAAGGAAGTGGAAGGATACGAACATCGTCCCAAGATATCAGATCTGATGCGACAGTAGGTGCTTCCTCTGTCAAGACTTCCGCAACCGAACGGGGCCAGAGAAGAAAGCGAAAGAAGGAAAAAGGCAAAGGAAGGGCTGCCGCTCCACCAGTACCGCCTCCACGAACTACGAGTCATGCAGCATATCATGAGCAGGCGCAAGATGCTCTTTCTCCGAACGGTGGTGAAGGAGAGGCAAGTACATCTCCTACATCTCTTCCATATCTTTCTAAAGCTTCTTTCGATGCCAGCACCAGTCCGATCAATCTTTCACCAAGACTGGCAGATGACGCTCGCTTACGTCATGGAAACGATCGAATGGGTAGTATCGATGAGCGTAGAGTGGGTATTCAATCGCCATCGCTTCTATCGCCAATGTCTGCCAGTGCTTTCCCGCTGAGACAATCATCAGTAGATCCGGAACTACCTCAAGGCAGTCCAGCTTCGACAGCTTCTTCACCACCACCTACCCGTACGATGTTTGGCAACCTTACACATAGCTTGCCAGGCAGACGATCGGTTGATTTTCGTCTACCCGATGATGATGTGATGAAACTAAGGCAAGAGAGTGCCAAAACTCCACGAAAAGGTTTGAATGCAATCTTTTCTCCTCTTCGTGGTGCAGTAGCGGCGAGAAGGGCGGACAAACAAGCAGCAGCAGCAGCTCCTTTGCAATCGGAAGCCAAGAAGCCCTTACCTATCCTACGAGTTGCAACTCCGCCCCGTGCTTCTGTTGACATTCCGCAAAGAGCCGCACCTGTTCCACCGCCCCGTGCTTCGATTGACATTCTGCAAAGAACCGCACCTGTTCCGCCTCCTCGTTCGCCTCTACGTCGCTCGCCAAATATCCCACAGGAAGAGAACGGCCATACTGGTGAGACGCTGGCTGGTCAGGTGCAAGAAAGGAAAGAATCGCCACCAGTATTTGTGATCGGCAAAAATTCCGCACCAAACACACAAGTGACGTCGGGCAGTGGCATATCGCAGACTGCACCTGCAGTAAACGCGATTGTGCATGACGGGACCCCATCTGTTGTGAGATCTCAAGCAAAGGAATCTAGTACACCTTCTATGCAAACGACAAATTCAAGTGACACAACTGCACGATCTCAAAAGACATTTGTCTCGCTTCCCAAAAGTGCTTCACATGGCAGATCGTTCAGTATGGATACAGAAGATGGTCAAGAATTTCATGATGCGGTGAGCGATGAAGGTGGTCTTGGGTCGTCTGATGATGCAATGCCATCAAATACATCAGCAACGAAGAAAAGACGGTCTCGCCATAAAAGTATTGAGGATGTCAATGCTGCTCGTTTACAAGCTAAAGAAGCCGCTTTGAATGAACCACTTCCTGATTCAATCAAGCAAGGCGAAAGTACAGAATTTGACTTGAACGCTAGACATCGACGTGATAGCAGTGCTTCAGATGATATGATACCCCCAGCAAGTCGCAAGAATTCTCTAAGGCGAAAGGTAAGCAAAAAGCAAATTAAAACTCCTGCGACCAAGAAAGACGTGATTACATCGCCAATGCCAAATTCTCCTAGAGTTGAGCAACCGGACGACAGAGCGAACAAGCATCAATCACACAGACAGTCTGCTGCCACTATCACTAATTCAAATTCATCGAAAAAGGAAGCAGGGGCAGGTGTGGGAGAGCTTGATGGAAGGAGAAAGACCGTCACTCAATCTTCTGTGGATGAGGGAATCAGTCAGCCTTTCGTAAGCATTGACAGTGAGCAAGCGGTACCAAAAGAATTGCCGGAGATTCCAAATGCAGAATTCACTCCTACGCCAACAAGTCTGGAAAACGGGTTTCAGCAGCTCAATCTCGGCTTTTCAAAATCACAAAGTTCGCGTGATATTGCTGAGAGCTATAGAGCCTCTCATCGTAAAGCTGCAGAAAAGGCTAGTATAGACTACAAGCAACTTCCTCTGCCACCACCACCGCCTCCGTCATTGCCAAGTTCGCCAGTAGATGAAACTCTCAAGAGACAGATTGCACATCAAAGATCGTATTCTCGCATGATGAATCAGAGCCAATCCAGTAGCAACACCGGGAAGATCTCCGGTGTCTTTTCTAGAATGCGAAAGGACAAGACCCCAAGTTTCTCACATTTTCCTGGGTCTGATTCGCATAGCACATCGCTCAGTGGTAGCACATCACAGCTGAACCTCATTTCGCCCAGTCAATCCCCGGTACAGGATGATCGTAATAGTGGTGTTGGTTTGGGAATTGATACTGTATCAATGCAAAGTAGCAAAGGTACAAATACGTCCGATCAGCACTTTCCAAGCTCTCCATCTCCACAACAGCCAGTACGCTCACCTTCTGGTGAAAGTGGTTGGCGTAATCGTTTACCATCATTCTCAGCAAGTAGGGCTGCCAAAGCGCAAAAAGGCGAAAAGGGTAGAACCGACTCCAATCAACAGCAGCCGCCAGCGCCTCCACCTATTCCACGACAGCCATCGAGCAGCCAAATGCAGCGTCAACAGCTGCTATATGAAGCAGTGGCTCACAGTATGAGCGATAATTCGATGGTGCAAAAGACTGTTCCTCCTTCACCTACAATTCACAAGACTTTGAGTCCTGCTTTATTGAGGGAGGAAAGACATGAAGCTGATGAGGTTGGCAGCTTCATTGGATCGGAAGAGGCAGAAGAGGAACGTTTGGCGGATAGTAGACGAGGCACATGGAACTCTTTCAGTAATTTTGAGTTGGCACCCAACAAAGTATACGATGCCAGTGGTGAAATGAGCAATTCTTCTCAGCCACCAACGATTGACATTCAAGGTCCTTCGATACCCAAATCGAATACCACTCCTTCAAATCTGACTTCAGGATCCTTCTCTTCTCCAATCACGCCTCAAATCAATGAACCACCAAACTCTCGCTTGAGAGCGTCTAGGTCATTCTCACCCGATTTCATGAATCTTTCAATGACAGCTCGACGTCTGTCTCGCTCATCTTCCAATCCAAAGTTTCAAATGGTACCTCAAGCACTAGATTTATCGCCCGGGAAAGCCAACAATCTTCGTAGACACGAATCGCCTTCTGATGGCATGGAGTTTGAGCCTTACGATGATCGCACATCGCCTTTCTTGGGCAATAGCCCTGCCATTCACGACAATAATGGAAAAGAAGCCATCGGTTCTCTGTCTTTTCCTTCAAGTCCTGGTCAATTGTCAATTGGTGGAAATGGAAATGAGTCAAAGAGAAATCGCAATTTGAGTATTGGAAGTACACTGCTGGGCAATATCACAGGCGGCGGAAATAACAACGGCAATCCTTCCAATACCATCAAGCCAAGGTCGAGTTTTGCAATGGACAGAGATCGATCGCCAGTTGTAAATCAAGCCTGGGCAGATTTACCGCCTAGCCCTTCGCCTAGATCATCAGCTGTACGAAAATTCTTCGCTTCTGCTGCAAAGAGCCCTTTACGTCCTGGAAAGATTCGAACGACTTCCATCAATACGCTCATGTCTCCTGGAAGACCTTCTTTCCAAGCAGGAAGTCCGAATGATGTTGCATTCCCAGTCTCTCCTGCTTTGCCTTCTGGACAAAGTTCAATGTTTGCTGATGTATGGAAACAAGAGAGTCCAAGTCCCAGAACGAATGGGAATGCGCATGCTGGAATGCCGAGCGGATCAAGCTTTAATAGCACTTCAGGCTATCCTTTGACTCAATCTGCTTCTACATCCTCGTTGCAACAAGTATCTCAAGACTATTCTTCGCAAAGCAGTAGTCCGATCGCCCAATTAAGACAAGTAGGTATACCCCGTGGAATGCCATCGCAAAGTTTGCATTCTTCCACTTCTCTTAACGATAGCCTTCATAAAGAATGGATTGCGCATAATGGATCTTCTTCTGCTTTGAATGGAGGTGGTACAGGAGGATCTTCAATAAATGCCGAAAGTATTTATAGCAATCAATCTTCACGAAATATCACTTCACAAAGGATGATTGATTCATCACAACCTCAAATACAAGCAACAAACGAAGCTGACCTTCAAGCATTTGGCAGAATGTTACGTGAAAGTGCAAAAGAAGACGCTCAACGTGTTCGTCAAATCGCCAAAAGAAGTGTTTCGGCAAATAATACCCCTCGTTTACCATGATCTTTTTATTCTATCAAAACTTTGTACTTTTTTTCATCTCCCTTTTGTGAATTATCGAAGAAAAAATGCTATGGAAAAGGATCACGATTTTTTACTCATTGTGATGGCATTGCATTAAACCTGTTATATTAAAGATTGAATAGTTGATACAAAAAGCAAGGACCGCTTCGCATTGAAGTAAAAATGACATAAAAAATGCAGCGAAAGAGTGAATCTAGAAATATAAGTGAAGTTTTGCTCCTTGAATAAAATTCGATAAATGTAAAGGTACAGTGGAAAGTGAGAAACGCAAAGGGGTATATCGAACTTTCTCTTTGGCTCTTAGTGACCGTTTCTACGTCCAGCTTTGAAGCTCACTCCAACGTCATCGTCATCGATTCCCGAAACTGAATCACTTGCCTGAGATGATGATACCATACTGTGTCCTCTTAGCATGGCAGGTGCAGAAGGTTTGCGCATCTGAACGCTTTCATCTGTAGATGTTCCTTGTTGCTTTGATTGCGAATCGAGTTCACCTCTTTCTCCCTCATAATCGTGTGAAATCTCATCCGCATCGGCGAATCGATCATCGGACATGATTGTTAGATCTCCAGGTGCTACCTCTGGACCAGGAACGTATGAATGCGTAGCAGTGCCATTAGGCATCCGAATCGTTTTGTTTTGGTCAACCGTATCCACCTCGCCCGCTCGACGCAAGGAAGAGAGATCTTGCGTTTCAAGTGGGAGACCATGACCGAGAGAAGAATTATTTTCTGTAAGGGAACGCTCAAGGTTTGGTCTTCCATCCTTGGCGCCAGGTAATTGGAATCTGCCTTTGAAAGGAGGTTTGAAAACATTATAACCGCCTTCTACAGAGGGTGTTGGACTTTCATGCGTACGTGTGTTCTTTGTCTCGCTTGCAGATGAGCTATCGTGCTGATCAACGACATTGTCCATCTTCCAGCCATCACTTGTGCCGTGCCAAATTGGGCCAGCTAAATCACCCTTGCTTGACTCTCTTCGATGGATATCTGAATCATCATCAGAGATGTCCCAATCTACATCGTAATCGTCCACATCAATCGCTTTGGGAGTTCCACGTCCAGAATTGGCATTTTGCGTTTGCTTCTGCTTTTGACTACTTTCGTTTGATTGTGATGCGTTCGTAATGGATTGCTGCGATACCTTCTCGCCTGCTAATGGAGGCGGTGAGACAACTTCAATGCCAGCTTTTGTGACCGCGCCCTCACTGGCTGTCCGTTGCTCTTGCTGCAGCATTTTGATACTCTTGTCTAGCGAAGGAGATACAGCAGCGCTATTGACTGCCGTTTGTGGTCGTGAACGGAAACGACTGTGCTTGATTCCATCTTCACCAACGCCATTGTGATGACCGCCAGGCCAAACATGTCGGAAAACTTCACTCAGTCTCGATCTACTTCGTGGTCTTGATGGACCTTGACTGGAAGATGCTGTACTGCCCGAAAAGTTACGTTCACGCATATGATTTGCGCCTTTTTCGTTGGACAAATTACTCAAAGCATCCATGCTTTTGTGTGGTTGATGTAAAATGCTAAAAGGTTCAAACCCACGTAAACTTCCACGACTTGCCGGTCGCATTTTTGAACCACCTTTACGGGATCGCATCGTTGCTTCGTGACCAGAAATAGGGAGGAGGACCTCACTTTCTCCTTCTGCTGGTTCCCCACTTACGATTGGAGACAAAGCACTCAAAGACTGTCCTGAATCTTCATGTCGCTTTGAGGGCTTCTTTTGAATCGATTGCGATCGTCCAATATCGGGGTTGATTTTGACAAACTCCTTGTCAGCAAGATGACTTGATCGTTCAAACGTATCTATATTTGTGGGAGAATGTGATCGAGATCCTGGCTGACTGTACGAATTTCCAAAAATACGGCTGCTCTTCCTTTCTGCAGATTTGGTCAAAAGCGGTTTGTTACCGTCCAAGGCAACTGAACGACGACGTGAGAAAAAGTGGTGCGGTCTACCTGAAGAAGGCGCCAGAGGTGGATGGGAATTCGGTCCAACATGACCAGCTTTAGACAATGTACTTTCTCTACTTTGCAAAGTACTTTGTGGAGATGCATGTGAGCTGTTGGCCATAATTAGTTGAATATCAGGACGAGCATGAGAAGCTGATTTACTCCTTCTCCTCTTGCTTCCACTCGATGCACCTGTACCTCCATTGAAATTTCTTTGCTTTTCATTTTCTCGTTCATGTGCATGACCGGTAAAGCCAGACCAAAATTTGTTTTGCAATCTCTTGAGTGTTTGCTTGAACTTATTGAAGCCTGTCAAAGCTGTTTCGACATCTTCATGTGTAACCTCAACGAATGGTAAATGACTCGGATCTGTCTCGCTTAGCCACAAAGGTGGATTCTCCAAATCCCGCGTTAGCCAAGGATGTTTCTTCACTTCGTCCAACTTGATTCGCTTTGAAGGATCTTTCTCCAATAGTCTGTCCAGAAGATCGCGCACCATCAGTGCCTCTTCACTCAGTGTGTTAACATCAACATCTGCTTCTTTTGTATTCTCGTGCATTTCGTCCACATCTCCCTCTTCGTCCGTCCAAGGCTGTTGATAAATCCATCTCTTCCTTCGCGGTCCAATCTGTATACGATCTGCTCCCATATGAGCTGGCAACTCATAGTCTTCTCTTGTGATGACTGAAAATAATGCGAATTCGTTATCGGCAGTGAAGGGAACATGACCGAACAATAGACAATACAATGTCACACCTAAAGCCCATACATCGATTGCTTTCGTGATTGGTGGCCGAGATCGATTTTGGATTGAAGTATTATCTTCTTCTTTCGGTGTCGAAGCTTGATCTTTCTCTGTGTGCCGAATTGTGCCCGTTTGTGCAGAAGGCGCTTCACCCGCCAAACAGAGCTCAGGAGCAAAGAATGCGGGACTTCCAGCAGTCTTGGCCAATTCACGATCATCAGCTAGGCTGGGATCCTTTTGTTTTTCTGTATCGCTATCCATACTGGGTAATCCACCATTTGCAACCAAGAGAGCATAGCTGAAATGCGAGACACCAAAGTCTGAAATTTTGACCTTTTGGTCTTTATCGAGTAATAGATTGGCAGGCTTTATATCTCTGTGGATGATGCCCTGATAATGTAGATACTCCAAACCTAACACAATATCTCGCAGAGTCCTCCTTGCCTCATCTACAGTCAATGTCGGGAAACCTCTTTCATCTTTCCATTGGACCTCGCCGCCTTCCATGTATTCCAGAACCATGAACACCTTCTTGCTTGCAGGATCATCAATTACCTCCTTCAAACGCACAATATTCTCGTGAGCCAACTTCTTCATAATTGCGATTTCACGCTTGACCTTTTGATCTGTCGTCCACAGCAGCCGCTTACGCTCCTTCTCACGTTGTCTTTCTAGCTCTTGATCACGACTTGGAGCACCTTCACCCCATCTGCCGTATCTTGCAGCCATTTGAGCAGCTTGATATTTGCTCAAGCTGCTACCAGGGGAAAGGGGTGGAGTAGGTGCAAATCGTGTAGTACTTTGACGAGTTGCATTTTCCGATTCTGTATGATAAGCAGTATCCACGGCCACAACTGCATTTCCTTCTGATCGCTTCGTATCTACTTCTTTTCCTATCGCAGAACTAGCGCCAGTTTGAGTGGATTTATTGCTGCTCAACCTATTTGACCATGCATTCGAATTATGACCTAATCGCTTCTTTCCTTCTCGCTCGACAATCTTTACAGCAACTTTTTCACCAGTCTCTGTATCTCGTGCCAAACGTACTTTTCCATGAACACCTCTTCCAAGTTCATCCTCAATCACGTATTGGTTAATCATTCGCCTTCCACTTGGCCCATGCGTCTGTAAGTGTAAGTGGCTCGTCTCCAATACCACCGGCTTTGAACGAGTGGAAGATGAGGTTGCAGTCAAAAGAGGTGTAGATTTTCCAGACGTGCCGGGAGTACTCATCCGACTTGCTGAAGCCGTTGATGGACCGCCAGATTCGACCGGACGAATCGATTGACGTTGCATTGTCGTGCGATCTGGCCCAGCAGATATGCTCTTGTCCATCAGCAAAGCACTACCCGTAGCTGATGGTCTTCGAGAAGAGGGTTGAGTGACAGAAGGCCGTACAGGTTTTTTGCCCGCAATCGATTCATCCAGCGCAGATGATAATGCACTGTCGTTGCCATATCTTGACCCAGTCTTTGAAGCTTGAGCGATAAGAGCAGCTGCCACAGATGGTGACCGTAGCATATCATGCGGTAGAGGAGAGCTCGAATACTGTGCAGCACCATGATGACTTGGATCGTCTGAAGCGGCGAATGCAGAAAAGAAGCCTTTTGCTGGGCCGCCGCTGCTGGAGTTCTTTCTAGAAGGTGCCGGTGAAGGATCTCTGGAAGAAAGATGTGCCAGCTTTTCGCTCAATCCGCTCAAGCCTAAGTTTGGACTTGTGAGAATTGGAGATGGAACTTCGGCAAGGCTGAATTCGTTGCCTACTTCTGTCCTTCTAGCTTCTGATAAACTTTCGTTCTCTTCCCCATTTAGCTCAGCTGGATTAGAGCTATGATTGGATGAAGTTGCCGTTGCACCATCGGTAGATCGTGTTCGTATGAGGGGCCTTTCATTTGATCCTGATGCAAGAGTGGAAATTGTGAGCTGAGGTGGTGCAAGGTGTTGTTGTGGTTGTTGTGTAGTCAAGAGGGGAGCACCATACGTAGCCGGTGAACTTGTTTCTTCTCCTTCAAAAGAGTTTTCCATAGAGTTGTCGTCATCGTCGTCATCATGTTCTGCGTATTTATCCTTTATTTGCCTTCCCAGCAAATCGAAAGAAGTTCGGGTTGACATTATTGTTTGTATATTTTTTGCAACCCTTCCTCTTACGGAATGAAATTGAAAATTGTCACCATTGGAGATTGCTGATCACGCGCAATGTTGCGCGTTTATTGCGACTGCATCAAGAAAGGTCAATAGCCAGGAGGTTTCTTGTGCTATGTTTTGAGTTGTGATGCTTTGAAGGGAAGATTGTCTATGGTGGTAATGATGATGATGACAATAGATTACTATCTTCTACCGTACACGAGCGGAATTACAAATAATAAGCGCCTCACGAAGTTCACGGGCACTTTAGCAGTATGATTGTACGCGTCTGTGCAGTGCTTACAGTGTATGTAGGGTTTCTCACGATGCATTAGTCTATCAAATACAGTAGTACTTTGCGTTCCATTCAATGGGCAAGATAAGTGTTCCTACTTGACAATGATGAAATGGTTTCACATTATGATATAGCAGATTAGACAACGGACTCTACATCTGTCACATTGCTCCTTTTACTTGGATATGACACAAAAGTCATGCATACACACAAGCCATACATGATGCGCATACACGCACGTACGCTGGTGGTGGTGTTGTGTGTCAGGGTTATTGAAATTGAGAAACACGCGTGATGTGCACAGACAATAAAAAAGGAGAAGGGGTGGTGGCAGTGTAACAGTGTACACAAGCGTGTATATGTTAATTGCTCGTGAGAAGAGGGTGCGCTCCTGTTACCGATCCTCTTTACCATCATCATCATCAAAAACGACTTCAACCACACTCTTTTTTCTCTATAAAACATGGCTGATAGCGCTGATGTCGGTAAAGCTGTTCCAACTGAACAACGTCAAGGTTGGGGTCAATTCTTGAAATCAATCGCTTCATTTTCGGGGGATTTATCAAGTTTAACCGCTCCTTCTTTCATCCTTTCTCCCGTCAGTTTAACCGAATATCCATCTTATTGGGGTGAACATCCTGATCTATTCGCAGCTTGTGCTACCGGCAAAGATGATGTAGAACAAATGGTTAATGTCTTACGCTGGTTCATCGGTACACTCAAAGGTCAATATACTGCCCGTAACACCAGCATGGGAAGCGAGAAAAAACCTCTCAATCCAATCTTGGGTGAATTATTCCTTGGATCATGGCCCGATAAGAATGGACGTGGTGAAACAAACTTGGTTTCCGAACAAGTATCCCATCACCCTCCAATCACTGCCTACAGTCTCATCAATGAGAAGGCAAAAGTTACCTTGGAAGGTCACAGCGGGCAAAAGACTTCTTTCAGCGGTGGCAGTATCAACGTCAAGCAGGTAGGACATGCAGTCTTGCGTGTGCCAAGCGCTGATGGCAAAGGCGAAACGCTTTACCTCATCACTTTGCCTCACTTACAAATCGAAGGTCTCATCTGGGGATCTCCATACATTGAATTGGGTGGTACAAGTCACATTTGCTCCTCTTCTGGATACCTCGCCACGATCAACTACAGTGGAAAGGGATACTTCTCCGGTAAGCCACACAGCTTCAAGGCAACCATCTCACCTTCAAGTAAAGCCTCGCATCCTATGTACTCCATCGAAGGTGATTGGAGCGGTTCCTCAAAGTTCAAAGGATCTAGCCCTGAAGGTGGAAAGGATGCTGCCTTCTGGGATGCATCTTCTGACCGGGAAGAGGTTAGCGTTAAGCCGATCGAAGAACAACAACCGATGGAAAGTCGAAAAGTATGGCAAAAAACTGCAGAAGGTATTAAAACGCAAAATTATGATGCAGCAAGCAAGGATAAGAGTAGAATAGAAAACGAACAGCGACAAAAACGTAAAGATGAACAAGCAAAAGGAACGCCTCATCAGTTAGAATACTTTGTACATGTAGACGATGACAAAGAATATGCCGACCTTGCGGCTAAATTTGGTGGACATCCAGCACATGAAGAAGCATTCAGACGCAAGCCAAGGGTACACTGATGCTAACAAAGTATGTACTCATTCTATCTCCTTTTTTTCCTGGATCTGGAAATGGCATTGCTCTATTATAATACATCACTCTTTTAAATCAAAACAGATAAAGTACATTTCGCTACTTTCTGAGCGACTAGCAGCGACCTTTTTGTTGACTATGCGTGAAAAATTTGGTTGCAAATATTGTTTCTTGAATTCTTGAGCATCGGGTCCTTCGAAGTACTTCATGATGAGTACAGAAGAGTCATTCTCTGAGCTTTTCGTGTCAGAGCGTTTAAGCATAGACTTTGCAAAAGAGAAAGCAGAATGAATCAGATCTAGCGATGCAACGCTATCACGTATCGGGTTTCCGGACGTATTGGCCATCATATCGCTCATGATCACGTCCACTTTCCGTTCTCCGCCTTTCCCGATGATTTCCTCTAGCTTTGTCTGTATTTCTGAAGATCGGAAATCCCCTTGTAGAGCAGTCAAACGAGCATTCGTACGACTGGCCTGTTGCTGTATAGAAGAATGTAACGGCAACAAGTCCAATGCGAATACATGTTCACATCCTGCTCGTAAGGCTACTTGAGTCCATCCTCCCGGTGAAGCGCCCAAGTCAACCACAATCTTACCTTTTCCCAAGAAACGATAGGCTTTGTTCAATTGTTCTAGCTTGAATGCAGATCGAGAGACATATTGTGTGCCGTGATCATTGCCTGATGTATTCCTCGCTTTGACAAACTGTGAGTGGAGGAGAGGGGAGGGTTAGATCGATGCCATTTTGAATGTATCGTTGATCTCACTTACAGGATCACGTTTCTGTCTGGCAAGGTATCGAGACGAAGATGCAGCTTTTGAGGATGTATGGCGTACAAAGGTGTGAAGAAAATGAGCCGAACATGCTGCTCTGCTTTTGTGCTCATAGATCGTACTTGATTGTATCGACCATGCTGTTCTCCACATAAGGAATACTAGAAGATGATGATAGTAAGTGGATGAAATAGCGCGACTGATTCTGGTCGCAACTAGTGCACACTTCTTTGAACGTCACAATGATAATGTGTATATTGGTATGATTACAGAAATACAGTAGAATGATTTGTCGAATAGGTAGTACAATATATGCACCCGTTCACATGGTCACATCCATGTTCTCATTCCCATCAGCTTCGCCATCCCAGATCTCACAGTCCACATCATGAATCCAAGAAAAGTCTTCATCTTGCAATCCCGCACCAATCGTCATCAACGGTCTACTTGCTTGACTTTGAGCGTGTTCATACATTTCGCATAATTCTTCATCTTCATCTACCATATCTGGAGGTGGTTCCATTGTTTGTTCGTGCTCGATTTGATCCTCCCTTCGCATCTCTTCTTCCAGCCAAGCCACTTCATCAGGACCAAGCCAACCTACTTCCAGACTTCCTTGCTCTTCTTGCTCCTTCAGCATACGTCGATATTCCGCTGTCATTATACGACGGATAGCCTAAAGATAAAAAAGAGTGTGGTCAGTTCGAAGTTCGTATGATCAAGACCGCATATATGCAGTTTATACTAACCTCTTCTTCCTCATTCATCTGATCAATTTCTGTTCCATCGCCACGATCCGAGCTCAAGGATGGCTCTGTCCCATACGTTGTATAGCCATCTGTGTCTGAATTAGGCGCTGAGCTACCTGATTCGCGCGATCTTTGAAGTTTTCGTTCTCGATCTCTATTTCGATCTCTAGCCATAGCTTCTTGACATTTTTGACGAAACTGTTGTCGCATCAGACGAGCATTATGGTTTGTGCCGTTGTTGCTGCTACTGCTCTCTTTTGCATTCATACGATCTCCGCCGCCACCGAATGGATTAATGTGAGGTCCACTCCTTCTTGAATGTGATCTTGCTGAGTGCATGCTTGACGTGGAAGGTGAATGGTTGGTCACAAAATTGCTAGAAGACGCGAACATATTGACTGGGACGTTTCCCCCTGTCATTGGGATACTAGATGAGCTGGCCATCATCAATGCGTTACTTGACTAGAACCAGTTCTGATCATTAATCATTTCAGAATGGTGGGAAGTAGTATAGGAAGACGAGATTTGATAGTAGCGGCCACTTTGTGTTCAATATCTGCAAGCTTGCATCCTGTTCAGATGTTCTTTATTGAAAAATGATCGATCCGCTTTGGCTGTTCAGATGAAAGCAGCATTGATTTGAGAGTGAGAGGGTTGAATTGTCTAAACGCATGCATTCAATTGTCACAAGACTGTTGATTATATAATTAGTCGGACTAGAAATTACGCGTGTATATACGCGTAAACGCGTCAATTTGATTGATTCAATCAGTAGAGACATTTCGGCGTGTTGATGTTTTAATGCAAGAATGGAATATGTCAATGTATAGCACACTTTGAAGATATACTGTTGCTTTTCTAACCATCATAATACCCTCCATCAACCCATATTGTCAACATGTCATCAAGACAGAATGGATCGACTTTCGGTCTAACGTCGGGACGAGGAAGGGGAACATTCAAAAGGAGAGGAGGAAGCAATACACACAGCGGAGCACCAAGACCAAAAACGCAAGAACAAAAAGCGGCTATAGCATCCCTACTTACAGGAACATCAAATGAAGCAACCTCCATAGAAGATCGATTCGAAGAAGCCAGACAGCGAGATGAGATCGATGCAAAACTAGGTTTCGAACGGTTAGAGCAAGGTGAATCAAGAGAAGCATGGCTGGTCAACATGCATCCTACCTTGGTACCCGATAATCCATTAGAAGGTCCAGGTCATGCTACAGGTAAAAGTGCAGTAGACTTTTACTTCATTCAAGATGATGCATCGATGTTCAAGATCACCGTACAATTCGCACCCTACATTCTTTTGGGATGCAGACCAAACACAGAAGCACATGTCGAAGAGTGGTTACGTAGGAAATACGAAGGCCTAATCACCAAAGTTTCTCGCGTAGTCAAAGATGATTTAAAGATGGCAAATCATCTTGTCGGACTTACCCGCACATTCGTAAAGATTGAATTTCACAACGTCCAGGACCTGCTAGCGGTACGAAGAGAATTGCTTCCACTCGCCTTAAAGGCACAGAAAACCGCAAGTGCAGTAGAAACGTATGCAGATGTGCTAGAAGATGATGTCGGTGCAAGTGCTGCAATGGTGATCGAAATGGAAGAGGAATTATATGGAGCATCAAGCAGTCGATATAACCAAAGCCGCAATCATGCCAAATCCAAAGCTGCACAAATGAATCCGGAAGATTGCATCAACGATATACGTGAATATGACGTTCCATACTATCTACGTGTGGCAATCGATAATGACATCCGAGTAGGACTGTGGTACACTGTTTCGTTCGATGGAGGTGTGGTTTCCATGGTGGGCGTTCCTAGTCGTGTCAAGCGTGCTGAACCAACTGTTTTAGCCTTCGATATCGAAACGACAAAGTTACCACTCAAATTTCCTGATGCAGCATCAGATTCGATCATGATGATTTCATACATGATAGACGGACAAGGTTATCTGATCACCAATCGTGAAATCGTTAGTGAAGACATTGATGATTTCGAATATTCACCAAAGGAAGAATACGAGGGTCCATTCATCATCTTTAATGAACCAAACGAGATGGCGCTCATTCAACGTTTCTTCTCACATTTCCGTGAGGCAAAGCCAACCGTTGTTGTAACGTACAACGGTGACTCTTTCGATTTCCCATTCGTCGAAACGCGTGCTAATCACCATGGCATCAGCATGCTGAACGAGATTGGATTTGCCAAAGACAACGAAGGTGAATACAAAAGTCGATCGACCGCACATATGGATTGTTTCCGTTGGGTGAAACGTGATTCGTATCTACCACAAGGAAGTCAAGGCCTGAAAGCAGTCACGGTTGCTAAATTAGGCTACGATCCTATGGAATTGGATCCTGAATTGATGACACCATATGCAGTCGAACAACCACAAACGCTAGCACAATATTCCGTTTCCGATGCCGTCGCAACGTATTACCTATACATGAAGTACGTCCATCCTTTCATCTTCAGTTTGTGCAACATTATTCCACTCAATCCGGACGAAGTGTTACGCAAAGGTAGTGGTACTTTGTGTGAAACCCTCTTGATGGTGCAAGCATATCAAGGAAGCATCATCATGCCAAATCGACACACAGATCCAGTAGGAAGCACATATCAAGGTCATCTACTCGAATCAGAAACATACGTTGGAGGACACGTTGAAGCATTGGAAGCTGGTGTTTTCCGAAGCGATATCATGACGGATTTCAAAGTCGACCCTACCGCCTTTGATGAATTGATTGGAGATCTTGACAGCGCATTGAAGTTCAGTATTGAAGTTGAAGGCAAAATGAATGTCAATGATGTCACCAACTTCGATGAGGTCAGGGACGAGATCAAGACGATGCTGGAACATCTGCGCGATAATCCTATTTTGCACGTCGAGCCTTTGATTTACCATTTGGACGTTGCTGCCATGTATCCGAATATCATGTTGTCAAATCGATTACAACCTGATTCGGTAAAGGATGAAGCAGCTTGCGCCGCTTGTGATTTCAACAGGCCAGGAATGAAATGCGACAAAAAGATGGAATGGTCTTGGCGTGGAGAATATTTCCCTGCAAAGAAGGATGAAGTGAATATGATCAGACATGCTTTATCCAAAGAATCTTTCCCGCCTCGTTTTCCTGATGGACCGCGTAGGACATATCACGATCTTGGTATAAACGAACAAGATGCTTTATTGAAAAAGCGTCTTGGTGACTACAGCCGCAAAGTGTACCGCAAAACACACGAAACACGAACTGTGAAACGTGAAACGGTTATCTGTCAACGTGAAAATCCATTCTACATTGACACTGTGAGAGATTTCCGTGATCGAAGATATGAATACAAAGGACTTCACAAGACATGGAAAAAGAATCTCGATAAAGCACAAGGCGGAGGCTCTCTTGCTGAGGTGATGGAAGCCAAAAAAATGATTGTGCTTTACGATTCCCTACAAATGGCACACAAGTGTATTCTGAATTCGTTCTATGGTTATGTGATGCGAAAAGGAGCAAGATGGTACTCTATGGAAATGGCTGGAATCACTTGTTTGACCGGTGCAACGATCATTCAATTGGCCAAAGACTTGGTCGACCGAATTGGACGTCCTTTGGAACTCGATACCGATGGTATTTGGTGTATGCTTCCAGGAAACTTTCCCGAGAATTTCACTTTCAAGACGAAATCCGGCAAGGGGCTTGGTGTATCCTATCCATGCACTATGTTGAATTACCTCGTTCATCAACGATTCACGAATCATCAATACCATGCTCTCATGGATGACAAATCAGGTCGATATGAGATTCGCAGTGAAAATTCAATTTTCTTCGAACTTGATGGACCGTATCGTGCGATGATCTTACCATCCAGTAAGGAAGAAGATAAATTGCTCAAAAAGCGATATGCCGTTTTCAACCATGATGGTTCCTTGGCCGAATTGAAAGGGTTTGAAGTCAAACGAAGAGGAGAGTTGCAACTTATCAAAGATTTCCAAAAACAAATCTTTGAGAAATTCTTACTGGGAAAAACACTTGTCGAATGTTATGATGCCGTTGCTCAAGTGGCCGATCAGTGGCTTGATGTGTTGTTCAGCAGAGGTTCAACATTACACGATGAAGAACTTGTCGACTTGATCGCAGAGAACAAGAGCATGTCCAGAACACTTCAAGAATATGGAAGTCAAAAGTCTACCGCAATCACAACCGCTAAGCGATTGGCCGAGTTCCTTGGTGCTGAAATGGTGAAAGATAAAGGATTGGCCTGTAAGTTTATCATTTCCGAAAAGCCTCACGGTGCACCAGTCACCGAACGTGCTGTTCCGGTTGCCATCTTTAATGCTGAGCCAAGCATCAAGCAGTATTATTTGCGAAGGTTCTTACGTGACAGTTCTTTGAACAACTTTGATCTTCGGTCAATCTTGGATTGGAATTATTATATCGATCGATTTGGCAGTGTTATTCAAAAATTGATCACAATCCCAGCTGCTATGCAAAAGGTAAAGAATCCCGTTCCACGTATCCGACATCCTGATTGGTTGTTCAAACGAGTTGCCGCAGGAGATGACAGACTCAAACAACGTAAGCTGACAGAGATGTTCAAGCCGGGATCGGAAAAGCCTGCTTTCAGTCGTCCACCGCCTGAGCTGATTATCAAAAAGGCTGCTAACGGTCGTATTGCTCAAGTTGAAGTAGTTGAGGACATTCCTATTCCCGATATGAATGTTGATTACCCCGGCTGGATCAAGGGAATGAAGAGCAAGTGGCGCAAGATGCGAAAAGAACGCAAAGCAAACAAAGGTCAAGGCCGCCTAACTGGTCGTAAAGATGGTTCGATGGTATCATCAATGCTTCACAAGCGATCTCAAAATATGGCAGTAGCTGTTTGGGATCTGGTACAAGTTTGCCCTACCACTAGACAAGGTGAATATCGTTTATGGATCTCAGTTGATAGTCGTTTGCAAAGTTTCAAAGTTCGTATTCCCCGCGTTTTCTACATTCATTTTAAATCCGTTCCACGTCCTGGCACATTCAACGATGCTTATTTGGTTGAAAATGTTGTTCGGACATTACCGCGAGGAAAGCCTTGTCGTCACTTGTACAAGGTCACAGTCTCGGAAGAGTTGTTCCTTGATGAAGAACCTCACTTTTCATCTTTGATCAATCATCCAAACGTTGATGCAGTTTACGAAATGCAAGTTCCGCTTTATATGCGTGCTTTGATTCAACTTGGAAATTCATGCTCACTCAAGACTTCAAGTCGTGCCAAGTTCAGTCGTGCATTGGATTTCGGTTTTGATCTATCAGACCTTGTCAAAACATCCCATCCTTCCATTCAAAAGCATACTTATCTCAATGATGGAAAAGATTTCCGTTGGATCTACATGTGGCATGGATCAAAAGACGGAAAGCATGTTATTGGATTATTCTCTCAAGGTGCTCTGCAAGTGCATATCATTGATCCTGCGGGTATCCGTCAATTGCCTGCTTTGGAACCTATGTACAAAGAACGGGTTGACAGATGGCGTGGTGGTGGCAGGCTAGAAGGAGGAGTTTTCGAGTATCACGATGATATGGAGATGGAAGTCAAAATTCATACCAGTGCAAATCGAGCATGGAAAACCGTTGCAAAAGAGTTGACCGCGATCCGCAAATCCAGTCAAACACCATCGATGTTTGCCATTTGCTCTGCTCGTAGCGCGGACTTCTATGAATCCAAGATGGGAGTATCGATAATGGCCGAAACACCTTACCTAAGCATTCCAGCCGCTCATCAGGATGACGAATTGCCGGCACTGGGTTGGCAAATGTACAGTGTAAAGAGAATGTTGAACTGCTACTTGCGAACTTCTCATTGGATTTTACACTGGCTTCGTGTTTCTGCCCATTTTGACGTTCCACTCTGCAGTATTCGTGGCGCAGACGTTTCCCTTTTTGCTGCAGATGTCGATTTCGCAAGAAGACTTACAAGGAATGACATGTTACTCTGGTGGAGTGAAACGGGCAACGATCCTGATTTGGGTAACATTCAAATTGTTGATAGCAGTAACGCAATCAGCAGCAATGAAGCCTCCAACACTCGAAGCGCCTCAGCTCCTTTGGAAATTTCCAAGCCTGGTGCCTACAACAATGTGGTATTCGAAATGACTTTGGGTCATCTTGCCTTGAATGCGGTCTTGCAAAGCGGGAACATCAACGATATGGAAGGCACGGAAGCAAGCGGATCGATGGCGTTCGATAATACCTCACATAATCTGGACGAATACGCAAAAGGTCCAGTAAACACCGGCGTCAGTATGGGAGATGCAGCAGTGACTTCGCAAGTTTTCTGGACGTTGAAGAGTATGGTAAAAGCGTGGTATATCGACAAAGTTCGAAACAAAGGTGCTTATTCTCATGCTTTGGCAGACGGCTTTTGGCGTTGGTTGAGTAGTGAAGTTGGCAAAAGCAGAAGTTGTTTATACGAACCTGCTTTAGCTTCTTTTGTTCGTGCTTTGATGAGAAAGACTTTACTCCAACTGCTAGCCGAATGCAAACGAATGGGAGCTTCAATCGTTTTCGCCAATTTCTCCAAACTTTTCATTTTGACCAGCAAACCGACAGCAGGCAGTGCTGCAGCGTTTGGACGTTACATGGTCAGCGCAATCACATCAAGAGATCTGTTCAAACACATCGATCTTGAAATTGTTCATCACTGGGACTATCTTTTATGGATGGATTCAGCCAATTTTGGAGGTGTGATCTGCAAGGACCCAGAACAAGGGATCGACGATCAGGGCGTTGAGGATATGCAGAAGCCGTTCCATGTGGATATGAACTGGAACATTGCATCCTTCCTTCCACACATTGCACAACAGAAGTTCAATCTTGTCATTGGAGGATTTATTCGGAGATTGTACGACGGTAAACGTAAGGCTTTTGCTTCTCATTCCGTCGATAGAACGCCTTTGACTGCGATCAAGGTCAACGCTCGTTTAGCAGAGGATGAATCGAACGAAAACGCACCTCACAAGCGAAAAGCTCTGACGGGACAAGATGGAGATGCAGAGGAAGACGAAGAAGGTAGTGCTGCCGCAACCTTAGCGAAAGAGTTGCTTACCAAATGGGTAACTCGTAAAATGTTAATCCAAACGCAAGATTTGCGGGATCAACACGTTAAACTTGTTCATTCGTTACCGGAAGATTTCGAAGCTGAAGAAGAAGCCTTTGAAGGCTTATTTGCGGAATGGAAGTGGCCCGAGTTACCAGGTGGAAGTTTATTGAACAGAGCTTCTAACTTCAGTGTAACGGACGATGCAATTCCTCCTTCGCCTGCTTTGGAATTCGTGAAAGCAACAATGGCGATTCTCTCCTTGCAAAAAGAAGCCCAAGTTGAAGTTGGAATCTGCCGAAGAAACGTTCTCAGCTTATTGGGTATAGGAGAATTCAGTCCAGAAGCGGATTTCACTCAACCATGTCAAATTCTCAAACCAACACCAACGATCATTTGTACGGCTTGCAATGAAGAACGTACGCTTGATTTATGCAGAGATGCAGACTTATTAAAAGCAACGCAAGATGGACAACAATGGAGATGTATACGTTGTCAAAATGCGTATGATCGATCGGATATTGAAATTCGATTATGCAAAATTGCACAAGAATCAATTCGATCGTTTGTTTTGCAGGATTTGCGTTGTTCTCGTTGTCATACTTTGCGAGAAGGTAATGTTGGCCCTCATTGTCCTTGTTCTGGACCTTGGGCTTTGACGCTTTCTAGAAGGGATGTACGGAATAAGTTGAACTTGTTACAACGTATTTCCCAATTCCATCGCCTCTCGGTTTTGGAGGAGGCTGTAGAAGAACTTATCACATCATGTTAATTTCAACAATATATCTCATGTATTTATAGACTGTCACATTCAAGCAAGCAATTTTTATCTCATCATAAATCGAATGGATGGATATAATTATTCATCAAGGTGAAGAAGTTGGAGTCTGGCTCAATGTACATTTAAGGGTATGATGAAGTCGGTCATGTGCTTTGTTGAATGAATGTTTGACGAAAGGGTATATAAAGATTGGGCATTGAAGGATTGCATATTCGTCAACTATGCAAACTTTTGAAGAAGGTAAATCTTTGTCAACTTCACCTGAACTATCGAATGAATAAATGCTTCGAACTGCAAAGGTATTTTCCACATAAACACCCAAAAGAGCCCATGATTGCCATTTAGCACCTGATTCAGTACTATTCCAACGTATCCGATAATGTGTTCGTGGAAAGCAAGAAAGGCCAACGTCTTCTGCTACTTTCCATTCACCTGATTCGTCGTTGCGAAAGTTTTGCTGAACGACTTTCAAATCGGCAATGGACATATAATGTTCCGGCTCTTTCTGGAAGAAGCGAAGGGCCTTTGCAGTAGGAGTATTAATTTTCATCTTTCCTCTCCTTTCGTATACTTTCGTTGTCCAGCTTGGCATTTTGAAGGATGAACAGATTAGCCGGGGTATATTGGTACGAATTCGATCTGAAAGGGTCGAAGATGATTGAATCCTCTTTTTGATGGATTGTTTGTTCGTTAAAGGGGGTATAATAGTATATTGCTCGTAAGCACTGAAGGTTCGGTAATCGTGGAAATACCTTGATCTTGATCCTGTTCGATTGTCAATCTTGACTCCACTAGAACGCCAAGCGGAGCAAAAACGTTCTAATGGCAACCCGTTGGCAAAGGCGTATATTTGACTCGAAGGCGTGTTGATTTGATGAAAGTGTTTCGATCGTTTCGGATGAAAGTAGTGTGATTGTTTGTATCTTGTCGTATAGAATTATCGTCAGGCCGTGTATCGATCAAGGGATACTTTTAGGATCGTGTAAGAGGATTAGAGTTCCATCATACTCGCGATTTTAAACCTTGACCTTTTCACTGAAAGATCGTTTCCGTTGAAGAAATGAAGTGCACATAGACCAGAACAGATGACAGTAAAAAAAAGAAAGCAATCATATTATTTTAATTCGGGGTGACTAGAAAGGAGAATGACGCCTTGTTAAAGTGGAAATGTGTTGTCAATTAAGATTACATGCATTGATTAAAACATATCATCGCCCTTTTTTTTTCTTATCGGCAAGGCGCTTTACCCCTCTAAGCTCAAGCAGCTCAGGGTCAAACTAATAAAATGATGCAACTTTATTCTCAGAAATATTCGCCCCGGCATGGGTCATAAGAGGAGCCGAAAAGAACACACTGTGGAGTATACAGCAGCACGTGTTCCCCACTAAACAAACAGTCAGCTTGGATTTTTTGTTAAGAAGATTTATTTTAGCGCTGCATAATGTGCATACACTCGAGAGAAAAAATTCACAAGTTACACAATTGATACCATCAAACAAATCCCAATCAAACAACCTCAGAGGAGGAGGATTGATGATTGCTCTCACATGACGTTTGGATTCAACAACAGCCTGCCTTTGTAGCTTGCTGCTCAGCAAATAAGAAGCCCAATTAACGAATCTTACGTCTTTCTAGTCATCCAACACCCTATCGATTGCCAAGATGAAGGAACTCGTCCCTCAAGATGCGACAAAACGCATCAAACATATCCAATTCGGAGTACTGTCTCCACAAGAGATCGTTGGTATGTCCGAATTGGAAATCACGACAAAAGATATGTATTGCATCGGCGAAGGTGGTGATCGTGCTCCTATTCCACATGGTGTATTGGATAAACGGTTAGGTGTTTCTGACAAACGTACGCTTTGTGAAACGTGTGGACTGAAAATGGCAGATTGTGTTGGTCATTATGGATATATTCGCTTGGTATTGCCAGTTTTCCATATCGGATACCTCAAACATACAGTCTCCATCTTGCAATGCGTTTGCAAAAATTGTGCCACCGTCTTACTTGATGAGCCTTCAAGAAGAAAATATTTGCGCATCTTTAGAAGACCCAATCTTGAAAATTTGCAACGCACTGCAGCATTCAAAGCGGTTCATTCAGCAGCAAGGAAGATGACACATTGCCCCAGATGCAAGGATGTGAACGGATATGTAAAGAAGGTGCCGACAACGATGAAAATTGTACACGACAAATATCGATCGAAAAAGGTGGCGGGTGACAAGCAATCGTTTCGCAACACATTCAACAATGCTATCCGACTAGGTAGCGGATTCGATATCGCCCCACATCTTAATAAAGCACTGGACGACTTGAATCCTCTGCGTACTTTGGACTTATTTCGTCGTATATCTGATGAGGATTGTGAACTTCTTGGACTACGGCCAGAATTTGGTCGACCGGAACAGTTCATTTGGCAATACATTTGCGTGCCACCAGTCTGCATTCGACCTAGTGTTCAACAAGAAGGAGCAACGACAGAAGATGATCTCAGTGTCAAATTGACGGAAATCATATTCACCAATAGTCTGCTGAAAGCTGGGCTAAAGCGTGGAGGGAAAGGAACGACGACATCACAATTGATGGAACAGTGGGATTTCCTCCAGGCTTCCGTTGCGCTGTACATCAACTCTGAGCTGCCTTCGGCAAATTCTTCGCCAGGCACCAAACCTACAAGAGGTCTCTGTCAACGACTAAAGGGAAAACAAGGACGTTTCCGTGGTAATTTGTCAGGAAAGCGTGTGGATTTCTCTGGACGTACCGTTATTTCGCCAGATCCCAATTTAAAGATTGATGAAGTGGCCGTTCCTGACCGCGTAGCAAAGATCTTGACTTATCCAGAAAGGGTATTTGAACACAATATGGAGGAAATGAAACGAGCAATCTCAAATGGTTGTGATATTCACCCAGGCGCAAACTTTGTCATTGATTCGGATACGGGCTTGAAGCGCTTTTTGAAATACGAAATGTCTCGTAAGGTCGCAGCTGCAAATCTGAAAATTGGTGACGTGGTCGAACGACATTTGCGTGATGGTGATATCGTTTTGTTCAATCGACAACCCAGTTTGCACAAGCTATCGATCATGTCACATCGTGCAAAGATTCGACCTTGGCGTACGTTCCGATTGAACGAATGTGCTTGCAATCCATACAATGCCGATTTTGATGGTGATGAGATGAATATGCACGTTCCTCAAACGGAAGAAGCAAGAACAGAGGCTACAGAATTGATGGGCGTCAAACACAACCTTGTTACGCCTAGAAATGGTGAACCAATCATTGCTGCTATTCAAGATTTCATCACAGCTTCATTTTTGATCTCTCGACGTGACCGATTCTTCAATCGTCGTCAATTTGTTCAAATCTGTAGCTTCTTCGGTGATGCCGATCTACAAATTGATCTTCCCCCACCTGCAATTCTCAAGCCGGAGCGGTTATGGACGGGAAAGCAGGTATTCAGCTTAATGATCAGACCCAACAAGAAGTCAAATGTCTTGATCAATCTTGAAGCACAATGCCGAACATATGAAAAGCCGGGTAAAGGTTTCATCAAGGATATGAGCCCAAACGACGGATGGCTTGTGATTCAAAATTCTGAAGTGCTATGTGGTGTGATGGATAAAAATACGGTGGGAGATGGAAAGAAGAACAGTGTCTTTGGTGTCATGCTGCGTGACTATGGGCCGGATGCAGCTATTCAAGCGATGAACAGGTTAGCAAAGACGTGTGCTCGTTGGTTGGCCAATCAAGGATTCAGTTTGGGAATCAACGATGTCATGCCAGGAGACCGATTGCGTACTACAAAGGACTCGAAAGTTGAAGCTGCATACAAGGAATGCATCGATTTGATCGAGAAGGCCAAGCGCGGAAAATTGGACAATTTACCCGGGTGCGACCAAGAACAAACGTTGGAAAGTATGATTTCTGGGGTTCTCAGCGGTGTTCGTAGTGATGTAGGTGAAATTTGTATGACTGAATTAAGTCGTCACAATGCACCACTCATCATGGCTTTCTGTGGTTCAAAAGGTTCAAAGATTAATGTAGCTCAAATGGTTGCTTGTGTGGGTCAACAGATTATCAGTGGATCGCGTGTGCCCAACGGTTTTCAAGATCGTTCTTTGCCACATTTTGCCAAAAAGTCAAAAGATCCACCATCAAAAGGTTTCGTTCGTAACAGTTTCTTCACAGGCCTTACACCCACTGAATTCCTTTTCCACGCCATTTCCGGTCGTGAAGGTTTAGTCGATACGGCAGTCAAAACAGCCGAAACGGGTTACATGCAAAGAAGATTGATGAAAGCTTTGGAAGATTTATCAACGCATTACGATATGTCTGTTCGTAACTCTGTTGGAGGAGTTGTTCAATTTACGTATGGTGATGATGGCTTGGATCCTGCCGAATTGGAAGGTGATGCGTTGCCCGTTGAGTACCATCGATCGTGGTCACACGCTCGGGCCATTACGCGGCATGTACAAGAACGTGGTCTTTTGCCGTATGAAGTCACAGAGATCATCGAAGACTACCTCTCGAAGCCGCCTTTCTCTGTTCAGACTACCGAGAAGTATCGTCAACAGGTGTTTGAATTCTTGGATGAATTTGTTGTGAAAAGAGCTGCTGAAATTCGGGAAGCATACGGATTATACCCTGCCCTGGTTCGCGAAGATCACTTTGATGAAGATACAGACTTGAATCTCGGAGCTGATGCAGCATCTATAGCGATTGTGGATAACAAAACTCTGGTACGCAAGAGTACGTTGGACGCATTCTTACAAGTTTGTTATGTGAAATATTTGAAAGCCAAAGTTGAGCCAGGAACGGCAGTTGGTGCAATTGGTGCTCAATCGATCGGTGAGCCAGGTACGCAAATGACATTGAAAACTTTCCACTTTGCTGGTGTTGCAAGTATGAACGTTACCTTGGGTGTTCCACGTATCAAAGAAATCATCAATGCTGCCAAACAAATCAATACACCAATCATCACTGCTCAATTGGTCAATCCTGAAAACGAAACGGCAGCAAGAATCGTTAAAGGTCGAGTTGAGAAAACGTTCTTGGGTGATGTTGCTAGCGTGATCGAAGAAGCTTGGTCGAGTCAGTATGTCTACCTGGGCATTCATATTGACATGCGAGCGATTGAAAAGCTACAATTGGAGGTAACGCTTGAGGATATTCGGATGGCAATCATCAATGCGCCTAAGCTAAAGCTCAAATACGAAAATGTCGTCATTGTGCCAAATCGAAACAGAATTCGCATCTATATGAGCGCGCCAGCCGACGGTAAGCGAGAGGAACAAATCTACTATGGCCTCAAGTTGCTCAAACGTGCATTACCAAAGATTGCAATCAAAGGTATCCAAGAGGCTGCAAGGGCTGTGATTAGTGACGAAAAAGGCTCGCGTAAGCTATTGGTAGAAGGATATGGTTTGCGGGAAGTGATGACGACAGAAGGCATCATTGGTACACAAACGCATACGAATCATATCATGGAAATGAAAGACGTTTTGGGAATTGAAGCAGCAAGATCCTCCGTTTTCCGCGAAATCGATTATACGATGGCAAGTCACGGAATGAAAATCGATCCAAGACATGTGATGTTATTGGCCGATGTGATGACGTACAAAGGTGAAGTTTTGGGTATCACTCGATTTGGTGTGGCAAAGATGAAAGATAGTGTTTTGATGTTGGCAAGTTTCGAGAAAACGACTGATCATTTGTTCGATGCTGCCATGTTTGGCAAGACGGATTCGATTCAAGGAGTGTCTGAATCAATCATCATGGGTAATACTGCCGCAAATTTGGGAACTGCAATGCCAACCCTGATTAGCGCCAAGCCCAAAATTCCTCCAAAGAGAAAATTGTTGTTTGACCGTCACGCAAAGTGATGAGTTTGATAACGTCTATTATGTATTAATGTTTCAACTGTACCATAATTTAATAGAAACACACATTTTAATGAAAACAGCAGACAGAGACATAAAGAGAACTAACGAGTAGCATTAAACCAAAACACAATTGTACAAGTGAAATTCGTAAATCGCAAAAGTATGCATGAAAAGGGAAAGGAGGAGAAGCGATTCATGGAAAGGAGAGCATATACGCTCATTTTGAATTTTTTTGTGTGAGTGAGAGACGAGATGAGGACGTGCCATATAATGTTACACAAAGGACGATTGAAATTAATCAAAAGTCATCTTTTTGCCTTGAGCAGGTTGAACGGCACCTGATCGTGCACCGTTGAATCCACCACGGCCACCGCCACGGCCACCCCATCCGCTGTCACCTCCTCCACGACCACCTCCACGACCGCCGAAGCCACCTCGACCACCTCCACGACCGCCGCCACGGCCACCTCCACCACGACCGCCTCCACGGCCTCCTCCGAAACCACCTCTGCCACCTGGGCTACCTCCATCATTGTTACGTGGAGGAGCGTAATCCAAACGGATAGGTCTTCCACCAAGATCAGCGCCGCTCAAAGCTTCAATGGCTTTATCAGCACTTGCTTGTTCTGAGTATTCAACGTAGCCGAAACCCTTTGGTCTACCACTTTCAGGATCTTTTGGGAGAGTGACACGTGTAACTTCACCATGTTCACCGAATGCATTCCAAATATCATCTTCGGTCAAGCTCCAAGCCAAACCGCCCATGAAAAGGACTGGAGATGGTTCAGAACGTTGGTCGTTGAATTTACGAGCACGGTTTTCCGATTGCTCACGAGGAGCGCGGGGCTTTTGCAAATCAACCTTCAATGCACGACCGTCAACTTCTTTACCTTGAGCATCTTCGCTTGCTTTCTTTGCATCAGCAGCATTGACGAAGTCAACATATCCAAAACCTCTCGATTTGCCTGACTCACGATCCATGACCACACGAGCTGAAGAAACTTCGCCAAACTCTTCGAACTCGCTCTTGAGCCATGCATCATCAACATTCCAGCTCAATTGACCAACCCAAACGGTCTTTAATTCTTCTTCACCTTCGGTTACTTCAGCAACAGAGTCAGCTTTTGCTTTTTTGGATGGTGTGATTTCATCATCAGCTTTGCGTTTCTTCTTGTTATCGGTGACCGCAGGAGCTTCTTTCATTTCTTCGTCAGAAGAGTCATCAGAGTCACTCTCTTCTTCGCTGCTGCTGCTTTCGTCAGAGCTTTCTTCTGCTTTGCTTTCGGCAGCTTTGCCGTTGGCTTTGACTTCCTTTGCCTTTGGCTTTTCTTCTTCTTCTTCGTCGGAAGAGTCGTCAGAATCTTCTTCAGATGATTCGTCTGAGGAGTCATCAGATGATTCAGCCTTGGCAGCAGCAGCTGCTTTAGTGTCTTTCTTGGCACCTTTAACTTCTTTCTTTTCTTCCTCAGAAGATTCTTCATCGCTGTCTTCTTCTGAGCTTGAATCGGAATCTTCTTCTTCGCTGCTTTCATCACTGCTCTCTTCGGATGATGATTCTTCCTTTTTGCTTACAGCTTTCTTTCCGTTTGATTTGGCTGCGGGTGCAGCAGCTTTGGAACCTTTTTTGGTTGTAGCCTTGCCATTTCCGTTGGCGACTGGTGCCACTTCGGCGGCTTTGACTGACTTGTCCTTCTTGCTCATTATGATTGTTTATATAAAGTGAGATGTGATAAAAAGTGTATAATCCACCTAAAATATAAAAGTGGAATATAGAGAAGGATGAAGGAGTAAAGGGAGGGATACTCTACCTCTTACTCTTTTTTTCATCTCACATCTTACAACTTGGAGAATTTTCTTCCAGGTTATTTTGAAAATTTTATCGCACAGAAGCAGTGTTAAAAAAAAGTTGTAAAGCTTGCATAAAAATTTCACCCTTTAGCTGCAAAAAATGAAAAAAATTAAGTTAAGACAGTGTGATGCCCCCCGACAGTAGAGTTTTATTGCTTTGCCACTTTTTAGGCTCTACACGCGTAGAATCAAATTCCGGAGACGCGGGTGTTCATTTTAACGGGAGCCGCTTACTTAATCAAGTGTTTAGTAGTGGAGAGTAATGGTTCAAATTCATGCCGTATCCTCCTGTTTTCGAGCATCCTCATTCTCTGATGTGCAAATAAAGAGTGACATTTCTCACCCTGCTAAAGATGGCCGAAAAGGCTGATCAGCATGTGGGAGAAGCATCAAACGATAGCGAATTACGACGAGAACGACATCATCGAGATTTACACGTTCGTCTAGTCGATGCAACCGATTCCGATCCCCTTTCTTCCACTAATCAGCATCACTCCGAACCGGCTCGGAGCTTGAATTTCGGCGATGACAGCCAACAGTTGCAATCCTCTGTGAAAGACAGCAACAGTAATGGTTCCGATGCTTCTCCTTCTCAAGAGAAGAAGAAAGAGGAAATTAGCATGAACGAGAATCAGCAAAATATCAATAGCACGAAGAACAAGTCAATTGGTACAAAGTTGCAAAGTATCAAATTACCTGGCTTCATTGCTTGGATTCCGCCCGTTGTGAAAGATTGGAGTAAGCTGAAACCCGTTCTCAGGAGCGCACTTGCAGCATGGATTTGTATGGTTTTCATGTTAATCGACCCGGTAGAGAAAATGCTGGGAAACGCAAGCTTTTTAATCTTGATCGGAATATTTATTCAACCTGCCGAATTACCCGTCGTTGCGGTGATCGAAAGAGAGTTCTTCACTCTTTTGCTTACAAGTACATGCTGGGCATACGCAAATCTGGCGATCTTGTTCGCACATTTGGCACGAAAACGCCGTCTTTCTCCAGCAGAAACCGATATCAGATTGGTATTCACGGGAGAATATATTGAAACAGCTCCAAGTGCTATTTGTACGGCATTTTTGGCCGTTGGTGTTGCTCTTACTCTTTACCTCAAAGTCAAATTCGGTCCTAGCCCTTTCATCTTTGCAACGATTTTAGGATGCATTTGCTTGGATATCGTTTTGGTTTATGCACCACTTTATCCTTATCCTCAATATATCTTAGGACGTACAATCATGGTGCCGCTTGCTGTCAAGGCCGGAATCGTCATTTTGGTTTCTCTGGTGTTCTTCCCCAAATCGGTGAATTCCGCCTTCGTTGAAAGGCTGTTGAACGTGTTACGCCCTCTGGAGGGTAGCAGTGAACAATTACGTCAAGAAATGAAAAATTCGGCTTTAGATCCAACGTTCAACTTTGAACTTTATAAGGATAAAGTCTTGGCAGCTGAAGCAGGTTTGTTACCTTTGCAAGGACAAGCACGTCTTCTCTTACGTGAATTGAGCTTTTCGTTGGCTTCGGGAGAAGATTTACAGACGCTCGTGCTTTCTGCTAGGAGATTGTTAGCACCAGCAGATGGGATTGCATTCTACTTCAGTCTTGTCTATTCGGATGTGAGGGGAATGGATATCAAGAATCATCCTCGAATGCCGCAATTCATCACTCCAGGTCAAACAAGACCATCAACCCCGATTCAAACAAGACCGACCACGCCGATACAATCTAAGCCCGGCACGCCATTTGATTCACGGCCCAGCACGCCTCAACTTGAAGAATCAGCTATGTCAAAAGATGCTATCGACAATACATCTTCTCACGATAGCTCTTATCGTGGGGGAGGAGTAGGATCTACAAGACCTCGACATCGATTCCCCAGTAAACTCAGTGCAGGCTTGATACATCCAACTCCGCAAAGACACAGTTTTGAATTGCGTAAACGGCTTCACGAGCTTACCCATCCACATCACCATAAGCATGCACCGATCGAAGTTGGATTATGGGAATCTATACGGTATACAGCATTTGAATCGCAATTCCATGGTCGAGAGAACGATCATATTAGTGAAATGTGTATGCGCATTTTGGCAGAAGCGAGTGAGGACTTGCTCGTTCAACAAGGAAAGGTGTATGCCGATATTCGAAATTGGCTTCAAAAGTTGAATGGCGAACGGACTTCAATGCTTGTCAAATTGTGCACGTTCAGATCTACAAAATTGAACTCGACACTTTTGCAAAACAAGGATGGATCTCCGAGATTGATATCTGATACAATTGCAGAATTGGAAGCAGAGATTGAAAAGTTCAAAAAGCGAAAGCAAAGAATAATTGAACCTTTCCGAGCAAGTGTTGATGCAAATGTGGAAGGTGATAAACTTCCTCATCGATATTTGTTCCAATCTTTGACCTTTTGTCACTTTCAAGTCGTTTATTCGCAAAGGTTGATTGAATTTTTACGCAAATTGGAAAATATCGAGAAACGTAGGAAGGCATTCCACTTTTGGTTCCCAAAACCGCCTTCTTTGTTCCGTGTGGATGCGTGGAGTACACATGAAGCTCACGGTGAAGGAGAACATGATGAAGATCCGGATGAAGTGCCAGGAATGATTTCGAGCCTTGGACAAACGAAAGCGCGCGATCCAGATGCTATGGATTCGGATAGTCGATTGCAAGAATTAGGAATCAAATTATCAAGTTATTTACATACCATTCACAAAGGCAATTCTTTATTCATGATCAAAGTTGCCGTAACAACCGTCTTGGTCGCTTTACCGTCCATTTTACGATCTTCTGCCGGTTGGGCTTACAAGAATAAAGCGATTTGGGTGATCATCATGTCACAATTGTGTGCCGCTCGTCATCGAGGAGAAGTTCTTTTTGGTTTCTTCTCACGTGTTATTGCAACATTTTTAGGTGCGATTGGCGGTTTGATCATTTGGTATATCGCTTCAGGATCAGGAGTTGCAAATCCGTTTGCATTAGCAGTTGTAACGGCGATTGCATTCCCGATCGTAATGATGGGTCGTATTCATTTCCCCGGACCGCCGATCACGCCTATCATTACATGTGTTACCGTTGCATTGATCGTTGGCTATTCTTGGATGGATTCTCATAATCCAACACCTGGAAGTCCTGGAATCGGATGGGAAATCGGATGGAGAAGGTTTATTGAAGTTATTATCGGAGCAGCAGCAGCTTATATAATGTCAATCTTACCGCCAACCAGTAGTATGCGAACGTATTTCCGTTTGAGTCATGCTACGATTATTCGAGAAACTGGAGGGTTGTTCTGTGAGAATATTTATCTGGCGGCAACACCCGGACAACATGATACAAAAGACGTTTTGGATAAGCTACTAGCCGTTCGCAGTAAAATTCGTCGTCTTTCGGTGTTGAAGGGATCGATTAGCTTTGAATGGTCTTTACGCGGTAAATGGCCAATTCATAGATATGAACATCTTGAACGAATAGAATTACGAATTTTACGTTTATTGACGCATGCGATCACGATTTATGAATCGTTAGGACCTGCTTACTCTCGTGCGCTACTCAAACGAACTCGATTTTTGGATCCTACTTTTTTGGCGGATTGTATTGCCGTGCTTTCGATGTGTACGACATCCCTTTCAACCGGTCAACCATTACCGCAAATCGCACCAGTCTTGATCGATCGTTATATGTGTAAACCGATGGGATTCAAAATTCGTTCACATGAAGTGACAGATACGCCTGATGAAACTTTGGATGACATTATGGAATCTTTACCTGCAACAGTCACATTTGAAACTCTTCTTGATGAAAAATATCAAACTTTCGCTGTTGGTGCTTCTGTTGCTTTTGGAATTACGGTTCATTTGGATAGGCTTTGTGTGGCTGTAAAAAGTCTCGTAGGGGAAACATACGCCGTTCCTGCCGACCTACAAACTTATCATCCTTTCTCTTCTGCAGTTAAGCATTGAATGCGCACTTGTAATTATATATTTATTTTTGGATATCTGAATGCAATTATTGTACAATTTGTTTTGTTAGATGCTCTTAGCAATACTCATCTAGCCCTCTAGCAACCAATTCAAAGCATGAGATCATCACACCGCATGCAGGTGCAACTTTGGCCACTCTTGGTGATACTCCACGCATGAGACCTTTTGCGCCTTCCGTTTGCATGATCTGTCTCCAAACTTGCATTGTAGTCTTTGGAACATTTGCATTAGATCGGCCCGTAGTCTGATGTTCAAATGCTTGTAATCGAGTTTTGATCACATCAAACGGTTGAGTGAAAATTGCCGCGACAAAACCACTCGTTGCTCCACTCAAAAAAGCCACAGCAAAATCTTGTCTTCTCAAACTATCATCCCTACGTTCACCAAATCCTGCACCGCTCAAAACAAGTTTCATGCTTTCATAGCCCGTAAAGTAGATTGCGCTGAATGGCACATCACGATAAAGAGTAGGTACCAAACCTCTGAAGAGAACCCGAGGTCCTTTATTCATTACCTCTACACGAAGGTTGGCAAACGTAGTCGAAAGCTTGTGCGAAGTGGATGATGCCTGTAATCGAGTTCGTATTAGTTCCAGTGGGGTTACAAGGGTGGCGCTTATACTTCTTGCCAATGCACCAGAGGTCAAAGAGGCCATCATGTGATAGCCGGACACATTCGAGAGCGAAGGTGAACTTGAAGTTGTTGCTGGCGGTCGAAGAGCGAGGATATTCGTTCGGAACAGGTCGTAGCAAGTCATGTATGTCAATTGTGAGGGTACAGTCATGACCAGCGTTGGTGTAAGACCTCTCCACAATCCTCGTATCCCTTCCGATCTTCCTACTTTTATCACACCATCCCAAAGACCGCTTAGCCGGTTGTGATTCTGGATCTGTTTCAGCTCACGAGCGGCTACATTCTTGTCGGGATAGATGCATGCTGCGCCTGACATATGATTTGCGGAAGTGCGTGCACTTTGTTGTACAACCCGTGGTCTACTTGACCCAGATCCTGCACTGCTGAAGGGTGCCGATGTTCGTGAGGATGGTATCCGAGATGATCCTGCTTTTGTGCCCTCCACTCGTGGATCATACCTGCAAGCCACTCCTTCTTGACTTACGATCTGTTTTGTTTGACAACATGAAGTACCCGATCCAGATCCTATAGAAGGTTGAAATAGAGGTTCAGGTGGCGCCTGTGTTTGCATACGAGTTTTTATCACATCAAACGGTGTCATCAAGAGTGAAGTAGCAGCAGCACTTGAAATAGCAGCAATTGTTTTATTTCTTCTTGATATTTGTCTTGGTTGTTGAATATCCGTTTGTTTCATCTCTGCATCGATATCCAAAACTGTAACGGATTGAGATCCGCTATTTAAAGACATTGTTTTTTTGGTTGCTTTTCATGTCACAATTCACAGCCTACAAAGGCCGTGAGATGTGAGAAAAGCAGTATCCGGTAAAGAAAAGGATGGATGATGAGAATGAAAAAGTGGCGCGAATTGACCGGATAGGTACTCACTCTGTTAAAATTTCCCCCCAATTAACTCCGTCTCACCCAAAAGAGATTCTTAAAATTTCCAGGGCATTTAACTCCACACACAAAGGGCAGGCGCGTAGGTACCTCAAATATTACGTACGAGGGAAAAAAGGCAGAGTGGAGTGATATATCACGTGTTCTTCATGCCTCCCGCACCAACTGTTCTGGTTGATCACCATATCTGACTTGAACAAGTGGCACACTACATGTGACCGGTTATGGTCATGGCCTCGGCAGACATAGCATGAAAGAAAAGGTTAATCGGATCCGTAACAGGTAGGAACAGCGACTTTAATCGGCAAGCAAGATGTGATTGATTTAGCTTCGCTGAAAAAAAAAAAAAAAAAAGATCTGATAAAGAATTAGCGGGATCTATTGATGTTTGATTAAAACGATACGCGGGCATAATCCAATTCAAAAAGTTTAATTTTGTAATGATCGTAACGATATAGAGTTTAGACAACGATTTCAGGTTCAGATTGAAGTACTTTTGCATGCCAAGAAGAGACTAATGGTAGTTTAGGTACGGTGACTTACCCATCTTGATGGCGGGAAGCAGTTGACAGGCGGGCGAGTTAAGTCACAACAGAAAAAGACGCTAATCCTGCCAGTTGATCAAGATTGATCCTTTTTAACATTATTGATTGTTTTGATTGAAAGAGGATAATGCATGTATATCCTTTTTCATCAGATGAAATGACGACAAGATAGTTTGTTATGGTGCGGGAATGTTATAAACTGATCTCATATACACGGATGAGCCGGTTTCCAGCTCAAAAATCATCCGATCAAGGGCTCTCTTTCTCCACTTGACCAGCGGTTGAATTGCAAATAATACGCTGAGTATTACACCCTTTTTGATTTGCTTCTATTTTGACAGGTAGAAGCCGCCTTCCGCCTTTATGCAGCCAGCCTGTGTTACCCCTGCGCCCGTTGACTGATCCAACGCCTTTTTTTGTTTTCTTTGGCGCATCTTTCAGCCTTTTCTTTTCTGTCCGTAGATTATCGCTTTGATAATATTTCAATTTCATCCGCTAAAAAACAACACAAGTTATGCATATTACTTCATGTGGATGGTCAACTTTAAACGCATGATTTGGGAAAAGATGTGATCATCGGATAAGAGGAAAACTTTTTATTTTCAAATTCATCCAACAATCATCTAACGTAAAGTATAAGGAAGGGACACTTATCGGATGATAAATGAGTGCGGAGGCATTCAAATAGACAAACACATCTTGTTGTTCACACCATCATCCACTTCCCCTTACTTCCACACAAGATGGCCATCCCAAAAGAACTACACGATGATGAGGTAGACCTACTGGGTATAGGCTTTGGCCCGGCAAACCTTTCCCTCTCCATCGCATTACGTGAATCACAAGAAGCAAGCGAAACTAACTTCAAGTTTCATTTTGTGGAGAAACAACCCGCCTTCGCATGGCATTCATCATTATTGCTACCGGGTGCACAACTACAAGTTTCACCAATGAAAGATCTGGCAACGATGCGAGATCCAACGTCTTCGTTCACATTCACGAATTATTTACATCAACAAGGTCGTTTGGCAGCATTTATCAATCGAGAAGCAAGTATCCCAAGTAGACGTGATTGGAGTGCTTATTTGCATTGGGCTGCAAAACGAATGCAAGATTCAGTTTCGTACGGCCAAGAAGTTGTTAATGTTGAACCGGCTGAAATCGTTGCTGGAACAACAACACAATCGCCAAGAGTACAAAAGTGGCGGGTAACATTACGTTCAATCGAAACTGGAGAAACGACGACAATGCTTGCACGTAATATAACGGTGGCCGTTGGTGGTGTACCTGCCGTTCCGGACGTATTGAGTGAAGCATTTTATGCGAACCCATCACATCTGATTCACTCGAGTGCATACCTGCCTTCGCTTGCAAAGATTGATGCAAGATTAAACGCGATCCAAGATCGTCGTTTGGAGAAGCTATCAACAGAACATAGTACACAACAACAAACAATCACAACTGAATCCATGATTGATAAAACCCGTCAACAATCCGCTCCGTTGCGATTTGCTGTCGTGGGAAGTGGACAATCAGCTGCCGAGATCAGTCTTCACTTACGCAACACATTCCCAAAAGCACACGTTTCGCTCATCTTTCGTGCTTCGGCGATTGTGCCTTCCGATGACTCAGCATTCGTGAATGCACAAGCATTTGATCCTGATCGTACAGATGCATTTTGGCGTGCGGGAGATGAAGAAAGAAAAGCATGGTTGAAAGAATACAGAAGGACAAATTATTCAGTCGTTCGATCGGACGTTTTGAATACTCTTCATACGGAAGTATACGATCAAGAGATCGAACTTGGTCAACCTTGGCCACATGCAGATGGACCTCCTTCTCACGGGAAATTGCAACTTAGACCGAATGCGCAGATTGATCATATTGAAATCGTAAAAGATGAGACTTCAGAAGAAGATATTGTCAGATTGACATTGAAAGATCTAAAGTATCCTGCCGTTCCTACCGAAGGAGTGAACGAAGAAACGGAATCGTTTGACGCAGTATTTTTCGGCACTGGGTTCAAGAGAGGACCTGATTGTATGCCTTTCCTCAAGCCATTGCAAAGTCTCTATCCACGTCTAGACTCTAATGTCGAATTAACAAAAGCAAGCCTTGGTTTTGCAAATGAAGTTGATAGCTTTGAAGCATTGTCTGCACTGCAAAACGATAGATCATCAGCTGAACGATTACGACAACGATGCCGTGGAATCACACGGGATTATAGATTAGTCAGCTATTCATCCGAAGCATTTACGCACAGAAGAGAACCTTCTTCTACAAGAATGACACCTGCTTCATCTAAACCTGCTTCACCTTCAATGCTGCCCAAACAAATCAACTTTAGTGGAACCAGCACTCCACGACATGATGGCGATTCAAGTGATTCATCCACACTTGCGGACGAACAAGATGACTTGGCATCAAGTTTAGCATGGTCAAGGCGACAAAGTATTGCTGATGAATCTGAAGAAAGTCAACGTTTACGCGGACCAAAGATTGACGCAAGTATTTATTTCTTAGGTGGAAATGAAGTAACTCATGGACTTTCAGATAGTTTATTATCCATCGTTGCCCATCGATCGGGCGAATTGACAAAGAGTTTATTGAAGCGAAGAGCATCGCTTGCCCGTTCTCAGCCGGCTGCAACGGCTGCTTCCTTACCTAGACAAACAACAACAAAAACATCATCCTTAAAGACACTACCTATGGACACTTTGGATGAAAGAGTCAAAACTCTACAAGTTTCATAGATTTTTTGCACATTATTCTCCTCATAGATTATTTCATCATTGTTCTTTAATTGATTTGTTCTTGCTTGAAATATTTGTCTGAAAGAAACTATCAGGCCAATCTGATTATGAGAAGAAACGATTTATTTCAGACCTTCTAATACAGAATCGTGCTAGAAGATACTAATAGGTAGGTTTATTGCACATTTCGATTCGATCATACGATTTCCCTCCGAGGCTTCGTTCAAGGGTCCAAAGAATGAGGGAAAGCATCACCTTCACGTTGTTCGTCCCATTTAGCAATCCATTCGTTTGGGCATAAAGAGTGGAAAGCACGATAAAATTGTTTGCAAGCCGAATCATCAGCTCCTCTTACACCGGCGCACTTGTAAAAATCAACGTAATTTTGCCAGCAGTGCTTGGTTTGGTTTTGGTTTGGGAATCTGGCATCGAATGCAGCGGCTGCAAAAAGGGGAAGGGGAGAGTGAGTCAGTCAGTAATGCGGTCGGAAGACAGTATGGTGAGGATCTGATGATAGACGGGATCTTGAGAATCGGCGAGATACAGTAGCATTTGGTCGTAAGGCGCATAGATGTAGACCTCGATCCGCGGGCGCTGTCCTAACTTTCTGCGACATTCATGTGAAGACCTTATCTCATTCCTGACATTGCCATCTCTGAACAGTAGCTGCAGCATTCCATACCATCGAAGCGAGAACAGTCTCGACGTTCACTTCCAAGAGTCGTCCAAAAATCGAAGATCCAATTCATCCCCTCTCCGTGATACTCACTTTGCAGGGTGAAGGTCTTGGCCTCACCGACTTCACTGTTTTCCGAATCAGACATGTTTTGCTAGAATTGAGCTGACAAGTGCAACTTTTTTGGTGTTTGGCTTGTTGGTGATCAGGAATGATGGTATATTAGTTCAATCATAGCAAATTCCTTCTGCCTCGCTTTAGCCTTGACTGTCTGACAATTGATTAGGTGTACGTACGCACGCGTGCACACTCACACACAAGCACTAGAAGAAGTCCCTGCTTAGACAATTAACCTGACTGACGTTCATATCTCTACTCTACGCCTTACCGCCCGCCTAGCATTCATTGGCTAGGCAGGCAGGCAAGCAAGGCGTACACAGTCTGCCAAATGCGTTGTGTGCGTTGGGTGCGCTTTGCTAAAACAAGCCAGCCACCGAGATTATCCGTCAGCACGTGCTCAACCACAGGATACCGTTCATAGAATATGAGAATGATTGATTGAATTAAACGATCTTGACGAAAACTATAGAGACTATTTACAGATGCATTTAAGCAGCGGTACCAGCTACCAATGGAACAGGAGGTTCCATGTTGACCGGCGAAGGGCCAAGGAGAGATTCTTCCAAACCAGGCGAAGAGGCCGAAAGTCCTTTTGCATTTTTGATACGAACGACATCATCAACGAAATCTTTAAACATTCCAAACGTATCTTCTGGTCCACCACGAGATTCAGGATGAAATTGTGCACTTCTGATATTTTTTCCTGATTCGGGAGATGAAATAATTCCTTCAATCGTACCATCATTTGCATTCACGAACCAAGGCAACCATTCATCGGGCCATTTACCTGTTTCGATCGTCTTTGCATCTTGATCGTGTTCGATAGCATAACCATGGTTTTGACTGGTGATGTAAACACGACCTGCTTTGACGGAAGATCCATTGTTGAGCAGAGAGATAACCGGTTGATTGTGTCCACGGTTACCGAACTTCATACGGTAAGCCTTTAAGCCCGCAGCAATACCAATGATTTGATTTCCCATACAGATACCAAAGATTGGTTTGTCCCATGTTGCCATTGCTTCACGAGTAGTTTCAATCGCTTCTGGAATTGAGTAAGGGCTACCTGGTCCATTGCTCAAGAACAGACCGTCAAATTTGTCACGGACACTGTTGAAGTCGTAATTCCATGGTAAAACAGTAACTGAAACCCCTTCACGAATCAAGCAACGAACGATGTTTGCTTTGCATCCAAAGTCCAAAAGAGCTACATGTCCTTTAGCAGCAGTCACACCTCCGACGGGATGGATGGTGTATGGGTGCAAGGTAGACACTTTTTGGATCAAATTTTCTGCCATTGGATCAATGTATTCGCTCTCTGCTGGTGGGATTTCGTGTCCATCACCAATCTTGATTGCACCGAGAGTAGAACCTTGGTTTCGCAACAAAGTTGTCAAGGCACGGGTGTCAATGCCTGAAATACCTGGTACGTCATGACGAGCACACCAAGTGCTTAGACTTTCAACAGCTTCAAAGTGGCTGAATCGCTCTGCCAAATTGCTAACGATCACACCGGCAGCTTGAACTGCACGAGATTCGAGGAAAGAACCAACGTCCACGTCCATGGGATGTTCCATGGGAGAGCGACCGCAGAAGTTGTTTGGCACACCATAGTTACCCATAAGTGGTTGAGTAAAGGTGAGTAATTGACCTTGATAGGATGGATCTGTCAAAGATTCGGTGTAAGATGTGATGGCAGTTGTGAAAACTGTTTCACCGAATCTGGCAGAGACAGGAGCACCGAAAGATTTTCCGGCAAACTTGTGTCCTGACTTGAGGTACAACGTTGCTGGTTGCGATGGAGGTGCAGGCGTTTGCGTCACAGGAATATCGGTAGCATGCGAAGCAAGTGAAATTTTTGCTGTTGTACTCAAGAAACGAGGAGCAGCAATGGCCGATCGACACAAGGCCGAAGATCGAAGTAAGGAAGACGTTAACATCATGATTTGATAGATTACTTTAGGCCGAGTCTGATTTGTAAACGGCGTCGCTGAGTGAGGGGAACAATGAAGAAGAGGTCAGCCATTCTGCTGGATGCTAGACTGCTTGCTCTGTTGTTACTCACGTAATGTAGTCGTCTCGAGTTGATTTATCAAACATGCAAACTACTTGCACAGGTAGATTGTTGGCAAGATTGGCCAAGAGCTTTGAAGGGTAAGAATGCTTTGATCCAATATAAAGCAAAGCAAAGTATGCTTGTTAGACTGGAAGTGGTGGTTTTGTTGTATTCAAGACTGTTGTCTGAATAGTGGATGTAGAATGTGGAAGAAGAGAAGATGAAGCAGCGCTGGCAACTCAACCCAGCTCTCTCGCATACGCTTTTCTTCTTACACAGAGATAAGGAAGTTCAGAACTTTTTTCCGACTCTTTTTTTCATTTATTCTTCCTGCTTCTCCCCTTGTCTTCTGCCTCGGGTAAACAGGTACACGCACACACGACAAAAGCATACGCGCTAGCCTAGTCATCCTTTTTAAACTCTTTTCACCACACACACAATCACACACGTACACACACAAGCCGCAAGCAGTTACTCATTCGGTAATGCCGCCGCCGCCAACCAGTCAACGCGTGCCATACTGCATCGCTCCCAATCGGGCATTCGCAGCGCTTCTACGCGTTCGCGATACACACGCCCCCGGGCAAATGACCCGCCTCACCTCCTCGGAGATGCATCTCAGTTCCTCAAGTACGCAAGCAGAAGGCGATGGCAATGACGATTAGCAACATTCCATGAAGCTATCGTTGTTTTGAATAAAATTGTATTGAATATATGGTGTGAACCTTGATTATTTATCTATCTAGCTATTGTGCAGATGAAATATGTTGCTGGAATAAAGTATCATGGCACAATGATGGGATGTCTGATGACGATGGATACAGTGAAGGACCTATCTCGATATGAGTGATTTATGTGAATAGGACAAATGGGAAAGACAACATGACTACTGCTCCTACAAGATTTGTGAAAGTTGCAGCCGTAAACGCATTTACAGAATTTGCACCATTGCCAAACTTCTTGAAGCCATCCGAACTGTCAGATGAATCGCTAAGGTTGGCTGTATTGGTCGATCCAGAGCTGGTCAAATTGGCGCCATTCGGTCCAATGGGACGGGTATCATCTTGGAATCCGGAATTGAGACATTTGCCGGCAATTGGATCCCAGCTGATCAAGAAAGTGGAAAGGGTCAGTATTTATAAACAACAAAATTTAATCATTTTCACAACTTACAAAGGCGTATCGCATGTAGAGTCAATTCGCTTGCGTACTGAGCCATCGTTGTTCTTTTGCGGTGGATTGGGCTGATCAGGTGTTGGCCTGACGGTTGGACATCCGTAGCAGGTATAAAACGGTGAATTATTCAACGAATCACCTGCCGTATCGCTGATGCAATGTTCCAACAATTTCTCTTCTTTGGCTGGAATACCTGAACAAATTTGTGCTTGTGGAATGTTAGGCGTTTGGCATTGAAATTCCGGCAAAGTGTTCAATTGACTTGCAGGAACAGGATTTTGCATCCATGCCAATAATTGTCGATTGTTTACCATCCATACATTCTGGAATTGTCCACTCGTCATGGCAAAGTCCAAGAATTGGTTCAACATTTGAATCTGCTTCGTATTTCCAGGCACAGGTGCGCCTGGGTATGTAGTAGAGATATGGATTGGATGTGTATATAGACCGAATGGTTGCTTCTGCGCGTTGTAATGATCGGTGAATGTCCACTTGAGCGCTTCAAGAGTCTTATCGGGTGTGGTCTCGAGCCAAGGGTCCATTAAACCCAACACACTCTTGTCTGGATTGTATGTCGTGTACATCGGAAGCTCCCAGAATCCTGGCAACTTGGGTTCACCATGGCAGATTGCAAGTCCATCTACATCACAATCATTTGCCATACCATTGTCCAGTGTATAAGGCCAAAAGGCATCCGTATTGGGATCAGATGCTGGCAATGCAGCCGTGCTACTTGAATCGTACGTGAAACTCATTTTGGCTAAATCCAAAAGGTTCTGTTTGGTGTAATTGAGGAAAGGAGCACGAAATCCGATAATACGTTTGAATGGAATACCAGCAAGCGCATTGAGAGCAACAAGATTTCCCGACACTTCTGCAATGCTAGGTTGAGCAACATGAGTGATGGTATGATCTGCAACTTCATTTCCTGCAACATAGTAATCCGTCACCATTGAATAATTCGTGTAATCCAAAGAGTTGAAGTATGTGCTGGTGACAGGACATCCATTTGGATTCTTGCGTCCGTTAGTCAACGCATTCAAGACATCAAGGGTGTACGATTGAATAGCATCATCAGCCGTCATTGTGATAAATTGTGGCACATCCTTCAAATCAAGATTTCCCGGCGGTTTTGCATCTGCGCATCTACAATGCGGTAATTTGCATGAATTTGGATCACAAGAATATCCTGCACCTGATGCACCACCACTTGGATTAACTGATGCTCCTTCCCCGGAAGCAGTGCCGAGTTGTCGTCTTGCCAGATTTCTCTTGTATGCACTCCTACAGCCTGAATGCTCTAAGCCAGGGCCTTCAAGTGAGCGGGCACAGTGGATGAGCGCGATGGTGAGCAGAAGAGATTTAAGGATATAGCCAACAAATGATGGCTTCATCGTGAATAGGGCTGAATATGATAGTTAGAGGGAAAGAGAGGGAGAGGGTTGATAGATGTAAAAGTACTATCAAATAATGTCTTGCACAAACAGGACACGGAGAACAGACGACTTTGGGCAGCGTTATTTCCTTCATTCGACGGAATGGCGTAATGAACAGACATGAATCGGAGCTCCGCTTGAAAGGAACATATCAAATTTATTTTGAGGGACTACCTCATGATATGGATAGTCAGACGGAGGGACAGACGTCTGCAGGGTTGTGTGTGTGCATTAAGCGGGGTTATCACAACTTATTATTTAATGTTATATCACATCACTCGCATACAGTCAAGTTGAGGAAGCGCTATGTTTTAGGTCATTAGATGTTGTTACATAAAGTGATTGCTGGATGACATCTCCCTAACGGATTGGACCTCCTTGTGCCGGATCAGACGGGTTACTGATGGTAGAGCTCTTGACATCAAACGCTTTCAAATCGTCCAATTTGACACGATCGAGAGCGCGTTTATGAGTTGCTTCCAGCATGACCTTCGGCACGCTATCCCGATCAATTTCACCTCTTTTCCATGCATCAAAGCTTTCCTTCCATCTGGATGCACATAAGCACCATTTACAGCCACCGCTCAACAAACCACGTAAATCATTTCCTCGGCTTGCACTGAAAGACAAAAATCCGTCAGACACTACTCCTGCGACTGTATGAGATCCATTATCGGCAGCTGAGGTATTACAGTACCCATCTCGGAAGAAGCCAGTCATTGGCTGTGTACCGCATTGCTGTAGTCTCTCACCCAAAACGTTCTCTGATCGTTCCATTGCGAAAGGGTCGTCTTGATCTTTGTTTTGTGTTTGTTTTCGTAGTTGTTCTTTGATCACTTTCTTGGGATCGTCTGATAAAACTCCTTGATGAGCGTGATGTGCAAAATGGGCTCTAAAAGGTTTTTGGATCTCAGTCGTTTGATAAGTGTTTGTTGCTGCTGCTGACGATGATAATGCAGTTATCTCTCTTGCTCCTGCTCCTGGTCGTACAAAGCGCGAAAGCAACAATGCCGATAGAATCTTTTGTTTGATGAAAGGTCGAATGATGGGCAACGTGTTTGCTATGATATTATCAAGGAAGAATAGGATGGATGCTGTGTGTTGCTTTGTTAATTGAATCGGGAGGGTTCTTCTAGTCCGTGCACTACGATGCGGTCATATGATATGATGATTAGCAGCATGACATTTTACTAATCACGCTAACGTACTGCTTTAACAATACGCACTTTCCTTTTTCTGACTTCTAAGCCTCCACACCCATCATGCTTATGTAAATGTGAATGGTGTTAAGTCACTTTCCTATTGCATCTTTGCAAATCAGGGTCAAACATGAAAATCACATAAGAGAGAGAGGCAATCTCTGTGAGATGTGGACATGGGAGAGGTATGAGGTTATTTCGCATAAATAACAGCATCGCCCCAAGATCCATCCGGCTAACACATCACTCATACAGCCATCCACGAACACTCTCTCCTCTAAATTATCATCAATACGCAACAAAAGCAAACAAGATGGGTAAATCAGACGATCAAGTAGTTGAAGAATTCAACGAATACGTCAATATGAGCGCAAGTGATTTAGAAAATTGGCTCAAAACTGAAGAATCCGAATCGAGCGGATGGGGAGATGAAGGTGGTGAAAGTGTTGGTCACGAGAGTGGACGTAAGATCACTGATATTCTCAAACGTAATCCTAAAAAAGATCCATCCAAATACACCGATGAGGATAAAGAGCATATGCGTAAAGTTGCAAGTTATTGTAAACGTCATTTAGCACAAGAAGGTAAATTGAAAGATTCAAAGAGTAAAGAGGAATTGCAACAAACCAAAGCTTATCGTTCACTCAAGAATTGGGGTCATGACCTCTTGGCTTGATCTATGTATCTATTATTTGAGTAGAATATTCCTAATCGAAGTCATTACCACGATAGTGCGAGGGCCCGTTTGTTTGTAGAAGAGTGAACCATCTATGTCTCCTCTGTAATATTGCTTAAAGCTTTGGTCTTGTGATAAGGGGGAACGTTATGTATACGAACAGATTAAAAGCTGCTATTTTAGCCGATGAACGGACATTTTTTTATGATTCGAAAGAACAAACAAAGGCTTAGCGTCATTGAGGGAGATCATGCCCATTGCTGTGATCCTCGATCAGGGATGAGAGATCATGGCGTTCAATTCGGCAGAAAGAGTATAGGATCGAGAGGGAGGGATCAAGGGCAACGATACTAGCGTGCATTCACTCAATGTGACTTGTAACGCACACGAACACGCGTAGAAAAAGACCAACACAAATAACACATTTAAGCTGATGGATGAGCTATATCACAAAAGCCACTTCATTCAAGCGATCTGAGCGAATAAATGCAGACAGACATGACTTAATGCTCCAGTATGTACGAATGACTTGATGACAAGTATTGAATGCAGGTACAATGAGTTGTGTATAAAAGGTTTGCGTCACTTTCCATTTCGGGCAAGATGGATGTCCATCCAACCAATCATATCATCTGCTCATAATACTGTCAAGCATACAGAGCCTTATAGTACTCTGCCGTTTGAATCTCTCACGCAACTCCGACAGCGAATGCTTCAACAATCTACTTCTAGAAATCATCCTCCTCTCAATTCGGCAAGTTGCCGTGTCCGAAAAAGAAGGTGTGTTCCTGAATCTTAATGGAATAGATTACGGACCTGCATTTGTATCAAATTCAATATAAAACAAGTCAATCTTGCAAATCAATCCTTTCTTTTTCACCATCACCATTCACTCCTCCGGTGGTCACCAAATTCATCCTTCCTCCTACTAATCATCTTTTGTACTGGTTGCAAAGATGCACTTTTCACGATCTAACGCTGAAATGTCTTCCTCCACCTCACTTTCACATTCGTTACTTCTCATTCCTTTACTCGTTGGTTTGATGTTACAAGGAATTTCTACAACTTCAGCAGCTCCAGCAACAGCACCAGTTCAGCATACATTCCAATCAACCTATTCGCGTAATACGACACATGATGCTGCCAAAAAAGCCGCCAGTTTAAGCAAGGCAGCTAAATCTGATGCCAATCAACTAAATGCTGCCAGTCCCGAAGCTTTGGACTTAACTCCTTGGAAGGAAGTTCATGAGATCGCATTGCCCATTCCTGCTTCTCATGTGATGAACAAGACAATTATTTCCAATGGTACGTCACCTTCTTCATCTTCCTCTTCTTCCTCCAACTTGAATAGTACTTTGACAAACAACACTTCGATCTCCAATAGTTCTTTAGCAACAGTTCAAGCACTATCAACAAAGAAGAAGAGCACCCATAAAAAGAAGAAGAAGAAGGTGCACCACAAGCACAAAACAGAAAAGACAAAGAAGAAAAAGACAAAAGCAAAGAGTAACACAACCACAATGAAACAAAACAACATTGCCACCAAGACATCTGCAAGCACTCACCCTACCTCAGTTGCCACAACAAACGACGCCGACGATTGTACAGACGAAACCACATCCTTCCCAACCGTGACAAGCACAAACAGTAGTCAATCATCATGTTTCCCTGCTTTGGGTTTCAATATGCCATCAAACGTTCCAAGTTCTTTGGACGGATGGTGGTGTAGTCCAACGGATGAATATGCATTCTTAGGGTTCTCCTATGAAATCTCTGCTTGTCAATCACAGAGTCAATTGATCAGAGAATTCAAAGATGCACGTAATACGTTCAATGCTCGTTATGTGCGTTTGTACGGTGCATGTGATGATACGAATTATTACGGCAAAGTCGTCGAGGCTGCTTGGCAAGCTGGAATTGGTATTCATGCTTTGATTTGGTTCGGATTTGATGGTGATAATAAATGGATTGGTAGACGTGATTCTTTGTTCTCTCAATTACACTCCAATCCAAAGGCAAAGTTCGTCACTCGAGGTGTTCAATTTGGTAGTGAGCCGTTGTACGATTGGGTGATGAGTGGAACCGATTTGGCCAAACAGGTAAAGAGCGCTCAAGCCAACCTAAAGGATCTTAGCATTAATGTGACCGTTTCTGATATGGCATACGGTTATCAATCTCAACAAGATAGCGGAAGTCAAGACGTTTTGGACGCAATCGATTTTGTCGATGCACACATGTTACCCTACTTTGCACAAGATGCATCAACAGGTGATAAAGCATGGCATGATGATGCAAACGATATGAATTACTTCTTGCAACATACCTCTAACAAAAAGATTTATTGGAGCGAAAATGGTTGGCCATCAACGCATGATTGTAATGCAGGCGTTTGTCCAAATTCTCCCAATGCAGTTTCGAGTGTCGCAAGTGAGCAAGCATATTATGATTTATTGGATAGCAAGTGTTCAACGATGAAAACTTATCCTCAAGGAGGCGTTGGATGGTTTGCACACATTTATAGTGATTCACAAGAACCCGGTTATGGTATCTATGATGTGAACGGCAAACTCAAGTTTAATTTCAAACCACGTACATCTTGTTGATCATGTCTATTGCTCTCATGCGAGTATACCCTTTCTTTGGCCATTTGTCATTCTTTCTTCTTTTCGCCTTTTTATTTAGCTTTACGACTTCCTTCTTTTGGACACTCTTCTTGTATTTGATATGACTTATACGATGCTGATTTAATGAGAATGTAACGAACAAAGTGTGTTCTCCAGTGAGATTTATTGGGTATCGTGTGTGGTATTGTTTCCGTTACAAACTGGATTTGTCAGCTGTTCCCGTTCTCTCACTCTCTGGACGAGGTGTGACTGTGCCGGAATTGGGTTCAGAATGCTCTCCTTTTGGTCTTGAGTTTGGTCCGATGACTGTTCTCCATGCATCGGCAGGTTCGCCTTCCCGTACAAAGCTTGCAAAGAAATCCCGTAAGAAGTTCCTCCAAGGCGCTTGTGAAGGAATCACATGTCCACTTTCATGATGTTCAACGCGAGAATTTGCGGCTGCTTGAACGAGAGTTTGTGCTCGGTCTTCATCTACGATTTGATCTGCTTTTCCTAGGATGTGCAAGATAGGTGTTTGAATGCCATCTTCCGGGAACAAAGTTTGCATGTTTGGATCCCTTGATCGGAAACCGGATACTGCGACGCAGAATCTTAATGGTCCTTGCTCTTTGGGCAGCTTGAATTTGGGATACCGGGAAGGATCTTCGAATGCCGAAGCGATCAAAGCGGCAAAACAAGCGCCTTGGGAGAAACCAAACACGCCATCAAAAGGACCATGTTGAGCGATTTCTTTATTGAGATATTCAATCGTTTCGTCAAACTGCAAATAGACGCCTTCATCACTTGATCGCCACCATGCTCGTGGTTGTTCTTCCAGTGGGATCGTTGGATCGTTCGCTTTGGAGATCCGATCAGGAGCGTCTAGGCTCTCTGCAGCATCAGTGATTGGTTCGACACGTATTGGACCGTTTACAAAAATGAATTCAGCATTTTCTTTACATGCTTTTCGAATTGCGCCTAGACGTCTTTGTAAAATGAATGCGTTTGAAGTGTATCCGTGCAAAGCCAAAATGCGTAATTTACGGGTTGAGGAGGAAGCGGCCATGATGGCTGGGGTGTGAAGATTAATCTGATGGAACGGTGACCTTTTTTTTGAGAAGAAGAAGAAGTGTGTTGTGAAGGCAGTCCCCGTTTCCTTTGCTTTCTTCTTTGCCCTGTTGCTTATGTTGTTGTTCTCAGGCACACACACCCAATTGTGGCTCGAATACTGCATGATACTCTTATTTGACCGGTTCACCGCACTTTACTTGTCAAGAGCGCGTCCAATGCAAGGCAAAAAGGCAAACAGCACTAGGGATAAAGACTTTTTATGTGTTAATACCAACAACAACCTCATTCATCATCTAGCTCGTGCCCCCTCCTCTTCCTGTTCTCCTCATCAATTATTGCCGATCGGAGTGGATTAGAGGCTTCTCCCGTCTATCAAGTATGCGCTCTTGAAGTTTCGATAATCAATTGCACAGCCTCGCATACGAAAGTGACAATCATGCAATAAGCCATAACCAGCACAAAACACCCACACACACAATCACACACAACATCAAACACTCTCGCTATCACAATGAAAGCAGCAAAGATTTTAGGTACAACTGTACCACCCGAACAACCCATAAGAAGATCAAGCGAATCAATAGATTTGGATATAAGCGATGTCGCTTTGGCTCCAGGAGAAGGTCCACCGCCAATCCCACTTCGCTCAAGTAGCGGGGCAACCACTTTGCCTAGCGTTGATGGAATGATCTCTGTCAATCGTATGGCAACAATCGAATCACAATTGAGCGTTGATCCTCCTTTGCATCATCGATCGACCAAACATCATGAAATTTCACCGTTTTTGTTTCAAGGAAACGATCAAGAAGATGCAAAAGGTAGCATTGGAAGCGCAAGCGGTCGTCAATATGATCCTAGCAGCAGCACAGGTCGTTCAATCTTAACAGATAATAGCGGATCGGGATCTTCACGTTTCTTTGCTTCTCAGTCTACGTTGCCTTTACGTCCCTCTACACCGCCATTGGCCGCTTCTGCATCACAGGTCAGTTTGGGTGGATTTGCTACTCCTGGCACGGCGGGAAAGCGATCAAAAACATCCAAGAATCCCCTCAAATTCTTTTCAAAGAATGCAAAAAAGTCAACCTCAAATCTACGCGAAGAGGAATTGTCGCCTAACACTACACCACGTATTCACCATACCGGTGCATCAGGATCTCACACGAGACCAGAAGTACGCGGAGATGGTTCAGCAATGGGCATTGACGAAGAATTAGGCGTGGACGATCATGAAACATTGAGAGAATCACGGCGAACCAAATTGATCGGTCGACCAAGAACGCGTGATAAAGAAGTCAAACGAACACGAACAGCAGGCTCAGCAATGGATGGCGATACGGGTTTGGGTGTATCGATTGGTCATCCACAACGTGGAATCTCTCATGCTGGCTTCAGTAGAAGATCACATCAAGAAGACGTGCCGCTAGCTTTGGATACGAATTTTGATCATATCGATGATTTTGTCGATACGTCTTTAAGACAACCTTCTTTAGTTGGTCCAAAGGGTGAAACCTTGACAGCAGAGGAAATTGTGCCAAGGAAAATGAACAAATCACCATCACCTGTTTCATCAACACAGCCACCACTACGTGATCGTTCTACATCGGTATCATTTGTTGAGCAACAAAGGCCTTCATCTGCTTCAGTGGATTCTCCACAACGACCTGGAAATTTGCGAAGGATGGCAACTGCTTCTGGTGCTCCTGTTGCACCGCAGAGATCTCCATTACAGCCTCAAAGGATTGACGTCACGAGCTCCAATCTGGTGAAGATGAACAAGGCACAAATGGAAGCAATCTTACGGGCACGCGGTGGTGTTAATACCCCAACATCAAATAGTAGTGATTCGATTGACGAACCGTCTGCACGACAACAACAGCAACAAGATCGTATAAATGGCTTCATTTCTGCCGATCAACCGTATAAAAGTCTTATTGGTCCATCAGATCTGACACCAGGCGCAAGTCATCGAGATGATAGGAAAGCCAGTTATACCTCTACCGCAAGTAGAATGACAAACGGCAGCGATATTTCACCTACTACTTCAGTCAATAATTTAAACAAAACAAACAAGTTTATGCAAGAACGCAGACCGAGTCAACAAGGTGTAGATGCAGGCTATAAATTCCCACCACATAACCGTAATGCCACTGATCCAAGAAAATCAAGCGCTTCAAGTGGAAAAGTTACATCTTCTTGGATGGCGCCTGATAGTTGGGCTGTTCAACCGCAAAAGCTTCGTGATGTTTTGCGAGATGATGAAGATGGAATTGAAGATGATGCATTGAGCCCGGGCGTTGATCCGCTTACTGCTTCGCCATCTTATAAACGTGATGCCAGTCGACCCTCTTTAGGCTCAAGTATCTGGAGTGGTCTTGGATCTTCGTCTTTGGGAGGAAATCAAAGTTCAGTCTCATCTGCAGATGCGGCACTGGTGCGTGATGGATTGGTGTCTATGGAAGCATTGCAAGGTAGACGTGAGACGATCGACTCTAGTCAGTCTTATACATCCGTGCCAACAGATCGAGATGGCAGTACAACGCGAAAGAGCTCTGATTCTTCTTTCGAAGTTTTACAAGCTTTGCCAACTCAATTGCAATCCAACGCTGCAGGTTCACCAGCGGCAGTAAGACCAGGTTCGCGAGGTGGATCGACAATCGGTCAGGCAGCTGCGGCTGCTGCAGCGGCAGCAGGTAAATTAGGACTTCATCGTCCTTCTCGCATCAAGTTGAGTAGCAGCAGACCAAACACGGGCAATTCCATCAACCACCCATTTGGCACGCCAACGCCAGGTAAAGGCATTCCTGTAACGCCTTCAGCCGATGAGGATAATCAATTCAATTGGAAATCCTCCAAAAGGACTCCGGGCAACCAAACAGCTTCAAAACATACATTTATGCGAGTATACAAGGATGATGGTATGTATTCTGTAGTTTCAATCTCCTTGGATGCTACTGCGTCGGAGCTACGTACGATTTTAGCACGCAAGAGTATCGACCCTGCTCAAGTGAATAGGTTGTTCGTGCGTGATAAAGGTTCAGAGAGACCATTAGGTCAATCAGAAAAGCCAGCAATTCTGCAGAGGAGACGATTGGAACAAGCAGGTTATACGGAAGCAGACTCTTTGGAAGAGTTGGGAAGGGAAGATTTATCGTTTTTGATCAAATTTGTCTTTAGACCTGATCGTGTGACAAATTTCGATTCTTATTCGTTCGGTAATACAGAGGCTGATTTCAACGTTTTGGATTTGCGTAATCGAAATTTGGAAATGGTACCTATTTTCCTGTACAAGAACGCAGAATGGATCAAGAGCTTGGATTTGAGCGGTAATCCGATGCACGATATCCCAAACGATTTCATTCAGATTTGCACGAATCTGACCACTTTGTGTCTCAGCCATCTCTCGCTCAAAAGGGTACCGCAGAGTATTCGACAAGCCGTCCATTTGACCCACTTGGACTTGAGCGATAATCGTATTCGGGAATTGAACCACATCAATTTGAGTGAGATTCCTCAATTGATGTCACTCAAAGCACAGAACAACCGATTGTCAGAGCTTCCGGGATACTTTGCATGGATGAAGACTTTGCGAGATCTGAATGTGTCGAACAATCAATTTGCCGTCTTTCCATCGGTTGCTTGCGAATTGGAAAATCTTACCCTGTTGGATATCAGCTTCAACACGATTGTCGAACTTCCCAATGAACTCAACATGCTCAAGAGACTACAGAGATTTGTCTTTGTCGGTAATAGCGTTGAACAATTACCAAGCTCGATTGGTGAAATGCACAACCTTCGCGTGATCGATTTGAGGAGGAATTTGCTCCAAGACATCTCTGTGCTGTTCAATTTACCAAGCTTGGAGATATTACGATGTGAGCATAACTCCCTCAAGAGGATGGATGTCACATTCGGTGAAAGGCTGAAAACTTTGCAGATTGGACAAAACCCCCTCAGCAAGGCAACCTTTAATGCTAAAGCCATGTGCGCGCTGACAATTCTAGATCTCTCATCCGCCAACATGGGTAAATTGGATGACGACGTTTTGAGTCAACTACCAAACTTGACAGAATTGGTTCTTGATCGGAATAGCTTGATCGTCTTACCCGACAACCTTGGTGCGCTCACACAATTGACAAAGTTATCCTGCACAAACAATCTCTTGGCTACCTTGCCTGACAGTCTCGGTTTATTGACCAATTTGGTGGAGCTGCAAGCGCACAATAACAACCTCAAGTCCTTACCGGCAAGCATTTGGCACTGCAGTAGTTTGAGGAGGTTGAATGTTAGTTCCAATCTGTTGGAATCTTTCCCTTCTACTTCAGACGCTGCCGCATCCCTTGCCCCAGGCTCAACTGTGGATATGATGGTGAGCTCTGCCATACTATCACAAAGTAGAAAAGGATCTGCTGGCTCGTTGGGAACGTTACCGGCTAACGGTGCACATTCAGCTGGAAGGACGCCATTGCCACTAAGTGCATGTTTGAAAAAATTACGTATGGGCGATAATCATTTGACAGAAGATATTTTTGCTGTTTTACGTGATTTGCCGGAATTGCAAATCTTGAATTTGAGCAGTAATGATCTTTACGAAATTCCAAGTTATGGACTTTCAAATTTGATCAAATTACGTGAATTATACCTTTCTGGTAATTCGATCGGTAGTATCCCGGCAGACGATCTCACATTACTGAAAGAATTGCGAATCTTGCACATCAATGGTAACAAGTTGCAAACATTACCTGCTGAATTGGGCAAAATGATGAAATTGGTCAATTTGGACGTCGGTACAAATGCTTTGAAGTACAATATCTCGAATCAGCAATACGATTGGAATTGGAATTCCAACCCAAATTTGCGCTACTTGAATCTTTCTGGAAATAAGCGCTTGGAGATCAAGAGCAATCCAGTCATGACTGGCGTTGATGGAGCCCACTCCAACGGTACACCAGCTTTTCGTCGTACGGATAGTTCGGATTTCCAACGTCTTACCAATCTTCGCTTGCTGGGTCTTATGGATGTCACTGTAACCTTGCACCAAATGCCGGACGAATTTGATGATCGACGTGTTCGTACAAGTTTGAGTCAAATCAATCAGATGGCTTATGGTATCTCGGACGCACTCGGTCAACATGATCATTTGAGCATCGTCGATGTCGTTGTGCCTAACTTCCGTAAACGAAATGACGAATGCATGTTTGGTATGTTTGCCGGACGTGGACATGGTGATAAGATGGGCAGTAGAATCGCTTTCCATCTTGCTCAATGGGTCAACTTTCGAATTCAATGGGAAGTTCAAAGACTTCAAACTCCCGGTCATCAATCATCGCCGGATATGGATAAAGTTCAAGATATTATCAGACGTGCATTCTTGCGCATGGAAAAAGAGTATGCTGATGTCTTGATCTCTGAAGGAGTTCGTGTTCGTCAAGATTTCCGAACGCAATCAAACAGTAAAGAAGCAGGCAAAACAGAGGCACCGATGACTACTGATAGTATTTCTTCCGGCAATTGGCGCAGTGGTGCAAGTGCGGTTTTGGCGTATGTGATCAAAAAGACCTTGTTCGTTGCAAATTGCGGTGATGCTTTGGCAGTGCTTTCACGTAACAGTACAGCACATTTAGTCTCAACCAAACATGTGCCATTCGATCGTGATGAAACTTTGCGAATCAGATCGTGTGAAGGATGGGTTTCCCTGCATGGTCAAGTGAACGATACTTTGGAGGTTTCACGCAGTTTTGGTCATTATCATCTTGCGCCGATCGTTAATGCTGCACCTGCCGTCCACAAGATTGAACTAACAGATTCGGATGAATTCATCATCTTGGCAAACAAGACTTTGTGGGACTTTATCCCCTATCAGACTGCTGTCGATATCGCACGTATGGATAGAGAGGATCCAATGATGGCTGCACAAAAGTTACGTGATTATGCTATCAGTTATGGTGCTGAAGATAGTATCATGGTCATGGTCGTAGCTGTCGGAGATCTGTTTGAGAAGACAAGAGGTGGAATGCGAGGAGGCGCACAAATCCAGGGTCTCACGCCAGCTGTTGCGACAGGTCAAATGGGTAATGACGGTGGATCCATCTTTGAACCTCATTGGGAAGGCTTCAAGAAGCCAACAATGCGTCGTGGTCGTGAATTCTTACCGGGTGATCGAACGCTGGCTAGACTTGAACGTGAGGTACCTCCTCCGGTTGGACAAGTGGCTCTCGTCTTTACGGATATTCGAAATTCGACGCATTTATGGGAAACCAATGCGGGCATGCAAACTGCTATGAGAATGCATAATTTCTTATTACGTCGACAATTACGCAACATTGGTGGTTATGAAGTAAAGACTGAAGGTGATGCATTCATGGTCAGCTTTCAATCAGTCACTTCGGCTCTTTTGTGGTGCTTCCAAGTTCAATTGCAATTGCTCACCGAGAATTGGCCACAGGAAATTCTGGAAAGCGAAGATGGAAAAGAGATTTATTCGGAAAGCACGGGAGAGTTGATGTATAGAGGATTGAGCGTACGTATGGGTATCCATTGGGGCCGTCCTGTATGTGAAGCTGATCCGATCACGAGAAGAATGGACTACTTTGGACCGATGGTGAATCGTGCAAGTCGTATTCAAAGTGCAGCTGAGGGTGGACAAATTCTCGTAAGCCGAGATGTTTTGGCTGAATTGCGAACGTGGTTCGGATCGGCAGATGATGTTCAAAGAAGGAGCGTATTGGCTGAAGAAGAGGGTGACATGACAGATTTGACAAAAGCCTTTGAAGATGGTAACTATTTGTTGCATGATCCCAATGTGAGCCGAGACGTCGTCTTACTACGTAGATTGGGATACTCTTTCTTTGACGTTGGAGAACATCGTTTGAAAGGATTGGAAACACCCGAACATCTCATCTCCGTCTACCCTAAAGGACTCTTGAGCCGTTGTAGTAGTCAAGTTGAATCTGGAACAGCGAGACCGACGACCATTTTACCTACAACATCTGCATTTGAGGAGATTGCTAATGCTGAAGGAGGAGGAGCACCTGCTGGCGCATTGGTTCCAAAGGCGACCGATGCGGCGGAAACGTCTAGTGCACCATTGGTCCAAGCAACACTGGCACCTGTGGAAGTGTTTGAGCCGACAGGACACTTGCTAAGCGTTGATGAAGTGAAGATGGTATGTTACATCTGTTTGCGTTTGGAAGCTTTAGCACAAGGTCAAGTTTATGCTGGAATTCAAGAATCCATTGAAGCTTCCATGGCTGCACCTGAACCATCAAATTTATCAAGACCCCTTTCTTACGGCCATGAATCGGATGACAGACAAAGTATGTTAAATCGACAAAGTCTTTCTCTTGGCTTGATTGATGCTACGAGACATAGCAGTGCAGATCTGAGTCATTTGGCTTCAAGTCTTGGCAATGTACAAGCTCAACCACTTCTAGCCCTTTCAACGCCCCGTCAACGAGTGGTAGAAGATCATTTGCATCATCATCCAGAATTGATGCTTTCAGGTTTACGAGATGATGCAACTGATGATGAATTATGCGTGGTATTGAATGCATTTATTGGACGAATTTGGATGGCTTTGGGTAATTTGGGCTTACGCAAAATGCTTTCTCAACGTTCAAGCATGAGTGGTATCGATTTAAGGGCTGATATTGCACAAATTTTTGATTTGCTTCAAACAACGAATGTGCTTGGCTCCGTTTGAGGAATGCCCACCATTGCCTCTATCTTAACGCCCCTTTTACGGTTTTTTTAAAAAGTTAATTTTGTGTAAACTTTCATTTGTATAGTAAAAAAGGTCATGAAATAATATGGATATAGAGTTATGGCATTTCATTCAGAGTAGGGGCGGTGTTTGTGTGCAAGGGTAGAGGGATGCTGGATTGCGTTCTCTGGAAAGAGATGAAGCCTGCCCTTCGTCTACCACTAGAGAGATGAATTCAAGGACGTTGATAATCACCTTTTATCTATGTACGTATATGATCGGCATGTGCCAATCTACGATCATTGAGAAACGAAGCAACAGCCATTCGGGAGGACACTTGAAGACTCTAGAAAAGGCTCTTATGGATGACAGCGGTGATGAATCGAGGGTAGCATCACCGCATGAATTCCAAAAGGTATACGACTCTTACAGATCAGTTATAGCATCGGTTCCCGAAACTGGTAAGGCGTTACATGATCCTTACAAACAGCAAAAGATAGAAGAAAAGAGCACAACCAAAGAAAGTGAAGCGAAAATAGACAAAGCAAAATCCAATAAACCTAGGAAATCAAGTGAAGAAGTACGTCAACGTAAAATGATGACAAGTAGAAAGTGGAGAGAAACGAATCGAGAAAAGAAGAATGAAGCAAGAAGAGCAACATACGCAAAAGCTGTAATCGAAGCAGGAGGAAGATACGTATCACGCGAAGAAAGAACACGAATGGCCATAACTAAACCTCGTACTCGTAAATACGCAAAAGGTTATTACGGAGTAGAAAACAGACATAAACGTAGGGTGGACAAATCGATATCAAAGAAAGGGATGACGAAAGAAGAAGCAATAGAAGAAGCAAATCAACATTTTCAAAAATTGAACCAGCAGTGGCGAAGAAAATTATAAATTTGGTCGGGGCACTAATCGTGGTTGTTAAGAGCAGATCTTCACTTTGTCGCTGACCCTATTCAGCGGAGAAATACAGCTCTGAACTTAGCTTTTATGGCTGCTTCCCTAGTAAGGATTAGTCCTATGGCTCTGGGGGAGAATCTCAATATGAGCAAGATGCCGGAATGTACAGATGTACGGATCAACTTCCTCCATCACCATTGCATCCTGTCGTATCACTATGCATTTTCGGCTCTTATGTAGCCCAATCCGCATCATTTGTTCAAATACACAATATCGGATAAAAGAAGCGAAGAACGGGGCGCCTTTCCTGTCGAAATCGTCATTCAAATTCCTTTATCTTGGATCTTCCTGCCCTTTTTACTCGATCAGATTCGCCATAATTACGTGCTTGGGAGTTTTTGTATTGTACAAGTCCTCCTTGATAGGTCAGCGTACATCATTCAATGCGCACTTCATCGCAACCACCCCACATTATGTATGAGAACAGATTGTGTATGCAGATCTCATTTTCGATGCTATCCGGTCCAGCTGTGGCCGACTGGTCATGGTGTACCAGTCATCTTTTGGGATCGATTGAGGTATTGCTGTGCACAGAAATTCGGCTTATAATGAAAGAATAGGTATCGTTGAGCTTTTTCCCATCTATCAAAGAAGATGAACATTGAATCAAAGTTTCATACAATCCCCTACTTTTTCGTGCTTCTACAATTCATTTGCGCTTTTCTTGTCAATTCCGCTTCATTGCGCAATTCATTCATAAGACGAAGCGGCATCGAATCAAACGGGTATGACTTTAAGTTTTTGGAAAAGCAACTCATGTATGACAGTGATGACTCAAACATGTGAGTTCTATATTTGGGCAATGTCAGTCTTCATCTTTGTTGAATACATCTCTCTGCAGCCATTCTTCTCAGCAGTTGCAACGTCATATTGATTCTTATCAATCAATCATAGATTCGCATATTAAAGCTGGACAGACGACGGCGCCTAAAGATAGCACAGAGGGAGCGATTTTAGCACTTCGTGTACCACAGCAAAAGAAGGTCAAAAAGAGTACGTCCAGAGATATGAAACGCAATCGTGAATGGAGGGATGAAAATCGTGATCGGATCAATGCTGGTAGACGAAAAATGTATGGAGATTCAGCAAGTGCGGCCGGAAGAAAATATGCACCCCAAGGTAAGCGAGTCAAGAATTCAACGCAAATGAAACCGAAAATAAAGCCAATACCAAAAGAACCTGGTTATTATACCGAAGCGAAAAGACAAGAAAGAAGGATGAAAAAAACAATGAAAAAGGGTATGACCATGGAAATGGCTCGCGAGGAGGCGATCATGCATTTGAAAAGCTTAAAGTTGAAGCGTGTGGGTAAATTGTGAACGAACCAAGAACATAGGAAGGCGGACATCATACCCTGTTCAGCATGTTTATACGACCTTGCTTATTCTTGCACTTGCCGATATACTGTATCTGTGAACTATGATTTGTCTTTATATATCCCCAAGAAATACAAGAATAAGTTTGAAGAAGGCGTGGGATAAAATTCGAAACTACGGGGCATATTTTCGAACTGCTGTTACGTGAGAATATAAAAAGTTCGAAAAGTTGATGCCGAGATTTCATTCCGTCAAAGCATCTCAAAAGATGAAAAGGAACATGTTTGTGAGAGAATCGTTCCTCCCATACGTTCTCTTTTACTCGCTTTTACTCAACGAGCTTGTTCTCTCCATGCCGCTGGAGTCTCTAGTAAAGCGGAGCGGAGAAGGTGGCAGCTCTAACGTGGTGAAGCAACTAGAGGATAAGCTGATGAGAGATAGCAGTTCATCCATGAGGTAAAAAAATATGCTCCTCATCATGCTTCAAATTATTGACAATATTACTTACTGTGTTTCTCTTAGCTTCTCATCACAGGAATTGCAAAATGAGATAAAGTCATACGAAACTGAGATACAAGAAGCAAAAAGCGCTATTCCGGAAGGGGGGACTGTGCAAACAGCCACCCAAAAAAGAAAAGGGAAGCGAACTTATACGGAATTGAAAAGGGGTTGGAGACAGAGAAATCCCGAAAAATCAATTGAGCAAAGACGTAAAAGTTATGCAAAGAAGCAAACGGAAAGAGGAAAGACGTATGTTCCGCAACAAGTTCGATCAGATAAAAAAGTCACGAAAAGAGACCAAAAGAAGGAAAAGAACTATCATTCAGAAGCATCAAGGA